CGTTGCGAGACAAGACTCACCTACGACACTTGAACACAGTCCAGAGAACCGTATTAGTACGGATCCTGTCAGCTTTCAGGACAGTGGCCACCACGACTCTGGAAGTAGAAGCACATATTGTGCCAACGCACCTCCGCCTCCGTCGCCGAGCGCAGAACACCATCGCAAGCCTTCACACTCTGCCGCGCGATCATCCGATCTGGGATACACTACGGCGAGCCCAGAAACGTAGGAACAATGTCGGGTCATACGCTCGCTTCCCACTGGCGGAAGCCCTGAAGACCATGAACCTAGAAAGATTAGATGAGCTAGAGACGATCGACCCACGTCCGCTACCACCATGGCGAACCGAGTCCTTCACGGAGATCGAGATCGGGTCAGACCGAGAGACGGCAAGAGAGCGGGCGGAGTCCGTGCGGACCACATCCGCTATCGTGGTCTACTCTGATGCCTCGGGACGCGAAGGCCACCTAGGCGCCGCTGCCGTAGCACTCGACAATGACCTACAAGTTGTCGAATCGAAACAGGCCCAAGTGGGACCGATGGACCGGTGGTCGGTTCACGTAGCAGAGCTGATAGGCATTTTCTACGCTGTCAGTATAGTGTTCAAGATCAGCCATCAGCGGCCAAGAACGGAACATAATGGAACAACAACGGCAACGATCCTCTGCGACAGCAAGTCGGCGTTGCAGGCGATCGAGAACCCAGGAAACAAGTCAGGACAACGCATCATCCACGCGATCCTCCAGGCGGCTGCAGAGGTCCAAGCAAAGGGAATTGCGCTTTGTCTCCAATGGATACCCGGACACTGCGACGATCCAGGGAACGACGCAGCAGATCGGTTGGCCAAAGACGCGGCAAGCCCGGGCAAAACACACCCCTTCCGCCCTTTGCTAACAAGGAAGAGAGCGCTTATCCGAGACAAGATCCGCGCTCAATGGGAGCGGGAATGGAAAGCATCAACTAAAGGCGGTCACCTGCGTAGAATTGATAGCACCCTACCGGCGGCCTACACCAGGAAGTTGTATGGGAACCTGCCAAGGGGGCGGGCGTACCTGCTGACGCAGCTACGCACGGGCCACAATTGGTTATCCACCTATGCCAAGACCTTCGGCTTCCGCGACAACAATCAGTGCGTGTGCGGCGCGCAAGAAACAGTTACCCACGTGCTGGTGGACTGCCCAAATCTGAGGGAAATCCGACGGAAGCTAAGGATTGAAGTTGGGGACGCGTTTAATAGCGTATCGAGTCTGCTGGGAGGCTCAACTGAAGGTGAGAGAGGTAAACCAGACACCGTCTCGCGGGCTAGGACGGTCAAGGCCGTACTAGACTTCGCTGAGGCGTCACAAAAATTCCAAAGTCGCGCGCCATGAGGGCAGCCTAATTACTTGAACGGCACCTGGGCCACGATAGGCCTTGACGAGGCTCCAAGTTCGTTTTCAGGAAGTGGGACATTACACTTGAACATACCAAGATATATATAGTTGCTGTATCCTGTATATCGCCAAAAGCGAGAGGTCAGGGTAAATGATATCATCCATCCATCCGTCTGTATCCCCTTTGGTCAACCGTTTTTTGGTTATGATTTTGGGGTAGCGGTAATCTGCTTGTGGTATATGCTTCCCGCATATATCGGTGGGATTCTTATAATATCAAAAACTCAATGGAAGACTGGAACGATGTTGTGATGATGTGATGATGTTTGATGCAAATAACGGGTGTCTAAAAGCTCTATATCCGAAGGAAACAAATATATTTGGGTTTTATTACAATGAATTCGAAAACGGCTTACTCCTAAGACACTGACGCTTTGTTTCTCAACTTATACCCAAAATCGCTCCCTCGTTTGCTCCTAGGAGCTTTCCATTCAAGACAATAGCGTGATGCTAGACTGCATTCGTTCTCCAAATCGCCTTAGACCAATACATACTAGTTCTCTCACTTCCGGTCCCACTGCCAAGCCATTACTGCGGATAATTCATGGACCGGGCCTCATTAAACTTGAGGGGCTCAGCGTAATCCAGTCACGCTTGGAGATAAGAATCTATGGATTTTTTTGAAGTCTCAGGGGATTGAAGTGCTTAGGTGTCAGAAAGTAGCAGGGTAGGTAGAGATTTGGCTCTCATCATCCTCTTTTTTCGAAAAATGTTAAGCGTACAGTGATTTTTAAGTAAATCACTCTCTACGTAAGCTTTTGTTCCTAGGAGCGTCCGATTCTCAGTGCAGCCGACCACACCTCGGGTACTAAAAGATTGCGCAGGGAGCCCGCGTCAGTTTCCTCACCGCTTTCAAAATGCTCTATATATTATATTCTCTGACACCGCACGTTTCTACTGCCAAGACCACGCCTCACAAAATCGTGAGTTCTTCAAGCACTGTTGCACCTTCTTAAACCTGAACCCACTTGAGTAAACCATGCATGCAAAGAAGCAGCAATTTGTGACGTTTTTACAAAACCTTGAACGCCTCCCTTTTGAGCTTCTTGAACAAATTTTATATTTCAGTCTTTTCTCCGGGCCATCTACGCTTAAGTCTCACTTTGTGCTACATATGATCATGCAAATTTCTCAATTGAAGCAATTTTCTCATCTTCAACTATCAATCCGGAATTTTATGACAACAAAGCGACTCCACCATGGGATACGGAAACAATGGGGCCTTTCACAGGGACTATGTCAGCGCCTATCAACGCCTTCGAAAAGCTACGTTAGAGCAAACGATCTCTCCATTCCATCCGTCTATGAAACTCCGGTTTATTTACTATACACTTTTCCATATGAGGCAGCAGGATTTCATATCATGGACCATCGCTAAGTGTCCTTCGTGCTTTCGGTTTCTCCTTCTTCATCGAACAATTTTGCCGTCCTATTACAACTGCGATGGCGAAAGTCTTCTTTACATGGCTCTTTTACACAAAAGAAAGGCCTCTGCCAAATTCATTACCTGCCGCTTGACCATAAATGACTTAGCTTCTCCTCTATGGTTGGCTAAAGAGCAAGTCGGGCCCTCGGCTCTCGATATCGCTCACTCCGACCTTGTTGTTATGGAGAAGGACATGCATTGGGGCATTTTCAAAAAATATCGGCAATCGAAATATTCTTATCACTCCTGCATGCTTCATTCTTTGAAGAAGCATCCGCAAAGGTCACAAATGAGGCGTTTCCATGTTGAGCGAATAATCCATGATCATCCAGGGATTATAAGCCACATTCACTCAACCCGTGTTCTTCAACGTACAACTTGATACGGGCATCGTGATGTGAAATGCTAGAGCTATATATATTCATTCTCGAAATCGCTTTACCCAACGCACACTACCATCTAGTTTAAAGCAAAGTATCGAACGCATAATTCGATATTTCCGATAGGCCTTCATTTTAATGACTCCGTCGAAATTGATTAGGTCAAATGATATTATCTATATTTCCTCATTTAGTATTTATCACGACTCAAGAATTGAAAATAATCGCAATATATGGACTGTGAGACTAGTGACTCAATACAGTGATCGGCTTGACCAATATACACTGAGTAATTATGTCCTGACGCCGCCAAGGCCTTAGCGGAGATAAAATATTGAAGCCGCATCAAACCGAGGGCCGCAGTATGATGCTACCGTATAATACGATGGCCATTGAGGTTTATCGTTCAACAGGCAAAGCATAGGATGTAATTTCGCGTGGCAAGATACAGGAACATACTGAAGCATCTGACTGTTGGCCCTTATTTTAATGTGGCTTGGTCAATAATCTATGCACGCTAAAGACTTGGTGGGGTTAGAAAAGAGTTAGTGTGCATTGGTCAGGCCGATTTCGAAAATCACTGTACCGATTTCGCCATGTACTTTGAAGTCCTTTGAATTTCATTATTTTTGGTTTTTTTGCATGGTGCCTCGACGTGTTCTATCCTCCGTCGATCATCATAATCTAATAAGTGGGGCTAACAGAAATAATCTTGCAAGAAATCATCAAGGTTTAATTGGAGGGCGTCCATTTCGGCGGCCTATTTATCCAACCTATCTTACCACTCTGTTAGTAAGTTGATCCTTGAAAGTCGTCTTGTAATAACCGCTGGTTTCCTTTCCAGGCCCATCAATATCGCACACCACCCACCCCACAACTATTATGTAGTGCAGACATGTCTTTCTTCAATTTGGAATTCTGCTGTTCAATGCTTAGGCGAACGATAGACTGATATATTCAGAAATATCATTGAGCGTGCCGTACGACCGGTAGAAAAGGGTAGAAAGCAAGTTATTTTTCTGGCGAAAGTTTCATATTGCACGATGCTAGAAGTAGGAAAGATTTATCATCATGCACCGGTAAGTAGTTTACGAGATTTAAGATTAAGTTGGGTGGTTAATATGGTCGTCGAAATGGAATAAGGCCCGCATTTACAAGTCTGTTCTTTTGAATGACTAAACCTCGATCGAATTCCAAGTCAAGGCATAATTGTTCCATATGCTCCGAGATCGCTCTTCTATAGTGAGGCAGAACTTGTCACATGCCCCATTCAATCACACACCACAATATACTTCTATTGACATTTCGACACAGCATGGTACACTATCTGCACATCTTGCATCGCCTGTCCTGTGAGAATAAAGCAATATTTACCAATAGTTCTCACAGCCAGGATATGAGGTGAGTGGGATGAGCTACGATAAATCACATGGTGCCACCGCTATATTGTCTTAGAGTGCAATTGGTTCAATAGTGCTTCGATATCTTATTAAGCCTAGTGTCTATAAGACAATTGGTTTGGCAATGTGTGAATCTGACCATGTGCAAAACATAGAAAGAGGTCATATCCAAAAACGAAGGGCTATTTCAATTTATATCATAAAGAGAATATATCAGGAAAATATGAAGATAGGAAACTACCTTTTGGAGGACACATAAAATGGGTTCATGATCTACCAAGACAAACAGTGTAACTCTTAGCAAACAACAGTAATGGACCTTGGTATGACGATTTGATAATATCCAAGCTTAGCATTCCTACAGTTCCTCATTACTCTGGGCACTTGGCTGTTGGTTGTAAGCCGGTTGCATGTGAGGTTGCTGGTTAGACCCAAAGAGAGAGGCTTGCGCAGGTTGCTGCACCTGAGGTCGGTTAGATCCAAGGAGAGATGGTTTCGTGGGTTGCTGCATCTGAGGTTTCTGGAAAGATCCAAAGAGAGATGGTTGCGCAGGTTGCTGCATCTGAGGTCGCTGGTTAGATCCAAAGAGAGATGGTTGCGCAGGTTGCTGGGTGGGGTGCTGGTTAGACCCAAAGAGAGATGCTTGCGGAGCTGCGGGAAGCCCAATTGGATTTCCACCAGACTTTATACTCAGGCCAGCCAAGCCCGAGATAGCATCTTCCAAAGCAACATTAGAATCATAAGTCAAAGCTTCTGAAATGAGTCTATCTGCTTCTCGTGGCGAGATAATCTTTTTCAGAGCCGATCGCGAGAGGCCAACCTCCATTAAGGGAGGATTTCCATTCGGACCTTCAAAGAAGAAGCCAACTAGCATAAAAGGATATTTATCGTGCGTGGGGTCGACCTCTCCAACAGCCACCCAATTGAGGCCGTATGTGCCAGCAAAATGGGCTCTAACGAGCCTTTGAAGGTTGATCAGTGCCTCTTCCCCTCGAAGGGTGTCAGGGACTCCGGCAGCCCTAGCTCCGTCAATAGCAAGTTGGCCCCCAGTAGCAGAGCTTGACATAAGACGTATTCTACCGCTATTGTCTTCGACTACGAAGCGCGCACCCATGAAGCCAAGTTGTTGGATCATACGTATTCTCTCTCCAGTTGATGTATACCCGGGGTTGATCGAACGTACAACCCGTCGAGGCACCAAAGCGATTGTTCTTTTATTGCTACCAGTACAGACAGGTTGGAGCTGGAGGTCTGCTTGGTTCAACCTATGGTGTGAAGCCGATGGTTGGTTTGAGTGAGAATTCGAGTTTAGTGGTTGAGAATCATTGTTCGGGTTGCTTTGAGGATTGGGGAAAACAGCCCATTCGCTTGGATAATGAAATTGGTTGCAGAAATTTTTAATCACCTGCATCTGAGAAGGCCCCAGGTCTGGGGATATAAAAATAGGTCTCCACATCGCCAAAAGTTCTGTATAGCGGATGATGCCGAGCTCGGGATCTTTCTCCATTAGAAGGTTTTCACCCTTTAACTTATTGTTGATTTCGTCAAGCACATCAGCCGCCTTTCGAATTTCTACAGGAACAGCTCCTTGGAGGAGGTTTGACCTGGGGTTTTTCTGAAGGCCAGCGTAAAGTAACTGTATGTGCGGTGTAGCTTGCTCATGGGCCTCTTTGTGATATGAACTTAGGTTCTCTTCAATATGTGGCTGGAGCCTAGATCCTCCTCCCTGAAAGAAATGGTGGTTTTTGTTCACCTCCCCGGGAAAGAGTCGCTCAAGCTCTGATCCAGCCCACTGTACCTCTTAGAAATAATTAGCAATATTTCGCAATCTATTCTTTAATTGTCCTCACTTGAGAAGGCCTTTTCCGCCTCTGCCTTGTCTGAAGCCGCAAACTTGTCAGGGTGAAGAACAGCCATCAGATGCTTGAAATTAAGATTGCAATCATCGGGAATGTTCTTTTCCCAAGCACGTCTAATAGCATTTGGGTCATTTGGGGGGGCATTGAGGATGTCTCTGATCATATTTTGAAGGTTCGAATCGCTGAGCTTTTTTGGCTCCCCTTCATCCGGCATGTCTATATCACCTGTTAGGCCCTCTGACGGAGAAGCGTTTGTCACTGAACCAGGGGGTGGCTGGGCCTGCCCTGGAGGAACGGCAGCCTGGGCTTCCCGTGGCGGAGCGGCGAGTTGGGCCTGCACTGGAGGAACCGCAGACTGGGCTGCCGCTACAGAAGCTAGACCCCCTGCCGATCCTCCGGTAAGATTAGCGTCAGATGTACAACGCCCAGGTGTGAGACACTTACCATGTTCATCAGCATGGGCATTAGAAAGCCCTCCCTCGCCCTGCTGCATAGACATGATGCAAACGCTATTTATAGTTCAATTATGGCGATATTGCTTGTTTGATCTGTCCGAGCCTTAGCTATGTTGGCCCCATATATGTCTTCAATGGTTAAAGGGACAGGCGTAGTATTCTTCTTGCATGGGGCTGTATTAAATCTGTACCTGAAATTAGAGCAGAACGGTGGTTCTGGGTACGTAAACAAATTTTCTTTTTTGGGTTTGACTTTGAAATATGGATTCTCTGTTTGGGAATATAAGAATGGTAGACATGAATCATTTTATATCTCAGAAGAATTGGCTAGCGTGATAGAGTGGGTTTCTTTCATGTTCGGGAATTTTAGTCTCCACCTTCATTGAACTTTTGCTAGACAAGCACAGCAAGCAGAAAACTGAACCCCCATAGATGCTGCATGCCTCAGCCCTCAACTTGCGTATCATTCCAAGCGAAATACGCTTGACTCATTCATAAATCTAATTGTGCATGTGGTCCAGGCTAGTTTAAATTATGTTGACTGACTACACTGTCAATATTGCATCCACATTTTCAATCCGTAGTGATAAGAGATGCTTGGCTCCCAAATGAAAGGGCGATCTTTTATCATGATTTGGTCATAAAAACCGAAAAGAACACCCCTTAGCTGTCAACAGCTTTGCGGGGCACATCAGATTTGTGGTCTATGTAGATGGAATTTGCATAAGTAATATTCGACTGTAGGTCGTGCTGAGAACCAATCTACATATAATAGAAAGCCTGGAATAGAAGCCATAGTTCCGAAGTCTCTCCTATAGGCCTTATCAAGATCCATGAGCAAATCAGTATCTTCTACTGATCATTCTGAGTTCTCAAGAGAGGTACAGGGAGGATCGAAATTAGATTCACCACTTGCACACAGAGATTCTTTCTCGAACCCAAATCAGAAACACGCTAATCCGTTTCGGACTTAGTCGGTTTCAAGCATTGAATCGTATTGAAAGTCAATATCACGTGTTGTATTATAAACTACCGTACTTGTAAGACTCGTACCAAGAATACTTACATTTGGCGGAGCTGGTCGACATTCCTTCCACTTGTCTCAATATTTTGATGCCTGATGTTTGATAGAGCGATGGGGCTAATCTATTTCTATATATGCACACTGAGTCATTCTGTGACGGAACTGCCTTTTGGGAAGTACACATGAAGCTCAAGATACAATGTGTTCTGAACCCCCTGAGCGTATTATCTACATGTATACACCATGTGGGTCCCGCGCAGATCATATCTCCATCCTTCATGTATGTCCGTGACAGTCTTCCGGAAGGCAATTTAATTCCTAGGAATTTCTCTTTAATTTCTCTTTGGGGTAAGAGACTGCTCGGAGCATGAGTCCTTGAACACCGGCTCCTGGGAGCTACTTCCCTTCATGGAAGATTTGGCAAGAAAATGTGGCATTCACGCGTGACTGGCCGCGAGTGCGAGTCAGACCTAATGCATACGCTCGCGGGGTGCTGTTCATGAACCTTTTCAGTCCGGGGTAATAACTGCACTGCCCCTTAGAGCTATGTGACGCGGCCTAGGGCAAATTTCATCTTCCTGGTCTAAATTATCAAAAAATTGGCGCCTTGCTGTTTAATTGTTGCGCACTATTTTTATATAAAAAGCCCTATGTCCACTCTTCTGCCTTTATTTGCAGTGGAACTTCTCTTGTCTTCCAAAATAACCTAGCCTCTCACCAGCCGTTTCATTCGACTCAAACTTTTACTTCAGAATGGCTTCCCACTCAGCTCCGTTTGCAATGCCCTCGGATAGTCCTGCTCTGCTACAGTGCTTTTTTGGCGACTTTGATTATGTCAAAAGTTTAATGAAGGAGACGGCTGCCCTGTTGGCTGTTGAGCCCATAATACAGAAACGATCCACTGTATACATACCATCACCCGTCTCCGCCTTTCTCTGGCATCGTCTTTTGACGACCAGGGCTTCCTATGAAGCTACAGACGTAAGAGAAGCGTATCTGGCAGGTTCTGTTCTTTTAGGCTAACAAACTTTGCAGGAGGATTTTGGGTCGTCTTATCGAAGACTCACGGACGGAAAGAGCGTTACTGTCAAGCTATTCAATAAAGCTAAACTATCTTTCTTTGCCACCCATGAGATATGTATAATTGACCTGAGAGGTTTATACTTGCCTTTCAATTCTATCTCAAATGCAAAGAACACAGTTGTCTGTGGTCCATTGAAAGGACGCTGGCAGGTCGATGAGCTTGACACCCTCAGACGCCGTGGATGGACTGTCCATCACTACGTCGATGGTGAGTTGCTTGATGATACTTCAGATTTGAAGCTGGAAGTGGAACTATCCTTAGAAAATGGGCGTCCATTCCTCGATGAGTACAGCACTGTAATTGAGTTCAACGCTGAGGAAGATGAAGCGCTGATATCTACGAGCACAAAGCTGAGGGTGGAAGACGACACCGGAATTGAAGTGGATTTATTCGGGCTTGACCTTTAATGCAGCATTGAATGATACTTTCCGTTGTTTTTGAAATGAGATTTGATCTTCAAGATCGAAAGAGTTTCCTTTGTCTGCAATTATGCCTTCTAGAGGGCCTCTACAGAGGAAGCTGAGTTTATAAGCAATGTATTAAAGGTCTAGTTGTTATGGATCTCGTCGTCCAGATTGATTTTCTAATATATGACTCAAAGCTTTTTTAAGACAAAGCTGTTTCCTCAAAATTAAGTTTCAAGATTTATGTTGAGCATACGAGATTAGACTATAGCAATTGTCACTTGCGCGTCTTCATATATTTGAAGCAATGTGATAATTGAACAACTTTGATCAACAGGTGTGATTTCCCAACCAGCAAACGGAGTAGTGATAATGAATCCGTTTATTTCGAAGGGTGCATACTTGGGGTATTAATAACGCGAGATTGTCGAAGTCGGTTGTTGTTGATGTCAGTCAAAGGTGTCAAATGGTCTGGACTGAAGTTTCATAGAACAGGCCGAAGAACGTTGGAAAACAGCGTTCAAAGCAAGGGCGCTTATTGTGCATGAGAAAGATGCTTCTTCAAAGAAGATAAAGAATAGAGAGGTCGTTTATGATGACAGCCTTTTCAACAAGCGGAGCGTGCAGTACATAGAGCATAGGGAATGTCATCAACTATCTCAGTGTAATATAGCAGTAAACAAGCAATTTAGTGATGGCCGAGAGAGCGGAGTGTAGATTAGATGAAATGATCAACATACTCAACGTGATTTGAGGAATTTCTGATTTATCTTTAATTATTTTGCACAAAGACTGCTCTTAGAGTTAAACATAACCGGACGAATAGAGCTACAGGCCAAAGCAGTTGAAAACGGTGTAAAACATTTATCCAAGCCTTGTTTAAAGCATTATATATCTTCCATGGAAGGCATAAATAGGTTGGATTCCCCTTCTACGTACGGATGTCAAAGGGAAACTGAGTTTGACTGGAAGCAGCGTTATTTTTCAGAGACATATCTTTATCACTTCAGTGGGGAAATTTCTTCCAACATTTAAACCGATATCATGGGACGGGTTTTGAACATTTTTACAAGAGCTCAGAGAAAGCACCGTGCCAAAAAATTCGAACTCAATCACGTGCCATTGTGTACGCCTCAGTCATACCTTGATAAGAAGATTTTCTATTCCGACTGGAAGCCTAGGCCAGAATGGGAACACCATAGAGGCCAGGACTTTGTTGGGAACAGTTGTTGGATTTTCACGAGCCCAGATCACCCAGGCCTCCGTCTTGACGAGATGCAACTAAAGCTTTACCGAAACCTTTCCTTCCGACCAGTATTCGAGAATGGCGAAATAGAATACAAGCATACAGGGGACCCTCCACTTGAATGTATCACGAGCCCAATTGCTTTGGAAAACGCGAAACCTTATTGCGTCGGGAATTATATTTAGTCGACGTCGTGCGCTGGAGCGAGGGTTGCTGTGCCTTGTCCGAGGCTCCTTGCTTTGGCTCCTCTTTTAAAAGATAGAGTCCTGACGCAGAGTACCAGCGAACTTTGATTTAATGAGGGCTTTGAAGGTCCAATTCGATCTGATTCCAGAGTTTCCGAACACATTACCATTGCGGCAACCAATGGAGAAATTTTTCAAGAATTATTCGGAGATCGACATTGAAATGTGAAGATGAGATTCCTATGAATGTCTCATCCAGGATACAGTAGCATATACATACATCTTCTCTTCACTAGAATTGTGACGCTGTTTACCATTTCCCCGTTCTAGTATGAAACAGACAAATGACATTTCCTTCCCGCAATCTTATAGAAATGACATAAGCATAAAATATGGTCTTAACGTTAACTAACTGTCAAGACGCCACTTACATGTCGTGCTGGTCTCTATTGACTTATCAATCTAGATTTGAAATACTTGGTAAAGAAGTGAGGCTATCCAATCAGATGTGGTCATTCCATATCGACAAGAATGTAGATTAGCTCCAGGCTCGTGCATCCTGCGTCATTTTCTAAAACCGGTTGGCATAGAAACATCCAATGCAGCATGTTCTCATAGTATTTATTGAGGTGAAATAATGGCTTCTAGGCATCTGCACACGAGCCTGGAGCAACAGCTTGCCTCCACCCGGAAGGAAATAGACGCGAAATCCCAAATCCCACAGGTTTCCAAAGGCAAGAAATTAATGTTTTTCGAGGTAACACGAGCAAAAGTGGAAAGAAAATCAGATTCAACTGACATTCTCAGGTCGAATGAAAAATTCAAAAGTATATAAATTCATCTTATTAGAATTTAGCTAATCCAACCGTCAAATCGTAACCTTGTTGTACAGTAGTATTCGAATTCAGTTATATCTCCGCACTCCTGCGACTTGATTCCCGGATAATAGATCCGGCAGTTATGAGCCTTGATTGGACAGGTGATATGGGTCCGCTTTTCAGACCGCTTTTTTAGACTGATAGGTGTATCTTACAGTACAGTAGGATAACACCACTGGGTGTATTTTACACGAAATTGGCTGTATCATGCGAGAATGCGCCTTGCCTGTTCCTCTCTTTCTTCTGCCACAGCCGAGGGAAGGTGGGGGGTCCTGTGACACGGCTACACACACATGACCTGGTACGACGTTCTCACCATTGGCCTGTCTAGCGCTTTCTCCATACTGTTCCACATTATCTACCAACGGGTGGATTTCTTCATCACAGAACAATGACCAACGCATCCGAAGCAAGTGCTGAGCACTTCGTAGCCAAGTAAGTACCTGAGATGTCTGTGGGAAGTGGTTATCTGACCACTTTATTCTCTAGTTTCCTTCACCTTTATCAAGGCCCTTCCGTCAAACTTCGAATACAGCCTAGCAACAAGGAATATGTAATTTCCAAAAGCCTTCTCTGCGCGGAATCGCCGGTCTTCTCAAAAATGTTCAACAGTGAATTTCTAGAGTCACAGCAGCAGACAGCCACTCTAGAAGAGACCGAGGACGATGTCTCGGTGCGTAGCCTTGAAGCACTCTTTCAATGGCTATACCAACGCACTGTCAGATTTGGGATAGAAGACCCAGGAGAGCATATTTCGGCCGCCATGGAGCTCGCAAGGCTTGCAGACAAGTACGATATAATTGAGTTGGAAACTACAATGGCCCAATACATCAAGAACATCTTAAAATACAACCCTCATCCACAAAACAACATTTCTTGGCGACATGTTGATAGCAACACTTATTATCTCACACATGATCACATTGCCTCGGCAAGCTTGTTGCCTCAAGGGCATCCAGTGCGAAGTGTTCTGGCTGCAGCATCCGTTGAAGGCTTCCTTCGAAGCGCAAAGCATAAGTTCAGCGAAGAGGTTCACGCCTACCCTTCTTTCGGAGCTGATCTTCTCCAAGAAACTAGGCTTGTCCTACATAGGGTGGAGCCCCTTCGGGCTGCCACTTTTGAAGACCCTATTAGCGGAAAAAGATCAGAGCTAAACTCGAACGTATTTAACTGGGAGTAAGCCGGTTCCATGAATGAAAGGTTTCCTCATCAAGGGCGTTTGTGTATACAAGACAAGGAATATTGGCATCTAAGAACGTGGCTCCTGGCAAAGTCAAGCTGTCGGAATCCCAAAGTTGGCAAGATATGCCAAAAGCCTGGGCCATCGTAGACCAGATCCCTACTGTATCAAGTAGTCCATCATATACACTTTCTGTAGTACTGTGATAGAAGGAATGACCGCGGACCATTCATTTCACCGCCAATCGCACCTGCTAAAGACGTGTCTCTTGAGCTGCATCACGTGGTTATAGAAGCATGTTAGATATTTTGCTAATATGTAATTTCTAAGCAGGTAGAATCTCTGCAATCAAAGTAGGTTTAATAGGTAACGCACGAATAGCCTTTTCGTACACCTGCCACAATAAATGCAGCGAGGCGGGCTTCGCACTGCAAGATAGTCCGCTTGGGGATTGGCAAATACCAAGGCTTGGCCCTTCATTTCAAACCAAAAAATTTCCCTCCGTTCACCATATGTGGTGAATTGTGTAATGTACAGGAAGCGAATACGAGAGTCCTCGTGAGTGATGATGAGCAAAAAGTGCAAGCCTCGTAAGAAGAAAGCGAGACGAGCGTTTATAATCACGCTTCTATCTTCTATTGTCTGGACATCGAAGTGGGCAACCCATGTAAATTAGGCTCGAGGGAGGCTAGCTGGCGATCTTGCCAGATCGCCTGATTACAAAACAATTCTGATTAATTAACGTTACGGTAATATAACGATGACTCATTAATAGTGATACAATCAATACGATAATAGTTCTGCCAGAATTATTAGACGGTGAGCCAAACCGGCCTAGTGCGTGTCGGAATTAGTTTATCCGAATCAAGAAGTAAGAGTATGGAGGTATAACTGATTTCGAAAACTACTGTATCACCCAAGTTGGTTGACCCGTCTGATTCCACCGCCACCTGTTCCGGGTTTGAGCACAATGTTTCCTGGAAAAGATCAAAGTACAGATATCTTCGGATTAGCATCTGAATGATCAATCAATGAAAAGATCAAACAGGAGAGTCCTCAGGCCAGCGCCTGTCCACGGAGTTCAATTTTCGAACTGTCCTGTTTACCGCTCTGATAAGCAGATAGGTCTCGAACGTTTGATGACCGCTTTCTACCGCTGCGTAGTTTGATATTGTTCTGCTTCAGAAAGTCGTCCGCAACCTGCTCCGCTGTTGCTCGGAATTGAACAAGTTGCATTCCAGATTCCCAGGGAGATGTCACGGACGTAGGCGAAGACTCTGGTTTGATTGTGGTCTCTGAATCCGTGCTGTATTTGGGGATTTCAATAGAATTCGAAGGCCCTGGTGACTCATCTTTCACAAATCTTTTAATACTTTCGTCCAAGTCATCGCTGAAATCTATGATATGGGCGTCGTCCATGTTAAAGTCGGCCTTGATACCAAGCCCGTCAGCCTCATCGAGATCGCTATCGGAGTCGATACCGGAGTCAGCCAAGTTTGAAAACGGGCTTTTTGACACCAGATATTTGTCTTCAGAGTCTGAGGGGCCGTTTGAAATGGTCTTGGAAGTCGGTAGAAGATGTAGTCTGTCAACTTCTCGTTGACGCTTCTTTGATTCTTCGCTCTCTTTAGCCGCAATCAGATCTAGCTCTTTGCGTTGCACTTGCTCAAGTTCTCTTTTCTTTTCCCGATAGGCCATGGCTGCAAGTCCATCTGCCACCCCAAGTCGGTAACTGAATGTGGGTGTGCCGCCTTTATAGGCACCCGCCCAATCCAGGATTTGGTTGTGAGCGAACTGAAACCCCATCGCTGCCGCAACAGTGTTCTTGGCAATTCCAAAAAACGTCCACTGTAAACTCGTGCCAAAATCGGTCGAAAAGGATTTGCAGTCGAATAATGTACCCATTGTTGTCGCCAACTTCATCGCGAAAGCCTCCTTTATAACCCTTTTCGACGAGCTCGCGGTCCTTACAATGCTCACAACGCTCCGTCCACCATAATGTGCCTTATTGGTGTTGTCATCACTGGCCATAAGGTCCGCTTGGGTCACATTGTGCTGGCTCATGAGCCTTTGAGATAGAAAGAGGGCGGCTTTGGCTTCCGCTTCTGACGTGTTGGCATGGTAGGCGCGACTTAGACATTTTTGGATCCGATCCAGAATCCTCTTATCGACAGTTGATGTAGCCTGGCTTTGACTTTCGTGAGCAGTTTCAATCACGGTTGCTTTCTGAACAGGCTTTCTGGCGGATCTCTTTCTTTCCGTTTGGGAGGGATGGGCGGCCATTCCGGGTATGGGCATGTTATAAGTTGAGGATGAGATAATGATCGGGAGGGAGGGGATAGAGAGACAGAGAGAAAGAAATTTACGCTACCTTTATAGGACCTTTGCTTCACGTGATTCGTTACCTAAAGTTGCTAGTGGTGTCTTCAGGTTGACTCCTTCAGTTGTTGGCGCGCAACCGTGCGCACATTGTGAAGAAAAAGGGCTGATGCGGTTGGGTGTGTAATGCTTCCCCTTTGTCCATCATGTAGAGAGAGCCACTGGAAATAAAAACATAATCATGTTTAAGTATACCCTGGTAAAGGAAAATGGCTGGGAATTTTGAGGGCTGATAATTAATCGGGTCATCGAACGCGGCCACTAGGCGATGTCCTAGTGGCCGCGTTCAACGACCCCACTATAGGTCAAATCAGCAAGCCTACTTGGATGACAAGTCATGGCTAATGGGTAATTTCAACCCCTTCTTTGTTTGATGAAGATGACAGAAATCAGTGACCAACACTGTATGGGTTCCAGAATGGTAATAATAAACTCTTTAACTAACTAAAAACTAAGAAACTGGCAATCTTGTAGGACATGCTGACAAAGAGTAATATGCACTTTTTTGTGAGGTGTCTGATATTGATGTCGTAAGATATTCTGGGTAAATACCCAGAAATCCACATCCAGATCCACCATATCTCTGACAAAAGATGCTAAAATTTCAGTTTGAATTTAGTAGCTTAGAGGTTGGCAGCAAGTGGTTGAGATCATTGGCTTTGATGTTTGCGTACACACACACACAATTCATTAACGCCCGGCGGCTCAGCCGAAAGGGCAACTATCTCTGATCTACTATGCATGTCATAATATATATAGAACTGTAGTCTTGGTGGTCGTGCTTTCCCCCACAACCCTTGTGCAGACATTGTACCCGAGCCAGAGACTGGACCAGCTGCTGCCGACGCCGGAATTTCAACAATTAAAGTTGGCAAGCGAGATTCCCGCCGCCGAGGCAATGCTGTCACATTGGTCCCCACCAGCCACCATGTGGAAGGACTTGCAGTTGGACACCATACCCGCCTGGATCGGGTCGGGCGTGCTGATGCCATTGCCAGCGGTGGTGGTCGATGGGGTGGTCGACGTGACAAAGGTAGTCGAGGTCGTGGTGGTGGTGTTGCAAGCGCCGCCGAAGTTCACCTGGACGCAGTAGTAGAACCCAGCAGCCAGGTTGCAGCCTGTTCCGACTTGGAGGGTGAAAGGGTTCTTTGCAGAGGTTGGTTAGCTCTTTGAGGATGCTATAGAAAAGATGTCAAGGAAGGGATGTGGCTGACGCAAGGCTCAACGTCGGCCTCCGTGACTTCCCACATGTTTTCCACCATCGCACAGGTCATGCCGGAAATTGCAGACGTCCATTTGCTACAGGATGCAGTCGTCCCGGGGGCGGCAGTGCCAGGGGAAGCAACGAGATATCCTGAGGTGAGGCTAGCCGTAAGGCTGACGGGAGTAGCCGTGGTGAACAACATGACTGGCGAGAGAGTTCCAGTTGGCGACTATGGAGAGGTGATACTGAGAGAGCGACCTCCATGGTCATATATTATTCGCATGACTGGTACTCTATTCTCCTTGGCTTTAACTGTTCAATTGTCAAAAAGTACGATTGTCTGAAGACTGCGGGTTGTTAGCGTCGTTGAGGTTACATTACCACCGATATTGGACAGTCTTCTTTGTTTCGTCTAAGCTGACCACATTATGACCTTGTCCGATATCCAATAAATCCAACAATGTCCTTAATTTATTTGCCCCCATTCTTTTTCCACACTTTTCTCCCCAGCAATGTCTGGGATTGAGATCCTGCCCGACGAGCTTATTCTCCAACTCACCTTGCTCTCATCAGAATCATCTCTCGCCGCTTTGGCGCGGACAAACCGCCATCTCCAACAAATCTGCACCTCTATTCTATACCGCCACAATTTGCTCCACAACAACAGCTCCGCTTTAGAATGGGCGGCACAATCCGGCCGTATTGACACACTGCAGAAGGTGCTGAATGCAGGAGCCTCTTTACCCAAGAAACAGGCCAAGGGCGAATCTCGCGAAGAAGGCCCGCTAACCATCCAGTTTGGGATCGAACGTCTGCACAAATTCCACAACTTCCGGCCACATCCGATTTCGCTAGCAGCCCAGGCGGGCCATTTGCACATCGTCCGCTATATGGTCGATCGTGGGGTCAGTCCCAACACCAAAAATCCTGAGTGGTTTACACTGCTGGCACTAACCGCTGCCCATGGCCATGTTTCTCTGACCGAGTACTTGCTGCACGTGGGTGGCAGGCAAAACATTCGCGCTTTGTAACCCTCCGACCTGTGGGGCTGGCAGCAATTCAGGGGCATGGGGATATAGTTGAGCTTCTCCTGTCGGCTCTGCAGGAGATGGGAACGAGGAAAGCAAAGCAGATTTGATGAAAGAGGCTCTTTTCGCAGCAGTGAAGGCGGGGCACGTCCCTATAGTCCGATTGTTGTTTACGCATGGAGTGCAAGTCAACCTCTTTGGAAGTTGTGGTCATTTTCAAGGGACCCTCTGTTACTGGCGGCGACCAATGGGATGAGCGGTTTGGTGTCGCTATTTCTTGCGTACGGTGCGGATCCAAACTTGATACCGGTTTCACGAGGGTCAGAGACACCGTTGAAGGCGGCGGTGACTCAAGGCCATGAGCATCTACTTCTGCTCTTGGTCCAGGGAACGACGAGGCTCCGGCGCACCAGAGTATTGGCCTTCACTGTGACACATGGGATCAGAAGCATGGCGGAGACATTGCTTCGAAGCAGTACACCTCCCCAATTTGATCCATTCGAGATACAGTACCACGTTGCACGGGGTGGGACCACGAGGACTCGGTACAGCCCTTGCTGTTAGTGGTGCTGAATAAGAGGCTAGAGCTAGCAGAGCTGCTGTTGGACTCAAGCGGGGATACAAACGTGCGGTGTACTGAATGCCCTAGGGGCAGATTGAGCAAGCCATTCGACCAATTCCTATTTTGGGCCGTAGAAGACTACCATGAAGCGATGGTAGATCTGCTCCTGGAGCGTGGCGCATACCCGGAGATTGAGGATAATATGGGACGCCCTCCGCTCACATACGCCGTTAAGGGCGGACATGAGGCCGTTGTTAAAAACCTGCTAGATCATGGGGCAAATCCACACCGTGCAGTAGATCATAGTGGCAAGAAATTGTTGTTGTTGGGGCGAATGAAGCAAACTATACGTGCTCAGCTACAAGTGGCGGAGGGGAGATGGGAATGTGCCGGGGTTCTTAGAGCGAGTATCAGGAAAGCCTGTCATTCTGCAGGTGTCTTATCAACATCTGCTCGTTCTATCCTCTCATGATTTTGCAATCATTTTTTGTGGGTGAACGATCACGTAAGACAATATCCTCTAGATTTGCCGTGACACTCGTGACACTAGCTGCCAGGGTTGTTGAGGCTAAGAATTTTTTGTCTCTTCTCTGCCACTATTTTTTCTTCCATTTTTTGGTTGTTTGTTTTTTGAAAGTTGCACCAATCGGTGATCGAAGATGGACCCCCTTTTAAGCGCGAATATCGTCCGTCAGGAAAATGTATGCATAAAAAGTCTCAGGCGTAGGAACTCATTGCATTGCCTCAATGAAATCTTTTGTATTCCAGTCAAGTGCGCTCTAATAACGCGGTGCCTGTATTTTGCCCACAACTTTGCAAAAATGTTTACCTCATCTTTGTTTTCACTCTCAATTGGATGGAGCTAATCAATAAAATGTTCGGCTCTCTGTAGTAGGAGGTCCTTTCTAGACCCTCACTTTGAGCCTGTTTTGGGGGCGTTTTTGTGCTTGTTTGCCCCTCAGGTCCTCGCCCGTTCTGGTAGTTTGAAGTGGGAACATCACTGTCGGGTTCATTAATATGGGATTTTTGACCTAAAATAGCCTGACTAAATCGCCTGGCATCTTCACTTAGCCTCTGACGCTTCAGATCATGGATGAAAACTTTCGAACCACCCTCAAGAGAATCATGTCAATACTCTGTGTGTGAACGTATACTCTAGTGCATGTAACAGATATTTAAAGCCGCAAAGTGTGCCCCTCATTCCTTTAATTCACGTCAAAAAATACATCATCCGTGAGGTCTTTCGAAGATGCATTTTTTCTTGACAGTAATTCTAGCTATAATTCAGGCAGGCGCCTCTCAAGCCGGGACACTTGAGGTCATAGATAATGATGGACAGTGTCTGATATGGTCCAACGATAACTATGGCTGCACGGGCTACTCTTCGTCTTTTGGCCTTCTCGCTGGAGCTGATTGTTCAGGTGAGCACCTTCATTGAACCTTAAGACCCCTATTTACATTTTTCTAGAGCTCAGTAAACTTGTCAAGGGCAATCGCCACAATTTTAACATGCTCACTGTCGACGTATGCGGTACAGAAGACGGCTTGCCTGTTGCTTGGCTTCAGGTGAATCACACGGGATGGGTCACTTTTACCAATAAGAATGGGAATCAAGCGTCCTGTGTACTTAATGACGGATTAAAGACCGGTAGCTGGTGTGTTGCGATTGACAAAAGGGACAAGCCGAATTTACTCTCCTACTCATCTATCAAAAAAAAATCTACCAGCACTCCTCTATGTACAAGCACTTCGTCTACCACTCCGTCTACCACTCCATCTACCACTCCGTCAACCACTTCGTCAACCACTTCGTCAACCACTTCGTCAACCACTTCGTCAACCACTTCATCAACCACTTCGTCAACTACTTCATCAACCACTCCGTCTACCACTCCGTCTACCACCACTTCTACTACAAGCACTTCGTTCACCACCACCTCTGAAACCACGATCACTAGTGTGATTTGGGTCACAGCATAAGTAATCAACAGGCGGCAAACGAGCGGTCAGGGATATTCAGACTAGGAGGATGTCGGGAAAATGTGAACGCGGGCGGAAAGATGCGAGGGTTCATGCGGTAGCCCGGCGCAAAAAGTATGAAGAATAAGCAAGAAGATTGAGTAGTACGAGATTTTTCATGATATTAATATTGAGAGCCAACGGAATTTACGTGTTCACTCCATTTTCCGCGTTATCCTAATCTATTAATACTGTATTTTGTTGACCGGCTATTTGATATCTCGCCATTTGCGCTTTTTCTTTTTCGGTAGTATAAATGGAGGAATATTTTAATTAAACTAGGAAATAGGAACGCAGCCTGAACATTCAGTCTCGCAAAATCAATGACACTTATTTCACTAGACAGTTTTCTCCCTTGATTGGCCCACCCTCAAATATGGCGAGCGCGAGGAGGAAGAAAGTTTTTGGACTATTTCGTAACCCTCACCCCTGCCGTATTCAAATATTTTCATCAAAGCGTTGTGTACTGTAATATACGAATCATGACCCCATCGCTTGAGTCATAATCAGTTCAAAATAGTTATTTTATAATTTCCTCGATACTGCGCTTCCGTAACGACCCTCACGATGAGCCTGTTGTGATTGTTTGACCGTGAGAGTTCGTAGTGATTAGCAATGATTACTTTGCATCGAGTCAAGTGGGTCACGAGCTGCGTGTATCGGTCTGTAATATTTGATTGTAGATATAGTTGCCTACGCGTCCTAATGCAATGGAGATAATGTACGTCTGAAGGTAAAAGCTTCTCATTGTTCTTTCAGTTATGAGTATAAATTTACGCTCCTCCTTCCGGTCTTCCGCATTCTTTTGACACGCATGCATCATTCTCTTCGCCAGTAACGATATTGGGCTTACCAACCTGACGTCTTGCGGTCATGGAAGACAACTCCGAGCTCGAATTGTTCCGCGGACAGTGGCGCGAGGAGCTCTCAGATCAATCGAGGCCCGAGGCCTCTCCTGCTACGGCTTCAGCCCCAGCTGCCCCGCCTCGGACTAAGAAGAAAAGGCCGATCGCGACATGGTCCATCCATGTATCAAGCTCTTCATGATGAGGTATCAAGCTTGCTAGTCGAGGCAGATCTTCAATTTGAATTCTGCGAGGATGATGAGACGACACACACTTGAATGCGTGACACAATCATTATGGGCCGTTTTGTGTGCCATAATCGAGCATGCAGATGTAAAGGATGGCCGAGCAATATGATCGCTATCACTATACGTCTTTATCCAGGGAAAAAATACAATGCTAGGGTATACCACCAACGCTGCAAAGTTTGCAGCGCGCTTAGTCGACCGGTTTTGGATCAGTCATTTGCCGAGAGAATTGTTTATTGGATTAAACAATGGAACGGAGTTCGGGTAGAGATGCCTCCAGTATCCCGCGACAGCAGAGGTCCTCATGAACGTCAACTTTGCGAAAAGGTGTAGAGCTAAGCACTGCTCCCAATCAGGGGAGGATTGAATTGCTCGGCTAGAAAGGTTTTTCACTCCCAAGCCAACACATGGGATGATTGACCGCGTCTGGTGTGCAGGCCAGGCTGTTCCCTTCACAGATCGTAAGGAAAGATGCACAAAAATCATCGAGTCCATTTCCAATGGGACTCTCTTTTAGCAGGCTTTCTAAGACATCGTCAGCCATGACAGCACTGCAGTGTCCATAGAGATGCCGATTACAAGCATGGGAATAAAAGGGCAGCGCTCAGGAAGGTCGCGCCATTAGTAACAAAGCGACTCGGAAATACATTTGACCGATCACTAGTCCACAGAGGCTTTAAAGCTCGCCGCTCAAGACTCGAATGTTACTGAGCTATGCATGTTGAATTCAATGGCCGTACCATTAGATGGCATTTTGCGGTCGCGCTCCAATCATCTCTCTGTCTCTCGAGCGTTGCTTGCTTGGTCATCTCTAAACATGTAAGTTAATCAGGGGTCGAAAGCATTTACCAATGGGATGAGTCATTTTTGCTAGTCTCCCCCACAGCAGTTTATGTGGTACAATAACCAAAGAAAATGACTAAGCATTTACCACGTGATCTATTGTTCCGACAAGTCATGTGTATCACGTGGCTATGACTCAGTGCGCATATCAAGGGTAACGAGATAGTAATTAGATTTTATGCAAGCCATAGCGTCCTCAATACCGTACGATCACCGAGTATTGGTCCCTAGCACCGCGGAGAGGTGCTGCACGTTACCAAAGTGAGCACAAAAGTCACCTCACGGGGCTTAGGGCAGTGAGGGCGGCAGGAAGCTTGCTCCTACTCTCAAACGTGGGCGCGTATAGCTTTTTTGTATAAAAATTACGGGACTTGACAAGTACTATTAGCTCACCAGCCTCGCGGGGATAATATAACTCATTATGGACGCTTACTCACGAAGATGATGTACTCAAAATGGTGAGGTAAACTAGATCAATTCCAGCACTGCACTTCCTAAATACATAAATTGTATTGAATGAATTTCACGCTGATCAAACTACTTTAAGATGAGTGGATCTCGACACTGATAGATACATTATCCATTGTTTGAGAGTTTGGCATGCGAATCAAACGCGATGCACGAAACCGGTCTTTAAACTGCCTTCACAAACATCTTCGGTGGTTCAGAATCTCCTAGTCAATGAATAAATCGAGTCTACTGGGAGGCTCAAATGAAAGTGAGAGAGGTAAATCAGACACCGTCTCGCGAGCCAAGACAGTACGAGCTGTGGATATCGCTTAGGTGTCACAGAGGTTTCGCAGTCGCGCGTCACAAGAACAGCCTAACAACGAGAGCGGCGATGGGTCCTGATAAGCTACTACTTCCTGCATTTCCTTAGGTGAAGCGATGAGCTCCCTTGGTAAGTATTGCTCAGATATTCTGTATTCAAAGATACAGTACAAACAAACAATTCATTAACGCCCGGCGGCTAAGCCGAAAGGGCAACTATCGCTGATCTACTATACATGTCATAATATATACAAACAAACAAACAAACAATTCATTAACGCCCGGCGGCTAAGCCGAAAGGGCAACTATCGCTGATCTACTATACATTTCATAATATATACAGTACTGTGTCTCATCAGAGCCCATACATGATTGCATTCAGAGTATGTCGTCTCAGATGCTCGTATCGCAGCGGATTCTCGTGGGTTAGTAGTTTGTTAGTAGGCTGACTTGAAGGCGCTTCTCCAAGTGTTCAACATCCTATCTTCGGCAGTTGAAGCGCGTCTACCGTTTGTAGCACGAGGTGATGGGTGAGTAGGGTCGAAAGAGGGGGTGTGGGAGTTGTGTTGGTCGATATGTTTAAGTGGCCTCGAGTCGGCCTGTCGCAATGGCGAAACGTATAGAGGCCCGTACTGCCTCTAGGTTTGGCATCCACTTCTGATCATCAGAAGGCTGTCTCCCTCCTAGGAAGAAGGAAATATTTCCGCGGTGAATCTGGGTGCATTGTAACATTTCCGTCCGGTGGGCAGTCCACTTCCGACATCGGAAGAGGAAGTGCTCCACGGTCTCTCTCGCTTGTCCGCAATCGCATTGGTCCGTTTCTGCTACATTGATTTGATTGAGATACCCATTGAGTCTAGCCATGCCAGTCCGGAGTTGGGCTAGCACAGTCGCTTCTTTCCACGATAAGCGATCATACAGCAGTCGTGTGTGTTTTCCTGGAAGTGCTGCATCTACAGTATTCGTTTGGCGTGTTTCCCAACGTTCATTGGCAGGCTATGTCCAGGGACTGCCTGAGACCGTGCGAGATTAAGTGTGGTTGATTTCATTCTCGGGGCGCGTTTTTGTAAGGGGGCATCTTGTTGCGTTGCGGCTCGCGCCTGTGCTTTAGCCAGACCTAGCAGCTTGTTGTCTTCACTGGTGGAAATCCAGCGGAATTTGACACGATTCCCGTTTCTTTGCAACTTCTTAATCGACTTGTATATCCGACACACGAACTCCTGGCCGGATTGTTGTCGGGGATTCCTCAGCGTGAGAACCGCCGCTTTGTTGCTTGTGAGCAGTGTGATCGTGTGGTCTTTCAGCCCCGCCAGCGTGCCCAATACGTGTGCCATGGCTGCCAGTTCTGCAGAGAATGGATTCTGCTCCGCTCTTGCAGCCAAGGTGATGGACAGCGCTTTATGCTTGAGCTTTCGAATTGGAGGTGGCCGCTTCTCGATGGCCACTCCAAACCCCACCAGTTCGTTCCGTGCCGAGCTGCTAACTGCGGTCTGCACGTACTCGCCTGCTTCGGCCGGGGACTCGTGCTGTCCATCAATGTCAGTCTGAACGCGTTCCGCCCACGGGGCTAGCGTGAAGGGGTTAATCGTTTCCAAAGTCTCCATGTCGATCTGCTTAAGCGCATCGGCTACGTGATATAACGGTGAGCGGTGGTATCTTCTGAACTTTCTGATCTGATCGGTGCACCGGCGGAGAGGATTGGTATCCGGCAAAGTGTGGATGAAGATACAGTACTGTATCTTCTTCTCACACAGAGCCTCTCCGCTTTTTTTTTGAATAGGAAACCCCCCTCTGGAGGACTTATTTTTCCCCGGCATAGTGCAGCATGAGCTATCTCGGCGGATGCGGGCAGAATGATTAGAAGATAAAACACGGCTGGGTCACTATAGTAGTGAGGTTTATTTGAGGACGGAGCCTAGTTGAAAACAGAATGAAGAAGATGCACTGTGAACTATATAAGGCGATTCGATGCAAGAACAGTTGCTTGGATCTATTTACTTTTCGATGGCAGAAAATACCAGCGATATTTGGATGGGCTTATTATTGACAGCCCTACCAGAACTAAATAGCACCCTCACATTGTTCTAGCTGTTTTGAACTTAGTTATTATCATTCAAAAATTAGCAAAAGCAAATCATGATTTGTGATGAGTTCAAGCATGCGATGATACGTATAGTACCTCGAGAGGAATATAGATGCAATTTTATCACGGGCAACAGAATCAGAACATTTTTAAAAGACTAGAAGGTCTGAATTGTGGTGGACTGTGCGTCAAGGGCGTCAAGGCTCAAAAATAATAACCTAGCTCTAAAATGCAAGTAAGGCAATATTCAGTTCAAATAAGTCAGTTCGCCCAAATTTGCGCACTTTGGAAGTGACACCGGCGGCATGTGAGCTGAGTGCCTGCTTCCGCACAAATCAATCGGTCCGTGGGCTGCACTGATGAGAGCTATCCCACGAGAAAACGATCACAAGTTACTGATTTATTACTTTCTCTTTTTTACCGGTTCAAAGGGGCCAGTCATTAAGAATAATTGAATGTAGCTTTGAAGTAATCAGTCCCAGACATATATAATTCTCGGCCCCAGCCAGTCGCCAACATCACCACACTTGCTTGACTTAGAGTCGCGCAAAGTCCAACATGCGTTTCCTCAATTACCTTTTCTTCATCGGAAATGTTGTGACAGGCAGTTACTTGGCTATCATTGAGGACACTGACGGCGAGAACAACTGTAGAGTGTGGTCTCAGAATAACCACGCCTGTACAGGCTACTCAGCAACGTTTGCTAAGCTGGAAGGAAAAGATTGCTCGAGTGAGTACGACATTTCAATCGAAGGCCCTCAGGCCGTGCCTAACACCCTTCAGGTTTCATTGGTGCTGGTTCCGACGATAAGTCGGTGAAAGTTGATATATGTGGCACTGAAAATGGAGAGCAGGTTGCTTGGGTGACAGTCAACAAAAACGGCACTGTTTCTTTCCTCAACCGACAGGGAGACACGTCTAGTTGTATGCTAGAAAACGGTCTTGAAGTACCCAGCGGATGTAGCGTCGGTAACACAGTTTCCTCTCAGGCGACTACGCCGATCTCTACAGGCAGTCAGACCTCGTTCTCAACTGCAATTGGCACTTCCACTTTTGAAACAGCCCGTGCTGATCTATCTCCTACCCCGATATTCACCCCGACGCCTAAAGACAGTCAATCTTTGGCTTCAACTTCAGCCAGTGAATCGGCCACTGAGACACCCCTTGCAGATCAATCTCCAACTCCGGTATTCACATCTACATCTACAAATAGTGAATCTTTGGCTTCAACTTCAGCCGGTAAATTTGCCACTGAGACACCCCTTGCAGAGCAATCTCCAACTCTCACGCCTACCCCGGCATGCGCATGCTCTTGCAAATCTGCAGTCATCTGATGTGGGTAGAACTGCACGCTGAGCATGCATCCATTAGCTACATATGATTGTCCGAGGTACATGTATATCAATATCGCATTGCCAGTGCAATTTGCCGGCTAATTAGAGATTATCAGGTTTAGTGTTGTTGTGTTTGCTGGCAGCTTCTCTCATCATATCTTGCACTATAGATGGAACTATAAATGCACATTATGCAAGAGCTGAATGACTATTTCTTACATCCCATTTTGCATTGAAGTTAAACATACAAAGAGCAAATATATGGACCTAGATCCTTGTCCACAACGTCTTTTGTACAAGAGCCTTCTGACCGTTTACAGGATGCTAAATCTATGTTTTTATTTTGATTTATTGAGTGGACGGCGAGCAGGGGACCAAAATATGCGAACAATTCGATTTTTGAGGTTGCTTACGAAATACATATTTTACCAAACTTTGAGCAATTTAATAAATTCCTCGAACCCTGTCACTCACCACCCATGATCGCGCAACACTTCAGCCAGTACATCAATCGCTCATCCTGACACATTTTCATTTTCTGTTCGCTGACGTTTGCCGAAGACATGACTGAACCACTTCAATGTAAAGCTGGAGACGCGTTCAACGACGTGTCGAGTCTGCTGAAAGGCTCAACCGAAGGTGAGAGAGGTAAGCCAGACATTGTATCGCGAGCTAGGACGGTCAAGGCCGTACTAGACTTCGCTGAGGCGTCACAAAGATTGAAAAGTCGCGCGCTATGAGGGCAGCCTAATGTCTTAAATGGCACCTGGGCCACGATAGACCTTGACGAGGCTCCAACTTCGTTTTCAGGAAGTGGGACATTACACATTTACATACAAGCATATCTATAGTTGCTATATCCTGCATATCACCAAAAGTGAGAGGTCAGGGTAAATGATATCATTCATCCATCTGACTGTACCTTTAGCAGCCTTGAGCGATCGATAGATTTCCGTCTAGGAGATTGGATGCCATCGGATCTCTATTGGGGCATGAGCGAGTAAATGTTATACATTCTTGTTATCCATCGATTGTACAGTACATTTCATTACCAAAGCTCCATCCGTCGAACCAAGAACATGTATAGCAAGATAATCTGAACAGCTAATTTTGACATGTGTAAGACGTAAAAATAATATAATATCTATGCATGTATGAAGGATATTCAGTTGATTGGCGATCACGGACGAACACAATCTTCGTCAACATAGCAGTGTCTTATGGAGGCCAGTTTATTTTGATTTCACCACACGGTCACTTATACCCTGACCAGTCCGTGTGTAATATATGTGTCAAAGAGGTGCCTGAATGGGCTCGCTTAACCATTCGACTCCTCACCCGCCCTTTAGGTATCATTTTTTACACCCCTTAGTCACTGGCCTCAGGGCAAAATCAAAGGAATCACAGCAAGTGGCACTCAATCTGCCCCAGGCTGGTTATGCTGGAGGTAGAACGGATCAAATTTCAACAGACTTTAACTGGTTCCAAGACGTTCGCACAGCATGAAAGTCGACATTTCGCCAGATCGAAGCAAATGAACAGAACACGAACTAGATGTAACAGACCAAGGAAAAATGCCTCTCCCAAGGGCAGATCTTAGCTTTTTGGAACTATACTTGTTAAAAAATAGTTTCCAGAACTACGAAGAGGAGCCTGTGGTGGAGTCTGTGGTGACGCTGGAGGAAGCGATAAGCCGATCGTGTTAGATAGCAGCGACAGACCCGTGCAGTTTATTGATGGCATTCAAGTGGCGATATCCCATTCCAATAATGCTCAGAGGACGCACATGTGGGCTTGTCTAAAGAGTGTGACGGAATGCACTGTGGTCTACTCTCATAATAAATGGCATAGTGATGGTATGGACGCTGCAATTTTGTGAACTTTATTGAGGGTTGATAATGCCCTACTGTATGGCAAGATGACCAGGAGATTGTCTGACGACCTCGAGTACAACTAATCTGGCTTCTCGCTGTCTCAAAGCCATTAACGACAAGACTCTCGTTTCCCAGAGCTTGCTAGACCGACCCATGCCATCGGACACAGCTTCGACAGTTCTTCACCATGCACTTTGTCCTTCCTTTTATGCTGGGTCTGGCGCAGCTGGCCAATGCCTACAATCCTTCCTTGACCAAGATCAATGCAACTGACATTGCTACTCGTGACGTTAATGGATATCGCTCTGTGGCCTACTTTGTGAACTGGGTATGAGTCTCATCTATATACGCCCCCACTAGATCAGAGCAACTAACTCAACATCATCAGGGCATTTATGCTCGCAACTTCCAGGCTCAAGATATCCCTGCTGAGCAACTGACCCATGTTCTCTACGCGTTTGCCAATGCTCATACCTCTGGTGAGGTAATCCTGTCGGACACTTGGTCAGACACTGACAAGCATTACTCCACTGATTCCTGGGCTGATACCGGGAACAATGTCTATGGCTGTCTCAAGCAGCTTTTTCTACTCAAGAAGAAAAACCGTAAGCTCAAGGTTCTTCTGTCGATTGGAGGATGGAACTATTCTTCCAACCTCAGAACAGCCTTTGAGACTGAGTTGGGACGCCAGAATTTCGCTAATAGTTCTGTCGAACTGCTGAAGAACCTGGGCTTTGACGGTATTGATATTGATTTTGAAGTGAGTGAGTTTGTTATCTTACTTGACGGCGTTTGATGCTGATATCAGATAGTACCCTGCCAATGATAAAGAAGCGGGCCAATTTGTTGATACCCTACGTCGTCTTCGTGAGGTATTTTTATGCTTATCTTTTGCTGACACTACTGACATCAATGCTTTCAGGCCCTTGATTCGTATAGCTCGACCAACGTAGGGGGCTATCATTTCTTACTGACTACTGCATCCCCTGCTGGTACGTGCCGTTCCTTTGAAACATCTCAAATAATTAACCCCAATTCCAGGCCCTTCCAACTACCAGAGAGAGCACCTTGCCCAAATGGATCAGTACCTTGACTTCTGGAACTTGATGGCCTACGATTATGCCGGATGCTGGGACACTGCTGCCGGATGCCGAGGAGTCGTTGCTGGCCACGCTGCCAATCTCTATGCATCCAGTGGCAACCCCGCCAGTACTCCGTTCAACACGGACCAAGCAATCAATTACTACACATCGCATGGAGTTACCCGTGGCAAGATTGTCCTGGGTATGCCTCTATACGGCCGGGCCTTCACTGACACAAACGGCCCTGGTCAACCATCCAATGGTGTTGGTGCTGGGAGCTGGGAGAACGGTGTGTGGGACTATAAGGCTCTGCCCCAGCCCTACTGCGCGGTCACAACTCTGGACCAAGAAGCTGCTAGCTACTGCTATAACTCAGACTCGCATCTCTTCATCAGCTATGATACCCCTGAGATTGCGCGTAAGAAGGGCGAGTACATCAAGTCTAAGGGCCTTGGTGGTGGTATGTGGTGGGAGCTCAGCGGTGACAAACAAGGTGATGGCAGTTTGGTCGCCACAGTACGTTTCGTTCATATTTGATAAATGGCCATCGTACTGATTTTGAACTTTGCAGGTTGTGGAGACCCTTGGAGGCACTGGCGCTTTGGACAAGAGCGAGAATCAGCTGAGCTATCCCGCCTCCAAGTATGACAATCTGAAGGCCGGCTTCTAATTTTTCTATGCTTTTCTGTTGCTATTCCATCCCTTGGGACAAAATTTCCCTAACCTTGGCTGTGGGAATTTGGGGCTTTTACATTGTGCGAGCTATCTAAATTTTCTTGATTCTTGATGAGACTGGCTTTTGTGCCTGGTCACAATGACTTGTTCCGCCGAATAAAAAAGATCTTTCATCCTTGGCATGGTACGGACGCTGCCAGATTGCCAGGAAAGAGCGCATAAGTTTGCACGTTGATTTGCTCAGCTCGCAATTGTCCTCGTATCGGTGGCGACCAAGAAGCTTAAAATCCCAGAATTTTTTACTTTTCTCTAATGTTATGAGAACTTTTGGGATCCTAGGTGTGATATTATGTCTCTCTGAGCTGCAATGATTCAAGAGCTCCTAAGCAATATCGTTTGGTGGGTGGCTAAGGGTCAGGGGAAAAAACTATGGCTGTGTCCATAAGCTGCTGAAAACCGTGAGAATTAATTCAGGTCGGTAAACTGAGGATGATATTAGGCACCCCTAGAAACACCATACTTGTGATAGTCCAAAAAAGGAGATTGGGAAATTATCTATATATTGAGCAGCACCTTTCTTGGTGGCATTTTCCCAGAAGTTACTAACAGATGTGTGAGGGTCTCACGTATACATAGAGGCAGGTAGTTTCTCGGGCTGAAGTTGACTCTAGATACAAGACGTAGCGCGAGGATGCAAAGGAAAGGTGGCTTCCTGGCGTTCAGGGGAACCCATATACACCATGCGGGTCCCGCGTAGATCATATCTCTATCCTTCATGTATGTCCGTGACAGTCTTCCAGAAGGCAATTTAATTCCTAGAGATTTCTCTTCGGGAAACGGCACTGTTCCGGAGCTATTTCCCTTCAAAATTGTTCCTAGAAGTGACCACAGCGACAAGTAGAAGCATTTTATGCTGGAGTGGGCAAATAGATGGACTCGAGTCTGGAGTTCCTAGGAATGCCTAACCGTCAGTTTACTGTACCTGAGTCAATTCGTTCTCGCAGTTTCCACCAGCCTATAGGCACATAGTCATATAATCGTCTTATTTTGTTGGTACATGAAAGGCCGATCAAATCTCCTAGGAACCTATATCTATAGAACTGCCGGGCCCACTCATTGGCAAGCCACCTGCCAACAAGGCCCTTGATTTCAGGCCACTTACTTTTCAAATCGAACTATATAATTACACTGGTAATAGCCGCTGTTATTTGACCGGCTTGTCACACGACTTCTTCACAGACTCATCATAAGAGTTTGGGTATGTAATTCATCTGTGAAAGAGAGCGGTTTTTTGACCGGTGACAATAGATTCGCTTTTCCTAGCGCCTAAGCCCAGAGACATCAAGCTGTTCCAGTTTTGTTTAAAAACGAGGTGCAATGGCTAACTCCGAGATGTCAGGCTCTGCCTCCAACCCTATCCTTATCGATGATGGCGACAGCATTGGCAAGCAATACAAATTAGAAGAAAACGACTCTGATGGAGATACTGTGCGGTTGAGTACACCTGAGTTTTGGGCAAATGTGGCAGGTGGAGGCCATCCCGTTCCATGTAATGCACCTGCATTCACGGATTCACCCTCTGTTTTGACGCCCTTGAAAACCTTACGCGGCCAAGGTTTCGATAGCACTTGTTCCATTGGTTCTGATTCAGCCACCTGTGCCTGTGGAGAGGAGAAAACAAGTGAAGCCGCTCATACTACAAAAAGCGAAGAAAGTGTGTATATCAAAGCGATAAAAAGGTTCCTGTAATTCTGTTTTACTAACGAGGCTTACAGCAGGAGGCCTTCGAAACAGCCATGAAAGCCCTAACCATCTTAATAACGACAATCCATCACCACAACCTTTTCGACAAGTTACTCGCAAAAGAAAATCCGATCAAGAGCATCAACCTACGAACAGACGATCAAGGCGCCTCGAAGAAAGAAAGTGAGCGCATAAGCAGTGTTTTCATCTTGAAGCACCAAGTGAACTACTTTGCGCTTCATTCCAACCTTGTAAGCATCGGCTTGCTGGTTTAGGACAAGCCTGCGGTCAATCCGATACTTTACAGACCCTCAAGTTCCGAATCCAAATGGGATGTGCCTAACTGCACCTACAGTTCCCAGCAATCAGAAATTTGGAAGCCTCAAATTTCGCTTTCAGAATCGATTTATTCATATAATTGTGACAGGCTAAATATCTCGTCTTTGCAAGGGATCCGGGCGACGTATATGTATTATGTTTCAATATGCGTTCCGAAGCCATTTCCAGTTTCATCACTTTTCTCTTTATATATGGAATGAAGATCGTGCTAGCCCAAGATATCCCCCAAGCACACATAGAACGGCCCCGTGGGTGTCAACAAGGGTTAGTCAAACGAACACTTCGCAACGACCAACCTACCGCTATTTCCGGTCCCCATTTTCTCCCAAACGCCGCGCTGAACGACCCCGTCTCCATCCAGAACTCTTTCCCTCAACCTCGGGTTTCATCTAAGCGTTCATCTCTTGCTCATAGTCAGGAAGGGGAAAATTCCATGACTGAGACCACTTCGGTCGACCTTAGAAGCTCCAATGTCTCTCACCGTACCACAGGTACTACAATCATTGGTGACGATCCCGCTGCTACCAACAATGCAGCGCCCAAGGGAATCAGGGTTTCGCGTACTGACAAGACTGGCAAGAATTCCGAGACTGCATTTACCGACATGGGAACTACAAGCAAGCAGAGGCCAGCTTTTGTCTCATTAGTCACTGCTTCAACGAGACCTGCTTTATCTACTATACCAACATCGCCCCGCGACAGTCTCGTAGGTGACGTGGATGCTGGTGTACACAAATTCGTTGGTGGGTCGACTAGCAGCTCCATGTCCTGGAATGTCTCTGCTGTTACTCCCTCTACGGACCCCTTGGTCAAGGTGCTAAATACGTCGGGTTCCTATGCTCGGGCTACATCCACCGCGTTCTTGCTGGGTAGTTTGAATTCGGGTCTGGACAGCCTCCTCGGTTCCCCGACCAGTGAACCTGACTCTGCGAGGCTCACTAAAGTCAGCTACCCTAGCAATCAAACTGCCAGCTGCAGCAACTCCAGCAACTGCAAATTTCTAGGCCAGATTATGACAAGCTCCGAATCGGAATTCTTTGACCCATTGGGCCTGACTGATAAGGCATCAACTGGAAGCAGCACCTCGGACACCTCAAGGTCATCTTCTACCGCTTTCAGTCTGTCGAACGCTCCAGACGCCTTGCTTGCTTCCGCAACTCTCTTGCTCTCACTCACTACCTCTCCCATTGAGACTTCAGTCTCTAGTGGAATGCTCGACAAAGACCCATCCGGCGTAGGATCTTTGCCTAGTACTGGTTTCCCAGAGGCTAGTTTCACTGCTCTTACTATGACAGCCTCGATGCTCGACGGCAATGTGTTGTTTTCAAAGTCGATCCTTCCCACTCCTGCTCTGAAGTTGGGAGATAGTGCTACTGCCTTTTTCCTTACCCCAACCGCCACCAGTGCAGCGATCCCAATACCAAAGTTCTTCAACTCGGGTTATTCCCCAATTGCTTCGACATCTGTCAACAGCCCTGGCACTGGCTTTGGCATTAGCACATACTTTAGCACCGCGTCAGCTTCACTCCAGGGAATCACCGCCTCTGTTTCTAAGAGCGATTCTCCCACCACTTCTGTCTTCCTACATGGATCAACCAGCGATGTGAATTTAACCAAGCTCCGTGTAAATACCGAGGCTTTTCAATCTAAACTGGTCACGCCTATCAACTCCGACGATAATGACTGGATGCCATCTACCCTCCTTTTACTGCCTAGCGTTCCAGCCATCGAAAGCTCGGCCTCCGGTTTGGCCGAGAAGCCGAAGGAAACTCCTATTCCTGGCTCTATCATCCCATCGGACGAAGTTACCGAGGTTCCGTCCGACTCTATCCTGCTTCAGCTTGGATTTGACAGCCAGCTGCCGTGGCAATTTGTTGCAACAACCCCTCTGTCATCATCACAGATCTTCAACTACACCCCTCAGGCTATTGAGAATGCTTTGCCAACTCACTTTGCCAAAGATATCCCAGTGATGTTTGCACTTCAGCCTTACTTTAACTGGCAAACCGTCGGTTATAACGCAACCCTTGCGATCTTCTACTTCCCTCGTGACACGGTCAACACACTAAGAAGTCTCAAGGTCAACCCTAACTCTGCTCTTTACAACCAGACAAATAAAAGTATCAAGTCACTAATGGCCATGGTTGATCCGACAATTCCACTCGAGTTTTCTGGTAACTATCCCATTGGTGACAGCAACTCAACCGTCGGCAGCGGCGGCAGCGGCAGTGGTCGCAACAGTGGCCCGGTGAGTGGTAGTATCAACAGCGATGGCTCAGCCAGTAATTTCAAGATCAACACCAGCTCCATAGGAGTTGGCATCGGGGCTGTGGCCGGTGCTGGCGCTTACGGTGTTGGTATGTTATGGGTTTCCCGTCATTATCGCAGAAGGAAGCGGTTTCACCAGCGCTCCGGCTCTACTGTGAATCACATGGGCCAGGGTGATTCAATTTCGAGTCGGCGCGTCCACAGCCAGGGCAGCCGTGGAAATGCTCGCTCTCAAAATATCAGCGCGCCGAAAATGGCGGAAAATTCGCTAGGGTGGGACTAGACGTGCTTCGATAACGCGACGCCAAAACGTAGCTAGTATTGCGGAATGCCCTACAGGCATGTACTGCGCAGGCAAAAAGCTTTAATTTTAACAAATGAAAACCAAAAGTTGTGCTGTCTGTACATACTGCAGTATTCTTGAATTCAATGGCAGTCACAGAAGTCTTGTATGTATCTTAGTGCGCGGCTTTGCTGTAAATCACCTCTATTTTGTGATAAGCAATCTGCCAAAAGATGACACAAGCTAGGAACGTCTTTTTGCCTAAGTCAATGCGAATCGAAGCTGCAATAGAAACCAAGGCCGGGATACTATTAGGCCGCTGGAGGACCTGGTCATCTGTCTCAGGCCAATCCTGTAAGAGAACTATATCGAGGATAATATGCACGTTATTATATTGTATAAACCGCAGTTTTGCGATCTTCATCTTAAGACATCGATTATAACTAGGCCCAATTATAATCAATCCTTCGAACTTATGGTTTGATACACGAATGGTAATGTGATGGTGTTTTATGTAGAATTGGACGGTGTAGAGGGAGCCATGGGCATGTAGAACCGGATCCAGAGGCGTTTTGTTTCCGCCCAAGGACCATCAGGAACCATGTCGTGAGGGAATTTTCCATCATTAGAAATCACGCAACGCTCAGCTCCAGCCTTCAGCATGTCTCCAACTGTTTCCCATGCCGTCTCTTTCGCAATTATTCGATGTAATGGCGTGTATCCAAAGTTGTCCTGAGAGTTCACGTCGGCTCCATTTTGAAGGAGAAGCTTTACGATATTATGAACGTTCCTACTTTCAGCAGCATGATGCAGAGGACCTTTGCCTTGCTTGTCTCTCGTATTTGGGAATGCTCCATGTTCAAGTAACATCTTTGTTAACTCCATAGATCCAGTGCGTACAGCCAAGGAAAGAGGTGTGAGCCCATCGTCGTTTCGGAAGTGAACATCGGCTCCAAGCGACAGCAGAGCTCGGACATATTCCTCAGCTTTGATCTTATAATTTCGACTGATAGCGTAGAATATTGGTGTTTCTCTATGCTGGCCGCCGGCCCAGTTCACATCGGCTCCGCTTGTGACAAGCCAGCCAATCATGCTGGGAGGACAACACCAGAACGAACAGGACGAAGCCGCCAGGTGAAGAACGGTCTCGTCATGGGCATTCCTAGCCATAATACTAGCGCCGCATTCAATGAGCGCCTGCGCTTGTTTGAATGCACCCTGTGAGATCGCATGCAGTAGAGGTGTCGCCTGATCAGGGTTCCTGAATTCAAGCTCGGATCCATGCATAACGAGTGTTTGAATAATAGTTTTGTTGTCATTTCGGGGGTTGCTGGGCCTTGTTGCAGCATAGAAAATTGCAGTCCACCCTTCCCTCATGTCCGTGAAGTTTGGATTGGCGCCAAGATGTAGTAGCACGCGCACAGCACGTGTGCAGGAATGTTCAGCTGCTACTTGAAGAGGCGTCCTTCCACGATAGTCTTGGGACTCCACTTGGATACCAGTATCTATGAGTCTCTTCATGATTCCGGGTGTAGCGTTTTTCCAAGCCGCAATATGTAGGAGATTCATGCCAGTCCTGCCTTCCACAACGTGTGAATCAGCCCCATGTTTCAAAAGTAACTCCACTTTACATTCCTGGTTTGACCTTACAGCCTCAAGGAGTGGGGCATGTTTGTCCAGCGCCGCGGAATTGACCCTGGCACCATGATCTAGGAGCAGCTTAGTGATGTCCACATTGCTACGGCCATTTGTCGCCAGAGCTAAGGGCCTTCTGGACCTCGCATCGACCGCATCTGGCAAAGCCCCATTTTCCAGAAGGATTTGTACAGCATGGGTATGCTTGGCGGCAACAGCTTTTAGTAGCGCTGTCGACTGTGCCCGATTTGGCGACCGGAGGTTAACATTCGCCCCTGCCCGGAGCATATTTCGAATTCCGAGTTCGTCTCCACGACTTGCGTACCACAAAAGAGCCGATCCACCATCCAAGCGGACACTCCGTCGGTACATCTCATTGATGAGGAGGTTGTGCAGCTTCCTGCTAGCTCGTGAGAAGCTGGAAAGATCTTTCAGGGAATCAAGATTATTTGCAATGAGAAGGGTAATTTCAGGTGGAACAGAGAGAAGAAACATGACAGAAAGCTTGAAACGAATGGCTAAGCTGCCGCAAGGTATTTATAAGGTTGACCAATTCTCAGTATCGTATTCGGACTCGGCTGGCGAGGAGTTATTGCAGGGGTCTTGTGAGATAACCTCAAAGCAAAAGAAACGTAAAAGAGTAAAAGAGGCTTTCGCGAATTGCCCTTTTTTTGTCTTAGGAAAGGATCTGTGATCTCCACTACCTTTGGCTGGATCAGTGATCTGGCTAAATTGTTCAAAATCGTCTTGTCTTAATCATTTTCCAGATTGAACACTCTGGACAATCCCTGAAATTAATTGGGAAACCTCGAGGTTTGACACCCTGTTAGGCTTTTGCATTATTTGTAAACGATACCATGTGCCAGCTATTGTTTCCCTGTACAACTGCGAGGTGTGATTGGATGTCCCTACAGTAGATAGAAATCTTAGGAACGACATGACAGTATAATGAGAGTCATGACCCGTTCAACTAAAAACACAGTATTGAGTCTCAGGGGGGTCGCTCATTACATACAATAGCCCTATTTCCTTGTCTTGGGAATATACCTGGCTTTTAGCACCTAAATTATAGCTTGTCTACCTTAGCATCTCGAATCAACAATGCCCTCAAAATAAAAATTTTATTTTTCGACATGAAGTCCAAGCATTTGAATGTTGCGTTCCCACCCTGTGTACGTTTCGGAAACACCCAATGAGATGACCTAGTTTCAAATAACCAAAAGAAAGTGGTGGGTCAACTCTATATGTGTAATTTAAATTTCCAGTTTGAGTTGCATTCCCAGTTTGTCATTTAATAAACCTCATCAAGTGATTCATTACCTTGTACCATTATTTTGCCTATATATTAAGACCGCTTCTCTGTCGTTCAGCGGCCATCAAGTTCACACCCAGTTAATTCTATTTGTTCGGGCTGCTAGTATCTGCTGCTAGATCTTCTGAGACACACGTCATGGTTCATCTCAATATCCAACAGCACAATAACAACAATCTTGGGGCGCAAACCCAGGGGAAGGGACTTGCAACCCTTGAACCCGAAGCTGTACTCGGCGAGGAAGACGCGCTAGGTGGCCAAGAGATTTGGAAGTGGGATGCCGATCCAAACAACCCCTACAATTGGCCGACAAAATGGAAGGTTCAACAGGTGGTGATGATTGCCTCAGCGGCATTCACGACGTGAGCCAAACTTGCCCGTTTGTGGAGATTTTGTTTTCTAACTATCAATCAAGCTCACTTGGCGTGTCAATACTGTCACCAGCTCATTCACAGTTCATAGAAGAGTTTGGAGTCAGCAGCACGGCCGCAATACTTCCTTTGTCGCTCTACGTGTTCGCACTAGCGCTGGGACCAGTAGTGGGAGGGCCCTTGTCTGAGACATTGGGTAGATATCCAATCTATATCGGCTCCGTGATTCTTGGAAGTGCATTCACACTTGGTGTTGGTCTCAGTAACACATTTACTGCAGTCTGTGTTTTGCGGTTTTTCGCTGGCCTTTGCTTCGCGACTCCTTTGGCCATTGCTGCTGGAACTATCAACGAAACATTCAGGCCCGCCTCTCGGGCTATCCCATCAACTATCTTTATCCTGACTCCTTTCCTGGGCCCAGGACTTGGGCAAGTTTCTATCCTCATCCCATGGTACCGACAGACTTCCTGACGTATACAGACCTGTCATTGGTAGTTTCTTGGTCAATCGCAAGGGCTGGCGCTGGACCCAGTGGACAATGCTGCTTTTTGCCATATGTACCATTATCACAACATTCACCGCTCGAGAGACCTTCCATCCAGCGATCAAGTTCCGGCGCTCCAAGGAGCTTGGCTTGTCTTTTCCCCGAGCACCGCTTTCTACAAAACTGCGAGATTTTGTCACTGTCGCGCTTCTGCGTCCAGTTCAAATGATTCTTACTGAGCCCATTGTCGCATTGATTTGCCTCTATGTGGCATGTGAATTTGCAACGCTCTTTTCATTCTTTGCTGCATTTCCCCTTGTCTTTCAGGGCATTTATGGGTTTGAGATCGAGGCTTCCGGTCTTGTTTTTTTATCCATAGTTGTTGGATGTTTCCTGGGTGCCATCACTGTGTTGTTATGCGACATATTTATCTACCGTCGCAAGGCGGCATGCTATCACGGAAGACGGGTTCCACCAGAACATCGCCTCTACCCATCATTGATTGGCAGTATTGGGCTACCCATCAGCCTGTTCTGGTTTGGCTGGACTTCACGCGCTGATGTTTCATGGGCGAGTCCTGTTACTGCCATTGTGTTATTCGGCTGGGGGAATATTTGCGTCTTTGTTAGTACAGCCCAGTATATTGTCGACACTTACCATGGCTCGATAGTGGCGAGCGCAATGAGTGCAAACAGCCTGGCTAGGTATGGCTTCGCAGCTGCGTTCCCTCTCTTCACAGTTCAGAGTGAGTACTTTCAATTGTTACTATGACAATCAGTACTGACTTCCAGTGTAGTGTATACGAAGCTTGGGATCGCATGGGCATCGAGCGTACTCGGGTTTATCGCTGTCCTGCTGTTGCCTATTCCTTGGGTTTTCTTCATTGGTGGTGAACATTTGAGAGCGCTAAGCAAATTTGACATGGTGGAAGTGCAAGAGTAATGCTTCTTAGGAATTCGGTATCAAAAGAAGCTTGCGTTGTACATACTATACTGTGTCTTTCTCAGGACAGAGCGTCCTACCAGGACTGTTTCCTACTGCAAATCAAAGCGATCTTTATATAAACCGAGTTCGGGGAGGATGCTATTTGTTGTAGTTTAGAGGTATAAATTGTCTTATTTATTCGGAGGGAAATATGAGGCTATATATACATCGAAAAGATCAAGTTAATTTCCAATCAACTTGGTTCTTCGAATACATACTTCGGGATTAATTCCCATGGTTCGGCATGGTTCCTGATCGGTACCAGCCTCATATCACAACACTATTCATCCCTGGCTAGAGTAGCTAACTATTTAATCCGTGCTATCTGCATTTCCCGTATCTGTTGTGTATAATGGACGAAGATAGAACTGGATGAAGGCAGTTGATCCATACAGTTGAGGAGAGTCGACTGGTCTGACCCAATGAAAATCGGCTACAATCATCACTGACTTCCAAAGCGCCGCCGTGAAATGTGACCTCTAGTGTGTAACCCTCCCGCTTTTACAGCTGTCAGTAAGACGATAGTCTAGCTAGATACAAGAAGGACAAGCAATCATGTATTTTTTTTCAAAGCTCGCCATGCCTTGTGCACTGTCAGCGGAATCTCGAAGCATGACGCACAAGACGTCATACTAACTCGCTGCTGCTGAGAGTGGAACACTGGCAAATTGCGGCTACCAAATATTTTGCGTAGCGTAAGTACCATCGCGTGTCGGAGCGATCACAAAGATTATATAGTGACGTCTCTCGGTGATGAGAAGGAAGCCAAATTACTTTGCGCTCATGCTACATTAGATTACTTACACAATCCAATGACGAGCACTAATCCTTCGGCACATTTCAAGAGAAATTACCACAAATCCTCAAAGGTTTTGACATGTTGAAAGATCATCTTGGATGATCAGCTCTCAATCGCTCGTCATCACCTATGACACGTTCCTGATCGCTCATATAGCGTTTCCGATAGACTCTAATTCCCCTTCAATTAGCCCCTGAAAAAAGAAACAGATTCTTTACAAACTCAGAAACATAGTAGAGATCACTTGTCCGGTGCGAGATCAAAAGTTGAGCAGACAGGACAAAGGCACTTTAGCAGATTGCCGGACACCGGACTGGACTACTTGAAAAAGCAGTCCGAGGTTTTATTGTAATTTTTATTCACACCACCCACATACGTTGCATACTGATATTAATCAATAGATAATCCACGATAAATTCCGCAAGGTACTGTTTAATTCTTTCTCAAAACAATGTTGAACAATGCGGAGCATCAAGCCTCCGCGTTCAGAGACCAAAGACTGAGCACTGTCCAATTGATCCTGTGAAATAAAAGTTCTGAGTGCAAGTGAGACAACACATTTTTGAATAACTTGGGCGTAGCCTCATACGTGGCGAGAGCAACCAAAATGCCATTTAATCCATGATGGGTAAAACAGCATAACAACCAACGTTCTGTCGTTTTCAGATACCGGTGTTCAAGAAAATGGACAGACATATCGAGGTTAGTAGTAACGCAATGAGACTATCATTCCAGCTCTCATGAAGAACAAACAGCTTTTCACGAAATTTATGTATATAACGGCCACATCAACCAAAGAAATTTCCTATAAGACCCTCTACGCTGTTAGTGTCTTCTAATTTCAGCGTCGCAATGTCCACTACTTTTCACAAAATCCTAATGCTTCATGGTATTTTATATTAAATACATTCTCTCGTATGAGCTAACAAGATATTAGGACATGGACAATCTGCAGACATCTTCAAGCCAAAAACTCGCTACGTGCGAGAAGCTTTTTGCGCTCTGTCTAAAGAAATAGTGTTTGAATTCCAGTTTCTTTCCGGTGTGCTACCGGCTTACCCCGATGACAAATTTATCAGGGACCAAAAGGTCTGGGGCTATGGTGAGCCTGATAGTGATAAGATCAACGGGTTGGAGCGGTCAATTCAGCACATCCTTGATACCCTTGAACAAGATGGTCCTTTTAGCGGCATAGTTGGGTTTTCCTCGGGTGCCGCTATGACCGCCATCGTTACTTCAATGCTGGAGAAAAAGCAAACTGTTTGTGGAGATCTAAATATGTTGTTTGGCAAGAATCCCACATCTGACTGGACTTTTCTAGAGACGCCATTCGCAGTTACAATTCGCAATATGTCTAAGCGGCTTCAAGTTAGAGAACAAGTGCTATGAAGGTTTCTATTTTCCTAACATTGTGACTCCGATATTCCACGCCGTCGGCGAATTGGATTCAACGGTTTCTCCCGCACAGACACGGAACCTCGCACGACATTGCTCATACCCATGGTTCTATGAATTTTTCGGCGGTCACTATGTACCCCAAAACAAAGATTTTATGAGCTTCAGCCAATCTCTTCAGAGCTTTTTGAGAGAAGTATTTGGTCTTTATGAAGAGGTCCAGGAGGGCTGGGAGGATATTGATATGATTTACCCAAAACTAAAGCGTGTGGGCCATTTTCGGCATGCATATGTACCAAATACTAATATTATTTGAAGTGAAGACACTGGATTTGCGAGGATTAGGTTTTGACTAGCAATCGCCAGACGCAAATTCAGCTGCACTTTCTACTAGGTGTTCAATTCACACACCGCCACCTTGCACTGGAGATATACACGGAGATACTATGAGTCGATACAGAGAATTTCCATAGATATTGTAGGGTTTGCCAAGGCCTTGCTTATGGCGACAACCTCGGCCCCCAAAAGCTTCGGAATCACAATATTCCAGGAAACACAGATTCAATACCCGAACACTTCATGAAGATGCGACTGAATAGGATCAATCTTCTGTTGGTCTTAGCCCGCGCGCACGACCCAAGGAAAGTGAACGGAAAGAATACATGAGACTACATATCATATATATCCATATTTCTTAGTAATTGTTGTAGACACCCGTTCCTAAATTACATCTCTATCTCGCTCACAAAGCGTCATTGGTTACACTTTCAACCTTGCCCCTCCGCGTGTGTCACGGTTCCTCGTCCCTGTGAGAAATGCGCATGCGGCAGATCATCCTCCAAATTTTGAGATAAATCTCGGCTGTTCACATCGTCGGAATACGGGCTTAGGGCTTATGTAAACTGAGAAGGCAGTCAGTCATTATCAAAGCGAGAATCATGCTGGTTGTATCTTGACCTACCCGGCATGGCATTGTTTGATGAAATTGCTGGCTGGGAATCTTCTTCATTGTGCGAGGCCGGTGCGAAAGCCTTGTGGCGTGGGCTCCCATATTGATGCACCTGCGGCAGTAGCTGACGAGCCCATGGATCTGGGGAGATCTTAGTCGGAATGTAGGAGGGCGAGGAGGAAAGCCCTGCGGAAGCTTCTGCATTCGGTATGGAGTCCTACGGGCTCTGGTACGGGCCTGTGAAGTCGTTCTGTCTGAGATCGGTCGCCGTCTTCTAATCCCTTTACGAAGCTGATGGAGTTTGCCTCGCAGCGACTCGAATGATCTGTCTTTATCGTGTTGCTTGGAGTATTCTTTGGCCATTTCTTTCCATGACATCCAGTCGTATTCAGATAACCATGGTTCGAGGTTATCTTCCTCGGACTCAGTCCAAGGGAGATACTTCTCTTTCGGCATCGTGGTAGATATGCTATGTGCAAGAGTAAAGGAACAGACGTCAACTAGGAAATCACGCGATGGAAACAAACACTGAAATGGACGGGTTAGAACGGCAGACAGCGAGAATATAACTGATGTACATTCAACTCACCATTCCTACTTTGAACAAGGCGTCATTTGGGGGGCGGCCATAGCAAAACTCACAGCTCGCAAATAAATGAGGTTTAATAATGAAATACCCATTCAATACAGCCGGGCACATTGTATCGGTGATTGGATGCAGGGTAAAAAATGAAAATAACAATAGAAATAAATCATATTCTTTTTATTTCGGCTGAGCTAGTAGAATCATAGTATAGTAGGAAATGTGCAACTGGCTTGATGCCCACTTGGACCCGAATTACTCAAGTGGAGTCGGTTTAATGAGGTTGACAGGGATGTGAAATTCTTTCCTTGGGAAGTTATACGGTTACACAGATACAGAACGGCCTACTAATTAGTTTCAACCAGCTAATAACCATGCCTTGACCTTCAGGTATGGGTTTGGTATAAATCTCACATTTAACCATGCAACGAATGAGATCTGCATCGTCATTAAACGAAGGGGAAATGGCTCAGCTGATTTGTCGACAATCATCTCTTTGGTGTAAGATTTTCTTAGATACTTGCTCCAGAATGTCTTGCACGAAGAAGAAAAGCCTGAGGTCTAGATTTCCCTCTAACAACCCTCAACGTAGTATAGCCGCTTCCCCTAGGTGCACACATTGGGCGCAATTTGTTAGTCTAGGGCTAGGGAAGCCAGTCCGGTCTAGTCATATATCTGCGTTCGTAGCGTATGTATCTGAAAAAATTCTAACGGCGTACTTATTGAGCAGGGTATACGGCCCCAGTTCTCGGATTGGTCCGAGCGCTCTGTCGAGCTGTCTGTCTGGAGTATAAATCAAGCCCAACTTCTAGCATTGGAGAAAGGTCTGGCTGTGGTTCCCATCCCCCACTACATCTATTCACCACTGCTTTTCCCTCAAGACCAAGACCCTCAGCCATGGGTCTCTTTCAACAACCCGGTCCGGGGGAGAACCTTGGTCGGTTCTCTAGCCAACTTCGCGATGCCCTTGCTTCCAAAGCCAAACCGTTCGACCTCTGGAGCATCCCTGAATCGGCTGCAGGCCCCCAAGATGAAGACTGCCCGTATGAGATGGAATCACAATCCTATGCGGGAGAAAGCCATGTGCCAATGGATGAAGACATAGACTATGATGCAGATGCCGGTTGGGCGGCAGAGACCAAAAGTGTGGCAGATCACGTACCGGAAGTGGTGCATCATGGAGAGACTGGTGCTCCCGTATCAATGGCCAAGTGTCTGAGGTGCCTCGGAGAGTAAGACTATTTGTCTCTTCATTACAGTTACCAGTGACGCTAATTTCTTCCTAGTTTGAACGCCCGAGTCCAGTGCGTGCCTGCCTCTCGGCAATATTTGCTTCAAGCTCATTTTATGCTGATGGGAACATAGGTCCATAGAGGAACAGCTCGAAAAACAAAACTTCTGGAACGACGACATGGGACGAGGCGTGGAAAGCATGCAGGCCGGGTACCAAGAGATCTCGGCGCTCAGAGAGGAAGTGGCTACGCTAAAAGACCAAGTCAACTCTCTATGCAGGGATAGCCCAGGCACTGGGCGAAAACCAGGACGCCCCAGGCGTGTCGCGCAATGAAGGCAGAGAGCGAGGGATCATTGGTGGCAGTACTCGCAATGTGCAAAGCAATTAATTGGTTCTTTCGGCGGGAGTATCAGGCAGCCTGAGCCTAGCAATAATGTAATCGATCAACATACCTTGAACAACTTGACACCCACACCCTACCCACACCCTACCCACACCCTACCCACACCCTACTCCCTGCATACCTAGTGAGAACCACATGATCTGTTAGCACCCGTGCGGCTCGAGCTCGGAATCAACAACGTTAGACAATGCTGGTTCACTGTGAATTTGCTAGATAACCCCCCTATAGCCGGCCGATCCGCTTTGTCAGCTAACAGACAGCGCACGTGAGTGGAAACCATGATGCCACGACTTGATTGGACCGGGGAGGCTGGATTACGGCCCGGCCCACAACGATCGGCAAAGGACTAATATACGTGCAGGAGCCTCGCAAAGCCAAGAGCAACGACCAAACTAAATTGCCGCGAACGCAGTGCTCCGAGATTACTGTGACCTAAAATTACGTATCGATCAGCGTTCTAGCGCGTCTAGCACCCCCTCCCTGTCCTAGCGAACACTCCATCCGTTCCATCAATGAAAGAAACAAGGATTTGGCGGCCAAGTTCAGAATATAGACAGCCAAGTCTTACCAGGTGCGATCACCCTTCCTGCTTCCCCGATATAGTTCGCTTCTGGGTTACATGACGGCTCTTTCGACAAGCGCAACCTTGGATCCCTGCAGATCATCTTATTTTTTTGGCCACGATTCTATATGTACTAATCAGGAAGCTAGTCTACCGTGTCGCGGGAGAACCGGAAGGTAAGCCAGCGACGAAAGATTCAATACAGAGTAGTGATCGGTGGCACGCTTGGTGGCTGGGAGTGTAAGATACCACCACAGTCTGTTCCCCAAACCGCCTGCCTTTTATTACCTCTTGTGATTTTCATTGATTTGATTTCATTCTAGGTATTTCATTGGATGGTAACAATTTATTCCAACCCAAATACTGAGCACCATTCGTGTAGATTTGCAACCTCTGCCCCGCTCATACCCAGCGATGTCATCGCCACAATAGAAACAAGTGCGATAGAATAGCTGCACGAGCTATTGCCGAGGATGCCCCATTCGGTTACCTCTCCAGTTCGTCTGTGCTAACACCGATGTAATTAGTCCAACAGCTTTAGACTAGCAGGTGAATGATATTCAATATCACCAAGGCGAAACCGCGCGGCACAACGATGGTCCCGGCATGCCGCAGATCAGCCTCCGCACACCTTTATTTCCGGGTGCATCGAAAGCACAACAGGTTTACTTCTCATCAATAGCCACTACAATGACAGGGCCAAAGGCACAGCTAATACAACCTCCTGAAACTCCTGCGATCTCAAATGCTTTGCTAATCGGTATACGAACCCGTCAACATCTTAGGGGTCTCGATCAAACATTCACAGGCCGAATGTATAGTTGGAGTAATATTTTCGGAGCTTTCAATTACCCCGAATGGAGCGAAAGTGCTTCCCTCAATCCGCCCCATTGCCGTATAGATTGTGGGAAAATGAATATTTCCACGGTCCTGTCGACACAAACCATCTAGAGGGTTACATCCTCGGATTTTGGAAGAGCCTAGATCCCCTTACGCTATGGCCAAGTGGGGAATCGTCTGTCGTTATGGTCGCTTAAAGCGTGGTTGATATTATCACTCAGAAATATCAGACTTGGGGCTAAGCAGGAAATCATGGTCTTAGAAAATGCGCTACGGGCTTTGCGGGCTATGCAACCCCGGAGAGCAGACCACAGAACGAATCATCCCTCATAGAGAAGTAGTATCCGGGCCTCGCTTGCTGGTTTAGCGCCGAAGGGAAACCAAGTGGGTTTTGCCGCCATGAAAAGCACAGACGTGGGACATCCGCCAGGGCCCGCACCGAAGGTCTGTTTTGGCCCATCTTTTTTCTCTTTTTCTCTCCTTTACATTTATTTGTCGACTATCATTGGTTGACAGTATGGAAACAAAACAAAAAGTCCTGCCCAGTAAAATTACAGGGATTCTTGCAGAGTTCTCATTGGACCACGCGTGTGAAAAGCGCACGCCGACTTTACGGCATGTTACGCTGGGTCCTCAGAGGAGCCCCCACCCCCGCCGTGTGATTGTAATTCACGACAAGTATAAGAGACGAGCAAGCTTCAGCTAGATTGCCCATTTGCAGGCAACTCACGATTGACTAGGCACGACCCGAATACGGGCTTTGAAGAAGTAAATCGACCCGCTTGACCTGCATGCTACTTTCTTGCTCCATGGTCGATCCCTGCCTCGCATTAATTAGACCGATTTTCCATCCACGGCGGGTCCGGGCTCCACAATCCTCCGTTATCAGAGTGCAGTTTATTGCCCATTTCTGATCATTGGCCGAGACCGAAAACCATGATGAGGTAGAGATGTATACCGGGAATACCCTAGTTGAATATGCTGTCGAACCTTACATTAATTGACCAAGCTCTGGCTGATATCGCTCTAGATCAAAGATCAAATAGCAATCTGGATGGTGTTGAATCATTCTCCATATAAGGTTTCGAATCTCTATCAAATGAGAGAAGTCGGTCATTCGCAGTCAGCATAGATGCAAGCGGCGCAGGGAGCAAACTCGGATGAAATGTTCGCCTAAATGAAGCCATCTGCATGGGTCAAGCCGGCTACCGGCACACAGTTAGCTGTCTTCCGTACATAGGATGAGACGCGGCAGGGGGCCGGTAGATCCGCAAGATCGGCCAGGCACGAGCTTCTGTCGTCCTTTTTCCCTTCCCCACTCCCTGACTACGCGAACATCCAATGAATGCCCACTCTTCGGCCTCGCCCCCTGAAAAACGGGGCTTGACCTTGCTGCTAGCTCCGAGTGATTGGCTATAATAGGAAAGATGTGCATATTAGATGATCTGAGTCGCGCGACATAAAAGGGTGAAAGGGGCTTGTCGGCACTGGCCGAGGCAAACCCATATCCGCGCGGGCTAGACCGTTCTCTGGGCCCACAGAGCTCCACCGGATCTAGCCAAAGCCGTTTAAGATCTCCGACCACGGAGTGATGTTTCTGATGCAAGTTCGGCAGAGAATATCTCATTGTCGATCTACATCATCATCGTATTCGCTTCCGCATTAGCTTTCTATCCGTGATTTGCGACCAATGTGCTATGTGCATCTGTCAACGGAGAAGATAGAGATAGGCCACGGTTAAGGATGGTTTTGCTAATTGCAAATACAAACACTAGGCGAGCGCCTGTGTGTGCAACGAAGATGCTGAGCGCCCTGTATTCGGTAATGAGTTGCGACCCCTGAAAAAGCGGGGCGTCGGGTATATCCAGCCTCGATAAAGTTTGGGGCGGGGCGTTTCATTGAACCAATGAGGGGAAAGATCAATTCTCGTCTTCACCACATTTGGAGACTCGGGCAAGCGATACTGACTCAGTCAGTACTTAGTCAGAAGTCGGCTGCACGAAGATCATCATCCCGTCACGCCATGCATTTAACGGTCATCGCGGAAGTTGAGCTCGGTTCCCCGTTAGCTTCATATTGGTCCATTGTGGCCAGTGCTTAGCGAGGCGTCATTCGGTCTCGGTATTGGAGATCAGTCCAGTGGATCTTGAGTACCCGCTACCAAGAGATTTGATCGTAGCGCTAAGGTGGGATAGGTTCATTGAAAAGACGATCTACAGGTATGGACAGAACTTGTACTCAAATACCAATGTTGGCCAACTATGGGACAGTAACGCTATAGGCTGTTCGCCTCGCTCCACCTATCCTTCAGGGGCCAATCTGCTGCTTAACGCAGATGCGCATATGGATCGGCTTGGGGCATGGTAGGCACATTGGACGAAGAGTAGCCCGGAATGGGGGGTGCCGGGATTTCTGAAGGATTGAGCAGATAGTTTGCGTCTTGGTCTTGCCAGTTTTGGGTCACATCAGGGCCAGGCAAGAGAGTGGAAAAGTATGCTTGGTCGCTCTCGTTTATCTTGGTCGTGATCTGACCGAATAGAGAAGAAGCGGAGGTCTGAAGTTCCTTCAAGGCCACCTGGTATTCAGCCCGTGGCATTTGGTCCTGGGCAGTCGCTGTTTCCAAGCTCTCTGTCAATTTGCGGTTTTCACCCTGTAACTGGCGACACTCCGCTGTAAGCTGCCGGACTTTAGCGGACAATTGGGCTCTTTCTGCGACACTTTGCTGTTGGCTTTCCTCCATTTGGGCAGCGCGCTGCTGGTGGTCATCTTCGGCTGCTTCAAGTAAATTGATGCAGTCGATATGGTCGGCCGGGTGGGTGGCATGTGCCTTCTGTATCAAACAGATGTGTGAGCCAATGCCAAATCAGGACGGAGAATGTGTATGGCTTACCAAGGTCTCTCGGAACTGAACCTCCCGTGGGACGGGCTTGGATCGCACAACGCCAGTCGCCGGCAAATTTCGAACAGCGCGTTTGGCAGACGTTTCGGTCTGTGGCTTTCGAACCCTGGTGGGTGCTGACGCGGCAGGATTGCGCGAGGCGGTTGGCATTTTGGCCATAGTGAGCGATGACTTGACGAATGTCGCAAAAGAAACGAGAAAACCGCAACACACAAAAGAGAAAGAAAGAAGTTGGGGTCACATCAGTTGAGGCGGGTAAAAGAAGACTTAAATCCAGTGACAGTGTGAAGATAACCATATTGTTTTACACGAAATATGGTTTCACACGGGTGTACCACATCCTCGGCACGTCAGTTTAGTAATGACCAGACAGTGCCAGTTGACCAACCTGCTGCTGAACATGGAATCAGTGGAGCACAGTCCCAGTTCGGCCGCCCTGTGTAAAACATGGGGATACTGTATCCACAATCATGTTCATGATAGATTCATGATAGAGAAAGACGAATTGAACTTGTCCAGCCGCTAATTTTACGATATATACATTTCTGAGGTGCTCGAATACTCACCACTGGTCAATCTAAGATAGGAGAGATAGACATTGCTCCCCTGGGAAGTTGGTTATTCTGTGGCGTGCACAGTGGATGACTTGTAGGGGACCATCTACTTAGACTAAGAGCTACAAATAAACGAAGTAATGTTAGTTCGATTCCAGCCTCGACACGCTGTGAGCAGCGTGGGCCCGGGGGATCAATATTATTTCGGCCAATATCCGAGCATTGCAGACTAGCGATGGACAAAAACGGACGATGGATGCTACCACAACCACTTTCATATGCTGTTTTCGTGCTCATCGCGAGGTACAGTAGAATTCGAAAACAGTTTACCCCTCGGAGACTCACGCTTTGTTTCTCGGGCCGTACCCGAAACCACGCTAATCCGTTCTAAGATAAGGCGTAAATAATCCATTCCTAAGAATAGAACTTTTTTAATTCCAGGACAACTGCTTAACGTATAATACCGTATCTTACACGAAACTCCTACCCCGCTGCCCCTCCATACGTGACATCCTTCTCAGCACCACCATCTGAGAAGTGCAAGAATTTTTGCGCAATATGGCACCGAGACTACCACTGTCAAAGCTACATTTCATCAGTGATATGATACAAAGCCAGTCGCTTACCCGTTCTCAAATGGCCGAGGCAGCAGAATGTAGCGAACAGACGATCAAAAACATCCGCAGGAACTTGCGACTGTTTGGACAAGTTCATGCCCCTCCAACTCGTATCGGCCGGAGAAGAAGCATAACACCACCAATGATCGAGGCCCTCTGTGATCATCTGCTGGAAAAACCAGGTCTGTACCTAGAGGAAATGGCTATCTTTCTATGGGATGAATTTCAGATACTAGCAACCACCTCTAGTATTAGGAGGGCCCTTGTATCCCAAGGCTGGTCCAAAAAGACCGCCCGACAGAGTGCTAAAGAGCAGAGTGCCGAATTACGAGAAATTTATCTTCATAATCTCTCGGATTTTGAGTCGTACCACCTTGTTTATGTTGATGAATCTGGATGTGATAAACGAGTTGGTTTCCGACGGACAGGCTGGTCACCACTCGGTGTAGCACCTCGACAAGTTTCACAGTTTCACCGTGACGAACGTTATCAAATTCTGCCTGCATATGCGCAAGATGGTATTTTGCTTACTCGCGTCTTTCGTGGGTCAACGGATGCCGCTGTGTTCGAAGATTTCATCGATGAGCTTCTTCGTCATTGCGGAAGATGGCCGGAGCCAAAGTCTGTTCTGGTCATGGATAATGCATCGTTTCACCACTCTGAGCGGATTTCGCAGATGTGTGCCGATGCTGGAGTCAAACTTGTTTATTTGCCTCCGTACTCGCCGGACCTGAATCCAATTGAGGAGTTTTTTGCTGAACTCAAAGGCTTCATAAGACGCAATTGGTGCTACTACGCAGATGATCCCGACCGCGAATTTGGGTCCTTTCTGGAACGGTGTATCAACCAAGTTGGGGAAAGACAAGACAGTGCCAGAGGCCACTTTCGGCACGCAGGCCTGACTGTTAAACATTAAGGCACTAAAACCTATTTCGTACAAAATTCATAAGAAACTGAAGGGGCAGAAAAAGGTCCAGAGGAGTGGCCATGGCATGTTTTTTCGTTGAATCCTCATTTTTCGGCACTTAGGAAACGCTCACCGGTCAAATCCCGCCTTCTAGAGCAAGGTGCTTGTCGAGTAACGCATAACCAATTTATTCCTGCCGCTTCTAGCGAAGGGCCTCATGCATAACACGTGGTCGAAGGCGCCCTCTGTTTTACATGGTACCACAACTTTGACTGTTTGTTTTCATCAAATGGAAAGGTGTAGGGCGTTAATGTAGTTACCCTCAGTAGGTTGTTCTCTAGTTCCTTTTGGCTTTTAGTTGCTGGTTATGCTGCAAGTATGACCATCTGTAATCTGGCTCTGTCGTTGCAAACAAGAGGTTGGAACCATCACCTAGAGCCCTTGGTGAGATCGGTGCTAATATGTGATATTATATAACGAAGGGACAATTTATACTCTTTATCAAACTTATAGATGCCAGATCTATGCCTTCATGCTTCGTACAGTAATACTCGAAAATCGATTCTACCTACATACACCCACGTATTGAATGCTGAACCCTAGCTCGAAATGCGCTATTTCGCTTTTGGGATGTTTGCAGTTCCCCTCTTCATGTTGACCGAAATGACGTAATATGCCCGCCTGCCGGTTAACTTACTTTCTGAGGCCCTCTCGGCGTGACAATTACATCCCCCACTAACATTTCTCTGCTCCTTGGAGATCTGTGCACAAAATCTGATGGCTATATTACCAGGTAAGTCGCATGCTGTTGTACGGTGAACCTGTTTTGAGCCTAATATAGGACAACGGACGCTTGTGAGCAGCGTGAGTGGTCGAACCTGCCGCCAAGGTCATTCCCAAGAGGATATTGACATTGCCTACCAATACGAAGCGCAACAATACCGCCATGCCTTGTCCGCGTTGATTGACAAGATACGATGCAGCGACGAGACAGAACTTCAGGAGCTACTTGAAGCAATCCGGAAGCCGGATACCCTCACTGAAGCCGTGCAAGAAACTTTACGTCGAAAATACTGCTAATATGGGACTATCGAGCGCCATCGCGATCTGGCTCCGTCAACTCAACCTGCAAGTTACACATCATATCTTTTGGAAATGCTCTAAGTGAAGATGTCTACTTTCGTAGTATATCTCTATTTATATATATCTCATGTATATTATTCATCAAAACTCCGAAGGGCCGCTAGCTACACCAAAATAATTGTTTCACATCACCTCAACGATCGGTATCACTCTCTTCACGTTCTCCACCCAGTCACGGATATTTTCTACGAAACTTCGGGCAATTCCGGGCTTGATCCCCTTGTCGACGAAGAAATTTGGGTTTTGATCCTTGAAGATGTGCTCAAGTTCGAAGCCATCTGAAAGCGTTATATCGCACGCTTGACGGAATCCAGCCTTGAGAGTATCATCGGATACATTCGATGCGAGCCACTCACCGTATTCTTTGACAGCTACGTCTTTGAACCCAGGAATATTCAAAGGAGTCACAGGTCTCAGCCCTTCCGGGGCATCATCCGGGGTCATCGGGGCCAATCCAGTAGAGTGGGATGGGTGAACATTGATGTTGATAGGTTGATACGGCCCTCCATCCCTAAGAATGTTACCGCCTTTGCGCTTTTCCTTGTCCTGTCTCTGCTGTTCCTCCATATAGAGCTCATCCCGGATCTCATCCGGAACGTCTTTATGCGTCTCCAAGGTACCACCTTTCTCGACATAAGTAACCAAACGCCTGAGAGTTTGCGTGCGGAGTCGGTAATGCCTTTTCCCCATTGGATCCAGCCAACAGTAGGGACCCAAATGGCATGCAGCCGAACCACATTTCATCAAGTCATAAACACGGCGCCAAATTGATTGTTGGCCGCACGCATTTTCTTCAGCATCAAGCTGGGCATCCCGATCATCAAGCATTCTTTTGGTGACGGAAGATTTACCTCTCTTCTCCCCTTTCCGTCCAGCAGATGGAGAAGTGTAATCCTCTACGTAGTTGAAACAGACCCTCAGCGTGAGTCTCCTTCCACGACAGAAATGACTCGACCACATCCGCAACTGTTTCTCGATAGGAGCCCAGACAATTTCGGTCTTGTTGAAGCGCTTGGTCAAATCACGCTGGGAACGATCATTGACTGCCACGACAATCGCTGTGTCATCGATCCTAACCCTCTTGTTGCGGCTGACCTTCTCTCCAAGGACAGTTTGTAGCTTTTTTTCCAGGAATAACCGCCAGTAGGCGCTCGGGGCCAATACCAGGTCTTCTTCCGTATCCTTTACCACGGCCTTGTTATTGAGGGTGACACGCCATTCTATGAAGTAGTGGATACAGCTCGGCGGATCCTCGTCGTAGATCTTGTCCGCATCCCACTCAGATTCCTGGAGCAGAGGTAAATTATTCGGCTGAGATCGGCTTGGGACGTTGGGCTCTTCTTCGAGCGAGATCGAAGGAGAGGGACTACAATCGTGCTGTGTAGCATAAGGGCTCCGGAAGTTTCCTGGTGTAGGGGCATATTGTGAATCATATTCCCATAGTTCAAGATCTGGGGGTTGAGACATGTAATCATCGTGGTACGAGGTGCAGCTCATATCCACAGACGATCAAGGCACTGGAGGTCTGTCAACATAGGTGGGCGATACCAGTTGTGAGTAGACGCCCAGAATGAAAGCGAGGAAAGGGAGAGCAAGAGCCATGAAAAGCACGAACGAGAACCATATTAGCCTACCGGGTTAGTCTTCTACAGCAGTACACAGAAGTACAGCTTTCGTTTATGTTCAGTAAGATGTAGATGAAGACGAAGATTACGGGGAGAGGAAGAAGGAGAGTTGGGCGTGGATCAAGCCAGATTGCCAGATCTCCCCCACCCCTTCCAGGTCCCTAGCTAGAACTTTCTATGGGAAAATACGGTAATTTACCAGGATTCATCATACATTACAGCCCAGTACGTTATATATGACGATACTGCTGGACAGGGGTTATTTTTGGTGTAACCTCATATGGACTAGCGTCGTTTCGGGTACGGGCCGAGAAACAAAGCGTAAGTGTCCGAGGGGTAAACTGTTTTCGAATTCTACTGTAAGGGAAGCCAGTGCAACGATTGGGCTAGAAATTGGATTCCAGACGGCTTGTCCCATCCATTCTACCTCATGTCGTGGATTTGAATGCGATATTGAATTTGAACGGATTCACTGGCTATAGTCTCTCACGGGGGCTTTGTTGCTTGAGGATGACCAGAAGAAGAAATCGCAGGACGATGAAAGGAGAAATCCAGATGTTTAGAGATGTTCAGCTTCATTCCCCAAAGTTCTGTGTTGTCCATGATCACTAACGCTCTATGTTCACAGTCTGACTTTAGCGCTAGCCGCAAGTCGATGGAGGTATTGGTGGCCAGCCTGTCACCTGTTTGACCATGGCTGTCTTCACAGCTCCGAGATTTTATCGGCCGATACCCGAGATTATACTAAGGTACCACGTGTGAGCAATATCGCAAAAGCCTCTCTGTCGATCAATACAGAAGCTCCTTCGTCGGTCCGTAATCGGTTAGAGGTGGATCTAGATGTCGCGCTATTGAATCTCTAATTTCCGCGGTGAAACTAATTAATCGCCATTTTTCTATCGCAGTGCCGGGCCTTGCACTCAGATGAAGCGGCTTAATTCCACGGCCGTATCAATAGCCCTAAGTTTCCCGGATGGTCCCCAGTCACAGTTTTCGACTTTTGTCTATCCCCATCGCCTGACAATCACTCTCCGTACCGAGACTAAGATTCCAACTGTTAGTGCGCCTCGGTGAGCTGAAGCGCAAACGTACCACCAATGGCCCGCCCCGCAGCATATTACCAGCCACGGGCTTCCTACATTGGCATCAAGAACTCCATGGGCCCTGGGCATATGACGCCCTCGCAGTTGGCTGCTAGTGCTCAACAAAACTCAGTGCGCGTAAGTAATCTCAGTTTCTATCGCCTCGGTATGATCGCACGCTTGACGCCCTCTTGATCAGGATTGGACACACTCAACGTTCAGGTCACCGGGACTCCCAAGACCGCAAAGCCCAGAAGAAACAAGAACCTCTTCCGATCATGCTCTGGCCGTGCCAGCTAACAAGTCCCGCCGAGCCCAATGCAAGCGAAAAAGAGGACGGGGAAGCACGGATCGCGGGGATGAAAAGCTTCGGACGCAAAAGGAGCGGCCAAGGATTCAACACGGCCAAGACAAGATCGAGATTCGGCAGCTACGCGAACAGCTGAGGCAGCAGAAGCAGTCTCATCGGCAGCAGGAGCAGTCTCATCGGCAGCAGGAGCAGTCTCATCGGCAGCAGGAGCAGTCTCATCGGCAGGAGAAGGAGGACATGCGGAAGTTTTGGCATGACCGTCATGCCGAGGCGTCTTCCGTGGTCAGGTCAGTCGATATTCTACGTAACGCTCGTCTTACCTCGAGCGCCTGCGGTGTATGATGTCGGATTGATGGATACTGGTATGTGCTAGTATTGAGGTGTTCCATTGAGATGCCTTGGTGTGTAGGCTGGTGCAGATCGCACCATCGGAAATAATCTCTCAACGATCTAGATGAAGAAACAAGTTCCTTGGAATTGGATTTTGAATTGAACCCCACGAGTGACTATAGCCTTTGGAAGCCCTGAGTGAACACAATCGATGAATGCTCCGTGATAACATTATGCGGGTCCCTCGAGTAACGAGATTACATGTACCAGACTTGCACATCCGCGCCTGTATGTAGCCACGAACAGGGATGTGGCCGACGGGCAAGGCCGGGTCAATGCCGGCCCGCCATTGGGCAGAATGAAGGTTGCCCACGTAACTTGGTTGGTGGCGGCCCTTCGGCTTATGTAACCTGCCTAATTAGCGGGTTCAACCTTCATAAATTCAGCCTGTTGTTTACTGTCGCCTTACTCCAAATACAATCGATGAATGGATAAACTAGATATGTGTCATAGAATATATTGCATCGGAGATATGGAATTTGTAGTGGCTTTGCTGATATGATGGATGGATGTGTTGGAAGGGTGAGATTGGAACGTCTAACGAGATATACCTTGTATAACCTATATATATATCTACAGGACAATACATCTGCGGAGATCGAGATCTTTCGGACCACAACTACAATTTCTGCACCGCCGCACGTTCACTTATTCTTTTGGACATTTTCCTTGCCAAAGCCGGTTCTTTCACAGGCCTCCAACCAAATTAAAAATAACATGTAGATAGAATGACTGTTTACAATTGGTGAAAGACGAAAATTTCACGAAATAAATCTATCCCTAGTAAGCAGCCGACGGCCTATGAGCCGCAAACAAAAATAGAAAGCTAATCAAGGAAGCAGAAATGAAATTGGGACGAAGTTCACACCGCGGTTGGAGCGAAGTATGTGCACGAGGAAATGAACGAGGGCAAATGTCCCGAAGCGCCAATCATTCTTCCCCCGATGGGCTTTTGCCTTAGCCCAACCCTCATTATCAACGACAGCCCGAGGCGCTGCTTTCCTGAACTCCTATATCTGCACGAAGGATTCGATGGTCAAATAGATAAAAAATAATAATTGAAAAAAAAAAAAAAATTGCATGCCATGATTACGATGAAAATGAATGCCCGGCACTCATAAACATTAAATGTACGTAGCGTTCAGACTATCTCTGGTGGAAAAATTCCCCAGTCTCCGATTAGAATGATTGACGCTAGGCATTTGAGAGTTTCAACTGCGTACGTTCTTGACAGCTTAGGCGGTCTTGGTTTGACTTGCCCTCAGAAAGGGATCATTTCACCAAGTAGTCGCCCCCATGCAAAAAAGATATGGAACGAGAAGGTAATGCAAAGCAGCATTCGCAGTGATGAACATATCGGTCATTTTGAGCCAGGATCTTAGCGTCATTTGACGTCAGCTATTGGTGAGTCACTGTGCCCAGCGGAGGGGCTGGATGGGAGTAGTTTTTCTTGATGGATCTGAGGCGGCGAGGCCCGAGTTCTCGAGTTGCGTACGTGGCCTTTCTCGATCTCCGTACCTGAAAGTATAAAAGCCTGCCCGCCCGCCCCGTTTCATAGCGCACTTTGCTGCTACCATTGATCCAATGTCAGAGCGCACTTTGCTGCTACCATTGCCTCAATGTCAGAGCGCACCTTGCTGCTACCATTGATTCAATGTCAGAGCGCTTTTTGCTGCTACCATTGATCCAATGTCAGAGCGCACTTTGCTGCTACCATTGATTCAATGTCAGAGCGCACCTTGCTGCTACCATTGATCCAATGTCAGAGCGCACCTTGCTGCTACCATTGATCCAATGTCAGAGCGCACTTTGCTGCTACCATTGATTCAATGTCAGAGCGCTTTTTGCTGCTACCATTGCCTCAATGTCAGAGCGCACCTTGCTGCTACCATTGCCTCAATGTCAGAGCGCTTTTTGCTGCTACCATTGATCCAATGTCAGAGCGCACTTTGCTGCTACCATTGATCCAATGTCAGAGCGCACCTTGCTGCTACCATTGCCTCAATGTCAGAGCGCACCTTGCTGCTACCATTGATCCAATGTCAGAGCGCACTTTGCTGCTACCATTGATCCAATGTCAGAGCGCACCTTGCTGCTACCATTGATCCAATGTCAGAGCGCTTTTTGCTGCTACCATTGATTAAGATGTTACCGTTGCCTCCAGCGATAGGACAGACACCTCTTCGTGGTGCTGGGGATTATTACTCAAACGCCCAATTGTTTGAGGAAGCTAAGATCTGTCCCAGTCTATTAAATTCCATGATTACTCTTTCGAAGCCCGTCTTCCCCTGATCTGGTTAGTTAATGTCTTCCCGTAAGATGATTCGTTTCCTCCTTTCGGCTAGAAAGGAGGAATCGTCCGCTTTAAAAGAATACATAGAGTAGATTTTGTGTCAGGACAGCTTCTCCTCACAGTTCATCGCGAATTCAACGACTTCAATTATTCAATCATCAGATAAAATTGCGTATCAACAATCCCGCACAAGTGTTGACCGTCAAGAGCGATTGACCGCTATTCATATGATGTTGAATTGTGGCAGTGACCCGGCCGATTACATTACACCACATAGAACCTTGAAATTGGTTGGTCCGAAGTGATGAATAATCAAATCCTCTTGCTGACCGTACCTTGTAGCTAGGGAAAGGCCAAAGAGTAAATGACCAGAAATTGAGAAAGAGAAGAAAAAAAGCGGGCGTTACGCTTGTATATGCATGTTCCAATGTCGTTCATTACTATTACGACCGTGTCACTAGAGTCCGCCGTCGATCCCGATGAACGCCGTGACGATTGCTTGATTGTGTCCAGTAGATACTCGAACCAAGAGGAGACAAAGACAAGAATCTGGGTACTGTGAAGAAAAATCCCGTCGAAGGCTCAAAGACTGACCATTGCCCCCCACAACAAATGAATGGCCTCAAAGGTCAACCATATCTGCGTTTAAATGAGAACATTAGGAAGTCGATTGGTTCGGTGCTATACAAATGTTCAAAAGCTAATGGATCAATGACCTGTCCACCTTACAATAAATAAACATCAGCATGTGAAGAATACTATATGTTCTGTCGAAATGAAAACGACAAAACGAATAAATGCTGTTTAAGTCTCCAGGCTGAAGTAACAGCACGGGAGATAAACGCTCCAGACCAAGTCCGTTGTTTACCAAATAAACAAACCCGGCAGTAGATGTTTCCCTCCTCACATTTCATAAGCAGCGTCAAGCTGTGACTACTGGACGAGGAGCACAATTCTGGTTATTCACCCCTCCGACACTGTTTATTGGGGGGTGTAGCTCCCGAGCTCAAGGGTCACAAAGATGTATCCCCACCCTGTTTCTTCGGCCTACTCGTCAGAATTGCCCGTCTTCGCAAAAAAGGAACCTGGGCGCTTGGCCGCTTGGTCAATCTGGCGAAGTCTACCACCAGGCCGCGAAGGGGCTCTATCCTACTGACCAGTGCTAACTCCCATCTGCGTCTTATTCCTCAGTTATTTCAAACCCGCAAATACAAGGACATTTCCAGCCTCTGTGTTCTCCAAACAATTATTGATAGCAATGATGGCAGACTCCACGTCACACGTTGAGCTGCATACTTCCAACGATAATCTCAAAAATTCTGTCAACCCAACCTATGCGGCGAGCACTGAGACAATTGCTGATCCTGAACCGAAAGCAAGATCGGTAGGTCTTCCTATTCCTTGCTTCTTGCCCTGGAAGTCCAGCTGATATTCTCCATTAGAATCAACGGCAACCGAGATCTATGAAGGCGTGTTCCACGGCGAAGCCGGAACGAAAGTATCCTTCTTCGGGAGAGTCGGGAGAAAGACCCATCATTAGGAGCTACCGAGACAATCGCAAGGAAAGAAGAGGCCGTCGAAGGAGGAATCGAGCGCAGCAACTCAACGATACCAACGAACGGCTCGTTGCTCAGCACATGCACGACGAGATCAGGATTCAGCACCTCAAGCGGCAAATCAAGTCACGCTGGCTCCAGGATGCGGAGTTCTTGGCTCGCAGACTGCATTCGCGCGCACGGAGTGTCTGAGTCACATGGGTAGAGCCACCATCTTGCCGCTTGGATTTGAGAGCTCCGCATGACAAGGCGATACAAGAAAGTGAGAGAGAACGCAACAAACCGATAGATTCCATCACTTTGTTCAATATCATACCTGCCAACGTTTGTCTGATTGCAATTTTAGTTTGTCAGTTGCTTGTAACTTAAACGGCCAGCCGAGCCAATGATATTGATGATCGTAGGATGTGTAGGAAGTGTACTTCGAGTGGGGATAGTCTGACCAGCGAGCACCCCATTGAATTATGACCTGCGAAGCACCTAAACACGACCTCAACCAGCCTCATCAATGAGCAAAACAAGTTACCTCCCTGAGACACCACTCCACCTTTTTGATCGGGACGCAAATTTACCTTTGCAGGTGTCGGCTCTCTTCATCGCTGCGTGTTCATTGCCACATCACGCGGCGACTCGATTCCGCCAGTAATTAACCAGAGACCACGTGGTCTGCAGACAAGGTGGCGATGAACAAAGAGCACCAGGGAATAACCATCGCGCCATAGCTGGATGCCAAGATAAACAGCTTTGCAGAAAGATGATCAGATTGGATTACAACGTGAAATCACCAAGGCCATCTCGATCATCCCAAGCACTAGACGTAGCCATTATGTTCAAGTTAGTCTATTGCCATGCTCCTATATAGGGCTCTGGTTCTCTCAGAGATCGATGCTGCGAGCTCTCTGACGTCCCCTAGGTCTCACAAACTCTCCCTCACCATGGGTATCCAACGCAGCGGTCAGACATCTCGAGTCGATTTCTTCGACACCGCGGACCAACTGATTCAGGAATATGGACAGCTCCAGGTTCTGGATGACCTGATCCGTTTGCGAGCGGCCGATCTTGTCCAACACCCGATTCTTGCCTATCCTCGATCAGCGAGCCATGTCGCGTCCTATGACTACTATAGCGGTCAAGACTTGAATACCATGATCAACCAAGCGGCGACGATGCTTATGGACCTTGGCTTTCAGACGGTAGGTCTGCCGATGCCGTCCGACCTCACCTATTCTGACAGCTCTTCTCAGCCAAGACGAAACAAATCGGTTGTCGCGCTCCTTGCCTTGTCAGATCGAGACATGGTCGTGACATTCTTTGCTCTGAGCCGGCTGGGCTACATTGTGATGATGCTTTCGCCAAGATTGTCGGGCAAGGCGTGCGTGTCTTTGTTAGAGGCGGTGGGATGCGAGTCCATTGTGTACGGGGAAACCCCCAGCATCCGCTCGATGGTGGGTAGCATTTTGCAACGGAAGCTGGTGAGCTGCCGTCCGCTTCCTCGAAGCTCTTTGAACACCAAAGCTGAGCCCAGATTCTTCTTCCTTTGCCGCGATCGTGATCCCGACAAGACCGCCGTGATCCTGCATTCTTCAGGTTCCACTGGCAACCCCAAACCGGTGTTCCTTACCCATCGAGCGCTCATGACACACCCTCTGAAAGGACCTGGACTCACATCGTTCAATCCTCTTCCCTGGTGTCATCTGCACGGACTATCCACCGCACTCCAGGCCATGTGGAGGAGAAAGACCGCGTACCTGTGGAATGCCGCACTGCCAATGACAGTGGAGCTTGTGCTCACCGCCCTGGAAGAAGCTCGACCCGAGCTGATAGCCGCAGTCCCGTCCATGCTGCAGCTGTTGGTGGATGATCCTCGTGGCATTGCGGCGCTGCGGAGATGCACGCTGGTCACGTACGGGGGTGCTCCCTGCCCCGATGAATTGGGCGATCGCTTGATCAGGGAAGGTGTCACCTTTGGAGGTTCATTCGGCCTGTAAGCTCTTTCCCGTTGTGTTTCAACTCCCACGCTGACATACGCGCCAGCACCGAGGCAGGTCTTGTGGCAGATTCGATTTCACGGACCGAAGACGACCCCGGTTGGAACTGTCTGCAATTATTTGACAGTGTGCGACCATATGTTTGGATGAAACCCATCAGCGAATCCAAACCTCTCTACGAATGCGTGTACCTGGCCGGTCACCCGGCTTTGACCACATCCAATTCAGACGATCCACCCGGGTCCTTCCATTCCAAGGATGTATTCGCTCCTCATCCTACGATGCCGGGGCGCTGGAAGTACCTGTGGAGACTGGACGATCGCGTCACCCTCGTCAATGGCGAAAAAGTTTTGCCACGTTCTATGGAAGGCCACGTCAAGCAACATCCGCTGGTCCACGAAGCGGTGGTGGTGGGAGTGGGCAAAGCCACTCCGGGGCTTCTGATCTTGCGCTCGGAGGAAGCCGAGTCTGATCGTCTGCCGGATGAGGACTACCTCAATGCTGTCTGGCCGTTCATTGAAGAGGCTAATCGCCAGGCAGAGGCCTTTGCTCAGATTACACGGGACATGGTGGCGATCCTGCCGTACACTGCAAAGTTCCCCCGAACAGACAAAGGCTCTATGATACGAGCACAAGTCTACCAGAAATATGCGGAGTTGATCGAGACCCTGTACACCACGGAGGAGCGACCCAATGCGGGTCTCCAACTAGGCTTGGTCGAGACGCAGTCTCACCTCCTTCAGCTGTGTTGGGATGAACTCGGAATCTCTATCTCAAGCATAGATGCCGATCTCTTTTCTGAAGGCGTCGACAGCCTGAAAGCAATGCACCTCCGTCGCTTGATTCTGCAGCAATTCAGGTTTGGCCCCTGCCACTCTCCGAGTCTAAACTCGGTATTTGAAATGGGCACTCTCTCGCAGCTAGCCCTCTACATCTGCGCGCTGCAGAGCGGAGATAGCCTCTCGACGGCCGAAGACAGTATCTTACTCATGGAAAACTTGATCAAGAAATACTCCTCATTTTGGAAACACCTTTCTTGCCCGGCAACCCCCCGGAGGACAAAGAGCGTGGTACGTACATGTACTTCTAATTCTGGATCATCAATCTGACAACGCAAAGCTGTTGACAGGAGCCACTGGCTCAGTGGGCGCACACGTGCTGTTCGAATTGCTGAACGATGACTCGGTGTCGACCGTGTACTGTCTCACGCGGAGGGCATCTCCGTTAAAGGCAGTGCGCGGCAGCCTGTTCGAAAGGGGCCTGTTGCTTTCGCCGGAACAGACTTCAAAGGTTGTGGCACTAAACGGCTCACTGGACCGGCCTGACTTTGGTCTGGACCCAGTGGGGAAGACCTTTCATCGTATGCTAGACTCTGTGTCTTTAATCATCCATACGGCATGGCCAGTCAACTTCAACCTCCCCCTCGCTCAATTCGAGCCACACCTCCGGGGACTATACAACCTCATTTTGTTTTCACTTTCGGTCCGAAGACTTGAACCTGCGGTCATGTTGTTTTGCTCTTCCATCTCTACAGCGCTGGGTGCCTCCTCTCCCACAATCGAAGAGGAAGCAGTCGATCTCAACAGCGCGCTGATGGGCTACGGTCAGTCCAAGTTGGTGGGAGAACGGATGATCAGCCTTGCACGCCGGTCAGGGGCAAGAGCGTACTCTCTCAGAATTGGTCAAGTCTCGGGACATTCGAAAAAAGGCCTGTGGAACGACTTCGAGGCAATTCCTTTGATGATCCGATCGGCACTGACTTTGCGAGCCCTGCCTGAACTAGATCAGACCTGCTCGTGGCTTCCCGTGGACAAGCTGGCCACAGTAATGCTCGAGTTGGCCGAGTCATGCTCTGCGCCCGAGCGCGACGTTGAGCCAAGCCGCGCATCCGACACGTCCGGGGTGGCCGATCTTGACGACTCGATCTACAACGTGTGTAATTCGCGCGTGTTTTCTTGGTCGGAGCTGCTGGCAACTCTCCAACGAAGCGGATTTCAATTTCAGGTTTTGCCGTTTGAAGAGTGGCTTCAGTTGCTCCGCGAGAGTGGGGCACGAGGCGAAGAACATATCAACCCGGCAGTCAAACTGGTCCATCAGTATGAGATGATGCATGGTGTCCAGTCTTCCATCAATCACAGCGGGACGAAAGTGTTTGCGACGGACAAGGCTGAAAGAGATAGCGTGACTCTACGCAGCGGTTGCTTGAATATTGTCCAAGACGACATCCTGGACTGCTATGCCCGAGACTGGCTTCTGAGGTGGACAGCTTATTAATTTAGGATGCTCGATACATACTGTAGAAAGTGCCAGACGTATTATTGGAACGAACGAAGCCAACAGCCAAGACCTGAATTCAGAATTGCCCTTGCTTTGATACTACAGCTCTTCCTGGTAGACAACCAGAGTCACTCTTTCATAGGAGATATCATACATCACATCGACAACGAAGGCTGATGAACAGGAAAACGGAAGCATACATCGCTCAAGATTTAAAATGGGATGCATTTCTTGTTTGGTGCGATGTGGAGAACCATGACTGGTTTAGGGTGCAACAGCAACCGCTTAGCCGAAAAATGCATTTCAACTAGTCATTTCAACCAGCATATAGTATATTAACAGGAAAGCGGATCAATCATATACTTATCGTCCTATTCAGCGTCGGCAAGATAAAGCATAATGATGTAGCATACTGTGACTGCGAGGCTCAAGCTCCACCCAGTTAAAGCAAGTCGTATAGAATCTTCCGGAGCAAAAATAACGTAAAAAGACATGTTGATAAAGCCCATCTTACTAGCTTCATAGCATCCACTAGGCCAAATTGGTGGGTCAGCCGTAGGTTCAATGATAGCTTTTAGGAATGAGCCGTACTTTAACAAAATTACAACTTCGCGGGTGTGATGGTTTCGGTACTGGGAGCTTAAAAATAGCCCCATTGAGAAAGAAAATACAACGCACACCACTATTGCTATCATGGGAGCTGTGAATTGACTGATGTTGGTATATCCCGGCGGGTCAGATCGTAGCGCCCATGGAAGTAGTAAAGCGCTGGAAAGTTAGCCTCGGGGCCGATTCTCAATGGTTAGGGAACCTCGAAACCTGATTGACAAAAGAGAAGGACAGGCGTGACTGCTTAGACGCAATGCGCAATTCAATATCGTGTCGCTCATCATAGTGCTTGAGAGCGAGCTCCACCGCGTCTTCATTCTTCAATATAAGTAGGGGGTGGACGTGGTCAAAATTTGAATGCTTTTTGATGTTGTCTTCCCCCAACTTGTTTGAAGGGGGGTTGGTTTCTGGGGTTTAATGATAGAAAGATAGCCCTCAAATACACATGAATCTAGATGTCGTGCTGCGAGGGATTGAATGTTCCATTTGTTTGAGGGGAAGCTTATAGTCAAATTATATACAGATTATTGGAACTGCCCGTTCACTCGTCGATGATACACATCATCGGCAGCTTAGATCTGAACCCATGAACACTTGCCAGAAACTAGAGTTATGCCTTCAATGGAAGTATCGAGTTGTCCCCAGACGACGACACCGTTGTCAATTGTGATTTGGACATTATTTGGACCAAACACCCCTTCAAATGATCTCTTTCTGCCAGTCATTTGAGCGATGGAATCGTAGGCAAGAGACACAGCTGAGCACTTGAAGGAAGGAGCTTCATCCGATATGGTACCACTGAAAGAACAGAAAATGCCGTCGATCCCAAATGATGCCTTTATTCGACCGTTCTGGTGTCGTAGCAGTTCTTTTCCGGAGTACATCTATTGGGCCAGAATGTTAGTTGGGGTCACAGAAGAGCTGCTGTCAGGGTATTCACTTCGTTTTGGTAGTAAGGGGGCTACTGTGGCAGATAGACAGCGAAAAGAGTCGTAAATTTGATGACCACGTCGATGTAGAAAGTGGATGAAAATGCTGCGGCTGCCAGAGAAAGGATAGTGTAATTGGATGTCAAATGATTATATGCCCCCATCCATTTCTGGGGCATCAGCCGGTACACAGCCAAAGCCGCCATTCCACTTCACCACTCTTACACGAGCAAGGCGTATCTAGTGTGGGACAGGTGGTCAATTCCTCTTGTAGCCTTAATGGTACTTATTTGCATGCACCTGAAGGGGCCATTTAAACACCAAGATCATGAATGTTTGACTGAAGAATAACCACAACCCGTCCAGCGGCAGAATTGCACAGAAATACAATACCCGAAATGAACAAGCTTGACAGCGGAAGGAATAAACCTCTTTCCTTTGTATGTGTCAACCGTTTTTCCATTTACCCAGAAGTCCACTATCTGTTTAATTGTGAGAAACTATTGGGAATGGAGTTTCTCCAGAGCCAAGGATAAACAATATGGTCAAATGTTCAATTGTGAAAGGTTGGATCTCGTTGCACGCTCTACGTTCTAGGTCATAACTTGCTAAGCCGGTGAACTGAGCATCATTAGAGCCTCACCCACCAGCTGCTGTGGACAGAGGTTGCATTCTATCAGTGTTGAATCGTGACCATCATTGGAGTCCAACTGATCAAGCTTACCTCAGCGCTGAAAGCCGTTGAGTTTGTTTACGAGTCTGTTGATTAATTCACGTTGTTTTTACCATGTTCTCCAAGGCTTAGTTGCAACATCCGGTCCAGACAGGCAAGGCTCACGGGGCCGAAGGGAAATAAACACCTGCTCCACAGTGGGTCCAACTCGGGCCATGTCATGGACGAGATGAACATTTGTCGGGGTTTCCAGCGATATCAGATCCCATATCATGCAATTGCTGATACTGGCTAGTTATGTCACATATGGAACTATCAGATATATACAGAAAAAGCAGTCACAGTTACTCTAGTCCATTCCTCCGCAATGGTATGTAGCGACCGTCATTTCGCTACCCTTTTCTGGCAGGCCGTCTGATTGTCTTCTTTGGATAAGCGCCTCTTCCTCCTCGAGCGTCAGGGTAATATTCTAGCTAGAGTTAGCACATTCCTTCCAAACGCTAGCGGGAAACCCACCGTAGGATGGTCCGAAGGAAATGTAGACTGAATAAGACGTAGATCCCCGTGACGCGATCGGCGGATGACCACGACATGTACTACCTCCAGCCCAAACCAGCTTGCAACCTTTGACAATGAGCTAGGCATGATGCAAAACAAGATGTTTCATGCTAGTATTTCCCGGACGCAGGATGGGGAGGTTGTAAGATAAAGAGCGATGTCAAATTCTGATACGGTTGATAGAGATCGGTGGGAACAGAGTCGGGGTGTTATATTTAAGAATCAGAAGGGCATTTTCTTTGTTCTAGATTCATAGGAAGTGGCGCTCCCTGATGAAAAAATCCGGACAGTGGGAGTCTCATACATGTGTCCCGGATAAGAACGTGTTGAAATAGCAGTGACGAGCAATAGGCAACTAGGAAGTGCTACTCGCCGACTAAAAAGTTACCCCAATCGCATGAACTTGTAACCGACGCATTGCGAGCTGTTGTACTGTAAGTGATGGCTACTAAGTTGAACACATCTAGCAAATTAACATAGCACCCAGTTCTTTCTGAGGTTCGCCCAGGTATCCTCATTAAAAGCCATCAATACGGCGCATGACCTATGGTGTTGCCCCTCAAATCCTTGTACAAGACAGACAAGAGATGCATAGCTAGTTTTGAAGTGATGCAGTATAAGTATAGACATTGGATCCAAAATCTCAGTCATATCATTTCAAGGCCCCGGTCCTCTGTGCGCATATCCAAGACATTTAATGATCCCGTATTCCCTCTTCGCCCAGTTCCCGCCCGCAGACATGGATGCCTCGGTAAGTGTGCCCTTTTTGACCGCCGCGCCGCTGACCAGTGTCCAGGAAGTTCTTCGGACTATTGGTGCACTCAATACACGCACTCTCCAGGCAGAGCGCCGCCAAGCGCGATCCGAACAGGAGCTAATCGCCAAACAGGAATCGCTTAGCCAATCTAGGAGCAAGCTAGAGGAGATTGTCCGATTAACCGAGCTTCTGTATGAGGTTAATCGGCGAATGGGATCTATGATGGACTACCTATTCAGGGAGAAGGGAATCAAACATGGTTCGGAAGATGCAGCGTCATTTAATTTGATGTTTGACTTGGTAATGCAGGGGGTGGAGGCGGAGGAGGCTGGGCAGGCACCAAAGTGCGAGAAGTGCGAGGAAAAAGTGAGAGACCCCACGGGCAGCCGTGCCTCCGTACCTGCCGAGCTGAACAGTGGGAGTGGTACAAACTGATGCAACCTCTTGAGATGTCGATTTGCACGCACACAGCCGGTCTAGTAGCAAAATTAACTACATTGCACTTTGGCCGAATCAGCATTGTCCTCGTTACTGTAGCCAAAAAATGTGAGCCACGAAGAAAAGAGGAAAATGGGGGGTAGCTTCTTCAGCGCGACCCATGACCAAGGTGAGCTCTGTTATAGGGTTTGATGATCTGGGGATCAGAGCCTCGTATTCTTCTAAGCCGCGTTTCGTTTTGAGCGAACACAACTGGGCGACTGATTCTCTGTTGTTCGGGATGGCGGCACTTGCAGCTTCTTCGCCACTGCATCCCTATCAACCGTGTCAATCTCAAGCTGGTCAGGCAGGACTTCTTTGCCACTGCACTCGAGATCTATTTCAGAATGGCCTGCGCTCATCTACGCTCGCCCAGGCCTCAGACGCGAAATACAGCTTTAGCACGGAATGGCCCACCCGACTCCTAGACGGATTCACACCTCGTCTGAATTCTTATTCAACTTGGCAGAAAACATAGTGAGGCCTGCCCCAGTGGTGGGTTTAAGATAGTCTAACATGATCCAAGAAGGACATCAAGTACGAAACCCCTCAAGAAAACAAGTAAATTGCCCTACACCACATATCTGCTGAACATATGCACTGACCCCTTTACTTCTATGTGATCATAGGTGGCTAGCGATACTCCCAGTGCTTCATTGTAGGAAACCTCGTGCCAACCCAGAAACACAATGAACTGAAAGGGTATGAAAAGAAGTTCCATCCAGTTTTCGGGTCGGTATATTGCTACATTAGACAGGTTTAGCAGATAGCCCAAGATCGAGTCGGTGGTTCCGCAGTGGAGCTTACATTGGAACAGGTACGCGTCAACACCGTTTTGCTGAGAGCAGTCTGCATCGTGTCACACCACTCGACCTCAGCCCCTTTGCTCACCTCGACAACTGATGCCTGTCGCTGAAGTATAGGACGTGCAATCCTAATCACCAGATTGACCGAGCTGTAACGAATGTCAACACAGATCATCGCAATATTACGGCGGGAGAATACTCACCACTCGATCGCAAAAAGAACAGATGTGTGTCCACTGCCAGAATTTGGGCCAAGTAAATAGAACATATTGGGGAAGTTGTTCATTGCCACGGACTTGTAAGCACCGATGCCACCTTGATCGTCCCAGTGCTGATTCAACGATTTGCCCTGCCTGCCTATCACAGATTCGGCCTTCCATTGCGTGAACTTGAATCCCGTCGCCAAAATCTACGAACCGTGGTTAGTATGAATTGTGGATGCATCTGTCCAAGTGCAACTTACGATAAAATCAACCGGATACTCCTCGCCCGAACCCGTCATCACACTTTTCGAGCCGACTTGTGCAATTGAGTCCTTGACCAGCTTCATTCTAGGGTTGCGAAGCGTCCAGATGTAGTTGTTATCCAATATCCTTCGCTGCACACGATATTAGTGGTGACCTGATGTACTTCAAACACCCGCTTACTCTGCATCCAAGTTCATAGCTTGGGGTGAGCAATGGCCAGTATTTCTCTAGAATTCATCTGTCAGCATCAGGGTGGCAACAGCGTTTGCCATATACTCACCAGGAGCGTTCTCCATAAGATAGCTCTGACTATCAGATGCTCTCTTCTCCCTCAATTTGTTCCCTTTGGGGTTGTTGTAAAATTGCCCAAGTGTTGTCTCAAGGATCCAAAAGATCCCCCATCGGATAAGAAGCAAGGTAAGTGGAATGTAGGAGAAACAAAAGCGCAATGCCTTTCCAAATCGGTAATTGCCCATGGGAATCGGCACGTAATGTTGTGGGCTCTATTTTCACGTAGCAGTGTCAGAATCAAGCAAGCTCGCTAGAATGAAATACTTGCCCGAATAAACTGTGTCAGGCTGTTGACTTGGTCGATCACAGCAGGAACTAGCTGTGAGCCGGAGCCTGCAGGGCTGTTAATTCAATTGTCTGCTAGGCGACTCATAGGGCGTGAACAAACATCCATTACCCACCACGGCCACGTTGAGGCCTCGGAGGTCGTACTCCTTGTCCCATTGGGCAGTATGCACGACGGGACCCTTGAACCGCTCCAAGCCAGGGAGAACGGGGAACTTGGGATTTGTATAGCCCCCGACAGCAGAGATCAGCACTTTGGCTTCGTGAATGAATTCTTCACCTGTCTTCAAATCGCGAAGATAGACATGCCATCGACTTGAAGCTTCTACCCACTGGGCACCTTTCCATTCGGTCCGAGGTCTCACATGTTCAGTGACATGGTAAGCGCGAGCGACACATTGGATATAGGATAAGATTTCCGGCTGGGAAGGAAATAGGCTGGTGAAGTCTGGATTCGGGAACCATGACAGCGAATATAAAGCGCCAGGTATATCAACACTGCATCCTGGATCTGCTGCTTGTTAACAAGTAATATGCAGACGGAGTCAAGGAACATCACAATTATTGGCTGCCCACGCTCCACCCAATTCTCGAGCGCGGTCGTAAATCACATAGTCATTAACATATAGTTGCCGTTGGAGCTGGCATGCCATGTCGATTCCCGACAAGCCTGCTCCGATGATAACAACGTCGCTGTACAACGTCTTTCGTTTGTACATCGCTGGTCTGTTGTGCGATATCCAAACCATGCAAATACTTACAGAGTGAGCTGGTTCGTTGTGGGAGCTGCACAAAGATTACCGAAAGATTTACCTGTCTCTTTAGTATGGCCGACTCGGAAAGGAAAGAAATGGAAATTAATCGGAATAATTTAATAACTTAAACAATGTACTGCCTAAAGAACCAGCCATCGAGCCACACATTGCGACAACGGGACACAAGAGCTAGCAAGTCGCGGAAATTATCTGTTCATTCTTTTCTCTTAAATGCATCGTGGGCATTTTCCATCTTCTGTTTATTTCCTTCTTGCCCAGTGTGAGATCGGAATTGCTCCGCATCGCTGAACCTTCGCATCGCTGAACAACGAGTTTCCCCTGAGTGTGACAAAAACTTACCAGTCAAATTCACTTCCCGTTTGTATCTCCGTTAAGTTCCAATTCCGGTCTGACAGGGGATATTCAGAACGATGTTTTATGTACCCTGGAAGAGAGAGCCACCTTCCAATTTCAACATGTTCGCGTTCCGCCTGACATGGAAGATACGGCATCGGCCATATCAGATAATCTTCCCGTTGTGTTTGTAAATTGCAACAGCTTTCAGGGCCAATGTATGTTGCCTATGAAGGCGATTCCCGTCTTGATCCTGACCCAAGAAAAATTCGAACGCAATGGTTGTATGCTCAACCCAGGCAACAACCACACTCGCACGCGGATACTGCAATCTCACGGGTAGTCATCTCCACTACTGTGTCTAGGCACAGTGGAACTCATGCTTGATGATCTTCTCGGCCAGCAGGTTTCGGCGTGCAAATTCCGCAAGCCCTCGCTTAAAAAGACAGAGCAATGAATGAATGCTTTGTACGTCCCTTGTTCCTAGGAATATCGACCAACCCTGACTACAAACGACATGAGAGTAGTCACAGCAACCAGGGAATTTTCGCATTGCTTCAACCTTTGTGACGCAGCTGATGGTATCCGCAGAATATAAGAGCCAGCTTTGCCCTCCCAATTTACCATGCCTCTAGTTTAATCTGCATCTCCTCTTTCACAAAGAACCGCCCCTATTCAATATCATCATGGTGGACCAAAAAGTCGTACTTGGGCCACAAATCCTCACTTTCCGGCTATGCATGGCTTTGGAAGGACATCCTTTATTTCAGCCAACAGAAGAAAACAAGTCTGGACCCGATTCGCCGAGAAGGTTGTTACTGGCGTCTGCCTTGGATGGCGGCCCATTTACTGAAGACAGAAGCACGAGAGACTCCTGCGCGTCCTCGCCCGATGTAAGTCTTATATAATGTACATTCTAAGTATTGGAACTGAATGTCTCGCAGCCTCCAATCAAGTATCCTTCCTCGCTTGATGCCAGACCCGACTGCAAAGAGGAGGCCGGACTTGCTGTAGCATTCGCACAGGGCCTCGCTTTCTGACTTGGAACGAATGGCGATATACTATTTTTGCATAATGTGGACAGTAAAAATGCATTGTTTTAAAAAGTGTGGCCCGGGAGCTACGTGAGAATATTGCAACAATCTTAGGTACATTGCGTGGCATTGCATCTATAAAGGCCTTCCTAGCTATCTAGTGTGTCAAGTCCATGCTTTAACTTTCTCTTTTTCCGGACATAAATGTGATTTTCTTCGAGTTATTGTACAGCATTTCATTCACTTTAACTCTTGCCACGCTTCCTAGCTATCATCGTCTGCTCGTTCGGGATTCAAATATCTCGTTGTGAGCCTTGCCGGAGCGCCTGGTTCGAAGCCCAAACGCCCTTTTTCCTTGATACCGTACAGTATGGATGGATGGATGATATCATTTACCCTGACCTCTCGCTTTTGGCGATATACAGGATACAGCAACTATATATATCTTGGTATGTTCAAGTGTAATGTCCCACTTCCTGAAAACGAACTTGGAGCCTCGTCAAGGCCTATCGTGGCCCAGGTGCCGTTCAAGTAATTAGGCTGCCCTCATGGCGCGCGACTTTGGAATTTTTGTGACGCCTCAGCGAAGTCTAGTACGGCCTTGACCGTCCTAGCCCGCGAGACGGTGTCTGGTTTACCTCTCTCACCTTCAGTTGAGCCTCCCAGCAGACTCGATACGCTATTAAACGCGTCCCCAACTTCAATCCTTAGCTTCCGTCGGATTTCCCTCAGATTTGGGCAGTCCACCAGCACGTGGGTAACTGTTTCTTGCGCGCCGCACACGCACTGATTGTTGTCGCGGAAGCCGAAGGTCTTGGCATAGGTGGATAACCAATTGTGGCCCGTGCGTAGCTGCGTCAGCAGGTACGCCCGCCCCCTTGGCAGGTTCCCATACAACTTCCTGGTGTAGGCCGCCGGTAGGGTGCTATCAATTCTACGCAGGTGACCGCCTTTAGTTGATGCTTTCCATTCCCGCTCCCATTGAGCGCGGATCTTGTCTCGGATAAGCGCTCTCTTCCTTGTTAGCAAAGGGCGGAAGGGGTGTGTTTTGCCCGGGCTTGCCGCGTCTTTGGCCAACCGATCTGCTGCGTCGTTCCCTGGATCGTCGCAGTGTCCGGGTATCCATTGGAGACAAAGCGCAATTCCCTTTGCTTGGACCTCTGCAGCCGCCTGGAGGATCGCGTGGATGATGCGTTGTCCTGACTTGTTTCCTGGGTTCTCGATCGCCTGCAACGCCGACTTGCTGTCGCAGAGGATCGTTGCCGTTGTTGTTCCATTATGTTCCGTTCTTGGCCGCTGATGGCTGATCTTGAACACTATACTGACAGCGTAGAAAATGCCTATCAGCTCTGCTACGTGAACCGACCACCGGTCCATCGGTCCCACTTGGGCCTGTTTCGATTCGACAACTTGTAGGTCATTGTCGAGTGCTACGGCAGCGGCGCCTAGGTGGCCTTCGCGTCCCGAGGCATCAGAGTAGACCACGATAGCGGATGTGGTCCGCACGGACTCCGCCCGCTCTCTTGCCGTCTCTCGGTCTGACCCGATCTCGATCTCCGTGAAGGACTCGGTTCGCCATGGTGGTAGCGGACGTGGGTCGATCGTCTCTAGCTCATCTAATCTTTCTAGGTTCATGGTCTTCAGGGCTTCCGCCAGTGGGAAGCGAGCGTATGACCCGACATTGTTCCTACGTTTCTGGGCTCGCCGTAGTGTATCCCAGATCGGATGATCGCGCGGCAGAGTGTGAAGGCTTGCGATGGTGTTCTGCGCTCGGCGACGGAGGCGGAGGTGCGTTGGCACAATATGTGCTTCTACTTCCAGAGTCGTGGTGGCCACTGTCCTGAAAGCTGACAGGATCCGTACTAATACGGTTCTCTGGACTGTGTTCAAGTGTCGTAGGTGAGTCTTGTCTCGCAACGGGTCGTGCCAGACCATCGACGCGTAGTCCATGACCGGCGATACGCAGGCTTGGTAGAGCTGTCTCATCTGTTCTGGGCGTAGATGCCGCAGCCCGCCCAGAGCAATACTGACCTTGATTGCCCGTTTAATCGCTTGCTGGACGTGTTCTTTCCAGCGAAGCTCCTGGTCTAACACCACCCCTAGAAGCTTGGCCGTGGGCGACGGTTCGATCGTCTTCCCATTCATAACTACTCGACCCTGAAGCTGTTCGTGTCTTTTCCTGGTGATGTGAATCAGTTCGGTTTTCTCGGCTGCGAAACAAGACCCAGTTCGACGGGCCCATGCTTCAATGCGGGGAATGTCTTCCGATTGGATCTTGGCTAGGTTCTCTTCGGCTGAGCGTCCCACTCGCCAGCGGAAGTAGTCATCGATAAAGGCGGATGCACCGCACAAGGGGATACAGACAAGTGCAAATCCAGCTTCACCAATTTGCACACTTTTGTTAATTCTGTGCCCCACTGATAAGACTCTAGCCTGAAAACTGAGTGCGGTTTAGTGGGGTATGGCATGTACTCTTCTTTCTCCCCTGGTGTAGAACCTTCCAGATCTTGTCACTGACTCAGCTATTTAATTGTGGCAAACCGATCTGGAACTTCTTAGAAACATGATGGCACATTCCATTAGCACGAAAGGGCCACATAAATTCTACTTTTCTTCAGGCCCTTCTTTTACAGAGAGATTAGAATATAGAGGAAGGAGTGAAAATGGAAAATATTGACGACTGCTATAGACGAAATCGTAGGAAAGAAACCCGCCCTGATACGTGTCCTAAGGCAAGTGAATCCCCATTAATCGCGGAACATCTAGACCGAAAGTCAGGAGGAAGCCATAGTACATTTTTGCCGTTCATGTTTATCCACCGCCCTTGCTCAATGCAGATCGCCGGATTCTTGCGGGTTGAATTAGAAGCAAGATTTTCGTGCCCGGACTGAACATCAAGGGTGCCCAAGTTAGTGATTAGATATGGACCCTCTTGAGAAAAGGCGAGTTCGTTGACGATTCCCTTAGTGTTCAAGGTCTGCTGCAGGCCGCCCGTCGCCGTGTCCCAGAGCCGCACGGTCTTACCCCCAGAGCCGGACGCCAGCAGCCGGCCGTCGGGCGAGAATGCCACCGAGGAAACCGGGCCCGAATGGCCCTCGAGAGCCTGCTGCAGGCCGCCCGTCGTCGTGTCCCAGAGCCGCACGGTCTTATCCCCAGAGCCGGACGCCAGCAGCTGGCCGTCGGGCGAGAAGGCCACCGACCAAACCGGGCCCGAATGGCCCTCGAGAGCCTGCTGCAGGCCGCCCGTCGTCGTGTCCCAGAGCCGCACGGTCATATCGTCAGAGCCGGACGCCAGTAGCCGGCCGTCGGGCGAGAAGGCCACCGACCAAACCGGGCCCGAATGGCCCTCGAGAGCCTGCTGCAGGCCGCCCGTCGTCGTGTCCCAGAGCCGCACGGTGTTATCGTAAGAGCCGGACGCCAGCAGCCGGCCGTCGGGCGAGAAGGCCACCGAGGAAACCGGGCCCGAATGGCCCTCGAGAGCCTGCTGCAGGCCGCCCGTCGCCGTGTCCCAGAGCCGCACTGTGTTATCCCCAGAGCCGGACGCCAGCAGCCGGCCGTCGGGCGAGAAGGCCACCGAGTTGACCCAGCCCAAATGGCCCTCGAGAGCCTGCTGGAGGCTGCCCGTCGCCGTGTCCCAGAGCCGCACGGTCATATCCCCAGAGCCGGACGCCAGCAGCCGGCCGTCGGGCGAGATGGCCACCGACCAAACCGGGCCCGAATGGCCCTCGAGAGCCTGCTGCAGGCCACCCGTCGTCGTGTCCCAGAGCCGCACGGTCTTATCCCCAGAGCCGGACGCCAGCAGCCGGCCGTCGGGCGAGAAGGCCACCGAGGAAACCCAGCCCGAATGGCCCTCGAGAACCTGCTGCAGGCCGCCCGTCGCCGTGTCCCAGAGCCGCACTATGTTATCCCCAGAGCCGGACGCCAGCAGCCAGCCGTCGGGCGAGAAGGCCACCGAGGAAACCGGGCCCGAATGGCCCTCGAGAGCCTGCTGGAGGCCGCCCGTCGCCGTGTCCCAGAGCCGCACTGTGTTATCCCCAGAGCCGGACGCCAGCAGCCGGCCGTCGGGCGAGAAGGCCACCGAGTTGACCCAGTCCGAATGGCCCTCGAGAGTCTGCTGCGGGCCGCCCGTCGCCGTGTCCCAGAGCCGCACGGTGTTATCGTAAGAGCCGGACGCCAGCAGCCGGCCGTCGGGCGAGAAGGCCACCGAGTTGACCCAGTCCGAATGGCCCTCGAGAGCCTGCTGGAGGCCGCCCGTCGCCGTGTCCCAGAGCCGCACTGTGTTATCCCAAGAGACGGACGCCAGCAGCCGGCCGTCGGGCGAGAAGGCCACCGAGCTGACCAGGCCCGAATGGCCCTCGAGAGTCTGTAATTCTGCACTCCATTTTTCATTAACTTGTGGGAACTGGCATATCCAACTTGGAAGCTCCGACTTGAACTCTCTGCGAATTATTGTCGTTCGAGGTATAAAGACTAGCCCTGCGCAATAAATCTGGAGCGGTGCTTCGTTGGCTATCTGGTGGTTTTTCAGAACAAAGCGCGTTCCATCATGCAGAAAATTCGATATTACAGAATTATCGTCGCCCTATATCTATTAGTATAAGTGTTAAATAGCTGTGTTCTATGTTACTTGCTTGTATAAGCGGGTGGAGGAGATCAAGCATGCCCACCACCTCCGATATAAGACCTAGTAGACTCATCGCCTCCAGCCAATGCAGAAAATGCTCCTGGAGGAATAGTATCACGTCTTCTATCCCGAAAGAAAGATCCTGACTCTGTTCGAGATGGTGTATCCAGTAGCGACAAGAGTACTGTAATTCCGACGGTAGATATTGGCGGATATGTTTAGGGTCAATGTCTGCCCTACACGCTCCAGGGTCTTCGAGATTACAGATATCTTTCCGTAGATGACTATGCATCGTTTTGAGACAGGACTTAGCAATGTCTTTGTGCTTTCTTTGCTCATCCACAAAAAAATTGCTGCTAGATCTGACCAAAAAATCCCGAAATGATAGATGTAGAATCCTAACAGGCCGATCTCGGTCACCGGGAATGCTCAAAACAGAGCGGAATAAATCCAATCGATTGCTGATCTGGTCTGCTCCTATCTCAAGAAACAGCGACAGGGCATTGATAGAAAGTGGATCAGCGAGAAGGATTATGACACCGACTATGTCCTGGAACTCTTGCAGGAGCTGCTGCTGCTCCGATTCATCACTCTCTTGATCGTCCAGTAGTCGCGTCAAAATTGGCAGGTAAGTCTTATCCATTTTCGATATATATTTAGCTTGGTCCGTTAGAAGCTCTGCGAGGCGCAATTTGGATTCCCATTTTGCATTTTCGATGTAACGGCACACCGTGGCAGCCGAAATAAACAATGGAACGGACATCGTGACCAATTTTTGGATGACGTCATCGCCCGGCCAGTCTTGGGAAATATTTCTGTCATGTTTGATTCTCGCAAATCGGTCCTGCAGGAATAAATGTATGTCATGTTCCGTCACTTCTTCGGGTATCTCATGTAGAGCTAGATCCTGATACCCATGAGCCGCGATCTCTGAAAAGCCGAGGCTGATTGGGAGTTCGGGTCTGCTAGTCAAGAAGATCCGAAGACGAACCGATTTTGCCTTCTGTAGAAGAGCCAGTAATCGAATGATGTTTCGGACATCTTGGTCATGTTCGCATTCGTCCAAAGCGTCGATCACTATCACAGCGGTTTGAGGTTGTCGGCCGAGTTGGTCAAGATCGAGCAGCGGTTGAAGGAGTAGTTTCTCAAACTGCTCCCTCAACGATTTTGATATAATGTCAGGGTCATCGTGGAGTGCCTTGTGCACACCAGACCTCAGCTCAGAAATCATAAGCATCAGTTGCCTTATTAATGTCGGGAAAAACTTCTTCGCGTTCCCTCGGTCCCCTTCACCCCTCTTAAAGAAGAAGCTGGCACCTAGATAATTAGTGTCCTTGAGCGACCTTGCCACAGTCCGAGATATTGTGGATTTTCCTGTCCCAGCCATTCCCTTTAACCAGAAAATGCTTTTTTGGGACGGCGACATAGCCCAATCCATTATCTGCTGTAGAAGCTGGGTCCGAGTGCCTTGGAGACATTGGACTTCGTCTCGGTCGGAGAATGACTCAAACCCTGCCTCCATCGCACCTTCCAACTTCCCAAGATCCATACCTTGGACCACGCTGACCATCAGAGAACTATGCAGGCTTTGGGTCAATTATACAGAGCCATAATATCGTGCTCGCTAAACGTACGTTTGATCCACCTGTAAAGATAAGAGGAATAAAGACTTATATCTCTCGATGTTCTGAATAACGCCCTCCACCTGTGTGCGTTTCAGGGGCCACTTTAAGGCTCGTAATCCCATCTTGCTCATTAACTTCTTTCCTTTTCCTGGATCAAGTCTCGCTTCTAAGGCTCGGAGGTCGGAGATGCAATCGGCAATATCGCGGTCTAGTTGTGAGGAGGTACGTAGGGCCTTTCCGTCGTTACTTTGAAGGAATTTCTGCAGGTCTTGGATTGTCCCTTGGAGGCCTGAAATCGCCTGTTGTAGGGTGAAAATTTTTTCTCGTGCATCTTTAACCTCTTGAATGTAGCCCCCGCAAAGCTTCACAAGGCTTCCCGTTAGTTGAATGACCGCGATAACGCTCGCCGCTTCCGATAAACCATCCATTGTGGAGAACACGGCACAATAACCTATTTTCGACACAGGTAGGTAGGATGGCGGTTGAAGTGTATAAACTTCGGGTTCGATATATAGTTAGGCTTTGTTGGCGAGATGAAGAAGAGTTAAAGAGGGGTAAGTTAGGCGGCGGGTACATCATTGGGTTGTCGGCTGGATTGTCGGCCCGAACCGACCCAGATCCAGATCCATCACGCTTCCTTCCGCCCTTACCACCTCATCAAACTTTGTTGACAGCGCGACAAAGGCCCATCATGGCGCCTCGACTCGCCCCCTCCCAGCTTGTGATGATTCGTGATATGATTGACAGCAGATCGCTGACCACCTTAGAGATGGCAGAAGCGGCTGGCTGCAGCAAGCGTTCGATTATCACCATCAGTAACAACCTCCGAATGTTCGGCGATGTTCGAGCACCCTTGATCCCTGGAGGCCGTCCTCGTATGATCACACCGTTTATGCTCGAAGCCCTATGCGAACACTTGATTGAGAAATCCGATTTATACCTGGACGAAATGGCAGACTTCCTATATGACGAATTCGAACTGCTCGTGTCTACATACACTGTTAGTCGAGCCCTTCGATCGCAGGGTTGGACCAAAAAGATAGCACGACGAATAGCACAAGAACGAAATGCGGATCTGAGAGATCATTATCTGCATCAGCTCTCGGATTTTCGCTCGTATCACCTAGTCTTCATAGACGAATCAGGCTGTGATAAACGGGCTGGGTTCAGGAGGACCGGCTGGTCCCCACGCGGGGTGACACCTGTCCAGGTTTCACGTTTCCAGCGCGGCCAGCGGTATCAAATTCTTCCCGCATATTGCCAAGATGGCATTTTGATGTCGCGAGTCTTCCAAGGATCGACAGACGCGAGTATGTTTGAAGACTTTATTGAACAGCTTCTTCATCATTGTGGTAGATGGCCGGAGCCCAAATCCGTTCTCATCATGGACAACGCGTCTTTCCACCATACTGAACGAATAACAGAACTATGTTTAAATGCTGGTGTGAAGTTGTTGTATTTACCACCGTACTCGCCTGATTTAAACCCGATCGAGGAATTCTTCGCGGAGCTTAAAGCATTCGTAAGACGGAATTGGCAACATCACATAGGTCAAGATTTTGAAGATTTTCTTGAATGGAGCTTGGATGTCGTTGGGGCGAAAAGAGAGAGCGCGGAAGGTCATTTCCGGCATGCGAACGTTGTGGTTGAAGAGCAGTCAGATTAGACATAAATGTCGAAGAGGCCTAGCAACTCTTTGACTAATATATAGCTCAAGGGAGCTTCACTGTTATGAGATTCGTTTCTGGGATAACATGAAATAGCGTGTAGATGCTAAGAGATCCTTGTGTATATTGAGCTGTGGAGCCCAGTTATGTTCATCCACTTACCCACAAGAGGCTGCAAGCCATTGATTGGTTCGATTGATCATGACATCATGCACAGCGTCATGTACCCAGGACCATTTATCTATACCCAATTCCTAAACTAGCGGCTTGGCAGTGGGGCCGAGAAAGAATGAGTGAGTGTAAATTGGTGAAGCTGGATTTGCACTTCTCTGTATCAGAGGTCACCAGTTTCGAGACGCACTGAGTTTCGAGACGCACTATAAATCCCGAGTTCTGAAAACACCGATCTGCTGTTGCGCGACGCGACATTAATCGAGCGAAAATGACGGGACGGGCCGAGACGCGAACCCCTGAACCGCCCGACCGCGACGAACACGAAAAATCACCACCTCGGTTGTTGAGGCCGAGACGCGCCACCAGACCACCCAACAATTATGTCCAAGAGCAAGAACTCGATATCGAACAAACCAACGCACGTGCCCAGCAGAAAAAGAAGGCCCAGAGCAAGGCAGTAGCCCAACGTGAAGCGGTCGCCTCGGAATCATCAACAGAGAGCGAGGACCCGAACGCGTCGGAACTGTTAAAAGAACTTGTCAAACTTAGGAAGGAGATCAGAAAGCGAGACCAATCACACAAGGAAGAGCTTCAAAAAGTCAAAGAAGAATTTATCGCCCTCAAAGAAGAGTTTAGCGCCGCCCTTGCAGAAGTTCGACACGAGCTACAGACCCTGGCCGATAGACCGGCGACACCGCAACCCCACCCCGAGTCGTACTCTCCGAACAACCATGATGCAATTCTCCGCGAGATCCAATCCCTACGTGAGGAAATCAGCGTCCCCGCCCCCACGAGTTCCACGTCCTATGCAGATGTCGCCCGTACTCCTCCGACCAGTTCCCCGAGTAACATACGGACTCTTTCAACGCTGAACACAACACCAACTACTTTCACTGACACGCTATACTGCACGATAGACACTTCAAATATGACCGAAAGTGAGGGTGAGAGGGTATCCGCAGGCTCAATCAGAGCCACAATCGAGAGAGAGATCCAGACGATGGATGATCGCACTCACTGGCGCTGCCGCGCGGTCACTGTGAGCCCAAGAAATACCAACCGGATCAGAATCGCGTGTCGCGATGAAGCCGAACACCAGCTAGTGAAGAAAGTGGTGGAAGCAAAGATCGATGCGGGAGCCCGAGTGCTCCGGGATGAGCTCTACCCGATCAAGGTCGACAGCGTTAAGAGGACTGCAGTACTGGATGAGAACCATGAAATCCTAACAGGAGCTGCGGGAGCCGTGGGTGAGGAGAACGCGGCTACTGTAGCTAAATTGACATGGCTGAGCAGCAAGGAAGCCGCAAAACCTTATGGATCGATGGTCGTGTACCTAACCAAAGGGAGCGACGCGCGGAGGCTCCTGGCCGATGGATACTTCCATGTCGGAGGAGAATCCGGGACCACTAGCGTCTTTGAGTATCGGCCACGACCGGTGCAATGTTATAACTGCCAGGGGATTGGCCATAAGGGATTCCAGTGCAAGAACGCCCAGAAGTGCGCGAAATGCGCCACGGAAGGCCATCGTCACAGTGACTGCGATCGCACGGTTCCAAAGTGCGTACCATGCGGAGGCCCTCACGAATCCTACAGCAAGAACTGCCGGAAGCTCTATCCATCACGTTATGAATAATTCTCTTCGAATAATTCAGCTGAATGTGAGGAAACAGGGTGCAGTGCACGAGAGTTTAATGAACGATGAAGACACTCGGAACGCAGTGGCGCTAGCGATTCAGGAACCCCAAGCGAGGAGGATTCAAGGCCAGCTGTTGACCACCCCGATGGGGCATCACAAGTGGACAAAGATGGTGCCCTGCATGTGGAGGGAAGGGAGATGGGCAATCCGGAGCATGTTATGGGTCAACAAAGAAGTCGAAGCGGAGCAAGTCCCAGTGGAGTCCCCGGACCTCACAGCAGCGCTGATCAGGCTCCCCGAGCGACTGATTTTCATGGCATCAGTCTACGTAGAAGGAGGCAATGTCTCAGCCCTGGAAGATGCGTGCAATCGCTTACGCGACGCGATCACAAAGGTACGACGAGAGGCGGGCGCTGTGGCGGAGGTTCTGATTGTGGGGGACTTCAACCGACACGATCAACTTTGGGGTGGAGACGAGGTGTCGCTGGGAAGACAAGGAGAAGCGGATCCGATCATCGACCTCATGAATGAATTTGCACTCAGTAGCTTGCTCAAACGCGGCACCAAGACATGGCACGGCGGCGGACAAAGTGGAGACTGCGAGTCCACCATTGACCTCGTCCTAGCTTCGGAAAATTTGACGGAATCCATGGCGAAATGTGCTTTACTCGACACAGACCACGGCTCGGACCACTGCGCAATTGAGTCCGTGTTCGACACGCAGTGGTCGGGCCCAAGGCATCAAGAACGGCTTTTGCTGAAGAATGCACCGTGGAAGGAGATTAATGCTAGAATCACGAGTGCTCTAGCCATCCTTCCGTCAGAGGGTACAGTGCAGCAGAAAACCGACCGACTCATGTCAGCAGTGTCCGAAGCGGTGCACGCTTTAACGCCGAGGGCGAAACCTTCACCACATGCGAAGCGATGGTGGACAGATGACCTCACTCAGCTCCGTCATATATACACGTACTGGAGAAACTGTGCTCGCTCCGAGCGACGGGCGGGTCGGAAAGTGCCTCGGCTTGAAAAAACGGCTCAAGATGCGGCCAAACAGTACCACGATGCCATCCGCAAACAAAAGAAGAAGCACTGGAATGAGTTTCTCGCAGACAATGACAACATCTGGAAGGCCGCCAAGTACCTCAAGTCGGGAGACGATGCAGCGTTCGGGAAGATCCCGCAGCTCTTAAGAGCGGATGGAACTACTACCAACGATCACAAGGAGCAAGCGGAGGAATTGCTATCCAAATTCTTCCCACCTTTACCAGGGGACATCGATGAGGAGGGAATGAGACCACAAAGAGCGGCCGTGGACATGCCAGCCATCACTATGGAAGAGATAGAACGACAGTTATTTGCAGCGAAATCGTGGAAGGCTTCGGGAGAAGACGGCCTACCGGCGATCGTTTGGAAGATGACCTGGCCCACAGCCAAGCACAGGGTCCTCGATCTTTTTCAAGCCTCGCTGCAGGAGGGCACACTGCCAAGACAGTGGAGACACGCGAAGATTATACCGCTCAAGAAACCGAACAAAGATGACTACACCATGGCAAAGGCATGGAGGCCTATCTCACTCCTTGCGACACTCGGAAAGATACTCGAGTCGGTGGTCGCAGAGAGGATCTCGCACGCGGTGGAGACTCACGGACTGCTCCCGACGAGCCATTTTGGAGCGCGAAAGCAGCGGTCCGCAGAGCAAGCACTGGTGTTCCTGCAGGAGCAAATCTATGCGGCATGGCGCGGCCGGCGGGTGCTGAGCCTGATCAGCTTCGATGTTAAAGGAGCCTACAACGGAGTATGCAAAGAACGACTGATCCAGAGGATGAAAGCCCGAGGCATACCGGAGGTCTTGCTTCGTTGGGTAGAGGCCTTCTGCTCGGAACGAACGGCGAACATCCTGATTAACGGGCAACTATCTGAGACTCAAAGCTTGCCACAAGCTGGACTGCCGCAGGGCTCGCCCTTGTCTCCGATTCTATTTCTCTTCTTCAACGCAGACCTTGTGCAAAGGCAGATCGACAGCCAGGGAGGAGCAGTCGCCTTTGTGGATGATTTTACCGCATGGGTGACTGGACCGACTGCGCAGAGCAACCGGGAGGGAATTGAAAACATTGTCAACGAGGCGCTCAATTGGGGAAAGAGAAGCGGAGCGACATTCGAGGCCGACAAGACGGCCATCATACACTTTGCTCCCAAGATGCGCAAATCGGACCATTCACCATTCACCATCAAGGGGCAGACAGTGGTACCAAAAGACCACGTCAAGATCCTGGGTGTCGTGATGGACACAAGACTCAAGTATAAAAAACATATTGCGAGGGCAGCGTCTAAGGGTCTTGAAGCAGCGATGGAGCTTCGGCGACTCCGTGGTCTATCCACGGCAACTGCGCGGCAGCTATTCACGTCGACAGTGGCACCAGTTGTGGACTATGCCTCCAACGTGTGGATGCACTCGTGCAAGGATAAAGCCATGGGGCCGATCAACCGAGTCCAAAGAGTAGGAGCGCAAGCCATTGTGGGGACGTTTCTCACGGTTGCGACTAGTGTCGCAGAGGCGGAGGCTTACATAGCTACTGCGCAGCGTCGATTTTGGAAACGAGCCGTGAAGATGTGGACAGACATCCACACTTTGCCGGATACCAATCCTCTCCGCCGGTGCACCGATCAGATCAGAAAGTTCAGAAGATACCACCGCTCACCGTTATATCACGTAGCCGATGCGCTTAAGCAGATCGACATGGAGACTTTGGAAACGATTAACCCCTTCACGCTAGCCCCGTGGGCGGAACGCGTTCAGACTGACATTGATGGACAGCACGAGTCCCCGGCCGAAGCAGGCGAGTACGTGCAGACCGCAGTTAGCAGCTCGGCACGGAACGAACTGGTGGGGTTTGGAGTGGCCATCGAGAAGCGGCCACCTCGAATTCGAAAGCTCAAGCATAAAGCGCTGTCCATCACCTTGGCTGCAAGAGCGGAGCAGAATCCATTCTCTGCAGAACTGGCAGCCATGGCACACGTATTGGGCACGCTGGCGGGACTGAAAGACCACACGATCACACTGCTCACAAGCAACAAAGCGGCGGTTCTCACGCTGAGGAATCCCCGACAACAATCCGGCCAGGAGTTCGTGTGTCGGATATACAAGTCGATTAAGAAGTTGCAAAGAAACGGGAATCGTGTCAAATTCCGCTGGATTTCCACCAGTGAAGACAACAAGCTGCTAGGTCTGGCTAAAGCACAGGCGCGAGCCGCAACGCAACAAGATGCCCCCTCACAAAAACGCGCCCCGAGAATGAAATCAACCACACTTAATCTCGCACGGTCTCAGGCAGTCCCTGGACATAGCCTGCCAATGAACGTTGGGAAACACGCCAAACGAATAGATGCAGCACTTCCAGGAAAACACACACGACTGCTGTATGATCGCTTATCGTGGAAAGAAGCGACTGTGCTAGCCCAACTCCGGACTGGCATGGCTAGACTCAATGGGTATCTCAATCAAATCAATGTAGCAGAAACGGACCAATGCGATTGCGGACAAGCGAGAGAGACCGTGGAGCACTTCCTCTTCCGATGTCGGAAGTGGACTGCCCACCGGACGGAAATGTTACAATGCACCCAGATTCACCGCGGAAATATTTCCTTCTTCCTAGGAGGGAGACAGCCTTCTGATGATCAGAAGTGGACGCCAAACCTAGAGGCAGTACGGGCCTCTATACGTTTCGCCATTGCGACAGGCCGACTCGAGGCCACTTAAACATATCGACCAACACAACTCCCACACCCCCTCTTTCGACCCTACTCACCCATCACCTCGTGCTACAAACGGTAGACGCGCTTCAACTGCCGAAGATAGGATGTTGAACACTTGGAGAAGCGCCTTCAAGTCAGCCTACTAACAAACTACTAACCCACGAGAATCCGCTGCGATACGAGCATCTGAGACGACATACTCTGAATGCAATCATGTATGGGCTCTGATGAGACACAGTACTGTATATATTATGACATGTATAGTAGATCAGCGATAGTTGCCCTTTCGGCTTAGCCGCCGGGCGTTAATGAATTGTTTGTTTGTTTGTATCAGAGGTGTAAAAAGGTTGCCAGACAACCGACCGAATCCTGCGAACTAGTCTGTTTGGCTTGTTTGCAACTGAGAGGTTCTAGACAAATCTGGCATCGTACTTCCTTCCCGCCTGGGTTGCCAAGCAACTTTCTTGATGCTGCGGATCATGCCCTTCTACATGGCCTTTCCGGTCTCATCTTCGAGCATAGCTTCTTTATGAGGATGACCTTTGAGGTACGTGCATTTTTCCACTTCATTAGAAGCCGCATTCGAGCTCCAAATGGTCATCGCACAGTTCAAGGGTCCATATAAGTTAAGATAGTCAAATCCACCCCGAGAGTTCTTCTTCAAAGTGACTGTGCCGTTTTCAAAGAGTCGCTCACTTGGTCCATCGTCGTCGTCCAAAGTCAGGTCAGTAAAGGGATAATCTTTATAATCTTTGGGTCTTTCGTGATCCTGTTGGCTTGCGCCCTGGGTCGCACTAGGTCGCTCGGTCTGGCCAACAAACAATTCGTCGGAATTCACCACGATGTCAGGGAGTGGGTGGCTCTCATTTGAGCGCTGCTGGTTTGCCAAGTCATCGTGGCTGATATTGGCGTCATCGAGGTCCTTGTGTTTGAGATCTGCGGTATTAGATAACCTCGAACCACATGAATTTACTTCTGTTTCTGGTTGGTCTGCAACTTAATTTTGCTGATCTCGGTCGGAGCTCTCATTGCTTTCATTTTCGTTATCTGGTCCATCGCCGCTGTTTTCATTTTCAGTGTCATCGACATACATTGGCTCGCCTTGGGCAATTTTCTTGAGGTTTGTGTCAATATCCATGATATCCGCTTCGATGGCCGTCAAATCCCTTTTGATCTGCTTGTAGCTCGAGAGTAATTCTTTCAATGATACTTCAAGTTCACCCTGTTTTTCCTCATCCTCTTCCTCACTCAGGAGTGCTTTGGTCGCATTGATCTCTTTCTGGAGATCCTTGAGCTGTTTCCTTTGCGAATCTCGACTTTAAGATTGAGCGATCTTTCTCGTGTTCAATTGGCTCTTCCGTTCCAAGGTCGCTGTTCTGGCTTTGGAAACGCCATTTCCCTTTCCCTTATCTTTTGCTCTATTCGTGTCTACTTTTGGCACGTTCGGCGCCATATTCGTTTGTGGAATTCAGAATGGTGGATCGATTTTGCTGTGGGAGGTGCCTTCGTACTTGTGTCCGTAATTCCCACGTAGAAGAGTTGTATATGTTTCTAAATAGGAAGTCCTTTGGATTTAACTCGAGAGGTTCCCAAGGTATGAAACCTAGATGAGGGAGACATGGATTAATTATAGAACACAAGAGCCCAACCATGCTCTTCGAAGATATTAGTGTTTTTCGAAGTCAAATGAGACCGCCCATTTTTCTGAGGTTCAATACATTGCTGGATTGATCCCGGGCAGGAAGTTGAGCTGAACTGCTTTTCAAGTCATAAACCTCAAAATGTACATGGCGCCAGGCACTACATGCCTTTCCGATATTTTTGAATTTCAACACCTACTTACAATCATACTGATAGACATATGAGCCTTGTGGCCTATAATAGACGGGCAATATTTACCGTTGAATCATTGCATTAATGGTTTTAGCATAGAGGTCAACGAGCAAGAGAATATTTGCAGCCGGCGATTCAACAAATGGATTGTCTCAGAAATCCGACTACGAATTGGCTGAAAAGATGAATAAATTGATAATTCATTTATACTCTTTTTCAGACGCCGAAAAAAGTAAGGTAAAAAACACTCTCCACTCCAGATCATGCGCATTTCATAATACACAGCACTCCCAAGTCTGCTGGAAGAATTATTTCACCCTGCCTACCCAGAAATTATCCTCTTGATAGACCCGTGGCAAGTCCACCATTCTGTTATATTTTCCAGGCCTTGACCCCATGTGAACTTTATAAATACGCAAAAATACAGCGTACTTACTTAGCTTAGCTAAGGAGGTGTGCACCTGTTAGCCGAGCGGTCAAAAACAAGCGTTTTTAGTTCCAGCAGTGGATCGTCTTGTGTAAAATTTACTGTATGGATATTGATTTATTTGCCCTTTTTGAAAATGCTACCCTTCGTTTAAATGTGAAAAAGGATTATTTGTTCTGGACTTCAAAGGTCTAAGGCGCCACAACCATCGACGGCCATCAAGAGCCACCTATTCCCCGTTAACTCACTTCAACCAGTTCCGGAAGCACTCAGCGCGTGAACCCCCCTTTTTTTGAGCCAGTCGGGATACTGAGGGCTACATGGATGTATTCATATGCAAGAATCGGGAAAATGAAGACGTCTGAGATCAAAAACATTGGAAGGGTATAAGCTCAGAGGAAGTATGATTGGGCCCTGTTTTCCACGAGAAAGCATGACTGGTCCCATATCGATCTTCATTATCCATATTCTCCTAGTAATCGTGCCAGTAGATTAGCCGAGGTGCTGAAGTTCAGGATTACATTGGTCTAATGTTGCTCTGCTCCTCAGAAATCAACGCGCACTCCTAGGAACTAATATCGAGGCGCAGATTATCTGTTCCTTCAACCTGGTTCCTAGGAAGCCATTTTACAGCACTGTGATTTATGCGAAGGTTTCCACGGCTAATGGTAAACTATAAAGTCTTCTTTGCTCGCCGTGGGAGATCATTCTTGCCAACCATCTTTAAATCTGAAAACTACTACACAAATTTGTTTTGTCCCGACTTCGTCATGGTAAGTTAGCTGATTCACTAGCCCTAGGCTAATATTGACCGAAGCCTGCTTGCTAACCGACTGTCCAAGAACCTACGCCAAATCTATCCGGAATCGAAAAGTGACCTAAGTCGAAATACCATAAAGTAGGATACAATTTGCTTACCCTAACTCCCGCAAAGGCTTACACTATGAGCAGCGTAATAGCTGTCCATGGCCTTGACTTTGTGGATGCAGATGAAAAGTGCTCAAACTCTTCGTGGCAGCAGCCGCCCAACACACAGCAACCGTCCAACACGCAGCCCACTGAAGGATGGCTGAAAGCCTTCTTTCAAGACTTGTCTTTCCGAGACAGCTCTTGGGGAGTACGGTTGTTTCTTTACGAATACGACTCTATTCGCACTTTTTGCAGCAGTTCTGAGGATTTTCAAAAAGAAGCGAAGGTCATGTTGCAACAACTGTGCCAACCTCAATGGTCTTTCAAGGTGGGTGTCATCGCTTTCTAGAACCCCCTCAACCGTTCAGGGGCTAAAGGAAAAAAAGGATTCGCGGATAATATTCCTGTGCCAGGGCCTAGGAGGCCTCATGACAAAACAGGTGAGTTAAGTAAAAGAGTTAGAGTGCTGTTATTCACAAGATGGACAGGCTTTGGTGCACGCATCGGCAGAATCAATTTATTCCGAGATAAAACATGCGACGTGGGTCCCGCTGCTGTTTCACGAATGAAGAACGTTTGACGCTAACGGTAGAAGGTCTGGGCTTGTTTTCTTTGGCACCCCTCACAAGGGAATCAATCAGGGTCGTACTAGGTTGCTAAAACCAATTTTCTCGAATCTGTTCTGCAGCGATGCAAGAAAGAGGTTACCCAGCCTGCAACTTGACTTGGAACCACTCGGCAGCGCATTTCGTCACCAAGTTGAGGACTACAAATTTGTGTCGTTCTACAGCGAAACCGATCAGGTGAGAAACGGATTGTCGGAGCAGATTCTCTAGTCTTCATATGCAGGTCATTGATATATTTTCTAGATTGTGCCTTTCAATTCAGCGGTGTTGAATTTGGCAGGCCACCGAGAAACCCAAGTTTGCCTTACGGTAGACCGAAGCGACCTATGTTGCTTCCTTATCGGCTCGGTTAGTTATAAGAAAGTCACACGAACCTTACGGATGCTGTGTGAGGAGGTCATACAAGAGCAAAACATGTCAACCTAACAACAGATAAACAATCGGGCTCTTTGCAATCAAGTAACTGCAGGAAGCAGCGAAGAAATATGTCAGATTGCCAATCGAACGGTGGTCTTGTTTGCTGGATTGCGTTGAACCCCCAAGTCCCCTGTGGTGTGGCGACTCTCATACTTGCATCTTTACGTTGTATGTCAACAAAAGAGGGTCGCAATTTTATTAGTGCGTCCGAAGAATATTCATTATTATGATTTCTTGATACTAGTAAGGTTCTCGATTAATACAATCTTAAAAGTGCCACATAGAGAGATAGTAACATTGACTCTACTCTCTACTCCGTGTTCCGTACTCTGTCTATGGCTCTAGTTCAGATGCGAACATGCCAAGATAATGTGGGAATGATGCCAAGGAACTAACGGTAATTTATGCTGGAGACACTAGTCCAGTACTAGTAGGGTATTGTAAGGGGGACGGAAAGTTTGATATAAACCTGCTCTCAGCCCTGAGGACTATAAAGCGGTCCTTCCAAGGTTCCAATGAGGCTGGGCTTTTTTCCGTCCTCAACTCACCTCTGAATCACCGCAACATCCTAAGTCGACCCATCATGTCGCTACTCGGAAAGCCGATGAAGCAATACTCTTGGCTTCCATGGTCCATTCGTAACATCTATGACTGGCTCCATTACTCTGAGCCCACCTGGGGCTACACAATCTACCGGACGACCTACACTCCCCAATCCAATGCCGCTTTCCCGCGTATGGTCGACCTCACCACGAAGTACATGAAGAACGGATTCTACGGTGAATACGAATCTTCCCTTCGCGAAAGATCCTATGCAAATGAGTTCAACATCACTCCCTGGGATGAAATGTGGCTCAATTACCAGCCACGGGTCATTGAAGATGCTTCCCAGTTCGACGGAGCATCGATCAAGAAGCTCCGCGAGCATTTCAGGGCTGACGCAATTGAGCGTGGTGTTCTCGATGTATTTCCTGGGTATCGCATGTTTATTCTCATTGACGAAGAAAGTTTTCAAACGTTACAAAACGCTCCCCTTCCAGAGAGCTCAAAATACGACGAGGAGAGACGTCCAATTATGTGAAACTCATCGAGGCGTTGGAGGTAGATTCATATGAGGATTTTCCAGGGTGGATGAAGTGTTCCCTGTCCTCGTTGTTCGAGATGTGGTCGGATATGCAGGACACGGCTTATATGAAGGACAGTTATTCGATGAGACCCGACGGTACTGATGTTTTGTGAATTTTTCTTGTGATGTGACTCTTGAATACTGCAGTAACTACACCCAAGATTCAATAGCTGCATATTGTCGGCTCTGCGACCGAAATCTTAAGCCCTACGATTGTCTCGCAATAGTTTGGATGGAAGATAGATGATCCGCCTTGCATTAATCCCGATTGGGAGAGATATATATCTTAGACTAACACCGGCTCTGAGCAGCGATATGTCAAGACTTGGAATACGCACAAATAAGCCATATTTTTCTGGTTAGCTAAGAAGTGCACACGTAAGGCCGAGCGGGCAAAAACAGGCGTTTTTCGTTCCGACAGTATGGTCTTGTGTTAATAATATGAATATTTATTTATTTGCCAGTTCTGGAAAAAGCTACAGTGCTCTTCCTTCTCATGTGAGAAATTATGGTTCGTTCTGGACCTCGAAGAACTAAGGCGCCGTAATCACCGACGGCCACCAAGAGCCACCTTTTCCCTGGAAAATGCTTCAACCAGTTCCGGTAGCACTCAGAGCATGAAACCTTTTTTTTTTAGCCAGTCAGGATATTGAGGGCTACGTGGATATATTCATATGCAAGATTCTGGAAAATGAAAGGATCTGAGATGATCCTCCTCTCATTGGGAGACCCACCGCGAGACCCACCGCAGCAAAGCCATCCTTAGCGACTGTTCATAGTATAAAATGGCTCTTATCTCTTGTCTCCTTCATTTGAAACTGCATTCAGTCGAATCCATACTGAGTATGGAAATGCCTCCTATTTACGCGATTGCGGTGGGCGGCATATTTCTGGCGTTATTTCTCATCCAAACTCGTTACGTCCTAGCTCACTGGACAGAATCAATTTCGGTTTTGCTTTCCCGCTATCTGACCCTTCCTAACCTCGAGACCGGTTCTGATCATGTACTTGGCCACGATTGTGCGCGCCTCCAGGCGCGTCAACAATTCTTCGTGGCGGAGCGTGATGCCTTGCTCAGACAGGGCCTCGCGCATCTCGTTGCGCTCCTCTTGATGCAACGGGCACTCAAGTAGGACGTGTGTCACCGTTTGGTTGCCCAAGTCGCAATCGCATCGTGCGGTCTCTCGCCGATTGATGCGAGCCAGATAAGCATTTAGTTCGATGCGTCCGGTCCGCAACTGCATCCATCCTGATGCAGTTGCTTTGCGTAATCCCGACCAGTATTCCAGGGTTTTCCTGCTCGGTGTCTCAATCAACCTTCTGGTTGGTCGACCGGTTTTCTCTAATGCCCATGCTGTTTCCCACTCGATCTTTGCCTCTTGGCGAAATCGACGCTTCGTCGCGGCAGCAAGGCGAATGTATCGATTATGAGGATTTTGTGCGTCGTCGGGTTTCTGGGCCGCTTCTTTTGCGTGCTGGTCCACGATCTCGTTGCTCAGCACTCCTTGGTGCGCTGGGATCCACCTGAGTTCGGTTTTGATTCCTCTCTCCGCCAGCCGGTGTATGAGTTCCAGGCATCCTATCAGGTAAATCTGACCTGAAGGCATACGAGGTCGGCGGAGCGCTCTCAGCGCCGCTTGGCTGTCCGCAAAGATGACTAGCCCATTCTTTGCTTGTGCAATCCAGGGTTCGGTGCTGTTAAGGACCGAGTCCAGTGCCATCTCAATAGCGCGTAGCTCTGCCGCGTACACAGTCGTTGTGTTATCGTCGCCCATCTGACTGTAGGCAACATGGTCTTCAAGATCAATCACTGCCGCTGCTCCCACTCTTCCTTCGATTCCGCTTCCATCGGTATATGCTATCAAGGGTCGTTCGTTCGATGCTATCACCACAATCTGCTCATGAAATGCTCCTGCGGTTTCTCTGTCCTCGATGTTCACCTCCGGTGGCGCTTGCCATGGTGCTAGGACGAATGCCTTTCGATTCTCCCATTGTCTTGCCAAAGTGTGCGGGAGAGCCGTCAGGCATCCGCCCGTTTTCCAGGCTTGCGCCTCCATCGGTGTCCATCCAGACCAGTCTTTTTCGTGCATCGGTCGGCGGCGTACCATCGTTGATGGTATACCGAGTTCTGGTCCTGTTCGTAATCGAAGAGCCGTTTCTTTCACCAGTCGATTCATGTGGATCAAGATGGGTGGTAGGTAAAGCTCCGTGTTCAGTGACTCCGCTGAGGTGGTTCTGAACGCCCCACTAATGAGACATGCTGCTTGTTTTTGAATGGCCACAAAAGGCCGACAGATTGCCTTGGCTTTGGACTTGCTAATGAGCATATGCTGATACCACGCAGAGACACCAAAGAGCATCTGCGGTATGATCACTGCTTGATAGATTCTGCGCATGGCATATAACGAGGCTCCCCACGTTGAACCTGCCAGGCTCCTAAGTGCTCTGAGAGAGACGCTAGCTTTGGCCACGGCTTTCTCACGATGATGATGGAATTCCAGACCTGGATCTAGCCAGTAGCCTAGGTATCGCTCGGCTGTCTTGGTCGCTGGTACGGTGTGTTCTCGTAGACGTAATGGAAGGTATTGTGGGTCGACCTCTTTGGTGTTCACAAAGTGGATGAGAGCGTACTTTTTCGGGTCGAAGACTGACGCATGTCTCCCGGCCCACTGGTCGGCTTTACGACATGCGGTCTTGAGCTTCCCGATCGTCTCGCGTTCGCTGTCCCCTTTGGCCATGAAGCAAAGATCATCTACCCAACCACTGCTAGTGATACCTGCCCCGCAGTCCTCAATGAGGTCTGCATTGTAGATCAAATAGAGAATTGGTGATATCGGCGATCCTTGCGGGATGCCCGTCGGTGTTGGGATCGTATCGGACAAGCCCTCGGGCATGCAAATTCTTGTGCTTCGGTTCGTCAAGAAAGCCTTCACCCAGGGAACAAAGTGTCCCAGGCGTCGTTTCTTGAGATTATGGAGTAGGCGAGCGTGGGAAACATTATCGTATGCCCCGGAGACGTCTAGCATCAACAGGGACACTACTGGCTTACCCTTGCCCCATGATGTTTTGATTCGATCGATGACGATGGGGATAGCATGGTCAGTGGATATGCCCCTCCGGCCACCCAGATGGGTTCGGGGGAGCAATCCTTCCCTCTCCACCGCATAACTGATCCTTCGTGCAACGACTGACTCCAAGAATTTCCCGAGTGTGTTTAGTAATGCGACCGGCCTGTAGGATTTGGCAAGTTGATAGTCACTTTTCCCTTGTTTTCGGAGAACGACCGTGATCGAGCGCTGGAAATGTGATGGATTGTGCCCGATACGCATGCATGCGTTGAATAGTTGAACAAGCACGTCCAAGATTATCGGTATCTCGATGAGTTTGTGCCATAGAGAGTTCGGTATACCGTCTTCTCCTGGCGCTTTCCCTGCTTTCGCTCCTCTCACTGCTTCCTCTATCTCTTGCGCCGTCACTGGTGGAAAATTAATTGGATGCGGGTATTGGAATGATTCTGTGTCGGAGAGGTCAGCCGGTGGTGGTTGCGGGAAGAATGCTGCCCGGAAGGCTTCTGCTTTTTGCTCAATTGTTTCTGCGAAAGCGCCCGGTGTTTGAGGGTTTTGGATTTTGAGCGCGGGTGTGATCCCTTTCTCGTACGCTCCATCTCGATTCCTTGCCCATTTCGCTAGTCGCCACATGCCTTGCGGCCAATCTTCGATAACCTGCTGGACACGGCGTCGGTGCGCTCGTGACAGGGTCTTTTTGATCAAATGTGAATTTCTGTTACGTGCTTTGGAGTAAAGCATCCAGTCGTAGGAATCCTTCGTTCTCGTGTGTCTGCGGCGGAGACGACGGACCTCTTTCACTGCGGCCTTGCATTCATCGTTGAAGTCGGAGTTCGACCACGCTGATGGTTTTGCCCATGGTGTGGAATCTTCAACTGCTGATTGAACAGTCTTCAGTAGTTCTTCGCATTCAGTCTCTATTTGCTGTGTGTCTGCCTGGGATAGATTCCCCGCATGCAGGCTTGCTTCTATTTTCTGGACGAGTCTCTTGTTGTCAGTTGCGTTCCAATTTCTTCGCTTCTGTTGTAATGCGGCTGGAGTCTCCATGTCAAACACGGATCGAATCGGAAAGTGATCGGAAGCGTGTTCGATGTCGTCTGCCCTCTCGCATTGGATGAGCCTACCCACGAGACTTGAAGAGACAAAGGTAAGATCAATCACCGACGACTGATCATTCCGGGTCCAGGTCGGTTTGCCTTCTTCAGTCGTTACTTCCAGCCCCCATTCATTGGTGATTTCGAGAAGTTGCTCAGCTTCCCTGCCAGCTTTGGTCCCTGTGCCTCCCCACGTTGGATGGTGTGCATTCATATCTCCCAGGATTACGTAATCTGCAAGAGGGCGCTTCGACAACTCATATCTCAGTTGCTCTAGTGTTTGGCTGCCCGGCCTGTTGTATATGTTGTGTATGAAGAGGTCTGTCCAGTCTCCATCTCGCCGGGTCTTCCTGGGTTTCAACAGTTGGTAGTCCTGCGAGATGAGCTGACATGACCAGGTGCTTGGATCAAGCCTTTTGGACACAAACAGGCATACTCCTGGTTGAGAGGGGGCTGAAGTCCGATTCTGATCCTCATGCTCATCTTAATCTTGTTCTCGTGTTGCCCCTTTCGCCGGGTATATGAGCTGAAATGATGTGGTCGCCGGTTGGTGGGTTGTGTGCTGTAGCTCATTCTTCCACGGCTCCTGCACCGCGATAATGTCTGCTGCGAGAACATTCTTATCTCGCAAAAACGTAGCCATCACCGGCCACGACTTGTGTACGTTATATTGAAGAATCTCGAAGGTCCTCATTGATGGGGCTGCTCGTCATCGCTTCGCTCGCTAGCTTCATGCCAGACTTCGTCATGTGGGTCGTCGATTGTCACTGCATCAGTTGCAAGTACGGGGGGGAGGGACCTAATTGATACCGCTTGCTGTTTCCTGTATTTCAAAACAACCAGTCTTCGGGATTCGGGGCTCTCCGGATCCACTTCCTCAATACTTGGCTCAGGAGTGTTATTCGCATCGTTGAGGGTCGTGATCTCACCAATAAACTGGGAAAGTCGGTTTTCGTGGCTGTCTTCTTGGGCGCTGGTCTCGGGAAAATCAACCGGGTTGAGCTGGATGTTAAGCCATTGTTTTCGATGTGATTCAACACCTTGCGGGCGCCTTCCGCGATGTCTTCCATGGATCGGGGCGGATCCGCGAGGGCCGTGTTTTTTGATGTTCCTCTCCTGATAGGGTGCAGATTCTGTGCATTCGCACCCGTCGCCATCGCTGCTGCCATCACCCCTATAAAAAGAGTATCGGATGGTAGCGCTTGAAGTTACGACTACGGTGAACTAATTCTCGAGGCACCACGACCTCTGGTTGGCTAGATATTCCAGGAAAACGTTTTTGCCAAGAAAGAGTTGTTTTCTCAATTCCGCCTTGGTCTTACGACTTCATGTACGCTTTTGCAGCGTGTTCTTTTTACCCTGCTCCAGATCCTGATCTGTCACTAGCATCGGGGCTGGATAGTTAGAGTTCTTGATGGGTCAGTCGCTTTTTCATCGGAGTCATAGGTGGCGACATACTAATTGCGAGCCAAGGAAAGCCCAAAATCCCGAAGTATCCGCTGATAAGATGTGTACCTGGCCCGTCTCTCGGATTCGAATTCCGACGCATACATCTGCGCCGCACATTCTACTATATTCGCATGCCTTTTTCATCAGACTGTTTTTGCGACGGCATATTTTTTGCCGCATCAATTTTCTTTTCGAGGTGACGTCTTTAGGCCTGGTAGAATTTATGGCGGTCATCGTGAGGGGTTGCCTTGATATCTGGGGGTTTCTGGAAGTTAAGGAACCTATGTAGAAAGAAATAGGTAGCGGGAATAAATATTGTCGTGCAAAGGAGAGTTGCCAATTATGGCACGCAAAGAGACAACAATATTCCTCGAAAATGTTGAACGATTGGTCCTTTGCGTGTTGAACTCATAAATATGACGGCCCCCACAAAACTTGATGGGCAATCACTGGTGTCATTTGCGGCCATAAAATGAGTGCCGCAACGCGAAAGCAACCCGTTTCTTGTCTGCAATACCATTTACATGCCCGCGACCTCATTGCAGCATAGTTTTAGCACCAGCAAGCCCTTCACGTTAGTTAGAGTGGATTAAACGTTCAAAGTTGAACAAGAACCTCAAAGAACTTTCAAGAGATGATATTCTTAGATCAGTATGTCATACGACTACCTATTTTTCCGCGAAATGACGTACTAAATCTATCCAAAGAAGCTACCATTTTACCTACGAATGCTTTACTCCAGATTCAAAACCACTGGTCAGTTCTATAACTATACCGTTTCGTGATTATCTGCGACCATCTCTAAATGGGTCTCCGTTAAAAATCCGCAATTTTGGAAGTGACTGCATGATTTTAAGCGGATGACTACTCTAAATGCGATTCGTCGACTGTGCTCCCTTTCCTTCATCTCCATGTCCTCTATAAAGACACCATTATAAGAGAAAAATGATGTTGATGCCAAGAAGTGTGCCCATGTAAAGCCAAATATCGCACGGTAGTTCACTATACAATATCACGAGGAGTCCGGTGAATAGGGTAGGAAGAAACACGAAGCTTGATCGCATAGAGCCAAGTTCACATGGGTGTAGTTGTCTCGCGATAGCTCAGATGGAAGGAAGATTATGATCAGCCCTGCAATAATTTCTCGGATAGATATATACCTTAGAATAACACCGGCCCCGGGCAACGATGTGTGGGTCTGAGAAGTAAAAGCTAATAACGGTCTATGAGGTGTTGCCTGTGGCATCAAGATAAGTCATCCTACTGGCGAACTATCATAAGTATAAAGCTCTGTGATTTTCTTGCAATAGCTGGGAATCTTTGATACGAAAATACAGACTGACAATGGAACTCACTATCTTCTACGCCATGACAGCGGGGTGCTTACTGGCAATGCTCTTTCTCATTCGCATAGCCCCTTCCATTCTGAACCTAGTCAGAAGGTTGTCGTTCCTCATCACGAAGCACTTAACATATCCGTACTTGTGGGGTCGCCATAGGCTGATATCTCCTTGCACACGAGCTGATGCCTTGTCATACATCACGTATGCTGCAACGAATGTGTTTCTCATTGCTTTCAACACACCATCAGCAACAATTGCTAGAGACCGCGCCGGAACTCTTTCACTGATCAACATGAGTTTCCTGTTCTTGGCACACCATTTGGCATCCCTTGCGAATACCATTGGTGTTTCTTTGATGACGTGCAAGCGCATTCATCGGGCTGCGGGCTGGATGACAGGCATTCTCCTTATATTACATATCGTCATGGCTATGATAACTGAGCAGAATGGCTGGAATCTTCATGAAAAGCCCAAACTCTTCGCATTAATTGTATGTCATCACTCTCGCTCAACCTACCTTGCTAATCTTGTAATACTGATCTTTCTCAGGGTGCTGTGATTATGGCCGCAATTCTATTATTATCCCTCCCTTTCGTTCGCCGATTCCTCTACGAGCCGTTCCTTCGACTACACCAAGCTTTGGCCACAGCCTGCATATATTTTGTATGGCGGCATTTGCCATCCAATACTCTGCTGCCTCGGCTATATGTTTACATTTCGCTTGGCACAATGCTACTTGCATTGCTGGTCGAGCTTTTTCTTTTCATTATTAGGAACGGTGTCTTCCCCCCACGTCCCTATTCTCGTGCCTCTATCAGATGTGATCGGTTGCAACAAACACCAATAGAGAGCAAAGAGGAAACGCCACTGAAAGTAAGGATTGCACTTACAAGGCCCCTACATGTCGAGGCAGGCCAATACGTAAGTCTCTGGATACCCGCGGCAAGCCTATTCTCCTGGGCCCAGACACATCCGTTTATGGTGACATCTTGGTCGCCAGAAAAACAGGATGTCCTGGAGCTTTTTATTCAACCTCGAAAAGGGCTCACTGAGACTATTCACCATCGCACAGCCCTGGATGGCTATACTTCCTTGACAGCATTTGTTAGCGGGCCGTATGGAGTCAGCAAATCCGTAGACCATTACGAATGCGTCTTGGCAATTGCGACCGATTTCGGCATAGCAGGTGTGATCTCTTATCTTAAAAAGCTCCTCTACGGATACAACACTTGCACGTCACATGTGCGCCGGGTACATTTCGTGTGGGAGGTGCAAACATTAGGTAAGTTCGGCCTCCACGTTCAAAGAGCACGATGCTGAATTTCTCAGATATTGCTGTTGCAGCCCAACCACTTCTGAACAGCTTGTTAAGTGATGATATCTTGGATGATGGCTATGTGGGTTGGCTCTTCTTGTTTAATCATACTCGCGCTGATAATGTGATACAGATACTCGAAATGTCCTTTTTCGTGGCATCAAACCAGATGATAGAACATGGCAAGCCGTTCGGTCAGCATCGCCGCGCGACAGTTTTCAATGGAAAGCCTCGATACGATGAAATTATATCAGAAGAGGCTTCCGGGCGAAACATAAAACGGCTGCCAAACACTCATGAAGACCGCGGTGAGGTTCTGGTTATGGGTAAGTCCATCACTTTGAATAACAAACCAGACGCTAACTTCCTAGTATCCGCATCGCATGACGTACGAGATCGTTTGAGAGAATTAGTTCGTAAACACCTCGAACAGAGAGTAAGGTTATATGAGACGGAGTTTCAGCCGTAACGAGAAGGGACCAATCTGAGAAGTGGGGAGATGAGCGGTGGGCCCAGCGAATGAACCGATTGACCACAGGTTGATTCACCGCCCTCCAGAAAACAAACAGCCCTGTCCACCGTTCAACTATTGCATTTCACCGTCACACTTAACCCGTTCAATTCATCAATGTTTCCCGGTCCAAGACACAGCATGTACTCTATGTTTCTGTGATCAGCTCCTGTTTATTACAATTACGGCACACCTCCCAATTTCTAAACAACGTGTACACCATTTCCTGACCGGCGTCTGTTTCAACCCTGGTTCACCTCACGGTTTCTTAGAGAGCGTGTATCCCGTTTTGACCATGACCTTGATAGTATGATGACGAGGATTTTCATTAGGGCATGGCGACTGGCAAAACATGCTTCAACGGTGTGTCTTCTTGGCTGGTTGGGAAAACCGCGGCCAACTGATTAACTGCCGTTTGGTTGCGACACCCAAAAGGTGTCGCAACCAAAGGGCACGTAGTTATTACCTTTCAAGATGCGCCTTTCGGGGCGCTTAAAATCCCCGCGTACCCTTTTTTATTTTTTTCTCGCCATTTGCTTTCTTTATGTATCCAGCTATCTCGAATTCAGTGAACGTTCTTCTTCATTCTTCAGTTGACTGAACACGAGGCAATTCCTCTGCTATCCACACATCGCACGTTGCGAGAAGTTGACCATTGATTTTCTGTTGTCGCCCACTAGCATATGGATGATGGTGTTGTTTGATCCAGACACTTTAGTCTCTCAAGGCGCCCCTGGACCCGATTTCTCAGATGATGACCCTGTTGATTGGGATGACTGGCTCACTTCAGAGGCACTCCGGAATGAAAAATATCTGGCTACCTCACAATGCAGCTTTATCAACTCGGAGGACTGTACTGAGCGTCGGCATTTACTGAAACATGTCACTCAGCTTCATTTACAACGGCCAGAATTCTCACTGCCATCAGATGGAACTCTTCAGTTGACGCAGCCCACAGAAAACAACAAAGAGACAATGACAACATGTCTCCGAACGTCAACTCCAGGCGCATGCGCCTCTGCAGAATGTGAATACACAGAAATCCAACCACTCGCGAGCAACGAAAAAGAACAATTCAAGTATCCAAAGCCTAGTGATGATCATTCTAGTGATTTCGGCATTGAGAATCACAACCACAGAAGAGTTCTCACTTCACCAGATTTCAAGTCTCTGGAAATACAAGAGATCGAAAAAGGAACCTTTCACGATTACAAGCATGTCAATAACCTGACCCAGGCAGCTGAGCACGTTGACTGCATTCAAATAATATGTCAGATTGCAACTGACGAGACAATGAGCAAAAGACAAGCCCGAGACGTCGAAGACTGCGGTGATAGTTTGACCACAATTATGCGATCCGGCCAGATTGCGTTGAAGTCTCTTTTAGTCAACTGTCACCTGCATACCTTACCTAGTGTTGACATGTTTGACCTGAATTCGTCTCTGACGGCATGCGTGGCATATCTGAGGTACCTGAACTCGGTCACTGGTTCAGTTTCGAAATCAGATGATGTGAATCGCCGCCTTGCGCAGATTTGGATCCATATTCATTTCGAAAATCATGCCAATGATTTGGAGGAAAGTGAGAAAAACGGTCATCCACTTGACCGAAAAGGTCGGGCAATCCCCACAATCGCTAGAGATTCTATATTACAGGCTTTTCATGGGAGCCAATTCGTTCCGCAAAAAGCAGATCGCGACTTTTTGAGCGATCAATGCCGCTGGGGCGAGCGTTGGTGGAAAGTTGCTACTTGCGTGGGGCTTGGTGTGATCTTACTAGCCAGTGAAGACCTGGCAAACCAAATGTATGCTCATTTATACTCTACGGAATGGCTGTTTGCTGACTTTTAAACAGAGGCAGAAGAACAGCTTTTCAGAATAAAATGGTAGACACGTTGGCCATTTATGTTCTCAATCGTTACCCAGCTCTGACCAAGTTTTATCGATCGTTTGAGCCTATGGCAGTAGGCCTCATGCTTGGAGGTGATAATGTCTTTTCCCGGGACCAACTAAACATTTCCCTAGAGGCGCTCGTGGAGGATGAAGCAAACCCATGCAAGCTAGAAAGATGGGTGGTTCCCAACCTCAAATCTCTTTCTAGACTTGCCGCTTCCCACCTAATCTTTCGCCAGGTATTTTAAGGCTATGGTCGGTTCCAGCAGGTGTTGAGTGAAATATATTATCTTCACGATGCCATCGCCTTTCTCTGGCTCTTAGACCGTAGGGAACCATGCCCCAGAGGGTAGAGCAGCGATTGGTGACTAAAGTTATTCGACCATGTCCTCCAACCAATCCTTTGTATTCCTCATACGCGCGCGGGTTGATGGTTGCGGATGACACCAATTTGTCTGTCCCTGTCCCTGTCTCTAAGTTCGTTCATAAATTCGTGGCAAAGATCATGGTCTATTAGAGGATTCTGATCGGCTGTGGCCTCCCGGCGGGCCGGTCATGAGTTTATCACGTAGCTACATGAGTCAACCACGTAGCATATATGAAATCCATTACAGCATGGATCCCTTATGTAGCAGTTACGTCTCATTTCTAGAAATGGCGCCTCATTCCCATCTCAATTTATTGGACGAGATTCTGAGCCCACGAACTCCTTTACTCATAACTCTGGTAACCATTAGTTTTGCACTGATATTCTGAATAACGAGGGTCTAGCCGCTGCTTTAGGACCTACAGTAACAAATATAGCACCGCTAGGGTCTTATTTTATGCAGTGCTAAGTTTAGAGCTGCTAACAGGTCTTTACCGTACGAACATATGATGGATTCCTTGGAAACCATGAGCAAGCCAAAATTCACAATTCCCTAACAGTGTTTCGAACTACCTCTCGTAGGAATAGAACATCCTTGCGGATACTAAAATAGACCGAGCAAGTAGGATCAACTCTCCTACCAATTGATTCTTTTTGTAGACAAGCGGTTGCTGACAAATTTTAGTGTTATTTTCATCTAATCGTGACATGGGGAATTGGGTACCTCTTTCAAAGAATCAATAGACTTGGCTGTCGAGAGGGCGGAAAGAAACCCGAAGGCGTCCGAGTCGATAGGCCAACGATCCACGTCATCCACGCCCACCATTCCATCATCTTTCACATACTTCTGCATGATTTCCATGGTAATGGAAGCGAGAGATTTGATGTAAACATTCTGTGCCTGACCCGGCGGACGTTCCACACACATCTCCAAGCTAGCTATAGGCAGTTAGAATAATCATTACAAAGGAGGCAATTGCCACTCACCGATCTTGATAACGCCATCCAGGCCGAGAAGAATATTCCGGCATGTCAGAGACTGGTGTTCTAATCCAGCTTCATTGAGGTAACATACACCATCCAAAATCTGCACTGTCATGAGCCTAAGATAGCTGAAGAATCAAGAGCCACATACCTGCCAAACCATGGAAGCTAATTCCGCCTCCGTGGGATAAAGAGACCGACACCCCACAAGTTGCTCCAAAGTGAGCTGGAGGTCGCTGACGAGAGCGTACATGCATCCTCCGTTGACGAAGCACTCTCGGGCCGTTAATACATTTTCGTGGTCAAGATTACCATACAGTCGTCGCATTTTACCCACGTCTCCTTTGGTGTACTCTCGAATGGCTACCACCTGGGACGGACGGGAACGGCGAGCTGCAATGAAAACCTCGCCTGCCAGATTACACCTGAGAGTCCGACGATAAGTGTCCCAGGGTGATTCTTCCCTCACGTTCAACCCACGAGATGTACCCTCCTCACAGACCTGAGGTAAGACAAGGCGCTTTGGGCCTCCACTCACAACCTTTCGTGTATGTTCGCTTCGGGGAGACGTTTTTCTCTTTTTTGAGTTGGGACTACTGTCCAATTGGGTGGATGCATCAAGCTGGTGTGGTTGTTTGATCAAGTGTGCCTCTCGTGATGGATTCTCCGCAAACCGTTCTTGGTAGCTCTTGAAGTCAACCGCCGTGCAGTGCTTATCTTGTTTCGACATATTTGAGCCAGATCAAGATGGTCGGAAAGAGGATGAGGTGGAAAAATGTAGCACCTGAAGGCGAAGAGGGCCCTATTTATAATGTTATCATATCGATTAACCTAATTTGTTTTGGGGTCACCCCCAGCTTTTGCAGTCACATTGGTCACCAGGATGCTGAATCAGCTAGGTGGACCCTTCCTTCTTTGAGGCCAAGACCAGTTAAATATAAACAATCGATACTCTCCTGCTACGTAGAATCTGCTTCACCAACACAATGGACGAGTCTATGCACACAGACCCTGAACTGCAGGTTTTGACAGAAAGGTGTCGGACTTACCAAGGAACAGCCAAGATTAACATCAGCCAGATTACCCCCCATCCATCCATCTCGCAACATATGAACACAAAAAATGTAGAAAGACTCTGTGAGATATTTGACAAAGAAGGCTGTCGAAGACTCGATATCTACAACCACGTGAGCGCTGTTGTGTCACGGCAGCATCTCCATGAGGCTCTTCAAGCAGGACGAGTAAACGCCGCTGACATGATGACTGATCAACCGAGCCAGTACCCACGCCTCCATTTCTCCACTGGTTCCATACAGTGCCTTCATGGCCAACATCGATTAAAGGCTGGAGAACACTATTTACCATCGATCGACCAATGGTGGACTGTTGACTTGTATTTGGATGGTAAGCCAGAAATCCGCCACATGCTTTCCTGCAGTTTTGACAGCCCTAAGACATTAGTCCCGATCTTCAAACAAGCCTTATCGATGAATATTCCAACGAGAGAGTTCCAAGCGATGGTGAGATTTACCTAAAAGTTCGACAATATCGAAATGAAGCAAATGCACACTTCGAGAATCGATGGTTGGCGCGGCTGTCAGACAACAAAGCCAGGCGGCTTCGCGGACTAGAGTCTCATCCGAGCGTCCGAGCTGCTTTTGACTCGTTACTCGTCTTGCCCTCCTTGTTGATACATGGAATGCAAATCGGATCTCTTCCGCAGGCTCTGGCTATTTGCTGCGATGAGGTAAGTTTGTCTGACTCTAAAATAGATAGATGCTGATCACGTTCCTAGGAGATAGTTCACGCGCTAACTAGGCTACTACAATATTGGTCTTCACTCGTGGGACACGATCGTGCTAGGATGTTCAAAATTGACCTTCATACAGTGGAAATATTGCAACTTCTGGCCCCTGGAGTCTCCTCGAAGGATAGAACCACCGTGAAAGGCCTTGTACACAGTGGTGAAGTCTTTTCAAACTTCACAGAATCCGAACGGGGCTCGATTTGGAAGCGATTAAAGAGGACAGAGGGAATAATACCATCTCTGTATACGTTCTTCAAAGATCTCTGGTACCTAGAATCGTGCGCGAACTGCATCAAACGACTTTTCACACCTTCCAGATCTTTCCCAACGATTAGAACCGCCATGCGTGCGGCCTTCTTGTCTTTTGATCCAACAAATGCGCAGTTCTTGATACAAACTTCCGAAGCCGGGTTTCGGTCTTACTCGCACTCCCAGGTAGACCCAGCGGAACTTGGATATCGTCAAATATGGCTCTATGCTATGCGTCACTACCCAAAATTATCCAAAAAGCCACAGAAGAAAGATTCTACGGCGAAGCCTAATCGTGACGTGGTGGATCCTATGATACTGTACGAGATGGCTGTACTCGCAAAGAGACTTGGGTTTCAGTCGCCACAAATTGAGGAGCTCATCCAGCAGTCGCCAGATCGGCAAATTGCGCAAGATGCTCTTTTGAGAGCCCGTCGACCAGATCGTTATCGGTACAATAGGGAAGAAATTGAGTCTCTGATCAACAAAGTCACTGAGTGCTTCTTGAGGGCCGTCCTTCTTGACGATAAGCTTCCAGTACAATTCGTTCGTGGAAGGGAATCCAAGAAAGAATCTCGATGTGGGCATCCGCAAACCGAAGCCCAATTGCAAGATTGTCAATTCCTTTTCATCGACCAACTCCATGACGATACTCTCCAAAGGGAACGAAAAGCTACTTCCACTTTGGTGAGGAGGAGTGTCTACTTTACCTTCTTCAGCAAGCTGTCAATGCCCCGTGAAAATAACGACACAGCGGGTAGATCTTCAACTCCAGACTTGCCAATGTCCCCGCTTTTTATTCTGAGCAATTGTTCGCCGCAAGGTGAAGGAGAACAGTTTGGGTCTGCGGGTACAGGAGCCGGGCAGGATAGCAACTTAGAGCGGCGACGCTTGAAAGATGCCCGCCGAGAAAGACGTCAGCAGAAGCAAGCGAAGAAGCTACATAGGCAACAGCGCCGACAGCAGCGAAGGCACCGATCCTCACGTGACGACCGTCATCCTACGCCTTATTCCAGGAACTCAACATCATCTCCTGGGTATGGCGACAAAATCGCGCGCATTGATTCGGAAGACAGCCGGATAGGAGATATAGTGGAGCCAGCATCCGGAACAGCACTTGGATTCGTTGGAAGTAGCGAGCTTATTGAAGGGGATCATGGTTTCAGCAACTATGAAGGATCAGAACACAGTCACGATAGATTTGGATTTGCCCCCTCGAGACCTCCCTTGGCGCCGCCTTCTATTGGGTCAAGGTATATCTCTACAGAATTACAAGAACTTCCAGAATCAACGGTCTCGCACGGCCAAATTTCCTTGATGCAACCCCTACAGTCACCAGGAGAGTTTCGTTTGACATCTATGACCTCTTTACCACCACACCCAGATATGGAATCGCATGAGATGCAACAACACCTCCTCGCCCCTGGATTTGAAGGTCACGACTCTATGGCACCAACGGGCAAGGAAAACAAGATCCTCGGTCTTGCTGATGTCGAGGACGAGCAGCCACGAGGAGGGAGTGAGGAAAACATATCTGGGCGAGAATCTTTGAAGGATGTCAATATGGAAGCGCACGCAAGCGAACAAGAGAATGAAGCGGCAGAAACAGCAGCGCAGCTTTCTTCATCGGAAGAAGTTGAAAGAGCACTGGCAATTTTAGAAGGACGTGGGGCACCGGAGATTATATCGGGCCCCTCTAGGACTGTGGTCACCAAAAGTGCGGCGCTGCGAGAGAGCGCGAAATTCGAACCATACGACCGCACGCAACGGCGCCAACAAACCCGCAAGATATCCATTCCACCACAGGAAACTCTGGAGCAGGATATAAACGCACTGCTACGAACGGCTGATCAAGCACAGACAGCAAGACCTGGTACTCAAATTGATTTCCTCAAAGCACAGTATCATCCTTTGTTGGAGATGAATGGAGAGCAAAGTTCGTGGCCCGTGGCTAGTCAAGTTGGCCTGACTCAGAACCAGCAACAAATACCGGACGAAAGATCAGACTCAGTCGAGTTCGAACCGCAGCCAGAAATTTCAAGCCCGATCAACCAAAACTCAGAACCCCATGGAAGGATGAATATTCGGTCGGAACAGGAAGAACAGTTGTCGGAGTCTGTACTGCTAGACGCTTCGCCGCAGGTTCATGCCATAGCCGTTGCTACGCAGAAGGACACTCTGGTAAAGCCACCCTCTTCGTCACTACCACGAGAGTCTTCCGCGCAGACCGATACGCGCACACGAGTGGAAACATTTAGGTCAGACAAGCTGCCCGAGGAACAAGACGAATCTCCTGAGCGAGGAGAAGGAGCGAGCGATGCAGCCAAGCATTCTGTAACAATCACGTTCCGTGCACGTGATGAACACGGCGATTGGAATCGCTTGGTCCGCCAAATGGTGGTCGATCCATCTGACCCCTCTCCTGTTGGGCGAATGGCGTCCAAAAATGCGCGAGAACGTCAGGCAACGTTTTATGACCAGAATCTACGGCAGGTCCCACCGGGGCAGTGCTTTGATGCGGCTATCGAGGATGGCACGAACACAATATTCATGACATTCGGCGACGATCTGGTTGTGAGTGAAGAGACGGTGAATTCGATCGCACGAGTACTTGAAGCCGGTAGTGATGATGATCGGCCGACAAAGCGCCGGCAGTAGGCGATAAATAATGCACTTGAGATCTAGATCAAAATACCTGTGACCCATATAGACCGTAATCAGAAGACCGAGGACCCTTGTGGTCACTAAGCCAGGGTGGCCGCTAGTTGACGGTTATAAAGCCCACCTAGATTAGGAGCCGTGGACGTACGTCCAAAGTGGATCCACGTCCACAGCCTTAAATCTGTGGCCTCGAATCAACTGTGCTATCTCACAGGCCCTCAAGCCAAAGCCTTCTCACCACAGCTTCCTAGCCACGGACCCACATCTCCAGACTCAAAGCCCGCCTAGACGCAGATCCACAGATCTATTACATGACTGGCCTTTAGGTAGTGGATTTGTGTCTTTGTCGGCCGGGGGACAACACAGGCCAGAAAACACTCTTCCTACATCTATGCCCCCCCCCCCGTTCCAATGCAGAATACTGCACATTTATTGTAAAGCTTATCTAGTCTCGATTTCTTGGTAAATGTCCCTAAGAGGGGTCCTTGATTTCGCCAGTTTGATACTAAAGGTAAGACTGTATATGGGTGACACTTTTATATCAAGATTAATCTCAACTTTTACCCTAGATACCCCTTTTCCGGTTAGTAAATGACGCAGGGTAGCGGGGCTGGGCGTTCCAGTGGGAGAAGGAGACCACGAAGTAACAATCAAAATCGTGGGCCTCGCTCCAGCATGCTGAGTCAGCGTCCTGGACCAATCACATTGAGGTAGCACGTGGACGACGACACATTTCTTGTTAGCCACTGATCAATTATTTAAACTCATGCTGCTCCCTTCTTCCGATGCTCCTGCATATAGTGCTGCCCCGAGCTTAGTTGATAACGCGGACGAAGCATCTCGTTATGATTCAAGTACGGCCAGAGTAAGTACGCTTTCCTTTCCTCTGGAGGCGCTATCTAAAAAACACCCAGTCACTTTATCTCCCCCCTCGCATACTTGGAGGTTGGCCCCAACGGGAAGAAATTCGCTGCGCCCAGCGGGATAATCCAAAGCCTCCGGTGCCGTTACAAAAGTTCGTCCGAAATAATTTATGTGGTTGACGACGATGTTGAGGATATCTTTGGCCATATCCTTCAGTACCTTCACAGCGGGGACTACTCTGTCCTTATTCCAGCAGCCGATAGTTCGAGTCATGCTGCATGCGAAGATGAAATCAATATTGCGCTACACGATCTACTTCCCTTGAAAGAAAATTATTTTGCGAGTCATGAAGATATCCAGGTGCACAACGACAATTCGATATTTTTGCCACATTGTGGAGATGGAAACCACCTGTGCAAGCATCCCAAGACACTGCTGGTGCATGCTCGTTTGTATGACTTCGCTACTAGACATGGATTGGACCAACTTCGAAATGTGAGTTTGAACAAGCTTTACTGGACTCTCTCGGAATTTCCGTTGGATTCAGAACGAGCGGACGCAATCGTCGAGCTTTTACGGGTTGCCAATGGAATACGCACCATCTATACACTAATGTTTTACCGTCACATGTCTTTCAGGTGCAAGCGACCACAGAAAACTCCCTCGAGAGCGGATGAAAATGATACATACAGTTCCGCCCTAAAAAAACTCATACATTATGTTGGATCTTGCCATATTCAGGCAGAGCCCATTTTACCATCCATTCTGACTCGAGAATCTGCTTTGTGGTGGGCCGATTCTCGGGTCTGAATGAGAGCATCGGCCGTAGCATGTCGAAGAAAGCCTCCTTCTCCCTTGCATCAAACGACGGTATGCCACTATCTCGCCTGGGCTGTTGCACGCTATCCTCAAACCGATCGTCCCAGGATCGGAAAGGGTTACGGTTCAATGGCTTACCATCCTCGGTAAATTTCAGTCGTCGCGCCTCCCACCTGCTCCACCATTCAGATGGCAAAACACCAAGAGCGTCGACATGCTCACAGGTCATGTCGTCCTCGGTCGCGAGAAATCCTTCAAACAACGGCCGTTGAGCGATAATAGACCATATGGTACAGGCGAGAGTCCAGATATCCGACGACAAAGACAGGGGCTTATTTGGTTCAAAGCGAGCCTCGGGAGGGCGGATGACAAGGGGGGTGCGAGATTCGTATTTCGGTTCTTTCGAGCGGGAAAAAGCTTCACCAAAGTCTGTCAGAAAGATACTGGTTTCCGAAACTGTGATTTCCTCACTTGCTTCCCCCAGCCATATGGGGGCAATGCCGTGAGATGGGACACCAGGGGGAAGCAAATTGCCATCTAGACGAACAACTGGATCTAGCTCCGGTACTCCATATTTCTCATATAATTGTCTGGGTGAGAGCTGGTCAAAATTGGGCGGAACTTTGAGAAGAATGTTGCCGAGGTGAAGATCTCCATGGACAATTCCATGGGCATGCACATAATTCACAGCCAGGACGAGTTGTGCAGCCATTGACCGGGCTGCGTCAAGCTGGAATAAGCGGATCCACGAACCATCTTTCACTCCGGACAGGCTAGCCCTCGCCGGCGCTGTAACGTAGCAAGCATGAATGCCATTTGGGCCGTGAATAGTGAACCTGTCTAGAATCGGAGGTACCATCATCTTTCCCGGATCGTTGACTGAAGGACAATGAGGACTAGTGAGAGTGGATATAATGTCCACTTCTTTTGGGTTCGCGTTTGCTGTGCAAACTTTCACTGCAACGTATTTATTGGATCGTTCATCACGGGCTAGCCACGCAGTTGAATAAGACCCGTGCCCCAGTTTATGAACAACGCGATATCGACCCTGAAAGTGATCACCGATTTGTATGGGGTGATAGCCCCCTGGTCGATAGTTCTCAAGTCTTTCGACTCCCTCAAGAGGCTCGTAGAGGAGACGGGTGTTGAAATCATCATTGGTCTCCATTGAGTTGAACGCGGTGAGAGTCAACGCGCAGCGGGGTTGCTTGTGATGAAGCAGTGGCATATACACCTTGTGAAGGACAGGAGGATTGACTTGGGAACATAAATGATGCGGGCGCAATAACCGAATGGCCAATGAAAACAATGTACTCATCGCAGTAACATGTGGAAAATTTCAGCCAAGAGAAGTTCGATAAAAGAGATAAAAAATATCTCACAATTCTTTTGAGTTACGTTGTCAAGCGCGAGATGAATGGTTATGATGAAATGTAAGGCGGCATGCGCTAACTAGTTTCGACAAGGTTGTGGTCGATGATTGGGTGGAGCGGGATATGAGAAAGTCCGAACCGAGACAAAGCGTTTATCTATTGGCTGACATGCCAGCATTCAATAGAATTACCCGTCCCTTCTGCAACATCGTACGCAGAGACACACGCCTTATCGTCAATACCTGCCAGGATTTGGAACCATGTTCACATTATATGTATGCGGCATGGTCTCTAGGAGACGGATATCCGCCTATACTTACCTATCTGGTCGTTCCTGAAATATCAGTCATCATTCGACAGAATATACGCGCCCTAGGCATTGTATTGCCCATGTAAGGCCTTGGCGATTGCCATCGATCGTATTGGCGCACGAGTCAGACTGTGGGTTTACCTTCAGGAGGTTATAAAAGCGGACACAGCCTAGGATGAAATACAACACAGCTTCATCTTACGATTATTCCCTCTTACTTCAAAGGTTCAAAGTGTTGCCTCACGCAGCCATTCAGCGTACCATCCGAGCAAACATGTCTACGATCAACATGGTGAAATATTATTTTTATAAGGGTATGGTCCCGAAAGACCAAGACCGACTGCGCCAACTTGTGGCTTTGGCATATCAGACAGCAAGAGACAGAAAGCTCTACCCAAAGGCGGTTCTTATTAGGTGTGTACAAAAACTGGATTCGAGGAGCGATGCTTACATGCCTTTTTTGTTTTCCCAAGTCCCTACTGGATGCTAGCTGATGCCTGATAATTTTGCAGATCCGAGATTCATGATACAACCAGTATCAATGGTATACACCAGAAAGATCCTCTGGGTCCACACGTGACTCTTTGCTACAAAGACGAGAATCAACTCCTGCGCGGGACTCATGTCGCTAGTCATGGCTATGTTATCGGGAAAGACGACATCGGGTTTGTGCGCGCAACGCATGCTGGAGAGAAGGCGGACTCGGCCAAAAGGCAACAAGGCAAAAAGACGGTATGGCCATCGGAGAACGAGCTTGAGGCTGTACCAGAGATCGGCTATGGCCATATTCCAAGCAACTAGAGTCCGAGTCATTTGTTCGAAGTGCATTGGTTTATTAGAGCGGTGATTGCTTCAGGCTATTGATACCAATCTGAGATACCAAATATTGCCAAGAATTGGTTGTGCTGGAAATTAGAGGTATCGTAAACTTTTACATTCAATATGTAAGGCCGAATACTTGCACTCATGCATGCATAGACTTTTTCTAATGATCTTAAGCTCTTTGTCTATATACTAGAGTCGCAAAAATGTCTACGGCGTGGAGGCTGAAGTGCCAGATGATTCCCAAGTTGGTAAGCTGAAGCTGAAGGCACGTAAGGGATTTTCTGTTGACAATCCTTAGTTACCAAGCGTATTGAGATTGTCTTTGTTTGCTTGAATACCCGAATTTGCTCCCGCTATTTTCGAATTTTAGTTAGCGCCCAGGGCATGGGAACTAGATCATCTAGATTCTGACCACCAAGGCAACTTCGCTTGAGGCTTCTTTGGAGCTGCATGAACCAGCTACCTCACATATATTTTTAGACGACCTTTGTGTATCATCGGGCCAATTGGATTTACCGGTCCGATGGAATAGTCCTAACAACAGCCAGTCTTGTAGAGAAGGTACAGTAGCATACAGCGCTCCTAGGATCACGATGTTCGATGCACATACACATGCCGCAGAACGCATTCATTTCGTCCCAGAGGAATACGTACAATGCGCAGCCAAGTTTCCAACCTGCTTCTACTGGACCACCGAATTTTATTGGGAGGTTTGGTCTGCATTTTGCCCCCTCTTTATGAAACTTTCCTTCCTTTCCAACTGGAGCCTCATAATATCAGCGATACATGAAAGCATCACTAAAAATCAACCTTACAATCCAACGATCATTTTACGAAACCAAGAGTTGCAACAAGTACCTGGCCCCTGCTTCATTCTTCTATGACTTCCGGTTTTACGGTAACAGTTAATGCACCAAAGCGTAACCATTTTATTGAGCTACAAGCATCAGCTCATCATAGATTGTCCTTCCTGAAAAATTGCTAGTTGACTGTCCAGGCGCTTAACCAACTTCTCCGTATCTCCATGGGATGAAGCTGCGGCCACGGTATCCCGAAGCGTCTTTCCCATTTCGGCGAGATCTGCCCTTCTCCTCTTGGTCTCGTCCCCCGAAGCTTGAGCAGGGATTTCGAGTTTGACATTTGCTGACGTATGCGAAACTTGTAGCTTTGAGGGGTCTTCGTCATGCAAACAAACCCAACCACATGCACTAGCGCAGATATCCCGTAGTACGGACGGCGCAATATCGACCAACGGCCTGTCTTCGGCGTCTTTGGCTTCCTGGTTCCCCGGACGACAGCGTCTGATCACATTGGCCAAATCGACTGCTTCGAGCGCCGCCCTGTGACTCTGGTACCCCACAAGGTGAGCCATCGCCTGGGCGCGAATTGAGGCTCTGTCCTTAAAGCCATATTGGGCGACACAGTCGTCGATTTGCAAGTAGCAATTGAGTTCAAGAGCCCACAAAATTGCACGGCGAACAGGAACCAGCCTGCTAGACGGTATGGGAGTAGATTCCCTGACGGCGCGGTACTCCGCTGGTGACTCAGCCCGTCTGTCAACTGGTCGCTGCAAGTCCGCCGGCAAAATGCTGGTGCGCCAGTGGGCAAGCTGCTCGTAGAGCATTTCAGCATCCCTATACTCTATACCCTTGCCTCTGGCTGTGGCATTGCACAACTCCTGGTTGATTCGCCGCGCAAGGATTGCCAAGCTCAAAATCGCATCAAGGTAGCCTTCAGCCAGGTATCCCGGATCCTTTGCCAGGTCCAAGGCGTCATTGGGGATGAGAGATATGCTCTTGCAATCAAGGCACTTGAAAGAATCCAGACTATACACATGCCAATACAGAAGTTCGAAGCGCTCGTCGACATGCGCCAGTGTTGCAGAAGGATCGGAGTTCATTAGTCGATTGCGAGATTGCAGGGTCATCAGCACAAGAGCATCAAGGGTCATGAACGCTTTCCAGCATCGTTTGAAACCAGCATGTCTGCCGTCGTATTTGAAATCGATGATGAGGGCCATCGCTTCGAGGTCATCCAGGCGCATTGTTTCAGTGGCGGCCCCACTGGTTCTAGCCCTCATAAGCTCTTTCACACACGAGATGGCAAGGAGTTGCTGTTTTTCCCACTTGTCTGTTGCCGCTGTGAAAGGTAGGCCCCGGCATGCAATAGCTAGGATAAGGGCCGGACTACATCGAACTGCTTTGAAGTCTTGCCAAAATGGTTCCTCGGGTATGAATGGGTGACAGAGGCCCGGAAAATCAAAGTAAGCGTGCAGCGAGTCTAAGAAGTCCTTGAGGTTGAATCCAGGCACCATGAACAGATCCGTAAAGAATTTGTTAGCGAAGCAACCCTTGCGACCTAATATTGATTGATAAACAACACTGCTCGCTGAGCTGAAAGCAGCAGATCTGAAATGGAGTAAAGGGAGCTTCGGCATCGGGCTGAAACTTCCTTCAGAGATTGGCAGCTTAAGCATTGGCCTTTCCGTGTCGATGCTAACGGGTGGTGTATGCTCCGACGGATGTGGCTCAGACTTGCCAGAAAAGACACGATGGAGGAATGAAGTGCCTTGAGAGCTAAGTGCAAGAAGGCTTCTCGATCGCTGCGGACTGTATTCACGTGCTTCATCCAACGACATCGTTGTGGATGGAATTTTTGGCGATGAGAAAGGAGCCTCCTGATGCATGATGGGAGGACCAATACTTCCACGGTGATCTGCGCTCGTGGCCTCGTGGTCCATATCCAGAGGGCGCAATGAGCTCGGCGAAGTGACGATAGAGGAATCTCGTACTTGATGCGAGCTGGAGCCCATGCACGGGATTTCTAGCTTCAAACATTGGCGCTTGCGTGGGAGGATAACTTCCGACCTTTCAAAACGGCATTGACTTCCCTGCTCTGCACACCTTGAGCAGCATTCTTCTCGCCTTGTCATACGAGAGGAAAGGTCACACTGCCTTTTCTGTTCACGACAACGGTCGCATGATGCCCGTTTGTTTTTGGGCATGATGAATGGATGCAATTAGCGGTTGATGCCGAAAAAAAAAACCTCAGGGGCACTGGGAACAAAAAGAGACGAGACATGGATGGGAGGAAGCTTTTATAAGGCTCCGGACTGAAAATGGCTCCACATTGCCGCATGGCCCCCTGTCCCACATGGCCTTCTCTTCCGCTTGGCTCCTCTTCCGCATAGCTTCTTCTTCCGCATAGCCTTCTCTTCCGCATAACCTCCGTCTTCCGCCTCGCCCCCTCTTCCGCCTCGCCTCTTCAGAATAGAGGCGATCGATCTTACTATTTGGAATTGGAGAATAGAAAATGCGCTGTGGACTATAAGGGGACGCGGCGGAAGAACATTTGCTTAGGTCTAATTGATTATTGAGGGCAGAAAACACAAGCAAGGTGTCGAGGGGCTTCTTAGTAGCTGACCTACCAATACCAAATGGCACCCTCATATTATCCCAGCTGTTCGAGGAATATCCACGCAACTTTGGTGTGCCAGCACCGGCCGGCATGTGAGCTGACTGGCCGCTTCCAACCAATCGGCCTGTCGGCTATACTGCGGAGACTTATGCCACAAGAACACTCCCACAAGTATAGTAATTGCTTCCAATTCCCAACATGTTTTTCCGTCTAAGAGAGTCAGTAAGAATAATTGAATGTGGCTTTGAAGGATTCAGTCCCGGACATAAATAATTATCGGCCCCAGCCAGTCGGCACCATCACCACACTTGCTTAACTTCAGGCAGCGTCCAGTGGAAACATGAAATTTGTGCCTCCTTGGACTGGGCAATACTACCACCAGCAGTCTCTCCGACCAAGCACCGATGATGTCCGCTTGGACCATGAAACGAGAATTGGTCCAGTAGCTGCGGAATGAATCGCTTTCCAGTATGAGTATGTTCACTCTTCATCAGCTAATGCAGGACTTCCCCCTCGTGACTATCTAGCGATGCCCTCGCAGTCAGTATCTTTAGCGATACGTAGCGCCGGCGTTGCTGATTCCAGGCTAGCCAAATTGTTGAATAAAGAGGAATAAAGAAGGAATAAAAAGGAGCAAAGAGGAGCGAAGAGGAGCAACTCATGCAAGCTTACCTTTTTGATTGGCTACAACAACCAGGGGTTGCTGCAGCCAAAAGCACAGACCATGCGATCTCCAACTTCCCACTGCTGCTCAGCGTCTATGTTTCCGTTGATTTTTCGTGACTCCCTCTTTCTACTAGTCAGCACGGGGGGTCCGTGTATCCAAGGCAAATCTTTCATGTCCACTCTCCTCCAGAAACAGAAAGACATTTTTCACAAGTATACAACAGCCTGAGAGTTTGCCTTTGGAATTGACAATGCTTCTTACCCCTTGAATCTAGCCAGCAGTAGGGGCTCATATGGTATGTATGCAGCTGAATCCCATTGCACTCTTGGATTTCCTGCTGGCCATGACCAAATTGGAGCCTTGGGCGGGTAAACGGCGTCAGAAAACAATGCCAAGAGAGGACAATCGATTCAGAAGGTCGGTAAGAACCTCAGAGCTGTTATCTTTGCTTCTTTGCTCATGTACGTCGTGAGAATTCTATAAATCACAAGGGCTTTCACTGCACCAGTGCGAAATAAACAACATACTTCCTACATATATCAAGATCCAGTGAGGCATGTGACTAGGCTTTAGAAGAAGCCGTCTTTGTGCAATAACGATCGCTAATGTATACAATCTTTCTGGGACATATTCATTCAAAGTCGTCTCGAGATTGCGACTGCTCCACTTGCCCTTCTTCCAGTCTGCAAGCCAAGACCCCTTTTCTTAGCTGATCTCATTCTGCAGATTGGCCTCCGACGTGGTTGTTGTTGGTATTAACCTTCTCGGTTGTGGCTTTCGTATATTCTGGGTTCCATTCCAACACTACACTTTCCCTGGCCTCATTGCGCTTGGCAAAGTCGATATCAAGGTTGAGCGAGTTCCTCAATCTGGTAGAATGGGCACTTTGCACATTCAGAACAACACAGTTCTGCAGTGTACAGCTTTCCAGCCAGGCTTTCTCAATTGTACATTCGCGGAGAATGCTGCTCTGGATCCGCAGACCTTTGGGCTTGGTATCAGCCATCTAGCGATGTCAGTGGGGTTTGAAGATAGATGAGGGGGCGAGGATCATACTGTACGTTGATTGTAGCTCAACAGTGGTCGTAATAGGGAATTATTTGAAGTTCTAGCCGGCAAAGATTGTATTATGTTAAAAACGAAGTGAAAATAGAATATCTGTCATTCACAAATGGGCCGCATGCTTATTTTTATCTACATTTTTGGGTTGCGCCGAGGCCCAATCAGTTTCTTTAAACATGCCCATTGTCGGGCGCAACTGTGGCTCAAGCGAGACGTTTGCAGAAGAAAAACAAAAGCTTGGTATTTTGGTATCGCTTCGCACAGTGGATCCTCTTGCAGTTAATAAACGGTGAACTGAATGACCGGCCTCAAAGTTCTATTAGGATCTAACAAAAACATACATGCTATAAACTGGTTAATTTGGTCAAGAGGAACATTCAATATGGCTGGAAAGCGGAAAAGTAACAATTTGCATGGCAGAGTGGAGGGTAGATTCGGCGGGCAGACAATTTGGTCAATTGGTTTCAGCTCAACATTTATTTTCCACATACCCATTCCACTGGGCCAGCCTGATATTATGGCAAAAAGGGTCATCTTTAAGATCCTTTGGAGTAGAAAACTGTTTACTTCAATCCCTGATTGGGCAGATTGTTTGTTCAATTCGTCGAATATACACTACATTCCCTGCCATTATTTGCCTGTTTATTCCTATAGCTCATCTTTGGAACTGGTGTCCGATGTGTCCGATGGAATAGTCCTTACAACAGCCAGTCTTGTAGAGAAGGTACAGTAGCATACAGCGCTCCCAGGTTCGATGCACATACACATGCGCCAAAATGCATGCAATTCGTCCTAGGAGGAATACACACGATGTGCAGCCAAGTTTCCAATCCTGCTTTTCAAGCGTGGGCTTACCGCCCGTTCAAAACCGCAAGGTTACAGTTATGGCAAACACCACTTCCTACGAAGGTGCAAACTTTATATTCCAGCCAGGAGTTGTATACGGCAACGTCGAGAATATCACAGTTAATAAGTGGAAGATATAACCTCAATAGAACGTGACTAAATACCCTACAGCCTGAATATGACCGGAACCGCTGAACCAAGCATGCCTTCGGGATCTGTAAACGGGATCTGTGTACGACCGGTCCTCCTGATGATGAATAACGGATCATGAAAAACAAACGAAGGGCTGCTCGAAAACTCATACCGCTATATTCTCGATAACGAAGAGTTCAAATGATGGCAGGATAGAGGCCACAAGATGACAGCTGTAGCCCTAGTTCAGAGTAGGAAGCACTCGAACCTAATTTTAGCCAAGCTCTATTCGTCGCTCCAGCCGACTTGCCAGCAGAAACAGTCGTTGGTGAAGGCGGATGCCCCACCACGGAAATCCACCGGCTGGTCAATTATTTTGACACTGAAGTCTATTTGGCACGGAGCCCATGTTGGGGGCTTCTTTATGATGGTTTCCAGTGTTTCCATCTCAATGTTCTTCAGCGCGTCTGCTACTTGATACAACGGCGAACGGTAGTACCTTCTGAATCTCTTGATCTGAGCTGTACTCCTGCGGAGAGGGTTGGTTTCTGGCAGGGTATGTATGTCCGTCCACATCTTCACGGCTCGTCTACGGAAACGGTGTTGAACAGTAGCAAGGTGGGCCTCCATCTGATTCTTCATAGGGGAGTAAATGAAGTTCTTGCGAGGCACCAAAAAGTACAAATGTCGATATGAGGCCTTGCCAAAGCTGGAGAAGTAGATCTACCTCGGGGCGCCCGAGAGAACCGTATGACAGGCTGCCGAGTTCAACATGAACAATGGCATAGGTTTCTCCGTACATTTTCGCGTATTCAAGGAAATCCAAGATCTTAACGCTGTGGTTGTGGATTAGAAAAATACGAAGCTCATCAAAAGTATATGGCGGAGGAGTGAGATCATATAATTAATTTAGAAGTTGCGTATCTGAAATAGAAGATCTATTGAACATAATTAATTCTCCGGGCCGCGTTGATCCCGGACGCGAATGGAGTCTAGCAGAAATAGGGTACTGGTTCGTGTCATCTCGGTGGATCGAACACAAAAAGACCCAAAGCCCTCTATGACGTATCGAAAACGTTCAAAAGCTCAATGATCTCCTATATAAGTTTTTTAGTCATCCAATCAACAACGATATCGAACGTTCAGTGTGTGGTCTTAGTCATGTTAGTCACGTGACGTCGCGTTTTCGCCAGCGCGTCCCGTTCCTTCCCTCCTTTATTTTACGCAACACCCCCCATAGTCAAGTCCAATATGGTGGCGGAAAGTGGACTGTGCAATGTCAGATCAAATAAGGTCAAGGTTAATCATCGAAAATCCTATCGGGGATGGCCTTAACGCCTTCCGTGCTACGTTCGCCGTGATCTGTGAAGGTGCAGACTTGCGCTCACCAGATGAGGCCATCGATCGGCTCAAGCGGGAGGGTGAGGCACTCAATCATTCACCTTTCGTTTCGCTAACTTGATAACAGATATGCAGGATCTCGCTTCCAGCCTCCTGACAGCCCTTCAGATCCTTCCCGCCGCTCGTCTTCTGCCGTCCAATTCGGGAGGAATTGTTCGAAGTGACCTACTTCGGCTTATATCCGCAGTCGCCTCTGATGACTTCGACCATGAAAGAATCAAGCCTCTCCTCAAATCATCTCTTGTAGTTACATCAACAGACGAACGGATTTGGAATTTGGTGGACGTTGCCGCAGCGGAATCTACGCCACCCCCTCGAGCGATTGCGTCCTCCCTCCAACAAACCCCTTCATTTCAAAAGACAAGTAGTTTCGCAAACTCCTCTGAATACCGCCAAGATGTTGATAGGGTCCTCAAGTCAGAGCTTGGGCCTCTGTATGTAGGACTCCCGCATTTCTACTCAACGTTTTTTGGAGGTGTCAGTGGCCTTCAAACAGCATCCAATGCCGTTTTTAAAAAATGCACCGAAGGTAGCGATGCGCTTTTCGCCGATGGGTGGAAAGGATGGCCAAAAGACGCAGATCAGGAGCACGTGTTGATTTGGTTTGCAGATCTGAGCGAAAAGTTGGCAACATTCTCAGCGGACCACAATTCTGGGTCGACGCACCTCCGAAGGCCACTATCACAACCCAACAAGCCCGTGCAGGGTTCCACGGCAGAGCGCAAGCTAGACATCGGCTTTGTGAGTGACACTCACGCTGGGAAAGATACCCGATGTCAATGGTCACAAATTCTCGTGCCTGGAGAGCTTAAGAAGAATCCGGCGGCTGACACCGCTTCCAAGGCATGGCTTGACTTGGGAAGGTACGCCAGGGAAGTTCTTGCGTCACAAGATACCCGTCGATTTGTCCTGGGCTTTACTATATGCGGATCCTTCATGAGGACCTGGGCGTTTGACCGTCTCGGAGGAGTCGCATCCGAACGCTTTGATATCAACAAAGATGGTCATCAGTTTGTTAAAACTATTCTCGGTTTCCTATGGATGAGCGAGGAGGAATTTGGATTTGACCCCACGATCATTACAAAAGACGGCCAGCGATTCATCGAGATAAATCAGAACGATCAGACTGAGCGTCTCGTTCTCGATAAATTGATGAAGCGGGCACCTTGCATTGCAGGTCGGTCAACAACATGCTGGAAAGCGCATCACGAAGCGGATCCTAGAGTTCCGCTCGTTGTCAAAGACTCTTGGCAATACACGGAGCGCGACGAAGAAGGTGATCTTCTCCAAGAAGCTACCGAAAAAGGCGTGGTCAACGTTGCACGCTATTATCACCACGAGACGGTTTGCATCCGTGATAAGGCCGATGATGTCCTGGACAACGTTCGAGGCGGCTTGGACATCAGGACCGCGAGCAACTATCGACCAGAACAGTTGGTGCTCTCGACTGGCCCAACTGTGGCTGATGCTACGCGAAAGGGCCGGAGCAGCGGTAGGTCCGGTGTGAAGCGCTCTTCTAGTCATACAGGCGCCTCTCTGCCGCCTAATAAGCGGTCCTGCTCGGCATCTCCTATTAAAGCATCTAGTAAGCCACTGCCAAATAGAGTTCATCGGCGTGTCATCCTGCGCGACTATGGCAAACCTATTTACAAGGCAAGCACACGCCCGGCCTTGCTTGCCGCGTTAGAGGGTTGCATTACAGGGCATCAGTCTTTGCACGAGGCAGGAATCCTTCACCGAGATATCTCCATTAACAATCTCATGATCAACGAGGACAAAGAGAACCCTTCCTGGTCGGCGTTCTTGATTGATCTTGATCTAGCCATCAGAGAGCAGCGAGACGGTGTCTCGGGAGCAACGGGGAAGACCGGCACGAGAGCCTTTATGGCAATTGGCTCGCTTCTAGGCGAGAAGCATTCTTTTATGCATGATCTTGAATCGTTCTTCTGGGTGATCTTTTGGATTTGCATCCACTACGAGGGCCCGGGTAAAGGAAGAGTTGTTGGAAGGTTTGACAAGTGGAATTTTGTGGATACAGAAGAACTAGCTGGTATGAAGAAGGGCGAGATATCCGATGATGCAGATTTCGTGAGGTCCGCGAACGAGTACTTTACGGACTTCTACCGGCCACTAATTCCATGCGTCAACACTCTTCGGAAGGCAGTTTTCCCCAATGGAAGAAGGTGGGCGAAGGCAGATACAAGGTTGTATGATCAGATGAAAGAGATCCTGCGGGGCGCCCGACAGGATTGAGGGTTGAGAACAGTCAGTTTCTGATGAAGTCCATCGCAGAGCCATGGTGGCATCACCATATAATGCAAGCATGTATCTTGTGTGAAATTTGTACGCTTTCATTCGATTTTAGAACTAAAAAGTGGATTGCGGAAGACCGGTGACCGCCCGTAGAGGATTACTCCATAAACGAGAAGGTTGCAGAATTTCCGTCGCGGAGACCCAATGGTGTGTTGCTTGAAGCTGCAAAAGATAGTTGTACTAGATGCGAGGTGAATGGCTGAACTGTATGGCCGATCCAGAGGTCGACATACTTCTAGTGAAGGACTTTGACCTTACTGTACCAGCATATTTATACTGTACCTATTATGGATGTCTCACTCTCGAAAGAGTTCCTGGCAAGGCTCAATGGATTTGCATTGCGACTCGTGTCTTTCACCTGCTGAATCGAGATCTTGGAGAAACATTTAAATGTCTCAAGGTTGGAAAGAAGTGCAGAATGAGATTGAGGATTCGGCGAAAGTAAAGGGAAAGCCGGCTCGTTCTGATAATCTCAATCCTATGTAAATTCACCCAGTACTTATAGCTCATCTTTGAAGGTACAGTACCGTCCGATGTATACTGTAGCACCAGCAAGTCTTGTAGAGAAGGTCGCATACAGCGCTCCCAGGATCACCAGGTCATACACATGCCCTGGGAGGAATACACACGATGTGCAGCCAATTCATTCTCGAACTCTATTTTGCATGACGCTATGCCTTTTTTTAGTTAGTCTACCTTGAACCACTACTAAATGAAGGTACAAAGATACCTATCTGTAATGCAGTTTGCAGTTTCTAGGAGCTTGGTCGTTTGTAGCGAAGACCCATTTAGAAAATGGGCGTGGGCACTTTGTTTCTGTCGCCTAGGGGAAATAGATACATAGCGTCTGCGATGACATGGGTTGCGGTTGAGCGTCTGCCTATTGGCTGCCCTGCAATATTAATATCCTTGTACACCATAATTTCTAGGAAATAGTATCGCTCCCAGGATGCCAGTTTTTTTACATCGGTTTACCAAATCTTAAGAGACTTCGATTTCGACCTATATAAGGAGCATACCTGCAGATCTTCTTTTTCATAATTCAAATGTCCGGATGATAAGGTACTAATTCAATCTTCTGTCACCATGGTAAGAAATTTTGTTCATATGCACGGTATTTTTTTTTTGAACAAGGCAATTAATGAAAAACAGCATATTGTGGCTCCCCTGAGGATGATATCTTGTATCCGGTGCTATAAGAACGTCGGAACTACAATGATGTATTTTGTTGAAGGAGTTGCAACAGCGAACGAGACCGAAATCAGAAAGCATTTGCCATGGGTATTCAATGGATCGAGCCTGCCTCGCCCTATTGAAGTTGATAGCATGCTAGATGAATGGTCCACATACGGACTCGAAGTCACCTGGAATACAAACAACAATCAGATATTAGAAGTCTGGCGGGTCTCGGATGTGAATCCGAGTGCGGATGGGAATAATGAGTTTGATCTGCAAATTGGCCTTTGGGTCGAACGCGAAGTGCTTAAGAAAATGGCCCCTTCCTTGCTTCAGAGTAGGTGCTTCAGAAAAATATTGAGCCTGGGAAAGCTAATTCAGGTCAAAGATTATATTACCAATTTTCACGAACTTCCACCGTCTAAGAAAGAGGCTGGCATGAAGAGTCCTACATGTAAGCCGCTACGCCGTTCAGTCAGAATTGAAAAACTTCGAGCACAGACGCCAGTGAAATCGGTTACATAGTATGATTTCAGCCCAATTCTAGCACAACATACAGTGGCACACAAATTCTTGGCATTTCCGAGACGGAGATGATGCAGCGTTTACTTCAACCCTGAAGATGGAGGAATTCTGGAGGTATGTTTATGAGCGGGGCGGTAAAACTGATCACAGTCTTTTGATCACTCCCTATATAGTAGCTTGTTGAGGGTCACTTTAGGGATATGCACAATTATCCCCCCGTTCATCATACTCATTGATATAGCGTCGGATTGTACTTGATCAGGACTCGTTTGCCATCCATCCACTATCAGACATTTGTTAGGTTTTGTTCCTGCTATCTTTTATCCCCATATCGACCTGTCTGCTATACCAGACTGCCATCGTAACATCCCCATTGCGATGATTAGATCTCACTAGGAGGTATCCAGAACACCCCGCTATCAAGTGATCCATCTGGAAATACTGGCCTGATCAGGACTCAGTGTAATGCTGTCATTTATTTCTTAGACACAGTTCTAGATCCTGTAATTAATTACCCAAAAAGAGGACTCACGTGTTTACAATAAGAGTCCAGGAAAGAAGCAAAGAATGTAGGGATGAAAAATTAATTTCGAGCCCGTCTGTATCTTCCATATTTTATACATAGTACATGCGCTGGGCATGTAATTTACTGCCTCCATCCCTCCTTGTGGGCGGTTGAATGTCGCTTTCCTCTGCCGATCAGTTCAAATTCCGAAAAGCCAGGAATGTGATTAAGCTGGAGTGATTGTAACAGTGCGCAACGGAACTGTTGACCACTCCAATCTGAGGCTAGACTATCTATTTATGGGAACAAGTGCTCACAAATTTTAAGTAATGACTCTCGTATCAACTAATACTCAGTTGAAATATAGAGACCTGTGGTTGGCGGATATCAGGCCGAAGGAGGCAGGCCCCCTTGAATCACCCTCAGTTTTCACTTCTTCCATTATTCCTATTTCCTCTTATGCACTCAGTGTTTTCTTGCAATATTATAACGTGAATCGCAGAATTAAATCACTGGAAAAGAATAGTTGCACCCACCTGGCTATGCTCTTTCTCAACCAATTACATGGGGACGTCATATCCGGAGGCACTAGATTTCTCCAAGCAGGGCTGGAGGGCGGAAAGCTCGCCGTTGCTTACGGAAAGCCCGCCCTCGAGCAATCTGTTAACGTGACTGCTCAGGTTGATATACAGTTTCTTACCTTTAGAGAGTTCTCTATGCTAAAGTATAATAGGCAGCAGGATGGATCATTCAGAACCCTGTTCTAGCCGCATATATGGTCGTGGGCGCTAGCGGTGCTGTAGTTGTCGCTGCTCCCGGCCTTGCAACGGCCCCAGTTTTATCGAGTATGGGATTCACAACAAGCGGAATTCACGCAGGTGTGTGTAAATACGCAGGAATTAACATATGAGTTCTTGTTTCCCACCCTCCGAAGCTCGAATAACCATTCATGTCTAGGTTCAGCAGCAGCAGCCGCTCATGGTTTGATCGGAAATATTGCAGCGGGGAGCGCGATGGCCATAGGACAGAGCGCTGGTGCAGGAGGAAGTGGCCTCGTGATCCTCAATGGAGCTGCACAATTGGGAGGTGCTGCGATGACTTTGGGAAGTGCTAGTTTAGTGTGGGTCAAAAGCAGACTATGAACACATCCTTTACAATGCAGGACCATATATTATCCTTTGCGGTGCTCAGGGTTCGTCGCAGTAAATTACATTCCTAGGAACAAACCAAGGGTGCTTCCAGGAGCTCATGAACAGGCTGTCGGAGATCGAGCATATATAGTAGCTAGGGTGTTTGGTCGCTGACCAAATATTGTGCCTGTTTGGCCAGATGGCGTAGTTGTAGAGCTCAACCATGCATAAACCGTCACACAGGCAAAATGGGTCATTCTTTGCTCCCAGGAGCCCACCCTTGCATCCCCACTAGGAAATATTCTAAGCACCTACCGTTGGGCACCTGTAATTACCCTGATCTCAATGTATCAAAGAATATTCGGGACAGGCTGGCACTGACCGATATACTTTTGTCAGATCCTGGACAATAAATTTTCCTCTAGCTCTTCTGATTCTATCAATATGGCTAGGTAATGATACCGACGATAATTCGATTATTTTCGTGGACTCGGAAGAATATCAAGAGCGTGAAATGCTCGATGGCAGTAAGTAGATCACGCCTAGGATTATTTTGTATCATACAAGCGAAAACATAACGGTTACGTTACCTTACATTGGATAAAATACTTCCTGCCGAACCTATGTCAGGTGTGGCGGTGCAATGATGTACCAGTAATGTAACGGTGTTTTGATTTGTGACACGCCAGCTGTAATCGGGTTTCGCCAGAACACGTTCCACTATCATATCGATTTTACGCAGCGAACATCTTCAGCTTCAAGTCTAGCACAAATGACGCTTACTTTCTGAGAGCAAGTTTTCTCAGAAATGCTGGCTCTGGAGGATGTAACAAAGATCTTTCAGTTTTTGATTTTCGCTAGCGACAATTACCTCACTGGAGTCTTGGGTAGTGACATTGTGACCGTAAAAGACAGAGTTTTGTTGAAGAGATGAGTCTCTCTTATTGATGGAGATCAAGTTATGTACAAGCAGACTATAAGTGACACACAGCGCAGTGCTCGACTTACGTAAACGACTTAGCGAGCACATTTCCGACGGGCCGTCCGATTAGATCCTGATCTGGTGCATCGCTGAGGAAGTTCTAAATCCTTCCAGGCCTGTCGCAGAAAGGCTGTGTCTATGTCTACGAAGTGGAGCCCAATCTGCCTCAAGGTCAGGTTTTGCCCCTTGAGCTCTAGCAGCTTTCGTTTTTCTCTTGTATCAAGCTTGTGACGGAGCTTGCGAGTACTCAAATCACCCAGATTATTGAGCAGTGGCTGTGATCTTGACTTGGCTCGGGTGAGCGGGACACAAGCTTGATCACCAGAACGGGTTTTGTCGTCGGATTCTGCCTGCGTATGACGGTGCTCCTCGCGCGTAAGCTTCGGCCTTTGATCACTGGGGGAGATGAGAGAATCTGTTCGCAAAGCCTTGCTTGGCCTTTCATTTGCTTTGTCGCCGGCACAATCTTTGCTAGATCGTTGAGACAGCCTTGGGCAAGTGTAGGGTTCGTTCTTTGTCTCCAGCTCGTCCATAGAGAGATCGGGTGAATCCAGTTGAACAGTTGCTTTGTTGTAAGGCTGGCATCCATCTCCCATGTAAGATCCAATAGGCTTGAGGATCCGAGGATCAATGACATCAAGACCGGGAGTTGTTGGCGGAGGGCTGAGTGAAGAATCTGCTGCGGAAAAGCAGGATGCAGCTGAGCTACTTCTACTGCTTTCACTAGGAGTGTCACTGAGTTCCGAACCGTAATATCGTTCGGGATGTTCCTCAATGTATGAAAGCAACGTAGGAACGGGCAAAAATATATGGTCTGACTGCTGTTCGCGGCATGAAGGCGGATGGGGGTAAAACCGGAATCTCTTGGGTCGCTCCTCCTTTGGCTCTGTCGAATATCTTTGTGCTTGCGGCTCCAGCTCGCAAGCACGCTTCCTCTTTCTCGGAGGCTTTGGACTAGACCAAATAGCTTTGTTCAGCCCGTGGATGTCGTGCAAATGATGTCGAAGGTCACGCTCATTGTCGAAATCTTGGGTACAACCGCATACTGGCTTCATTGTAGGCCACTGGAGCCCACACATATGCTGTTCTTCGATGTGTTGCCTCAGGTTACCACTTTTCAGCCAATAATCCAATCGTTCTTCCGCAGGAAGATCCGCATTCCACAAGCACAAGGGACAGTAGCCAGGGCGGATCACCGTGTGACGATATATAATAACTTCACAGTGTTGAGTTTCCCATGACTGGAGATGAGCATTGCAGTGATCTCGCCATTCACTTAACAAGCACCACTCCATACATTCGTAACAAAAGCGCATTTGTGACTCCGAGACTTGGAAACTAGATGCCTTCTCGCTTCGAACGCATGCATGAATGTGAGTGCTCCGTTCACTTTTTTTTAAGCTGATTGAATCTGTTAAAGGGCTGCATAATCACGGCCAAAGATCCACTTACCTTGTAATGGTGACCTGGCAGGCTTTTGCGGGGCAGGCACTATCAATTGGACTTTCATTGGGAAGGTAGACCACATCAAAATCGCGGGAGCATTGAGTCTGTAAGTCTTTGACGAACATGATTTTCTCTTCAAAGCACAGCTCAGTGGTATGGGACATCGCTGTTGCGATTCGCGCAATTTCAGGCATGATCAAACTCTGAGCACGTATACAAACATCATTTGTCACTGAGACCGGCTGCTCTTTGCCACGGGTGAGGATTTTCTGATCCCTCCTCGCCTGTAACCACGAAGTTTGATACCTTTTGAGTTCAAACCGGCGTTGCCGAACCAATGCGTTCCTGTAACGCAGCTTCGCGGCCCGAAGATCCGTCTGATTATTACACTTTCTGAGATCTTCGATGCGACTTCTCAGTTCCACCAATTCAGGTAGCATCAAAACGCTTTCCTCGATGTGAGCAGGCAAATTAACAGGAAGACCAGGTACACAAAATTGAGTGTAGCCCTGGAAGTACTCAATGTGTTTCGTTTCACCTTTCTCATCAAGAACAGCCGAGACCGTGTCTATAGAGGAGCAATGGGCTTGATAGTGCTCTGGGAATGTTTTTGGATCCCGATGCGCCAGAATTTGTGAGACGGGCGCAGAGCCATACCTTGCTGTATTAGGCGTCAACCACCGGATCATGCTCAGTCGTATTGATCTTCATATTTGCTTACATTCGACCTCCTTCGCCAGGTTCCTTCGCAAACAGTGTATTGTCGGGTGTTCACTGTAGCCAGCTGCATCAAAGATCCGGTGTAGGTAGGAGGAAAACTCTTTGTTCGTAAGAGGAATTTCTTGAGGCCCGTCGGCTGTGACATTCCGGAAAATCGGTTTCGTCTTGAAACTTTCCTTCCATTCTAATGGGATCTCTCCATTCGATAGATCACATTCTTCCAAATCTGAAACAGTCTCTATACCAAAAAGAGCGCCATGTGCAAGTGCGAGTGCGAGGAGAAGTTGGCCAGATGCGAATTGCGGTTTGTTGCTGTCACGGATACCGATTCCGAACCTGAGAACATGTTAATAGAACTGGAAAAAATGAACCGATACTTTTGAGTCCTTACACTGTGTACTTTTCATCACGATTATTCTTGAGCCATTTCTGGTTGACTCTCCATCCAACCTCCCATGGAGCGGTGGATGAAGGAAATAGAACCAACTTGATGTCCTGATTCAAAAATTAGAACAAAATGAACTTCGGAGATGGTTCATACATACTTCGTATCGAAGGCCTTTGTAGTGTTTATCCTCATCAGAAGGCATAAAAGTTCCGATTCTTGCCCCCGTGAAAAGGTATAATTGAAGAGCAAATAGTATGAGGACCTTGGTCAGCCCGGGAATAAACATTTGATGGTCAGCTTGCCAAATTGAGGCGACAACTTTCAAAAAGTCATCCCTCTTGAAGTTGTACTTCTGCTTTTTCTGGTTCACGACAATGCCCTCTGCTGTCAATGTATTTTTTATCCACTGCATTTCATGGAAGAGTAGAGTTAGTGATTTGTTGATGACAGAGAAATAAAAAACCCACATCATATACTTCTTTTCTATCCTCCTTGGGCACCTCCGTTTTGGTGCTCTCTTTGAAACCCCCAAAGAATCGTTCCGCCCACGCTTTGACAGTTCTAACAGTTGGCTGTTTGCCTTCGCTGAGTCTGCCTGTAGCAGAACCCACACACCAGCGAATGAATTCCTTAACCACATCATGGCTCGGAGGGGAGCATCCGGGAACAGTTTTGTAATGTTTGAACTTATTGCTTGGGTCTGCTGTGAAGCTAGGAGAGAAGTCAGCTTCCTCCATGAACTCGCGGGTCCGTCAACGTACTCGAGCCAGAGGTCCAGCGTCTCTTGGTGTATTTGCTTGGTCTTGTCGAGCTTCTTGTCTTTATTTCGGATGCTGTCTTCCTCCCTATGGGCCCCGGGGACGTATCCATTCTTTTCTCGTAGTAGACGGCGCCTTTCCTTGATTATCTCATCGCGTCTATTGAAGAAGTCCATTCGCTCCATTATTATGAACCTTGCTCAAATGCTAGCTGTAGAAGCAGCTAAGTGAAATGGAAGAATTTGAATGAGATGATGAGAGAGCTGGTTTATGGGGACATGGTGTCCTTATATAGCTGAGACTTGGAGCTCGAGTCGCCCGCCGTACTGGAAAAAGATAAGAAAGTTTCATGGGACTATCCCTATTCGGATGGCCTTCGCCGTCTTTTTTGCGCCTGATAGACATGACGCATGATTTTGGGGGCGAGGGTTCCTCCAGAAAACGAGGGCAGTTCAAATATCGTCAACGCACTAACCATCACAGAATAAATGGCCCTTGGGGCCTGTCTCTATTAGGTAAGGTCTAAATTGAGTTAAACAAATCAGGGGTGCTCACTGAGCATTACTAAGGTGTCAGTGATGACTCACTGAGCACGCACTGAGCGCTCACTGAGCGATCCCGGAGCACGCACTGAGCATGTGGGACTGGTCACTGAGCACTCACTGAGCACGCCACCGATTAGTCATCATGCACGTGACCGAACCAGAGCATGCTCACTGAGTCTGAGCCCGTGCTGACATCTACTCACTGATCCTGAGCCTGAGCGCCCTCATAAAGCGGCGGCAGCCCAGATAGGAAATGCCCCACCCGGCAGACATTATCCTGTCTATATAGGTACATATGCCGCCCTTGACTTGTATTGCTGTAATCCGAGTCCCCACAGACGAGATCCGTCGTGGATGTCCCACGCGCGCCATCGCAGGTGCTATTGCATGGACCGGACTCTGTCGATCGGAGTGAGTAGGCCGAGTTGATGAAGTACTGCCAGCAGAGCAATAGGAATATTGCTGAACGGAACATCTTGAACCTATGGCCTCCTCTCTCAGCGTTCCATGAGAGAATCAAACCCCCCTATTGAGGAAGTAAAATTCCCGAGGATTGAAGGTTTCAGGGTTGTGCTTATTTTAGTCGCATGGCTGAGCATAGAGGCCCAAAGACTTCGGCCAAGCCCCAGGCCCCATATAACTGCTGATTTTACCTCGATGTGGCATTTTGATGTGCAGCCTCGCGGTCTTTGGGTGGCTGAATCTCTAGTGGATGGGGGCCAAATTGCGGGTGTGGAGGTTGTTTGCTCGTTGTCATTGGCCCTATTTGCTAAGAACAGGGTCTGCCAGATGAGCGTTGGCCTCCTTTTTGTGCTGGGTCCAGATTTGTGGGTTGATAGGCTGTTTGATTTGTCGATTGGGGCTGAAACTTACCGACATATCTGAGACTTGTGATAGAAATAGAAAGCTACTGCTTCGTATTATCAAACGCTGCCATCCGAGGGATCTGCATTGCCCCGAGAACCGTGCACGCGAATGCAATCTAAAGGAGCATTGAATGCCACCATATAGAGTTGGTAATATTATCAGCTAGTCAACTACTGTATATATGATCAACCAAGACACGAAACAGATAATTCAAGATGGCCAGAATAGGCAGTATATACATAGAAGCATATCTTAGGTCATTTTCATATAATCATGGACGATAAAGTCAGGGAGGAACAGGAACGCGTTTCAAACCCCCACAGGGAAAAAGTTATTTGAAGTATTGAAGAGCCTTTCAAAGGGAAATACGTATAGAGTGAGAAAATTACGCAAAGCTCAAACCGCAAAGCCAGCCTCTACCACGAGAAAGCCTCTTCGAACAGATCAACCGTTTTCTCGCCTTGCACGTTCCTTACAGCTTCACGCACACTATCGCCCAGGCCACCAGGACCGCAGACGCTCACCGCCATGGCACCTATTTGCTCTGCCTTTTCTTTTTCCAAGACAGTTTGTATACATGGCTTGCCATGGTGGATGCTGACTGGCACGCTTGCAGGGGCGCATTGCGTCCATGGTGTAGATGGCATGGGAATATATTCTTCCACTGTGTCCTTGTGTGCTGTAATGTGAAGACTGATGGAGAGCAGTAGCTTTGGAAACTGGAAGTATGAGTGGCCGTTTTGGTTCATTGGACTTGACAAGGACTCGTGGCCAAGGATGTCTTCCATGAATTTTTGAATCCATGTGAGGTGGTCTATATTCGGTCTTGGTTAATGGTTGTTGGCAAAAGTAAAGAGAGGTGAATTACCTAGACTGCGAACGATCCAGACCAGATGCACCTTGCGTGTAGCTGTTTTCTGCTCGGCGAAGGTGCCGACGACCTCATTAAGGTATGACATTGGATGGGTGATGCCAATACCACCAGCGATCAAAAGCAAAGTGCCATATGAGTTCAAGGAATGAACGCCGCCTGGTAAGTATTAGTGGAAATTTTCTTCACCCTCAGAGGATTCAGAGAATTAGGGTTCATACCAAATGGTCCCTCTGCCAAGGCCATAGCTTGGATTCGTCCGTCGGCGGAGTCTTCCGCTTTCTGAATAAGCTTCTTCGTAAATCCATCCTGTCCCTTGATTAGGACAGACATGGTAGTAGTTTCTGACCCTCCAATGAGAGCCATCAATGAATCACTTGAACCGCGCTTCTCGCCGAATTTCAGGGAATCTGAGCTAGTAGATGTCCATGCAACCGTGAAGGGATGTGATGTCCACAAGCCCAAGCACGGCATGTAAAGATACATGTACTGACCAGGGCGGAAGCGCCAGGCTCGGGAAACGGCCACATCAACACGGGCTACAGACCCAGGCAAAGCTTCAATAGTGGCAGTTGTGGGTTTTCTGCCGATATTTCTCCAGAGTAAGATGCCTAGCCGACCTGCACGATCAAGACCCCATAGTATCAGTGTGCCTAGAAGCACTTGCTGTTGCAAGAGATTCTTTAGGTGGTACCAGAGAGCAACGAAAGACATCACTGCCAAGGCGATGTGCAGGTGAAGGAACAATTCGTAGAATGCATGTCGGGACGGTGACAAGGATTGAACAACAATGAAGAGAAATCCGAGGATAGCCTGAATGGATTTATGTTAGATGAGGTTTTCCATTATTCGGATGGTTGATAGAATACATACCACCAGGCCACAAATATAGAGGCGTTGTTGCCAGATGACATAAAGAACATGCTCTGTACCGTCTAAAATTGATGTCAGTGCATACTTCAATTATGTAACTTCAGACTACTCACGCATATAAGCCTGATTAACCAGCACTGCACTCATGTGGACCACCGCATTGGCAGCAATCACACGTCCTACCCAGCGATGCATATAGTTGAAGCCATCAAAAGAGATGCCAAGAAGCTGAATCAGTGGGTTGTTCCGCCCAGCACTCAGGACCAGACCCGGCGTGTTCATGACCGCAAGATGGCCGGCCGAGTACTTGAGCTGGAACATCTTCAAGGAGTAGTCACTGATCCACCAATCAACTGTCACGATGATGAAGATGATGTTCAAGCCGAGGTATATCAAAAGGCAGATCACTTCCAGTCGCAGTGGAAGCGAACCCATGTGAAGTCTGAGGAAGCGGAATTCGCGACTATGACGATTACCCCAGATTGGAGCATATAGGAAGTGCTTCTTCAAGGCTGCATTGAAGCCATTCGTCCGTGACAGCTGTGTTTGGTCATTTCCTGCTTGGGCCTTTTTTAATCGCTGACGATGTCGAAGGCGAATGGCGCTTTTCCAAACGAACAAAATGGCGATGAGTCCACCGACGACATATAAAGGGACCGCGATGGTAGGGTTCATAGGTGGCTCCCCATGGCCATTTCCTTTGAGTTGGACTCCCATTGTGCCATTCGAAGAGGCAGGTGAAGGTTGAGCTGCAGATCGCTGGGTTTGGATACTGTCGCAACCACTATATAGAGTGGAGTATCCGGCGACTCCTTGAAGAACTCAGCACCAGAGGAGGAGAGGGGGATGGAAAAGCACACGGCTTTTAATGGACTGATAGTGAATATGTGGTAGGGATCGCGTGGGAAAGAAAGAAGGTTCAAATCATGGCGTTGTATTCGATTTCCCAGGCCTGACGTACACGCATGCCGTCATTGACCCCTGTGAGGAGCAGGTCTATTCTTGTACAGACGAATGAAAGCATCCTCGCGTTTCGAACAAGGCATGGGACACACTACTCGTGTGGGCGAGTGTAACGCCGATTTGGGAAATGCAGACATTGGCACCTATTAAGGTTGTTCGGGTACAAGGGGATGCGCGCGGCTATCCAGGGATTCTAGATCTTCGAGAACCGCCCTGACATGTCAAAGCACTGCGTAATTCAGGCGCCAATGGTGACAATTGCGGGTTGGAGAAAGGGATAGGGTCTAGACGCCGTTGCCCGTCAATCCGAAAACGGAATGTTGACAGCCGCCTCCGGCATTCCTCCCACTTTCAGTCAAGGGGTATTAAGGAGAATAAGGAAAATAAGAATATCGGGCTGGATGGTTTAAACTGTTCTGGCTGCTGTTTTTTTCCAGTAGTCTTTCGAAGCAATTGTGCGAGAGTTTGATATCCCAACGGCAGTTCGTAGAAGCCCTCAACGTGGGCTCCGAATCTGTGGTTTCACTGGGACGCAACTGCAACGTTAGAGACAATGGTCAAGTTTGACCAAGTGGAGACCATAGCGTCGTAGATATGACGCCACAGCAAACTTCGTCGAAGTTTGAGTGCAATTGTCTTTATGATTTGGCGATCCAGCCATGGTGAACTGGCGGGCAAGGGCCCGTGTGTATAGATGTCGCAGATCCCATTGCGACCATTACCAAACGACTTGTCTCACTTTGGAGATAGCTCATGCCGACTTGGCTGATTCTTGGTCACATGCCCCTGGGCGCTTTGCATATGCCCAAAGCAGCGTGAAATCATAGCGGGCCCGTCCTTCCTGGAAGATGCGCCATAAGACAGCCTAGAACCCGATAAAAGGTCCCACTGGCTGACAAGCACGAGTATGAATAGAGGCATTGTAACCCTTAGCATAAGGTTCTAGACTCGACGCGGGACATCCTGGGGTAGGAACAGATCAAGGGCGGGTTGCAAGGTACAGGTTCTCGTCGCACGAGTCTTGTTCGTCATGGACGAGTGAATCAGTGATGTCAGGGTTTGCAGGTCAGGGCCAGGGCCAGGAGATGATTCTACGAAAAAACCGGATGATGGTCTTCTTGGGCGATTCGGGGTCTCTTGAATACCTCCGAGGTGAGACTAGGTAGGTGATGATACCCCTGAAACTCAGCTCCGAGAGCATTTTCCAGCCAAAATCCGTAGCTCATTGCGGCAGATGAGCCCAAGGACCGTAGAGAGGTCATACAAAGACTTTGCTATTGTCAAAAGCCGGCTGCCCTGCCGAATCAGTGAAATCATGACGACTTGTCGGTAAGCAGAATCAGCATACAGACAAGGCTTTGGTTTCCATTTCCATTCTTCGCTTTTGTATCACCAAGTAAACTGCCTATCACTTTCCATCAGTTGAGTATGGCTGGTCTGGTACAATGCATATCCCATTAGACTATGATGCCGATCCCTATTGAGGTGCTGGAAGTTGGTCGTGGAAAATAATATTGATCGAAGTCTTGTAGTTGAGATGCTTGTTCGAGTATAAAGTGAGTAGGGGTAAGTGGGCTTCATGTCCCGACCAGCACCAAGATACAGCATCTCTGGATATACAGTACATTTTGGGTGGCGAGACAGATCAGAGTCTACTAACTCGTGAAATTCGGTTCGAAAATTTGATAAAACAATGATAGATATTCTATTCAATAACGCTTATTCATGGAACGCCAATCCAGGGTCCCATACCCTATGTCAATCCATTCCTCCTCTTTTCCCAAATATGAACCCAACCAGCCAAGTAGAAATACATGGAACCAAAACCAAGAAACGCCAGCGTCATTGCTAAGTCTGCATAGCAAAGCAGGTAAAGTATAAGATCTCACGCAGTGACTTCTTGCACATTAAAAGAGGCCTGAGTATGAGGAACATAATGCAACTCCTCCTCAACAGAAAGACTACCATAACCGGTATCATTGCTAGCAGAGCGCTCACGACGAAGAGGCTTGCCAAGAGGTGTAGGTGAGTCGGACATATCCTGGTCCGCATCACTCTGGGAGGACAAGTTCGAGCCGCCCCTGCGACGGCGATGCTTGCGTCTTTTGTTGGTCGTCTTGTCTGGTGCTGTGTGGACATAGTCATCAACATTGATACCTGCAGTTTGGCAGATTGACGTGCAAGAGTCGACGACTACCTCGACGAGGGTGGGTGAGAAGCCGTAGAATGCCGGGTTATAAGCGTTTCGGGCCCAATAAATCAGTTCAGCGGAGACACGGCCGAGGTTTGGGATGTCGCGGGGACAGATGGAAAGCTTGCGGGCTGGGCGGGGCTTTTCTTCGGCTTCGTCGTCGGCGGAGGAGGTTGCTTCTGAGACAGGGGTAGATGGAGAGGATGAATCAGATGACGCGATATAATCTACATCTGAGGCAAGGAGGTGGAGGAGGTGATAGACTGCCGAGAAGCCGAGGAGAGATAGCTCGACTGGGTCAATTGGTAGCTGGTTGAACCAGTTTATGGCCTTTTGAATGGTGAAGGATTCGGGTAACGACGTGCTGTCGCCGTTGGATCGTGCTGTGACGATCGCAGCGATCATGGCACAGCGTACTGCGATGGAGATTTCATCGCGGACAGAAACTGGAAGAGAGGAATCGAGGAAGTTGGAAGCGTGGCTTTGACTTCCCTTTCTCTTCTCATTAGGGAGAGCTGCAAGGACAGCACCCACGTTTTCGACGCGGTTTTGTTCAAAGAAAACCGCTTTCATGACGAGGGCGCGGGTGTAGGCGGCAGACAGCCGGGGAGCGACGTCGAGAGACATGCGGATCTTCTCCTTGAAAGCATCGCGGCTTGCCTTGGAGACCGGACCCTTCTCGCTTGCCTCGAAATAGTTCAGTAGGGCAGTTTGCAGAAGATGGCTGGACCACCAGGCGGCGAGTGCATCCTGAGAACATTGAATGGCAGAATCCTCTTCCACAACATCAAGGAGCACCTCCTCATCACTAGTGCCCTCTTGCGTCGGCCTATTCCAAGTTAAGTTGACAGCACGTTGAATAATAGTGTCAATCATAACTTCCTCGCAATCCAATTTGACCAAGGCTGCAAGGTGACTTGGGAGCCGATCGGGGTGTGTCTCGGGCAATGCGTCGTTAAGGTCACGAGCGACTTCCCATTGAAATCGTGCGAGAGACCGAGCAATGTCGTTCGACATATGGAAAGACCAAGAGCCTTGCTCTCCAACACACCAAAGCAGAACACGGACATGCAAAGCCTTCAAGATCATCCTCATGGGACTGGTAGGAAGGGTGCCAGCAGCAAAGATAGTTAGGACAAGGCGACTTTTGCTAACTTCGGCATCACCGCCAGTGAGCTGTGCATCAATGGCAATATCCCAAGTCTTGACACGGCCTCTCTCATCCTCTTCAGTGATCCCTGTGGCCCAGGAGTACAGCTTCCAGCCCATCATACAGCGCAGGACATATTCGAAGCATCTTGATGTTACAACATACCACTCCCGGAAGAACCGATGACGTGGAACACCGACGCGTTGCATACTCGTCAGCCAAGCCTGTCGGCGGAAGTCACTGGATGTGAGTGGCACAATTTGACTATCGGAATTTGACTTGGATGAGCCACGCTGTGTAATAGGTTGGGCATTGAAGAGGTAGACAAAGACGAAGAAAGCACAGCCAACGACCAGCGTTGCCAAGACCAGGAAGTGAGAGAATGCGCGGGCCTGCCACGAGTACCAGAAGTGCTTCAAATAATATTCCCAGTGTGCCATAGTGGGTGTTTGCAAACGGCCCAGCAGGCGAATGGGAAGTGCAAAGAGACCCTTTGCCTCACCTTCGGAGTCATCGGAACCCATGCCCTCGAGAACCATCAGACCAGCGAGTGCACCCAGCATGTACTTGTTGGGCATCCTGGAGCGCCGCCCAGAGGTGTCCTCTCTGGCATATTGGGGTTCATGGGCTGAAGATGATGGGTACTTGATATATGACTCAGCGAAGACTCCTTTCTGTGCAGTCTCAGCTCGCATCCGCTTCCACGAGTCGGACACCGGGAGTAATCCTTCCGGGGGGTTGTGAGAGCGGGGTGAACCCTCGCCAGAGATCTCCTCGGCCTGCGAGAATACACTGGGGGATGTACCAGACCCGGAGTCAGTCGAGGCATAGTTGCTTGGAGAGGACACAGAAGCAGACGAAGTGACAGCCTGATCAGCAGCTTTGTCGGCTTGGCGAAGACGATTCTTCAGACCAGTATTTTCATCTTCCAGTCGCTTGTTACGAATTTCGAGATGTTTGATGTATTCAGTAGCCTTGGACAAGATAGAAGCTTTATTGAGCTTGCTCGCAGAGTTCGCTTCGGCTTCGTCGTCGTCATCCGCAGAACCTCCAGTCTTAGTTGTTCGTAGGCTGGGTACACTATCGCGAAGTTCCGCAATCTTGTCGTTCAAGTTGGCTCGATACCGCTTCTCAATAACATTGTGAGCGCGTTTCTTGGCGGGCATCTTCTTGCCCGGTTGCACTGGGCCGGTCACTGTAGTAGCGTCGTCATCACTGCCTGTTTTTCTCTTTCGGTTGGTTCCAACACTGGAGATTGGAGACACAAGACCAGACTGTGGTTTCTGATCCATACCCCAGCCCTGCGAGAAGCTAGAGGGGTGGCCGTGGAGGTTGTTGTTCTGCTGAGAAGGAATTTCCATCAATCCAAGAGGTAGATGAGGGGAGAAGTTTTGATTCTGGGTCGGCGAGCTCATGTCGGTATGAGGGGAGATAGACGGCAGATCTATAGACGAGGCCATTGGCTTCTGTTCGCCTTCCGAGAACATCGGCTCATCCCATCGCATCCATTGAGTCCAGTCTTGATTCACATTCTCTCCAATTGGATGTGACATAAATTGGCCATTTGATCGAGAGTCGTCTCCACCGGAATTGCGCGGAGAAAATAGCTGGAAGTCGGTGTCCAAGGTGGGACCGGACATAATGAAGGTATCTCGGTAGGATCCTCGGCTAGAGCCTGTAGCAGTCTAAACCTGGGTGATGTAACCGAGAGCCCGAATAGTGAGCACTGCTTGAAGTGTTAGATGTGTAAGATGAAAGACACTTATATAGCAAGCCACTTCAAAGAGCAAAATTGAGCTGCCTGAAGACATGTTCGAGATATGATGTACGGCTAAGCCCGTCCAGGCTAGCCTAGAATGTGATAGGGTGATATCTGTCACTTACTGGGTTCTATATCAAAGACAATGCTCGAATGACACGGCGTGAAGATGAACAGACGTAGAGATGTTCTTTGGAAAGTGCGATGTAAAGACTGAGTTCCCAGGAGGGGGAGATGTCAGAGTCGCAGTCACGAGTGTCGTAGGCGATTGGATGGACAGAAAGCAGGGGTGCGACAGTTACCCACTTGAATAGACGGTATTTTAGGCAGTCAAAGCCTTGGGACCAAGTGGGTTCTCGAATCCGTTCTCCGTTGCGAAGGTGATCGTCCTTGCATTAAAGATTTAAAGAATTAAAGGAGGGTGGATCAAGTGATGTAAAAAGGGAAAAGCACAAAGTGGAAGCTATGTCAGAGGCATCGAGCTTCCTATCTCCATGCATGAAGATCAGGGGAGGTGTTAGGCGTGTTAGTCTAGGATGCCTGGGGATAGCAATTTCAGTCGTATGATCGCGGCTGGCCGCCCTTCCGGCTCCGCCATTGCCACCCCTGATGGTTATTACGGTGTAAATTTCCGCTGCCGATCACGTGGAGCTGGTTAATGAGGGTACGTCTTGGTTAATTACAGTAACTTATTATGATTATAATTGGCTGCCGTTCTCCCCACCCATAATGGATGACTCAGCCGCTTGCCTGGGACATGTGACTTTCCATCTTTCACTGTATATTTCACTTCCAATGCCCTTTCTGGTTGCTTTGGACCCGAAATTTGGCCCTCAAAAAAGAGCAGACCAAGGCTCGTTCATTTCCACTCTCTGATCAACGAGACACGTCACCATGTGTGCCTTGGCGCCCCGCAGAGAGGCAACACGGGAAAAAAAAAGGGCTTATGATCTTATCAGATCGAACTAGTCTCCACTCCTCCCTCGCCGGTAACACCGGAACCCATCAACACGGCGCAGAACACGAATGAGATCAAACAGCCAGCACAGACTATGTGGATCTACAATCCGGTGTCGGCGTTAAAAGAAGAGCCAAGTACCACCTTTTAACATTCCAGGTGAATTCTCTGTCGAAACATCAACGCCCTGCGTCATAAGTGTCTTCCGCGCTAACCCCTAGGAGATCCATTCCAATCCCAATCTGGCTCTCTTCGGCTGGTACTCGGCTTTCTATTCTCAAGTTCAATCTGAACGTCCAGAACTAACAGTCACAATCTCAATGCCTGGTTATGCTTATGGACTGCGAATTATTACTGGAACAGCTATTCAGACCTTTTACACAACTGACCCCCATTTAATCTCCGACCGACTCCTCCTCCCCATAACCAACCTTCTCATATGGAGTCCGAGGTCTGAGCTTCTGATTCGCATTCTCCACACCAGCAGCGGGGGCCGAAAACAAAGCGACATCATATTTGGTTGACGCAATCCCGCCCTTACACCGTACAAGACATCTCCACCAATGCTGAAGACCGCTGTAACTCCATCTCTTCATCAAGTCTCCTATCCATGACCGAATTATACTACAGTATACGTCTTCGATGCCTGTACGGGAACACAATCGCAAAGCAGAAACACACCCTGTCTACCCAACCGTCAACCCAGCAACGTGGAAATCAACCCAACCGCCGAAAATCGCACTCACTGACGTAAAAGTTGCCGCTAGTGATTCTTGCCACCAGCATACAATCCAATTAAAAGCCGATGACCCTCAAGACGCCGACCGAGCTAGCTGCGCCTGATTCTCCGACTATCCAAATAGTTGTCTCCGAGTCCATATCGACACCTTTCGCTTCACCGGGGATATCATAAAACAATACTTGGACAGGCGCTTGCTTCGCGACGTCGATATTTTACGTTCCACCGAAAAAGGCGGGCGGCTCTATTCACAGGTACTCGGACCGGCTGAAGTGTTGGTTCGTTGGGTATGTTCTTACGCCTGTCTTGAGAGGCAGTCTGATCCGACAGCTTGGTTGGCCGTTGCGACTTGGTCTCGTTTTCTGCTCTTTGTGGCCTAGTAAGCTTTCAGAGCTCATGCCCGTGAAGACTAAGCCTGCCAGGCTGCTTAATGACATGTATGCAAATTAATGATTTCGGGATTCTAGGTGTAGTACATCAGTTGAGTCGCTGAATATCTCTGCGGCGGGGCCCTAAACGTCTGGTTTGGAAACTCGACACTGAGAGAATATTAGGGTCTCCCTTTGCGGATGATTATTAGGGCGCAGAGAATAAAGGATGGCAGAGGTACAACCCACATCTAGCCCCCGGGGGTGTGTAGACTTCATATAACTGATTCATTTTGTTATACTTTACGATGATCAACTTGAATCAAATGGCCTGCAAAAATAACCGGAAGTTGATGAAAGTATCTCGTGTTCCTACATCTTTCCGTCCCTAACAGCTGGCTACAATTTGAACCATCCACATCTTCCGAACACCATTTCATGCAACAGATCCGTGACAATGCTACTAAGAAAGCTGTATGTAGGTAACACATCGAAAGCAGATAAACACTGAGAATAAATTGGCGTATGCAGTCGTCAAGGTCCACCAAGGCGTCATTGAGGAAAGCGTTCAATGCTGCAGAAAGTTAGTCACGAGAATCCACAATGATAGGAAGCCAAGATGATATCTCAAACTTACGGCAATATCCTCCCACTTCTCCCAGCCACGTCCCTGGACCTGAGCAAGTTCAACGGCCGAGATCTGCTTGCCAGTTGTGAAGTATCCCGAGTTGATCTTGGCATCGATCTCGACGCGCGAGTCACTGGGGATCATCTCTTCGGGGATAGGTATACGCTCAATGATCTTGATACCCGAGTCGACAATGGCGTCATATTTCATGTTCGACATGGAAAGCATGCGGTCGATCTTCTTTACGCCGAGCCAGTGGAGAATATCCGGCATCAGGGCTTGGAATCGCATCTGTGGAGTCAGAATTAGTGAGTGGGGCGGTGGTCAAGGTAAAGAGGATAGAAACAGGAAAAGAGGAAACATACATCTCGAACACCGGCGATGTTCTCTGTCCGGGTAAAGTACTTATCGGCTGTGTCGCCTCCACGCTTGCGGGCATTGTACACGAGGTACTTGATCACCTCACCCAGAGCTCTTCCTTCTTTGCGGAAGTAAATGACTACACCACTGCCGCCGTTCTGTGCTTCACGGATTGCTTCCCGGATACCAAAGGCCAGGTATGGTCTGCATGTACAGATATCCGACTGGAAGACATCACTACCGTTACACTCGTCGTGGATACGCAAGGACAGCTTGACATTTTCATCGGCGATCCGCTCCGGCGGGCCGAAAATGTAGACAGTAAGGCCGCCGATCGGGGGCAGGAAGATCTTGAGATCGGGCCGGGTGATCAGCTCTGGGTAACTACCACCGGTATGCTCGAACAATGTCCGACGAAGGGTTCCCTCATCAACACCGAATCGCTCTGCAACACCTGGCAGATACCAGACTGGCTCGGCGGCGACTTTAGTGACACGGACTTCACCAGAGGAGTCAACAAGAATGGTCCCATCAACCTCCAGCAAACCGTTCTTCACATCATCCGCAATCTCCGCCAATTTCATATTAGCCCGCGTCACCGCCATAGTAGGGCGGATATCCCAGCCAGCCTCTAACTCTTCCTTGAACTGGCTGACAATATCGTGGCCATAGGGGTCCATAGAGACGATCTTCGTCTTATCGGCCCAAGCCTTCTGCCAAGGGAAATTAAAGGTCGGTTCGCTGTTGCGGAAGTCCGGTCGGAAATCAGCATCCAAGTCACCCGCAGCGATTGCGAGAGCATTATAAATGCTGTAGCTACCGCCGTGGGCGCCGATGGCATTTCGGCGCTTGACGAGGTTGCCGCTCCGCGACACAACTACTGGACCCCGGGATTTGGCGTCGGATGCGCCCCACTCGAGTGGAACGGGTTCAATGCCACTTTGGCCTGGATAGGTGGTTAACTACAACACGAATCAGCATTATCTTCATAACTTTCAACGTCCCAAAGATGCATACGATAATGTGCTTGCTGAACTTTGGGGTTGAGGCGGGGGAGGTTGGAGACGTTGGAGATGGCTGCTGGGCTGGCATGACCGGCAAAGTGGTGGCGATAGGCTCTGTGTTCGTCATCTTGTCAAAAGAATATGGAAAACAGACAAGAAAAATGAAGCTCTGAAGCTGTGAAGAAGAAAGAAAGCAGAAGAGGGGGGGGGGGGGGAATGCAGCCTTGGAGGAGTAACCCGTGACTTATCTCTCTCTCCGCATGGTTATCGGAGGGGCTTATCTGCACGTTACGAGCGAAGTATAAGATAGTCACGTAGTATTGATGGTATGATAGTATTGCTGTTGATATGCTCTACTTTACTATAAGACTAGCGGTCACTGGCATTTCGAGGAAGAAATGACTCCACTGCCCTCCGATCATCTCCACCGGTTTCCACCGGAGTTCTTCGGAGCTCAATTTGACTGGTCGGAGTGGCGAACGCCGAACACTCTTCCACTCACACGCCTAACAACACTGTTTAATATGCAAGGTCGTAGCCATTGCATCCCTCGAACTTAATGAGGTGACACATATCAATTTCCCACTCAGTCTAAATATCCCCTCCACTAACCGTCCACAGCACTTCGCGCCGTCGCAATGGCAAGCCGGCCTCGTGTGAGCCATGCCGCCGAGACAAAGTCCGCTGCGACCATGCAGTACCTGTCTGCACGCGGTGTAGAGACCGAGGAGTCTCAATCCGTTGTTTTTACCACCCTGCTCCCCTGACACGAGCCAAAGGACGTCGCGTATTCCCGTTGGCGGAGGGTGTGCCTTTTGATCGAGCTCCATCGACGAGGTGCGTCATCTGTGACAGTTATTCTTCATCATTTCTGCTCCTGGATTCAAATTGGTGTGTCAATCATTGACTGCCCAATGGTCGAATATTCTCGCCCAAAGCATTTCCTGCAGCTAGCCGTGCGCAGAACGGAGTCTGATGATCACTTCCCAGAAACCCTCATGTGAATGAAACTTCGTTTAATTCGTATATGCCCAATGCTGTCCAAGGAGGCTCTGCAGCTGTGACTGCATCCCGGAGTCAGCCTTTACTTTCGGGTTACTTCGGTCCAACCAGCTTCGTATCTCCTCTCACTGACGATGTTGACCTGGGAGTTCCAGGCCAAGGCCTGGAGGTGGAAGCCTCTCAACGGGTTCTTCCGCCGTACTGGGTTCAGAAGATTTCGGAAATAGTATCGACTCTGGGCGATTTTGTCAAAGTCGAGGCTTTGATCCGCGAGTATTACGCTCTTAGTCAAAGCGCTGTGATAGCGGCGCCATTCGTGCTGAACAGTCTTGGACCAGTTGGTTCTATGTGCAAGGAGTCTGTCCTAACTCCGAACGTTGACGACTCGACATCCTCAATCACCGTTCGTATAATCCAAAATACGGCTGAGATCTTCCATGTCCCCACCGCGTTGAGGGGAAGAGATTTTCATACGCTTTACACCGGTCCTGCCATTCGCCTTGAAATAATTGGCATATTATGTGCCCTTGCTGGCCGAGCAAGGTATCTTGGACTTGCCCGTGATAAATGCGATGGCAAGACGTCTAGGACTCAATATGCGCGTAAGATGTTGGCGGCTAGTGATGCCGCGCTGTACATTTGCAAGATCTTGACTCCACTCAATGATTTGACAATATGGCTGGTACACGAAAACCTTCTTTTGTCAGATCTGGTGAATGGTGATTCAAGTATGTCGATTGATCGAACTTGCACAATAAATCTCACTAACAATATCCAGGTCCATCCTGCTGGAACAGACTAGGTGAACTTTCAACAGACATCTTCGCACTCGGTCTGCACCGGGACACAAAGACATCCCCAGAGCTACCGGAGTTTCTGCTAGAAACACGCCGGCGCCACTTCACTGCAGCATATCAACTCGACAAAAGCATAGCCACATTCCTGGGCCGGCCACCACGAATACCATGGCGATATGCTGACTGCCGCATGCCCCTTGATATAAGCGACGAGGCACTTGCTACTGACAATATGGTTCTGGATTACTCCCACGACTACATCGATTCAAATGGATGGAGTCTCCATGGCGTCGTGCAACGGTCATCATGGATGCGAGCTCGTTTCATAGTTAGCACATTTCGCGATGAAATTCTGGAGGTTTCTCTTCGGAAGCTGAGCCCTGATATGGAGGAAATGCTAGAGTATGTCACCTAGTCCTTTTTTCGGGTTTCCTCTTGCAATGCTAATAGTACACAGTGACATCTCCCAACGATGCCATCTAGCTTGGGAAAGCCTGCCCATCCATCTACGCTATACGCCCCAATGCTGGAACAACAGTGTCCCCGTGGCAGTGTGTCTGATGCTAATAATATCCTATCTTGCATACCTCTACAACGACTTCCTCATTCAACGACTCATAGCTGGGAAGAACAATCCACGCGGAAACACGGCTCTACTTTCCGTCAGTGCGGATATCCTATCTACGGTTCTGATACTCGGCACGCAGCGCGAACAAATGGTCGACATAAGACCGGATTTCACATGGACGGTACCGTTCCCCCAACTCATCCAAACCAGGGTCCTTACTCATTATCTCTATTTACAGGTCTTGCTTTACGGCTTCCCGAGTGCAAGCCTCCTGATAAAAGCTCTCCAACACCAAAAACGCACAGGAGAACCATTCCTCTACAACGGATCCCGTTCTGCGCTTATTCGTAATCTCAGTGTGTTCATTTCTCATCTTGAGTCTATTGCCAGACCAGATAATGCGAATTATGCACTGTTTCAGCGCGCGAGTCAGGTATTCTCAAAGATTATCGACGAGATTCTTGAGCCCGTGCCTGATTCTGGGCTTGGTGACGCTGATGCTGCTCATTATGATTTCGAACCGATTGTCGACGTTGATGGATTGGACTTGTTCAATCATATGGATTTTGGGGTTGCGTTTAATCAATGGCTGTTTTAGTGTGGACTGTGGATTAGGATTGTGTGTTTATGCAAGAAATATTGATAAGAAAACATTGAAATGCCTAATGGCTCCTTGGTATATGTCATATCATATCATAGAGCTTGCCAAAATGATCTAGATCCAAATTCAAACTGCGCATAACGGAATACCTGATGCATGGCTTCATCAAAAATTGAAAATATCACCTCAAGCACGTTCAGTACGTTTCGTCTCACTCACAGAGACAGTCTTAGGCTGAGAAGTAGAAGTAGCATCCGCCTCCGCAGGCGGCGGAGTCGGGTATTCTTGCGGAGGATACCCTTGAGCGGGATGCGGAGCGTAAGCCGCCATAGGGGACACACCAGGGTATGCAGCACCATGAGGCGGATACCAAGGACCAGGGCCAGGAGTATAAGGAGCAACAACCGGACCAGGACCTAGCCGAGCAAGAGCAACAGCAGCAGGATCCTTCCGACGGAACAAATACTTCAACCACCAACCCAATTTCTGTCCGCCAGACATAGCCTTCCAACCCGCAACAAGAACAACCTGCTCTTCGGGTGTCTTCGCGGGATATTTCTTGACAGTGATAAGGAGCAAACAAGACACTAGCGGACACAGGAGGGCAAAACCGTAAGGGAGACCTCGGCGAGATTTCTCGCCGAGCATAGCTCTGCGGAAGATGAACCAGCTTTCTATCAAGCCAATTATCAAGAATAGACCGAACCAGCCGAAGAAGATTGCAAGGCCCAGACCCCATGGTGCTAATCCCCATGTATGATGGCATCCATCTGAACAACAATATCCGCCGCCTAACTCGGTGCTGCCGAGGTAGTAGATGAACTTGCTGCAGCCGATGTAGGACCTTGCGTTGTCATCACCGTCATCGCCGCTGTAGTAGTTCGTCCTTCCTGAACTATAGTAACTATCACAGGTCTTGTAGATAGCAGGCTTGTAAACCGAACTAGCAGAAGAAAACACGCTGGTCGGAATGTCATCGATATCCAAGAATGCCCTTGTCTGCGTATACTGATACCCGTTGTACTTGTAGGTGATGGTATTGGTTTGCGTGCTCGGCGTAAAGAGATCCTGAGCCTCGAGTGGGACATTAATTGGGATCGCAGTTGAAAGTGTCTGACTCGTAGTGTAGGAGCAGGATGACGGCGCAGTATATGTAACTGATGCATAGTAGTCGATGTAATTGTAGCCCGTGTCTTGGACGCCGGCGGATGGATCAACGACTAGCTGGACGGCGGTGATGTCGCCGCCGTAGTACGTTGCCGTTGAGGTCATTGTGCGAAGCACTGTTGGGCTGCTCTCGTTTGGTATTATTACTTCTGTATAGGTTCGCACTATTGGATCATCTGTTATGTATACGCCTGTATAGCCGTCGACAATTGTGGATTCGACTATTGCGACGTATTCGGTGCCAAACCACGGAGAGGCAGAGGTGCCTTGGAACAGAGCTTGTCCCAAAATGATGCATGTCGCGAGGTGCTTCATCGTTGCTTGGTGGGCTGCTCTATGCCGGCCTGGGAGGTCGCGATCGAGGGTCAATATCAGAGGACAAGGCAGGCTTCGCCCCGAAGTGGTTACATACCGCTATATAACCTCTCAAGCTCCCAAGCCCCGTTTGACAGGCGCCGAGGAGGCTCCACCACCTAACTAACCCAATATAGCCACATGCAACGAAGCAAAAGCCTCGTCTCTCCCAAATGAGCAAGGTTCAAGTACTGCAGGGCTACATGATATGGTTGAATCGCATATCGACATCGTTTACAGGACTTGATTGGACTAGAAGACTTGGCCTAACATTATCTTGTCTGTGAACGTTTCTTAGGGCTCGTATTTGATGGCTTTGAGCGTCGGGGCTTGACCTTACAGAGGTTGAATACGAAGCCAAGCCTCGGGTAGGGTTTTAGCTTATTAGCTCGTTCATCCTCGTGTAAGGGTCCTGGTGGAAATTTGAAAGAGGCTATGTTTCAACACCATCTGACTTGTTGGGTGATAAGGACTGCCCTCTTTGACCGCATAGGGTTTGCCGACATAGATGCAGGGGAAAAAGCGAGCATGACCAAAAAGCGAATCTATGTCCAGAATGAACGAAAGCGGCGGGAGAGAAGAGAAAAATCGGGAAGAAAAGGGGGGTTCACGCATTAGCGAGTTTGATTTTGATATTTGCTAAGCTTGCAGTAGGCCGCTATGCCACTGACAGGAGAAGCAGGTACAACAGTGTATGAAATGGGCTGAAGAGGCAGCGTGCCCGGAAATTGGTATCATTGTGCCTCCCAAAACCCCTGCGAACCCATAAAAAAAGAAGAGAAGACATCACTCTTCGAGACATGAAACGTGAGATAATCGGCCTAGGGCCAAGAGTTGAAAATTGGTGGAGGGGCCGATGCCGTTGACCCCAATCTTTGACGCACTCAGTTCTTGAAGGTGGACTGGGCACGGGTGCTCTTGATGGTCTTTTTGATGATCTCTTCCACCTCATCCCAGTCGTTGGTGTCGATACGCTCGATGTTGCATCCAAAGTGCTCTTGAATCTTGCGCAACATTTCCCATTCGGCTCGGTTGGCAACAAATGAAATAGCCACACCAATGCGACCGAAACGACCAGTACGGCCAATGCGGTGGAGATATGTCTGGTAGTCAGGTGTGCCAGATGGCTTGTTTTGAGCGTACTCCTCAGGGACATCCTATGAGAGGTATTAGCAATCACCAAGCCAAATTCAAGAGAGAAAAACTCACGTAATTGACGACGAGAGAGACCGTGGAAACGTCAATTCCACGAGCAAGAACGTTAGTTGTGATGAGAACCTTGGCGTCTCCGTTACGGAAGGCGTCAATCACGGCATCACGCTGAGAGCCTTCAACACCACCAGTGAGAGATGCAACAGTATGTCCCTCGGCAACCATGCGTCGCTCAATCTCAATGGCAGAGGAACGAGTCTAGAATAGGGTCAGTAAATGCGAACACCTGATAAATTGTATACGTACTCGAACGAAGATAATGGACGATCCAACTGTGAGAAGTCCGTAAAGCTGGACAAGGTTCTGGTACTTTTGCTCTTCGTTATCGCAGTCCATGTAAAGCTGCTTAATGCCCTCGACAGTCAATTCTTCGTGCTGCAAGGTGATCTCGTTCGCATTGGGAGCAAACTTGCCCGCGTAACGGTAGACGTGAGCAGGGAAGGTAGCAGAGAACAAAACAATCTGGACAGTGCGAGGGAGCATACTGAACAACAATTAGTCTATGTCAATTTCAAGTGGAACAGGGGAAATACTCACGCTTTCGCGCGGATGCACTGGTCTCCCAGACCTTGCTGGTCGAGCATGTTATCGGCCTCATCCAGAACCAGAACCTTCAAATGGGCCGGGTTAAGGTTGCGTCTCTTGATCATATCCTGAACGGTACCGGGTGTGCCGACAACAACCGAGCAATCCATTTTACCGGTGCGGGCGTTGGAATCAGCTGGAACAGCAGTACCAATGACCAGACCATCAAGGAATTGACCCATGATCTGAATGACTCCCACAATCTGACGTGCAAGCTCACGGGTAGGGGCGAGAATCAGAGCCTGTGGCGAGTTTTGCATTTCTGGGGTCGAGAGATCGATGCGGCTGAGAACATTGAGAACAAAGGCAGCAGTCTTGCCAGTACCGGACTGCGATTGGCCGACCAGGTTCTTGGGAGGATTGCTCATGAGCAAAGGCAAGGCACGTTCCTGAACTTTGGAAGGCTTGCGGAAGTTCATGGTGGCGAGACCCTTGAGAATGCGCTCGTCACTTTAGCCAGGAATTGGGTTAGTTCTGAGATGCGCAAAGGCCGCAGCTGCATTTGGAGAAACTTACAGGCCGAGATCTTCGAAGCTCTTGACGGAGAACAGGGGGTTGTTCGGGTCGGCCTGCAGGTCACTCAGCTTCACCTCGACAGTGTAGTCAGGTTCAGCAAGATCAGACCCATTTTGTTCGACGCGAACGCCATCCTCACCGGTGGCGGGCGCATCTGTAGAACATCAAATGGTTAGCTATCAATCGCGGTATCGCCGCTGCCACGACCGCGGGGCACTGAACGAATCGGAGGGCGGGCGGGAGGAGAGGGTTCTGTTCGTACCGGTAGGCTTCGACTCGTCGGGCTTGGTGATGCGATCAGCCAAGGAGCTAGAGCCCTGGGGGGCCTCAGTAGCTTCAGAAGACATTCTGAAAGAGAATAATGGTTGGTGGGGTGATGTCGGAGATGGCAAATTCACAAGACGGGGTAGTAAGCGACCAACAGAACAATCGTCACACTTGCGTCCTTAAGATGAAGCTCAGTGAGGCTTCAACGGAGAATAAATGTACAAGAGGCAAAGAAGCGCGCAAGTGGAAGACATCTGGAGAGCAAAAACAGATGACGAAGGATCCACGCTAGACTCTATTTGGATGTGAAATGGTATTGTCACGAGTGCTCGAATCGATAGCTAAAGGCGGCACTGCGCATGTCCGGTATTGTAACAGGCACCGGGCTTCTCCCCGCCTTGGGTTATCTGCCTGAATGGCCTCAGATCTCCAACTCCAACTCCATTGTCTCGTGTCTCGTGTTGTCTAGTTGGGAATTCTGTGGCAGCACTACCCTGTTGATCAGCGCTGACATTTCTGCTCGACATCCGATCTTCCGTTGGCGCGCCCGTTCCATGCGCATCTGCCTCTCGTCTCAACTCAGCCATGGCTGCCGATGTCGCTCCCCAGTTTGGAGCAGAGCTAAAGGTAGGGATGGTGGATGATTGTTGCATAATTTGAACTAACCGATCCAAGGATTCCTTCAAACCGGTCAACAATTGGGTATGTCGACCTTCCCCGCAACCCCGATGACCTTGTGTCGCGAGTGGAGCTAATGCAACTATGTTGCACAGGTCTCAAACGGTATATCGTGGGTGGACGAAATTCACCAATTCTATCGCGAGCGCAGTGTCATTGAAAAGGAATATGCCGCCAAGTTAACCGCCTTATGCAAGAAATACTACGATCGCAAGTCGAAGAAGATTAGCCCCTTGAGTGTCGGCGACAACCCTACCCTGACCCCCGGATCCCTTGAAAGCGCCTCCTTGACAACTTGGACGACACAATTGAATGCAGTGGAATCGCACGCTGCCGAGCGAGACAGGTTTGGCTCGGACTTGTTGGTGCAAGTAGCCGACCCGCTTAAAAATGCCGCAGCTCAGTATGAAGAGATTCGCAAGTGCCATGTCGACTACCATGCCAAATTGGAGAAAGAGCGAGAGGCGGCATATGGAGATCTTAAGAAAGCCAAGGGAAAATATGATGGCGCATGTCAGGAAGTCGAATCACGCAGAAAGAAAATGGAGTCGTCATTTGATCACGGAAAGAACAAGGCGCAAACTGCATACCAACAACAAATCTTGGAGATGAACAATTATAAGGTATGGTCTTATGTGTCGAAATACCGCATGCTCTTACTAAGTCGAACAGAACCTCTACCTCATTAGCATCAACGTGACCAATAAGCTGAAGGGGAAGTTCTACCATGAATATGTGCCTGAGATTCTTGATGTAAGCACTGAGCCAAAATACACTATATGTCTCATTCTGCGAGGTACTGACTTGATATAGGGATTAGAAAGCCTCAACGAGACCCGAGTCGCAAAGATGAATACAATGTGGACACTTGCAGCTCAACTGGAAAAGTCATGCTTGGGAAATAGTACTCAACACATGTCAAATCTACTCGTCGAAATCCCACGCAATAACCCCCGACTGGACTCTCTCATGTTCCTCCAGCACAATGTGACGCAATTGCAGGAACCTGCAAACCTCGGCTTCGAGCCTAGCCCGGTATGGCATGATGATGCTTCGATCGTTACAGATGATGCAGCAAAGGTCTTTTTGCGTAATGTTCTGGGTAAGAGCAAGGGTCAGGTTCGTGACTTACGAGTCGAGGCAGACAAGAAGAAGCGAGAAGTCGAAGCTAGCCAGAAGGTTCGGGAAGCCATTCAAAGTGGCAAGGACAATCGAAACGAACTAGATGTCGTGCGCTCTATCTTCTATTTGCAAGAAGCTTTGCATGAGGTTGATAGGAAATGGGTGACAGCTGAAGTTGAAACCGCAACTATCATGGCAGTGGCCGGAGATCTGTCGTTCGGAGCCCAGAACCATAATTTCCGCTCACAAACATTCAAAATTCCGACAAATTGTGACCTTTGCGGTGAGCGAATCTGGGGACTTTCGGCCAAGGGCTTTGATTGCCGCGACTGCGGATACACCTGCCACAGCAAGTGTCAAATGAAGGTGCCAGCTGAGTGTCCGGGCGAGCAATCAAAGGAAGACAAGAAGAAGCTGAAGGCTACGCGACAAGAACAAGCCGGTGCCGTGCCTACAATTGATATCGACTCACCCGCTACCTCCTCTCGTCGCGCGTCACTAACCCGACAAAATACAATGAACTCCCTGAGCTCTGGATACGCGGCCAGTACAACTCGGTCAACGTCCAATGTGGCCGCTCATCCTACTCCGGAAAATCCGGAAGAAGAAGCTGCTCCTACTCCAGTCGCGGATACTAAGCCGGCTGCTGCCAAGAGGCACCGTGTTCTTGCGCCTCCGCCGACGGCATACACCAGTGCACCTCCCCCAATTGAGTCAAGTTCAAAGCCTAAAGAGCCAAACGGCAAGATGCTATACGCTTATCAAGCCACCGGCCCAGATGAGGTCACCGTAGAAGACGGCGATGATGTTGTGATTGTTCAACCAGATGGTTCGTCCTGTTACTCCCGAATAGTTCCACATAAGCTGACCTTTGCACAGATGGATCTGGATGGATGCGTGTTCGGGCCAAAGGAAACGAAGGTCTCGTACCGACTGCATATGTAGAAGCCGCTCCAACTCCCTCGCCTGTTCCATCTGCCAGTACTGGCATGACAGACCGACCAGGCTCCGTCTACTCTAATTCCTCCGCCTCGTTAGCAGGCAGCGCGGCACAAAAGCGTGTTGGTCCCGCGGTGGCACCGAGAAGAGGCGCTAAGAAATTGCAATATGTTGAGGCGTTGTATGAATATGAAGCCCGCAGCGATGTGGAGTGGAACATGGCCGAGGGTGATCGCTTTGTTCTCATCAACAAGGACAGCGGCGATGGCTGGGCCGATGTTGAACGTGGCGGTGTTACCAAGAGTGTTCCGGCCAACTACATCCAGGAGGTGTAGATTTTGGCGAATTGATTGTGGATTGCTACCATACATGTTGTAGGTGGATTCACATACGTTCCGCTCGAGATTCGAATGTTTGATATTCTTCACCTTTTTGTACAGTCGACGTTGTTAGTGTCGTTCCCTATTATGTTTGCATCAGCAAGGAGCATTGGGGGCATTCGTGCTTGGCATCCACTCGCGAGTTTTGGATATAGCATAAGAAACTTCATTTTGCTCCGCGAATCTCCATCCAATACCTTTATCGAATAGGATTGTGGAATCTGGCATGTCAGTGTAGGCTCAAGAACGGAAGCCGGGTGTCTTCATCTTTGCTCTCCATCTGATTCAACCACCCACTCTTAACACCAAGCAATGCATCAAAATCATAAGTCATAATGCGAATTTCATTTCAGTGGCTCGCAAACCAAACTACTCGTGTTATCGAAGCACAGGGTCATTGGTCCCCATATCTAGATGTTCGAACCCAGTCTCAGGCGACCACATATACCTCGACCAATCCTCAACATGAAAGCCCTCCTCAACAGGTGGCATATCCAAATCCATACTCATATCCACTTCATCCAGAGAACCCAGTCCCAAATCTTCCAGTGCCAACGCAGGGTCCAGCGGGAATTCAAAGGGGTTCAATCGTTCGAGTGGACTAACCAAGGGCAGCGTCTGCGCAAGCTGTGGATCTGAAACCACCGACGACGAAGGAAGGAGGGAGTATGTCGGATTGAAAAGCGCCTCGGAAACGACAGAATAATCAACCAAGGAGCTAGGCACGGCGTCTGAAAGTGGAATCTGAGCTTCAGCTCCAGATCTAGCCAAGACGGTCTGGTTTGAAGCAGTCCAAGACAGCTCTGGGAAGGAACCGTGCTGCTTGGAAGAGATTTCAGCCCCAGATACAGATCCAGACACCGACACCTCCGAACCCGACCACTCGCCCACTCCAGCAGCATCATAGTATTGGGCAACAGTCCCCTTCGTCTCCAACGAAGCCGATGACCCAGCCCGAGAAGGCCGACTCGACGCCGAGATGGATCCCGATCGAGAACCCGACGCGGACTTGGACTTGGACTTGGCGACGACAGACGGCACGGTCTTCGACAAGGTGGAAACCGACGCAGCCCTCTCACCGGGATTGGGGCCGGGACGAGGCGCTATAGGAAGGAAACCGGTCGTGTTATGATGCCGCGGATGGAGTCTCCCGTTTGGGGCTTTCTAGAAAAAAAGAAACATACAGCATCAGCACCATATCGACTGCGAAATTTCTTCTATTCATTCATGTGCCGAAGATATGGCTTTCGAGGCTGATGTTTTGTGTTTGCGTTACTTTTGAACATTTGAGCTCTGCGTCGCGTTTTGCGCGCGCGTGCTCGATTGGAGCTGTGCATGGTGTTGCATTGCAGATTGTGCAGGTAGCAAAGGGCCGGCCTTTGCGTTTGATGCGAATTAATGGTCGATCTGGGGCCATTGTTAGTCGAGGATGTTGTGGAAAAAATCTCACAGGCCCTAATGTATGGGGGCTTTGTACTCACCATGATGTTTGCAGCTAGTCACACGGTGGCCTCGTATGCAAGCTTCACACGCCCACTTTTGACCGTCGATAAGCATCCCTCGTTAAGATGAGAGTGCAACATGGTGGACGGGGGCCGGTCTTTATACCCTTTTGCGCTGGTCCCAGGTGAGATTCAGGACTATGACATAGGATGACACGGGATTTCCCCTTATTTCTGTGTGTCGCGAGAAACTTGGGTTCAGCGTCTGATTCGACTCTCAGCCACAGGATCGACTGGGTGGGACTAGCTCATGCAAACCAAAGACGGAACCCTTCTCTCTATGCCCGTTGGGAGCTTGGGCCAGAGTAGAAAGGCTGCAGGGTATGCGGTACTTTCTGCTTAAGCACGGGCGTGGATCGAGCTACTACCACAGCCAAAAAAAAAAAAAAAAAGAAGAAAGAAATATACTACACTACACTATGGGTCTGATGGAGTCAAGGTACTAACAGAAAACAGTCTATAGCCAGCACTAGCCTCGTGAAAAGTACGGGAACCGATCTTTCTCAAGAGGTATGAGGGATTTTTCCACCTCGGTAGACGAATTTTCACTGTACAAAGCCAGAGCGGAGATTGACACCGGAAAATCCCCAGGAAACAATTTCCCAGGTAACTAACTACAGGTCATAGCAAACAGAGACCAGCTGGCAATGCTCCCGGGCTACCTGATCGGGGCTCGAACTTGGCCACAAATGCCTCATACATGCTACCGGATGTCTCTTTTTTGAACATTGTTTCCATTGTACCGAACATTGGAACATAGGAACCTGAAACATGGAACAACCAACCCTTTGAACAGAGAGGTCTATCAAAATTTTACTCGGCACTCGCAGCGCCCGTTCCACCATGGGGCTGGTGAATATCGTGGATGCTCATGCACGTCCGAGACTCACAAGCCAACCATGTCATCCCTAGTCATCTCTGCATCTGGAGGTGGCTGTGCTGGACCTCGCTTAGGTGGCGTCGCACTTGGATCATTTTGCTGTTACTTTATTCCCACTTTGGAGGTGCTGGACCCTTGAAGACTGGAGTGTTTCACCGTCTAATTCGTAGTGTGCTCTGGTAGGTAACCATGAACTATAACCACCTTTTTTTTTCTCTCTTTGCTTCAGTGTCTCTTCCAATCTGTAGAGAGAAAGATAAGCAGATTTAAGGAAAAATAAGCTCCACCATACTCCAATCATCGTAGCGTGAATGAAAACACCGGATCCGCGAAAGCGAGCTGCCATCCCCACCTGGCTCTAGTATGCGCCATTTTATACCTGAGGCATTTTCCTTTTCCAATTGTTCTTTGCTCTCTGTTCAATTAGATCCCGTTGCAACTTGAAAATTCTGTCGCCTGCTGGAGCGTCACAGCGGGGGACGACGGTCCCCGTGAGATGCCCGGTTGGAATGTCTTTCCTTTTTTTTTTCTTTCCCTCTGTCGGTGTGAATCTCACAACCGTGTTGGTTTCTGTCCGCGCACAACACACAAGTGAAACCATTCACCTTTGCAGTCCGCGGAACCCGGGTTTGTCTTTTTTGTCTGCCGATTCAGAATATTTGAGATGGTTTTCTTTCTGTAGGAACAGACATTCATTTCTGTCTTTTGTGGAACCACTCAGCAGAAAAGGAATGTATGCTGCTTCAGCGGACTTTCAAAGGCACAAAAGATCTCGATTTTCTGTCCAAACCCCAGAGATACTACCGACACATCGAGGTCGATGTTGCTGCTTGAAAGCATCTCGGTCCCATCTTTCTCGTCATGCCCGGTCGCTGTGACTGGAAATGAAGAGTGCTCATATCAGCTCAAGGCCAAGTTGATAAAAAGGAAGACCAAAAGTCAATGGGGATAACGCACTCATTTATATCCCAGCACTGACCGGGGTCGTAAGTCGGTATCTACAGTGATCGGCCCTGCGAACAAGATGCCGTTCGCCGAATTATATTGCTCATATCACTGTCCAGTCTCTTATCAGAACTTATGGCGATGGTAATTCCCTCCCTGATTTTCCAAATCTCACTCTGCACGGTCTGTGTAACTTCTACCGTGTCAGGGCAAGGGTCATGGTTCAAGCCTGAGGAATCGTCGACGTAAGAGAACCTCGTGCTCGCTTCAAATACTAAAACCTCCGGAATGCCATGCTCTGGATAAGGTATTGCTCCGCCACTCAAGTCTTACAGATAATTTGACACTCTACCTTGAGGCTTACTCGCGTATAAATTGTACTTTGCACTGTGTGCTCCGGGTATAGAACTCAATTGCTCCCAGAGAGCAAGACCCAGCCCTACGCCCGCCAATCTCCCGGGCTGCCAATCCTAGGTAGTAGGGCTGACCGAAGAAACGGTAGATGCCTAAATATCGAAATAAATGCACAAACCCGCTCAGAGTATGCTCGATTCAAGTTACGAAGGCAGTGACTACGATATAGTATCTCGCTATACTATAGCTTAGGATTATAATGCACGCTTGCGCCTGCAGCGTCATGTGCCAGAGGCAATGAAGATCTGCACGTCTATCACAATCTTGAACAGGGATTTGGTTTTGACCGATGCTTACACCCTACAAAGCGAGCACTGGGCATGCTCCCAAGAAAGGCATTTATGCACCAAAAAAACCAAAAGACATAAGATATTCATCAGGTTAAGCATAATCAGGCGACTGCATCCACTGTCCCGTCGTAGGATCCAAGCACTCCCTCTCCGCATCTTTCCACTCACCCACAACCAAATCCGCCCTCTCCTTCGACCGAGGAGTAATCCTCGCCGGGAACTCCTCAGGCATACACACAAAGCCCTGCGTCAAGCGATCAGGATCAGGGAAAATAGGACAACCGTTACCATCAATCTCAGGTGCAATATCAAAAGCCCACAGAATTCGCGACATGCCCAAAAACAGGCTCCGCTCGGCAACATGAATACCCGGACAGATTCTTCTGCCCGCACCGAAGGTGAATACATCTCGCTTTGAGGGGTCGGGATTAGCCGCTGCATCGCCGAAACTCTGCCGGTCCTGGAGATATCGGTCGGGACTGAAGGTGCGTGGGCTTGGATGGCGCTTTGGATCCATGTGGATGCCCCAGACGTTGTTCAAGACCCCGGCGCCCTTGGGGATGAAGTAGCCCTTGTATTCGTCGTCTTGGGTCACTGCATGTGGAACGGCGCCGAGGATGGTTGTTGGCATCCATCGGACTGTTTCCTTCATGCATGCTCGCACGTACTGTAACTCGGCAAGGTCTTCCATGACGGGAAGACGATTCGGGCCGATGACCGTGTCAATCTCCTTTTGGGCTTTTTGTTGCACATCCGGGAACAGGAGCATGGCTTGTATGAAGGCGTACAATGTGCTTGATGTTGTGTCTGAGCCGGCTTCTAGGAGGGTTCCGGATATATAGGCAGCTTGGTCATCGCTGAATCCATCTTCTTTTTGAGCCTCATACATGCCTGCGCAGAAGCAAGGTTTGATGGTGTTTTGACGGATCTCTTCCTTGGCTCGCAGCCAGTGACCTAGATATAGTGCTTTTTCATGTTTATGAAGGTCCTTGGCTTTCTTTCGGGCTGGGAGCAGGAAGTCGGGGAGGTGTCGCAACCATGGGTAGAAGTCGATCAGCGCAGCTGTTCCGGTTTGGTTGATTTCTGCGAATTCTGAGAATCCGTTGAAAAGTTGGACCATCTTCTCGTCCTCATATGTAGGTGTGCGCCAGCCAAAAACCATGGTTGTTGTGAGAGCATTGGAGTATCGACGAATGTGTTTGAGGAATCCCTCTGGTTTGGTGAGGAGCTCATACAACATTTGTCGGTTCTCTAGCATTTGGTAAGGTACGTATTTCTTGGAGGTGGTGACATTCAGTAGACCGTGGACCATTTTACGGAACTAATCGCATGTCAGCATTGACTAGAAAAATAGAAATGTTGCCTATATTACCCCACGCCATGTTGGTCCGTAGCCCTAATGAGTTGTTAGCCGCGATTTGTAACTGGTAGCTGTGGTTCATGACATACCATCATCAAAAGTCTCAAATTACCACTGCACAAAGTCTGGCCAATGTACATTTCTGGTCGATGCGAGTATAGGCCGCTTCGTTTATCGAGAAGGTCTTTTACTACCTCATCGCTTGAGAGTACAATGAGACACTTTGTGCCTAGAATAAGACTATAGATGGGGCCGTATTCCCTTGCCCATTTTTCAAATTGAATATGTGCATCTTTAGAGGGCATCTGGAGGTAGACATGTCAGGCATTATCCTGTCTTCAATCGCTGTTTTCTCACTTGGTGTATATTCCCCAGTAAAGGCAAAGTTGGCGGACCTGGGGGGTAGTTTGCTGGTCTTCGTCCGATTCTTAATCCTCGAAACAAAAAAATCGCAGCAATAGCCGCCCCTAACAATATTGTGAATGGCTGCATGTTGGATATATTGGCGTTGACGTTTAAGATATGCTTTGTTCATGGGTCTTGAGAGCTGCCAATTCATATTTTTGTTCGAAATTTAGCATCTCCCTTATATATAAGCACCGTGTTCTCTTAGAACTAGAGAGTCTTGTTGATTAGAATGATGTCGTACTTCGGCAGCGGAGTCTAAGTGGGAGAATTGCGGACGAAGTGGGCAGCGGAGTGGAGGTGGGGAAGATCTACCAAGGATGCATATTTCATTCTTAATAATATTGAGGCGGTGGAATGTATCGAGGGGGCGGAATATCTCGAGGCAGCGGCATTGCAACAGGCTTGATATTCACCGGCCTGCGACTGCGTCTACAGGAAGAAACCAAGCATCCAAGTATGAGTAGGAGCAAAACTCCGCCAATACCGGCCGAAAGTCCAATAACCAAGGGAAGATGATTCTGAACCCAGGATGAAACATCCTCACTTGGCCGGCCATTTCCCTGCGTCCCACCCCCAGTGCTGCCAGTGTTTCCAGTATTGCCAGTATTGCCAGTATTGCCAGTATTGCCATCATTTGTCTGGTCGCATCCATCTCCAGATCGCAGCTGGCATGTCACAGAGTCGCAGCAGCGAGTCTCCTGTTCGCTACAGGCACCATTTCCACAGTCACATGCCTCACCGGCTTCGACAATACCATTGCCACATCGACCGCTAGTGCCAGTGGTATTGCCAGTCCGAGAGTCTACCAAGCAGCTCCCACTAACCTCCCCAGAGCCGAGCCTTGAACAGACATTCCCGATCGTGCAAGGGGAGAATCGCGTCATGCCGGATCCGGACACAGGATTCATGAGATACTGACCACCCGCATCACAGGTACTCGATGAAAGGGGGCAGCACTGTGTCGAGTCGCTTCCGCACGTACTTGAAGTGCAGTCGTGAACCGCCCCGAATGTATGAGCCGACTCATGACTATTTTTGTTAGCTGAAAATACCAGCATGCTTTGGTCAAATATTGGGACAACCTACGCAAAGACCTGCCATTCATTTTGGGTCTGGGCAACCACATTGGCACCGGCTCCGCCATTGATAGATCCAGAGCCTGTGTTGCATAGTGCTCCAATCCATGATACACCAATCTCCCCGGCAGACACTGAGCACCCAGACAACAAGGTCCAGTATGCATTCTGATCGTTGACGGAGCTTCTCCATGTGGAGAAATCCTGAAGACGCGTGTTGAGATCTCCCTGAGAGCAGGGTACATTCCACGCAGTCAGATCTGAGGTGCTACTTGGGCATTCAGCGTCACTGATTGTCAAATTTTGTACCGCAAGAGAGATATTGAAACTGTTCTCGAATACCACAGACGCAGTGTTGACCATGTTGAGGATGTATCGGTGTGCGGAGTCGGATGAATTGAAACCTGCAGTGTATGTGCAATCTGTCATGATCCCGATGTTGGCAACCTGTCTGGTATTCGGGCAACCAGAAGTGCTGCCAATTGTGGAGGTGAAATCATCATTCCCCCAGGCATTCCAGCTCTGTCGTTTATGCAAGTGTGCCTCAGGTGAGGTTGAGCAGAGCGAAGGGAGGGACGATCCGCTGCCAGGCGAGAATGTTGAATCCTGCTGGTGGGCTATAATCATGGAAGACCCATCATCGACAGCTTCAAGCTCGATGGCATACTGAGAACCCATCATTGTGAATACTCCATCGAACAGCAGACTCTCTCCATCTTGGAACACGGCAAGCCGTGCCCATCCGACGTTATCCCGGCTTTCACTGAGACTGTTCTTCATCTCGACCGTCCCTCTCGTGAACCGGACTTGAGCACCTACCCCATTGTCCTTGCTCTGGATACCGGGATATCGAATCTGCGCGCCTTGTGATACGAGATCATTGTTGTTTTCTAGAACGAAGGCGATGGTTTGGTTATATGTCTCAATCCCAGCTGTGATACTGAACTTTTCTGTAGAATTCAAGGGAGAGAATGATGGATCGATCAGACGAAATGACACCGGTGCAACTGTTAAAACAGTCAGGCTTATGTTTAGCTGACACCGCTGAGACACATGGTTCACTTACTCCCAAAGCCCGATATCGGCAAGATCAATGCAAGCAATGCTAGAATAGTAGAGCACGAGGCGGACTTCTTCATTCCAGATACTATATCTTCGTGTTTATTTTCGAAATATGATCGGCTGCCCTGTAAGCAGTACTGTACAGGGTTATATACTCATGTTACCATCCAGTAATCATCAGCCCCACCCCCAGGTGGTATATCCCATATGGTGTCTCTGCCATGGCCAAGATGTAAGCAAAGACCCATACCTAGCAAGTATCAATAGACCACAGGGTTTCGGACGAGCCTGTCTAAGCCCCTCGGGATAAAGCATAGACGACCTATGCCAAGTATGGCAAAGCGAATAGGAAGTGTTGGACGCGTGGCTTGAATAACAACCACATAAGACCCATGGAAGGCCGATATGTGGCTGCCTGGGTTGAAATTTAAACGAGAACGAAATGCATACTTTGATCTAAACGAAGGTGCATTTGTAAGTTGAGTACGAAACCGACCGTGAGCTTGACTTAAGTGCCATGATCATAGCCCTGAAGTCCACTGTGGAAACTCTAGCCTGTCAGCCACCTGCATCAACCCTGATCAATCCCACAGCCTGAAATGTTGCTGCCTTCCTCAGCCACGATCGAGATCTGTTCTTGGGTTCTAGAAAACGTCAAGCTAAGATAGACCCTTCGGATGATGGTGATCTGTGGGTCTATCGCTAAATTCCGAGTAGTCGGGAATCTCGGTTAGCTCGACAGACCGAGCTAGCCGGACTAACCTGGGCGCTATTGATCAATTTGTCTTGGAAAGGAAGAGCGAGCAGGTACCTAGGGTGGTCTTGGATGATGAACAACACACCTGATCCTTACGTCGTTCTTCATCTAAATCATTACCGTGCTTGGAAATTCGCAATAGGTTAATAAGGAACCAGCCGAGCATTATCCAGGGTGTTCATTGCGTACCATAATTGAGACTGTGCGCCAAGCATCTCCGCTGTCAGCATCTCCGACAAACGGTGCTTAACTCCATGCCAAGACTCCCCCAGCCACCATCACACGTTATCTTCCAATAAGCGCCAAGAAGATCGTCAATCCTGAACTACGAAGGCTAAGGCTAACCGGCTTAAGTTCGGTAAGTTAATCTTAATGCTATTATCGTAGACGAGTCAAGTCCTTTATGACTTCATGGTCCCCAAGGACATAGCTCTTTATTCTTTCCTCCAACCGTTACTTCAGGAGCTGCTCGCTATATGTATTTCCGGCCGCTTTTTACACTATTCTTTGTGCTACTTTGTGGTCATCATGCCATATCTGCGGTCATAAAAGTGAGATCTATACAAGACTCTGGCACCGATGCCACCCTCGAATCTGCAACTCAGACAGAGTTGCCATCGCCAGCATTAAAAGCCCCTTCAGCGGATACCACCAAACTGCACTCTAAATCCAATTCCCACGATGAATTTGATGAATCTTACGACACTCGTTCCGCCCCTTCAAGACTCAACTGGAGAGAAGACGAATCCCTCAAACTCGAGTCAATGCGCGAAGCTGGATTCCTTCCAAGCTCCTTTGAGGAAGACGAGTGCGTTTTATTTCAAGTTCTTTGAACGTCAAGCAATTACTAACACTAATATTAGTGACTTACCAACTTCGTCTGATTATTGGCCCTTGCTTCAACTCTGTGTGGTGTCAGCAATAGTAGTGTGTTTTCTCAAGATTCTAAGAGACTGCGGAAGGTGAAGTTCTTCTTCAAGTCAGATATGAAAATCTGTGAATACCTCGATATCTGTTGCTTAATGTACACAGAATAAGAATAAATTCTCTTAAAACCGAACCGAGAACCCGTATTTGTGGGACCTCGGATTCCAACGTAAATCAACTCAACTTCAACGCATCAAGAATCATCTATCAAATCTGGAATGTTTGAAATCCCATGATGAGATCATTGACTTGCCGCATGCTGGTCTGATCATAATGATTCAGGATTGGATCAATTGGTCCTTCATCTAGTAGCTCCAATTCACTGTCTGGCTGGGATGTACCGAGGACAGCTAGCCGATCTGCCATCAGGTTGGCCAAGAGCCAAAATTCAGGAGAATAGCGATAGAAGCCCATTCGTCTCCATAGATTCTCGGGTTGAATATGACTGTCATCGATGGTAATGAAAGGAAGTACCCCTCGGCAAGACATCGATGAGAACGTCTGCCAGATATCGCGCCAGTTGCTAAGGGCATTACTGATTGGAGCGTGGAGCTGGAAGCTGCCCACGGCGCTGCGGAACTGGAATATTTGAGAGTGTATTGCTGACACATTGGCTATCAGTGAAAGGATTCACTGCTGGACTTGTGGGAGCTCACCAGAGGCCAAGGCAAATAAGACCAACGGACCAAGAGAAGATACCATGTGGCGCACTTCGAGGACGAGGTCATTCTTGCACAGTGATTCAAACGCCCCGCGAAACGAAAATTTCCAATATAGGCTTTGTGCCGGCAATGCAAACTGGATTTGCTGGTGGCATTGATCTGCGGTCGTGGCTTGGAAGCAGGTTTCTGGCATTGCCATGTGCATTCTCATCTCTTTGATCACCATGCGTGGTGGTAGATTGTTGAAAATCACAAATGAGGTATCGAGTAGAAATATCCAAGTAAAGACACTTGATTGTGTCAGTTTCAATCAATTATTCTTCTCAAGTTCAAACTCACCGTATGAGCTCCTCTCTAGCTGCAAATTCTCTCCATTCAAACTCAGGCCGCCCCTGCTCACTGTAATTTTGATGTCTTGCCGTAGCAATGCCAATATCGCGTGCAGTCTTCAGTAAGTCAGCATTAGCTCTAGATATGGAAAAAAGAAAACATTTACCGAGACAAGGGTCGCAAAGCGATAGCGCCGAATTCGACTTTTACTCGAATCCGTGCCCTCCCAGTTCTGGTAGAGACACACTATGTAAGCGGCCTGCAAAGCTTGTATTTTTCGCTTTTGGTTGGTCATGCTGCCAGAGGGGGAGTAGCTCAGTTCATTGTTGAAATCGTCGTCGATAAAGACCATCTCTTCAACGCAGTTGAGCCAAGTCCGCGCATCTTCATTGTCTGGCATGTCCGGTGAGACACAAGCGCCTAAGATATGTTAACAATGACGTAATGTAATTATAACGGAAAACAATATACCTATCAAAGCCATTGCTGCCAAAACTGTTGGCTTCGCTGCTAGTGGATCAAAAGTAGGTCGATGCACAAAGTTGACATTGGGATGCCAGATCGCCCAGTAAAAGCATAGATATCTCCTTATATTCGGGGGCGAAAAGAATTGCAAGCATGCCTTCTTTAGTGCTGGAGACCAGTCCAGTGTGACAGAGCTGTTGCGAGGTTTTATTGTTACCACTTCTTCAATCAAGAGAAGAATCTCGTGCGTTTTCAACGAAAGTGGGTCGTTCAACCAGGTCAGTGGAAAGTCATCCCTGAGACATTTCTCAAGAGTATCTTCGAGTATTGATGAAGATGGAATGACCGAGCCGAGGTCTAACGGTAAACTCAAGCCTGGTGCAGTTGCTTGGGGGACGTGAGACATGAGTTCTCGGTCTATGCTGGCAGCCACTAACTCTCTTTGTTCGTGTGTTCCACAGTCAAAACTCATCACCAGACCTGTGTTGCTGGTGAACTTGTCCAGAAAATGCAACGAGCTCCGATTTCCAGCATTTAGCACGGAAGATTCAGATAACGATTGTGCTTCCGGACTTAGATCCAAGAGATCTTGCCAGGTCGGACTTGGCCTTTGGGGTTGGGCTGTATCGAATAGAGTATCAACAGGACTGGCCCCAAAGAGAGGTAGATCTTCTTGGGCTAGGCCCCAAGGCGTCGTCATGTTTAATGGCTGTGCGTGATCCAATTCGTGACTGGGGATGCTTTCGGCGTTTGATGCTTTTCTTTGAACCGGAGTACTTGACTGGGCTGGGGTCCCCGTGTTGTTTGGATACCAGCATGCAACACCTCTTTTGGCACAGCTGAGACATGGTTGGTGTGAACTACATGCCTTTTTCTGTCGGACGCAGCGATCGCAGGCACGCCTTCGCGGGTTCGATCTGGAGACTCCACTGTCGCAGGTCCTCAAGTGTCGCTTCAGCACATCAGCCCGCTGAAAAGCGCCATCGCAGGATGTGCATTGGTAAGGCCGCTGTGAAGTATGTGAGCTGAAGTGGCGAAAAAGATGCTCCCGTCTTTTGTACTGCTTCAGGCACACGGAACATTGATATTTCTGAGCAGAGTCAGGATGATCTCCAAGTAAATTATCCGAGTCAGACATGTTTGAGAGATTTTGGTTGAAACTTGGGGAAAGTCGGGGGGTGTGGGGTCGATTAAGTTTGGCGCGGATGTGATGCTCGGTAATTGAGAAACTTTTATAGGAGCCTGACTAGCTTTACACTTGATTCTGGTTTATGCAGGCTTTCGGCAATGATTCTCGGCCTTTTTTGGCATAATAAATGAGAAAAACACGAGGTGGAAAGGCAGCATTACATATCATAAAGAGCGAGAACGGAATAGTTCCGCCAATTTTTCAAGATTTCACGCTCAAGTATGAATCACAAAAGGGCTCCCTTGGATCAGAAAATATAACGGAAATTGGGGTTCTCTTTGTCGGTCATGTCTTCCAGTGTTCCCACATATCGCTCATTAGTAATGTCTTGGTTCTCATCCCTTCGTTTGTTCTCAGATCGTAAGTACCACCATAACAACGCCACACAGATGACTTCGAGCAGGTGAGACACGACCATACTCCAGATACCCAGTGAGTAGACGGGAGCTTGGTTGGACTTATAGAAGAAAGGCCCAGCAATGTTACCCACACAATAACCGATAAAGAGAATGCCACTCGCAGTCACCTTTTTGGTATGTCCCGCGATATTTGCAGTAGTCAAGGATAGCAGCATCACAAACGATGCATTGTATGAGCCAGTCAGCTATTCATAATGATTAGCTTGTGGTTCAAGTAGAACGGTCAAAATCAAACTCACATAGTAGCATATAAGGCGACCTACTCTCGCACTTTCTGGAACAAACCGTAGACCAAAAGCGGCAGCAATGTTTGGCGTGAGAAAAATCAACAGCATCAGACATCTGCTGTTTGGTGGCATCTTGCTGTTAAGCCAAACACAGAGAAGTATGATAATCGAGATGAAGATCCCGTAAGGAATCTGAAGCAGAGTAGTTCCCACTACTAGTAATTAGGATCACACTCATCGATCGCCTGTCAACCATATAGACTTACATGTCGAGAACCCGAAGCCTTTCACGATCATTGTGCCGAAATTGGTAACGCCTCCATTCACAATAGCCTGCAAAAGGGCAATGAGAAAGAAGAACAGAACCTTGATATCAGTCAAAGCTTCTTTGAATTGATGCATCTTGAAATTCCGGTTTTCAATTCCAGTCTGATTCTCACGTAGTCGATTAACCATAATCTTCCGTTGTGCCGGTGTGAGATACCGCGTGGTGAGTGGTGAATCAGGCAGCACCACTAGCATAACAATCCCCCAAAGAATGCATAGAGCCCCGATGATAATGAACTCATACTTCCAGCTAGGCAGAGAGCCTCTTATTTGACCGATTCCGTAACCAAGGACACCACCACCTGCAATTCCCAAGCCTAGAGAAGAGTACCAAAGGCCGATTCGAAGGGGTTGCTCACTTCGTTTATACCACATGCTGGTGACGATCATGAAAGATGGATCTGCACAGGCCTCTGCAGCACCACTAAGACCGCGGAGTACGGCAAGTGTTGCAAAGTTCTTCGAGACGGCTTGGAGGGCAAGAAATACGCCCCACAGAATGATGTTTACACTCATATACTTCGCAGTCGGGAGTCGCTGCATGAGGAGATTTGTTGGTAGTTGCCAGGCCAGAAATCCAAAATAGAAAATCGAAGATAACCAGCTATATTGGTTACCAGCCAGATGCAAGTCTTTGTTAATTCCAAAAATTGCGGCATAAGAAAGAGTGGTCTTGTCGATCTACATGGGCAGTTAGTAGAGTGCCCTGATTATCTAGATATTGCGCTGAAAAGGGAAACAATGGGGTTCACGCACGTAAAAGAAGATATAGCACACAGATAGAGCAGGAAGTATGATCCAATCTATTTTGCGGACGAGTCGCTTCTCTTCCACGGGATCTATAGGCTCTTGAAATTCGTCCAGGATGTCCTTTGGGGATGCATCTTCAACATGAGACACGCTCTCTTTGTGCGTAGTCTCGGTCGTCATGGTGGAATTTATCTGTCGAGTGTCTTTGGGTGTTCGACTAGTAAATGCTCCTTCTGTGAATTGGCAACAGCGCACTCCCCATAGTTGGAAAAAAAGTCAACAAAATAGTGGGCCACACGCAGCATAAGCAAGAAAATGCGGGGGAAAGGGTCTCGGAAATGGGCTGTTTTGTTCCAAGCGCGAACAAGCCTTGCGATATTTATCCGATACTTATCCGAGGCTTGCATTAGACAGCAGGGGAAATTGATACCAATCTAAGCCAAATAGTCTGAAGTGCACGTAATCAGCAAATAGATAACTTAAACCTTTCCTTGTGAGTCATCAACTGCTGGGTAACGCTATGTCAGTTTTGGAACGGCTCCCGGATGGGCTGGAATAAGTCAGTCACAGTTGCGAAGATTCTTGATCGATTTGGGGCGCGGTCAAGCGTGGAACAGTAAACAGTGATAAGACTGTCTTTGGCTCCTGATGCTTGTTGTTGAATATGATATGTATTTCGTAATTTGTGTCAAAATTTGTTAACTTACACTTCTAATAAACTTACGCCCCAGCCGCCGTGGCTTACCCGGTTCAATATCCGAACATACGTATCGAGAAGTATCCGGAATATAATAACCACAGCATGACACGTCCTTGCAAGTCATTCTCTGATACAACATTGAAGTGGAATTTCGGGGAAGGATTACATCTTTGATTTGGGTAACCATGAGGTAGGTTTTACCAACTCCAAATCAACATTTCCAACAGTACCAGGTCTGAGGGTGAGAGGCTCTGCTGAGCGAAAGTTGAATACCGAGAGATTCAAACTGTTGTAGTCACATACCCTGAGCAAATCGTGGATTCCTATCACGCAGGATGCCGGATGGCATGTCCCAGACGTATCCGAAGACGCATCGCCGGAGTGTAGCCGCCTAGTCCGAACAAGCCTTTGAGTTGTAAAGTTATAGAAAATACACAATTTACCATGCTGATCGCCGGAATTTGTTGAACGATATCAAAGACGGTCGGTCATTTGAACCTTGAACCGTGGGCAGAGAAATTAACCGCGGTCATCGAACATATCACACACGCACCGTATCCAGTCCGTCCTCGTGATTGTCAGAGGTCATCGCTTGACGGAGATGCATAGCTTCCTAGAGAACACATTGTGGCTGAGAAACCAAAGTGGCCTCTGCATTGTTATAGTGTGCGATAAGTGAGGCGGCTCGCACAGGCCAATGAAGGCTTCAAACTAATAATCTGCTGTATACCTTGACGATACAAGCAAGTGACATCATTGCATTATGGCTCGATTAGCCAAGAATAATCGATGTTCCCCTGCATCAAAATCCATTGAATAGGCTATAAAGTGGCAGTTGGGTCACCTCACTGGAGGCGCTCCTTGCGACGGTAGTCAAGGACTGCCAAAACGTGCCTCCCCTTATTGGCTGCCCTGGATAAAAACTACCGATCACATAGCATTTCCTTGCCCTGATTTCTGATTCCTGTTTCCTGCTTCTGCTTCTGCTTCCTTGAATTAAAATAATAAATAATAAAAAACAGATAATAGCCCAACTAATTAAATCCCATCCCAAAGCAGCCTCAAGCCCCCATTAAACAAATCAGAAAATGACCCAAAAGGACCAAATAAGCATCCCAAAATCAACGATCAACTACGCAATCCATCTCCACACCAAAGCTCAAAACAAAGCCCGACCCAAAACCCGGTAAAATCTCAAATACTTCAACAGTGCAACATCACCTTGAAATGATCTTCACGGGTCGGCCCATATGGGACCGCCCGTACGGCCTCGGGTTGCCCAAACCACGCAAGACGATCATCAGACCCCAACCCTAATTTTCCAATTCCAATAAAATGCACGTTTCCAAACTTTGAATCATATAGTCCGGCAGGAAAGAAACAGGATCCTGACTCGCTCGAGCACGGTTATTGGAATCATATGAGGGGGACCTGCATGGATGCAGGTGAGCCGGTCCGTAATTCGTGCCCATGAATGCATGGTGACGAGGTGATCTGAGGAGTCGTGCCATGATGCAGGTGCATATCTTACATGTGTGTGCGGGGTGCGACTTAAGGACATGAACGCCGATAGCGCGCATTTGCGACGATCACTACTGGTCGGTGTTTGTAGAGGTCGAGTCAGGGTTGCCTTAGGGTCTGAATCTGAGTTTATGTCCGAGTCGGGCTTAGAGTGGGAAAATGGGGCGATCCGCGCGAAGGGGACTAATGCGAGTCATGGGAGCTGACCTGGGGGGATTTGCGTTTAGTGTCTCTTCTCCTCTTTGTGTGACTGCGACAGTGGTGTTGCGTGGGATCATTCCCCTTACCCCTGGCATATATTAGACAGGTTATGGGACTGCAACCGTAGTATCGGGATTCAGGGTCCACGAGGCTTTGGGGTCCAAAAAGCAATTAGTGCTGCGTCATTGCCTAGTGTTCTGTTCCCCTGTTGATGTGTGTGGGGGAAAACCTGATCTGGTAGGACCCCGGCGTTTGCTTTTCTTAGTAGAACTGACATGGGTAGGGTGGCTTAGCCGGTGATCCGGTTTGTTGGTTGCTAGCTTGTTCGTTCATGGCATATCCTTGTTTAGGGGGCGCCACTCCTGCCATATTTAGGTGTAGTTGACGTAGGTCTTTTACGAGCGGTGAAGTGGTGAAGTGGTGGTTTGGCTGTTAATTTGGGCTTGTATTAATCCTCCATGCATGCTTTCATGCTATAACTTATGTAATAAACAGTCTTCCTTCATATACATCAAAGATCACCATAGGAGAGGTATGAATCCCAATGCTATGTTCAAAACCAGGGTCAAAATCAAAATCAAAATCAAAGTGTCGCTAATGTGCACAAAACTCCTCGCTCGCTTCCCAGTAAACAAAATGAAGATGCGCTTGTAAATGTCAAAATGAAAAGTAGACAAAGGAAAATATGTAAGATCAGAGTCCCATATGAGAGGGTCTGAATGTCGAATATTGACAGATTCGAAGAGAACGGCCGCACACAAATCGGTAAGAGGTGAGAGAGAAGGATGAGTTGCAAAGTCTCGGGTGTGGTTTCGAAGCAAAGAAAAAGATGCAGTTATGCAGTGGCACGGGATGCCCGTCGGGACTTTAAGTCGTCCCGGCTCAGAAGTCGGCGCAGCTTAGAGACAAATCGGCATTGGAGGCCATCTGGAGTACGGTAAGCATTGAACGCGACCGATGTATGATAGAGCACGTGCTTACCAGTGCTGCGACGCGTGGACACGAAAGGCTCCTCGATAGGCTGTGTCGTATAGGCTGCAGCCCAATATCCCGTGTGGTGATAACCGGTGAAGGTGCAGTTGTTGGGGTCGTATTTGGGCTGCAGTGCTGTGACATGGGGGTAGAGTGATGCCAATGGCGAGAGAAGCTCATCAGGCGGCGGTGAGCGTCTGCTGTCAATGCTACCTCGAGACTGCCGAGAGACATTAGAATTACATCTGGTTGGGGAAGTATAGAGGTCACTCACGTAGAGCTCATAGTTGGTCTTGTAACTCATGGTGGGGGGAAGTGGAGAGGAATTAGGGCTGTGTATTGCTGAACTCAGTTTGCGACCGTGTGAATGCAAGTCGATGGAGTGCAAGACTATGCAGAGTGTTAAAGTGTTGAGATGCAGGTCTTTACGAAGAGGCGAGGCTGCATTTAAAGAACTTGGAACACAATTTGGAAACAGGAAACCCTCAGCCGCAGGTTTAATTTGGAAGCGGGGGAGTCCGAACGTCAGACTGATGTGCATCTAGTGGTCGTCTAGTGTGTCCCATCTTGATAGATATGATTTTGTCGCATCCAGGAATTCGGGACTCCAGGGCCTCCATGAACACCAATCAGCGACGATCATTGGCGGAAGTCTGTTGTCTGAGCGTCAGGGCCGATTCACCGATCTGTCGGAGTGCCCGATGAGGATAGTGTCTATAATACGAGATTTAAATTATTGAGCTAGCATGATCCCTGCAAATGCCACGAATGGGTTTCTCGTTTGGTTTCCCCTTGCATTGTACTTCCCACGTTGTTTTGATTTTTTTTTTCTTATCCTGCACCACACGAGTATGCAATGTAAAAGGCTGTTCCCTGCAGCCTCGCGGATTCCCCCTCTCCATGATGTGATTTCAGATCCGCCGAACATGTCCGGGTTAGAAGATTAAGCGCTAAACCCGAGTATCATCTTACGTGTACATGAATATGGAACAGTCTAAAGTTATATTGTCGGACGAAGTGGGGGGGAAAGTGTCAGGTACCTCGCACAGGGCAATTCGGGCGAGTAATTGTCAAGCCTTAAGCGAAGCCCCCAAAGTATATCAAGCGAGAGAAAAAAAACCATCAGATCTGAAATGAATGCTTAAGGGCGAGATTGACCGAGACTAGCGGGAGAACTATTGGAAGACTAAAACGAAGGAGATTGACAGTGGAAAATCCCCAGTTAGGGTTAGCGGACAATCACATTGTCGTCACAGCCACATCCCTTGCTAAAAGGGGATAAGCGCACGAGCCACATCGTCGGGCTGTCCGTGGCTAGTGCCCTCTCAAGGTTGTGGCTCAAGCTTGCTGTGGCTAGAGAGCTTGATCTCTTCTCCACCACCGAACTAGTCCGTCCCTTGGGATCTTCAAAGGTTATCACTTTTTTTATTGACACCCTTGATGGCTCGGTCTTCCCCGTCTAGGCCGCCAGCGCGGAGCTATAAGGGCCCCCATTCGCCTCCCCCAGATACATCAGTTTAACTCCAGACTTCTATCCTTCTAAGGAACTTGCCTTTTGGGAATTTGCCTTGAACACATCAATCATATACATAAATCATATGTCAACTGTCAAATATGTCACTGAGCATGCAGGGTTCAGGAAGAGAGTGTTGGGAAAACTCTCATATGGACATGCGCGAGCACTGCTCGCGCGAGCAACGCGCTCAAAGTGAGTGATCAATGTCCTTCCCCGCTGTCTTGTCGCACCAGGTGCGCCGTGACCCAGTATTCTGAGACTCTTTTTTTTGCCTTTGGTTCAGGATCCGGACGAGAGGCTGAACGCATCTCGGATAGGCGCGAGCGTCCTCACGATGAGGGGATAGCCCCAGAACTACAGTCCATCCTAACAGACGGCGAGTTTGGTCGGGTTGATCCCACTGGCTGGTTCCCACACTATAAGAATTGCGTGCAACATTTTGTCGACTATAGCCAACATACCCCGCCAGTATTGTCTATTGCCGCCTTTATCAATATTCGGCTTCCAAGCCAGCGACCTGCTGAGGTGGTTCCGGCTGCTCAATCTCAATCTCAATCGCAATCTACTTCTATGCCGTTTATTTCTCTTCGACCTTATATCCGCAGACTCATTGTCACTGCACAAGACTCTCCAACTGTCATGAATACTTTCTTCGGCACTGACTGGGAAGCTGGGGTGGGGGTGATCTACAAGCAAGAGCGGGCCAACTATCTATTCACTGCCAAAAGCAGCGGTTGGGCAGCAACTAAGGCCGCATACGACATTTCCCCAGATGAACAAACCCCTTTCTTAAGACCCCTGCGTGACCCTTCGGAGGAGGAGATTCGCGTGGCTGAGGCGCGATGGAGCGAATGGCTTGCTATGGAGGATTGGATGGTTGGAGCACGCAGTCCCTGGTAGGGCATGACTCATGATGAGAGACGAATCTTCTTTACTCGTTTAAGTTTTCTTATTTCTTTTGTCTGTTCTCGGATCACAAAAACAGTTGGTGATAGTGACTGGGGAGGCTAGTGCAGTCACAGTGGAGTATGTCAGTCCCTGCAGTTAAGTTAGGTTCCATGCCATAGGGGAATTATCACCGAAACTAGCCTAATAACATTCTTTTCCATCATAGTCTAGTGCTAAATGCAGAGTTGACAGAGATCGCCGTAGATCGTGGGAAATCGATAGCGTCGCACCGCCACAGGCAGACACCGTGACAAATACATGAAATGGAACTAGTGAATTCTCGATATTAACTATGCCAAGATTGCACTTAGATTGTGAGATCTGAAGCCCATTAACCGCGCCAGGCTTAGCTCAGGCCCCTGCCCTGCTTAATATGGGAACCCCGACGATCCACATGGTTCTGAGTCATGACTCGAACATCCCATCTCCAGGGCTCAACCTGTCAACCCGCCTGTCATCCTGTCATCCTGTCAGACGGTCCGGTCTACCTGTCAATTCTCTGAACATTCAGGATCAATAGTGCCGGCATTCGATACAATCGGTCCTCAGCCCCCTGAACCAGGTACCCGGGAAAGAAATCAAGATGGAGTCCTGCAGCTGCTACGAGCACGATGCAGCAACAATAATGCCGATACTCGTATCCCAATTGCCGTATTCCACAACTCTCCTCAGGCGCATCCAACACGGCATCGCCTACCCATCAGCAACCGCCAAGATTCTTGCAACTTTCCCTGCCGGCTCAACCCCTGACCCTAAATTTCCGTGGCTGGCTGCGCGGGTGGATCTATTTCTCGGCCGCGAGACCCAGATGCACATCTACTCCAGCCTTGAAGCGGAGCCATCAACCCCGATCGACGCTGTCAGCGTCAGCCATACCCAAATTAACACAGCCGCGACTGCGGAACCCATTTCCAGTTCCAATTCCATCGTTTACACCCTCTCAGCACCCCAGCCCGTCCGAGACCTGGTCCGCGCGCAACTATTGGCCCTACTCTCTCACGTCAAAACCCACTTCCTGCCGCCTTACCTGTCATCTTTGTCTCGAGGCCGGGATCCGATTTCAGCTACGCCAGCCGACGTCGATCCAAACAATGCAGAGAAAAATGCTCGTGTGGCTTCGGCGATCACTGACAATGGCGTGCCCCTGATCCCCGCGCCTAACCCACAAGCGTTCCTGATCGGAAGCCTTCATACAGGTCTCTTTGCGCTACTCCAGCGATCGGGCACCTACACAGCGGACGATTCGCTACCCAATATTCGGGTTCATCGCTTCGATAATCCACCCTATCATAAGTACTTTTTCCGGAGATCCGAGTTTGCATCCGCGGAAGCGGATGCGCAGGCGGAAGCGTCTGGCAGTCCGGCTGGTGCTGATCTTTTTGCTGATCTCTCCCTGCCGCCTGGTTACCGGTTCTCGGATCGTCACGGTAGATTTGGTGTTCTTGATGGGCATTTGGATCTTGTGCAGAGTCGCACGCATATTCCCAGATCCAGGAAGCAGCTCTCTTCTTTGTCTGGTATGGCGCTTTATTGTGATAGCGATGGTTCTATGGATGGTGGGCGTGAGATTGGGACTGGTGATGAAATGCCTATTGCGTGGGGTTTCCTTGGTGTTGATGGTTCTTTGGCTACGCTACATGTTGAGCCTGAGCATCGTGGGAAGGGTCTGGCGCTACTTTTGTCTAAGGCGATCATGCGTCACGGTATGACTGCTGATGGGATTTTTGGGGCTGAAACTATTCAGTCTGGAGATCAATTGGCTCGTGAGCAGGTTGCGGAGTGGACGCATGCTGATGTGTCTGGAGATAATAAGGCAAGTCGGAGGGTTATGGAGAAGATTGGAGGTAAAGTTTTGACGACGGTCACTTGGACTGTCATTGAGCTTTGCGATTGACTTGAAACTACTTAATACTTTGATGAAGTTTGAAGATAGACATGACTTGCTTAAGATTTGGATATATTTACGAAGCTACCTTTGATATGCATGTGTGATGGCTAAAGAATGTTCAATAAAGACGATAGCTCTTTAGGATATATGCTACTATAATAAACAACACGGTTTCGATTGTCGGGCATGTTAATATTGTATCCCTTGGTCTCTTAAGTGTCTCTCCTCAGCTTCCATGCTTCTCTAATTTCTTGAGGTGTCATATCTCAATGCAGCAGATCCGGCTGGCAAGGTGTCAAATCTTGAATAGGATACCGCCGTACCAAGAGAAGGATTGATCTTGGATGTCTCGATATTTCTACCAAATGAAGAAGATCTCTGCTCAGTGACTCATATTTTGAATCATGCGAGATGGGTGAAATTATCATCATCAACGGCTATTGAAGGCGCTCAATATATGTATCCGGCATGACCATAAATTTTCCAAAGCAACAAGTTTTATTACTCGACTTAGCCTAAGCTACACGACTAATTTCTACACCTTAACCCCACGAGAAATCGAATCTTGTGTCATATGTGAATGGTCAAAGTAAAGCGTTGAATGTGAGAGCCGTAAACACCCCCAGATATGCCCGATTAGGCTTAGCGTACCGATGATCGGCCACCGTGATAACCACGCAGTCGAACTTCGCATCTTCTCTTCCTCCTTTCCCTCCAAATTCAAGCCATTGACTCTTCTCATAATATTCAAAATGAGTAACCAAAAAGGTGTCGCCGAGAACATGCTCTGGGGAGGACGTTTCACCCGTGAGTCGCTCAACCCCTCCATCCCACCAAAAATCCCACTGACTCATACGCCAAAAAACAGAGGGTCTTGACCCCCTGATGGTGCAGTACAACATGTCCTTGCCCTATGACCGTGTCTTCTGGAAGCAGGATATTGCTGGCTCCATTGCCTTCGCCCGCGCCAACACCAAGTCCGGCATCCTCACCCCGCAAGAGTTCGCCGAGATCGAGCGCGGTTTCAAGCAGATTGCCGAGGAATGGCAGTCAAACACCTTCGTCGCCAAGGAGAACGACGAGGATATTCACACCGCCAACGAGCGCCGCCTGGGCGAGATCATCGGCAAGGAGATTGGCGGTAAGCTGCACACCGGCCGGTCGCGCAATGAGCAGATCGCCACGGACATGCGCCTGTGGCTGCGCGATGAGCTCCGTCTTATCGACGCCCACCTCTGCAATTTGATCAAGGTTTCTATCGCTCGCGCTGAGCAGGATATCGACTACATCATGCCCGGTTACACCCACCTCCAGAAGGCTCAGCCCGTCCGCTGGTCCCACTGGCTGCTGTCCCACGCTACTGCTTTCGCTAGCGAGCTGCAGCGTCTGCGTGAGGTCATCCGCCGCGTTAACCGCAGCCCTCTCGGTACCGGTGCTCTTGCTGGTAACCCCTTCAACATTGACCGTGAGGCTATGGCTAAGGAGCTTGGCTTCGATGGTCTGCTGTACAACTCCATGAACGCCGTTGCCGACCGTGACTTTGCCATGGAGACTATGCAGTGGGGTAGCTCTTTCATGCTCAAGATTTCTCGCTGGGCCGAGGATTTGATCATCTACAGCAGTCTCGAGTTCGGCTTTGTCCGTCTGTCCGATGCCTACTCCACCGGATCCTCTCTGATGCCCCAGAAGAAGAACGCCGGTAAGCAATCGCCAACGTCTTTTCGATAATCAAATTACTAACACAGTTCACAGACAGCCTGGAGCTGCTCCGCGGTAAGGCTGGTCGTGCCTTCGGCCAAATGGCCGGCCTGATGTGCACTATCAAGGGTTTGCCCACCACCTACAACAAGGATCTCCAGGAGAGTGTCGAGCCCATGCTCGACCACGTCAAGACCGTCAGCGACAGCATCCAGATCGGTACTGGTGTGCTCTCCACCTTGACCGTCATTCCCGAGAAGATGATCGCCGCTCTCGCCCCCGAGATGCTGGCCACTGAGATCGCCGACTACCTCGTCCGCAAGGGCGTTCCCTTCCGTGAGGGCCACCACATTTCTGGACGTGTTGTCGCTCTCGCTGAGGACACCTCTGTCCCCATGGACACCCTTTCCCTCGAGCAGCTCCAGGGAATTGACTCTCGCTTCGACGCTGATGTCCAGACTTGCCTTGACTACGAACGTGCTGTCGAGCTTAAGGATGCCATTGGCGGTACCAGCAAGCGCGCTGTTCTGGAGCAGACTGCCGTGCTGAAGGGCCTCCTGTGAATTCATTTTGGATACGATATATGACTGGGAAAAAAGCTGCGCTTTCGGGTAGACAAAAATGAATATATGAATTGACTTGTTGGACTTCGAGACTTCAAACTACTTATCAAACTATGCCCTAACTTCGTTAATTGCCAGACTGGACTATGACTACCATCCACCAGGGCCACCGGCACTTCATCATTGTTCAGCACAACGGCAAAGGTAACCCAAACTTCATAAAATCTCATAAAACAGCACCATTCAGATATTACTATCCACCCCAAACCCAAATTTCTCTTCTCAACCTCAAGCCCTGACACTCCTTTCTACCCCGGTAAGAGGTTTAATGTCCGGATCCGCAGCACCATCCCGCTCATCATAAGCAGGAGGAACATCCTCATCAGCAGCCCCATCAACCTGAATATCATCCTCCAAGGCCGCAATTACAGTCTGAGATCTCAGTCCCTCCCTAGAACCACCATCCAGCCTCCCACGCCCATGAACCGTCTCCCGCATCTCAATTTCCCCGCCAACCCTCGCCCCATTCCCATTGCCATAATGCATAAAACTCATAACATGATCATCACACTCGGGCCCAACATCCCGTCCCCGCTCCAACGCCCGCCCAATCTCCATCCCACTAGAATACCGATCCAGATTAGCACCGAGGACGACACCGTCGGCGGTAATCACTCGTCCGACAGGCTGTCTGATCGGGCTTCCACCCTCGTTCTCGCTCTTAGTCCCACTTCCATTTCCACTTCCACTTCCTCTGCCAAGATAGCTGGGATCATGGGTCGCTCCACCAGATGTGTAAGCCAGAGGAATCGACGACGTGGATTCCCGTGCCCTCGGCATACCCTTTCCACCCCGATTCCCGGTTGAATTCACATTCGAAGGGCCGGTTTGTCGCCAGCGCTGGTCAATTGGGACGTTGATCAGCTCGCTCTGGGAATGTGATGCTAGTTCACATCGCAGTCGGTAGAGACTTGTATCTGGTAATTCGGGGGTGGATGTGAAGCCCTGCCGGTGGGGAAGGGGCATTGGGACTTGGGCTGCTAGTTCGGCTGAGAAGGGGATTGGGGAGTTCGTGGATGACTTTAGTCTCAGGGGGTTGGGGATTAGGTTTGTTGACGAGGAGTTGTGGCTATGGCTTGTGCCCATTCTCATTGCTAGAGGTGTGTCACTTGGTCTTCTGTTTTCTGATTGGGAGGTTGTTGTTGAGGCTGTTGGTGTGTTATTGGGAATGAATGTGGTTAATGAGTCTGGTTGTTTGAGTTTGAGTCAGTGAGGGCTTTTATAGGTAGTTTGATGGGCGGTTATGGACTTGAGGCTTAACATACCAGTTGCTGTGTATCCTTCACTGTCAGATGGTGATAACACCTTGGTGTTTGATGACCTCTTTGGGCTGTAGCGGTATCGGGCTGCTCCATATGGATACCATGATATGTTAGACGAGCGTTTCTCATGTTTGCTTTGTCTTTTTCTGCGACGGTAGCAGCAGAACAGCAAAATGGCACAGATGATCAAGCCTGCCACTCCTCCCACCACCCCACCGATTAAGGCGCCCCGGTTGGATTTGGTTCCTGAATTGCTGGACTCTGATGATGGTGTTGCGGTGCTTATATGACTGACGCCTAGTGCAGAGGACAATGCTGTGACACGGGTGGCTTCGAATGTCGTTGATGTCGTAGCCGTCGCTGTAGCCGCGGAAGTACCTGATGCAGCCTGTGCCTCTGAAGTTGTGGTCGTGTCTGAACTGGTAGATAGGGCTGACATTGATACTATTACTGGTATTGGCGAGGAAGCAGACGAATCAGCCACCGAGGTGGTCGATGAGGATGTCGTTGCCGATGAGAGGAGTGGAATCCCAATGTTCGCTGTGACTGCTGCCAACCCCGCTACAGATGCAGTAGACTCGGGAGTCGAAGTATTCGAAGCATCGTCTTCATCATAGTCTGGACAAACGCCGCTCGTACATGGGTCGCTGGAGCAGCATCCACGAAAGTTGCCTGCAGTGCATACATACCACTGCTTGCTCCCGGTGCAGGTATTCGCTGCGCGGGGCAACAGATCGTTCATGCTTAAAGACATCTGAGAGATGATTTGCCATTCGCGACCTCGAGGGATCTTCGGATCAAAGCGTTGAACCCGTTGTATGTGCCAGTTAGGGCAACTCTCAACGACTGGAAGCGAGCGAACTCGTCCACTCGGAGAGAACTTGGAATTTCACGGTGTTCTCCCAGTGAAAAGGGGCAACAGATATCAAATGGAATCTATTAGCCAGATATTCCTACTGCTGGTATTCATAATCCATCGGGTGGAGGCCCTAAGGTGGACATGACCCTCGCCCTCAAAGAAGTCCAGGAGGACTCTTTGTTCGGCATGGCTGGTAAAGACCCCCTGGTGGCAACCATAACCTCCAAATATAGAACCAAAGTACCAAGAGTGAAAGTGGGATGGTGCTGAGGGAGGAGGGTTGATCTTTATTACTTGGCAGAGTGGCGGCAAAAGCGTAGTAATCGACTATGTTCTGAGCAAGTGCATGAGGGGGAAACCACAGTATCTGCCAGTGTTTCTGCAAAACTCCTCGGGTTCATCATCAGTCGAGGTTCGCCAGTTTCTTTGTTGACTCAAGCCAAGACCCGACAAAGAGTGGGCACGTGGAGAGCTACGGGAGGGCAAGATGAAGAGGAAATCCAATGAGAAACAAACTGGGGAGAAGCACCCAGTACAATTCTTCGCCTGTTGAAATACCTGTTGAAATAAAGGAAAATAATATGGCTATACAAGGTGGTAAGTAACACAGTCAAATAAAAAACATGGTCTTTTGCATGGGTTCATCCCCTTGAAACGGGGCCCTCGACGCCACAAGCCCTAGTTTCACAATATATGAAACTGGGATAGGACGTTAATGGGTTCCATTTGCGACAACTCCGTGGTATCCTCCAAATTCTCTGCGGGTCAGTTCCCAAAATAGCGAGCTTAGTAGGTACGCTTGAAAGGCGGCACGGCCTTGCACTCGCTCTCATCCAGGGTGTTGGCCTCGACGGCACGGTAGCCGAGCTTGACCTCACCGTGGGCCTCCTTCTGCCAGGAGAGAGTGTGCTTCATCCAGTTCTCATCGTCACGGTCGGGGAAGTCCTCACGGGCGTGGGCACCACGGGACTCCTTACGGGCAGCGGCGGAAGTGGCAGTTTGGGTACTGTGAATGATGTTAGCAAATTCTTTCTTGGAATTGAGTCGGTGATACGTACGCGCAAGTGAGCAGGTTGCGGAGCTCAAGGGTCTCAACCAGATCAGTGTTCCAGATCATGGAGCGGTCCTTGGTGCCGACCTGGGAGTACCACTGGTCGATCTCGTTGACCTTTTGGACACCCTCGTCCAAGCTTTCCTGGGTACGGAAAACGCTGACATCGGTCTGCATGGCCTTCTGCATGGCATTGCGGACATCGAAAGTGGACTTGGGGCCCTCGGCAGTGCGGGCAAAGTCGAGGTCCTTGATGGACTGAGCACCGGCATCAGCGGCGAGCTCCTTGTGGGGAGCACCGGGGCTGGCAGTGTCACGGACACGGTGAGAAACAGCACGACCGAAGACGATCAAATCAAGGAGGGAGTTGGCACCCAGGCGGTTAGCACCGTGGACAGACACACAAGCGGCCTCACCACAGGCGTACAGACCCTTGACAACCTTCTCTTGGCCGTTCTGGTCCACGTCGATAACCTCACCAGTGTACTTGGTAGGGATACCACCCATGTTGTAGTGGACAGTGGGGAGGACGGGAATTGGCTGCTTGGTGACATCAACACCGGCGAAAATGGAGGCGGTCTCGGAGATACCGGGCAGACGCTCGTGGAGAAGCTCAGCGGGCAAGTGGCTGAGTTGCAGGTAGATGTGGTCCTTCTCGGGACCAACACCACGGCCCTCACGGATCTCGAGGGTCATGGAACGGGAGACAACGTCACGGGAAGCGAGATCCTTGGCGGTAGGAGCATAACGCTCCATGAAACGCTCACCTTCGGAGTTCAGGAGGTAACCACCCTCACCACGGGAGCCCTCAGTGATCAGACAACCGGCACCGTAGATACCAGTGGGGTGGAACTGGACGAACTCCAGATCCTGGTTAGGAAGACCAGCACGGGCGACCATAGCCATACCGTCACCGGTGCAAGTGTGAGCCGAAGTACAACTGAAATAGGCACGTCCGTAACCACCGGTGGCCAGGACAGTGTGGTGGGCCTTGAAGCGGTGCAGAGTACCATCCTCCTGGTTGTAAGCGATGATACCACGGCACTCACCATCCTCCATCAGCAAGTCGAGAGCGAAGTATTCGATGAAGTAGTTGGTGTTGTGACGGAGAGACTGTCCGTAGAGGGTGTGCAGGAGGGCGTGACCGGTACGGTCAGCGGCAGCTGCGCAACGGTAGGCCTGACCACCCTTGCCGAAATCCTTAGACTGACCACCGAAGGCACGCTGGTAGATACGTCCATCCTCGGTACGGGAGAAGGGGCAACCGTATCCCTCAAGCTCGCGAACACTGGCCGGGGCCTCGCGGGTCATGTAGTGAATAGCGTCCTGGTCACCAAGCCAATCGGAGCCCTTCACGGTATCATACATGTGCCATCTCCAGTCATCCTCGTGCATGCTATATTCCAATTAGACGCGATTCAATATCGGGCGAAATTTTCCTGGAGAAACATACTTTCCGAGGGCAGCGTTGATACCACCTTGGGCAGCGACGGTGTGACTTCTCGTGGGGAACAGCTTGGAAACACAAGCAGTTTTGAATCCAGCTTCAGCCAGACCGAAGGCAGCGCGCAGACCGGCACCACCGGCACCGACAACGACGGCATCATATTCGTGGTCCTGCGCCAGTCAGATCCGATTGTCTTCCATTTCATCCGGGCTCATTATGATCTTACAATGATGGGGTATTTGTCGGTCAGGTATCCGCTGGACTCCTTGGCGCGCAGAGGCTGGTTGGCCCAAATCCGGGCTGGCGCAAGTTGTTAGTGAGGCGTACGCGAATGACGATTTGAATGATTCAATGCGTACCTGTGGACCTTGAAGAGGAGAACAGACGTCTCTGATCCCGCAAAATGCGGGAAACCTGGAGAAATGGGCCAGTCAGTCGGTTGCACATGAGCCGAAAATCGTTGCATGCCGGGCTCACCTTGGAGGCAGGAGCTAGGCTCCGCAAGCTTAGGGAGCTCATGATGGATCAGCAGAGAATTGTGCTTCTCTAATGAACCAAGAGATAACCAGGACAGAGATTGTCCAAAAAGAGCTAAAGAGAGGAGATGGTGGAATAGCGAACTCCTGCCAGAGCAACTTCATCTGGAGTCGGGATGCGGTTTGGCAGTTTCACGCTGACTCAGCGACTTACTTAGTATTCCGGGCTTTGTGATTGGTTGGTTCGGCCTCCCCATCGGCAACTGCGAGAATGCCTCGGGTTCGCCGGTCGTCCGTTTTGCCGCGAGGTAGTGGGCGCCGGGAGGATACGGCAGAGCCTCAGTGAGCATGAGGAGGATTGTAGCTGGGGGGATGGCCTCTGCTAGTAGAGCTTGATTATTCTATGAGCTTGGATTTCTACTACAGCCAGCTGATATCTCTCAATGCCTCTCTCAACTCTGGAATGTATAGCTGTGGATCACGTGCTGTCACATGATCGTCCATGGATACCCGATTAGGGATCTACACCAGACCTAGGTTGATTCATACTGCGATCAACTTATCTGGGCATGTTTTTCTGGGGTAGACGGTTTGTTTTCTTCCGCGACTGATTATTTCAAGAGATCATGGTTACTCTGCCAAGACTATCGATGCAAAGTCTCCAAAGCGGATATATTGCTTGATGTGCTCTTTGTGCCCTAACTGAACTGCTATGTTCCACCTGTTTTCTGTCAATTCTTGAGTGCTTTGGGTGGGTCTAATAGATCAGATCATGCAGGAGTCTAAAGTGTGAACGGACCTACGACCTCTGCTATATATACGAATTACGGAAACATAGAAATGATTTAGATTATAGATGCATTGACCTGGAATAAACTCCGACATAACAACACAATAGTGATCATACATCCCATCCGTAATGCAAGTCCAGTCGGGATCTCTCTAGTTGTATTGCATGTAGGTTGCCGTCGAATTGAACTTGAGGTTGCCCTTGATGACCTTCTCAACGGAAGCCAGGAAGTCCTTCTCAGTGGCGACCTTGCGGCGCGCACGAATGGCAAACATACCAGCCTCCGTTGCCACACTGCGGAGCTCAGCACCGGTAGCGTTAGGACACAGTCGTGAAATCAGCTCCCAACGGATGTCCCGCTCGACGGACATGCTCTTGGCGTGAATGCGGAGAATGTTTGCACGACCCTCGACATCGGGTAGTGAGAATTCAATCTTACGATCGATACGGCCAGGACGCATCAGGGCCGGGTCAAGTGTGGACGGACGGTTGGTAGCGAACATAACCTTGATGTTACCACGGGAATCGAAACCATCCAGCTGGGTGATCAGCTCCAGCATAGTACGCTGCACTTCATTGTCACCACCGGCACCATCATCGAAACGGGCACCACCGACAGCATCGATTTCGTCGAAGAAGATGATGCAAGCCTTCTTGGTACGAGCCATCTCGAAGAGCTCACGGACCATACGGGCACCCTCACCAACATACTTCTGTACCAATTCACTACCAATGACACGAATGAAGGTGGCATCCGTTCGGTTGGCGACTGCACGAGCGCAAAGAGTCTTTCCGGTTCCGGGAGGGCCGTAGAGGAGGGCACCCTTGGGCGGGTCGATACCGAGGTTCACAAAACGTTCCGGCGATAGCAACGGCATCTCAACAACTTCTCGTAGCTTCTCGATCTGTTCTTTGCACCCACCGACATCGCCGTAAGTCACGTCGGGCTTATCCTCGACCGTCATCATCGTCACGCTGGGGTCGATCTTTGGCGGCAAGGGAAGCATAATCTGGTACTTATTGCGGTCGACACTGCAGAGTCCAGTTAGTAGCTGTGAGGGAAAACCACCCATCCCGCCGGGGGACCTACCCAACTCTCATGCCTTCCTCGATATCTGTTGGGCTGACGCGCTCTCCTAGGTTGACAACAAATTTGGCAATCTGCTTGACGTTGATCACATATTTACTCTTGTCCGAGTCTTTCTCATCCTGGATAATCTTTGTGCATCGTGCAACCTGAAGTGGCTGTTCTTCTGCCATGCGCTGTCGATCGGCTGCAACATCCCAAAGGTGTGGAGGTGCAAGACCTGTGTCCGATTCCTGAAAGAGCGTGAGCTTCGATTGCTCAAGGGGTCGAGAGAGCTGGAGAAATAATCACCTTAACGCCGATCTTTTCATTGACGCTTGCTTGTTTGTCCTTGATATCCTTTTCGAGCTTCTTCAGTGCTGTCGCGTAAGGTGCGGCGCCGTAGGTCTTGAGTACTGCGATATCACTGTAGGGGACGTCAGCCAACCATTGCCATCGCGCTTTGGCCGAATCAAATCGAGATAAGGCGGAAAACTCACTCATCTGTAAGAGGTGTGATCTTCTTCTCAGGTTCCTCGTCGTCCGCGAAGTTCTTTTGGTACTTCTCCCAGTTCTGACCCGTGGCGCTAGGCATGATGAAAGGTGTTGACAGCCCAAGGCCGAGGAGCTAGAGGACGTTGTGGGAGGGAAAGTAAGGTCGAAGAGGCGTATGCGAGTTAAACAGATCTAACTTGCTCCAATAACTGGGGCAATCTGGAAAAAAAGATAGATAGTTGGGTATTGAGAGACGGATGATGTAGCAGAGCTGCGGTGGCCGAGCTCACCTCACTAATCAGTGCCAAGCTTCATCACCGCCCCAGAACCTCGCAGAATTTCCTGTGTGTCCTCCACCATCAACAGTCACCTTCACCCTTTCACTCATTTTTAACAGTTCGTTTTGAATACCGACTTTCAAAATGGCTGCTGCAGTAGCTCAGGGAACAGCTGGCAACAATGCCTTCAAGGTGCGAGCCTTGAAATTGATCTGTGTGGGCCATTTCTGATTGCATGCAGGACAAGGAGAAGCCTATGGCCGTGCGGGCGTCCAACATTCTCGCTGCTCGGGGTATGTACTTCTGATCAGATTTAGGGGACTTTTGCTAACATGACCATAGCTGTTGCCGATGCTATTCGAACCGTACGCTTGCTCAAGTTATTTGCAGATATATAGATGAGGGGCTAACAGAAATACAGTCTTTGGGACCCAGGGGTATGGATAAGATGGTAAGTTGATATCAACTCTTGGTTTTATGCAGATTCTAATGTCTTTCAAGATTCAAACGCCCAAGGGACAGACCATCATCGTACGCATCAATTCCTATTCGAACCTTTCCGGAGCCCCAACTGACCCCCGCAGACCAACGATGGAAACACCATGTTGAAGGATATGAGCGTGATGCACCCCGCTGCTCGCATGCTTGTCGATCTGAGTGCCGCACAGGATGTCGAGGCTGGTGATGGAACGACATCAGTCGTTGTTATTGCTGGCAGTCTGCTTGGTGCTGCTGAGAAGCTGCTTTCCAAGGGCATTCATCCTACTGTCATCTCCGAATCTTTCCAGAGAGCCGCCGGTGCTGCCGTCGAGATCCTCCACAACATGTCCCGCCCTATCAACCTCTCCGACCGTGCTACCCTCCTGCAAGCCGCCTCCACCTCCCTTTCCTCGAAGATCGTGTCCCAACACTCTGGCCTCCTGGGCCCCATGGCCGTCGACTCCGTCCTGAAGGTCTGTGACCCGAAGACGGCAGAGAATGTTGATCTGCGTGATATTCGTATTGTGAAGAAGGTTGGCGGAACCATTGAGGACAGCGAGATGGTTGATGGTGTTGTTCTCAACCAGCCTGTGATCAAGAGCAGTGGCGGTCCCACGAGAATTGAGAAGGCCCGGATAGGTCTCATTCAATTCCAACTGAGCCCCCCTAAGCCTGATGTATGTTGCCCTGAGGGTTGGTTTTGGATATGAACTGACAACCGTAATCTAGATGGAAAACCAAATCGTCGTTAACGACTACCGCCAGATGGATAAGATTCTGAAAGAGGAGCGCCAATACCTGCTTAACATGGTCAAGAAGATCCAGAAGACCAAGTGTAACGTTCTTTTGATCCAAAAGTCCATCCTCCGTGACGCTGTCAATGAACTTTCCCTCCACTTCCTTTCCCGTCTCAAGATCCTGGCTATCAAGGACATCGAGCGTGATGAGGTTGAGTTCCTCTGCAAGAGTCTCGGCTGCAAGCCCGTCGCCAATGTCGACTCTTTCACCGAGGACAAGCTTGGTACCGCCGATCTCATCGAGGAAGTCCAGGCCTCCGGTGCCCGTTACGTCAAGATCACTGGCATTAAGGCCCCTCTGGCCGCTTACAACCAGACCGTCTCTATCGTTGCCCGGGGTGCTAACCGCCTGATTCTCGACGAGGCCGAGCGTTCGCTGCACGACGCGCTCTGTGTCATCCGTTGTCTCGTTAAGAAGCGCGCCATGATTGCAGGTGGTGGTGCTCCCGAGGTCGAAGTCGCCCACGCCCTCGCTAAGCGCTCCCGTGAACTCACTGGCACCGAGGCCATTTGTTTCAAGGCCTTTGCCGATGCTATGGAGGTCATCCCCACTACCCTTGCCGAGAACGCCGGTCTCAACTCTATCAAGGTTGTCACCGACCTGCGTCACCGTCACGCACAGGGTCAGCACAACGCCGGTGTCAGCATTCGCAGTGGTGGTGTCAAGGACGATATTACAGAGGAAAACATCCTGCAACCCTTGCTTGTCAGCACCAGTGCAATTGAGCTGGCTGCAGAGACCGTGAAGATGATCATGAGAATTGATGACATTGCTTTGTCGCGGTAAACGCCTTCGGCGGCCGCTAACGTGAGCTGTATGATGGAAAGCGATGTTCTCGCGACGAGTAATTACAAAAAATATCCCGTTTCTACATAGAATCATTCTCAGGCTTGTACAAACTTCTAGGCTTCCAATGATAGTCGAATGTATTGCGTAGTTCCGTATAAATCGGGGATCAGCTGAGATGGCTAAAGAGATTGTTTTCTTGCTGTAGGTCAATGTTTTGATCGGGTCCTCTTCTCACTTGGCTTCTATCAAAGGATAATCAGTATGAAATTTTCCTCAATAATGTCTTTTCGAAGGTGTTTATTACTCCACATCACGCTATGAAGTCACTCCAGATATGCACACGCATATACAGCTCCAATGCCAACTACCACGATAACCAACCTCTTGCCAATTACATCAGTACCATTCATATCCATATTCAAAGCATTTAGCTCCCAGTAGCCACAATCCAAAATGGTCATCAATAAGAAGTGGCCAACGTCAATAAGCGGCTCTTTGTTGTTGCCAAGATCGCCTCGGCCCACGGGGTTGGAACGCCTGCAGAGCCACAGCCCCCCAAGTTCTCGCCCCAAGGGAGCTCAATCGTGTCCATCCCCCAGGCCGGTTCTCAAGAATAGACGACTATATATACAATTGTTCGAGTAATCGCTCGTGTGCTTGCGTTCGCCTCCGCACTGATAAGAGATAGAGCGCCGATCGGACGTCAGCTCGAGCCGCGTGAACTCCAACCACCATGGGGACGCTCGACGAAGGCCACCCCGAATCCGTTCCGCTGACTCGACAGCGGTCAGGATCTCTCGCCTCTCAGACATCCGACGACTCCGGCTTATCGATTGCCTCCGCGGCCTTCATGGAGAACCACAAGCGTGCCAATAATATACCGATGGAGGAAGGGGACGATGAGAGATATCGCGATATAGAAGATGGGGGAGACCATGACTCGGACGTACCTTTATTAAACAGCGGGAAGAAAGCAAGCCCCTCAAGTCGGCTGCGTCAGATCGTTTGGTTGCTCGTGGTGCTCTGCGTGGGCGGCTGGGTGCTTGCATTCGGACTGTTCCTCACGCAGAAGCGGCCCGAGACCGCGGCGTTGTCATCGGTTTCAACGGTTGAAATCCATGAGCCAGACTCAGCTACTGGGGGTACGAGCTACGGGAAACCGGTGACACTCGAGCAAGTTCTGACAGGTGACTGGCTGCCGCGGTCTCACGCAATCTCCTGGATCGCAGGCCCCAATGGCGAAGATGGTCTTCTCGTTGAGCGGGGCGAGAAGCAGGATGCTTACTTGCGAGTAGAAGACATTCGCCATAGCAAGGATGGCGCTGAGAGCCTCGATACCAGAGTGTTGATGAAGAAAGGCTATATTTGGGGCGATGGCACCATTGTCACTCCAGCTAAGACCTGGCCGAGTCCTGATTTGAAAAAAGTCTTGATAATGTCTGACTCCCAACATAACTTCCGGCATTCGTACTTCGGAAAATATTGGATTCTCGATGTGACGACACAGAAGGCTGAGCCGTTGGATCCTCAGAATCTTAGTGCGCGTGTACAGCTTGCTGTCTGGGCACCCACTTCTGATGCAGTCGTGTTTGTTCGAGAAAACAACCTGTTTTTGCGCAAACTGGCCTCGGAAGAGGTCATTCCTATTACCAAGGATGGTGGTGACAACCTCTTCTACGGTGTCCCAGACTGGGTATATGAGGAAGAAGTTTTCGCAGGCAACACAGGAACATGGTGGTCCACTGACGGAAAGTTTGTCGCGTTCCTTCGCACAAACGAGACGGCGGTGCCTGAATACCCTATTCAGTACTTCCTTTCTCGGCCTTCAGGCAAAGACCCCCTGCCAGGCCTTGAGAACTACCCCGAAGTCAGCCAGATTAAATACCCCAAACCTGGTAGCCCAAACCCCATCGTGAACTTGCAGTTCTATGACGTCGAGAAGAATGAGGTTTTCTCATTTGACATGCCAGAAGACTTTGTAGACGACGAACGGATTATTATCGAAATTGTCTGGGCGTCCGAGGGCAAAGTCTTGATCCGGGAGACCAATCGTGAGAGTGATGTCGTCAAGATCTTCGTGATGGACACAAAGGCTCGAACTGGAAAGCTCGTGCGATCCGATGATATTGCGGCCCTCGATGGTGGTTGGGTTGAACCATCCCAGTCGACAAAATACATTCCTGCTGATGCAGCAAACGGCCGCCCTCACGACGGCTACATCGATACTGTTATATATGAAGGCTATGATCACTTGGCTTACTTCACACCTTTCGAAAACCCCGAGCCCATCATGCTGACCAAGGGCAAATGGGAAGTGGTTCAAGCACCCTCTGCCGTTGACCTGAAAAAAGGTCTGGTATACTTTGTTGCTACGAAGGAGGCCCCGACTGAACGTCACGTATACTCAGTCAAACTGGATGGTTCCGACCTTCGGCCGCTGACCGACACATCTGCACCTGCCTTCTTCGATGTTTCGTTCTCTGATGGAGCCGGATACGGCTTGCTCAGTTATAAGGGTCCAGCGGTGCCTTGGCAGGCCGTGATCAATACCCACGGCAGTGAGATTGAGATCGAACGTCTCATCGAGGATAACAAGAAGCTCAGTGAAATGGTCGAAGACTTTGCACTTCCAGCCGAGGTCTACACCAATGTCACTGTCGACGGTTATACTCTTCAAGTTCTCGAGCGCCGCCCTCCACACTTCAACCCTAAGAACAAATACCCTGTACTGTTCTTCTTATACGGCGGACCTGGTTCGCAGACAGTGGACCGCAAGTTCACCATTGACTTCCAATCTTACGTTGCTTCAAGCTTGGGCTACATTGTGGTCACCGTGGATGGTCGTGGAACGGGATTCATTGGGCGAGAAGCACGATGCATAGTTCGCGGTAATATCGGCCACTATGAAGCCCACGATCAAATTGAAACCGCTAAGATCTGGTCTAACAAGGACTATGTTGACGAAAGTCGCATGGCAGTCTGGGGCTGGAGCTATGGCGGCTTCATGGCTCTGAAGGTCCTGGAACAAGACGCGGGCGAGACGTTCCAATACGGCATGGCCGTGGCACCAGTGACAGACTGGAGGTTCTATGGTGGGTTTTTTCTGGTGCTAGATTTGGTCCTTCGTTATACTAACATGCCAAACTCTAGACTCTATTTACACCGAACGTTACATGCATACACCCGAGCACAACCCCACGGGATACGATAATGCCTCCATCAGCAACGTGATGGCATTGGGCCAGAATACTCGATTCCTAATCATGCACGGCGTTGCCGACGATAATGTTCATCTGCAGAACACGCTCGTGTTGATTGACAAGCTGGACTTGTCGAACATCGACAACTACGATATGCAGATCTTCCCTGATTCAGATCATAGTATCAATTTCCACATGGCGCATGCGCTTGTTTATGAACGTGAGTTCCCCCCTGAGCAGATGACGGCACAAAAAAACAATAGCTTATTCGCAATTCTAGGTCTTTCGAGCTGGCTCATCAATGCATTCAACGGTGAATGGCATCGTATCGCGAATCCGAAACCGGAGGAGTCAACATGACGAATAGCCTAACCTTGTAAATCTTTTGTTTTTGGAATCTAAGTTCTTTGAATTTTGGCGCTTACATCCTTGATGGGTTTATAGCTTTCTCGGAATCACACGAACGCAGTAGTTCGTAAATCAACCATACATCAGTAACTATGGACTATTGGAACATTGGAATGGAAAGCAAATTATATTTATTTGCATGATTCATGAATTAACACTAATAGTAAATAGAATAGAGTTGGGACAGTAGTCGCTCAGGTATGCCACAATTTTCGATGCTTCGCAAAAAAAAAAGAACTGGTATAGAAAAACAGAAAGCAGACAACCATATTGACAACGGGCTTTTCGTAAATATATCCGTTGGCCCTTCTGAGGGAACCAAGCCTGACACCGAACAATGCAAATAACAAATGCAAGTTTCGAACATGCATATCAACAAAAATATCGGAGGAAAGTATACAGGAGGGCAGTATGTGCAGGTAGGGAGTGAGTAGGTAAAGTGAGTGGACAAGTGAATGTATAAGCTAGGGTCTTAGCCACTAGGAGGGTTCAAACCGCCAGCGCGGATAAACTCATCTCTCATGACGACGCTGACATCCGAATTACGGTATGGAGCGAGATCCTCGCGATGCAAGCCGCGAATTTGTTCGCGACCCGCGGTGGAGATAGAACGTTGGTGGGACTGAGGGCGGGGAGAATGAGCGCGGCTGCCCAGGACAGAGAGGCGTTGGCTGGAAGCCCACATGGGAGATCTGTTGCCGGGGTTGCTAACATTCGACATCATAGACTGTCTAGGAGCGAACACGGGCAGACGGGCGAAGGACTCTGTATCCGTAGAGACATTGCTCATGCTCATGGCCGAGATATCAGACATAGGACGGTGGTAACCACCACGACCAGGGACTTGAGAGACAGTGCTGTAAAGCGTAGAGACGCCAGACACGGCAGATGAGCGCCATGAGTGCACAGCACCGCGGGGGATAGTGATGATCTCTTCATCGACGCCGTTTTCAATGGCGGCTGCCACGTCGGCGGGCTCGATGGGATCACCGGCAGCACGGCTGGCCATCATCTTGGCGGACTTGCCGATCCAGAGCATCTGCTCGTGCTCACGGAGGTAACGGTCACCACTGAAAGACTTCTGAACGATCTTCCGAGTCATCATGCCGAGTTTGCGGCGGTGCTCGCTCTTTGTGTACATGCGGCGGGTGATTGCTGCCACGTCCTCTGCGGTTGGGGAGTTGGTCAGGACTGGCGCGGGCTCGGTGTCATCACTATATTTGCTCCATTCACCGAGCATGGCAAGCATGCCAATCTGGGCCTTGGCGAGGTTGAGGGCGTCGTTGGGTGCCACCACGGCACTGAACCGGGAGAAGTCATCTGGGTCACTGAGAACTCGGAGGGAGGCACCGACATCTGTGCAGACTACGGGAGCACCAGTGAGAGGCGGCTTCGCCGAGAGCGAGAGGAAGACCTTCGGACAGGGATGAGTTGAGGAAGAGCCAGGTGTTCTCGAGAACCTTCATGGGGTCGGCAGTTCCGCACAGTGTGACCTTGCCACGGAGACCCTTCGATGCAATAATCTCTTGACATTCAGTGGAGTAAGTTGGGGCTTTGTCGATCGCACCATAGATATCCAGGTGGTAATCGTCAAACTTCCACTGGTTGATGATGATATCGGCAGCGAGAAGGGCGATCTTGATATCCTTGGCATACCAGACGTGAGACAACATGGTAACGGTCGGGCGCTCAGACTTGATCTCCTTGACAGGAGCGAACTTCTGCATATCAGTGATACCGTTGACTACAGGATCAATCTTGCGACGGAAAACGTTGCGGTGCTCAATTGTACCCTGGCAGGTACCAATCTCGACCTCCCAACCGGGGTTGAAGAAGTCGGCACAGGGAAGAATGATATCCGCGTGGTGAAGAGTCAGGACGGAAGTAATGCGCATCAGTCCAAGTAGCGAGTTACGAACAAATGGCGAGAGCTTGCAAAGTGCAGATGACAGACACAGGTTGGTTTCACGCCAACTGATAGCGTGATCCCAAATCTGCAGAGTACACTTACGTTTGATCTTGCAAACAACACCGTAAGATGCACTGACACTGTGGTGGGATGCTTGGAAGGTCGAAGGGATCTTCTCAGGGACGGGGATCGAGAAAATGAAGAGATAGCGGTACCAGAGCTCCAAGGCAACATCCAGGGCGGCCAAGGTAGGAAGTTCGGTGTCGAACCACTCTGAGGATGGCATCGCATTTGACATCTCCTGGGTGAGCCACAGTTCACGCCAACTCTGCTTGACCGTTTCACTGTTCCACACTTGGGTCCAATGACGAGATTCCTGGAAGTATGTATTGAGGTTCACCAAAGCACGAGTTGCCTGATGGATATCGGCCTTCGTGAGATTGATTGCACGTGCACCCTTGACCAAGGCTGTCAGGATAGGAATGAAGTTCATTTTGATATCGAACTCGCTGGCGGAAGTCACGTTGTCGACCTCAGCGTCCAGCTTGTTATGGAACAAACCGTGAGTTGGGGTAAGGAAATCCATACCCCAGAGCGGAATCAGCTTGAGAGACTGGATGTTCTGCTCAGTCTGGTGCTTGGGAACACCGAAGTCGTTTGCAGACTCGCAAATCATGTGCCATTTGATGGTTCGCAGGGAGTTGATCATGTCTCGTCGGCAGGCAGAGACACCACCACCTTCATTCGGCCAGGTACCATTGTCAGCAGCCATGACGTGGAGGGTCTTGTCAGTATCTGTTCCGAAGTTCTTAGAACGAGTGTTCACAACTGCATCACCTCCAGGACCAAAGTTGAGCAAATCGGTGATCTTCACAGCGAGAGGAGTCCAGCTAGAGATGTTATCGTCCAGATCGGCACTAGCCATGATAGCATCGGCACGGAGATCCATGTATTTCTTCGCAGATCCAAGGTTACCCCAGTCACGACTGCGCCAGTATGGAGCAAGGACGCGGTCTCTGCGTAGGATACGGTCATCCATCCAGCGAACAATGATGGCGTCGAAATCAACACGGTCCTTCCAGGCCTTCCACATGAGAGAGCGAGCACGGGAAGTTGAAACCACAAAGCGCTTCTTGGTCAATCCGAGTGTACGAGTGAGCAGGTTTGACTGAAGACTGTCACAGTAGAAGAAGGGGTTGTCATGCACAAAGCTGGTATACTTCGGCTTGGCAAGGACACTCAGGTAATCGTGCTCAATCATGGGAGGGGTCTGGACCTTTTGACCGTTGATGGTGGTGAAGATTGTGGGATGGAACTTGTGATCGTACAACCAGCGACTCTCATAAACATCGGCACCTTGAACGAAACTGGCTTCTGTGACCTTGGAGTGGGGAATCCAACGCTCAACCTTCTCGGGGTGACGACGGGGAGGCGCACACCAGGACACTGTGCAGCTGATATGAGACAGAACGAACTCAGCGCGGAGCAACTCATCACCGAAGCGAGGGTTCTTGCGGTAGTGGTACTTGAAGCGAATCAAGTTACCATCCTTCATGTATGAACCAGATTCGATGAGACCCTTTCGGTTATACTGAACACTCTGCAAGTGATTGGTACCAGACACGCAGCGACGTCCCAAAGGAATGCGAGCCGAGGACTTGCTGCCAAGCTTGAAGGCCTTCTTGGTTGGGGATTGGTAGTCGTAGTGATACTCATTAGTGACCTTGCCATCCTTGAACTCCTGTTTGACAAGAAGCAACATCTCACCAGAGTAGGTGCTGACGTATTTCAATGCCTTCACCTCCTTGGGCTCGGTCTTGTGGTCACCTGCGTAGTGGTAGATCTTGAAGCCGCCGTCAATTTCGTGGTGCCGGAATGCAGTGAAAGTACCGTCCAGACTTTGAACGATTACTCTGCTCTTCTTGATATGGATCGTCATGCCCTTGGTCTCTTCCCACAGACGCTTGACGTTCTGGCGACCGTGGAATAGGAAGAAGGACAAACCAAGGTCCTGAACCATCTTAGAGTAAACCCAGAGCATGTTCAACAAGAAGACAGTGGGAACGCGGACAACGGTAGGGAGGGGCTGGACGACATGGTTGAACTCCCTCTGGAATTCAGGGTCTGCGACCAAAGCCACGACGAAGAACTTGACCATTGAACCCAGCTTGTGATACATGTAGCTCAGGGGCTCTCTGAAAACCGACAGCACAAGTGGAAGCTTACGAGGCACATAAGAGATATATGCAGAGGTCTCGGGTTCCTTGGGAAGAGCTGCTTCTCCGGTTCCCCAGTGAGCATAGTCAAGGACACTAATTGCGGTGGCTGCTCCAAGATTGCAACGAGCAACATGGATGTCAAGATCTTTGGTATCAAATGTGCAAAGGCTTTCCTGAAGCCATTGTCGCTGGCTGTTGGAGAGACTGCATTGTTCTCCTAAGCAACGCTTGAGTAGCACATCACGAACCTCGTTAGGCAGCTTGTCCCAGTGAATATCAGCCTCGAAACCAAGACAGAGCTGTCGGAGAAGCTCTTTCTTGGCCCAGCGAACGACAGTGGAGGTATTGGCCTCCTCTCGAAGCTGTCGGGCCATGGTGTGCGTGACTCCGCCGGAGACAATCGATCCCGCCAATGATGCGTATTCGTGGGGAACACCCATCATGAGTTCAGTGACAGCGTGGAGCAAAGTCTCAGCAATGACCTGGCAATTGGCACTGATGTCAAGACGCTCATCCAAAAGACCTCCGACAGTGATGGCAAGCTTCAGCTGGTTACCGGTGCTGCAGCTCAAAGCGCGAATGCCGGGTCCGAGAGAACCAATTGGAACAAGCTCGATGACAACGTCGCCCTTTTCCCACGCGGAGATCGCAGTGTTGATGACATCCTTAGAGCCGGGGAAAGCCTCCTCGATGCGGAGTTCCTCTCGACGAGAAGTCATAGCACTCTTGATCTCGACACCGGGGTGGACAGCAGGATTGAGCTTGAACCGGGAGTCAGATGGAAGCTGGGAGTAGTTCTCGAAGAAAGTCTGGAGTTCTTGCTGAGACCATTCAGGATCGGACCAAGGGGTGGTAAAGGCGTGGAAGGTCCGGCCAAGCTCGACCGGAGAGTCAACCTTATCAGGCATTCCCATCTTGGCGTTCCAGATAGAAAGGAAGGCGACAGTCCAAGTAGCAGATCCCAGGCCAATGATCTGAGAGTACAAGAAGTGAGGCAGGCAAACTTTGAGAGCGATACCAACTGGCAGTCCGACGCAAATACCAGTGAGGAGAGGCTTGAGCGCGTGAGGACCGGTGAAGATCTTGGTGTATTGATACCAGATCAGACCAGTATAGGCTAGAACGTAGGAGAAGAAGATGATCATTCCCTGGAGCGATTCCTGGAAAGTCCAAATGAGAGCAGTAGCCAAAGCCAGACTCCATACGTGCCACAGGAGGTAGCGGAGCAGAACCCTCCAGTACACCTTACGGCGGAGCTGCACATCCTTCTTCTGGGCAATGCGAATGTCCTTAGCAGATTTGACAGTGGTAGGAGCCTTGCTGCCAAGGGCATCGTGGAGTTCCTGAGCTTTGGTATCAATGAGAACAGCTCCAATCAGGTAGTAGGCAAGAGCGAAGCCAACAGCCATGCGGTTCGCATCGTTCACGGCGCCAGTAAGACCAAGAATACGATCACCACTGAGCAATTGAACCCATTTGTCGAGAAGAGCAATCACGAAGTAGAGAATACCACATCCGATCTCCTTGCTCGATTGGCGCCAGTGAACGAAGGCGTTGTGCAGGCGAAGACCCTTCTGAGAGTTGCGGAGAACGTCCAATGCGACCTTGGTCTGAATGTTCCAACCAGAACTGAATGCAATTGGGCGAGGGACGTCAGCATAACGGCAGTACCAATCAAGGAGAAAGTTGGTTGACTCCCAATCCCGAGCAAGTTCAGAGACCAGCTTATCCGTGGTGGCCTTGGTGAACATCCCACGTTTCTGCTCGGCGTTTACATCCTTGAATAGAGCTTCTCTTGCCAGCTTCAGAGCAGCCGGATCGCTCATGTTGGCAAAGACCTTCTCATCATTGTGACCATGAACATTGATGTACCACTTGCGGATTTCGGTGTCGTCAGTGCGGCGGATGTCCTGATACCAGGTGACCCATTTGGAGGTAACATTGCGCAGACAGAGCAGAAGAACCCCAATGAAGATATAGATGATGGCGAGATAGATTGCTGAGTCGTTGCCGGCCCACGTGGTAATAATCGGCGACAAAAACAGGATTGGAATGCAGAAGATAATCGACTTGCGACCAGACAAAAAGCTCGTTCCGGGGTAACTGAAACTGGCGAGCGAGGCGAAAGTTGAGAAATAGATTGTCAGAGCGATAAGATATAAATAGAAGATTATACCAGCTCGAGGGCTTCTGACAGCTGAGATTGCAACGAAACCAATCAAACCACCGGCGATAGTGAAAGCAATACCTGCAATCAAGCGGATGAGAACGAACATGTTAGCAGCTGCGAAGGCCATCGAGATCAGGTAGTAAGGACCACCGCATGCGATCCAGGTACCAATAGCACCGGAAAGCAACAGGGATATCATCAGAGCCATCGTCGCACTGTCTTGTTCTTCATGGGTCATGGCAGCAGAGAGATATAGACCACGGCCGATCATGGTGAGCAGAATGATATCGATCAGGGCTGGAATGGCAAAGACACTCAGGAAGGTGAAACGTTGGTAACCAGGCATGACCTTGGGCTGCTCATCTGGGTTGACATCAATCTGAGCCCCAGCATAAGATGTAGCAAGCTGCGGAGCACCATTGGCCCAGTTGGGGGGTTGGTGTTGGTTGTAGTAAGCTCTGAACCGATCAGACAACAGCCTACCGAAAACACTGGGAGAACAATCGAAGTAAGCCTCGCATCGAGAGCCAAGAGCGAATGACTCGGCAAAGGCCGCAGCTTGATCGGAATGGTTGTTGAACAAAGGGTTACGATCGGTCACTTCCTGGTAGATTTCGTCAAAGGCACCCTTTCTCGCAGCGCAGAAAAGAGCAAGGGCCATCATGTCGACATATGCGTCGACAGAGCCACCCTTGAGAAGGGAGCACAGTCCATTGGTAATAGCAGCGAGGTCATCTTCACGGCGCACTCTGAGAATCTGACCAAGCACAGTGTCGACTTGGTTGAAGAGAGACATAGAGGCCTTGAGTGAAGGATGCTTGCACCCTTGATCCCGGTACCATTCGATACGAGATCTGATCAATTCCTGAGATGAAATAGACTGATCAAGATATCCAACCGTGTTGTGAGCTTTCAACAGGGCGAACGAAGGAGAGTCCATGAGTTGCTTGCGGATATATGCGCAGATTACCTCGACCAGCTCGCTGTGGACATCAGTCAAAGAGAGATGCTGCAGCATAAGAAGCCGCTCTTCGGGGGTGAGAACATCGATATCCTGAATCAGACGTCGGGGGAGACCAGTTTCGGCGGAAACATCCTTAGACCAAGTCGCAAAGGTGGCTTCAGCTTCAAAGCAAACATGTCTAGGAAATCCCTTGGCCGACAGATAAGTGTGAAGGATAGTTCCAGCAAGACCCTGAGCATTCTTGGACACGTAAATTTCGATACCCTCGGCATCCATTTCGAAGACAGCCCAGAAGCGGAAGTCTGAACTCTTGCGTAGACCCGAATCGAGAGCCAGGTTCACATGCAGGAGATCATTGGAGGCCCAGTTAGCAAGTTCCTTGACGGAATTGGCAAGCTGGTCTTCATCATCGGAGAGGTCCAGGCTGTCATGGAATTGGCGAAGGAGAAGACCGATGCTCTGGATCTTGGTCGTTGGAACGGGATGAAGCAGGTTGAGAGACTTAAGACGTTGCTGAGACTGAACAATTTCCGCAAAGACCATCGGCGATGAGTCGGAACCGAGAGGGAAACATCCGAGAGAGTTATATGCCATTCCAGACATGGAGACCGAGAGAGGGCTACCTTGCGATTTGACCTGGGCAACCCACTCAGGCGGATCACGCAGTCGAGCAGTCGGGCTATCGGGGGCCTTGGAGTTATATTCTTCGGAGTCACGCAGTTCGTTTACAGCAGGGAAGAGAGGCTGGAGAGCTTCCCAACCATCCTTCATGTCAGGAGAAGGCAGGATGTTCAAGTTAGAACGCCAGGTATCATGGGCCTTCATAATATCAGCTTCCTTCAACCATCCGAAGGCAGGGAGAGGCTCGAGAGTGGTGATATTCAGGTCCGCATTTTGCAGAGCAGCTTCAGAGCCAATCCAGGTGATGGCACTGTAGAAGCTGGTCCATCCAAGAGATCGGCGAACAATTGCATTGGTCACAGTCACATTATCATCGATAGTTTCCCAAGCCATCACAACAAAGTCTCTCATGCAAGACTCGGAGACAAATGCCTTGATAGTTGATTGAAGTTCGGCCATAGCGAAGTAGTCACGCTTTTCGCCCTCAGGCATGACGCTGGCATTGCGAATCACAAGACCAGCAACGGCATCGGTTTGAACAGCTTTTCTGTCTTTCAAGAAATGCGGAGGTGCCGACTCGAGGTAGACTGCCAAGCCGAGGCTGCTGATGGTTTCTAACAACTTTCTGCGAACAGAAGGGGAGATAACATCTTCCCAGTTGGCGAGCAAAATGCCAGAGAACTTTGTCTCGCTGAAACCGCTTGCTAGTAATTCCTCAACCTTCTCAATGACGGTGAGGGCAGAGGATTTCGGGGGAACGACTCGGGCGAAATCAATACGTCCCAGCATTTGACTGCGCTCATGCTCGGAGATAGCCTTAGAAACACCGGGCTGGAAGGGATCAACGATAAGAACATCCCACTCTTGCAGCAGTCTTTCTTGAGAGGCAGTCGGCGGGTTTTCGAAGCCACCAAGGTATACGCCGAAGCTTGAGGGCTTTCCCTTGCGTGCACGAGTATGAATAAGGTTAAGATCACGGTTGGCTAGCTGACTCAGGCGCTGAGAAACACTTGAGGAAATGGTGTCTGACGGCGGTCTCGACTAGAGATACACCCAAATTAATACATAGAATACTTGAGTGCTCGAGATTTGGTTACCTTGTAATAGTTAATAAGTCTCCTCGTGCCGGACCATATCATAGATACGGTTCCGATGGTGACGGTTAGCAGCAGAACTCCGATGAATATCTAGAAGAGCTGTTAGAACGGCTGTCTCCACGTATCCATCCATGAATCCTCGGAGTCAAATTATAAGAAGGACCAGAATGAACATACAAACTGCCACCAATGCCCTTTCATATGAGCCCAGCCCAAGGGATGGGCCTGCACAGGAAGGAGCTTCCTATCTGTCATGGCGAAGTGTCGAGGAGCTCTCGACTCAATAGGTTTTGAACGCAATATATGAGGAACAAGGTCGGAAATAACCAATGACTAATGAAGCTGAGACGTTCTCAAACACTCATAGTGACATAGTTGAACGAATGACTATAGTTTGACCTCAGGTGTGTAAAGAGAAGAATGGCGACACAGGATAGAATTGAAGAAGCACAAAGGAGCTTGGCCAACAAAGTGTCAAGGTAAAAAGACCTGGTGGGGGGAACAGTGGCTAAAGTGAATACCCACTTCTCCAAGCCTCAGAGAATAGTAATAAGTTCGAGAGTGATAAGTTCGCCTCCCAGGGTTCCTTGTCACGTATGTAGTCAGGGGGCTTGAAAAAAACCCTACAAGTTAGCTTCGCCTTTTTTAGACTGATTGGGACAAAAGTTCAAGGATCCATGACCGGGGGAAGTCTAGGCGTTTGTGAAGCAGAGATCTCATAAACACGGGGCAAAAATAGCACCTAAGGTTTTTTCTGTTAGATACAGGACTAAAAAAGCCTAAGAAACGCACCAGGGCTGACCGATGAGACAGGTGAGTGGGGCCATGCATGCTAGTACATGGCCATGTGTATGTGGCAAATCCATGCGATTGATATCGTGGTCATACTAGTAAATGTCCGGAGCCCTCGTTCCGAAGCCTTGGGCCGGGTACCTGACAAGCTGTGCTTCCGGGGAGAGCTATCCATTTTACTTGGTCTACTGTACTTGGTCCCTCATCTCAATTCGCATGTATCGATTTCTCTGGGGTTTCGCCTTTGACAAAATAAGAGGGGAGAAAAAAAGGGAAAAATAAAATGAAAATAATCGAAATAATACTAAAACATGCATGCTCTTGGACACGGGTCAGAAAGAGAGGATTCGCTGGACAGAGCCGACCAGGAAAGGTGAATCCTTGGCAAAGCATGGGTCAAAACAGAAAGAAAGAAAAAAAAAACAGAAATAGAGAACCTCGCGTAGCGCCGAGGTTTGAAACTGAGAAGCCAAACCTCAAAGGGAAGTTACGAATAGCCCTCATACACGTATGAACCGGTAACGCAAATTTCACTGTAATGCGATACGCCATACGATACCCGAGATACTTCGGATTTACAACTTTACAGATTTTACTATACAGTACATACCCACCTACCTCATCGGGTCGACATACATCAACTACCCCTTTCCCCACGCCAAGTCTGGAAGTGCTCCGAACCAGGATATCGTAAGAGCCCCAATTCCAGGCTGTGTGCTCGGCGATAAGAGGTCCTTGCGGCGATGCCGAGCCCGAACAGTGCCTTCGCATTGCAAGTTGCTTGCTCTCGGAGCTTTTAGCCCTGCATTGGCGTCTGGTCGAGTCGATTGCCAAATACTGGTTTTTCTTTCCAATTTTCCGATGGGATTTTTGCCCCCCTCTCAGGGCCAAAAAAAGAATTGTTCAAACCCACCGAAGCCATGGCGACCCCTGCAGTAAATTTCCTCGCCTGCCCTGCCAAGGACTTTTCGTGACTAGCCAATTGTATGCCTAGTCGTTCGCTAAGGGACATTACGGATGTCTCGAATGCCCCCATTTCCAACGCATCGGATTCTCCCTCCCCGGGAAAATAGGTTTAATTTGCCCTAAGACAAACCCCAATCGATCACTTGACGCCACATCAAGACCCATATGGACAGACCCGAGTGAGATTTCGGCTCCGTGCGAGATGAAAGCCCTCCCTATGGAAATTCCAAATTAGTTAGCTAGAAAAGGCGATAGGTCTTTGGCCTTTACGTTACTCCACATGGGCTCTATAAGATGATGTTCATGCACCTAGATCTAGAAACACGCAAGCTAATTCCGTTCGTTTACATACATCGCATCGCATTTCCCTAGCTGTCAGTCGTGAGTGGTGCAGGCTTGCATATCTAGCTCCGTGTGACCTTCCGAGTGCGTACCTGGTCATCATCAAGATGGTTGCCATTCCAGTCTGGGCCCTGAAGATCGGCTGCTTCTATGGCCTTATAACCTGCGACACTGCCCCAGGAACTTGGCCTGAGAACAATCCCACTGTCATCGCCTATTCGCCTCCGACTTCCTCAGCCACCCCTTCTAGCACTCCCAGCAGCTCTGTTGGTGTGACTAGCTCTGCTGTCGTTACTTCTATTCCTGTCCTGAGCCCATCTGGGTCTGTGTCTTTGTCTTCGTCTCTTGGCGGATCGTCCATTGTACCCACCACTACCCCTGCTCCATCCACTTTCGTTACCGCGTCTTCTTCGGGCTCCATCCCGTCGAGCTCTGCCTCAGGATCTGTGATTGTCACTGTTTCACCTTCCTCGAGCCCTCTTGGTACTTCTACTCCCTCGAGCCCGGCTTCTAGCTCTGCTGTTTCACCCTCTGGAAGTGCTTCTGCTTCTTCCTCTTCTGTGTCCAGCAGCCCGGCTTCTTCCTCGCCTGCCTCCAGTGGTGCTTCCTCTTCTTTGAGTACCCCTGCTGTCTCTAGCTCTGCTACCATTGTTGCTTCGTCTTCACACCTTGCTTCCAGCTCCGGTGTCTCTTCGTCCGCAACTGTCACTCCTGGAAGTTCTTCCGTGAGTGTTTCTGCTTCGTCTAGCCAGGCTTCATCTAGCCCAGCTTCCTCGGCTCCGGCTTCAAGTGCTGTTTCATCTGTGCCTTTGTCTTCTTCCGTCGTCTCTTCTTCGGTTGTTTCTTCATCGGTCATCGCTTCTTCAGCTGTCTCTTCTTCAGCCGTTTCTTCTTCGGTTGTCTCTTCTTCAGTCGTCGCTTCGTCTGCTGTCTCCTCAGCTGTTTCGTCGTCTGCTGCTTCTTCCACGCCTTTGTCTTCCTCAGCCGTCTCTTCTTCGGTTGTTTCTTCATCGGCTGTCTCTTCTTCAGTCGTCGCTTCGTCTGCTGTCACTTCGTCTGCTGCTTCCTCAGTCGCTTCTTCGTCTGCTGCTTCTTCCACGCCTTTGTCGTCTTCGGCTGTCTCCTCGTCTGCCATTTCGTCAACTGCTTCATCTTCTGCTGTCTCATCCTCAGTAGTTTCGTCTGTGCCACTTTCTTCGAGTGCTACTGTGACTCCCAGCATGTCTTCTTCTCTCGTCTCCGCTTCGGCCTCGGCCTCGGCTTCTGCCACCCCTCTCAACCACGCTGCTGTCGCAGCCAACATCCTGGTTATTGCTAGAGATGCTGCTTCCGTTGGTGTTGCTAGCTCCGGCCTCAATGCCTACGGTATTCCCTTCACCGAGCTGATTGTTCCTTCCACTGGTGTCGCTCTCCCTGCCCTTAACGGAACTGCCGGTGGAAACTTTGGTGGTATTGTTGTTGCTTCTGAAATCAGCTATGACTATGGTGCCTCTGGATACCAGAGTGCCTTGACCGCTGATCAGTGGAGTCAGCTGTATGCCTACCAGCTTGAGTATGGTGTCCGTATGGTCCAATACGATGTCTATCCCGGCCCTGACTACGGTGCTACCGCTCTTGGTGGCTGCTGTGACGGCGTTGAGCAGCTCATCTCTTTCAGTGATATCAGTGACTTCCCCACCTCCGGTCTCAAGACTGGTGCTGGTGTCAGCACCAGCGGTCTCTGGCATTACCCTGCTTCTATTAGCAACACTACATCGACCAAGGCGATTGCCACTTTTGCTGCCACCACTGGCTTCGATACCGAGAGTGTCGCTGCCGTCATCAACGATTTCGATGGCCGTCAGCAGATGGCCTTCTTCATTGGCTTTGACACTACCTGGAGTGCTACTTCCAGCTACCTGCAGCACGCATGGATCACCTGGATCACCCGCGGTCTCTATGCCGGCCACCGTCGTGTTAACCTGAACACTCAGATTGATGATATGTTCCTCGAGACTGACATTTACTATCCTTCTGGAAATACCTTCCGTATTCGCCCAGAGGACCTGGAAATCGTGGCTGCCTGGACCGACGTTATCAACGCCAAGATGCCCGCTGGTAGTTCCTACTACGTTGAGGTCGGTCACAACGGTAACGGAAACATCGAGAACTCTTCCAACACTGATGCTGGTTACGTTGCCTGCAATGACGGTGCCATCGAATACGACTCGCCCATCGACACCCCTCTTGAATGGATCAAGCCCCTTGGTACTGGTACTGACTTGTGGCCCACTACCCCTAAGGCCTACGACTGGACATCTACCTGCAGCAACATGGATGAGCTCCTCATCTGGTGGACCACCGCTGCCAACTTGAACAAGTTCGGTCACATCTCCCACACCTTCACTCACGAGGAGCAGGACAATGCCACCTACGCTGATATTCTGCGTGAGATTACCTTCAACCAGGCCTGGCTTGCTGATGTCGGCATTGACAAGGCTACTCACTTCACTGCCAACGGTATCATTCCTCCTGCCATTACCGGTCTCCACAACGGTGATGCTCTTCGCGCCTGGTGGGAGCGTGGTATTACCCAGTGCGTTGGTGACAACACCCGTCCTGCTCTCCTGAACACCGACAACGTCATGTGGCCCCTGTTCACTACCGTTGAGAACAACGGCTTCGCTGGTATGCAGGTCAACCCCCGCTGGGCTACCCGTATCTACTACAACTGTGACACCCCTGCTTGCACCCTCCAGGAGTGGATTGTTACTTCGGCTGGTAGCGGTACCTTCGACGACCTCTTGGCCACTGAGAAGGCTGACACCATGCGTCACCTCTTCGGTCTCTACCACGAAGGTTACATGTTCCACCAGGCCAACCTTCGCAGCGCTGACGTTGACCCTGTCACCATTAACGGCGTCAGCGGCCAGTACAGTATCATGCAAGCTTGGGTTGAGACCCAGGTTCAGGAGTTCGTCCGTCTCGCTGACTGGCCCTTGATCACCCTCACCCAGCAAGAGGTAAGATAAGATTCTTCATGAAACATCGGATAGTATTTTGTTCATTTGCTGACCCGGCTTTAGTTGTCCGCCTCTTTCCTTGCTCGTTTCAACCGTGACAAGTGTGGATACTCTCTCAGCTACGCTACCAGCAACAGCCAGATCACTGCTGTCACTGTCTCTGCCACCGGCAACACTTGCACTGATCCCATCCCCGTCACCTTCCCTGTTGCTCCTACCAGCACCCAGGGCTTCACCACTGAGCAGCTCGGTTCCGACCCTCTGACCGTCTGGGTCCAGCTTACTGGCTCCCCAGTCACATTCACTCTTTCCACCCCTATATCTTTCTAAATGTATGGGAAGACCATTGACTCGCCCTAACTTGGCGAGCTGATACACTTCCCAGCATTCTGTTGATCGCATATCTCTTTTCAATTAATGTTGTGGATATTGTTTCAAGATGTCAATAATGGTGTCTATATATGCGAAGGAAAACCTCTGCTGTTTTTACTGATACGAAGACTGAACGCCCTATATTTCCTAATGCCCAGAAGAACATTTAGTATAGTTGACTGATAATATACAATGATTTCTTTCGAAAACACAATCACTTGGTGTAGACAATGTCACATTACAAGTCCAATCGATCTGTCTGACCAAGCCCAAAAATTGGTCTACACCGCATTTACAGCTCATTCTAACATCTCACTCAGCGGTCTGACAACGGGACGGGTCATCCCCGCGCTGCAGGTCCAAAGTGACAGTGACTTTAATGGTCTGTGTGATGTGGCGCACATCTTGTCCCTCACATTGTTAAACCAAGGAAACCTTTTCGAGAAAAATCTGTTCACTGAATCATGTTCACCGAAAATCACTGTAGAGCCGGTTTAAAAAAAGAAAACTGGGCCCTACCGATGAAGCTTAGCTTCAAAAAAGCGAAAGCCAATCGTTCTGAGCAAAAAGTAAAGCGATCAAGGACCCATCTGGACCAGCAATGCGCCTCCTAGATCGAGACATGCTTCTTAACAGCCGTGGCATCCGACCAAAGAATCATCCCCGTGCCAAATGATCACTCGGACAATAAAATTATATGAATGTCTCACTCTACACTACATGTAAACGTCAGCCAAGCTGAGCAAAGAGAAAAAGAAAAAAAAGTCTGCAAGCCTATTATGCCATCCAATTGAGCCTGTCATCCTGCGCACGGAATGTCCTGCTTTCCTTTGCCGCAGATGCATAGGGCATCCCCACGGTCCACACAGTGGCGGTGGAGTGCATGTATACGATGTTCTCCCGTGCACCGATTTCTCTATTGAGTCAGCGAGGAGGCTGAAAACGGAAGAAATGCCGCAGGATGGCACCATTTCGGGCACAATAGAGACGAAGGGGTGCATGCCCAGACATTGAAGCCATCCCGCTGTCCCGTCACCCCTGTGTCGGCATTATTGCGTGGCCCTCGGGTTTAATCCAGAGGCTAAAGTACCATATACGGTCCCTACCTAAGTCCGAGATGTATAACTCGTCTCGGAGGTTACAATGTATACAGTATGTACAACTACAACTCCATTTGTATTTACACTTACATGTAACCCCGTCCGGTATTTCGTTTCTCTCCACTCTGTAGCTTAGGCCCTGTTGTGCGGGGGTGTCGAATGTCGCCTAAAGTATAGAAGGAATGAGAATTTTTGCTTGCATGCTCGGCTGTCAGCTACACTGCACGACTACCCGAGGCAAGGTTTAATTTCTTACTTCTCACTTTCTAACTTTTCCATCGTCTGATCAAAGGGGTAAAGTCATGATGACTTGTCACCACGAAACTATACAAGCGCGATCTTGGCACGGGATGACGGGCGAAGTCATTACATGAACATTCTAGACTAGTTAGTAATCATCTCGTATACACACTTAGTATTGCCGTCTCAAAAGGCGGGTGTGGCGTCCGACGGATTTGCGGGTAGGGGAGAATCAGGCGATTGGGTTATCAGGGACTAGATCCGCGCACCATAGTCGTTAGCGTGTTTAGGTTTTTTTAGCGTGAGGTCCGTCCTATTTGGGAACCTTGTTCGGGTTGACAGCCTAAAAAGTATACAGTAAATGATTTCACGACTCGAGGTGTGCGGGTCTGTTATAATAGATGGGTGAAGCCAAGCGACAGATACGTTAACCCCCTGTTGATACGTGCTTTGCATTCCAGTTCGTCATTGCTTAGCTCAGGCCACTGTACTGTAAGCGACCCCTGAAGATGTGGAAAAAGACGAAAAGACTGGGATTCCCTTGTTCATGCTTCAGGCCCGACGAGTCACTTGGGATCATCCCATCCGAATAGCCGGATTCGCACGGACGGATTTGCAATTGAACTGATCAGCGAAAGTCAAATGTATTCTTTGACCACGATTTAGTCCCGAGTTAGGGCTAAATTACATTTGAAAAATACCCGTATGGTTGCGGACTTGAATGTTTCAATACCTCCATACCGCTAGTCAAAAATACGTGATCGTCCCAAAAATTCGACATCTCCACCCGATCGGGAGTTTCAAGTCTTCTTTTGGACACCTCACACCTAAGCTTGCCAGCGCATACATTCGTGTTTGCTATGGTCATTGGTAGTGTTTTATATGTATGTTTCTGATGCTTTGGACCCTTTCCCCAGGTTTCCGTGCCATCATCTTCATGCTCTTTTCTGTCGGAGGGTATGCAAAAGACTCACGCCTAACACCTTCAATGTTCTCCGAAACCTCGTGGGCCCGGTTATATCGCAAAGCTCTTTCGGCCGGCCCAAGGCGGCCCCCAGGCCTTTTCAGGTGTAGTCCACACTTGGCGAACCGAGATTTCTCTCTTTGTTGGGATTTTATGTAGCTAGCGAGCCAAGGGTAGTGAGGGGTCCTATTTTGGGCGGCGCTACTGTACTCTAGAGACGCCCATTGCCTCACAATCATTGGAGCCCGGCAAAAATGTCCCTTGGCGATTTTGATTCAACCTGTCAGCCCCTGAAGCCCTACAGTCCTTGAATGGCCAGTAAATTGTACGATGGCCTGTCGTACTGCCGAGTCTGTTGCTCTCCAAATGACAATATATTGCGAGATACTATACACTCTGCACATCATAAAAGTTAATAAGTTTTGGCAGAGATAATCAATTGGATCCGCAGGTTCCACCACCTTAATTCGCCCTACTAGACCCTCTCAAGGCCCCATAAATCAGTCTGTTCTGCAAGTTCTGCAAGTCAAAGAAGCAAAGCTGTGGCTCAGCCCTTCCACCGCCTCCAGGCTCCCGAATTCCGCTCCTGTACGCTCTTTGTTTCTTATAGGTTTTCCTTGAAAAAGGGCAGTTTCAGGGTCTCCTGACATTGTTTTCCTGAGGCTTATACTTTCCCCAGGGTAACATTCGGGTCCCGATCGCTGTAACCGCCCTAGAAAGGATCGCCACAGCCTCAGCCCGGTCTGGCCGGCACCCTTACCCTAAGCTTAAAGATGCCCATCTCCCGAACTTAGTGATCTTCACGACTCTCTCTTCTCTTTATCCTTATTTTTATCCCCGGGGTGACCCCCTTTTTATATCTGATCGGGCATGCGGGGTTGACAAACCTGATCTCACCCACATCTCTTTCTTACACTCGTTCTCTCAGCCACTACTCATCAAACGGCAAAATGACCTCAAAAGGAGGCTGGTGGGCCTGGTCGACCAAGAAGAAGGTTCTCGTCTTCGGAACCATTGCTCTGGTCATCGTCGCACTGGGTGTTGGTCTCGGTGCAGGACTCGGCATCGGCTTGAAGAATGGCGGAGACGACGACAACGACAGCGGTGATAACGGCGATAGCGGCAACACCGGGAGCGGCACCAACACTACAACACCCACCAACACGACGGTGAAATGGCAGCCCGCCGCCGGCACCAAGTGGCAAATCGTACTGAAGTATCCTCTGAATGACACCTCCATTGACGCACCCGTCTACGACATCGATCTCTTTGATAACCCTAAGTCTATCATCTCTGAACTTCAGGGCATGGGCCGCAAGGTTATTTGCTACTTCTCTGCTGGAACCTATGAAGATTGGCGCTCCGATGCAAGTGACTTCGCCAAGGCCGACATTGGCAAGGCTCTTGACGATTGGGCTGGCGAGAGCTGGTTGAACATCTCATCCACAAGTGTGCGCAAGATCATGCAGAAGCGTCTTGACCTTGCTGTCACCAAGGGGTGTGATGGTGTCGATCCTGATAATATTGATGGATACGACAATGACAACGGACTCGACCTTACCCAGGCTATGTCTACCAACTATGTGAACTGGCTTGCGAGCGAGTCTCACAGCCGAGGTCTTTCCGTCGGACTGAAGAACGGCGGTGATATCATTGACTCCGTTATTTCAAACATGCAGTGGAGTGTCAATGAGCAGTGTGCCCAGTACGATGAGTGCGATACCTATGCCGCCTTCATCGACGCTGACAAGCCTGTCTTCCACATCGAATATCCCAAGGGCTCAGATACCGACAATGACGAATCCGTCACCGCCAAGCAGGTGACTTCTGCTTGCGATGCAAACAGCTCCGGCAATTTCTCGACCGTTATCAAAAACATGAACTTGAACAACTGGGTTGAGTACTGCCCTTGATATGAGAATGCAGACCTTAGTTCGGACTGAGAGCAGATACATTTTGCGTTAATAGGGAGTCGATGTTGCATGTATAAACAAGAAGTTATATTTCTGAGACTTTCACTTCAATCAATGTTCTTTTAGCGGCATAACATAGCACATCCACTTTTTCTTCCTTTATGAAATTTGTTAGATCCGATATCCCGAGTTCTTCAAGGTCATGCATAGTTGATCCACCATATTGATTGAACAACTCAAGTCTGAAGTACTACGAAATGAGCAAAATGACATGGAAAAATCAATAAGAACTCAAACAAAAAACAAAGCATGAAGCTGTACATTTCTGCTAAAGTTTGTATAGAATATATATTTTGGACTTAACATTTCGTTACTCCCAATTTACACGAATTCGACACATCCGGTTTGCAGTAATTGTTTCTTACATCCTCGCTCTTAACTTGCCATTTACAACAACATCCAGACTTCTCTTCGAGGTTCTTCCATCACAATCTGCCCAAAGCGTTAAACCTCAGCTGAACCCAAGGATCCCAAAAAATAGGCATGTCGCAACGATGTGCATGACGCCTAGAATATCACAAGAGCCATGGATAGTCTCAAAACTGTATGTCCGCCATGCCAACACACAGCGTACACCGTCGGATGCCCCGAGTCCATGACCAGGAATTGCATCACAAACCCCCTCAATTGAACTAGTATACCAATTCGGCATTGTCTTCGGCTCTCCTGACCTCCCAAGCAAATCTGACAGGCGGCAAAAGAACCACATCACGCCAGCCCAAGGAACCAAAAGCGCCATGGCAAACCAACACAACGGCCGTCTACAAAGCATGGAAGCACCGAATCGCCATTTCGCACCTCAATTGCCCTTAGCCTGTCAATAGTCGCCAGCGAGGTCCGAAAAGAGACTACATGGACTCCGTAGAGGCGTCAACCCAGCCTAACTAGTAAAAGCCACTCACACACACCGGAGAGTTGGTGCCATAGCCAGGAAAAATGAGAAAACTAACCTACACGCCTTAACTTACATTACAACATAAGCATAGTCAGAGTAAGAGTCAAGGCGCCATCGCGTATCGCCCATCGCCAGCACCAGATCTCGTGTTCTGTTCTCTGGCTCCGACGCATCCCGGTAAGCTGCGCCTCTGCGGTTAGTGGTTAGTGTCATGCTAAAAAGGCTCCGGCGGTGCCTGGCGTGGCTGAAGCGGGATTTTCTTACGGACGGAGTACAGGTGTCAGTTTCCCGGCCTGCCAAGCCCTGGGCTTGGTACGGAATCAGCCATCCGGCAATAGTCGTTTTATTTCCGAAGACGGTGGTTTTGGATCCGTGGTTTTGCTCTTTGACCGTGAGAAACAGGTCTTTATCCTGGCTTTCTTTCTGGCTCTTGGCTTGTTTCCTGTAGATTGTGAATTGATAGGTTTCAATTGAGGTATTGTCCGTTCATACGCGGTGGTCTTTATTGGCTAGGACCATGCAGTGATCCGTTGTGGTGGGGAAAGACAATGACACTATCTCTTCTTTCGTAACTAGATCGGTCGTGGATGTTCGATTGTTGGGCTTGGCAGTCTTGGCATCTGTGGTGTCTGCTGCACTTGGAAGTTGTGATTGGGCAGGTTTCAAGGGGGTGCTGTTTAGCTTGTTTAGTGTGCAGCTTGGGGAAGTGGATTCATCCGGTATTTGCAAGCTCGGCTTGGGGGGTTATGGGGTTTCTGAATGTCGCCATTTACAGTACATTGTTTACAGTACAGGTAATTAATCCCACGTGTACTGTAACTTTTGTTTTTTTCAACCCGGCCCTGTCACAACACGAGCTTCGTGGGCCAATGGTGTTTGACAGATCACATATTCTGGCGCGGGACGTTGGCACTGGCCATCGCCCTTGCATAAAGTTCCCGGGGGCTGAAAGTAAAGTCGCACCTACACCGTACCTGGACCGGTGAATTGCAAGTTGCAGTCTTCAAGTCTATAGTTAGTAGAAGATACCAAACATAATTTTCATATTGACCATTTTCAATACAACAATACCACGGCCGGTGAACACTCAGGCACGTACTGGTGTTCGTTAGCTCCCCGATCGGACTCGCCGTGGATACTTCTCGGGAATCTTCCTCGACTGAATTATCCACCTCAATCCAGCTAAACTTGCCGGCTCGCGTGGTTGAAAAAAATGCACACGGCCATGTGATAGAATTGGGAAGGCGCTAAGATCGGCCGCCCGAGTGGCTCCCGAGCGGATCTGCATGGTTCCTGAACCACGAACTCACGAACCATCGAGAAATTGAACTTCATTGGCGATGCGCTTTGGATGCCCGGCGGTTGGCTGAAAAGATCACTCCACTGGAGCTACCGTTGGATTTTTTGAGGAGTCTGAAAATTCTGCACAGCGTCTGCACCCCTGATCCAAACCTCGGCAAGATCTCGCTGTTATCTCTGAAGCGAAAAAGGGCCACATTGCCGAATCGGGAGTCCCCGCTGGGCTAACGGTTTCAGAATGGCCCCCGATGGTCCCAAACGGTGCCAGCAAACTCCATTTGAATCCTCTTTTCAGCTCTCCAGCTTCATAATCTGATTTGCCACTTGCGATGAGCCAGCGCTAGCGATGCTGCGAACCTATGCTGCGACCGTTTGAACTCGCTTTCGGGTTCTTCTTCGGGCCCCGGCGAACGCGGAGGGAACGGTTCGCCCAAACTTCAGATCTAGACGTGTCCACTCATGCATGTTCAAAACAGATCGTGCTATGAGCCGCAGCTATGGACCCATGTCGGTTTCTCTTTCGTTACTGAAAAACGCCGACCTTGTACTTTATACCATTAGCGCAGTACTAATGCGAACCTAGTGGCTACCTTACTATACAGTCCTAGTCTCTGAGCAAGTGAGTTCGCTTATGCACAACAGAAAAGATTTGCACCCATTCCTACTGTATTTGTCTAGACGGACGGGCGAAGACGAGAGTCAATTCTAGCCAAGAGATAGATCGTAAATCCTGTCAATCATGCGAGTGACAGCCCCTGCAAATCCGCAAATCCCCGTCGCCATCGCTGGTCCCGAACTATCCGGCCCATGCCACGAGGTGGTGGCCGCCGCCACCAGCGGCCAACTCAGGGGTATCACCTGCACAAAACATATGCTGAAGAGACAGGGTGAGGCCTGCCCATGACTCCCAGAAGCGGTCTCATGCAGTGATTCACGCAGGGATATACCTACGTCGTGTTGGTCATGCATCCCAACATACAGTACCTCCCGGATGAGTTATCAATATTATCCGTTACAGTAGCATTGCGGCTGGACAAGAGCTTCCCAGGAAATCGAAGGCGCGACTCGACGTACAGTCTACAGCTGTGCGTCATGTCTTGGGTGTGACAAACGTATGACGCCAGCCTGGTTCCTGGAATAAACTGTTCGTCTCTTTCCGCTAGCATGGAACAGGTCAACTTGCAAACCTGGCCAGGCGTACTTCGGCCACTTTCTACATACATGTACATGCGTTGTTCCTGTTTCAATGCAGCGTGGTATTGCGCGCTTTCTTGTCACTTATAGTGCCTAATGACGCGGTGGCTATAGCGGTACTAAACCCAAAGTCTACAGTACATCCTACAGTAGTTCTATACTATGTCCCACACTGCTGTTTCAGTCATATGATTTACTATACCCGATACTTGAACGAGATTGAAGGAAGACCGCTGAGTACAGCTACTTAGGCTTTTGTCTCAAGATGTTCCAGATGGATGTAGCAAGAGATCAGTCTCATAATATGCAATACGATGTTCTCCATGCTGTTGAAACACCATGGCTTAGATATACCTTGCCAAGACTTAAGCGTCAACCGTGCAGGGCTATTTTGGGTTATTTCGAAACCGCGACACGACATTGGCTCTAGGCGTACATGACACTACATGCAGGTTTCAAGGATTGATCGGATCTCCGGTAACTCAAAGACATTGCAAAGAACAAGAATCATGGTCTGGATCGTGATCCGACAGAAAAAGGTCGATTTCTTCGTTGCTATATCCATATCCTGAGAGTATGGGTTGCTCGGTGATCTCGTATTCAGAGCCACATTGAGAGCGAGCCCTGGCTCTGTATAGCAGCGGAGGGTGCCACTATCGAATTCTGGTCCCAGTAACCAAGTGAGACTGCTTGAACCTACCAGATTTTTCACTCTTGCCACCCCCATTAACAGGTTTCTGTGAATGGCGGAAAATATGCAGCTCTAGAGTCTAGTGTTGAAAAGTATGTATCGAATCCTTGGCGAAAACGCGGAAATTTGAAAAATACAACGTATTGTAAGTTATCCACAGCAGACAGAACAAAGCCGATCACGATCACCCAGACAAAGAGGTACAGTAGGCAAATCACAATTTTTTTATTCTAATCGTTGCCTCCAAAGGCCTATATAGTATCAAAAAGTATGTTCTCATAAATCATCAGAAAATAGCAAAAACCGAAAAATGGCCCAAATAGAATAGATGCAATAATAACCTAATCCAACTTAAGCTGCCATCAAATCGACAAACTCATTCATCTTCTGTCCAAAGGATGCATAGTAGTCGGTAGACAAGTGAGTGATATACACCTCATCAGCTACCTTGCGCACTTCCTTAACAAGACCTCGAAGCGACTTGCCCTCGATAGCATCGGGGACAGAGTGCACGATGGCGCAAAGCTGAGAGCGATTGCTGTTATCGATGCTTGTGAATAGCTTCGCGCCTTGCCGTTCCTGGAAAGTGGTATAGGCCGCCTCGAAGACGACGGTGGAGTCAGCTGTTGCCAAGTACCGGGAGTCAGGGACGGCTCCCGGGTTGTGGACGACCTGTGGGATATGTCAGTTCGGTTCTGGTGTATGGCGTTCGCCTGTTTAATCCAGATGGGGAAGCCGATGTGATGCAGGTTGGATTGGGGGGGCGTATAGGTAAATATGAGGCGCTTGGGTAGACCAAAAAGCAATAAAGCAAGTTTGGTGTGAGTGGGCTTTGGATAGGTCTGGGGAAAGGGAGCCTTAGAATGGAAAAAGGCAAAACAAGGTAATTGAAATGAAAGACTTGTACAAATGCAGGTGTAGAGTAAGAGACAGGGGTGTTGTATGGTAAGGTAACGAGGAGGGCTTTTGGAACTTGGACTCACGAATTGATCAGGACCAAGGCTCTCCAGGTCTTTGACAAAGTCAGTCAGACCCTGCAAATAGGTCAAAGTTTGAGCATCGTATTGTTGGGGCGTTTCATCGAAGAAGATTCCCTGAACCGCCAGGTTGGGGTTAGAGGAATTGGTAGGCCAGTCGGCATAGGTCTGGATATCCTTGCGAATGGCCGAAACATTGCGCTTTGCGTACGAGGTGTAAACGTAACCCAAAAGACGAACATTTTCGTAAGAGGAGAGATTGGGAATTTCACGGGTATAATTCGCATCCGGGAGCGAGTCAGGCCCTGGACCATTTCCTGGATTGATTACGACGGTAAAGTTGACATCAGGGTGAGCAGAGATGCTGTAATGATTAATGTTAGGGGGTAATTCCTTTTCTAGATATGTGACGGTTTTGGCGCCCAAACAGCCTAGCATAATTCCCCATGCGATTGTGTGGCACCGGCCACCAGCCGCCTGAGATTGAATATGGCATCTCGGGCGAAGCGGAGCTAGGGGAGGGGGATGGCTTGGGTGGAATGGAAAGGGTTCGAACATACACATTTTCCAGCGGCGTCCACGCCCCAGGAGCAGGGTATACGTAGAGCGGAACAAAGACTTTAGCCTTAGGACCCATGTTGTTCTTCTTGTGCAGAGTCGTGACGACGACTGAGGGGACCACGGCGACAATAATCACGACGAGAGCGACAATTGCCAAGAGAACTCTGGAGCGAGTGGATTTTAAACATCCGCGCTTGCTCACGTGTTTTTCGGTATCAGACATAGTGGTATACTTCACGTTACAGCGTTGAGAGTTGAAGTGGATTCAAGAAACAACCCCTAGATATCTGGAAGTGGACAGGACTAAAAAACAACCACGATTTGCACTTGGCCACTCCCAAGACTTTTGCGGCCGAGAAATACGGAGCGGGTCTCGACCCAAGATGCAGAAAGGGTCTTAGATGAGAAATAAAACAAATAAAAAATGATTAAAAATACATTTATTTCTTAGCCTGAGCTGAGGCCCTGACGTACCAGCCATGTGGAGGCCTTTTTAGGGCATTTTCAATGTACAAAATGATATCCCCCCCAAGGCCCAGCCGCAGGTATGGCCCACAAGGGGGGATCCTGCCCGATGGTTCTGTTCCGATTTTTGCTTGCTTTTGCCCCTATTATAGTCTCTTTGTTCTTTTTTTACTCCGCTTATGTTTGTTCCATATGTTCCTGGCCTTTCCTTTTTTGCCGGCGGGGATAGGTGCTGATTGCTCATTCGTCCGGTAAGGATGATACAATAGATGAACTGAAGCGAAAGGTCCGAGTGAGGCAACACAGGTGCCAGTCTTGGTTTTTTGTATAAAACCTTGGTGGGAGGCCCGCCAGAGAGCTTGGATATCTTGGTCTTGATCACAGATTAACACAAGCCCATTTCATCTCTTTTTCTTCGGTAGTACAGACCAAGTGTCGGTTGCCTGTTTAATTATCATAATGTTTGTACCCACCTCATTGCCTTCGTCAAGGTCAGACAGTCGTCGACGCTCGGATGCAAGCACTCCATCAGAGCTTGCGTCTCCGTCGGTTGACACACCAGCAACTGAGCGTGGTGACTTGTTCGACAACATCGATGAGCTATTGCGCAACATCCCTTCGGAGAGCCACATCCTTGTCACCGGTGGTCTTGGCTTCATCGGAAGTCACACCACCCTAGAGCTTCTCAAGGCCAACTATAATGTCATTGTGATCGACAACCTGAGCAATGCATTCGAGAATGTTCTTGACCGCATCAGCAATTTGGCCCAGAAGCACCACGAAGAGAATGGCACCAAGATGCCTTCTTTGCGATTGCACGCACACGACTATCGCGACACCACTGCCTTGAAGCCTTTGCTTGAGGAGTACCGAGTCGCCTCCCGTTGGGGAAACGCCAAGTCAAAGATTGCCGGTGTCATTCACTTCGCAGCCTACAAGGCTGTTGAGGAGAGCATCCGCAACCCATTGAAGTATTACTCCAACAACGTGAGTGGCCTGGTCGACTTTGCAACCACTCTTGGAGACTTTGGCATCAAAACTTTCATTTTCTCATCTTCCGCCACTGTGTACGGAACATTGGCCACTTCTGGTCTTCCGTTGAAGGAGGAGCTCTGTGTGCACAAAGAAGAGATGTACACAAACGAGGAAGGCACACAAGAGAAAATCCAACCAGGATGCACTGGTATCACCAACCCGTATGGACGCACTAAGTGGATGTGTGAGACAATCTTGGCCGACCTGGCCGTCTCGGACCCTGAGTGGACCATTGTTGCCCTTCGGTACTTCAACCCCGTCGGATGTGATTCCTCCGGTCTGTTGGGCGAGGACCCCAGACAGGCCCCGACAAACCTGCTCCCTGTAGTGGTCAAGGTTATGACTGGCCAGTACTCCGAGCTTTCGATGTTTGGAACTGACTGGGACACCGAGGACGGCACTGCGGTTCGTGACTTCATCCACGTCAGTGATCTGGCGCGTGGCCATATTGCTGCACTCAGCTCTGCCAACGAAGGCAAGCTGAGCGGCAACTTCCGTACCTTTAACCTCGGAACTGGAAAGGGCAATTCCGTGATGGACGTGGTGAGCACCATGGAAGGCGTCATTTCCAAGCCCATTGCTCGTCGGGCAGCACCCCGACGCGAGGGCGATGTTGGATCATGCGTTGCTGTTGTTGACCGATCCACCGAAGAGCTGCAGTGGAAAACCGAGAAAACTTTGAAGGATGCTTGCCAGGATATTTGCAATTTCCTCGAGGTCAGTGGTCTGTCTTCATAGCATGATGCTGTGCTTGGATCTTTTTTGTTTTTCTTTGTCACTTTCCCCCTGTTCTTAATACCTGCCTCCTGGAACAGGGGTATCTTGGAAGCATGTCCCGGTATAATGATTATATGTTATTTATTGCATCTTATTGCATCAGCCTGTTGTTAGAGTTGCATCACCTGTTTGCATTCTCTTTGTGTTTTGTCGGATGTATATCTCCATCCATGTACTTTCTGTGTCCCTAGACGCGAATGAATCAAAAGTTTCATAACTGAATATTGATGACTGGTACTCTGGCAGACGTAAAGGGGTTGTTAAACACAGTAAAGAAGTGCGGAGGTGTGGAGGGGAAGCAGCTAGAGACCCCAGTTCGTGCCTAAGGCATGAATATATTCGATGTGAATATCACGTGACTCTGTGTATATTAACATCCACGTCGTATCAGGCTGTTATAGGGGTCATTCTTCAATGATATCTTGCAATATTATTCCTAGCCTTGATCAAACTTCCCAACTGCAGACCCTAGTATCTCGGCACAAGAGAAAAACCCAAGCAAGGAAACGAAGTAATGGAGCACGTGACCTGTCTCCGGCTTGGCATCAAATATGCCGCAGTTTTCTGCGACTCCGTGAACGCGACGGACTCATCGGGTGTAACTTCAACACATTGGGATTTCTCATCACCTCTAGTCCCAATTGAACTTCAATAAGGCCACCTCCATCAATTTCCGCCTTTTGCCTTCCCTCGTCATCATGATCTGCAAAAGCTGCCGCTCAACTTTGCTGTCCCGGCTCAACCAGCCCGTTGTGACTCGGACAACCTCGACATGCGCGCGCCAATTACCTATTGCTCGCACTCAATTCCGGTCATACAGCAGTGACAACAATGCCTCCGTTGCTGCTACTCCTTCTCCACCAGCTCCCCGCCAGCCCACGGTCGGCGACCTCTCTACCCCGTCCGCCATTTCCTCCGCAACCCCAGGCGTCTCCCAGCCATTGAGCACCCCCGAAGGCGTTCACGTCGATGTGAACCCCGGTGCCTCTACAAAACCCACTGCTGTTCGCCCACCCAGCAGCTGCCCGGCCGGCACTAAGCTGAACGGACTCAACTACTTCAAAAACAAGCCAGACGTTTTCGCCAAGGACGATTCCGAGTACCCGGACTGGCTTTGGGGTCTCCTTGGCGATGGTGCCAAAGACGCCAAGTCCAAGAAGGGTGGCGTTGACCCAAGCAGTATGTTTTCCTGGATTTGCTCAAGTTGGTGATTAGGTGATGTGCTAACCCCATGACAGCCTTGAACAAGAAGCAACGAAAGCGCTACGAAAAGAAGATTGCAGCTCGCACTGGTCCTCTCGCTGCTACGGTCCCTGCTCACCACCACGCCCACGATATCACCCCCGCTTCTTACAACCGCGACGGTGCCTCAACAGACGCTATGGCCGATGCTACTGCAGGTCACGATCAGCGCTCAGAGGTCATCAAGAGTGCCCGTGAGGCCAGACGGAAGGCCATTAAGGAATCTAACTTCCTGCGTGGTCTGTAAGCTTATTGCGTGGATCAGCTGGAAATATGTCTGGAAAATTGTGGAGCGATTGTACTTTTCTTGTTTCGCAGGCGATCCAAACCGCCTCGACATTGCATTGAATATTGGATAGACCGGACTATACAAGCCCGGGATGTATTATTACATTGATTTGGTTTTTTTGATTGTGCTATATATCAAATGACAGTTGTCTTACATGTCACTTCTCACGAGCCCAGACCTACCTGACCATCCCGCAGCATACCCCGACCTCGATACATCAATCTACTGAGGGATCGGCCACTCTCTCTCTTCGCCCTGACCCTCCAACCAAGGCAAGCAGGCCTCATAAAGTGCCTTAAACTCTCCACCACCCAGAACCAAGATCTTATCAAAAACATCCCGATCAAAGCGATTGAAGAACGCCAAGATACAAGCCAAAGTAAAATCAGCATACCCAGGCTTCTCTCCTTCCAAAAATGGTCCCTTCTTCCCCTCCCGCCCCTTGAGCATCTTGATCAAAGGCTCACTCTCCTTCTCAATGACCTCCCAAAGCGCAACCAACGACTCCTCATCCTTCGGCCGAACCTCGGAAAGCGGCTTTCCAAAAGTCTGAGCACGCGTCCGCTCAAAGTATTCCTGGCCTCGAGGATCCAAATGTCCAGGCACATTAGGAATAATCAGAGATCTGATACTTGGCGAGAGAAGCGCCGCGATCTTCCGCACGGCAAGAAGGATCACGTAGCTCGCGTCGCCGGAAGGGAAGAGTGGCGGCGAGGGGTAAAGCTCGTCCAGGTATGTGGCAATGGCCTCGGAGTCCATAAGGGCGCCATCTGGGTTTGCTTTTATCGCGCCCTTGTGGGTGATTGCTGGGAGCGTGTATGGCACTGCCACCTTGTGCGGTGGTACGTCCAGGCTCTTTAGTAGGATTGCAATGTCTGGGTATGAGACCCAGCTTTGGGTATAGGGAATTCTCTTGTAGTTAAGAACCATTCTGGTCTTGAGGGTGTTTGGGGACCATGACTTGTCCGGGCCTGGGGTTGATTAGCTTTGGGTGTTTTTTGGAGGATGTTGTGCATGTACCTGTGAAGTCGGACCAGAGGTCGAACAGGTGGATCTTTTCAGAGCTGGCCATTTTGGCTTGGTCTACTTTGTTTCTTTTGGATATAGAGGTTGACGTAGGAGGTTAGTCTGGGGAGGGTGTGTTATATAATTTTCAGGGCGATTGCAGGAATGCGGGGCAAGTTGATTTATCAGCTCGGACATCCGGTGTGATGTTTACAAATTATCGTTGGACTCATTTTAGGACTGGAGGCTCATTGGATGCATTGGATCTGTATAACATTGCTGGGGCTTAGTGTCTATGATGATAAGTGTGTGTCCAATAGTACAGAGAGGCTAACTCGTGCACAACTGTCGTCTGGATATTGGCCACGCGTCAATTTGAATAGAGATCCAGGAGGATTGAAAAACAATCTCACATAGAGAGAGAGCCGTTGACGTTGAAATGACTCTATATCTGCAAGTATGTGAATCTCCCAATGCCAAGTTCACGCCACGTGGATAGAGTCTCGTGGACGCACGGTTCACATTCAAGACTTCACCCATCATCTTTCTCCTTTCTGTTAGCATTGCGATATAAAGTCGACTATAAACAACCTTGAGCCTTGAGACGCCAAAGTTTCTGAAACAAGCCAGCGGGGCATCGGTAATCTCTTGCCAATAAGCACAGCTGCCCCTCCAAGGTACCAATATCAGCTTATGATTCTTATCAACTCACGTGGATCGAAGATTAACAGGAGAACAGCCACAAATGGAGAAAGTCGAGGAGAAAGTTGAAGCCCTCGTGGACCGTGCTCGGCATTTGACACTGCATCAGTCACCTAAAGAGGAACACACTGTTGAGAAGTTTCACTCGACTGTCGACGATCATATTCAGAAGATATACAAGGCGCTTCAGAAGGATGCGCCGACAACTCGTTATTTCCTGACGGAGATTCAACATGATACTTCTGCACCAGTTTCTACAGAGGCAGTCTCTGACGCGTTGGCCTCTGTTGACGCTTTCCGGGAATACATGAAGAATGAGATTTCTTGTGCGATGGCACCCGAAGAGGCATTGGATATCTCCGCTCCTCTGTCGGATTACTTTATCTCTTCTAGTCACAACACGTACTTGACTGGTAATCAGCTGTACAGTGATGCCGCTGCTAGTGCTTATACATCCGTGAGTAGTTGGCTTCATGACTAAATCCATATCTCGCCAACAATGACAGCGCAGAGACCATACTGATGTCCAACCCTCTTGTAGGTTCTACTACGTGGCTGTAGATCCGTTGAGATCGATGTCTGGGACGGAGAGCTCTCAACGCCAGACTCGAGCGATGACGAGATGAGCAGCGACAGCAGCAGCGACTCCGAAGACCAAGGCCAATCCTTGGGAAGCAAGCTGCGCGAAAAGGTCAGCTCAAAGTCTGAAAATCAAGGGAAGTCCACCAAAGAACCCAAGCAGTCAATGTCCTCCAAGTTGGAATCAAAATTGAATGGAGTGCTTCGCCGCAAGTCTGTCAAGTCACCGCCGAGAGAGGTGAGCGAGGAGACTGGTACAAGTCAGCTTCCGATTCGAGGCGAGCCTCGCGTGCTACATGGCCACACTCTCACAAAGGGAGCGACCTTCCGTGAAATCTGCTATGCTATCCGCGATAGTGCTTTCGTTGCTAGTGACCTTCCTGTGGTTATCAGTCTTGAAGTGCATGCGTGTCTGGAACAGCAGCAAATGATGGTGGATATAATGCAGGAGGCATGGAAGGGAATGCTCATTGAAGCCCTCCAGGCCGATGAGAAACTGCCATCGCTTGCGGATTTGAGAGGGAAGATCTTGATCAAGACCAAGGGGATACCGCTTAGTGGTGACAAGCCGGGGAATGAATCAGAAGAGAGCCTCACTCCGCAACAGTCGACCGATACGTCTGCGTCGCCCCAGCCGAAGCCACCGAAGCCGTCAAAGATATTTGAAGGTCTTGCTCAGATGGCTGTATACACTCGCGCGTATCATTTCAGCCATTTCGACCAACCCGGTATGAAACCACCTTTTCCTGGCCATCCAGTAGTATTTTAACCCTTCCACAGAGGCCAAGGTGCCAGTTCATGTATTCTCCTTGTCGGAAAAGGCAGCCCGCGAAGCCCACGTCACCCATCGCGATGCTCTGTTCGAACACAACCGAGCAGCGATGATGCGAATCTATCCTTACGCGTTCCGAGTCAACTCATCGAACCTCGACCCAACATTCTACTGGCGACGGGGCGCCCAGCTTGTGGCACTAAACTGGCAGAATCTCGACAAGGGCATGATGCTCAATCATGGCATGTTCGTGGGAACCCATGGGTGGAAACTGAAGCCGTCGGGCTACAGAAGTAGCCAAGCATCAACCAATGTAATCCCCCGCCGCAAAGTCATCCTCACAATCGAGGTGTACGCCGCACAAGACCTCTCTCTGCCTCCGGGTGAAAGCAGCGAAAAGGGATTCAACCCCTATGTGAACTGCCAGCTCCACGTGGAAGAACCAGAAGGCGAATTCGCCCCAGATGCAGACGACGCCAGCTCCGATACAGAGAAGACCAGCTATAAGCGCTGCACGAAGAGTTCTTCAGGGATCAACCCAGACTTCCAAGGCCAGAAATTGGACTTCCCGACCGTGACGGGAATAGTCGAGGAATTGAGCTTCCTACGGTAAGTGCATTTCCATTCCATTCCCCCCTTTCCCTTCTTCCCATCCCAAAGTACACACACTCCCAATACATGCACTCTCCGTACCGGACATGCATGTCGAGCCGATATGAAGTCATGTTCAGTACAGTACTCCGTGCATCATGCTTGTCCGTTGCATACTATTCACATTTTCTGCACGTCCCCTTTCTTGCATACCTATCCCCATCCTCGTTCCCATGCCCATCACCTATCACATAAGATCACATTTCCTCTCGTCATGCATGCAGCGACAAACCCTGCATTGTGATATCAGCCAAAGCAACCAGAAAAAGAAAGAAAAAGCACACCCCCTACCGTATGCCAACGCCCGCATACCCTGAAAGACTGGACATCCTCCTTTTCCTTTCTTTGCTTCTTCCCCGATTCCCATTTTGGCTGCTACTGCGTCTTTGACTTGCGGATGGACCTGCACACCCTCCCTGTCCATCTCATCTCCTCCCTCATTCTACAGTATCTCACCACCTCACCACATCTCTTTCCTTCCCGCTCATCTTCTTCACTCCTTCTTTGTGTTATCCACTTGCATGCAGACCCAGCCACATTCCCGCCCACGTACTGTGCTGTGTCCTCACACGCACACGTATACACGCGTGCACGCGCGCACGCACACTCCCCCATCGTGTCAAGCTCACTTCACTTATGTGTTCCCACATGATTACTTGGATACTATGCACCGGTCCCACTAACTCCACATTTGGTTTCTTTCAGGTTCAAGATCAAGGATGATGAGATCGGTCGGGATGCGTTGGCTGCTTGGGCTTGCATCCGGCTTGACCGGTTGCGGGAGGGGTATCGGCTTGTCCATCTTCATGATTGCTCGGGCGAGAAGAAGGGGGGTGTGTTGTTGGTCAAGATCTCCAAGGTTGTTTCTTAGATGCAGGAGAGAGACACAGAGAGAGAGTGGAGAGTGTATCTCCAGTTACTGTAGTTCGGATAGCGCGATATTTAAGACATATTGTGAGATTTTTTTTTCGAGGATTTGTCGATCGCTTTGGACAGTACTGTAGATGTGATAGACAAGCCACCAGAGCACTATACAGTAATGTATACAGTGTACAGTAGAGGATCGCACACAGCCCGGACCAGATGTTGTACAGCTCATTTCCCAGAGTGGAAGGTGACCGACTCTGGAGAGTCTGACAAATCTTCAAACACCGAGATCACATACATATGATTTCGAGGACCCCCGATCTCGATGGTGCGAGGGCCATCGCACAAGTCATAGCGAGGCATCGTCGGAGCAGACTGTTACACCGACAGAATCACTAAACCCTGGACTCACATCATGGCAGATAACCGTTATTGCGAGAGCCATCCAAACGTGATAGCCCCCGGTTCACTTGGTAGTGTCGGGTGGCGTCTGTATAAAGACATTAACGCCGAGCGGAGTACGGGGAGATTTCCTCCTTCCAGCTGAGACATCCCCTCATTGGCAGTACGGAGTAGGGCCGGCTGTCATTATCTTTGAGCGCTGCGTCATGCGCGGCATCGGTGCAGTGCAGTGAAGGATCAAAGAGAGTCAGGCATGTGTGCAGAACCTGGCAGCTGCAGATTATGTGCATCCCAGTAAGATATGTAGAGTCTTTTCCAGTTGTGAGATCATAAAAGTGGCGGTGACTGGGGTAAGTTAAACAAAGAATTGTTGTGAGCCGAAAGAGGGCAATCAGGGCGAGAGAGAACGTGGAGATCACTATTTCGGTTCTTTTGCTATTTTCTTTTCTTTTTCTAATGTGATGTTCTTCTTTTGGGGGGAGACGCAAACAAGAACGACCTGCATACGAGCCGCTGAACATACTATATGGTGACAGACTATCGGTGAGACCGAGGGATTCCGAGCAGGCAGAGCGTAAATCGAGTGGCCGCGTCCACTCAGGGAACGATCATCACGCCAAGCGATATGCATCAGATTGATCAACCTACAAGCCGACAACAGCCTCCAAACCCGCCTAGTGGGGGTCTCCAAGACCACACAGTTGATCGGTAAATCCTCCGAGGATTAAGTTGCCTGCAATCGCGCCACTGTGAGAGGTCGTGTATAGATCGGTGGCAGAAGTCAGGCCATGACCGCATCCTTCAGATGGCCCGGATGGTCTCGTTGTCCTTCTATGCTGGCCCCCTTTTACCCATTTCTCTGGCATGGTGGAGGGGTTCATGCGTGACGTTGAACAGCCATGAGTTTGCATGCATGTCCACCGAGCCCAGGGCAGGACATAGCCAGACTGCTGTCCACCAATAATCGGGACTGATCGCTCTTTCACTGCTGGCCCTCCCTGTCGGTCCGCAAATCACAGCGCTCGGGCGTCGCACTGGACCCATTCTCGATCTGCTCTGGGGTGCTGGGGTCGATACGTCAACTCTTAATTACTGTGGTCATTTTCCCCTTTACCCCCCTTTTTTGGGGGGGTATGTTGAGAGATATTCAGGGACATTCAGGGACATTGGAAGGGGGAGAAAAAGGAGGTTGAGGAGTAGAGACAGTCAGTCAAAGGTTTGCTGACTTTCCTCTCCCATAGCATGCACTGTGCATTCGAGCAAACATCAACCCGGAGCCCTCGGGAGGTACCGACGATAGTGTGATTGGCCTTGAAGGAGTGGCGCCAAACATGAAGTGGACTGCCTTTTTTTTTTCGAATCCCTGGAAAGGCAGTGCATGACGGCAGCGATCCATCCGCCCTCACTGGCTAATCGACAGATCCAACATGAAAAACTACGTGAAAGACTCCCTTTAAACGGGATCTTCCGAGCTTCCACACAGATGGGATTATTTTATTCTCGATTTTATTTCGATTTGGTTTTCTCGTCCCTTTCAGCTTCCTTGCTTTTCCCACTAAGCCGATGCAATTCAATCGCGGGGCTCTGGGAACTAGATCTCGCTCGACCTTATAAGAACCATCGACGCCTCGTTTCTTTGCCTCATCTTCAGACCTGCCATTCCTGAATCTGAATCTGAATTCAAATCACACACCTGGGATCGTCGACATTCCGAGAAACTCTATTCCCCTTCTCTTGACCAAAAATCCCACTCCCCCTCCGCACTATGACTTCTTCACAGTGTGCCACGGCGTGCACAAGCCCTGTTGTCAACAAGGTTCGTCCATCTCCCGCGCTGCATGTATAGTACAATTGTACTTTTGTATAGAGATCCATACTGACAGTCAGAAGATGCCGGGTGTACGATGCCCCAACTGTCAAGCTCAGGGGAAGGAGGTCTGGGTGATCCCAGGCAAGAGCTGCCATATCTGCCACACTCCGTGTGCATGAGGAGATAGCTCACTGAGAGAACTCTCCTCTCCTCTCCTCACTTCTGTCGACCAATCTTCTGCACATCCTCTATTCCCTCATTTGACCTCTCCCGGTCCAACTCCTCATTTATCCAGTCACTTTCCATCCAGGGTCTATTCTCCATAGGCCAGAGCCACAAGAAGAAACCATGGACCCGAGCCCTGGAGACAGCATCCCATCCCTGGAGTTTTCCCGCGTCTCAATAATAGCGAAAGGCGCAAAGGCTCATACAACGGTGTTTCTTTATTGCACGCGATCGATCAACTTCGATTTCAACTTCAACGTCCCGTTCCTGTCCCTTCTCCTTCTTTTCTCACCATGTCTTTCCTTTTTTTTTTTCTCTATAACGAGTCATGACAGGATCATGTTTGCTTTTTTTGGTTCAAGATTGAAGCATTATCGCGCCTGTATTGTTAGCAAATCTCATACCGTTAACGTTAATGCGGATCTGAAGTCACACTGAAGTCACTGAAGTCAACTTACAGTATGTCTTTCCATCTTGATCGGGCCGAGTCGGACCCACGTTTTGGGGGGCTTTCTCCGCCATTCAGAAGTACGAGAAATACTCTATTCTAAGTCACTGTATTTCTGTTAGTCAGTCACTGTCGGTAGTTGAGGTTACCTTACATGTTCGATGGATCTTGTACTTTTGTCTTGCATAGATGGATCCTCTTGGCACGTGATGATCTCTTTGCGAAGCAGGTGACATCATTCCCCTCTTGGTCTTGGTCTTGATCTTGATCAGACGGACATCCGCTTGCTCTGTACTTAACAATTTACCTTGAGCTTGATTTTGTGCCTGGTTACGGTGTAGTCAGCCGCAGGCAGTAAAGTTATGTTGGAGAAATACCCCATCGGGACGCGCAAGGAGAGTGAAGCTCTTGTCGGCGAGTGGGGGTTCAAACATATCTTCACTTGGTCGGATGGCAGGTAAGTATGAATGTTTGATGGACTTTCTAGCTTGGCAACGCAAATATTTTGAGGGTTGCCAGTGTCGATATTTGTATAAGCTAACCCCATCTCACTAGCAATGCACATTATTCACCACACTCCCACAGCGGCCTGACAACACATCTCATCCGTCGGGGTACCTTTACGGTCACATACCCTGAGGACAATGTCAACGGGCAAGTCAAGAAAGAGACATTTGGTGTCGGGGACCGAATTGATGTTCCTGCTGGGAAGCTTCATGAGGTTTGGATTGGGGGTGAAGGGTGCGAATATGTTATTGGGGAGTAGAAAGGACAGTATATCTTTTATGGAGAGGTTTGGAAGTTCTACTTGAACATAATGATACTCGAATATAATGATGATAGAAGCTTGGAAGTCATTCTTTATTGGCATTCTCCATCGAGACCAGCTCTGGAGATGTTCTATTTTTGAATCATGGTCTGGTCTTCGTCGTTCGTTCTATCTCACGTCTCGACTCTAAGGGTATATGTATCTAGTGCAAAAACTTGAAGTCGACTCTGTGGATGGGGTGGTCAGCTTATACGCTCGCATTTGGGTGAGTACCGGGAGTAAGACATACCTCTTGTTGCCAAGGTCTTTGTTCTCGGCGACATATTGCTTTCTTTCTTCGCTGGACATGTTGTTCCAGATGGCGGCATTTTTCCTGCGGAAGACGGCATATTAGTATCGAGGAACCTGCAATTGAACCAATTCGGACCGGAACTTGTCGCATACTTGTTTCGCCACACATAGTAGTACTTGGCAATGATAAACATCACCATACTCCAACACGCGATGCCAATGAGAACCTTGTTACCCCTGCGGTACAATGGCTTATCATCTTCGCGATAGATCTGAAAGAGCAGTTAGCAAAAACAGCTCCAAACCCAGTCGAAAAGGAGGTGGAACTCACATTGTTGGCAATGATACTACTGGCCTGAACCGTCATGTTATAAACAGCGCTGGCAACGGTCCTCGTCCTAACAGACCCCGCATTGCGGGAGGTAATAGCAACAATAATAGCATGCACATAAGGCATAGCAATCAAAAGCACCAACAGGATCCATCGAGCCCAGGTACTCGAATTCTCCGGCAACAGCTCCAGAGCAATCAAAAGCGCCAGCGCCCAGATCTCAGCCCCAACGCCCAGCAACAAGCGCTGATTAAAGCGCTCAGAGACCCAAGTCCACGCCAACAAGTTGATAATAAAGATGACGTAGGCCGGGATCGTCAACAAATTGGTATGGAACGTGCTGAAGCCCAGCGACTTCAATTCCAGACTGATATAAGACGTCGCAGGGGTATTGGGGATCATCCACGTCAAGCCCAGGAGGTAGATAGGCCACATGTCGTAATCTTTCAGCGCGGCCCAGAGCAACTTTGGCGTCACCGGCTGACGATTATGCATGCTGCCCTTACTGTGATCATCGCGCAGCACGCGGTTCACCATGATCTTCTCCTCGTGCTCGTTGAACCATCCGTCCTTGCCGCGGAACCGGCCTGCAGTCTGGGTCGGGGACGCTGGCATCCAGAAGGCAGCGATGATGCCAATCAGTCCGGTGATGAGACCTTCCAGGGCGAACAGGTATCGCCAGCCACCGGTTCCGTCGGACATGCGGATATGCAGGAATCCGAAGGCGAGGAAGGCGCTGACGATGGAGGTCGCTTCGTATGTGACCCAGAAGTAACTGAGGCGGATGGGCAGTTCCTTTGATTTGTACCAGAAGGAGAGGAATAGGATGGTGTCGGCGATGAAACCGCCCTCTAGAAGACCGAGGAGGGCACGGGTCGCGAAGAAACCCCCTTTGCTCTTGATGAACGCCTGGCAGGCGGCGACGATACTCCAGCTGAGCATCTGGAAGGGGATCCAGCGGTCCGGACCGAACCATTTGGAGAGCAGCTGGGAGGGGAGCTCGGCGAAGAGGAATGTTAGGTAGAAGATTGTTTGGCCGGTGTTGTAGTCGTTTGTGGTCATTTTGAGGTCGTCTAGCATGTTGTCTGATGTTGCTTGGACGATGTTGCCGCGGTCTAATTGGAGTGCGAAAAAGGTCACACAGGCAAATGTGCAGACTCGCCAGTCGATCTGGAGATGATTAGCCACTTTGGATGCTGATGATGGTAGGTCTGTTCTCTCTTACCTTTTTCACCACGGCCTTTTCTTCCTCTTCAGTCCACTCGAACTCCGGGTCCCAGCGATGAATGCCCTCATATTCGGGGATAGGCTTATAAAAGCGAGGATCCTCGGTGGTGTCGAACGCCGAATCGATCTGCTTGGAATAGGCGCGAGGGCCATCATAAGACTCCGACGACGAAGACTCTGCTGTCGAGACTCTGCCTGGGACTTTGGTGTCTTTGGCGTCCCGGGCTTCGTTCGAAGTCGTGTTCTTGACTTCTTCGACCGTCATCTTGGAGGGAGCTGGGTTTGGAGAGTCTTGAATCCGAACCAGAAGGTGCGAATCCAGCTCCTATAAAGGGAAAAAATCGAGCCCGAGACGAGATCATGGCCTTGTATCACGCCATTCTGTGGCCGATACGCTTGTTCTAGTTGACGCCTCTATCTGCACGTCCAGGAACTACATTAGGAAGGTAGGGTTTGAAGTGCCATCTATAGACTCGATTGCGATCATTGGTTCCACCGGGTTCCCTTTAAATATCTACAGTATCTGGGCAGAATATTGGGGCCTTGACGCGTTTGTATAGGACGACATGTCGATCGAAGCGGAGGGTTTCCCAGAAAACCTCCGATTCCACGCAATTCGAGAGACGCGCAGAAAGTTGACCAGTTGGCCGTTTTCTTGGCTCAAATCACGCAAAGTTCGGTCCGGGTGACGTCTTGGCTCTGATGTTTTGGAGAGTCTTCGTTTGAGAGCCGAATGGTTGCTGATAGAAGTGAATATTATCCCTTTCTATTGATATTTAATTGTTCTTCTATGATCTCCTTTAATATTATCCTAATATTGAATGCATCTTGACTCCCTATTCCACCGGGTTCAAATGTTCACATCTCGACTCACATACAAATCACCGTGGCTATCACGCCATCAACAGGGAACTTGACACCAGAAAGCAAAATGAGTTGAACCGACAAAGCGATCCGAGAACCCCTCATTGCGTAATGATCGGATTTAAGCCGAGGGGACTATATAGGACTCCCTGGATGGTCTTGAATGGAGCTAACGACAAATCAACCGAGTATAATGGCTCCCGGTCTCACTGAAAACGTCGCCCTCCGGGCCCCAACTGTAGCACCTCCCTTAAAGTCCGATGCGGGCCATAACAAGGAGAACTTGATCGGCTACAAGTATGAAAAGGAGCGCGAGATCCAGGGAACAGACAAGCTCCCCCCGGCCTCGTACCCCAACTATCTGCCAGTCTGGGACAACGAGACGGAGAGGTAGGAACACCTCACCAAGGCAAAGCATCCCACTAACAGCACAATAGATACCCTCCTTTGGAGCTGTTTGTGCACTACGACCACGGCAAGGATGCCGACCCCTCATTCCCAGATCTATTCCCCCAAGGCCAGGCCGAAATCGACCAGATCACACCCTTCATTGGCTCCGAAGTGCACGGCGTACAACTCAGCCAGCTCTCAGACAAAGGAAAAGACCAACTCGCTCTCTACGTAGCCCAGCGGCGAGTAGTAGGTATGCTCTAGATCCCCGAACGCCCACTCTCCCCCCAACCACAAGCCCTAACAACCCCAACCCCAGCCTTCCGCGACCAAGACTTCGCCTCACGCCCAATCGAAGAAGTAGTCAACTACGCCGGCTACTTCGGCCGCCACCACATCCACCAAACATCCGGCGCGCCCAAAGGCTTCCCGGAAATCCACCTCGTCTTCCGCGGCGCCGACGACCGCACCGGCGAAAAGTTCCTAGAACAACGCACCAACACCATAACCTGGCACTCCGACATCACCTTCGAGAAGCAACCGCCAGGCACCACATTCCTGTACGTCCTCGACGGCCCAACCACCGGCGGCGACACCCTCTTCGGCGACATGGTCCAAGCCTACAAGCGGCTCAGCCCCGAATTCCGCAAACGCCTCCACGGCCTCAAAGCCGTGCACTCGGGCCTGGAGCAGGTCAACGCAAGCTTGAACGGCGGCGGCATCGCCCGCCGCGATCCCGTCACCTCGGAGCATCCCATCGTCCGCACGCACCCCGTGACTGGCGAGAAGGCGCTGTACGTGAACCCGCAGTTTACGCGGTTCGTGGTTGGGTATAAGAAGGAGGAGTCGGATGCTTTGCTGAAATTCTTGTATGATCATATTGCGCTGTCGCAGGATATTCAGGCGCGCGTGCGGTGGAGGGCTGGCACGGTCGTTGTGTGGGATGTGAGTTTCCCTTTCCCTTTCCACTGGTAGCTTTTGATATGATACTGACTGGCACAGAATCGGGTGGCGTGTCACTCGGCCGTTTTCGATTGGGAGGATGGTCAGCGGAGACACATTGCTCGTCTGACGCCGCAGGCAGAACCGCCTTATGAGACGCCGTTCGAGGGCGGTAATTGAATTAGCTTGCCTGACTACCTAGCCTGCCTAGACAGGAGTCATATCATGGATGATGAATAGGATCAAATTGACACACAGGGTCGTCGGCCATAGTGGAAGATGTTGAATAACGTTATACATACATCCGTATATCTGGGCTTGATATTACCAGATCCAATCCACTAGTCTTTTAATCAAACAATTATACAATCATACAATCATACAGTAATACACTCATCCCCCTCTCCCTTCCATCACACCACAACCACATCTCCCCTACAACTCAAGCCTCGCTCTCCGAAATCTCCCCAAAACCCCAACCTCCCACTCGGCAAACCTCCTCGCCGAAACAGGAAGCAGAGAATTACTCCCCCGAAGCGCAGCCTCCAAAGCCTCAAAAATCATAGACGGCAACTCCAAATCCTCAACCGACAACGGAGAAGGATTCCCAATCTCGGGGTGCAGTAATGCGTCCACATCAGCGCATTCCCGATAGAAGACCTTCATAGCCTGCTGAGCCATTATACTCACGCCGGAGCTGGAATTGGAATTGGAGTAGCGCATGTCTGGGTTGAAGACCCAGAGCTGCGATGGGGGATTGTGTTAGCGAGATGTGTATTAGAAGCACTCTGTGGGATTGGGGAGATTGGTGCTGGTTGGGGTAGGGTAGGGTTGGGCTGGTGGGACTTACAACTAGACCGGTCTTCTGGCCATAATGGACGACGAAACGTCGTGCGCTTTCTCGTTCGATTAGCTCGAGTAATTGGGCGGCGATGATTTTTTCTGTTTGTTGGGATTCCCATTCGCGGGTGTGTGGATTGGAGGAGGTGGATGGGGCGGTGTTTAATGATACGTTTGCTTTTAGGAGGCGCCATCCGTTGGCGATGGGGTCTTCTAGGCCGATTGTTGCGTTGCAGGTTTTGCAGTCGAGGGTTCTTTGGGGCTGGGTTGTGGGTTTGGAAGGTTGGGGGGTTGATTTTTGTTCTTCTTCGTTGCCCTATGATGTGCTGCTGTTAGCGATCCGGATGGAATGAATGGGTACTGTGTGATATAGAGAATAAGGGTATAACGGGATCAGAATAAAGACATTTTATTGTATTCAGGTTCAGGTTCAGGCTCAAGTTCAAGTTGATCGTTTACTAGAGACATGATCCACATCACATTGCCAGTGATGAGTGATAGGTGTAGTATATGCCTCATCAGAATCAGATATGTACCTCATCAGAACAAGCCAGCTTCACTGATCCAAAGCCGGCATTGAAAATACAAGGGCGCTTTGAGCCGCGAAACAATAAAATGGAAGCCTGACACGAGTCCATGAACGCGAGTGACAAAAGCGGAATCCATCTGCAAGAGAGGATAACTACGATTGCCGCTCGTGATATAGACACTTGCCAGCGCTGCCACTGTCTTGAATCGCAGGAACTCAAAGGGCATTTCGGTTCATCTTGGGCAATAGTATCGGAGACCACTTCACTGAGAACTAAGCGGCCTCCTTCTAGTTGCCCGGGGTGGGGAAAATGAAAGAAAAGGGAAAGCAAGGATAGGGCAAGCTGGACGGTAAATGCAAGCGCAACCAATGGGTATATAAATCTTACCTTTTTCAATCCCGTGCAGTCTGATTCAGCAAGAAGGAAAGTAGCAACGTCAATAAGAACCGTGCCCGGGATAGCCACGACCTGACTATCGGCTCCATACCCCTTAGTCTGGGCGTGTTGATCTTCAATTTGAAGCGCAACATCCTTTTCATCTTTTTCATGACCCTCATGGGGATCGGGTTTATGACAATGCCAGAAATCCATCATCTCAGCCCAGTTTCCACTGGGTAGATCTTTCCATACCCAGCCTGTGATAGACGCCGACGGATCAGCGTGTTGACTTGCATCCCCATGGATATGACTAGGAGGAGAACTTAGAAACAGCGTCGCACATTCCCGACACCGAATCCTCGTTGATAACGACATCTCCACGGCAGTCCACGGCACAAAATCATCAATCAGTTCATCCTGAGGCGCCAGCGCCTCTTCATTAGGATCAACCTGCATTCGAAAAGAATAATCATAGCTTCCGCTAGCTGAGTCAGAGTCAGATCTAGATGCTGCATTTGCTGCAGGGCCAGCAGAAACAGTGGCATTCAAAGCGCGCCGAGACGCGTCACTAACACGCGCTGGCAATTTAATCGTCTCAACCACATTCTGAAAAGGTGTTGGTAGTGACACTGTTACTGCTTTTCGTGATTCTGAGATTTGGACTTTTGGTCGGATGTTGTTCAATTCTGGTCGTCCTGGGAGGGAGACGTAAAGGGTTATTTGGCGGATGTTGGGGAGGAACTCTGCGTGTAGGTACAAGGGTACCTCAATTTCCTGCATTTCTTATGTCCTGGCTGGGTCCTGGTGAGAGAGGTGAGGGATATGTCAGTGTAGAGAGTTGTTTCTGGGCGCATTCATGTCCTCAAGGTTCTTGGAGAGTTGAGTTGAGTGTTTGATGCTCGTGTGTTGTTTGTCTTTGATGCAAACCACACAAACACTCAGTTTGGCTCCGAGCTGGTCACGTGGGCTATTCAACGACGGAAATATCCAGGGATTTTGTTCATAAACACATAGATAGAAAGACAATTGGACTTGCTATGTTCTTTGAGAGCACAAACACCCTTGATCTGAATGTAAGCCCGGCACTTTATTATTGTCCTGTATTTTGATGCATAAACTAGACAGCAGATCCTACAGTTCATCTCCAACAAAATCTCCCTTCCAGCCTCGGAACTCATCAGTAAACCTTACAGCAGCCTTAAGGAAGAAGCTCTCAAAATCACCCCATGTCAAGGATAGCTCTTTCAGGGCACGAATAACCTTAACAAACTGTGCATCCGTTGAGAACTGTCCCTGAACAGCCTGCTCTGCCGTCCATTCCCAGTCCCTCCCCTTGAGATCATAACGCCGAATTCGATCCATATCAATCTCAGGACGTAGTTGTGCGATGTAAATTGCAACTGTAGTCAGCCACCACTGATGCAGAAGCGGGATCTGAAATTGTGCAGGGATCAAGGGTAGCATCACACGCATAGCATGGCTTGTAATGAGAGGAACAGCAAAGAGGGAATTGTAGAGCCCGCTGTTGGCATTGTCGAGGTCGGGTGTTGCGACGAGCAATGCAGCGGCAAGTTCTTGGCTCTCGCGGAACTGTTCCATTGCGTTTTCAATTTTCCATGCACTCCAGTGCTTGAGCAGTAATGGATTCCGCGATGTGATGAGGGTCTTGAGGTTTTGACTGTCTGGTTTGCTAAACAGATTGTTCAGCTCTTTATCCTGGCGGACTTGCTCCAGTATTTCGAACAGTGATTTTGATTCGTATGTTGCCTTGCTTGTCTGCGCTGCTTCTTCTAGGTCTTTGAAAGTGTTGCTGTAGCAGGTTGTAGTGAGACCAAGGGCTTCCATTGCCATTTCACGACTGGAGACCTCGAAAGCATGCGCGAGATGAATCAATGGAGCTCCAACTATAATGGTTAGCAAGTTCAAACATTGAAATCTTCAAGAAGGGAGACGTACGACCACCAAAGATAGAATTAAACAAAGGCTCTTCGCCTTCAAACAAGTACTCAGCAACGACTTCTCTCCAGTCATAACCAAGACGAGCTAGCTCATCTTCAAAGAAGTTGACAAATCCCCGATCATATCTATATCAACACATATAGGTGGTTAGTCTGAATTTCAAGAACAATAGTCTTAAGCAAGGTACAGTACTCACTCTCGACACCCCAAATACTCCCTCCAATCAAGATGCGTAACCTCAGCAGGCGAATCCACCCACTTAGCTTGAGAGCTAACATGATCTTCATAGATTCGCCCTAGATCATCATCACTAGCACCTTGCAAGAAAGAGGCGCATAACAGCTTAAACAAGTATTAGCGTCATCGATCAACGAACATTCAGATACAATTTATCCAGCGAAAGCAATAGAATACATACCACAGGCAACTGACTAGGCAAAGAACCTTTCAAAAACAGCCCATGCTCAACATGATTCAATTTCAATAGATGTTTCAAAGCCCGCCCAGGTTTATCCTGCGCAGTCTCGCTCTCATGCACCTTGACCGGACGAAGGTCTATGGCCCCCTTCTTGGAGAAGATGGATAGACCAAGTTTCGGTAATGATGGCCAGGAGATTGTAAACATGGCGGATACAAAGCGTGTATGTGTCTGTGTACTGCAAATGGAGTGAGGTTGGCTGGGATTGTTGGGAATTTATCGCCTCAGGCAGAAGGGACATCTTATGACATAATTTGGGGGTTATCAATCTGGTCACGTGCGACGGTTTCATGCGGTTCGTGTCTCTTCCGCTTTCTTTCTAGCGCCGACTCTATTCGGACACAAGATAGATCTACCTCATTCTGCGAGAAAGCTTGAAAAGACATTATCAAATTTGCTTGATCTTGGGATCTAAGAATGTAATTTGCATGTATAGCTCGAAGCCTAATCTTTACGAGGCTCGATAACAGGAATTGGCTGCTCGGACTGGGGATCCACCTCTCCAGCGAGGACCTCGACCTCAAAGCGAGGCCCGACGAAGTTTTTGCGGCCGTCTACGATCCACTGAATGGCAGAGACTATGAAGACGATGCCGAAAGCAGCAACACAGTAGTCTAAGAGATATGGTCAGATTGCTGTTTAAGCCATGGTATGGGGACGAAGGGTAACTCACTCATGCTGCTGCCAGTAGCGGGCAGTGCAGGGGGGAAGAGGAAGAGGATGGTTGTGAGAGCAATGTATGCCAATGAGATCTGAAGTTATAGAGTTAGTCATTGCACGCAGTTAATGTTGGACATGAATCACATACAAGGTTGAAAGTCCAGCCAATCAGGTTTGGCAGAACGAAGGAGCGTTCTGGGAGCATTCTCCGGCCACGGAGACAGTTGACCGCAACTGGCATTCCATATGAGAGGTCGAGGAGCACCACTGATGCAGAGACGATGGCATTGAAGGCGCTTGAGGAGCCCAGGAAGATGAGACCGAAGACGGTCACGAGTGCTAGGTTGAGGTAGAGGGAGTTCAATGGGACTTTGAGGCTGGGGTGGACGCGAGAGAAGAATGGGGATGCAGGCAGACCGCCGTCACTGGATTGATGTCAGTTGATGCTACACGAAGTTCGGGAAAGTTTTCATTGGTGACGTACCGTGCGAAAGCGTAGATCATACGGCTGCTAGTGGTCATGATAGCTGTGGCAGCGAACAGGACGCAGACCAGAGGGAAGCTGGGCTAATTAGTATACCGGATCTCGGATATTGAGAATAGAGTGTTCTTACATCAACAGACAGATAGCGCCGGCATTGCTGGAAGTGGCATTCTTCAGGATCTGAAGGAGGGGAGTCGCAGCAGAGTTGATAACCTGCTGGATATCACCAGCTACGAAGAGCAAGACAACAAGGAAGATTGTACCAGTAACGGTACCAATACCAACACAGGCAATCATGATCTTGGGTCCCTCGATAGATGGGTTGGGGATTTCTTCAATCATGTGGGCAACACCGTCCTGACAAATTGTTAGTTTGCGAAACCTTCAGCCTACAATGGTATACTCACAAATCCAGTAACACCGAGACCTCCTTGCAAAAGCTTTGAAGATGTTAGCTTTGAGCACATATCTCAATAGAGTAGAACATACCCCGAGCAACCAAGCGATGCCATCGGGCCATCCAGTCTCATTGATGAAATCAGTGAAGACAAACTCGGCAGAGTTGTAGTTAGGCGAGGCGCACGAAAGCACAGTAATGCAAATAACAGCGAAACCAGTCAGGGACCAGATGACTGAGGAGGTCAGTGATAGTTCATCAATAAAGGGTATATTGAAAACTTACAGGCTCCCTTGGTAACATATGGCAGAACATTGTTCATAAAAGCATTGATCAAAAAAGCCACAATGTTGTAGCCAAGGTAGATCAAAAACTGGTGCCAGCGCTGCGGCTCATAAGCCTGATAGGGAGAGAATTAGCACCGAAATCCAACCTAATCCTGACCAAGATCTTAACCACATACCGGGTTCATGAGAGAAATTACACCAAGGATAAGCTGACTGCCCAGCAGACCACCGGTCGCGACCAGCGCAACCCATCCAGAGCAATTCACCCAGCCAGTGATCCAAGACAGGGCAGGCATCCAGCTTCTCCAGGAAGTGACAGCAACCCAGTGGTATTGGCCTCCGGCAGTCGGGTAGGCAGACAGGAATTCAGCCAGGGATGTGGCCATGCACAGATTACAGATACCTGCTGTAACCAAGCCTGTGAAGTACATCGTCAGTCTGATACAGTGCGTACAGATTTCAAGTGAGAACATACCCCAAACGACACTTGTGCTGCCTCCAGAGGTCAGACTCAGCTCCAAACTGGCTGATAGTGCGGTCCATGACTGTGGTTTGTCAGAAATCAATTATCGTACCGTCAACCCGGCTACTGGATTGGATCACGTACATTGAGAATAGCAAATGCCAGACCGAGCATGGAACTGTCCGAGAATCACGGTTAGCCCCTTCCGAACTGTCGATCGATTGCAGCAGAGTGCAGAAAACTCACATCAAGGAAAAGTTCCGCTTGAGCTCAGACTTATGACCCATCTGGGCCAGCTGCGACTCATCATTATTGTATTCCTTCTCCATGGTGAGTCCTCAAAATCGAAAAGTAAGAGAGTGAAAAAAGGGGGAAAAGGAACGGACAACAGGCAGAATAAGAATGATCCAAGCCCATATGACGAATGTCGAACATCACCTTCCCTACCATTCTCCACGCTCGCATTCGCGGGGGAGAAACGACACCACCAAGTACAGTAAGAGCTGTTAGGTAACGTTTTTGGGGTAGAGACCATTCAAGCCGATAAACAAGCTGCACCTCTATTGGTCCAAATCCCCGAACCCGGCGTTTTGATCCAATCACAGACAGCGATACCGGCGGACGATCCAAACCCTTGGCATATCGCGGTCCGATGCACCCATGGCTCGTGGCGGCAGCCCCAGAGCTTATCCCTGTTCGACATTCTAATTGGTCGCAGATCCACTTACCCTTCGACGCGGGGGAAGATGCAGCTTGGGGAAGTGGGCGATCTTTGGAGAGTGTGGACTAGCAGCATGTTTCGCTGCAGAGTCGACATGTCCTTGACGATATAAACTCAATCGCAGCCTTGGCTGAGTCTTGGGGCCTCAATGTTCCTCGCGGGCTTTGTCCGGTTTGAGCGATTCGGCCCGATATGTCTTCTTCTGATAGGGATGCGGATTTGTGGAGCGCGTGGGTCGGGCAAACCTTGCTATCTGGTGAGACAAATACGGCTATGTAAGGATATCTCTCATACTGCACACGCTGGGTTTTGGTCGGAATGGAATGTTCGACTGTTATCGCCTAGAACTCTATCGGGATCGGCAGGGGGCTCAATATGCCTTTTAGTGTTGGGGCTTTTTTCGACCTTATTTTGGCTTCTCTATCTAGCCGCGTGTATTATATGCGTTCCTTGTCTTGGATTCCTTTGTGGGTGATATGGAACTATATGAATAGGGGCTTGCAATCCTTCCTTTCATGCAGTGTCCTAGTACAGTACTGTAGAAGATGGCATGATAGTCCTGTAATCCGATAGTGTGCCACAGAGTGGCGTATGAGATGATATCATCTTGAATGATAGAGAACGAAAATGTAGATCTCAAGCCTCCGGAGTCACCGAGAACTCAAACAGTTCCTGAAACCATCAAATTGACACTTCCTCATCTGAATATGTCTGATAGCACTATCTTCTTCTACGAACATTCCATGGCTCCTTCTTTTCCACGTGGATCTAGACACTTTATTTTTTGGCCACTGATTACCAAGTAATTACTCATCTACCGTGGACCGACGAACCTTGAAACGACGGATGTCATGAACAACTCCGATAACCCATTCAAAAGAATGTCATAAATGTACACTAAGTTACTAGGCCACAGGTATATATATATCGAAGACAATAAAAAACACACGGCCGTCTCCGGCCAGAAGACATCCAGAAAAACCTCGCTAGCACGAATCAAAAACTATACTCATGCTAGGAATCAAAGCACCTCTACTCAACCTCTTCCATAGGATTCTCCAGATGACCAGTTCTCACAACATAATCATCCTCATCCTCATCGTCCATGCCCGTAGCCCCATCTTCCTGATCACCGTCGACATCATCATCAACATCCTCATCGGCCCCACGGGACTTGCCCTTCTTGCTTTCGCTCCTGCCCTTCCCCTTGCCATTGCTGCTAGTCGTAGACTGTCCACTTGGACTGCGGACCATCCTGCCAGGCCACTGTTTCAGGCCTTTGATGCGGTCGTGAATACTGCTGGTACCCGGTGCGTGGCTATCGCCATTTGAGACGGGAATTGGTGAAATGGGCTGTGTAGGGGTTTCCGCGCCATCGAGGTTGAAAGCTTCCATTGCCTCAGCGATAGTTTGGGCGCCGTTAGAGGCTGGATCTTGTTTTTGCTTGTCGACTGATTCAAAGGTTTGACGGATTCGTTCGAAGTGTTCTAACTCCTTAGCACTGCGGGGCTGTTAGTCATTTACGTTGATAAAAGGAAGAGTGAAGGAGCTACATACCTAACACTGGGCACAAGTTCTCCTTGAGCGGAGAGGAAGTCGTCCTCTGTGACTGTGACAGAAACATCCTCCGGTGTTGCGAGGTGGTCGAAGAACCAGGCAGTGCTGACAGGACCATTAGGCAGACTCTTGATTTTATCATCGACAGCCGTAGCCTTCCTTGTAATAGCCTTGAGCATGGCATCGGAACAAAGCGCGTACAGATCAGCACCGGTGTAGGTGAGAGGAAGGCGCTCAGCGACACGGTCAAGCGAGACGTCAGGGTTGAGGGCAAACTTTCGAGTCAGAGCCTCGAGGATCGTCGCCTGCTTTCTGTGGGTATCTGAAACACCCAGGTAGAGCATCTTATCGAAACGACCAGGGCGCAGCAAGGCTGTATCGAGTAGATCAGGACGATTGGTAGCACCGATGACGAAGACACCGCCGCTGTTCTCTTCGCCGCCGTTCATGCCGTCCAATTCCGCAAGAAGTTGACTGACAATCCGGTCCATTACACCACCGCTATCACCCTGGTTACCACGCTTTGGAGCAACAGAGTCCAGCTCGTCGAAGAAGACAACGCAAGGACGAGCATCGCGGGCACGCTGGAATACACGACGGACATTGGCTTCGGATTCACCAATGTACATGTTAAGCAATTCGGGACCCTTGACAGAGAAGAAATTAAGAGAGAACTCGGTGGCAATGGCCTTGGCCAGCAAGGTCTTTCCAGTACCCGGTGGTCCATAGAACAGAATACCGCTACGCTTCTTCATGCCCTTGGCGAAAAGCTCGGGACGCTCAAGTGGCAGCTGGATAGTCTCGATCAAGGCATCCTTGACATTGGTCAACCCACCAACATCATTCCAGCCGACGTTCGGAATCTTGGGGGCACCGATGGAATCGGCGAAGTTTTTGCGCGCGGCTTCCACGGCAAAATCGAAGTCTGCCTTAGTGACGCCTCGTGCACCATCACCTCCTGCCAGTAGAACATCCCGAACGAAGACCTCTGAGCCGGACTGTAGTTTACTGGCTTCAGCAAGACTCTCAAGACGAGCAGTTCTGGCTCCAGCAGCCCGTTCCACGACATCGACTAGGTCTCCTGCGACAAGGGCAGCGGTTTTCAGGGCAACGGTGCCCAGCTCCACATCGGCAGAAAGCTTGATACTGCGTTCTGCGACTGCATTCTTAAGAATGCCTTCACGCTCTTTCTCTTCCGGAGCTCCCATCTCGAACTCGTGAGTGAAAAGACCACGGATTCCCTCAGGGATGTTTTCGACATCAGTGGTAGTGGCAATGACGACTCGGGCGTCGTTCAAGATATCGGTCATTGCGGTCACAATGCGATCAGCAGTAAGCACTTCGATATGTCTGATCAGCAACGCGGTGCAGTTGGCCCCACAGTGGAAAGCCCGCTCCGCCCTGGCCTTCAGGTAAGCCTCGGTCTTGACATCGCCACCATTGGCACCGCCTTCTGTCAAAATATCATATGCGTCAATGGGGAATGTGTGGAGACCAATATCGGAACATGCGCGAGTTGCAACAGTTGCCTTTCCAATGTGTCTCTGTTGAGATCGGAGAAGGATGAAGACAGGCTTCATACCGAGCTGGATAGCTCTGGGGCTGGTTGCAGCAGACATGAGATCCCGGATCCGCTGCTGTAATGGAGGAATGAAGGACTGAGGTGGCTCAGCAACAATACCATGAGGAGCTGGGGCATCGGTGATACCCTTTGGGATTGTCTTGACACCAAGCCAGTACTCCCATCCATTGTTTAGCACACCAGGAACTCGGCTCACGTCGCTTCCAGCCTGAACCATCCGAGTAGTCGCTGGGTCAAGGACAGCAACTCCGCCCCATTGGTCTTCGCCTGGCTCTTCCAGCTCCTCCACGGTAGTCGGTGCAACCTGTCCAACGCGGAACCAAGCAACACCAATTTTGCGGGCTCCCGCGTTACCAGAATCTACATTCTGGCCGAGTCGTGTCGTGATATCTTCTTCTTGGCTAGCGCTGTCCCCGCCAGCGGTTCCAGAGAAGACTGCTCTGCCGAGTCCTTCATCGACACTGATACCGACCAAATCACCGCTTTTGAGAATACGCCGGCGTGACTCGAAGTAATGCTTCAATCCTGCAAATAGCGCTGGTTGAAGAACCCGGTCCATCGAAAGTGGAGTAGACACCTTTAGTAGGGTAACTTCCTTTGCCAGAGGCGGGTTCTTGGCAGCAGTGTTCTTTATCTGGTGCAAAAGACCAGGCTTCGAAGAGATGTTTGCTGTTGCAAATGTCATGGGAGAAATGCGCAGATACTTGGGGTTTTCTATGTTACCCAAAAGCAAAGGCGGGACGAAAACTGAGGGGGTCAAACGAGTGGGTGGGCGTTGAGAGATGCTGGACCGACGTTCACCTGAGTGATTAATGGCATAACGCGGCTTAGATGATGGAAGACCCGTGAGACCGAAGATCTTGACTGGACGCCAATCACCAGAGTCTTCGGGGGAGTCATTGAAGCTTCCAAATTTGAGGGAAGCAAACATGTTCAGCTGTGGCTCCTCGGCTGCTTCAATTTTGACCCAGTCTCCAGAGAAGCAACCGATTTTGGCCAGAGTGCTGATGTCTACAAAGACAAAAGAGTCGACATCTTCGTCATCGCGCGGCCGGGGGTGCAACACTTCATTCGGAACTTGTTGGAGGAGACCTTCAACCTTGAAGGTCTTGCCTCCACCACGACCAGGGCGCATTGTGGCTGATGTGAAATTCGATGCCACTGATCCTGGAGTATGAATTCCGTCCGTGCGGCGACCACCAGCTCTTGGAGTTGCTGATGTCAATGAAGACATCACCCCAGATGCAGGCTGTGGCAGTTCAGGTGCGCTGAGGGAAATCATGTCTTCCAAAGAATCATCCGACGAGTCGCTCATTGAGCCTGCAGATCCCTCTGTTTCCGACTCCTCGGCCGCCGACGTAGCTTCCATCTCCGTTCCGCTTTCACCGAACTTGTCTTCCGCGGCAGAGTAGAACTGTTCGTTGGAGGTATCATCGGCCTCGTCTTCGGCCACTTGCTTGAGGAGGGCCGACCTCGAGGGAAGGGTTTGCTGAGCACGATTTCCTTGTGCTCGAGACTGGATAAGAACGATCTTGGTAGTGGGCATCAACAGGCCTTGCGAGACAGGCTCGCAGAATGAGATTCGCGCAGGGGGTGGCGGCGCATAGGTGATAGGGTGCGGAGGGAGAGGCAGAGGCAGCACATCCCCAGTATGTACAATGCGCTGCGCTCCTAATGCCTCACGAACAGCTGCGGTTAACCGTTGTTCGGCATCCGCTGCGGCCCTCTTCGAGTACTTCTTGGCCTCTGCGGTCCTCCCCGCCTTTCCCCAGAGACCATTGGGCCCCTGCGCATTCTGGAACCCACCACTGAATTTGTTCTGAATGTCATCATGATCACGAAGAAGATGACGCTCTACGGTAACGAATATCGTATCAAGGTGAATTGGGGCGACATCCAAAATCCGAATCTCTACAGACCGATGTGCTTGTAGGCTGTTGCGCGATGAATCGACTTTTCCCAGAGCCTGGAGAAAAGGTTGGAGTGAGTCCGCTGACTCTGGGAATAGAACAGTCGAGTGTGACATTGGGACTGGGGACCTCTCGGTAGGCTGGATGCGCACTGGGAGTATCGTCCACGCTTGGTCCTCCACCGGGGTATGCGTCGGCGTATGCGGGGCAATTGCAACGTACAAAACTCCATCATCAGAGGTTGTGACATCTAAGAGAAGAAAGACATATTTGTTAAAATTATGACCAGAAATGACCGAATAGAATAAGACTCACCTTGGAGGGCCTGCTGCTGGAACAAGTCGTTCGCTAGATCTTCGGATAGGATGCCGACCTTCCCACGCAGCTGAGGATCCAGAGCCAGACGTGCTGCGATCGGAGCCTTGTTGTTCAATCGTCGCTTCCCGGCTCTTCTTCTCCGTTGCCTCGGCTGGTGGGAGCTCTGTCCATATTTCTCGAAGTCCATGGGGGGCGGTGTCTCCGGTTGCCGTCCAGGAATGAAGCGGGGGTGATTAAGGGCGCGGTACGTAGAAATATAGAAAGGAATTGGAATCACCAGATCATTCGGTCAGCAAGCTCCTGTCAGAGTATATACACAGTCCGACCAGAGTTACTGAGGGGAGAAGATGAGTGGTCGCCGGATCCAGAATCCGGGGGAAATCAACACGCGGGCATCTCGGCACCGCCCGCCGTTCTGCCATGTCCCGAAGCCGAGGTCCAATCGGCCGTTGTATGCGACAGCAGAAGCGCTTTTATGTATGTATTATATTGATTGCATATGGATTGACTAGAGATTTGGGAGCCAAGTATAAAGATTCAACCAAATTCCAAGTCAAGCAATTTGGGAACTCGTAAGCATGCCTCAACGTAATTGGTCAACGTTACTTCTTGCCTGTGATCGCGATGAGCTTCCCCAGAGCTAGACGACTGACATCATTTAATTAGGAACAAGGCTTAATGATTCGACGTGAGCCTAGCCTTGAGCTCTCTACACTTCAGGCACCTGGTTTTGGTGCTTGAATGCGTTGCATTCAAGATAATGAGAACGCATGTTTCAGCCCCAATCACTGATACATGTCAACTGTTGGCCTGAGACACCAATTCAACTTAGATTCCTCAAAGTCCTGACAAAAAATGTATTAGGCAGTCGAATTCGTAGAGCCAACAGCATACGGACGACTATCGTCATCCGGCGATAACAATGCGAGGCTGCCACATTCCCAAGGAATCAAATACTGCTGACTGGTGTACTGTCTTATCGCAAGAATAGGCTGCCATATCCGACTCAAGGAGAGAATGTTCAGTATATTCGATCTACAATGACATTTAAAATGTGGTCAAGAATAATTATTCGGCATCCTTGTAGATGCCCGATGCCACAGTCAATTACCGGACTGCTGATGCTACAAATCTCAAGGAGAAACGGCTGCTTTTGACTGCGCCGGGGCTGGACGGGTGGGCTGTGCACTTGGACTGAAATGAGGCGCAGTTGAATGCCACTCCAGGGTCCAGCCGCGATCTGCAGATGCACAGAGTACTCCGTAGGCAGACAGCAAAGTAAACGCTCGGGGGCTTCGTCCACCGACAGATGTACCCAAGTTGGTCCGACTTGAGCCGGTTATTGGGCCGGATGGGTGAAACCAGGTGCGTAGGTGCAGCTCGTATCCAGTAGCCCGTATTCCGTATCCTCGTATTGCAAACCGTCATTGTATGGATCTGTGGGTGGGCGGGATGTGGATTGGCTATTCAAGACCCTCTCTCTTGTCTAAAGGCCAAGACCCTAGACTACGTCGGGCGCAGTGCCAATACTGAATCAGGAGATGTGGCATGATCCAACGATAATAACCTGGACGTGTAATGGGTGACGTAGAACAGAACACACCAACGGGAAGCGGGTAAAACGGAAGAATATAACACAAAACAGTTACCTGAACTCAATGAGGCTCGTCGGAGATCCAATGTCTCCGAGCCCGAGTTTCCAAAAAAAGCAGTGGGGAACGGTACTGTATGGATGTGTACCCGCCAACAAGGCTGGACCTGGTATTTTCATTACACGGTGACAATACAGCCATCTCAGCCAATCATGTGATGCAAAATGTTGCTCAGCCATCGCAGTCTTTACTATTTCGGGCTTAGCGTCTTCGTCTATCAGGCAGACATCCAACGCGCCATCAGAGCCTCTAGTTCTTTCTTCCTTGATCCGCTTATTCCCCCCTCGTCGCTGTCAAGTTTATTCTTTTATTCTTCGTTTCTGCCCTTTTAGTTATCCATAGCTGCCTTCAAGAACTTCCACTATCGCCTATAGTGGGGCTGTCCGCCATCTCAGACGTTATCGCTCCTGATATTCACAGACATTGGAAATCATCGCATCTTGAATCCGGGGTACCGTATTATTTTTGGATGATTATCGTTGACGATCGAAACCCATATTGGCCGGTTGTATCGGTCTGATACGCCTTCGACATCTGTATTGAAGTATTCCGACCGCTCCGACACTTTTGGCTCAAGATTGCATACGCACCTGGAAATTATCAGACCATCGCGATCCTGATAATTCTCCCCCCAACCGTGCGCCTATTGAAGTTCGTCGAGAGCTGTCGCTTCAGATCAACTAGAAGCGGTTCCATCTTATATATATACCCCCACGAAGTCGGAACCAGAGGCTTACATCTCTGACTCGACTGTACGTCACTTCTCGAATCATCTGGACACCGATCTATTGTGAGTCATGGAGTCAGCCAATCAGCCGCAATACCCTGTTTTTCCCTGTTGGGATCGGGTTGCTAACACCTGGGTTAATGCAGCACCGCCAATAATGTCGTCCGCCCAGCCAGAGTCCTCGCGGCTTCACCCGCGTCGGCGGCCCTTAAACACTGAACTGCCTGCCCTGTCGACCGACTCTGCTGAATCTTCCCAAATGTGCCTGAAGAAAGGAGAGACCTTCTCTACTCCCACCTCGCCGCCTTCCAGTGACAGTGATCCGGTCTTGAACCTTCGCTCACTGCCTCGCCGTTCGCCAACATCCTTAGAAGCAATCACCGCCGCCGAGGAGCGTATGACTTCTATCCTTGGTCGTCTGAGTCTTAGTACCACCGAGGATAAACAAAAGGGTTCAGGAAACACTGGGCTTGAAAGCGTGCGCAGGAATTCCAACACCATGTCGAACCCCACTTCAAGCGAAAAGAAGACAGAGCAAGAGCATGATCATAGCCACGATTCTGACAGTGGCATTGGATCATCTGTCGGTAGCGAAGAAGAGCTCTCTGATTCGAACAGCAAAGGTAGGGTCAATCGCATTGTTCATTCATTGTCCCCCTTTTGAAGTGCCATGCCCTAACAATTAGCAGATAATGGTATTCATGACAAGAAGTCTACCATTGCTGAATCGATTGCTGCCTTTGATTCAGGATCCTCCTCCAAGCGTCAATTAGGTCCCCTTGCCTGCAAGCAGATCGAGCGATATGTTCTCGTTCCCATTCTCAAAGAACCTCGCCTCAAACCGTTCCATCCACTCGTACGAAGCATTCCTCAACGCATCGTGAACAAACAGATTGTCTGTCTGCGCGATCTCGAGAAAACCCTATTGTGGTTGGCACCGGTAAGTTCAAATTCTGTTCTTTATAGGGTTTTGGAGTTCTGGCGACTCATCTGTTTTTCTTTATCAAGAAGTCGGCAAATACTCGAATCTCGTATCTCAACTTCTGCGAGTTTACGATTCAATGCTTGCATACTTCGGCGTCTCATCTTAACGACCGCGATCAACGACTACCTGCCGATCGCCCTTATACTAACGGATACTTCCTCGATCTTGTTTCACAGGTCCGCCGATACGCCGCCATGATTCGCGCTGAGCGTGAACGGGTTCAAGCAACCCGGGGCGGTAAGCCCGAGGAGAAAAGTACTCAGTATGTACTTGCGCTTTTATCCCATAGACGTCCCTCTTGTCTCAACTACGAATTTAAGCTAATTCAACTTGTGATTATCCAGAGTACACCAAGCCCATCTGGAACATGGCATCTCTAAGGATGGAAAGCCTCTTGAACTTGTTGTCATGCAAGACGGAAAGCCTATTTCTATGATGACTGGTAAGCCTTACGAGGTGGACTCTGCCACCTTGGCCAGCTCCATCAAGCGTACTATCAATCTCGATGATGCTGTCGATGAAGGCGTCCAGCGCTCTATGGCTCGCCGTAAGAAGAATGCTCCTCCCATGGACATTAACCAGAAGTGTTCCCACTGTGAAAAGATTTTCAAGCGCCCTTGTGACTTGACGTAAGTGATATTGTTCCCTCGACCGAAAGTTGATGGTAGTAACGTCTTGCAGCAAACACGAGAAGACCCACTCTCGCCCCTGGAAGTGTGAAGATACTTCCTGCAAATATTTCAAGGTTGGCTGGCCCACCGAGAAAGAACGCGATCGCCACATGAACGACAAGCATTCGGATGCTCCCAAGCTTTTCCGTTGCGGCTTTGAGCCATGTACCTATGCCTCCAAACGCTCGAGCAACTGTAAGCAGCACATGGAGAAGGCTCACGGATGGAAATATGTTCGATCCAAGAACAATGGTCGCAGTGGCAGCACTGGCAGCAAGCGTGATTCCTCTGTTCAGGCTACCCCTCAGACACCTAGTGTCTCTACTCCTGCTTCCAAGGCCACTGATTTCGCTACTCCAACCACTGGCCCCAGCCCCTCTCCCAGTGACCAGACTTACAACTGGCCTGAACACAACTTCAACTTTGCAGAGCCTCCAGCGCCTCTCAGTGATGACTTCCCCTTGTTCGGTGAATCACCGCCTTACTTGATGAATGATATCAACTCTTTCCCGACCTCGATGAATCTAGATGGATTCCAGGCTCAGTTCGGAGCTGGTGATCCGAACGAACTGATCCCGGCTCTGGAGATGCACCGGCAGTCCATGAACTCCATGTCTGTCCCTTCGTCAGAGTCCGTTCCGGACCTGATGGGACCCGTGTCCTTTGATGGATCTCCCCTTGCTGGAACAGACAGCATCAACTTCGATCTTGAGTGGAACAACCTCGAGTACCCCCTCAACGAAGAGTACAATGCCATGTCCATGCGTATGCAGGCACCTACTCACCCGATGGAGGCTATGAAGGGTTACTCGAACGAGTATGCCCAGATGAACAACAACCATCTGTCCTACGGTCTTCCCACGAAAGTCTCCGGTCTCTCCCCCGGTGCCCAGGGCAATGCCATGCTGTACTCTCCCGATTCATCCAACGTCGGTGACACCTTGTCGGAGCGCTACGAGTATGCTCTCCAGCCTCAGGCTGGGAACGACTTCACTCTGTTTGATCCAACATCTCAGATGTCTCATGCTGCTCCACGCATGACGCAGAGCAACAGCAGCGAGGCGATGCAGTACCACCGGACTCAGCAGACCATGTTCCACTCTCTTAATGAGCAGCAGCGCGCTCTCATGAACTCCTGGAACGGCCAGCCCATCCAGGGCCACTATTTGCCCCGCGACAACATGGAGATGGATTTCAAATAAAAGAGGAGGATTTACAATATCGTACAATATCACAACCTGTTTGCAATTTTTTTGTTTTTCACCGTTCTCAAGCGACTCAGCGACGATAATCAGGCTCTGCTCCACGTACTCGTGTTTCCAATATATTTTTTAGTCCACAGAAATCTCTACGTGATTATTTTTCCATTATTATATGAATCCTTTTGTGAATAGTCAGCTGGAGATCAAAGGCCAAGTCATTCCTAGTAACGCAGACTCAATAATCAACCCACGATCACACCAAGACCAAGACCAAGACCAGCCAGTCTACGCCCTGTCAAGCCCATGACAGAAGCCGAGAACAGTTCTCGCCTCATAAGGCGCAAAATCTCAGTAGGCAACACCATAACCAGTCTTGGCATTCGAACCCCAATAACTGATTGCAAGGTGCAAAAGCCAGTGGAGACAAACAGAAATACTATACAGTCAGAGCCAGAAGGCCGCGTCAGGAAAGCCGATCAGAATACCCAAGTGGGCGTAGTCTGAGCCAGCCCTACAAACTGCAGGTGACGACATCTCTCATCTTCTCCGCCTCCTTTCCCGCTCAACCCTCTCCCTCCTCAAATTCATTCACGCTTTCTTCCTCTGATTTATTTGCTTTAAAGAGCTGTTGTTGTCCCAGCTTCTTCTAGTCGCTGTTGAGATTTCAGCGTCAACTGGCCTTGTTAGGCAGACGCATTCCCCTCGTTTCACGACTCCGATTTGACCTTGACAACCACGATCATCGCAAGCGCCATTTCACTTTATCAGGGCTGGCGATTTACTCTACGCTGAAACAAGCAAATTTATATTCCTTAATCCCGAGAGGAATATCAACCTTCTTTGCATAATGCCCGAATCACAATCGTCTGATCCCGCATTCCAGAGCGGCAAGGGCGGAGATGGAGATGTGTCTGTGTCTGCGCAACCCGTCACCCCGCCAGGCCAGATTCTGAGTGGAAAGCAGGAACACTGTAAGTTGGTAAAGATCGCGATGGAAGCAATCCTCTGGCCCCGGCGTTTCCGGATACATTCGCAGTGGCAGTTGCTGACTAGTGGGGTAATCCGCAGACCTCAAGCGCGAGCTCATTTCCCGACAAGTCCGCCATGAAATCTCCGAGTTGAATTCCCCGACAGCACTGCAGCGATTTGGTGCGCCCTTTAGGTCTGAGTTTGGTGAGGTTGCGCCTGTTGACTCGGAGCTTCCGATTTTGCGGTATATCTTTGTGCATCATGTGCGGAATTTCCCGTTCCTGGACCAGGCGCGGGAGAAGGAGTTCTGGCAGGATAAGTTGCAAATTGTGAGTTCTCTCTCTGTCTCTCTCGTGAGACTATGGGGTGGGTGGTTTGCTGACTGGCTCGTTCGCGATATAGTTCTTGGAATTGTTCGCCAATAAACATGTCTCGTCTTCGGAGGATCGGTTGGAAGAAACAAAGCGTCGGAAGTTGGCTCGGAAATGTGAGAAGCTCGTGGAGCTGATGATGGTATCCGGTGTGCCGACCGCGTCTGGATACGAAGAACGCATTCAGTTCTCTGAGATGGAGGTTGTGGAACGCGGAGCTCAAGATTCGGGCTTGCTGGTTAATATGCCCGAGGGTAATTCGATTAATGGCTGGGATGTGAATGTTGCCGCTGTCCGGACAACATCTGTCAAGCGGACGATGCGGTACCACCAACACGCAGTAAGTGATGTTGTCCCGAGAACTTTTTTGTTTTGGAGACGTTTGCTCACCACCTGTATAGGAATTCCTGATCCGAGTTCGTCAAGATGGTCAGGACGAGATCCACGTTGGAAGGAGATATGGAGAGTTTGTTAAGCTTCACAAGAGACTGAGGACTGAGATGCCTGGAAAGCATCTCCCTCCTCTCCCTCGCAAGAACAAGACCTCTACCTCGAGCTGGTTTGGTTCAAACAACGATGACGACGCCTCTTCGATCTCCTCTCTTTCGACTCAGGGTGCTAGCATGCCTGAAGAGCTGCCTACTTCGCGCACCCTTGCCCCATCCCAGGGTAGCGTTCGACGCTCGATTTCACGCAGTTCCATGCGATCAACCAAGTCGCCTCGCGCTTCCACAGCTGAGGTATCAAGAGAGACTGTATTATACCGCGAGGAACAACGTGTGTCGCTGCGCGCGTTCCTGCGTACAGTATTGCAGAACAAGCGCATTTCGGAATCAAAGGCGATGGAAGACTTCTTGACTGCCCGTCCTATCAAGTTAAACGAGGAAGAACAGCTTGATGTTCAGAAACGCAAGGCCATGGATGCGGTAAGAATCGAGGAGCAGAAACGCTTTTATGAAATCGCCAGGCAGCGAGCTGCCGAGTTGGACGTTTACATGGAGCAGTTCCGTCGGGATATTGTGGAGAGCAACGGATTGACGAAGCTCTTTGCCGAGATTCGGGAGAAGCCTTCGATTCAAGATCTGAGCCCACAATATCAAAAGTTTGCTGAGTGGCTTCGCATTGAGGTCGCTGCAACGATATACCACCTGTTCCTTGCCGAAGATAACTCTCCGGAACTTTTCGCCCAGGCGAAGCGCATTCACGGCCTCGTTCCTTATACCCTGATGAAAAACGTCATTCGTATTGCCAACCCAGCCGCAGTCATGTCTGGTGTTCTCGACCTGTTCATGGCTCAACCCTTCGGTTCACGGTCACTCCTCCAGCGCATTTTCTCTTTGACATTGAATGAGAGCATTAAGGACTTCCAGCGACACATCAACTCACTTGCTGCCAAGGTGGAGGATGAAGTACTCACCAAGAAGCTCAAGGCCTTCGCAGACGCCGAGGAAGAGATCAAGAATGAGATACGAGCAGAAGCTGTGGCCGATGACGTTGACCTCATTGTCGCCATCCTTCGCTCTGAACTGATCTCCCCGGAGCTCACGCCAGAGCAGATTGGAAAGGTATTCAATGGCTACGTCGCCTGGAACCACGCAGTTGACAATGTAGACCTGGAGATGCAACAGGGGGCCCAATGGTTTGCTCACATGAAGCAGCTTCTAAAGCTTTTCACCCGTCAACGCGATAAGGCTATGATGTTGAGCATTGTTGAAGAGCCTGTCACATTACAGCTCTTCCGTGATCTTTTCACCATCTTCTATGAACCTCTGGTCCGCGTTTACAAGTCTGCCAATGTGTACAGCAGTATCACCGACTTTGCACAATTCGCCGACGACGCCATTAGTGTTATTGAGAGCGCCCAGCGCCAAGATGCCTCTGCCGATCCAAACCAAACCGTACAAGCCTTCATCGACCTGTGCGCTCGCCACGAGGCCAACTTCTACAAATTCATCCATGAAGTGCACCAGCATGATAACGGTCTATTCCAATCTCTGATGGCCTGGATTGAAGAGATCCTCGACTTCCTGCGCAACGGACCCGCAGGAGGAAAGATGGATATCAACGCGTTGTTCCAAGGAGCCGTAGGCGTCGGTCAAGTCGATAAAGAAATCGCCTTGAACGAAATCAACGCCTTGATCAAGTGGCAAGAAGACCGCAAACGCTGGCACTTGAACAAGACTCGCCAGAAGATGGCGGCCGAAGGTACCGCTGGAGATATCATGCCTGGTGCTGGTGCCTTCCGTAGTGGTGATTTCGGTCTTGATGAGGTACATACTCCCAAAATCACCCCTACTTCAATTTTACTCAATATACTAACACACTCCCCAGGGCGATCTTGAAGATCTCACCATCTCAGATGAAGCATCCGACGCCTCAGATGAAGATACAGAAGACGAAGACATGGACGATCCCATCGCCGTCGAGCGTCGCCGTCGCACAAAGAAGCAGGATCAGCTCCGCCGTACAGCTGGTGAACCTGTTAAGCCTGAAGTTACTGAGATTCTCAAGTTGGGTGAACCGTTTGTTGTCATGTTGCGACATGTGCTTGCGGATTAAAATTTAGCTACAAGGCGAAGCCGAAGCGGACGGAGACGAAGATGTTTAGAGTAATTTCTTTTGCAAGCATAGTTCTGATCGTGATACCGCCAAGATATGGCCTCGGTGCTTTTCTTTTTTTGTTTGATGGGGATTTAATATACTTATACATTGCTTTATGATTCTTCATACCTTGGTCTTGGTTTATTCTGAGAGTCGCCATGCTTCTTCTTTCCTGGCTCCTCCGTTGGCCAAGGAACCTCCGTTTGGTTTATTTCCTAGACTTCCAGCCTGATACCTCTTGCCGTGATATGTTTTATGGTGGACATAGAGCACAATGTTGTACGACAATTAGTTACCTTATGATCAAAGCTTGACCTTGATTTTTTGAGGCCTATTGATACATAGACAAAATAATGTTAGCTTGAGTAGTCAAAAGTGGTCCAGAAACAATCGGGTTTCGGCTTCTATGATGGCCTTGAATGTACCTTGGTATCCTTATTACCGTGGCACATTATGGGAGGGTCAAGACCGGCTGTCTCCTAAATTTGATGCATTTGTATCAGATAAATTGTGCTATAGTGTTCAGTGCATCATGTTCTTCTTATCGAATTTGTTGCATCAGTATGAATTAATTACCCTGCAATACTTCCATAACCTGGTAGTGCTGATTTTCTTTCGCCACCTCCAAAGGCGATTTCCCCTCTGTATCTCTTAGCCCAGGATGAATTCCCTCTGCCCCTAGAAGAGTATTCACAACCCCCAAATGCCCACAAAAAGCAGCATTGAACAGTGGCGTCTGCCCATTCTCGTCACGGGCATTAGGATCAGCCTTCCGCGGCCCACTCAACAGGCGTCTCACAGTGTTTTCATGGTTCCCATAAGCAGCAACCCCCAATGGCGTAGTTCCATGCATATCAGCAATCTCCAATCCAACACGGTCACACCCAACCAACAAGTCAACCATGTCCCCCCTCCCCTCCTCAGCCGCCGTAAAAAGCGGCGTCTGTCTCTTCCAATGTGTCTGTAAATTAGGATCCGTAGCATCCCACCCAAGCAAGATCCTCACAACATCCAAATGACCAGCCGCTGCAGCAATAGTAAATGCACCACGTCCATATCGCTGCCCATCCGCATAAGAAAAGGATGAGCGGTCATCCCTCTCCCCACCAGCATTCGGATCCAGCTTCTCTCCAAAGAACTTGACCAAATATTCAACAACATCAGCATGGCCCCTCACAGCCGCATAAAAAAACACATGCTGGCAATGCTTCGCACTGTCATCCCCATCCAGGATCAACCGGACATGTCTAGCAAGCAACAATCCCATATCGCAATTGAGATCGCGCGCAGCACGCGATAAAGGCGTCCGGCCATGCCGATTCGCAATACGGGGATCGGCCCGCCCGCTCAGCAAAAGCGTCGTCATAACGGTGGGCTGTTGATCTGCGCAAATCATCATCGCCGTATCGCCCGCCTTATCTTGGAGATTGACGTCTGTACGTGCATCTGCTAGGAGGGTCTGCACGATCTCTATGTGGCCTTGTTTTGCGGCCCAGGAGATCGGGGGCCGGATCCATTTGTAGTCGCGGGTATTTGGATTTGCGTCATCGTTCAGAAGAAGCAGCTTCAGGACTGCCAGGCTGTTGTGGAAGGATGCTAGCAGGATCGGGGTGCACCCTTTTAGGCGGGGATCTCTGTCTGTTTTGGAGTTGGGATCGGTGTTTGCATTTAGTGCTAGGAGAACCGTGGAAGGTTTATTATATGTGCTGGCCCAAAAGAGGGCTTTGGGGGTTGGAGATATGGCGTCGTTTTTGTAGAGGGTTCTGTTTAGGAGAGTGTGGGCTGTTTTGTTGGTGCGAGCAAAGGCGTTCAGATCGGCCAGCTCCGGAAGAAAATCTGATATTGCGATGTATAGCTCCTTAGGGAGCTTTGAGATTGGTCCTTCTGGGCTGATGCATGTTGTATGCATCTGGACCGTTGATTCGGGTAGAAAAGCATGGAGTTGGACTTTTCACGGTGACCGTGGTGGGGTTGATTTCTTATACTGAATATAAAGCTGCGAACTCAGCCTCGAGAGACAAAAATAGAGCTTGCGGGGGGCTCCACATTAGGCAAATGGATTCAGCGAATGTCTCAGTGTTTGTCTCAAGTGAAGTAGAAGTGAGACGGTTCGCGGGAAGGAGATGACGCTGCCAAGAGTCCGGGGCGATAAGCGATAAGCGATAAGCGCGTCTCCATGGCGACGTTTGGGCCAACTTCATCTTCTTTGAACCTCAGCACATCTATGCTGAAGACAGAAAAGATGGCTTCTCCCCATAAAGACTTCCCTTCTTCCCCACGTGCCCGCATGTCGGCGCCCGGGCTTTTCAAAGATGGTCTCTGGTGCTGTAACTGCCCAGATCGGCCTCCAGCTAAACAGTTCCAAGTCAAGAAACAGAGCGCAAATCAAGGGAGATTCTGTAGGTGAGATCTATATGTCAATGAAAGACTGCAGCTGACATGAAAAGTCTGGACCTGCGATCAACCCCAACATCTCAAGTGCAAGTTCTTCCTTTGGGCGAGTGACGCCGAGATCCGCGAACAAGCAACCGTTCTTTCCAACTCCCGATCCGAGACCGATACTCTGTCTTTGACACCTTCTAAACCGAAGACACCAAGTCGCTTCAGCAATGGTCTCATGACCCCTCAGACCGAGCGCCGCTTTGTGGACAACCCTCAACGTAGCTTCATCTCCCCACCGAAAACGGCCAAAGCACGAATGATATCTGAGGCTTCAGACGAATTTGGATGGAATGACGAATCCGATGAAAATGAAGAGCTTGAAAATGTGCTATTGTCTACTCAGGATACGGAGGCTTTTATGACACAACCAAGCTTCCATCGTGAATCTCCGTCGAAGGTGGCCCGCACAAATTTATTCACCTCCCCTGGTAAGCGAAAAATCTCCGAAGCTACAAATATGAGTCCTCCTCAGACCCAGTCTGCCCTTGCAACGCCCTTCTCATCTCGATCCTCTCGCACTGAACAGTTCTGCCCATCATCAGTGGAGCTGTGCATGACACCTACACCAAGCAAATACAGCGATGTCCTCTATGCAGACTCAAAGTACGACATGACAGATCTGTCGAAGAGTCTACTCGATGTTTTAGATAAGCACAGTGTTGTGCTACCAAGTCACGCGCAGAAAGAGATGGTCTCGTTGCTCAATCAACATGATCTTAGGACCAAGGGTATCAGCAAAGGGCGAGACATGTCGCGCATGCTACTAAAGAAACGTGATGAAGAAATATTGAGGCTTAAGGAGCGTATCTCACATTTGGAAGCCCAGAAAGAGTTGGATCGGAGTCTGATTGAGGCGACGAAGCGACCCTGAAGCAGACAAGTCTAGTAGATATGGTTTCAGACTGCACATTTCCCTGTATTAGCTTGCATGTGTGGTTGTGATTTTACTACATTATGAACTTTACGATGATATGATATGATATTAAGTAGCTTGCACTTGGTATAATTTCATCTTTCCATAATATATAGAACGAAATCTTGTATCTGTTTGATTTAGTTCATCAGGTAACAATACATTGCATGTGTAGCTCCGTCTGATTAGAGTTAATTTAGGGTTGCTCCATAATCCCAGTGCCGGAACGGTCCACATAGTTCCACCTGACTATTCATCTTTGAATCAGCCCAGATAAGCATGTATAAAAGGGCTAGCCTAACCAAATATCCTAAGTCAATTCTCAGGAGGATGAATACAGGATACTAAAATTGCGTTTCAAATAATATTCTGATATACTTGACACTGAAATCACTTAGAATCCGTTTCTCGATTCAATACCAAAGCATGTACAAAAAGAATGTCTTGAGAAATCCGAGCCGACGGAGTTTGTTCCTCCTACAAACCAACCCAGCAAAGGAGATTCATTACCATCTGATGACCTTCTCGGGGAAGAATTCATCAATAAGCTCCAAGTAATAAGGCTGCAATGTAGATCACGTTAGCCACCATTGCAAGAACGACAGAAAACCAAGCTTACCTTCAGCTTCTCGGCATCAGGAAGTTCATCACTCTTGCTATACAAATCATAAGGATTGAATGCTCTCACAGCCTCCAACATCTTATAATCATGCTCATTCATGAAGTCATGATATGCCCCCTCCCGATGCCACGGATAGAAGGAATGATACCGAATCATAGCCAACCCCTCCTCCGGAATAATAGACTGATCCTTAACAATGTGGTAAAGATACTCGTCATGGCCCCAAGCAAGCATAACATTCTCCAATCCGCACCCAGGAGAATAAATGCCATGCTTGGTGCTATAAACAGGATTGTTATAATCCTCGTTATTCTTGAAAGACTCAGTCCCGAAGATGATCTTCTCATCAAAAGCACATCCTACAGCGAACGTATCACCAACAACATCCCACTGTCCCTGCGCACCGAAGAAGAAGAGCAGTTTGCCGAGATCGTGGATAAGCCCAACCAGTTGCATCCAGCGTGGCTTTCCTTCGTTGCGAATTGCCTCGGCTGATTGGAGGAGGTGCGTCATCTGCGACTCGGAGGTGTCAGGGTCACATTCGTCAATGAAAGTGTTTAGTTTCTCCATTGCTTCCCAGACTGTCATGTGGGCGCGCGTCTTGGTTTTGAAATCGTTGCGCGCCTTCAGGTTGTAGGCTACAGTTTGGAGAGTGTGTTGCTGAGCGTAGAAGTTTTTGACTTGATCGCAGGCGTCATTGAATTGACGGAACCCGGCCGTGTCTTTGGCTTTATCGAACACGGATTCGTCATAGAGTCCTTTCTCTCTTTGGAGGTCTGTCTTGTGGACATTTACGGCGTCGATGTTGTCGGATAAAGCCTCCAGAGAGATTGGGGCGTGTTGGATTGCGACTGCCATGGTCGAGACTTGGTGTTGTCAATGATGATATGGATATGATTTGTTTTTGAAATGGATGTTTGAAATTGTGCTGTACTGATATTCTTTTAAGACGATGGCGAAGATACTTATATACACCATGCTCGTAGTCCTAGGTATAACCGATGCGGACAGTATTGTCCGCAGTATTGCTATTCTTTCAAATGCATGAGACGTTAGTGGTTATTGATCGGTATAATGCTTCCGGCATGCGTCACTGGTGCCACACGATATGGGCCTACCAGCAGCTTGAGATGGAAAGCATATTCCGTTGATTGAAACCTGTTAAATTTCATGAAGAGTAGTATGGAAACCATTGTCCTCCGGGCAAGACTGCTGTTTCCGTGAATGATGAAACATACTGAAGAGCCATTCGGCGTCCATTTTCCGAGCTAAGAACGAGTCAATATCTTCGGGGTGTGTTGAGGGCTTTCTGATCCAAAATCGACACACAATGAGGCGTTGAAATCTGCCTTATGTTTTTCGATGACAAATGACCTGTATAGCAGCCCTGGAGTTCTACTCTTGGTTCGCCCATGGCTCAACGCTATCATATCTAGTCGTAGCCAAATTATGACTCGGCTGTCGAATTTCATGGGCCTATATCTTCGTTACTGTATAATTGAACTGACACATATAGCAGACTTTATTTATCTCTCCTAGCCCATGCCTCTAAATTCCTACCAAAATATCTTAAGACCCTTTCTCCCCAGTCGATCTATAGATCTAGATATGGTCACGTGCCCGATAAGAAAATAAATCGCTCGGCCGCAATGCGCCTCGAGCGCTGATCAACTAACAAATCGCAAACCGCCTTTACCATTCCTTCACCTCCAATGGACTCAAAAAAAGACGATCGCAGGCCGATTCAACGCGAGCTTCCCGAAATGTTTCGACCTCCCATCAACCGTGCCATGCGCACACTCGATCGGTCATTTTTCCAGCGAATCGTGCCCCTCTCCGCCGCACGGATTTTTAAAGCTAGTGATATCGCAAAGATCCGGAAGGAGCTGACCAAGAGCAATGATGTCTTGGCTGTTACTCGCGTCAATGCTGTTCGTCAGGTGGAGGGCCAAGATGGGTCTTCACTCAAGGCTTTGTTGTTGCGGGAGGACTTGAAGGCTGATGGTGGGTTATTTCGAGTTGAATTGAGGGAGGCTATGAGGAACTATACTAATGAAACTTTATAGATCAGTCAACCTGGTCGCCAACCCTTGCAGAGCTTGTCAAAAATGGAACTGTTGATATGACATCCTTTGACCTGACCTTGAATTATGACTACTGGACATATGGTATGCTCCTTGCCCTACACAGAGGGGTCACCTTCGATACTTACAATATCTCTAGCTGAAATCATCCACTCCATTCTACCGGAAGACATGGATGAGATTCCCCAAGGTTTCACGCAAGTGGGGCACGTCTGTATGTCCATCCCACCATCCATACTTCATGCCTCAATACTGACTCAACAGTGCACCTCAACCTCCGCGCAAACTACTTCCCATACAAGCACCTGATCGCCGAGATCCTCATGGACAAGAACCCAACCATCGAGACCGTGATTAACAAAACCGAAGATGTCGGCTCGCACAGCCAATTCCGCACTTTCCCATTTGAGCTACTGGCTGGCAAGAATGACCTAAATGTCGTCCAACACGAGCAAGACTGCGAATTCCGCTTTGACTACGCCCGCGTCTATTGGAACAGTCGTCTGGAGACCGAGCACCGCCGCTTAGTCGAGAAGTTCCGCCCCGGTGAGATGGTATGCGATGTGATGGCTGGTGTAGGACCCTTCGCCGTGCCAGCGGGCCGAAAGAGGATCTTCGTCTGGGCCAATGATCTCAATCCACATGGATACGAGGTGATGCAGGATGCAGTGCGGCGCAACAAGGTGGCAGACTTTGTGACGCCATTTAATGAAGATGGACGCGATTTCGTGCGTGCCTCGGGAACCAGGCTTCTTGAAGCTCCGGCTATTACTGTTACAATCCCGCAAAAGATCCGCCGGGATAAGAAGCGCAAGATTGAAGCTGGGGAGGAGGAACAGCTCCCTCCCTCGCCTAAATATACTCGTCCCTCGTTTGTCGATCACTATGTTATGAACCTGCCTGCCGATGCGATTGAGTTCCTCGATGCCTTCCCCGGTGTCTACAGCGGCAAGGCTGAGCTCTTTACGCCAAATACTGAGCAGAAGCTCCCTATGGTTCATGTCTACTGTTTCTCTGGAAATTCTGATAACGAGGTGGAGGACCACATTGATATCTGCCAGAGGATCTCTGAGCGCATCGGGTACAAGATTACCATTGATGACTGCGTTGGTGGTAGTGGCGACCAGGAGGTGGAGCTTGCCATTCATAATGTCAGACTTGTGAGTCCCAAGAAACAGATGTTCTGCGCTAGCTTCCGCCTGCCCAGGGAGGTGGCTTTCCGCAAGATCTGAGTGGTTGCATAAGAGGCGTTCAAAATGCATAGATCGATGAAAATACCCTAGAATTATTTTACCCAATCCATCTGTTGAAATAAATGTGAATGTCCAAAGTAGCAGAATCAGTTGCCTCTACACAGCATCGGAGGTAACTCATGCATGTTGACAAAAGGGCGGTGAGTCCACCACCGCCCGAAACTGCCAGATGGAAACTGCAGAGTTCAACATCAATAGGAATAACCTCACTCCATTTAACCCCACCATCTCTGCCTCAATCCAGTGTCGCATTACGAGAACCCTAGAACTCACCTCATCCACCATCTCCCACACTTCCAAGCCGATACTTCAAGATCAAAATGAGCATCCAACTCCCCCCGCCACACACCGCAAGCGCGCCCTCCCCCAAGGTGAGCTCGAAGCCGCCTCGACACTCAAGCTCGGCGCAGACCAACACACACATACGCTCTCCCTCTCCGAAGCTCGTCTAGTCATCCACAAAGTTCTGGAGAACAAGCGCCGCGGAGGCAACAAATACGAAGAGCCGGAGTAAGTCGAGCGCTCCGCTCCCAAGCCAGATGGAACAACGATGGTCCGATGTGCGATCAATCTTTATCAGGTACTGATCTATTCTCTATCTAGAAACCTGACCAAGACCCTCGATTACCTGGATGTGTTTGCGCGGTTCAAGGATGAGGAGAATATCAAGGCCGTGGAGCGATTGTTGAATTCCCATACCGAGTTAGAGATGTTTGAGCGATCACAGCTTGGTAAGTTGCCTACCCCGGTTCTGTTTGCACAGCCCCGGTCCATGGAATGAACCGGATGGATGGGATAAACCTCGGAAAATTGATATTAATGTTCACCTCGAATAGGAAGTCTGTGCTGTGACAACGCCGAGGAAGCCAAGTCCCTGATTCCCAGTTTGCAAAATAAGATCTCGGATGGGGATTTGCAGGAATTGCTGGATGAGTTGACCAAGCTGCGCAACTTTACGGAGTGACTGGTGACTGGTTGATCATGGCATGTGCATTACTCAAAAATGAGCCCGGCGTTAGGATTTATGATTAATAGAAACTGGGATGTTTGCCACCGGAATAGCGTTTTAGCATGTGCCGGGGATGGAGTCATCCACTCCGGCGTGTTCCACTCCGAGGATTACTTGAGTATTGAATAAGGTGCATCGCGTGCTCTCTGAATGGTTCCTCCACAATGATTTCCCCAGTTCTGTTGACGGGGGGGAACACTGAGGTGGTGTGTGATTGGCTGGGGGAGGGATGTTATCATAGGCCTCTGATTGGACCGGAGTAGCAGCTGCAGCTACAGTACTAGACCAGTCATACTGGATGTCGCGGACCAGGATGTCCAGACAAGGGACGCAGGAGACTCTGGTGCACTGGCAGTCATTAGCCTAAGTCTATTCTTATTATCTAACACCCTTTAAATTGGCGGCTCTTGTATGGACTGCGCCGCTGACCTAATCCTGGTCAATACGTAATATGACGGGGCTGACCAATCAGCCCATTTCCCGCCTTATCTTTTGACAATTCGGCTTGGATAATGGGGTCAACGGGTTCAAGTTTATGTTACGAGAGACATTGGCGATCGTCTGGTTCGGGTGCCGACCTGACTGTTCTCGGTAGCTGAGTATAGAGAATGTCATCATATACTGTTCCTTTTTCTTGTTCTCTTCACCTCTATTGCTCCTACCGTTTTTTCTCTTTTTAACTTGGACTCACTTTTGACGGCTGGCTCGACACATTTCCTAACAGGAATGACGGAGCGAACAACCCGGCATCTCCTTCTACTGCAGTCCCTAGCAGACTCGTCTGCTTGATTACCAGACTCGGTGATCTCGGAGATAACCCAACTTTTTTTCCCTCTCTGATAAGCCAAATTGTACATCGTCTTATCTCTGGGCTCTGCCAATGAAACTAATTCAATCTCAGGAACAACATACTGTATCTATCCCTATCTACAATGGCTACAATCACGCTGCAGCCGGGTTATTCCCATTCCCCCCAGACCCCGACTCTTTCCCCATCCCCCATATCCATCAACTCGACCCTTCCCCGCCATGGAGCTTGTGACGCCTGTCTGCGGAGGAAAAGCAGATGCGCCATGAACGAAATGGTCAACAAGTGTTATTCGTGCGATTTCCATCGCCAGGAGTGTACATTTACCCTCACGGCCGATACTCACCCCCACGCGCAACCCAAGAAAAGAAAGCTATCCGAATCCGAACCAGCCGAAGCGGTCAAGCGGTATGCCACCAATTCAGCCATGACAAGCGCCAATCCATCTAACAAGGTTGCCAGACCTGCCATGCAACAGTCCAGAGACGTTGGCCGAGAAGTGGGTGCCGAGTCGCATTCCCACCAGCCGCGGAACATGATTCGTCCGGGCTTCTTTAACCAGTCCACCCAGCATATCGGTATGACCACCGAGCTGGAACCGGCGTTGCTGGAATATCTCCCTCTCGACGAATATGATGAATGTACCGTTTCTAACTCGCGCGTGCGGAGGTGTGCCGAGGATTCCACTTTTATGCGTGTCGTTGATACCGTGCCTGTCGGTGATTCGCAGGTGTCGCTCGACGCCATTGAGAGCTTGGTGGCCCCATATGGTTCGACCTTGATTGAGAAGTTCTTCGATCATGTGCACCCTTCATTCCCGATTCTGATTGAGGAGGCATTCCGTCAATCGTATCGGGAACGTCGTGGATTGTCGCCGCTGCTTCTAGCGTCTGTTTATGTGTTGACGCTGAAGTTTGTGGATGTCGGTGCAAACTCGCAGACGGCAAGGAAGCCCGATGCTGCTCGTTTGGAGGCTGCGGCGATGAAGTTGCTGCAGGATTCTTTGCCTTTTCCCAGTCACTCGACTATTCAGGCTGGCTTGCTGTTGACGCAAAAGTCGACGTTGGCTACGGCTTCGCTGAATGGGCAGCTGGTCACGGCTGGATTTGAGCTGGGCTTACATCAAGACTGCACGAATTGGCGAATGAAGACTTGGGAGAAGGGTTTACGCAAACGGTTAGCGTGGGCATTGTACATGCAGGACAAATGGTCGTCACTCGTCCACGGCCGCCCGTCTCACATCTTTGCCTTCAACTGGACGGTTAAGGATCTCGTGGAGCAGGACTTCCAAGATGCCTTCACCTCCGGCACTGACTCTTCACACGATGACGAAGCCGTCGGTCATGGCCCGCTCCTCTTCTGCCACATGGTAGCCCTAACAACCATTCTCTCCGACATCCTCGACCGCTTCTATACTCTGCACGCCATTGAAGAGTTTCAAGCAGCAGGCAACCAACGTACACGAATGATCCTTGAAAAAGCCAAACCCGCTCAAATCAGACTGAAAGACTGGTTCTCCTCTCTCCCTCCATCCCTAAAAATGGAGACTTCCACCGGCGAACTCGTCGAAACCATTACAGACGAACACGCCCGCAATGGCGCTCTCCACCTCGCTTACTTTGCTACCGAAATCACCCTACACCGCTGCATAGTCCGCTCCCTGCTCGCAGAAGGCACAGACCCCTATCTAGCCCACATCTGCCGCTCGGCAGCCAAAACCCGCCTAATTTCCGCAATGGACTTTGTCAACCGCCTGCGACCAGCCCACCTCCGCTCCTTCTGGCCCGCCTCAGCAAGAACCAACTTTTCCTTGATCGGCTCCTTCGGCATGCTCCTCCGAATCACAGCTCCAACAAGCGAAGAAGCAGACTTCTACCGCGTCCGCCTGTGCGAGTACCGCTGGACACTCGGCGTAAGCCACAAAAACGCCGCATTCATGGGCTTCGCCCTTCAGAGTCTGGACAACGCCACCGCACTTCACAAGCACGTCCCCGCCAAACCAGGTATTGAGGAACTCATGGCTGCGACGAAGGCCGCGCCACCACGTTTGCCCACGACTGCGCATGGCACGTACGATGAGGCTATGATGGAGGCTGGCACGGGCACCTCGTCCTCTGTCATCTCTGGTCTTGCTTCGCCTGCTACTTCAGTCAGTGACATTGAAGATGGGGATGTCTCTATGCCGCCTCTCTGATCTTGCCCTTTTACTCTTCTTTCTTCCGATTTGCCTCTTGACTTTCATCTATACTGAACGACCCCCTTCACGACTCTCACACTTGGCGTTTCTATCTGCGTGCTGTACGTATAAGCGCTTTACCTCTATCTGATTATTTCGATATATTGCATGTATGTCTGTCTGTCTGCGTTATTGCAGCATTTACTCATGTACAGTTTCCTGCGCGATGCAGAAACTAATTATTTGCCTTTGTTTTCTTGTGTGTCTTGTTTGTGCGTTGACGGAATTACCCTGGCTTGGACGGAATATGGAATACTGGACATCTACTGGAAATGGGCTGAATTTGTTCTGCGTTTGTTTTGACATTTCCTCCTTATTCTTCATCCAATCATCTTTGGATGATTCTTCCCTTCTGGATGGTTCTAGATGGATTGTTCGTTGGTTCTTGTATATAGATCATGTGAATGATGATTACTTCATTTTACTTATTGTTTTCTCTTGCTGTGTACTGTATTGACACTTAATGCTAACTGGTATCGTGAGAAAATGTAGTGGTTAACTTAGGTTATGCTATGTGACATACAGTAGTTTGACACGCTAGTGCCTAATTGGGACTAGATCCATCCGACGTTCTGGATCTGATATAAGCTTAAGACAAAGTTAGTTCACTTCATGCTTGGCGGTGTACGGCATTCTAGTGGTAAACTTGGGAGTTGTACTGTTACGGTCATCAAGGATCCTAGGAGTCGGAAAATAAATCTATGAACAAAATTGAATTACCCGCCCGATGTAATAAGGATTGACACAGAGACCTTTGGTTCGGTTGAGCCAGGTACCCATGTACCGCTTAGCTCCTGTCCTTGGAGAGATGCTAACGATTGTAAAATACACATTGGATGACAAACCACACCTTTTCATAGAGCATAAATCTTGATGATATGAATGATGATCGCATCAGGGCTTTCCCAATCTGATGGAATGTGTTGTGTCACCTTAGCCAAAAGCCGGGTTACTTTTGCCATGGGGTATCACAGTGTAACCTTTTCCTTGCCTGGGGTCTTTCTCGTCACTTTGAAATGAGATGCTGTGAAGTCGGTCTTTCAATGCTTTCTCTCCGTTTCTTCAATGTGCTATTCATAATTCAAAACAATTCAACACTGTGAAGTACTTCTAGATCACTATATGTTTGAATCACGCTGCAGAACAGATCAGATCAATCCAGTCCTCAATTCAAAGATACAAGATCCTCTAATATGGCCCCTCCAAATCCAGGGATTTGCATCAAAGTATCAGGTCCATGATGCTATCTATCATGATGCACCCCTTTTTAACATTCGATTTGGCAATGATCGCTCAATGTCCACACTGTACAACCTTGCCAATCCCACATTTTTCCTAATACAAGCTGAACTAGACAGATCCAGTTCTCACTGGTCACACATATCTTATAAACAATTATGATCTCTGGACCTCCTATGAGGTCATAGTCCTCGGCATTTGGAGTGAGGTTGTACATGAGATATGCACATGGCCCGCAAATGCCCAGTCCCCCAATTAGCAATGGCGGTAATCCCTGTCCTATATAAGAGACCCTGACATCTGTTCCTACACTAAGAAGATACATAGAAACAGATCATAAGCGACAAGTACTAAACAAAACAACCACACCACTCCTCACAGCAATGGAACGCCAAGCCAAACCCGCCCACTCTCCCTTGGCAAGCATACTGGCAAAGATATGGGCCACAATCATCTGGCCATTCCAGAAACTATGGCGAGCAATTAGCTTCCTACTAAGTCCGAAAGTCTTTCCACTGATGTGGCATGTACGTACCAAGTCACAATGAAACCCACGACCGAAAAGTCAAAGTCAAAAGATCTAACACACACTGTCTCTCTCTGAGCTCCAGGTCCGAACCCTAGGCTCTCTACTCTTCCGCCTCGCCCTAGACAAATCCCCAATGCCTCCCCCAACACTAGCCACCCAGCCAGTCTTCCAACCAACAATCTGGAAAAGCAGCACCCCACTCGGAGAAATTGACTTCCTAGGTCACAAATCGAATGCTACGTATTTAACAGACTTTGACTCGGCGCGTGTCTACCACTTATCTTCTTTATTCCGGGTGGGGTATCAAAAACACAAGACTGAGAAGCGTGGATTCTTCCCTATTCTCCCTGTTCTTGCTGGTGTGGAATGCTCATTCAAGAGGTCGATTCGGCCGGGCCAGCGGTATGACATCGTTACGAGGATCATTGGCTGGGACGCGAAGTGGTGTTTTGTCATTTCGCATTTTGTCAAGGAGGGGGCTTTTAGGCCGACGATATTTACGGATTCAAAGACGAAGAAGAGCACGAGAGGGAATAAGGAGGTGGTTGGTGGTGAAGGTAGGGATCTAGAGAAGGGAGATTGTGGTGAGAAAGATGTTGTTTTCGCTGTTGTTATGGGGAGGGTGGTTTTTAAGGATGGGAGGAAGACCGTTTCGCCGATGCAGTTCTTGAGTGATTGTGATCTTATTCCTGCTATTGGTGATGGTGGTTGTCCGGGACCATGCACTGTTGTTAAGTCTGTTGGCGATTCTGGTGTTGGTGCGAGTACTGTTACTGCTGGTGGCAGTGGACCGGGAGTGGATGCGATTGATCAGCAGATGGTCATTGCTAAGGCTATTGATGAGAAGCGATTAAGAGGGCTGGAGATCGCGCAGAGTATCAATTCCTTTAATTATGGGGTTCCTTTTGATGTTAATGAGGATGTTGCCTTTTCGATGTTTTAGATTTGATGATCGGGTTCGAAGAGCTGGATTGGTTATTGTTGCGAGGCAGACAGCCTCCATGCAGCGAGAGAACTAAGAATATCTTTGATTGATGTAGACGACCTTCATTCCTTTAAAAAAAAGAAAAGTCATTCCCCCCACCACCAAAAGCAAAGTCTTCTAATATACTCGGGTTTACCAAGTTCGCCAAAATCTCAGTTCGAGTGCGATCAGCTGGCTGCTGCGTCTCATTGCTGAACAGAGAGAAAAAGAAGTCTTCGTCATCGGGGCAGATTTCATGGTCGGTACCAGATTGGTAGCCCAGAATCGAGGAGGGCGTATCAAGAGAGAATCCCGATGCAGGAAGAGGTGCAGTTCCCGGGAATGGGGACGATCCACCAGCCTGTGGTGTATGCTTCTGTACTGATGACAGTCTTCTCGATTGGGATATTGCATCCAGACCAGGTAACCGAGCTGGGTTTTGATTTCGGCCAGAGCCATGAGCCCGATACGGCGCAGGGCATGCACCTCCGCGCCTCCGAGTGAGACAGGTGCGAGCCACCTCGAGTACTTCTCGAAGCATTTCGGCGCAACGCCGCGCAACAATGATATCTTTCATGGCTGAAAATATCTGGAGGGATTTCTCGACGTCCTCGAGAAGCTCGTCGTCTGGGAGACCTGGGTAGCCCGAGAGAATGAGGTGGAGGAGAATCATCGAACCGTAGAGAGCGTATGTTGTGTTGTACCACCTGTTAGACATCAGTACAAGGATCTGAAAATAGCATTTAGGTTTATTTACCAAGTGCGAATGTAGATACGATGCATAAATGACTCATACTGCATATTGAGACTCATTCGTGCAGCCGTGAGACACGTATGCAGGTGGATGGAAAGATCGTTTTCGGTGGCTGTGCTTGCTGTTGCTGCTACAAGGAACGGTTTGTGAATGAGTATTCGAGTGTTATAATATCCTGATAGACCAACCAATGTTAATAAATAGCTTCAATTCACAGCTCGTAACATCAGCCGACTTACTCAATCTCAGGACCAATTTTTGTTTAAACGCCCATTCAGGATCATCCAATACATGTGCATCCAGGTTCAAAAACGAAGGTAGACTTTCTTTCCATTGAGAAAGCCGTTGATCTAGAGCGATGGCTAGTCGGGACTTTTCGTCCATTGACCGCTTCGTGGAGTGATACAGTTGGTGGGATGCTTCGGTGTTGATTTGGGCCAAGGCTATCATTACTGGAATCATAGCAATATCATCATCTTCAGCATCGGGATCTGAATCACCGACATCACATTTGAGTTTGGGAATAGATGCCTGGTAGTAATGTAGCTCTTTCATGCTGTCGAGGCGTCCTGAGGAGCAACACATTTCTCTGGGATATTTTAGTACAGAAGCAAGAAGCCCAGGTCGACTTACTGACATCTCATGAGAATATATACACCTTCACATACAGTCAGCTTTGCTCAATATGAACCGAGGATAGTCAACATACCACCACGTACGACGAGCCTCCCGTCGAGCACTAGGAGGCAGCGAAGACAAGCTCGATCCAAGTCCAATAGCCGCTGCTGTACGAGCGGCCATTCCACTGTACATGTAACAGCTATGAGGCTGCAACGAATTTTGACGGAATATGCTCTTCGTTTGCGGGTCAGTTGTGGTTTATATCCAGCCAGGTAGGGGCTCACCAAAAGCAAAAGGGCCTGAGCCGTCTCCAAGCAGGAACTCTCAAACATATCGCCCATATTTTGTCTCGCGAGTCCAAAATACAACTTGGCAAAATCAAGAGCAGAGAAAACTGCTCCTTTCGGGCCTCTTGGTTCGTCCACTGTCTGTTGGCAGAAGTGATCTAGTAAGGAAGTCTCGTTCGGGCTGGCGTTGATCGCCCCCAAAGCAACAACAGCAAAGTAGAGCCTGGAAAATTTGGTGACCCCTCGGAAGAGACCAGCACGTCTTGATTTTGGCCAGGCTTCAGTCTCACAGCGTCTCATGAATGAGCGTTTGGAAAGTATTGGGTGGATGTAATGCTTATTAGCGAAGTAACTACCGATGAAGATTTTCTCAATTTCCATTTGTGCACTCTCCCTGAGTTGAGAAAAAACATCTTCAAGATGGCTTTCTTGGGCTGTGGGCTAGCTTTAGGAATCAATTATCAGTTTAGGAATTTGAGCTCTTACCATTTTTCCCGAGCCTAGGCAAGTTGCTGAGGCTACTTTGATTAGACTGCGCTGTTTGTTCTGCGACGTCTTTCTCCCCCTGCGACTGAGGCGAGGGTTGGCCAGGGTATTCCGCATTATAAAGCAGGTTCACAATTGAGAGTTGCGATTTGCCCGACTTTCTGCTATTGCGATCGCTTATCTCCGGAGAGAAAGGTTGCTGACGTTGGTTAGCAGGGGAGGTCTGACTTTGTTGAGACGCGTCATTATCATATTGATACCGAGCTCGGCTGTCTGAATGGCTTTGAGCTCTTGCATATAGATTTCCGAGGAAGGCTAGGTTGGAAGAGTTTCCATAGAACTCGGTCCCGTTGGTGTGTAGATTGATTCCGCTCAAGCCATCCCTCGATGCAGCATCGCCTACTTCGGAGTCTGAGCCTAAGCAACCGTTAGTCTTTGAATCTTACATTTGGCATAGCATGGTCCTCACTGTCGCAATGATTATCCTGTACAGCGGCAACACTCGGTGTTTCGAGTGCGATATTGACATCGGCTGAACCATCTCCTAGAAGACCCGGAGACCAGCCCTGTGACAAACGTACTGGGTGTGTATCCTTTTCAGCACTAGGCAAACTCGGAGGCGTACCAGTTTGCTGTACACCAGGCCATGGCGATGGCCTACTAACACTACTTTGGCTTTTCTGGTCAGAATGCAGGAATCCGTAAAGGTGAAAGTTCCAACCTTTGATGAGCTTCACGAGCAGCTCTCTTTTTCTGACTCGACAAGCTGGGAGTTCCACGACCGCCAGATGTGCGAAAAACACAGTCGAATGAGTGGTCTGTAGTTCGAAGTCAAATGGCCTGAACTGACGTCAATGGACTAAGGAGCTTACATGCGCAGTAAGAGCAGGGTTGTTCTTGGTCACACTATATCTTCGTCAGAATTATTCTAGAAAGAATATCTACATGAACTGAGCTGACAAGTCTCACCTTGGTTTTCCGAGCGCGACATGTTTCGCATGCGCGGGACGCTCGCGGTATACGGCGACGATGTGAAGCTTGTCGTGTTTTGGGTTCGAGCGCATCCATCCTCATTGAAGAGACCAACGTGATCCTATATATTTGGAGCGAGTGAAATTGCCATGCTCTGAGGGTTGAGAAATATTGCCCGCATCGGAAGGCAGCACGAACTCGTTCCCTTTGCCGAACCAATCACCACTCAACTTCCGACATCTTCTTCACACTCCTCATATGGGGTATCTTGCGGGGTCTGGGGAAACCTTGGAACTTTTGATTTGTTATTTATCCGTATATCCTTTCCCCGGGTCCTGGTCTTCTTAATTCCATGATATCCATGTGTCGGGAAGGTGCTAGCTTCCGATCTAAATATCGGTGCGTGATTACGATGTTTTTGCCGTTAGTGTGTTTGTTATAAGCCAAACTTGTTTTCTACTTTTAGATTTTCTTTTCGGCTACTTCGAGATTTACAAAAAGACAATTGATCATGAGAATTGAACCAACGAGACTGAGTGTTGTTAAGGCCGGATGCTGCTTCCGACGGATCCGAAAGCCCTCCGACGGGTATGAAATGGAATGCGAATGGACATAGCGGCCGATGTCATAGAACTAAGCATAAAAGCGTTAATTAAGTTCAAAGTGGAATAGTATTAGTGGCTTCTTGAGTTAAGAATAGACTTAGTAATTTTTAAAAATTCCTTTTGTAAAGCTATAGCTATTCAAACTTTCAAGCTCCCAATCCATCTTGATGACTAGCTTAAAACAATCTTCCTTCCAGCTTCTAGATCGGTGATTTCTTTCTGCAGCTGTACTCGTCTCCGGTTTATTTTGTTGTCCTCCCCAGCAATCTCCTCCAGGAGCTGGTCTGAGAGACTATTGACCCAAGATGGCGAGAATAGCTTCATGGGAGCTTCTTGACCATTGACAAGAAAATGATCTGCTCCTTGCATACACACATTGTCAAGAAATCTTTTCCGGGCAACTTTATAGTACGCCTCTAGAATGTCATGAAGGTCTTGAGTGGTGTGCTTGGTGTTGCTCATGTTATCATGGAATGATATATCGCTGACTCGAATTACTTCATTTTTGTGACTGTCAATGTAACGCTTCAAGGATACCACATCTTTGAGTCTTTTTTGTCGGCACTTTTCGAGATTGTCGTTGAGATAATGATTCAAAGTCATTGGTGTTCCATCACGTTCAATCTTCAACAGGAAGTCGATTTGAGAAAGGGCCTGTCGATATTTTCCAGTCAATTCATCCCATAAACGATCGAGAATTTTAGTTGACATCTTGATATCTCCGCAAGCAGCCAGCAGAGCCTTCCGGATAAAACGATGGACTATGGCGATAATATCACTTATAAAGCCTTGCGCTAGGGCGGTCCATTTTGTAGATTGTTTCTTCATCAAGGACGACAGCAAGATGTAGTTAAAAGTGCCGATTTCAAACCCACGAGACTCAAGATAAATAGTGTCTATCCACGCCGAAATTCCCTGCTTAGCTTTGGGGAGGTCAAAAGCATCGTATAGAATATTCTGTACGTCTTCATCACCTTGAATCTCGCGACTTGAGATAAAACCAAAGATACAATGGTTAACTGGTTGAGATTCCTCGGCTGACTCTGGCGACTCTTCGGTCACCTGGTTCTTTGGCACTTCTTTGTCCTCCGAGAGCACTCCGGTGAACGTAAATTCATGCCCCCATGTCCAAACTTGATCTGAAAATGTGACGTTTCTGTTCGAGACAAGGGTTGCCAAGCGAACATCTTGATCCGTATCAAAGAAGTCATTTAGACTATAATTTGCAGTAAGTGCCATCTGTGTGATGTTTTCAAAAGATGAGACAGTATCCAAAAGTTTCATACGCTGCTGCTCTGGAGTTTTTCGCTCTGTTCCCAGGGATTCAAGGTCCCTTCGTGCCACTCTGAGTCTCTTAGTAATCTCTGAGCGTACCTAGACCCCCGAATATTAGTTGAAGTTCTTGATTATTATTGTCTATCTATCATTTGAAGCAGTCTTACCAATGGAAATGTGCATCTGACACGTAGTGTGAGAACCTCCCGTAGTCGCATATGCAAAGCCTTTATGCCGAAGTTTTCGGACAATATACAGTTCCAAGGAAACGTTTGATGCCATTTTTCTTCTAGAATGTCCCTTTCGATGTTTCCGTCATCAAGCTCCTGTTGCCCTAAATTACGGACAACCACCCAACCAAGCTGCCCACTAGCCATTTGATTCTCGATCAAGTCTATGACTCTGTTCTGGGCTCCGAAATCAACAAGATCGATCTTGGTCATGATAGATAGTTTCCTTTCGCCTTTCGGGTCTATCTCGCGGGCCATTTCAATAATTTCCTGTGTGGCAATATCCGCATTTGCAGGTACCACAGTCAACATCACAGACCGTGGGTTCCTCATATAACCAAAGACCATCTCTCGGACAAGCACTATATCTTCTTTGGTTGTGATTCCTGGAATTGTGGCTTTGAATATTCCTGGAACATCTATCACACTCAGGTGATCTTCCTCTGGACCACAGATCTCAAGTCGCAGAACGCTGTTAGAGAACGTCGCCTTTCTAAAAGTTTCAACACTCTTTAAATCGGATAGATCTAAGATTTTGTGAACCTGGGGAGGTCAGTATATACTATGAATGCGTAAGGGAAGCCAAAGCGCTCACTTCACTCATCATTTCAGCAAACCCATCAGCGCTAAGGGTCTGTAGACCACTAGCATGCCAATTCTTGAGCTTCTCTTTATCTTTTGGGTCCATATATGGTTCTGGGATGATAGAAGCCGAAATCTCTCGGCTGACATAATTGGCCTTTCGCTGAAAGATAATCTGCGTGGCGAAGCGAGTGCAGAGGCCACTATTACGTGGGAAGCTCAACTTAGTCAAGCCTTCGAGAACAGAGCTTTTTCCGCTTGACTGATCACCCACTACCACAAGCTGCGGAATATCGATATACTCCCCGACATTGCAAGCAAACAGTTGATCAATCTTTTCGAGCAGCTCGGGGTCTGCCAAGCTAGTGCTCTCAATCCCCGGGTCCCCCATGGCTCTCGAAATGAGTGAAAATATAGAAGATCTCAGACAGAAACAGATGATAATAAGTTCACAAACAAAAACAACTCGATACAAGAGAGATGAGAGAACTAGTGGAGTTGAGGAGTTGTATGACTCTTATGATAGAGTTTGATCCGTACAAAAGGAGAATGACTTCATATTCACACTTCTATATTGGCAGTAGGAACTCTAAATGGTTGTTTTAAAGCTAACCCCATTTTATCACTGGTTAAATACGTGATAACTTATACTATACTAATAGTAAGAAATAGGACCTGCACCAAGTCGAACCTCGGTAGTATTCGATCAGCCTCTGAATCACGATGAAAGGACAGTCAGTCACCTAAAAGTCTAAACCACGGTTACAAAATGATAAATTTGACAAAAACACTAGAATTACTTTCTCTATCTGCGTCGGGAAGTCGGTGTTTGTCGGCGAATCGGATCGGACCTCGTCTTATTGGTTTGATCGGAAGCTATACCCACAAGCAACGCTCACGAGTTAGCATTTCCCCGCATTGGCATTACAATATAGTGACTAAATAGGCTTCAAAGGGGAATCTATGACTCAGTGTCCTCAAATCGGATCTAAGTTAGTCGGCTCTTAGCTAAATAGCCAAGTAAACCTTGGAATAATGTGTAGATCCGGGGCTGGCCCCTTATCTCCAAGGGGTTATAGATAGCGGATAAGCGCGGCGATGGCAAACAGGTTCGATATCACCCGATATGTAAGGAAATGGCGACCTGGATATATAAAGCATGTCATGTCAGACCGGTCTGGACATGACTTGAATCTCTGCTTTGCTCCTACCATTTCACTATTCAGTCCTTCCCATACGGGCCTTCTATACACCCTTCATACGTGCACTTATACTTCTTTCATTCATACATCCTCCGCCGATACCCACCATGGCCTGGGACCAAAATGATATGCGCTCGCGCTTCTGTCAATCTCTCTCAGATATGTACAAGAGCGAAGTCCCCCTCTACGGAGACCTCATCGACGTAGTCTGGGAAGCAGACGCGAAAGCACTTCAAGATAATCAGACGAACGGCAGCCCAAAGCTCATTAATCCAGATGATGTTTTGCCCTCACGGCATCGCGTCGAAAGACATGGAGCTATTCGATTAGGAACGGCACACGAGCTTGCCACAGTTCGTCGAATGTTCGCTGTGATGGGCATGCACCCTGTGGGTTACTATGATCTCAGTCTTGCGGGGTTCCCAATGCATGCCACTGCATTCCGCCCAAAGACACAGGAAGCCCTTGACAAGAACCCATTTCGTGTGTTCACGACGGTTTTGCGAATGGAATTGTTGACAGAGAAGACCCGGATGCTGGCTCAGAAAGCGCTGGCGCAGAGGCACATTTTCACTCCGCGGTTAATGGATCTTCTGGATCTTGCAGAGAGTCAGGGGTACTTGACACCGGAGCAGTGTTCGGAATTCATCACAAATGGTCTCGAGACATTCAGGTGGCATTCAAAAGCGACTGTCACGCTTGATGAATACAACCAGCTGAAAGCCGAACATCCTCTTATCGCCGACATTGTCTCTTTCCCCAACTCGCATATCAACCACTTAACGCCCCGGACTATTGATATCGATCTCGTCCAGCAGTTGATGTTGGATCATGAAATGCCTGCTAAAGAACGTATTGAAGGACCGCCTAAACGTACATGTCCAATACTTCTGCGGCAGACAAGCTTCAAGGCACTTGAAGAAACCGTCTATTTCCGAGATATATCTGGATCCTTCGTGAAAGGGTCTCATACAGCAAGATTCGGTGAAGTAGAGCAGCGAGGCTATGCTCTAACTCGAGAAGGACGGCAGTTATATGATCAGATACTGGACCGAGTCAATGTAGACTCTGTGAAGGGAGGCTTAAAAGGGAGCCAATATGACAAATTATTGGAAGATCACTTCAAAAGATTCCCTGACAGCCTCTCGGAGCTCCATGATTTGAAGCTGGCATATTTCTCCTACCAGTTGACCTCGCTGGGTGACCAGATGGCTAAGGAAGGCATTTTACGGGGTGAAGTCTCAGTTCAGGATCTTCTCACCAAGGGTGTCCTGAGTTATGAGCCTCTGACATATGAGGATTTCCTTCCATTATCGGCAGGTGGTATTTTCAATTCCAACCTCAGCAGCGTCTCTCAATCCAAAGACCTCATAATGGCCGCTGATCCAGACCTCGATGGTTTCCAGCGATTCCTTGGAACCTGTGTGGCAGATGAATTCCACCTTTATGCTGAGATGCAACAGGTATCGCTGGAGGGCAGTCGACGGACATTAGGGCTTAAAGCTATTTTTGTTTAATCTAAAGCATTTCTATATTCGCATTGATCTCTATGGCGAAGGTCTAGAATCGATTAATAAATTTGAAGCATTCTATAATTTTATTGAGCATATTTTGATTGAACATTGACACTCAGCAATAGTCCTGTCATGTCAACGATGACATAGTATATTATGTGAATGATGAAATGAGTCCAAAATCTTCAGAACTCAACTTAGCCATTTATCCGGCGTTATGCAGTTCTCTTTCGCCACTATATCAAATTTCTACACTAATGCCTCTACCACATGCCTATTCTGTCATCCCGACGGGCCTAACCGACCGCATCTGATTTCCGCTCCCAATCTCTCTGCATCCCGCGAAATTTGCACATTATAAGGTTCGCCACCAGATTCGGCCGGAAGTGCTGCGCCAGCCTTTGCCACCCACCGACCAACGGTTACCACCCGGACCGATGCCTCTTCGAGATATGTCCTTGTTTCTACCAAATAATACAAGGTTCATGGTATAAACAAACAGACAAGAGGTGAGGCTCAGCAATCTAAGTATGGTAACCGGTCGGCTCCGTCACTATAGATGACTCCCGAAATGCAAATTTCTTTACCAGATGAATCGAATAAATGTCTAAAGTCCCGCCAAGATGATTAGGGTCTTACAATTATCTCATGAGGGGTTCTAGCGCGTATGGAATCTACTCAAGTGCCTCTCAATGACAATATCTCTTGGCATATCTTGGTTGGCACAATCATTACTATTGTCCCAGCTACACTTTGTGTGATCTTGAGATTCATCTCTCGTCATGTTTCCTGCGCCGGGATATGGTGGGATGACTATACTATTGCAGCAGCTTTGGTAAGTGACTTCTTGGGTACATTATATGCTATAAAACAACCAACTCATTGCGGTTACTTTTTATGTAGGTCTTCAACTGGTCGATGGCTATCTTGAGATGGGTGCAGATTGCGTTTTATCGTAATGGCCGCCATTTCAGCTATGTCTCATCTGGAGACAATGAAAACTTTTTAAAGGTTTGTGTCTGCCCAGAGCCTACCTTATTCCAAGTGCTAACATACAAGCAAGACCGTTTTAGCTGGCCAGATTATCTATTACTCCAATGCTGTCCTTACCAAGGCATCATTGCTCCTTCTTTTTCACAGAATCTTCGGTGTTGTCAGAGTCTTTCGCTGGGCCCTATGGACCTCAGGAATTTTGGTCATTGCGTACTTCATCGCATGCACAATTACTGCGATATCTGCTTGTTCGCCAGTAGCCAAGTTCTGGGATTCAAGCCTGCCCGGACATTGCATCGATATAGTGGCATTCTTCCGGTGGAATGGCATGGCCAATATGCTTCTCGATTTTTTAGTCCTTTGTCTCCCACTCCCTATGACGTGGCGTGTGAAGACTACCGTTAGACAGAAGTGGATTTTAACGGGGCTGTTCTTACTTGGGGGCCTGTGAGTTTCTCTCTAATCCTGAGACAATTCTCTTCCTCTTTCATATCAGATTAATCACTAACGATATATCAGTGTTTGTGTCGCCTCAGTTCTCCGCCTTGTTAGCTTTGAAGTTGCAAATCTGGAGGATCCTACCTATACAAATGTCGATTCATCAGCATGGTCCTCGATCGAGCAGTCTCTTGGAATCATATGTGCCTGTCTCCCTACCCTCCGACCTCTGATCCGAAGGTTCTCCAGATCTTCAGGATCTTCAACAGCATCTGCAGGAACTTCGTCTTCTGACTCCCAAAGTCGGTGGTCGATGCCTGTTGACGAGGAAAGCAGTATCATTGAGGCTGCTACTTTGTCATCTGTGCCGCCTGCACACCTTCGATTGGTCACCACTCAAGAGTTAGACATACTCCAGGGTTCTGACTGGACTTCCGAGTTTCACGGCGATGAAATCCGTCCTGTTTCACAGACATCCCGGGCAGTCGAGATTAGTAGTCCCGTTTCTGCGGCTGAATCGTTTGCTTGAGGTCTGTTGTCATGGGACAGAGAAGTTAATAATACTTAGATACTAGTGTTACTCGATACCCAATCATAAATTACCACATATGAGGCTCATGTATTATTCAGGCCTGTTTCAATAGAAACAGTAGAAATTTAACCTTAGATCCAAACTCTGAGCCTGAGAAACATGGGATATAGCATGGACTTTGTCCATTTGCCCGTGTTTTGGCATATGATACCATGTTTCACGCGGCAGCGGCAGCATATGGTCCGCTGAAAGAATTGCGCATCAGATCTTGAACAGTGGGTTGATGAATCAAAGTTAGGATTCTTGTGATATGCACTATCGCTAACATTGGGAGATACGCAAATTACAGACCTGAACTGTCAAATGAGCCTTTGAGAAAATTGAACACTATAGAATACAATGCATACAGAGAACAGCCCAAATCCATCTATCTGTACAAATATGCCGCAGAGATATCAATGCATGACGGCAAGACAACCACTAATGGCCAATAGAAAGCCATATCTCAACGGCATCATCCAAGCCTCAAACCACTGCCGGACATGGCTCCGACATCACAAATTTTCGCCTGAGGAAACCTTCAACAAAACAACCAATTATGTTCTCATGACCGGGGCTCAATAACCGAGCTGTCCGCTCCATCCTCTACAACAATAGCACCCTCCTCGAGCAACTCATCCGGAGTCTTAACCCGCACATCCATCACACGCATGATGGTATAGCGGTGCTTGCTCTTGGCCTGCTTCACGTGCCTCTGTCTCCGCTTCGTCTTCTCCTTGATACGCAGCGGCTCCGACTCAACACCCGTCACACGAACCCGACACTCAAAGATACGCTCATCGATATGGGGAGCACCCTTCATTGTGAAGTCACGCGATCCAACTGCGGAAGCACGGTTGAAGCGTAGAATATCGCCTGCCTTAACGTTGGGCATGAGGAAGGGCAAGCGGAGGTGATCACCTTCCGTCAAGAGGTATGGTTTTGCGTGGAGCTGGGCAATCACGTAGTGTGGCTTCTGGCCGGCGAGGTGAGGGAGCTGTGACATGAGGGATTGTGTCACTTGGAGAGGGGCGGTGAAGGTGGGCGCGATGGGTTGTTTCTCGATGGGGACGTGTGCGCGTGTTGTGGGCACGAAATCGACCTTGTTGGTCTCGGCCTTGGGTTGGGAGTTTTGCGCACGGGGAGTGGCACTGAGGGGTGATTCAGGTTTCAGGGATGACGATTGGGTCTGGGTTTGTTGCGAGTTCATCCATGATGTTGTCTGGTGCAGACATGCTCGTTGCTGAAGGGGAGCTGCGGATGAAACTGTGGACGGAGCAGCCCGGCGAAGGTCGGAAGCGAGGCTCCGAAGAGCTGTGCGAGAAAACATGTTGGCTGAGCTTTTCCAATTGTTCAATTGGGGCTCGGGGTGGGAATTGATTGCGGGAGTTGAGGTTCAAGATACTCGGAGTTGGCCCCGTTACTAGAGAAATTGTCTACTTTGCGCAAATGGCCGCTTTGGCCCCCGTAGTGTCACGTGCCTTGCTGTGTATCACTCGACTGATGTTTTACTGAAGATGAAGAGAAACTGATTCCTGATAAGTTGGTTACAGCCTTACAATAGCACAGGGCCCATGCTTTTAGTATAACCACTACATATATATGATATTTGACGAAGTTGGTTTATGAAAATATCCAACTTGAAGTTCAGGAACTAGACTTACTGATAAGATAGTCACGTGGCCCGCTATCTTTGCCGCATCTCAACTTTTTCGGTCTGCAGTAGATCTTCAAGGCAAGAACTTCATCTCCCATCCCAGCAGGTTCACATAGTCTGCTTTCATCATGGTATGTTTTCGGCTATTTTGTGCCATGTTTCTGGTCAATTATCACGTTTACTAACTTTTTTTCCCGTCTACAGCCTCAGAACGAGTTCGTCTATCCCCACCAGCCACAACTCGAAATTCCCCCACTGACAACCTCTTAGGTACATTGAGCGCTGGCAGAAACAGCATGGTAAGCGTCTCGACCACGATGAGCGCATGCGTAAGCGCACTGCTCGTGAAGGACACAAGCAGTCCCACGATGCCCAAAACCTGCGCGGTCTGCGGGCCAAGCTGTACCAGCAGCAGCGCCACAAGGAGAAGATTCAGATGAAGAAGCGCATCAAGGCCCAGGAGGAGAAGAACGTCAAGTCCACGGCGCCCGATGAGCCCTCCAAGACTCCTCTGCCCCAGTATCTGCTCGACCGGTCGCAGGAGACCAACGCCAAGGCCCTCTCCAGTGCTATCAAGAACAAGCGTAACGAGAAGGCCGCCAAGTTTGCCGTTCCCCTGCCCAAGGTCAAGGGTATCAGTGAGGAGGAGATGTTCAAGGTTGTCAACACCGGAAAGAAGACACACAAGAAGTCCTGGAAGCGTATGATCACCAAGCCCACTTTCGTTGGTAACGACTTCACTCGTCGCCCCGTCAAGTACGAGCGATTCATTCGTCCCATGGGTCTGCGTTACAAGAAGGCCAACGTCACGCAGTAAGTTATCTCAGCGGGAACTCCCATCGCCCCATATTTTCTGCTGGATTATGTTTGGTACTAATGGTCTGCTTTTTTTTTTCAGTCCCGAGCTGGCTGTCACAGTTCAACTGCCCATCCTCTCCGTCAAGAAGAACCCCCAGAACCCTCTCTATACCCAGCTGGGTGTCCTGACCAAGGGAACAATCGTTGAGGTGAACGTTTCTGAGTTGGGTCTCGTCACCACCACCGGTAAGGTCGTCTGGGGTAAATGGGCCCAGATTACCAACACTCCCGAGAACGACGGATGTGTCAATGCGTGAGTCTTCCTTGATTTAATCTATCTATTGATAGCAGCAAAACTAATACTTCACAGGGTCCTCCTTGTCTAAATCAACCACATACACCTCCTCTTCATTTCCGATGGGCACCAGCCCGTCTTCGATACCTCCTTTCTCAGGCAGTTCTATGTTTCCCTTTCTCGATACATACGGTCTATCATGATCGTTCTATTCTTGGGCGGTGTTAATGGCGCAAAGTAAAGTCCATTGATTTCAAACGAAAAGTATTCTTCTGCATGTTTGGCTTCTAAATGGACATAGCTAGTTTCTAGATAGTCAGACATATAACTATGATTTTATGAAGACACCTATCTATCTACATTTCAAGTTGCATTTCCATTACAAAAGAAAAGTTAATGGCTGAAATTGCAGATGACAACATACAAAATGTACATGAACTACGTTTTACGTTATCAAGTATATTTGGCCACGGATTCAAGAGAGGCAGAAGTGTTCAATTAACATCTTATCCAAATCAAGGAGTTCAAACTTCAAGACCCGATGCTAGAACAGTATTCTAAGAACAAAAGGATTGATCAATCATATACAGGAATGCAAATCCACACGCTGCGCTGAACCGAATATCATCAAAAAAATGCCTACCATAACAAAATGGCAAGGCCAAACAAAAACCCCGAAGGCTGATGCAAGAGAAGAAGCGATGCAAGGAAAAAAGAAAACACAAGCAGAAAGATATCTCGCAAATTAACCAGCCAGACCAAGATAAAAGTTAAACATCCAACACCGGTCATTAAGTCATTCTAATCAAAAGGAGGGCAAGGTGTGAGGCCATCAGGGGCAGTCAAGACAAAGGAAATGTAATAAAGGAGCGGAGGGGCTGTGGTCATGCGTTTTCTTCTTCAAGTGCTGCTTTAATTTTTGCAAAGAAACCTGCGGGCCATGCGGCCAGCTCTTCTTCCCTGGGCACGCCGCGGGATTTGCAGTGATTGACAACATTGGCCAGGATGCGGCCAAGCATATCTTGTGTGACGGGAACGGCACCCTCGAGTTGAGCATCAGGGTGCAAGAATGGATCACGGGGCCCGAGCATTTCCTCAATTGTTGGTCGGAGGGTTTGATCACGCTGCAAGCAACGCTTGAGCGTCCGGACAAGGCCAGGGGGTACTGGAACGCCGCCAACACCAAAGGCCGGGAACTCGATTTGTACACGTGGGTTGGGGATGGCCATGATGCGCTCGTAATATTTGGCAATCTTGGCGAATGGAGGTTGTCCATAGACCATTTTGTACAGGATGCAACCCAGACTCCATACATCACTGGGCTTTCCTAGTTTCATCACCTTTCCAACGCTTGCTGGTAGGCCAAGGGATGCGTTGGAGTCTACCAAGGCTTCTGGAGACATGTAGTTGGGGGTGCCGACTTGTTGCTCGCGGTGAACGTTGACAGTATTGTCTTGAATCGCGTTGGCAATTCCGAAGTCGATGAGCTTTAATCGACCTTGAACCATCAGGAAGTTGGCAGGTTTCAGATCCGAATGAACGATGTTGAAATCGTGAACAGCTTGAACACACTCTAGCATCTCCTTCCAATAGAAGCGGGTGAAGTTAATGTCGAATGTAGCATCTTCAGCATTCAAGCGGTAGGTTAGGATCTTCTCAAGATCAGATTCTCCGATCTCCATGAGCACACTCAGAGCATGTTTGTCATTGTTGAGCTCCCAATCAAAGAGCCGCACCACACGTTCCACATTCTCCAACTTCTTCAGCAAATCAATTTCACCCTTGTATCCAGTCAAAGTAATTGGGTCAACATCTTCAAGATTCACTCGCTTGAGCGCAAAAATCTTGTAGTTTTCTGCCATCACTCGGTACACACGAGAGCTACCACCTCGGCCAATGCAATCTAGTCGGGTGAAATGCTTGCCATTAATCGAGACTTGTGTTTTCTTCTTTCGTGACTGGGAGGTCGATGCACCACCAGTTGAAGTGGCAGTTTCAAGGACTGACATCTTCGGAGGAGGAGGCGCGGCTCTGTGGGGAGTGTTGTTGCTTCGTGTGGCGAGTATCTTTCGTGCAGAGGTACCTGCTGGTGTCTCGGCGGCATCTTTCTTCTCGGTATCATACACAACATTGTACTTGTCGGGTTTGTCCAAAACGTTCAAGCCTTGGGGCTTGGTTCGCCGGAAGGTCGGTGGTGGTTCATTTTCCTGGTCACGGACCGATGGCAGAGGGGGCATTGACGGAACCTTGAACACAGGTTGTTCTCTAGCAGATGAGGATTTCGATGATTGTTCTGATGAAGCGGGTGTTGACTTTGATCCATAGGATTTCGGTGAGTTTGATCTTGAGAATGGACCCTCAACCGCAGCCGGGCGAAGGGGGTACTCTGCGCGGTGCCCTTCGCGCGCATGAGGGGGGCTGGGGTCGGCCCATGATACCTTGGGGGAAGATGGTTTGGTAGAGCGAGGTCGGTATTCGGCATTCTCCTCTGCTTCCACGTCCTCCCTGACGCCATCAGCTGAAAGGTATTGGTGGTCCTCGTCGTTGTTCTCTTCGCTTTGTCGTCGTAGCACACCTCTTCGGGCGGGACCTGTCAAGAAGCTCCCAGCAAGTCGACCGACTCTCTTGACGCGAAGCGAGCTTTGGGGTCCGGGCTCTTCGCCGCCACGGCCACGGAGTACTGACGAAGATCCAAAGCGTGCCATGGGATCATCATCGTACTGCGATTTGCGGTCACTGTCCGAGCGCTCGGCGCTTCCATACTCGTCACTCGAGTTACGTTCAGCGGAGCGTCTCCCTGAGGGTGAGACCGAGGAGGGAGATCGTGGGTCATTACGAGAGACATTGATTCGAACACTTCGCTGACGTGGGCCGGGAGTAATAAAATCGTTTGGGTGGTGAGGTTCGGGCTCTGCACTCTCGGCATTGGCCAGAGGAGATCCTTCGCGTGAATGCCTGGAACCGGATGAAAGTGCCCCAATGCGGACAACTCTAGGGGCTGGACTTCCTGTCGAACGGTCGTGGGGAGAATGGTTGCGAGGGGAATGGCTTTGTTGACGTGATGTCGCAACTCGCGACTGATGCGACAATGGTTGTACTTTCTGATGTGGCGATGAACCTAAACCATCGCCATGCAGAAGCGCCTTAACAGACGCGCTAAATTTTGGCTCGGGAACTTCTTCATCTGAGCTGTCGCCGGCGGAGTAGTGTCTCGATAGAGAGCCGTTGTTTTGAACTGCGGGTGATACCCGTCTGGAACCCGAGCGTGAAACCGCAGTTCGGGACATCGGTCGGGAAGGTTGTCGGTACTCGTTGTTGTATACGGATGGGAGGGAATTAGGGGACGCCATGGCGACAAAACCTACATTGAAGTCGTGAATCAATGCGGCCCCTCCAAATTGGTCGACTGTTTGTTGTTCACGCAGTGGAACGGCCTATCTCGAGGTTTCGCAGGTGTCGCGCTATACGGTCACGTGTTTAGACGTTGCTATGGCGACACTGATACAACAACATGCCAAAGAACCTGCAAAACAGTAATTGGGGGAGTCGCTTGGGTAGAATGGACGTATCGAGTCCATGATAACAGGGCAATGCTTCCCTTGAATCAATATTGTTGATCACTCTCTCCAAATGGACCTTGTCTCACTAATCGTGATCTATCAACCATCATCTGTATATAGTCTGTTTGATGTTTTGCCTTTGATCCTATTAGTATCCCATTTCTATATTCAAAGGGTAGTGACTGAAGATGGTATTTATCGCTTCACTTGACACACTTTGTCCCATTTTGTTTTATCGATACTCCAACGTGGGCTATTGAGGCTAGTCAAACTTCCTAGCGCTCTAGGGCCCCGCAATGACGATAGAGAAGCTGGCGCCTAGTACTTTAAATTGAGGCTCATAGATATACAGTAAACCCCGAGTTGACTCTCACCTGGGTTTTCTTACGAAGTCAGCTTCGGCTTACTATGTCAACATACACGCTGATATGCTCTACCTAGCTAGAGGGTAAACAATCAATACAAGATGGGTCTTCAACTGGTTGCTATGTTCTCTTTGGCTGTGAGAGCAATTGGGCTATACTATAAAAGTAATTGATGGAAGAAATTGTTAAAAGAACTTTTCTTTACAACCCAATGTTTCTTATACTTTAGCCTCACGCCTAGCGTATCCCGTAACACACACACACACCAGTCAGGACCCAAATGTCCAGCCAAGATCACAATATCTCCCATATTTCCCTGTATTCTTCTCAGAATCATAACTTGTAAATCAATATTATCTAGGTCGGGTACCTGTACAATATGGTTTGATAAGTTATCATTATAGCTAACAGGGGTGAGAAGACTTAAGCCAAGCTACTCTTGTATTCTATTGGACATTCCATTCCTATTTTCAAGCACTCTTTTTCCTCATCATGATACTGTCTATTATCATATCTGAGGTGCAAAATGAAGAAGGCAAAGAGTACCGACATTGTCGAAAGTGAATGGTTGAGATATATTTGAGTCTTCTCTCTAAACTGAGCATTCGAACATCATACTACTTGGTATCAGGATACTAAAACAGCATTATCTTGATCTTGAGATCAACGCAGGAGAGCATCCTTGATTTGGAAATATATGAAACATCATGAACTTCACTTATACTCATGATCCTGGCTAGTATATACCTTACGGGGCGCGTGACACTAATGCATGGGAAGGCTTCCTTTGTAAACAGCTTGGTTAGCTGCAGTACACGGTACGCCCAACGCTATTAAGTGGCATTGGCTTTCGTTTACATTGTAAAGCCTTCTGTTCCGAGAAAAATCACATTAGTTTCGTTTCCTAAGCCGCAGGTATATAACACGATGCTTTCAGCCAGCCAGTATATCCTTTCATTGAAACCCAATTGGTAAAGAAAATCAATAAAAGTTATAACTAAAGCACACAGAAAGACTTTTTGTTTTAGCTTGACAAAAATTTGGGTAGCCCATTAATGTATGTTGTGTGAGTTCCATGTTAAAGGGTTTGGTTCCCCCTATGCGGACTGTATACTTGCGCATTTTCGCCACCGCCTGGTTCACCGCCTCTGGCAGTATTTCGGACGACGTTAAAGACTACTAGCGCAACTCGGCGACGGAACGTATTTGGACTTGGGTAATTTATCTTCCTTCCTTCACCTTCGTCGCTCGCAAAAATGGCCTCCCGTGTTGACGCCAAGCTGCTGAAGCAGACCAAATTTCCACCAGAATTCAATCGGAAGGTGGACATGACAAAGGTCAACATTGAAGTTATGAAGAAGTGAGCACTTCCCCGGCTTTTGACCTTGAATCTCCAAACTCACCTATATTCCTAGATGGATTGCCAAGCGTATATCTGAGATCCTCGGCAATGAAGATGATGTTGTTATTGAGATGTGCTTCGGGCACCTGGAGGGTCCACGCTATGTATGGCTAACGGTTACTTGGACGTCTTGCAGCTTGCTGACTTTGCTCTGCGCCTAGCCCGATATCAAATCCCTCCAGATCCAACTTACCGGTTTTCTCGATAAGGATACCCCTAAATTTTGCCAGGAGCTATGGTCATTGTGTCTGAGCGGCCAAGAAAACCCGCAGGGTGTTCCGAAAGAGCTTCTGGAAGCTAAGAAGCTTGAGCTCATACAAGAAAAGGTATAGCCAAACGCTACCTATTAACATGATCATTCCTAATCAAGAATCAATATAGCTCGAGGCCGAGAAAGCTGCCGAAGCTTTGCGCCGACAGAAGGAACAAGAGCAAACCCGTGAACGCGATATTGATAATATCAGACGCCAAGAGCGTTCGGACCGTGGTCGATTTGGCGGAAGAGGTGGTGGCGGTCGCGGAGGCCGAGACTTTAACAGAAGGTCTCCTCCTCCTAGAGATCGGGGCCATGATCGATACCGTGAATCTGGGCCGCGACGCGATTTCGACTCCTACGTTCCACCTGATAATCGCAGAGGCCGTCGGCCGTCTGGCACCTCCGCGCAATCTCGCTCTCGATCTCCACAACAGTCATCTCCCCGTCGAGACCGTGACGCGCCACGCCAACGACACCGTGAACGCCGTCGCCGGTCTCCCAGCAACTCAGCATCCCCGGATCGACGCAGGCGTGGAGGACCGCGAAGGCGCAGTCCGGACTACGGTGACCGTGCTAGATCCATTACCCGCAGCCATGCATCCCGCTCACGTTCCCCCAGAGGAGATCGCCGCAGAAGAGACGAGTCTCGCTCCAGATCCCCATCTCGCTCCCGCCGCTCAGGAAAATCCACTAGGACCCGCGATCACGACCCCCGACGCCTGAGCCGCAGTCGCAGTCGTAGTCGCAGCCACAGCCGTGACCGAAATCGTGATACTCGCAGGCGCCGCAGTCCCAGTGGTAGCCGTAGCCGAAGCCCAAGGAGAGACACAAAGCGTCGACGCTCAATGGATAGATACAACACCACAGAAAGGAGAGAACGAAGCAAATCTCCTCTATCCTCACCCGACGAGAAACGACAGAAGAAGGCTGATGAAGATGAGGAACCTACCCGACAACCTTCCAAAGCAGATGATCAAGACATGAAAGATGCCGATGAGGTTGGTCATTGAAAGTCCAATTCTACCCTTGATCTACACCTGTCTCGAGACATAGATTGATTTTAAACCTGATGTTTGTTGCCCGTTTCCATTCCACTCACTTAAAAGGGGGTTTCCCATTTGGCTTTTCAGCAGACTAATATCTCGTTTTCCATCTAGCAAACCGAAAAACCGATGTCTAGGCGGCTATCTTCAACCGAGTTTCGCGAGAAACTACTTCGTGAGAGAATACTCGCCATGCGTCGTTCAAGCGACAAGGTGAGTAGCTCACCAAAGACGGGAATCCAGTGAAAATGTCAGAATAAGAGGGCTTCTCAGTATGTCCGAAAGCAAGTAAAATGACTAGATTTAGCGCTGTACAATTAGCAATTGCATGTATGAAAAATCTCTAAACACCATTCTTTCTAATCCTGTAGTCATCAAGGAACTTTTAGCATGATTATTTACATGTAGTAAGTAAAAATCAGCTCTATGAAACAAGCAAGTGGTCAAATATCAGCACAGGAAAGGAATGTACTCCATTAAAGGGAAAGAAGGTATATATGCCAAGTCATCGAAATAAAGATAACAAGGAACTTCATCCGTGCCACTACCCGAGCCTCGACTCAACAATGCAGGCATACAAAAAGATGATCAGGTATGGACCTCCACAAGCAGATTAGAATTATAATAAGATATCTACAGACAGGACAGAGGTAGGGACGACAGCTTCCCAAGGGGATGCGGGATGAGCGCGGAGTCTGCTGTATGAGATCACCGGCCAACCACTCCACTCCCCCAGGGGGTGAAGGTCATCTTGTCATGATAAACGCAGGAAAGCAAACAAAGAGGTAAGGAAATTCTTTCTCAAGGGGTATGAGGTAGTGAGAAACAGGTGGTGTTCCGTTTACTCGTTGCAGCCACAGACGGTGGCAGTAACGGTAGCGGTAACAGTGGTGACCGAGGCGGCGGCCGGGACGGTGACGGTGGGAGTGCTGGCGGAACCAGTCTCACAGGGGACAGTGGCGGAGATGGTGGTCTCCATGGTCTGGGTGTAAGCCCAGGTCTCAGTCCAGGAGCCTCCAGTGGCAGCGGGGCCGCTGGGGACGACGGCAGTGCCGGTAGGGCTGACGTCGGAGTTGGAGGGAGCGGGGCCGGAGGCACCACCGGAAGGAGCGGGCATGCCGGGGATGACAGTGCTGCCAACCTGCTCGCTGGTCAGGGTGTCACAGGGGGTAGTGGACTCGCCAGCACCGGGGGCAACGGGAGTGCCGGTAGGGCTGACATCAGTGTTAGAGGGAGCAGGGCTGGAGGCGCCACCGGAAGGAGCGGGCATGCCAGGGATGACAGTGCTGCCGACCTGCTCGCTGGTCAGGGTGTCACAGGGAGTGGTGGTCTCGCCAGCACCGGGGGCAACTGGGGTACCGCTGGGACCGGAAGCACCACCGGTAGGGGCAGGGCCAGAAGGAGCGGGACCAGAGGCAGCGGGGGTACCGGTAGGGCTGACATCAGTGTTAGAGGGAGCAGGGCCGGAAGCACCACCGGAAGGAGCAGAGCCAGAAGGAGCAGGGCCGCTGGGGACGGAGCCAGAGGCACCACCGGAGGGAGCGGGCATGCCGGGGATGACAGTGCTGCCAACCTGCTCGCTGGTCAAGGTGTCACAAGGAGTGGTGGTCTCACCAGCACCGGGGGCACCGGGAGTGCCGGTAGGGCTGACACCGGAGGGAGAAGGACCAGAGGCACCACCAGTGACGGCAGGACCAGAGGGAGCAGGGCCGGAAGCACCACCGGAAGGAGAAGAGCCGGAGGGAGCAGGGCCGCTGGGGACGGAGCCAGAGGCACCGCCGGAGGGAGCGGGCATACCGGGGATCACAGTGCTGGAAACATCAACACCGGTGAGAGTGTCACAGGGAGTGGTGGTCTCACCAGCGCCGGGGGCACCGGGAGTGCCGGTAGGGCTGACACCGGAGGGAGAAGGACCGGAGGCACCACCAGTGACGGCAGGACCAGAGGGAGCAGGGCCGGAAGCACCACCGGAAGGAGAAGAGCCGGAGGGAGCAGGGCCGCTGGGGACGGAGCCAGAGGCACCGCCGGAGGGAGCGGGCATACCGGGGATCACAGTGCTGGAAACATCAACTCCGGTGAGAGTGTCACAGGGGGTAGTCTCAGGGCCGGAAGGAGAAGAGCCGGAGGGGACAGAGCCGCTGGGGGCAGGGCTGCCGGGGACAGAGAAAGAGCCGCTAGCACCGGGACCGTTGGGGACGGAGCCGGTAGGGCTGACACCAGAGGGAGCAGGGCCGCTGGGGATGGAGCCGGAGCCGGAAGGAGAAGCACCGGAGGGAGCAGGGCTACCGGGGACAGAGACAGAGACGCTAGCGCCGGGGCCGGAGGGAACACCAGTGCTGGAGACGTAGGGGGTGCTGGAGGGCAGGCTGGGGACGGACGAAGACTTGGTGCCGGAGGGAGCGCCAGGGATGGAGCAACCGGTGAACCACTCAATGATGATGAGCTGGATGTTGACGTCAATCTCGAGGCCAGAGCAGCCACCGAGGAAGGCAGCGAGCTCAGCGCGGGCAGACAGAGAGATAGACTCGAGGCTGCCACCGGCGATGATGACGGAGAGGGCAGCACGAAGGTCGACGCTCAGGCTGGAGAGGATCTCGGTGAGGAAACCAGTGACATCAACAAGAACACCGCTGACGAGGTCAACGGAGACGGAAACATCAACACCGAAAGACAGCCAGAAGAGAACGACGGCCTTGAGTTCAACACCGAGCGAGCAGTCGGAGCCGGAGAGCCAGATGGCGAGCTTGGTACGGATGTCGAGGTCAACAGCAGTGGCAACCTTGCCCTTGGCACAGGCCTCAAGGGCAAGCTTGATATCAGCACCGAGGTCAGCACCGACGTCGGCACCGAGGAAGGCAGCGAGGGAGGCCTGGCCTCCAACGGAGAGGATACCGGAGTCCTCGACGTGAACGCCAACGGAAGCACCGACAGAGATGGTGGAGAGAGCAGCCTCACCAAGAGCACCGATCTCAACGAGACCGTGGCCGTGGTGACCGTTGATCCAGGCCAAAACGGCGACCTTGAGCTCAGCGCTGAGATCACACTTGGAACCGTTGATCCAGGCAAGGAGACCAGCCTTGACATCAGCAGTCAGACTAGCGACAACACCACCAGCAGCGCAAGCATGAAGACCGGCCTTGACGTTGACGTCAAGACCAACAGCGGCCTCAATCCAAGCAGAGAGAGAGGACTGGAAGGAGGCGCTCAGGACGAGAGCGGACTCGAGGGAGGAAGCACCGAAGATACCGTCAATGGTAACGTAGAGCTGACCCTTGGCGGCGATGTCGGCACAAGAAGGAATGTACACGGCAAGAGCAGCCAAGACATCAGCGGAGAGGACGAGCTCATCGTCACCTCCACACCAAGAGATCAGGGAAGTCTTCAAGGAAGCCTCGAGATCGGCGTGGAGGCGGAGCCAGACCTTAAGGGCAGCACGAGCGTTGGCATGGATAAGACCAGCCTTGCAACCCAAAGCACCACCCTGAAGGGCAGCAGCACCCTCAGCTCCGAGACCAGCAAGGAGAGAAGAAGAAGAGTGGCTGCTGTGACCACCACCGAGGACAGCACCGAGAATGGAGGTCACGTCGACAGTGATGTCGGAAACACCGCCGAGGATCTCAGCCAGGAGACCAAAGGTACGGCGCTCAACGGCCATATCGGTGGGGTAGGCGAGAGCCGAACCCGCCAGACCGGCGAGAAGAACGAGAGAGGAACGCATATTGCGATTGTGAATATGTCGAACGTGGTATAACGAGTGTATAGGCCAAACGCTTGCAGTATAGAAGGGTATAAAGCGAGGGACCTGGAATTGACGGACAAGCCGTCAAGTTAACGATAGACTGGATAAAAGAAAGTTGCAAAAGAAAGAAAAGAAACACTGATGAATATTCAGATCCAAACGAGTGATCGACCTTGGGTTTTATACACCCCTGATCCCTCGAAGACTCTGTGCCGGGACACTTCCGGCTCGATCCAAGCTACCAGGTCGGAATGGAAGCACACTGGCTCTACCCCAGTCTTGCTGTCCACAAATGGAGCTATCTACCCCTTAGACTTCAGGGATATCGAGAAATGGAGACCTGGATCTTTCACGGCCGGGTGGATCTTGGTAGAGGCCAGTGAGGAGCCAACAACAGATTGATTACAGCATAGGTGGAGTACTTCTTGGGTGGGCTATTCTTGGGAATGGAGTCAGTGTATCAGGTTATTATATTAAATCTGGATTTTAACTGTACCATTCTGCTTTGAGATGAGGTGAAAAGAATGGTCCCATTTCGTAGTCAGTTGAGCCCTAACTCTATCCAAGTCTCTCAGAATTGAGCACCACATCACCCAATTGACCAAAGATGCCTGAAAAAAAACACAAACACACCACGGGCAAGTGACATGAAACCAATTCGAAAAGGGCAACAACAACTGCACATCATCCATGCGAAGATCGCCTCGAGGAAGGGATCGTCAGGACCCGCCAACGGCGAATTGTTCCAAAATAGAATAATTGTACTAGTAATTCTCCCACAATGGTAGCAATTGTTCCCCTTCCCCTTAAAATGCACTGATCACTTCTACTGGAGTCGAGTCTGAACAAACAACCAAGCTACGTTAGTTAGGCTTAACCCCAGGAACGTCTGCAGCGGTAAGGATACGCGATTGGGAGTGGCCCGTTGTGAATCCACCCATAATCCACAGCCCCGGGGATTTAGACCAGGTACAACTGCATGCTCTTCGCTTTTTTAGGCAAAGATAAACAGGTCTGGTTCGGCTTCGCAGTCGTACACGCAAGACCTGTCAAATCAACGCTCGGCCATCCTGCTGCACCAGCAACCTCAATGACCTCCATGGCTCTAAACCATCAGCCACCAACTGAATTTTGGTCTTTTGGCTTGTGGATATACGAACGGGCTAACTAGGAAGAGACAGAAAACAATTCAGCACTCGGATTTATATCTACAATAGTATACTTCAGTGATTCAAGGTCCACTCCGGTCGCCCATGGTTCAGCAATGATGTGAAGAGACACGGTTACGAACAATGCAAATACCCAATGCTGTCAAATCACAGACAATAATGTACCCGTCGGGTCTCCACGGTGGAGTGAAAACCATGAGGCGCAAAACAAGGACCAGCAACATCTAGCCCTCTCGAGGTAAAGCTGTCTGTACTAGCAACACGCCACCTCCGTAGTCAGAATTGCAACGACGGTGAAAGTGTATCCAGCACAATTGAGCATAGTAAACCTCCACTCCGGGCGTAGGCGGTGATCTAGCACAACTACAAGAACGAATAGCAATGGATTTTCCAAGTGGGACCTCTTATTCAGACGCCCTAAAAAAGCGTCCCTGGACTAGCGTGGTGATGGTGGCGAATGGTGTGTTTTGGTCGAAGCCCTAAGGAGGTGCGGATAAGGGGCAGGATCCACCAACCTCAACATAAGGACCCTACAGTAAACAATGTACTGTACGGAAAGGTCGGAAGGATTTCACTGCCTAGTGCTAGTCCGGCTTGAAGCTTCCTCTTCCTCCATCGTACGATCCACTCCCTACGACTTCAAACCACGCTAACCAGTGCCTCTTTCGCCCCAATTCTTTGGCATCGGTACATTCAGCCAGTAGAACTCGGATCTTGACGCGATCGAGGTTTCATCTCGGGTGATCAACCTCGGAAACCAAAGTCAAGCTCAGGAACAGTTTGAAACAGGTACACCCGACGAGGTTGAGCTTGATCTAGTACTGATTGGGCATGTCTCACTCCACGCGAACGACCTTCACGAGCCAATGCACCTCGGCGTGCATACGGAAAAGCTCGCATCTGGAAAAATCATCTTCCCCTTGGGGTGCAACTAGGCGGGATTTTAAGAGGTCGGAACAGGTGATGGTGGGACACCTGCAGCATGCATTTGCTGTTAGCTGCAGGTAGCCGACTGGCAGGATTTCCCCTGTGCATGTTTTTATTGCGATCGGTCCAGTGCAGGAGGTTACGTCGTGAACGGCTTTCTCGGATATGTACTGCATAGAAAACCAGAAAGTAAACGTTCGCATCACTTTCCTCGCCCAAAGTCCGACTGTAGTACCTGGTAAAATCTCTGCTTCGGGATTTGAGGCCCTTGTTCATCCCTGGACCTCGACAAAACCTGTCCCCCCATCTACTAAACAATAATCCCAACGCCACTGTCTCAATTTTGCCATCATGGATTGGAATAGAGCGAGAACAATCATAGAACATGTGCTCCAAGCACCATTCATAAGGTTTGACTAGTGCAACGCCGCCGAGCTTGGCCACAATAGTATTCTCCTTTACGGAACCCTCGCCGAGAGAGCTCCTCGCCCTATGGCCTTATGTTCTGCTTTAGCGTTGCTAAATGAGGCTAAAAATAACCATAGCATCGTTTCGCATATTGAAACAGAGGGAAAAGCTTAAAAATCGAGCTACTTTCTCACTGGATCTCTCACATGGAGGTGTTCCATTCCTCGGGGCTTCGGCGTTGTTTCATGTTGATTGCCCACAAAAAAAACAGGAAAAAGTCCAGCAAGTAAACTTTCAGGCCCTGCGCCTCAGCCCCAGGGTTCGCACTCTGCTTGAAACGCGACTATTTTTGACGGATTAATCAATCCGCGAACTGACTGGTCTTCGCCAAATGCCGGGGAACCCCCGATGTCAACAATGCGCTCATCCTGCCTGTCTTTCTGCCGTCCGCGGGTCGATCTGGGGCCATGGAAAGATATTCGCGAAACAACGACCTCCATTTCTTAGCGTGAAACAGCCGCTTTTGAGATCAGCAGTTCAGGAATATTCGAGCTAGAGAACTTGGCGGGAGAAATTACTTCCAAATACTACCTTGGAATGAATGCGCTCACACGGCTAACCGGGATTCTGCTTTCGATGAGTCATGGGTCCAGAGCAGAATACAATGTCAAGATAATTGTAGATGCAGGTCTGCTCAACTGTCTACATGAAACCTCGATTTCTGAGACCAGCGACGCCATTATGGGACCACCAAGTGACTTTACGATGCAAGCGAAAAAGTAAAAAGGGAGAGATCATTTTCAGAAGAGACAGGGAGACATAATAATTGACTAATGAAGCAAGCTCAATGTGTACTTGTGCAAAATGAAAAACGACTAGTGACAAATTCCTTCCATGCATGAAAAACTCCCGATGAAAAAAGAATGCGTCCAAATAAACACCCAAATGCTGACACAGCATACCTTCCGACGCCTGAACTATCCTGAGAGACATTGACATTGATACACAACACAAATGAAATGCGGTCTTTACAGCACGCGAGCACCGCAAGACATTCATAGTCCGCAATGAACAATCCCAATCTGCAGATGCTCAGATGCGTATAAGTATCCTTCCACCCCTCCGCTAGTACCAGAATGCCCAGTCATATTTCCGCCATGCAGCATCAAGAAAACAAAAGTAGGTCACACTACACAATCACTCGGGGCGTTTCCAACGACACTATAATACCCTGGAGTCGTCGACGTTCCTGTTCCTGTGCCTTAAGTTCACGCTTGCATTCCAAAAGCTCATTCATCTTGGCATAGGATTGGCTCTTGGAGAGCTTTTTGAATTTCTTCCGGAGACTGGCTTCTTGTTTGGCGATTTCTCGGAGAAGGATCTTCTGTTGGTCTATGGAGCTTGACCAGTCCAGGACCGGACCGAGTCCTTCTTCTCTTTCTTCCTCCTCTTCTTCTTCTTGGGCTTGTTCCTTGCGTTGGGCATTTTGGATTGATGCTAATTTATGCTTTTCGATCCAGAATGACAGTAGAGCTCTGAGCTTTGACATGTTGTTTGTTGTTAGTGATGTTAGCTGGTAGTTGATTGAGATGCATAGTTTGTAAGTGTTGTCTTTTCATGTTGGGATATTTGAGTCATGGTCGATTTGAGTTTGGCAGACGTAATATGTATTTGAGTTCTCTATTGATTGCGCTTGAATCTGCCTTCCAAGGTTGATGTGCGAGTAGTTGTTCGGACGAGAGTTTGTTCCACGTGGGTGCCGAACTAGTCGGTTTTGGGACCTTGCGATTACAACCATGGAACTGTGAACTTTGGGTTGGATATAGTTCTACATTGATGAGTAGAAAGGCTATGGATATACTATGTAGATATCTACGAATATAATGAATACATAATGCACTGCTTGCATTGCTGTAGATGTTGAATTTTTCAGCGAGATGCTTCGATATATATCTTGATTCAACTGCACTTTCTTGGAAGTGTCTATGTCATTTCAATCTCATACACCGGCAACTTGCTTTGATTTAGACAAAGATCAGGTTCAACATTCTTTCCATTATCTAGTTCAAATCAATTTTCAGCTGTTGAGCATTCCGGCCCAGAAACCTCCTCAACTTCAGCTACCCTGCTCTTAATCCAAGCAGCAAACGGCTGAAACAAATAAGACTTCTGATTTTGCGGAAGATCACAATATTTGAGCAGCGCTTTATACCGACCAGCCGCAGACGCACCAGTGGCATGAAGAACCTTTGCCAAATCGACAGGACAGAGATAAGGCGGCTGCCTAACATCCTCGGCAAGAGACGCAGTGCCCTGCATCATGCATGCATAGTAGACACAATGATCAATACCAAAACAGTGACCCAACTCATGACTTGCAGTGCGGCACACCCGGTCTAACCAGAGGTCATTAACCCGCTCAGCGCTGAGCTCCTTGCCCGGCTTCATTGGCCGCAGAGCGCCATAAGCAGACACGGCTTCCCTTAGCGGTCCATTTTGAGCCACAGCTGACATGCGCGAGCCCTTCCCGATTGTCCGAGGTCTTTTCGACGGTGGCTGTTCTTCCAATTCTTCCTTGGTGTAGGTGTTCACATATTCCTCACAGTGTGATGCAGGCCAGGGATGCACACGCTCCACTTGATGATCGTAGCTGTCATCTAGTAAGGGGTTGTATCTTGCCGTTGACACCACGGCAACTCGACTCCCTCCGTATGCACGACCGCAGACGAAACTGTCTTCGTCGTCTTCGTAGAGGTCGAAGTGGACGAGAAGAAGCAAAGCATAAGCACTTTTGGGTAAAATGGCAATGGCAGCATCGAGAAGATCGTTCAAGTTGAGCTGGCCGGGGTAGTCTCCGCCTGGTCGTTCGCGGATCCGAATGCGCACGACCTCACCACCGCCAATATCCAGACCCACGTACTTTGGAATTTTCTGCTTCCCAGAGGTCTTTTTGGTCTTGGTCCACGTTGTGTAACGCATGTTGTATGTTGGCGTCATACCGATAGGCAAACCATGATAAAAAGCCTTCAGATAATCTTGAATGAGGAGTGCGTTTGGCGGTTGACATTGTTCCTTGGTAGCCATCAAATTAATCTCTGGTTTCCAGTCCTTCAAGAACTCGACACCATCAAAGACCTCTGGAACTGAGCAGACAAACAGCTTTTTTTGTTTGGGCTTTACTGGATTGCGATCTTCGTCGTCAAGCCATTCTTGGAAGCTTTGCGCAGGGTACTCCGGATCCTCAGATAGATCATCCCCTGGAAGGACCAAAGGAGCGGGAAATGCTCTATCATCTTCATTGAGAAAATTCACATTCAAGTTATTTGTGTTTTCAGAGGCATCGTTTTTTGGTTTCGCGGCCGCGACGCGTTGTTTTTGGGTTGGCCTTCTGAAGCCTGCCACCGTTGCATTTGGCGAGGATGAAAAGCAGAGAGACGAGTGGTTACATTTTGAGATGGACGTTTTGCTGGCCATTTTGCTTAATTGCTTTCACGAGTCGTTCAAGCGGCGTAGTTGAAGTGAATGATTAGAGGGAGATGATGACATGCGGCTCTTCGGCGCGTGTCCACCTCGCGCCCCAAACCGACTCACGACATCAACTTCCCCCTGTGCTCGACAGATCTGAAGATTAGTAAAACGAGGAAACGAAATATCGGAATCCAGTTGTTCTGGTAATGGTGTACGATTATGTTTGCCTCTTGCTCCCTACGGCAATCACCTACCTCTCTTGAGCCTTTCCACATACAACGATCAAACCGGTTCTTTGACTCGCAAGAAAACAATCCAGACAACGAAATCTATACGCGTCGCCTCAGCACTCGGCAATTCATAGTGGATCTGCTTGTTCCGATTACTCATCGGAGATCAAGTTGAAGAAGTTCGGATTGTCCGGGGATCGGCATTGCAACCAAGGTTTGATTGAGATCTTCATCTTGGCCTCAGAATATCGGCAAAGAAGATAGGCACTCGGAATATGGAGTCTGAAATACCAGGGCCTCTTTCTCCAGGCAGGAGTTAAGCATTAATTCCACGCCATCCACTCCTTACAGTTGCTGTGTCACCATGAGATGGGACTTACTGTGCAGTGGATTATACCTTGCAGAGGTTGTCTCTGCAATCGACTATGGAACATTCGTCAACCCCGCCAGCAACACTCGCACGAAGTTCCGGTACTGGCTGCCGGATGCGAGCGTTGATATCGCGACTGTCCAAAACGACATCAAAGCGGCCGGTGCACTGGGCGCAGGAGGAATAGAGCTTGTACCTCTATACAACTACGGCGCATCGCTAGCAGGACCACCGAAGGGCGCTGACTGGGCAACCTATGGCTTTGGAACCCAGTCATTCGCAAAAGTGTTCAAAGCCTCCTTGCAAGCAGCAAAGGAAGCCGGAATGCGCATGGACTTTGCACTTGGCCCCAGTGCAGGACAAGGAGTCCCGGCGGAGACCACTGACCCGGGTTTACACTGGGACTTGGTAAGTGGTTGCTGATTAATTCTACCGTAGAGTCCTGCTGACAAGATCAGACACCTTTCAACACCAGTGTTCCACACAATGGCAGTTACATAGGTCAAATTCCTGGATGGGGAGCTGGGGAGCTTGTGGCCTTGGTATCTGCTAGTTCCATTGATAGGTCTAGAATCACGAACCCGTCGAGTGACCTCTTTTCCACTCCCGCCAACAATGCAACTCGTCTAGTCCTCGATACTGACTCACTTGTTGAACATACAGACAAGGTTCGATCTGATGGAACTGTGGCTTTGTCATTGAACAACGGAACCGAGCACTATTCTACACATCATCTGTTTGCATTCTACCAATATCAGGATCTGGCTAAGAACCTCGACATTGAAACCAACACAACGGGAACTATCTTTGATAATGGATCCTACACTGTGGATCATTATAGCTCTCGAGGAGCAGAAACAGTCAAGAACTTCTGGGAGAACCATATTCTCAATGATACCGAGATCATGTCCCTCTTAGGCGAGGTTGGGACGTATGGCTGGGAGGACAGTATCGAGGTCAAGTCCAACATCTCTTGGACTCCTTCGCTCCCAGAGAAATTCGAGAAGATGCACGGGTATCGTGTTCACAAATATCTACCTCTGATGATGTATGGAAACAACAACCCCGGTGTACAGCCATCATACCCAGGAAAATTGAAAAGTGTCACAGACGGCAATCAAAGAGGGAGAGGCTTTGTCAATGATTTCCGTGCAACTTTGGCTGTAGGCTATGGTGACTACCTGGATACCTTGACATCCTGGATGCAAAATCTTGGATTGCAGTTCTCGGCTCAAGTCTCCTATAACCTGCCGTTGGATATGGAGACAAACATCGACCGAGTGGATGCCCCTGAGTGCGAAAGTCTTGCATTTAATGACAATATTGATGGGTATCGGCAATTCTCGGGGGCAGCCAATATCGCCCAGAAACAAGTGATCTCAAACGAGATGGGAGCCGACCTAGAGAAAGCCCTGGCCCTTCCCGTGGGGGAACTTTTGGGCCAGATCAACATTGCTTTCTCCGGCGGCGTGAACCAGGTCGTGTTGCATGGGCAAACCTTCACGGGCGACTATTTCGAGACTACCTGGCCCGGGTATCTAGGCTTCTTCTTGCTTTTCTCGGAGTCATACATGGACAAACAGCCGGCCTGGTTGCTCGGATACCCAGATGCATTTGGGTACATCAATCGGAACCAGTATATCCTTCATCAGGGTCAGCCTCGTACCGATGTCGCTTTCTTCAATAAGGTGTCCTATACCGATCCTTACATGGGCACTCTATATTCAGAGAGTGACTTGGTTAACAGCGGTTATACTTATACCTACGTGAACCCAAGCAATCTCAATCTCACTCAGTCCTTCGTATCTGACAGTATACTGGCCCCCGAATCACCAGCTTATCAGGCCCTGGTAGTTACCGCTCAGGAGAACGTGACCCTGGAAGCAGTCACGAGAATCCAAGAATTCGCCGACGCTGGTCTGCCGGTGCTTCTCAGCGGCGGATTACCAGGATACTATCCGAATGGGAATTCCTCCGATCGCGATGCTGTCTCCGCGGCACTCAAGAAACTGAAGGGATCCAACAATGTGCATTCTACTTCGAATGGAGAAATCAGCTCCAAGCTCAAGGCTCTCAAAATTCGCCCGCGCGTTGAGACTATCATGTCTAATAATGCCACGTGGTACCCAATCATGCGCACCGACAATTCCACCGACTATGTGTATGTCTTCAGCAAGAATGTCGCAGCCGAGGGGTATCTTCGTGTGAACTCCACGAAGACTCCATACGTTCTGAACAGTTGGACCGGGGAGAGAACTGCGCTGCTCAACTATCGAGTCCAAGGAAACACAACGATATTTCCGCTAAGCTTGGCTGCGAACCAAACCGCCGTCGTAGCCTTTTCTGACGACTGGACATCTGAAATCGACACACCGTCTTCACACGCAGTCTTGACTCCTACAAACATGTTGGGATATAACTTCACCACTTCCAAGGGCCTGGTTGTTCACACGGCCACTGGTTCCAACTCCAAAAACCACACCTTGAAGCTATCCAATGGCAAGACATACCGAGCTACCCAAAACGCAGATGTCCCTCCATTCAAATTGCAAAATTGGACTCTGACAGCCGAGCACTGGCAAAAACCAGAGAACATGTCCGACGTCACAATCATCGCCGAGAAACACAACACCACCCACCATTTAACATCATTAGTGTCATGGCTGGAGATCCCTGGTCTACAGAACGCGTCAGGAGTCGGATATTATACCACTCAATTCTCCTGGTCATCCAGATCTTCAAGCAAGACAAGCGCAGTCGACGGAGCCTATATCTCCTTTCCACCAATCTCCCACGGCCTCAAGCTGTATGTCAACGGTCAGATTGTGCCGACGTTAGACTTTGCGAAGCCCATGGTTGACGTTGGTTCCTTCTTGCGAGAAGGTACCAACAAAGTGACTGCTGTTGTGCCGACACTGATGTGGAATTATATCCGCAGTATCTACGATGAGATTGAGATTTCGGGCTCGACGCCTTTGTTGACCACTCTGCCAGGAAACGTGGATACTGGGATGATTGGAGATGTTGATGTCATTCCTTACACCAGCCATCATATTATCATCTAAATAGGGTGTGTTTGTGGATGCAATTAATTTTATTTATTCTCATGTAGCGCGTTCTCTTCTATCTGGATGTACTTCTCTTGCATAATTACTCTCTCACCATCAAGATCAGATCTTGATTCCTGCCAGGATCCATAGATTTTATTCCATCATTTTGGATTCCGAGTATCGTCATTATGTTTTGCGATCGTTCGCCGGCCGAGGGCCTCCAAAGCCGTAATAACTTTCCACACACGGTCGGAATTTGATGCCCCTTCGCCGAGCTTTGCTTCTCGCCCCCCAAGCTCTCGAACATGCACTGCAATCTTACTGATAAGATCTAGATCCCGCACTGCATCCGGCGCATGCGGATCAGAGATAATATGGCAAAAGATGGTGAGAATAGCAGAAAGTGGATAAAAGAGGATCAACCTAAAAGCCAAAGTGAGCATCAAGCCAAGAGAACAAAAGCCAAAAGCACGCACTTACCAAAAATCCCTAGAAGAAAGCGCATCACGAACCGCCAAAAGGCAATAAAGCGACGAACGACACGTAACAAGAGACAGGGCCAAACTCGAACTTATGCCCTGAGTCTCGCAGTCCTGATTCCCAGCCAAGGACCGAAACCGTCCACAGGCCTGGTGAATATAAGCCAAACAGTAATAATATTCCAGCCGCATCATCAAAGCCCGAATACTAAAGGTCCCAGGCGGGTGACTTGTATCATGAGCGAAGAGCAAAGTCGGCCGATAATCCGCTGGTATACTCATGCGCCACTCTTCGAGATCGCGATCCAACTGGCGGATATCGCTCAGGATAAGGACTCCATCTTTCTCTAGGGCGCGCCGGGAGAATAGATCACAATAGACGTTCGACTTGATCTGGCTGAGGCGGAGGTCGCCTGGAAAGACGGGGCTCGTGCAATGTCCTACGCCGAGTGAGATGTTGTAGTCCTGCTCGTATCCGATTGGGAGGTCTAGATCGCAGTTGTATTCTGACATGGCGGGCGGTTGGCCGGATCGGACGCAGAGCTCTTTGTCTTGCTGGTAGCACATACAGAATAGGTTTCGAAGGTGATAGGCCGGTCGATGGCGTTCGTCGCTGGTTGTGACGAACTGGCAGGAGTCCCTGAAGCAGTCTCGGGTATTTCCGCCGAGGAGGAGAACAAAACGTGCTGCGAGTGTGTTGCTGAGAACGCCTGCTTGGACGTTTCCTGCTAGGAGGTTGATTATCACGAGCATTGACGTTGCTTGTAGGAGGTCGATGTGCGGTTGCTGGAGGAGGTTGATAGATGCCATTAGGGATGTCACGATGTCTGTCCGTTGTGATATTGATAGTGGTGACATTATGCCCGGAAAGACGGACATGAAGGCCCAGGCAGCCCAGATACAGATCTTGGCTGTATGAATTCGAGATGGGCTTTCTTGACATCCATAAGCCACATCCATTGTGGTCTTGAAAAGAACTGGATCTGGCAAAGGCCATACTCGACTGAGGTCTGAGTCAAAAAAGTTGCGTGTGACTCTTTCTAGCAAGGCTCGTTCGGGAAGGATCATATCTTCAAGGGGTGTATGTCGGGCATTTCCTGCCTCGGTCGTTGGATCACGTTCCCAAGGCCGTGAGACCGTGAGACAGAGATCATCGGTGATTCTTTCGCCCGTGAGATGTTCAACCCATCTTTGACCCTCTGGAGAAAACAGTACAGTGCCGTCGCTGAGATTGATGTTGCCAACATGATGTAAGAATGGAAATGTTTGTTCGGTTTCTGCGATGAATCTTAGCTTCCCTGAGCAAAGATAGCAGCACTCATGACATACTATGAGATTTCTCTGACCGATGTGATGTTTTTAGTGAAATGCCCCTGCAAGCGGCGGATCTGGCGCATATCGGTCAGTACAGTCGTAGTTCGAAGCAAGCACCACAAGGATAAGCTACTGGTTTGATAATGCTTTAGGTGCCCTTTGACGTTTCCTCTCATAAGTGCAGGACATATTCCGATGATTACACCATTCACAGCGAGGGTGCTCTCCGCCACATTTGATCTACCTAATCAGCACTCGTCATCCAAAGATCTAGGAGGGAAGTACCTTTTGCCGGAAACAATTATCACAGGCTTTGATGGATCGCCTCTTAGGAGCTTTGTCATGTAAAGGGGTCATAATCACACCTCAAGAGGTTCGCGCTTTTCGTCAGGTTGAAATGCAGGTTATGCCAAGACGACGAAGCGGGTAAGAAATTGGGCGATTGATAGTGGGTCACTCGGATCCCATCCCAAGGTATAGTGAAGTGTTCCTCGGATGGTTTGTTCAATTTATATCTCGATTTCGAATTTATGTGCAATAACTCCACCGCTGAGAATCACAATTCCAATTAGCGGGTCAAGGCCAATGTAGCTGGCTGCACTAGCGGGAACCATGCGTATATCTTTCGTGGTGGATTGAATCATTGGTGTAAAATACCATGTCGAGGTGACTCCAAGCCAGAGCATGACCCAGACTAGTCCAACGAGCCGTTTCCAAAGGGGAACATCTTCTTTTGCTGATGGGGGTTCGCTTCGGGCTTGCATATGCTTCCAAAGCTCTTGTACGCCGTCCTCTAGCATAATTCCCAGGATAAATGCGAGGTAGAATGGTATTGAACCCGATCTTCCCATAGGAATACTTTGCAGTATATCGACAATAATGTGAAACGCCGCAGAGACGATGAATACAATGGAAATATTCGTATAACGCTCCAACAAGGATGATCGTGATAAGTGCAGGACATCCCGCGAAACGTAGTTACTGATAGATGTGAATGGCCGACGCATGAATTGATGCCAGAATTTCCTACAAGATAGGTTAGCCCGCCCGAAAGAAATCCTCTGTGCGTATGATATGCCCATCCTACCCCCAAAAGTTGCGCAATGTAAACGCATCGCTCATTCTTCCCCAAGCTGGCGGCCAGTCAGAAGGAGAGTCGAGTCCAATCCCAACGAAAAATATTGACAGAGCTCGATATGCCAGATCACCAATCAAGCGATTCACTATAAACCAGATAGACAGATGTGTGGCGATCCGTTCGATCCACTGGCCCGCCGGTACAACCCATTCGATTGACCTGATCGATTCTTGTGGTCCTTTTTCAATAGCTTGCTGCTTTGAAATAGTCTGAACAATATCAAGAACAAGGTATTGCCAAGTGGCAATGACAAGCTGGCGCAGAAGAAACCGTGCTCTCCTTGGTACCGGCATTTCTCGACGGCTGTAATATTGCGGATGAGGAGGAACATTCTTGACCTGCCATGGTGTATTAACCGCGCGGGTCTGACCAAGCAGGCGGATTGCTGCGACTAATCGAGATCTCACTGCTGGGATACTCTTCGCGCCGCGTGAGATATCTTGGCAGTCCATGGAGTTGATCAACAAAAAGTTCAGGGCCTGCATAGTCACGATCACGAGTTGGGTTATTGCCTGGCACCATTCCGGACTACCAGATGCACCAAAAGGCCTCATGAAGCGACTGGATACCCATGTCATACATAAGAGGCAAAGAAAACGTAAAGGAGATCCTTTACGCGTAGTGATTAGGATGAGAGCGGGTACAGAGATCTGAACCAGGTAGACACACGCGAATACCGAGATGTTCGCGACGGTAGACTCGTATAATCCATACATCTCGATATTGATCTCGACATCTGGGTTGGTGTCAGATGGGAAAAGTCGTTGCTTGTGCACTGATTGGTTTCTGGTCTCGGCCCCACCGCCGAACATTCGAATGGAGCACTTTTGACTCTTGTTTTTCAAGGTTCATCATCATAGTTTGTTTATTCTGGCGTTATGCATTTTATACATCTGCTCTACTGTGGACATGACACCGCGAGTTTGATAATGTTTAAATGCGCAAGAGCTCAGCGCTACTGGTTCAAAGGATGATGTCTAACCAAAGACATCAATCACTCTTACCCGCCTCGTCCTCTTCCCCGACCTCGCCCGAGATTCTGAGCTCTTCGCCGTTCCCTTTCTGTCAACTCATGAAGCAGCTGTGGTGGTGTCTGGCCGGCTGCATTTGCTAGATACATCGAGGCCCCAGCATCCACCAAGACTGTGATCATCTTTTCTCGTGATGCTTTTGATTGATCACTCGGCAGACTTGAGACTACTTGACCGCGCATTGCCTCATGGAGAGGGGAATTCCCTTTGTTGTCGACCGCATTGACATTCGCGCCCCGAACGATGAGATGTTGTACGGCATTGACCCGACTCAGATGCCGGACCATGAAATGAAGTGGTGTACGGCCGTCGACATCGGTATCGTTGACGCTGACATACTCCAGTAGCTTTTCAATGATAGCAATATCTGCGCAACCGGTGTCGCGGAAATTCATCGCCACTTTATGCAACAAGTTCTGTGATTGGGCATTACATGTGCGGCCATCAGCTCCATGTTCGAGTAAGGCAGTAAGCATATTCAAGAATTGGACACTAGGATTGCCTCGTCGAACTCCTCCATAGGAATCAATGGCAGTCTCCAAGACTGTCCAGCCCAGGTGATTGCGAGTATTGAGTATAGAAGGGAGCGGCTTAGTACCAAGAAGTATCTTGACAACGGGCAAAATGCCCGCTAAGCTCGAATTGCAGGTGACTGCATAATGGAATACATTTGCGCCCTCGTGGTCTCGTATACCGATTGCGTCTGGGTTGCTCTCGAGGAGCATTTCGATAGTACGTATAATGTGATCTGTAATCTCCTCTTGATCATCCCAGTCGTCCATTTCCATCCGTTTATCCGAATACCCGCTCAATGCCCAGTGAAGTGGAAGTCGTCCAGCATCATCGGTCATTGAACTCATCGCTGCAAAACCCGCCTGACCGAGATTATCCGCCAGCACCTTCATCCCCTCTAGATTCCAGAAATGAGCTGCGATATGTAAGACGGTCACTTGGTCCCCTGAAAGACGGACCCCATTATTATTTGACCACTTCTGCCGGGCATAAATGTCGGCTCCCTCGGCAATCAGACGAGATACCATCTGAAAGCTTGCGTGGGGGATGGATGGCGGCACCGAGCACAGTATTTGACACCTCGGCGCGTGGCAGGTCCAAGTGAGATGGAGTTTTCATCCCATGATCGTGCACGTATAAATCCGAATTTGGGACCGAGCAGCCTTGATCCAGAAGAAAGCAGATAAAGTCTTCAGATCGTACCAGTTGATCTCTTTTTTTATGCCTGGAGGCGATCGTGCCGGCAACATCAACATCTTTTGCGCCTAGTCCGCTAGCCGCGCTGAATAGGGGTGTTTCCCCATCCACCGATCGGTCGTGCAACGTCCCCAATGGCGGGTCTTGGTGTAGCAACCACAGCATCAGCTCACGGTCTGCAGCCGCACATGCGTCATTGATTAGAGAGCTGTAAACGCGCGCATGATATGCATTGATGGGCTCTGGGAGAGTTGAGTCCGCCAGATAAATCTCGAGTAGGGTCTTAAGCACGTTGAAGCTACCGCATTCTGCCGCGTTGATGAGCGGATGGTAGTAGTACGTCGCGTATGATTTCCAAAAGACGGTCGTGTTGGGACTGTCATTGTAAAGAAGAAGAGACGCGACGTCGTCTTGTCTCACAATTTCAGCCAAGAGGTCCTGGTAGGGCGCTTCGTACAGCGGGACTCCGTCTTCGTCGTTGAAAGCCGGCCCTTGTGATTGCAGGTCAGGGTGTTGTTGCCGAAATCGGCTGTATGCCATTGCGCATGACAAAAGATGATAACAAGAGAGCGGATTACTATGTACGGAGTAACTCGCCGGGGAACTGTGCTCGGTGAATGCGCTACCAAGTTGTTATCCGTGCCCTCCCATCCCCTTGTGCCAACAATGAACCCATCCGAATACGAGATCCACCCGTACCCCATTGAGGCTGAATTGCATGGTTGAATGGGCTACCTATAGAGACAGAGACTAGCACTCGGGGTCCGTGTGATCCACTTGAAAGTTACGGGTGGCATTTGCTGCTTGGTCCACGCACGACTTGTTACTGCTGAGATAACCTCTATTTTCAAGTGGAACAACCAAATGAAAAAACGAATAATTCGTGCCCTCTCCCTCAAAATAGTAGAATAATACTCAGAACTGCCCCAGAGACTATGAAAAGCAAACCAACAAGCCACCTTAAAGTAGTATCGTGAAGCGAGAAAATATCAACTAATGCGAAGAATTTCCCTCTTTCGGGGTCGATTTACCTAACCATAAATAAAGGTAGGTAGACTCGTCTAATTATTCCCCTCCAGGATTAGCACAATTTTCGAGCGATTACCATCGATCATACTACGCCAGATTGAAGTACCTTGAATTGTATGGCGCTCTCATGTTGTTGGCGATTCCAGTGAGTACCTAGATATGTCTTATTTATCATCATAAGTCATAATATCAGAAGAAACTAATTTCGATAGCCCGAAAGGCTCTTGGGATCACGACCACATGCGAGCTGCAACCGTGTTGTTGATTATAGCAATGAAAAATTTGTGCAACATTTGTTCTTTCGTCAGCATAGAAAGCTTCTAGAATACTACGAGGCTAATCTAGCTAATGCAAAAGAGCTCAAGAAGAAGCAGCAGAGGAACCTTCGTGCCTTTACTTTGCCTGACAATCTGCTTCTCTTCTTCTTTTTCTTCCCTTTCATAATATAAGACCGAACAGTTAACGGGAATCATTCCCATATTTACCGCCTTGTCTAATCTGATAGCTTATTAACTCACACCGAAAACACCAAATGCCAATTTGCTTGGTCAACCCGTTAGAGCGAAAAAACAATTACAACGGCTAAATGGAAGTACAAATGAGACCATTCCTAGCATAATTACCGGCAGAGAGCTTATTGGAGTAGCATAAAAAGTCGGTACGGTATTTTACTCATTTTGCATATCAAATGAGTGCGTGGACTCGACACTTAGGACTTTTGCCGCATGACATATTCATATCCAATTTGCCGAACATCCGCTCTAGCCCACACGGAGATATATTGATGCTTTAGGCTCCCCTATAGTCTCTGACGCAGTTCCGACAACTCTTCTACTATATTGATGGAGAGGGCACGAGTTTTGGTCGGCTTTGACTTTAGATATTCCATGGGCGGATAGATGTTATTTCCATAATAACAACCGGCTGTTACCTTGCTTATTGCATTTCGAGAAGACGCTTAGTATAGATAGGCCAGCCAACAGCGGCTAACATAGAGCCAACAACAGAAGGGAGAAAGCGTCGCCGGGGGAGGCTCCGTGCGCTAGACTGCGGTGCGAGGTGGTGAGAACCACCAATAAGAAGAAGACTCGTTGAGACGATGAGCCGGGCGAAGTCGAGCCTAGCTCAGCTAGGTAGTCAGCATACATTAGGCTGTCTGGCCTCCACGGCAGATATGGTAGGGTTTAAAGGGGGTCCAATCCCTCCAACCTTTTTCTTACTTACACAGCTCTCTGGTTTGTCAAACTTGATTAGCAGTGCGTAACGGTAGTTGGGATTTCAAATCATTCTTTAACATCGGGACGTTCAATTTTCTGGTTCAAAAATCTTGCTATCATGCCAAAGACCTCAGATTCTCCTTTAAGGAAGACGACAGCAAACTTGACAGCCAGCCAGAAGTACCCAAAAGCCTCATTTGGGAAAAAAGCAGATGATGTACCTTTGCTTCCAGTTACAACTGGTCAAGTTCCGGTCCAAGAATTCAGCATAGGTCAAGAACCCCGCGAATTATCTCCAACGCCCGAAGAGATGGACCAAGTCTTTGCTCAAAAGCTCAAAAAGTTTGACTGGGCTGGATCGTGGACATGGGAAGTTGTCAGCATGATATTCAGTATGGTGTGCCTTGCAATCCTGATATGGTTCCTCAAATACGTGAATGGAGTGGAGTACGACACCTGGCAATATCGATTGTCTCCGAACACAGTCGCCTCAGCCATAATCACTGTGACAAAAGCCGCCCTACTGATCTCGGTGTCCTCATCTCTCAGTCAACTGAAGTGGAATCAGAGTCATCCAGCCAGAGCAACTCCACTCTATCATTTACAAGTACTCGATCAGGCAAGCCGTGGGCCATGGGGTGCTCTAGAAGTGCTATGGAGATGGAAGATGAAACCAGGATTGGTAACCGTGGGAGCTTTGTTGATGGTGTTTTCCCTAGCTATCGATCCGCTGGCACAGCAGCTTTTGACCTACCCCCTCCTTCGGCAAAAGGCAGCCGATGGGTTGGCCTATGCACAGAGTACACATGCATATTTGCCTCCTAAGTGGAACATAGAGCAACTTGACCATTATGATACTAATCCGACCATCACAATGGCAATTCTCAGTGGACTGTTCCAAACAAACACCCCACTAGAGCCGGTCTGCTCAACAGGTGATTGCCAGTACTCTGATTTTGCCTCGTTGGGAATTTGCTCTCATTGTGAGGATGTTACAATGAGTGCAACGCAGGTCTGCGAGGTGTCGCATCAATTCGGGAGCACAACATTCCCCACGACTTGTACTTATACATTTCCAAATGGTTACAAGATCAAGCCTGAGGTGTTGGGCACGTACAGCGCAGGACACAGCCTCTGGGGCATCGATCGTCAGCCATGGACTTCTGTAGTGACATCCTATGATAGCGCACTAACGCCACTTGTATCCTTTTTTTCCGCCAAGTACTCCCAGCCCCTTGTTTACTCAAGCCACAATACTACAGCATGGGAGCAAAAGCCAACATTGACGGATTGCTCAATCAACCTGTGTGAAAAGCAATATACGAACAACCATTATAACTCGACTGGTCTCCGAGCTCTGAGTTTTACAAAAAGCCAGATTTTAACATCTTCTCCAGTTGATTCTTCTTCTGATTATGTTGGCTTAGTTCCTCTTAACGGGAACACCACCTTTTCGCCAAACTCCACATACGCCGTCGAAACCGTCTCCATTTATATCCTAAAATACATGCTGGAAGATATCTTCAACAGAACTCTCATTCAAGACAAATCTGGAACATTTACTCCCGCCCTGTTCTTGTACAGCAGCAAAAATCTGACGGAATCAATTGCCCAAGTGGCCACCGCGATGACAGACGTTTTTCGCTCTACTATGGGTCCTGGGGCTTCGCAAATTCCAGGTGAAGCATTTGAGGAACGCGCAATTATTCACGTCCGATGGGGATGGATCGCAGTACCTGTTGCCTCTGTGGTAGCAGTAGGGTTTCTCCTCCTTAGTACTGCAATATCGAGCAGGGGAAAAAACAGGATACTATGGAAGGCTTCTATACTACCATTGCTCGTCGGACAGCTCCGAACTCGACCCGCGCATGATTTGACATCGTTGCCGCCACATATTGATCAGATCATGGACATGTCGAAGAAAGTTAACATCGTGACGGAAAGAAATCACCCTCTTGTCATGGTGGAAGAATAGTCTTTCATACTGCTTAGGTAGCTATGCGTACTATTTTTCCTCTGCCGTGTGTGGCTTTCCTATCGTTACTACCGCCACCTTGCGAGGGCGCGCGAAGACCGGCTCGCTGATTTCTCACTAATCGCTCGCTGCCCAGATTGGTTCGCATTCGCAAGCCTCCAGCCTTCGCGCTATATTTGATACGTATAGTGATATTTGAAGTCACTATACCAAGCCCTCAAAAGGACGTGGGAATTGAGATTTAGTCTGATGCTGAGGTGCTCAGCCCAAAAGGATCATCCAAGAACTCAATAGCTGCTCAAATATCAATGATCGGCGGGGCTTACCCTGGCAAGTCCCAAAAAACAGCCGAAAGGACTGAGACATAACCCGGCCCATCTATTCCTTGCGGGGTTTCGCTTTTAAATCGACACAAGAAAGCCACCTTCAACTTGAAGTTCAGTTGAGGCGAGGCACTCGCGGCCTCGGGTCTGCATCCAGGTTGTCGCTCTGCCATCTCTTTCTTCTTCTTCTTCTTCTTCTTCTTCTTCTCCTCCATTAGGACCACCAATAACAGAACTTGAAGTTCCCCCATTCATAGTAGTGAGTGCTGCCCGGTAGCCTTATGGATAATGACAACCAAAGGTATTCATGATGGACAGCCCTGAAGCCTACTGTGTAAATTTCAAGTTCAAGTTGTACTATAGTGGCCGGGTGTACTGTACTGTTTCGAGGGTTATAACATCTCGCTACAACCTCGCAGGTAATTTAACTACCAAGTTGACCCTTCGACGCACTAAATTTACTGGCATGGATTATCCAAAAATACCTCTCCGGGGTTGCTTCGTACCAAAAGGATTAGCTCCTATAAACATCCATACTATCCTCCTCACTTCCCTAGTACAACCTCCACCATCTCGCCATCCCTTACGATCGCATATTGACCACCATGTCAACATCCCCTTCTCTAAATGTCGATGTCGTAAGACACTAATTTGGAAGAATGCATCCTATTCCATATATCCGGATACTGATTACTAGTAGCTAGGTAGGGGTGTCCGGGGCTAGTACCACTACTCGTGCAGCAGTGACCTATGTGTCTCTCCTGTCTGGGTATCCACCTATCCTGCTGCAATCCGATGAGAACTGTTCCTCTCTTTCCCGAGGGTAATTTCCTTCCACTAAAATCAAGCCTCAACAATCTATCATGATATCGCCCCCCACCACACCTCCAGACTAATTTCCTTCCAGGGTTTTGCCGCTAGTCTTGTGTGTCTAGCTGGGGCTGACAGGCGAACCCAATCGGCCCCACCTTTTGATGGTGTGAGAAGACTACTAAGCGCCAGGGTCCAGTGTCATGCTGCGTTGGCCGTTTTACTATCGTGCAAGCGCTTGATGGCTCGCCTTAGTTGGTTGTTTCCACTGTGAGGCTGGAAAGCGAAGACCCTTCGCAGCTCTTGGCGCTCCCAATATGGAGGTTATAACAAGACCGACCTCGAACTGAAGAACTATGACCTGCTTCCATCCACGACTGAAAACATGGAGCCTCGAAACGATTCAACGACGACTCAGACCTACTACCAAAAACCTCGATTTAGCTCTGCCGAAAGTCGAACATCCTCCCCAGCGCGGTCGCAGGACACAACTGTTTTCGGCGATTACAATGTTCACGATAGCCCTCGATCGCGATCTTTCCCGGCGGGGAATGACCATCATGATCTAAATACCAAACCGAAATCTCCTTCCAAATGTGGAGGCTGGACTTCACTGGAAGATACATGGATTCTCGAGTGCTTCGCCTTGGGGTTCAGCTTCGCATCGTTCATTGCAGTCATCATTATTCTCAAAGCTTACGACCAGAAGCCGTCCCCTCATCTATCCTACGGGCTGACACTCAACACGATCATTTCTTTACTGGCCACATCATCCCGATCCTCGTTACTTTTCGTGGTAGCCGGAGCGATAGGTCAATTGAAATGGGTCTGGTTTGGGCGTCGGGAACAGCCTATTTTAGACATGCAGTCTTTCGACGATGCAAGCCGAGGGCCACTCGGCGCTATGTATCTTCTCTTCCAGCACCGCGGGCTCTCAATTGCCTCCCTTGGGGCTATTGTTACCATATTGTCGATGGCTTTAGACCCATTTGTGCAGCAGATTCTGAGCTACCCGGTTCAACAAACTCCAGGTAGCACAACACAGGCTTGGATGCCCCAAGCGTTAACCTTTGCGCCAAATGCGAACTTCACTGCCTATACGCAGTACTACAACGCTGCTCTTTGGAACTCGGATTTTGCAGTGAATCCCACTTGCCCGTCTGGAAACTGTACTTGGCCAGAATTTCAGTCCCTGGGCTTTTGCAGTAAATGTCAGGATGTAACCAACTCATCTACTATCTTGAAATGTGACAAATGGACGCAACCTGATGGTGACGATGATGTTGCTGTTGATTACGCCGAAATGTACTACTGCCAGGTGAATATCGGCCACGGGTCAAAGGGCATCATTAAGCTTGAACATTACTCTAAAAAAGGTGTCATATTACTCCCCACTGGTCTCATATGGAAGCTTCAAGGTGGTTCTGAAAAACTAAATTCCTTCCTGGGGGTTCCTTGGCCGATGTATGCCTTCGCGCATGCCCAACTTGACGTCGAATCTGCCAATGCAAACATCACGGAGTTGGTGCGCAATATTCGCCTTAAAAGCGTCCAAGCATGCGCTCTTTCCTTCTGCCTGAGGACATATAATGTTTCTGTATCTTCTGGCACGCCGCAGGTCAATGTCACAGCAGTTGACTTCGGGCAGCGGTTTGGCAGTAACATTTCCGACAATCCGCCGGATATCGGGTATGATGATATTGATTGCTGGGGACCGACTAATCGGTCCGCTCCGTTGAATCTTGTGAGGTTTCTCACGGGGAACTGGGGCGATACTGAGCAATTCGTCTTTTGCCTCCGAACAATAATTATCAATTCAGGATACTATCCTGGCAGTGGCTTTGGAGCCCTCAATAATTTGTATGGGAATAGCCCATTTTTGGGATACTCATGGACATGGTATGGCTTCGACAACACTACCTTGTCTTGGTTCCACAACCCCACTTACAACGTGGGAAATACCGCTCAATTCCCGGCTGCATTTGACAGAGTCATCAACTACGGCCTTGGTCCGTTGATGTCTGACACGGCTGCGGCTCTCACGAAATACACTCTGCAAACCAGCACCACGAGCGCTGACGGCACAGCCATGATATCCCAAGCATTCGTCAGGGTATCCTGGCAATGGCTGACTTTTCCGTCTGTGCTTCTTGTTGCCGGTTTTGTCTTCTGGATCACGACAATGATGAAGAACCGACAACACCGACTCGGCTTGTGGAAGTCATCCATCTTACCTATGCTCTATTGTGGCGCTGAAAAGATTGACCCGAGGCTCGAGCGTCCTGGCTCTTCAGCCGAGTACACTACAATCAGCCAGATGAGCCAGTCGGCACAAGTTACTCGGGTAAAAATGGAAGATATCATAGATGGTCGACTACGGCTCGGTCGGAACAAGTGGAGTGAGCCACCTGTATTTTAGCAAGTATGAATAGAAAGAATTCACGAGATACCCCAGGCACCCCAGGTGAGGTCTCGGAATTTCAGAAGAAAACTTGGCGTTCTTTTTAGCTCTCTCCATTCCAACATTCATTTCCCTCAACCGTATGCCAGAATTAGCATGCCTTCTTGGCTTTACGATAATCATGACCCCAAAAGTAAATACCCCAAAGAACTGGACTAAAAGCAATCCAAATGACACCGATGAGTGTGCTAGTCCACCCGATCCCAATGGAATTAATCAATGGACCAGCTGCTGCAACTGCACCCGCGCCAAAACAACACCTAAACAGATTGTTTGCTGAAGTAGCAGTGGCTGGTCGATTCACATGGCAATCAACTATCAGGGTGATGAGCGTGCTTGTCGCTCCAGCGACAAAATGCGATATAAGAAATAGCATAATGAGTGGCCCAGCAAGATTGACCTTATAATTCATGACCCAGCCGTAGCCGATCATCACTATCGAAGCGCTGTATATCGCCGGAAGTGTGACTTGTAGTCGTGCCTTTTCCACTGGCATAGCGATCAGCTTAACTTGCCGATTCTGAACGATCTCTATTCCATGCTCTTTGGCATGACGGCGAAAATTCCAGTCAATGAGTTTTCCGACTGTCCAACGAGATGTGAGACTCCCTGCCCCGGAGGGGATATAGCATAGTCCAACTTGTAAGGCGTTAAAATGGTACTTGTGCTCAAGCTGGGATGGAAGACTGCTGAGTACGGCGAAATAGCCACCAAACAATACGGTCGTAAATATAATGATTGCACCGGTTTCTTTTTGGGCGGCTACCCTGAGAGAGTCCAAGGGGGTTGACCGTTTACGCCGAGCTGGTCGTTTCTCTTTCGGATCTTTGGATGCAGAGTCACTGACATGATCTTCAGGATGTAGGAATTGGACGAGCGACCTATTCCACCTGGTCGGCCGGATAGAGCCATTCCCTACCACCGCCCGGCAAGTCTCTGGTACAAATATCAACAAGATAATAATCATGATGCTCGCCCAGATGGCAAGAAACCAAAACGTGCTGCGCCAGTCGAGAAATTGCGTCAAAACACCACCTAAAATCGGGCCAATGGCTGGGCCTAGAGTCACACCCAGGGATGAATAAATCATATATCGACCACGCTCAGATCGGGGTACCAGATCGGCTGCTACCGAGGAGCAGATGACTGTAGCAGTGCTGCTCCCAAAACTTTGCAGACACCGGAGGGCCATTAAAATGGGGTAGCTTGTTTGTTGCGCCAACCCAATGTTCGCGCCCAGATATAGAAGGAGAGCTAGTAACACTATTGGCCGACGACCATACACATCGGAGAGACCAGCCACCATCAGGGGACCTATGCCTTGTACAATCTGTGAGTTCATTAGATAAATGCATACAAAAATTGGAACGTTTGGATAAAAGGCCATCTTTACGAAGACTTACCATGAATACCGTGATAGTCAAGATAATCTTATTAGGCGAAACATGGAGATCATGAGCCAGTGGATTAAGCGCTGGGTAATAGATGTTGGTCGACACGGGAGACACAAATGTGACTAGGGAAGCGATCGTGATAGTCCATTTTTTTCTAGTCTCGGAGAGAATGGTGAAAGGAGCATCTGGATCGCTTTCACCCATGATGAAGGCCTCGCATCGAAAAGGAATCAATTTCCAAGTCACTTTCAACTTTAAAGTGGAAGCGTTCTCGGTGTTTTGATTTCTGTGATTCCAAATGAGGAATCATATCACCCCTGCCGTCGATCCATTCTCCACTACAATCACCAAATCCAATAATTTACGACTACTGTGCCTCTATTGTATCTAATCTACCAAATAATGACGACTGTCTGGGCATTTGTTCCGAAAGAATTTCAAGTTATCGTATCCAAAACCTCCAGGGCACTTCCCACCAGATGAAGGCTGCCAGTTATTAACACCGTCGCGTTGATATGCTCTTGATTTCCACAGAAGCCGGGATCACCACTATCAGCTGCGCATCGAATGGCCTCTTGTACTGTTCGTACCACAGTGACAGCTGAAGATGCGTCACTGATCTGCATCCAATGAGCCGCTAAATCATTCTGCGCTTTAAGATCCTCCACTGAGCCTCCGGAGTATGTCATGGAGACCCTTTCAGCATCGGGGGCATCGTGCTGTTTCCATGTAATGTTGGTACAGAAAATCACATGATGAAAGACCGCTTCTTTGGGATTAAGCCAATGCGACATTGCCGAAGTTGTGATTTGGTGGAGATGATCAAGAAGCGCAGTAGCATCTTTGGTCTGCTTGTTGAATATCAGGACCCTCGTAGCGTTTGGCTCCTCTGCCATCTTTTTGGCAGCCCAGGCACCCAGAACCTCAATACTTTCCATGGTATGTGCCCCGTCGAGCAACCATCGACTCTCAAGATGGTCCCGTGTCTCACAACGACCCGGCCATTGCGCCCGTTCAAGACCTCGGCGGAATTTATCAGGCAGCGGAGACAGAAATAACGTTTCAATATCTGGCATATTCTCATATCCCAATCGAGAAAGATGCTCCGCAGCTACAGCTATAGCTAGACTAGCATTGATCCGTTGAAAGTCTCCCGCGAGACCGAGATTGATGTGTTCTAAGTCCGGATGTATTGTGACCACTCGCAGACCTACATTTTCTTTCTTTGCCAGTTCCCGCAGAGTGGCCAAGGCTCCAGGCTCTTGTGGTGTGGTGAACACTGGAACGCCAGGTTTCATAATGCCGCCCTTGGCCCATGCAATTTCCTCGATGGTGGAACCGAGTATATCGGTATGTTCAAGCCCGAGACTGGTGATAGCGCAGACACTGGGCTGGCAGAGGATATTGGTTGAGTCGAACCTTCCTTCAAGGCAGGCCTCGATGACTGCGGTGTCTACTCCTTCCTGGAGAAATGCATGGAGGCCCATCAGTGTGAGGAATCTAGCAAATGGTGGACTCTGTGATGGTGACCTGTTGTCCATCCCCAGTCGGTCCCATATTTCCGACATGAAATGGGAGAATTTGGTCTCATCAAGAGGCGTCTCTCCAAATGTGCTAGTTTGTGGCGTTTGGATTCTGATCCTTTCCCGCACGCTGCGCAGATGCGGCGATGTATAGAGACCAATTTTTCTAAGCTTGGCAGGTGTTTCGTCGGAAGCGTTACCCTCATCGGTCAAGTATTCCGCCAATATCGAGAAGACAAAGGCTGCCGTAGATCCTTTGCCTTTGGAGCCGGCGATATGGATGGCATTTAACGCGTTGAAGTCGGCGGGCTACTCCGTTGTCACTGCCTTAACATCTCCAATTCAGAAATCAGGGCGATACAGATCTCACCTGATATCCAATTTCTCTGCACCAGCTTAGCATCTGCTCTATGAGCAAGCTCCGGTCGTTGAGCGCAATCGTCTGCTGTCTTGACTCAAAGTTCGTGGGTAGGCGGTTCAGCCGATCAAGTGCAGCCTTGTCACCTAATAGTCAGCACTTGGCTCAGCAAAGCGACTTGGGGTCGACATTACCGGATATATTTGACTGGATGGTTTCATATTCAATTCTCCCATGTTGATGGACGCGAGTTTACGGAAGATGATGATTCTAATTCAAGCCCAGACACCTCAAAAAACGTCACAAGTGGCGCGAGGGAGAACAAGGAAGACCTGAAATGTGTCTACATTTTCGATTTCCGATCGACGATGCAGCCACAACTTAAGGTTTTGTCACCGCCATCGATCAATCTGAAAATCGATATCTTCATACTTGTTTGGGGCGCAGATCGGCGCAGGTCGATATTTGCAAGCGCCAATCATGAGCTTTTTTCAGGGGGCAGATTGATAGTCTAACCCAAATTGGTATGGCTCTCTGCAATGTAAGCAACAAGTAAACATATCTCCGTCTGGCTCAGTAAGTATTCGATCAAAAACAATAGTCGATAGCTCACAAACTATAGGAAGATAACCCACATAGTACGTCATAGCGGATGCGCCTCTGTTCCACTCTAGACTTCGTAATCACCACATTTTACCGGGGTCTCCTGGTGAGCGGGAGCGGTGATGGCCCGAATATGAGAGATTCATGCCAAAATTTCCGCTTGCAGTTAGTATCGTCAACAGTTGCAAAGGGTTGCTAATTTTTATCACGATAACCCTAACGGCACACGGCGGTGAAGCGAACCATACACAGGATTGCTTTGTCTCAAATAGCGCTCGTGCCCCGACATTGCACGCAGTCGCAATCTTGGTCTCGGACATATCACTGCGCAGTGAATATTAACATGCAACTACAACAGATCCAAAATACGACCGAGTTCAAAGTCTCTCGAATCCCTTCGGTCTTGGCTAATCTCGGTATCCCTTCTACTGTCGACATTACTTCCGAAATAATTGCAGTAGAGGGTGCCGTGATTCTGGTTCAAGCTATATCAGTGATAAGCCGGGCCAACAGCCTCGAAGATTCAAGCGGACATGTGGAACCTATAGCCGAAGGCGAAATTCTACCCATGGCTCTGGGAAAGCGCCGCGCGCTGCGAAAAAGGAGCGGAGATGTTCCGACCCAAGTGATGACAGGGGAGATGGTAAATCTGCTCTCTCAGAGTGGTGTTGTTGGCACAAGCCTAGGTTTCAATGACGAGAAGGAGCGGCCAGTTGAGCTGAAGGTTTTGGGAGCTGTGGTATTAGCGGGAAAGCAAGTGAATATGAAAGACTCGGCAGTTCCTCGCCGACAGAGGCTGGAGAAATCAGCGCCGATTGTTGGAGTAGTCGGAACATGCATGGATGTCGGAAAAACGACCATGATCTGCAAACTGATTCGCGAACTCAAAAAGAAAGAGATGAGGATTGCGGCCGTCAAACTTACCGGGGTGGCTTCCCTAGGCGACTTACTTAAGATGGGTGGTGCAGGGGCGGACCCTGTTATGGGGTTTATGGATGGGGGCTTGCCGTCGACCTGTGGCGATATAACAGAGGTCACGGAGGTAGCTTTGGGCATCCTTCATCAAGTTAATCAAACACAACCGGATCTGATCGTGGCCGAGTTTGGCGACGGACTGCTGGGTGAGTATGGAGTCGAGCAGCTTGTGCGTTGTCCGGATATCCGACAAAACACCATTGCATTTATTTTGAGTGCAGGCGACCTGGTTTCTGTATATGGAGCTCGGGTACTCATGAAGCTTTTTGGCGCTGAAATATCGCTGAGCACAGGACCCGCAGTCAACAATCTGACGGCAGCGCGTTATGTGGAAGAGCATATAGGAGGCCTAGCTGAGAGCAATCAGCATGCGATACCCAAGACGATAGCTATGGTGGAGGCTAAGTTAAAGATATTCCAGCCGATTTGAATTCCGCTCTTTGGCCGTTCTCATCACTGTGGAGGATTATGCATTTCGGTTGTCTCATCTCCATAGATGCCTCTTGATAGTATCAACCTCTGTTAAGCCAAATACTTAAATGAAAGACAGTAGATAAGACCATCGCCAGCCAATCCTAACGAAGAAAATAAGAACAATAGCTGCGATAGCTGCTCGTTTCACGGATCCTGACTCATCGTTCGAAGAGTTCGAGTCCCCCATGAGAAATATTTCAATATACAGCATTGCAACCTGTTATATCAGGACCACTGATATCCAAGATCGTTCGCGTCCAATATGGTCGATCAAGGTTACAGCGCAGAGAAGAGAAGCGATAAACTTAACTGCACCGAAAACCGTAGTCACGGACAATTTCTCCGATTGTCCTCCGATCCGAAACCAACGTGAATAGTTCGGGGGCGTATGCTGTATTGCGATGAGGCTCGGCAATCAAGAATAGGATGGGTGCTGCATACTGGTGAGAGAATTTGCCCTGGACCACTGTGCAAATATCTGCGAAGAGATCACGAAAAGCATTCTTCTCTGTTTTGACCTGAGCGTTAATTGCTCCTTCACAGTTTTCAGCCAAGACTCACTTAAGCTCTGACTGTACTCCGTGTTGAGTTGAACCTGGATGCCTCTAATATCTGACGCGAATTTGGGGTGATCGTTGGACAGACCCTATAAACTCCACAGTGCATATGTTGCTTTGTCCCAGTCTCCCATTTCCCCTAGATAACGGGGACTCTCTTCGCACAGCAAAGATGATACAAAAGACAACCCTACAACAATATTCTGTATATTCTAGGGAATGATCCACTATCTGGCGCTGGTGCTAGAAATATGCAACGAAGCTCCCCAAGCAGAGCAATACTTCACAAGTCAATACAGCTAAGTCGAACTGGACCCGAGTATACATACACCAACCATAATACCAATACACTGCGGCATAGCAAACATGCCAACAAGCAGTCCTCAAGCATGAGCAGGTGTAATTCTTGCCAAATTAGTCAGTTCCACAACACAAGCCTGTCCAATTCCGATTGATATGATAAATCGACCCGTATATAGTTGGCCCAGATTTCCAGCAGACGTAATGACAATTATAAAACCTGCTAGCCAGAGGATGCAAAATTTTCGCATCTACCATAGCAGATCGATTCTCTTGCAAAGGACGAAAGCCAAAAACGTTGATAATTCAGTCAAGGTGTAATAAACCTATCTTTATGTAAACTGGTATGCTTTGATTGATTTCAACTGATAGGGCCTAGGGATATGAGATACCTCGATTTACTATGCTGCCACATGGTCCAACTGCGTACGGTTCGAATGCCTTAGGCCCAAATACTGTAAATATCCATGGATGTTTGAGGATTTATCCGATGCATTGAAATGCCGAGAGTTTGTGGAGATTGCAAACAGGAACAAACAGACAAACAGACAAACCGGCAGAAAAAAGGAGATAACAAGTGAAGCAAACAGTGCAAACACCTTTTGGACCAATGAGACACCGCGACAAAAAGGCGGTCGGTCTTGTAGGTCACGTGAGTAGAATATTACAAGGACGGCGGTGTGGTCTAGCGGTTAGACTCGTCGCCGTCCTTCGCCGGTTCAACCCCTGGGGTTCTCTTAGCTTCTTCTCCCTGGGGGTGCCGGCAAGCACAATCTTTGGAAATAACCCTGAAGGCACAGCCGCCATGCATATTTTTTTTTCTGCTTTTTCTTAGACTATCCTGCTCTTCCTTCACTTTGAGCCTGCAGTCGTATCTTAGTTCACCTAGGCGCATTGTCACCTTTTATTCTAACATCCCACTCTGCAAGTTCCTGTCAAATATCAACTTCGATGATCGCTTAAAATCGTCCCTAAGTGATGCCAATATAACCATCACAATACCCGGATGACATCTGGCCAATGACAACCGGCAGCGGAGGGTCTAGTGGAACCCTCTGGGTCAATCAAAACACGTCTCTAATTGCCTGCAGCACCTCGGCTTCTTGGCTGTTTTTGCTTTTTTCGTGTCATGCCAGTTCTGTTCTTTTCTGCCTCTTTCGCAGCGGAATACTTCTAGCTAGGCATTCACTAGATCACCGCAATGCTTCAATCCGTCACGATTGCCAGCCTCAACCTTTGACGCGATGCCGAGTGCGCAAGTGGATTTAGGCTCAGGCGGGCCCCTTCCCGAGCCCGACCGCGATCTCCGTTATCCAATCCCTGAATATCAGCCGCTTCTGGGGGTCGTGTTCCAGTCCGACACAAAACACACTGACTTCCAACAAATTCTCATTACGGTCTGCACTGCTTGCTCATTGCTTATTTGCTCTGCTTTAAATGGATTGCTCACGCTCAATATTGCTGGAATCTCATCAGAGCTTGGATTGGCCCCCGGCTTTGAATTATGGTGAGTGTTCATCCCTACCCCACCCACGCCAATGGGTATCGTCCAGAGTGGACACCGGCTACACCGAATATGGGAATCTAATAAAGCTACTAGGCCAATGTCCTTGTTCTTTCTTGCTCAGGGTTGCACCTTTATCCCGGCGGGATCATTGACAGACGTTCTCGGCAGTCGAAGGGTGTTTTTATCAGGTTGCTTTCTGCAGACTGTCTGTTACCTGACCACCGGACTTGCCCAAGATGGGACACAGCTCATTGCTTCTAGAATTGTGTCTGGCATGGCATATTCAATGTGCTTCCTTTCCTCAATGAGCATTTACAGAAGGAATTTACCCGTGACAAAGCTACGGAATCTGGCCTTTTCCCCTACCACTGCCTGTCAATATGTCGGCCACGGCATGGGAATCATACTCGCTGGTCTTCTTTCGGTGACCACCGGCTGGCGATCAGGGTTTCATTATGCTGCTATCATTAGCCTCTGTTGTTTCCTTATCTCAGTGTGGATCATTCCCAAACATGTCGATGATACAAAAGGTATCCCATGGAGAAAGTTGTACGAAGATATTGACTGGCTTGGAATATTGCTGGCCAGTTCCCTCATGTCACTCCTTTTCTTTGCCTTGGCGTATGTATACCCTGCCACTCCTCAGACAACAGCTTATTAACAGGTCGGACAGTGCCATCACAAACCACGTTGCGAACATTTGCAGGTCAGGTCTTTTTATCCCCCTCGCCCTTGGGTGGCTTTTCTTGATTGCGTTTCTGTTTTGGCAGGACTGCTGGGAAAGAGATAGCACACAAGGCGTGCATGATTCACTATGGACCAATGGCCGTTTCCTCTGCATCAGTCTGGTTGTGTTTTTTGCCTACTTCTCGTTTCACTCGTCTTTGCAACTTGTCGTCCTGGTTTTCGAACGAGTACAGGGTCTCTCTGTTCTTCAATCTTCTTGGAAATTCCTGCCAGTTCCAGTGGCTGGCGCACTCGGCAGTCTACTCACAAGGAAGTTCCTGCCCCGGCTTCAAGCAAACAAGATTCTTGTGATTGCTATCATCACCTCGAGTCTCTTACCAGTCATAATAGCTATGCTCAACCCGGCGTTGTCGTACTGGGGATTTGAATTATTCGCCGTTTCATTCGGTTCAATTTCGCTGAGCGCCATCTTTCTTATCTCGACCATGTTTATTGCTGAAGATTTACCTTTCGAGACTCAGGGTCTAGCAACAGGAGTGATCTGCACAGTTGCCATGGTCGGATCGTCTATTGGCATGTCGTTGGCTGGGTTCATCTCGTATGACGTGACCACACCTAAAAGACCACCACGTCGTGGAAGCACCTCTCTCGTCGAGTCACCAGAAGCAATAATGAGCGGCTATCAAACCGCATTTTGGTTCTTATTCGCAATGAACTTGTTCGGTCTCGTGATCACCGTGTGTTGTCTGCGGAAAATTGGATACTTGGGACGAACGTTAATCTCAGTATAATCATCACATTCATCTTGTTCAACCTCGGTTGTTTAATGGGGCTACTTATACTCCATTCCTGAGCTTTCGTCTCTTGCCCAATCGGCGTACTTGTGCACTGAATATCGCTCTCCCACTTCGCAGGAGGGATCTAGACTTAGATATCGCCTTCACCAGCAATTGGCCATAAACGACCGCTTCAGTTACTACCTTCCCCTCTCGAGACCACAGGAAATGAATAGCATCCTATTCCAACCCTCCGTCATTTCATCTGAGTAACCATCCTCGGCAAATATTGATGCCAAGAGTACAACAACGCAATCTCGTCCAGACGCAACGAGAATAAATACAGAGCAAGATACTCAAGATCTTCAGTCTCGGTCCATGAAACCCCCACTTGATTCGACCATGACACCCCCAATGCAAAACATTCTCTTCATCACATGCCCCGAGCATGGCCAGTCGAACGTAATACTCGCAGTAGCAGAAGAGTTTCTCCAACGTGGCGAGTATGAAGTACACATAGCCTCCTTCCAGCCCTTAGCAGCACGCGTGCGAGCAATAAACGACCAAGCCGAACATGACCAAGTTGCACACTTCCATACAATTGCAGGCACATCTATGAGTGAGCTCGTCGCTCGCAGTACACCAGATATATGCCACAAGCCTGGTCTTGCCGGTACACTCGACGGCTGCAAGAAGATCAACGCCTCTGTCCTTGCCTGGACACCTGAAGAGTATCTACAGTCCTACCGAAGCTGTCTCGAGATCCTAAAAGTCGTCCAACCAGTCGTCGTAATAGTCGATCCGCTTCTACATCTCGGTCTAGACGCGGCCCGCAATGCGAAGATGAAAATAGTCGTTCTCTGGCCCGTTCTTCTCAAGGATGTGGTGATCATGATACAGCCAAAGCTCAGCATCCTATGGAAATACCCTCTGTATGCCACACACCATCCCCAACCCAAACAACAAACAAAAGAAACCCAACTAACAACCCTCCAGCACAGGATCCGGCTATCCCTTCCCCCTCCCCTGGCACCTAATCCTCCCAACAATCTACATGGTCCTCTGCTTCGGCCTCATCGTCCGCTGCGGCAAACCAATGCGCAACCTCCTCCAATGCCGCAAAAAAGCAGGAATCACAACCCCCTTCCCCCACCTAATCCCCTACTGCGAAAACCACCTCCACCTCTCCCCCTGCTTCCCAGCAATGGACTTCCCCCTCCACGTCCCCAAGAACGTAATAAGCTGCGGCCCAATCCTCCGCCCCCATACCTCCCTCGCCTCAACCGATCCCTCCCTCAACGCCTGGCTAACAAACCCAACAATTCTAATATGTCTCGGGTCCCACGTGCGCGCATCAGAAACCGACGCCTTGCAAATGGCCCGCGCCATTCAATCCGTCCTCACCCAATGCCCTGATATGCATGTCCTCTGGAAACTGAGATATGACTGGGAAAGCTCGTCGCGCGTGAAGGCCATCCTCGGCCCGTTGGTCTTCTCCGACAAGGTACGAGTCGTGTCGTGGATCCAGCCAGAGATTATATCGCTTCTGGAGAGCGGGCATATAGTTGCTTACGTGCATCACGGTGGGGCGAATTCGTTTTTCGAAGCTTGCAAGTACGTTTCCCTTGATGTCACTGTTTGATCTACCCAGAACGGGTCTGCGGTAGATCGTGGTTGTGATTGTGATCATGCTGACTGCGCTTTTCAGGGGGGGCATTCCGCAGGTTATCCTGCCACAGTGGTTTGATACATATGATTGTCCGTCGCGGGTAGAATGGCTGGGCATTGGGGTACATGGGAGTCGGAATGTAGCGCCGCAGATTGGGACGGCGGAGCTTTCTTGGGCTTTGCTACGGGTTCTTAAAGATAAGGGGATTCAGTCGCGGGCTAGGGCTATTGGGGATCTTTGTCGGACTACTGTTGGGAGGGTTGTAGCTCATGACCGGATTGTAGAGTATTTAAAGAGAGATTCCTGAGCTTTTCGAGGGTCTTGATCGCAGCTTGGAAGATTGACCTTGGTATAAATTGAACTCGACAGAAGCTAATCATTAACATTGCACCACGGATAAGACGGAAATGGAAAATATGGCAATTATCCAGAGTACTGTAGCATTAACATGTCTGATCATGATAAGTTAAAGTTAATAAACACTAAGTCGTCATCTATCTAGTCCGTCCAAGTCATACGAAACCCCCAAAACACACACGCAAAACAAAGTCACACAGTCGATAAATCTCTTAGGACACGTCGAACATCCTCACGAGCGCGGTTCAACTCCTCATCCACAGTGCCATTAGCGTGACGTGCTTTGACTTCGTAATGCAGCTCCACGAGCTCCTTTGCACGACGGAGGTCATTTTGGTCCGTTGGCGTATTGGCAGCGCCGGTAGATTCTGGATTCGCACCTTTTTTGTGCACGTTGACTAGTGCGAGTGCCTCATTGTGGCCCTGTACGAGGTGGTCAGATTTGGGATTTGTTTTTGTTGTACTTAAACTTGGGCTCGCGATTGTCGGCATGTGGAGAGCCCCTCATTGAGGCGCTAATGCAGATGAATGGAGGAAGAAGGACTTACGCAGACGCGGAGGGAGTTGATGTCTGAGAGGATTTCTGCTACTTGCATGATGAGGTGGTTCTTCTGCTCGTTCCCGGGTTGTTGATGAGGTTTGGTTGCTTTGCGATGGACTCAGTCGGCCACGGAACTTGCATGTCTTGGCAGACGCAAGGTCTGTTGTATAGAATGTGTGAAGGAATACGTTAATATGCATTAATCACTGCTAATATATAGTATCCAGGGTCTAGTTATTCTAATTAACATCACGCCCTTCAGCCAATATCTTGAGATATGTGTTTTGCTATGAACTCGCAAATCGCGTCCTGAGTGATTCCAGGTGGGTCCGGGCCAACCTCATCGACTTTGTGTCAACTCTGGCGATTGGACGCACCTCAGTTGGAGATATAACTGTCTCTACCTCTTTGAAACTACCGCTCTCTTTAGACCCATCTATCTTTAAACATGGTCGCAAGCGCCAAGGCAATCAAAGCGCTAGGCAAATTCGCGTCTTGCGATGTGAGCTCATTCCCACAACCATCACACAAGAAACAGCAGTGTTAACCTATACAGATTGGAGATGCTCTCGTGAACCTCGGCCTTCGCCATGGTGGTTATCTCTCTGGCCTAAAGATGTACAGCCCAGGCTCAAATGGCACAGTAGCCAAGATCTGCGGACCGGCATACACCGTGCGAATGGTCCACGCATCCGACAAAACCTCGCCAAACCCCCCGCACCACTTCGTCGACGGCATTCCAAAGGGGAGTGTGGTGTTTATCTCCCAGCCAAAGGGACTCATCAGCGCATGCTGGGGCGGTCTCATGAGCACGCGCGCAAAGAAGCTCGGCGCAGCGGGTGTTGTGATTGATGGTCGGTTCCGGGATGTTGCTGAGCATCGCGAAATGAACTTTGGTCTGTTTGCGCGTGGGTTGAGTATTCTGGGCTCGAATACTTTTACTCGATCTTCGGAGCTGGATGTGCCCGTTCAGTATGAGAATGTTGAGGTTGATGAGACGGTTACTATCACGCCTGGTGACTACATCATTGGCGATCAGGATGGTGTGGTGGCTGTTCCTGTTGGGTATATCGAGGAGTGTGTGAGGCTTTGTCAGGAGCGATTTGAGATTGATGAGGAGACGAAGAAGTGTCTTGATGCTGGGGAGGAGATGGGTGCTACTATTAAGAAGCTGCGGAAGTAGGTGTTTTTGAAGACATCGTTTGATATGAGGCTTCTTGGTGGCTAATGTATGGAGTATTCATCTGATGTGCAATTTCGCAGAGTTGCTCTGCAGCAACACTACGCATACTGGAGATAATACGTAGTTATCAGGTATATTCTAGGATGTCTCTTTTGAACAACTTCCTAGTCATCGGACAGTAATGCCCCCGGAGATTCCAATCTGGAATTCGACGTCCTTGAGCTCGGCAGGTCTTCCGATGTTCGGAGCACCGAACCGACATTCCCTTTGACTCATTTGCATCGGTGATACTGGATTTTTTTTTGTACAGCCGGTGTTCAGATAAGCAATACTGGTGAAAGTTTGTCAAATACGTATATAGTCTCCGATCGAGTGTAGCATAGAGTAGATGGCGTTGTAGGTGCATCGCCGTCGGCTCTAGCACTACATGTATTGCTTTTCCTAACTAGGGTCAAGATACGCTCTAGTGGAATAAAGAAACTCGTAAATACTCTCTCCATTGATCATAGAATCCCACTAAGAAGCAAAGTGTCTCCAAAGCCTCTACATGTATGGGTAAAGATAAAAGCGGCCGGTGCGGAAGCCGACAGTTCTCCGCATTGCGCTCGGAGAACACCCGACGAGATTCACCTCGTCAGCTCCCCGACACCTTCTCTTCTCCTCAATTGCAGCTCTCCCCAGTCGCACCTCAAAATCCTACACAATGGCTTCTATCCGCGCCAATTGCCGCAAGATTATGTGTATCGGCCGTAACTACGCGTGAGTCTCCCCGCGCCCAACCTCGGGAGGTTCCGACGTGCGTCAGCACTTTGCTCAGGCCGAAATACTAACAGCTTTGGATGACCCCAGCGATCACATCACCGAGCTGAACAGCGCAACCCCCAAGCAGCCCTTCTTCTTCCTCAAGCCCGCCTCCTCCATCCTCATCCCGGGCGCCGGACCCGTCCTCCGCCCCAAGGGCGTCAGCCTCCACTATGAAGTCGAATTGGGCTTGATCATGGGCAAGACCGTGCGGGATCTCGATCCCAATGATGAGCAGGGCGCGCTGGACGCGATTCACAGTGAGTATCTCGGCACCCTCTGACCGATGTGCCAAACAGAGTGGTCGGGTCATCAGCAAGGCCATTTACCTTGCGCGAGGTCAGCAATCGCTAACACTTCTTCTCCAACCCATAGGCTACATCCTCGCGATTGACATGACAGCCCGCAACGTCCAAGATGAAGCCAAGAAGAAGGGTCTCCCCTGGTCAATCGCCAAGGGCTTCGACACCTTCTGCCCGATCTCGGAAGAAATCCTCAAGTCGCGCATCCCCAATCCCCACGACGCATTCCTGCGCTTGAAGGTCGGTGATGTTGAGCGCCAGGCTGACTCCACCAGCTTGATGCTGCACCGTATCCCCAAGCAGTTGGCTCAGATCTCGCGCGTGATGACGCTTGAGAAGGGTGATATCGTTTTGACTGGTACGCCGAAGGGTGTTGGTCAGGTTCAGGCTGGTGATATCATGCGGGCTTCTATTGAGGTCAATGGCAAGGAAATTGAGGAAGGTCGTATTGAGGTTGAGGTGCAGGACCGTGAGGGACGGTATGAGTTTAAGGAGACTTAGATTTGGTCTTAAGGATGATTACTGTATATACTGATTAGAATATAAAAGGATCAGAGAGTTGATGTTTCTACGAATTTTGGCTGAGTTGATAAACTGCTTCGCCATGACCGCAGAGGTACACCACAGGGATAACATATATGGTAACGTTATTCGTTGAAGCTCAATGACTATTTTCCAGCAATCTGAACACCTGCCTCGACCAAAGGAAAAACACCAGCTTGATGAGAAATTAACCGCTGGAGTTGACGTCAACGCCATCATATCATTTCCAGCCCAGTGAATGTCAAAAGTCCGCATTTAGACATGCGCTGCATAAATGTGCCAAACTCTAATCAGACTGCAGAAAGCCCTAAGTCAGAATGACGCAGTTGATCCAACTTCATGACTTCAACACATCTTTATAAATATCGACTTCCTAAGACTGACTCAATCGTATTATACACTTCCCAAAGAGCATTATCCTATTCAACCCTAGAAGCAACTATGCCTTACCTCACACTCAGAGATGATGCCCAGCTTTTCTACAAAGATTGGGGCAACCCCGAAGGACCAATCGTGACATTCTGCCACGGCTGGCCCTTAAGCAGCGACAACTGGGAAAACCAAATGGTCTTCCTAGCCGACCACGGCTACCGCGTCATTGCACACGACCGACGCGGCCACGGACGCTCCACCCAAACCTGGGAAGGAAACCACATAGACTTCTTCGTCGACGACCTAGCAGAGCTATACGCGCATCTACACGTCAAGGATGCAGTCATAGTGGGACATTCCCACGGCGGCGGCGAAGTCGCGCACTATCTCGGCAAGCACGGCACAGATCGCTTCAAGAAGGCCGTCCTGGTCGGTGCCGTGCCTCCTCTGATGCTCAAGACTAGCGCCAACCCCGACGGGCTGGACAAGTCTGTTTTCGATTCCTTCCGACAGGCGATGCACAAAGATCGCGCCCAGTTCTTCTTGGATATCCCCAGCGGGCCCTTCTTTGGGTTCAACAGACCCGGCGCCCAGAAGAGCGAGGGCCAGATCCGGCATTGGTGGCAGCAGGGTATGAATACCAGTTTCAAGACGGCGTATGACTGTGTTAAGGATTTCTCGGAAACGGATTTCACCGAGGATCTGCAGATGATTGATATTCCGGTTCTTGTTCTTCACGGTGATGACGATCAGGTGGTTCCTATTGGCGCTGCTGCGTTGAAGTCCGTGAAGCTTTTGCCTCAGGGCAAGCTGAAGGTCTATAAGGGGGGCTCCCATGCCATTCATAACACCAATATTGATGATGTTAACAAAGATTTGCTTGATTTTATCAAGTCTTGAGTCTTGGGCTAGGGTGGGAAAGCCGCTCTCAATATCAAAATGAACGTGCAGAATTGTCAGATATTCCTGTTATTCTACCTCTCGTTATATTGTAGTAGATTATTATCTGAGTAAAGCGCTGAGGTGTATAAAATGCTCATTCGAATTATGCAAGCTCCAGCGACGGACCATGATGTGGATTGAAGTGGCGAAGCTCCTTGGATAACTCATTGATCTATAAGGCGGTTCAATTGTTCCCCCGTTCTCCGGCTCTTGAGGCTTATTGCGTGTCCATCATGCTAGGAAGATGGTATAAGTACATTTGAATACTATTTACCGAGGCTCAAGTCCACATGGAGTGCTTTTGCATTCTAGGCCTCTTTTGTGAAGCTCGAGATATGATTATACAACTCTAGGGTTAAGAAATCACAATTAAACGTGACTTTCTTAGAAGAAAAGCTATGTACAGTCGGACTGCCTGAACTGTTGGTTGCGCCGCGTTAATTTTTTCTAAGCAATGACTATTATACAGGATTCAAAGGTATTTTTGCTTTTTTCAAGACTGAATAACTTCAAGAACAGTCTTTCCCAGCCCTCCTTTTCCCCTATAGACTACTCCACATGCCTCCCTTACCTTTTCAATATCCCTCATATTCACCTTAGATCCAACAACAGACACCACCTTCCCCTCTTCCACATATTGCCGAAGACAATCCAGATCCTTTCCAGTAGGATCTAGAAACCAGTACATATACCCCACACCCCAACGCCACGCGCGTGCTCTACGTAGTGCGTCGCTTGCATTGAGAAAGACACGCCCTACCAATGGGATGCGAGGATTATCGGGCCGTCGCATGACACTCGAGGCTTGCAGAGTTGTAGCAGAGGGCATTGTGGAAATCGATACGATGAGTCCCGTTTTAGGGACCATTCGGGAGAGATACTTCATAGCGTCGCCTGTGGTGTCAAACATGAAGTCGACAGAGCGTGCTGGAATGATTTCTAGAGGATCATTTTTGGTGTAGTCAATGACTGTAGTAATTGTCAGCGACTGTAGACGAACAAATAGATAGAAGATAAGCCAGGAGCGTACTTTGGTCGACTACACCTTCACCGAGAAGTTCAGGAACTAGAGGAATCTTCGAAGTCGACACTGTAGTGATGACCTTGCCGGCATGAAACACATTCTTGGCCAGTTGGCATGCAAAGGCCCCTGTGCCGCTCACTTAACGCAAAATTGTCAGCTTGCTACATATACCAATCAGCGATAGATGTGACTTACATCCAGAAGGAATAAAGACAGTTTTACCCTCCAACGAGCCCTCATACTTGTTCAATACTTGCAATGCCGTGACACCCGCCAGCGGAATTGCAGCCGCATCAGCAAAGGACAGATTCTTAGGCTTCAGGGCAATATAACGCTCTGTGCTTTTGGCATATTCACTCCATGCACCTGCGGATATAGAAGTCAGTATAGGTGAAGGCCCGCTTCTCATTACCATCTTACCTCGATTCGCCTCTGGGAGTCTCGTATAGACCTCGTCTCCGACTTTCAACTTCTTCACTTCCTTTCCGACCTCCACAATGACTCCAGCTGCATCATAGCCGATCATATACGGGAACCTGAACGAGTCAGAATAAGCACCAAGTGGCTGGAAGATGCGAATCTGGGGGTTTACGTACGTCTCTTTCATCGCCATCTTAAAAACCCCATCTGCTTTCTTCACATCGACTGGATTAACACTCGCAGCATAAACTCGGATGACGACGTCTTCATCGTCAGTGACGCTTGGCCGCAAGACTGTTGACAGCTCGTACTTCGATGGGTCGGTGTAGGTGGGCGCCGTCACTGAGAGCATTTTCGTGGCCATTGTGGCGAGAATAGTAGTTCAGAGACCCTATCTGAAAAAGACACCTGGAGGAATAGAAGTTTGACAAGTACTATTTGGAGGCTTATCAAGTTTTTTGATGCATACTGCAGTTCAAGGCTTGTCGTTAGCCTACCTCGTTCGGGCCAACTACTGTCTTGCCTAAACGTGGACCCGAATTCCGCGTGCGGGATTCGGGGAGTTCCAATCCCGACATGTGTAGATTTTGTGTGCTCATAATATAAGTCATCTTGCGAACTCTTACTCGATGTGCTCTACTATTGATACTTAACATAACTATCCAGATGCAGTAGCGATATAATCAATATTTATATTCCCGAACTGCTGAATTATGCTCACAGACGAGAGGGCAGGAGACATCCAGAGTCCGATCATGCGTGTGAATTTAGTATGTTTTTAGGAGGATCTTTGCGCTCCCCCACACTACTGAGTTTGTCACCAAGTTTGTGGATATCATTGTAGGATCTGCTATTGAAATAGACTTTTTGGTACGGCGCGCCCTCGCAAGCTCGGGGACATGAAACCATCCGGTGCTAGATTGGTGACCACTTGCAAAATTCTCGCCTTCGATACGAATGGAATTGCTTGCGAGATGACCGCATAAGAACATATTTCTTACGTACACTCTCTACGGCAGTCCGCTACCGCCATCAGCTCAAAATTTTCGTGTCCTATATTTTGACGTCACTTCTTAACACGGCCTTACAGCCTTACAGCCCTAGAGGGTTATAACTCTTACTTTTTGTAGAGACTTCCATGATTCAATATTATTAAAAGGACTCTATTGTGAAAAGCACTTGCCCTAGTATTAGTTCTAGTTCACTATATAAGTTATTAGGTACGGCATGTGGGGAGATAATGGGCTATGGGCCTTGGGAATATGATGAAGTGAGCTAGGGCTCTCGGTATAAAGTACGACGTTTGGAAGTCAAGTGAGGAGTCTATAACGCCATTTGATCCTCATCTTGCATTGTTGCTATTCAGCTATGATTTGATCCTGGCACCTCTCGAGCCTTTCACCTATATAACGTTACAACGAGTGATAACATTGAGAAAATATGAAAGTTAGTGCTCATTTATTGTTTATCTCATCCACTAAGTTTGAACCCAGCTAGTTAAATCTGGATGTGATGGGAGATCGAGAAGAACGAGACTAGCATAAGTGATGGTATAGAGCTCAGCTCTTAAATTTCTTTTACCAGACCACCTAAAACTGAAGGATGTTAAACTAGTCTGTGGAGCAGAGCCATAAGAAAAGATCGAGAAAGCGCGAAAATGATATTAGAACAAAACTCAAAGACGTTGAAAGAAACAAAAGAAAATATATATTATAAGAGACACCGTGAATCCTACTCAAATGATCAAAACAAAAGAACGATAGTCGCTCAGCGCACCGATAAAGAAACCCAATAAATCATTAGATCATTAAATGAAACCAATCACCAAAGACATACCTCTAAACACGATCCTTATCCTTCAAACCCGCAAAGTACGTGCGAAGAGACTCCCAATCCATCCTATCACGAAGGAAAGCATTGCGCTCATCCATATCATCCAAGCCAGCAAGAAAGGCATCAAAGTAATCCGAATACGGCCACCGATCTTCTGGTCGTGGTATAGGCATCGTGAGCTGCCATCGCCGGTACTGATCAGCAGTCTCGAAGTACTCACGAGTCGTACGGCCACTTTGGGACATGACAAGGCTCATGGCAAAAGAGTTCATTTCGTCGATAACTTCACGCATCCGAAACATATTGTCATGAGTATGGCGAAGACGTTTTTTGGCGCGGCTGAGATCAGTGGCGAGCAGAGTGTTTTGGCGGTGGAGCTCATGGTTCCAAAGAAGGAGAGTAGCAATGCTGCATGGAACTTCCTTTGGTGGGGTGTTGGAGTCGGTGCCGTTTTTCTGGGAATTGGCTGTGAGACATGGGGTTCTGTCATTGGGGATGGGACCAGGAGGAGGGTTGGAGGCTTGCGAAGACATTTGAGTATTGTTGTAGCCTCGAAAAGATGGGAAGCGCTTGGCTTTTTGAAGGAGAGGAGATGTGAGTGATGGAGATAATATGTGGAAGAGGAACAAGGAATATATCTAGACATTGAGATCACGAGATTGGAAGACTGTCAAGTACGGGCAAAACATCGCTCTTTCCTAGTTGGGAACCAGACCCAAAACCCTAAGATGAACACAAATTTCAGTCATTGGCAGACACAGTGACCCCAAGTCTCTACAGACGACTAGAGCGGCTTATAGTAGAATCGATTCACGAAAACAAAGTGCAATTACGTAGTACAGTCACTACTTCGAATAGTAAAACACATAATTCACATCCAAGGACAACGCCCTGAGGAACAAGTCACATTTTGGCCCGATCTATTGATTAAGTACGATAAAAGCAGCATCCTTAACCAAGAAGAGCGGACTAGATACAGACAAGGAAAAGGAAACGTGGGAAAATGCAGGAAAGATAGAGAAAACCGTAGTAGCAAAAGGTAAACGCACACAAACATGTCACATCTCCGTTAAGTGCAAGACATAGGAAACCATAGCAGCAGATAAAGAAAGCGCCGTAGGGCGTCGACAAAAGAAAAGTCAACTCAATGTGCGGAGACACAGCCCTGGGCCACTCCTCCCAGCCTGACTGCGGCGGAAATGCGAAAAACACAGAAAGCCACTTTTAACGCAGATTCTGCGATCGTATTTCGCATCAAGACGTCAAGGGTGTTAAGGAGTTTAGATGAGGTCAGCAACGTTCATGGGCATCTCCTCGACCTGGGTGCTGTAGAACTGCTCGATCTCACGGAGCATGCGAACATCGTCGGCGGTGACGAAGTTGATGGCAACACCCTTACGACCGAAACGACCACCACGACCGATACGGTGAATGTAGTTCTCGCGGTTGGCGGGAAGGTCGTAGTTGATGACCAGGGAAACCTGCTGGACATCGATACCACGGGCCAAAAGGTCAGTGGCGATCAGGACACGGGAAGAACCGGAACGGAACTCCTTCATGATAACATCACGCTGGCCCTGCTCCATGTCACCGTGCATGGCGGAGACGGTGAAGTCACGGGCAGTGAGCTTGTCGGTGAGCCAGTCGACCTTTCTGCGGGTGTTACAGAAGATAACGGCCTGGGTGATGGTGACGGTCTCGTAGAGATCGGAGAGGGTGTCGAGCTTCCACTCCTCCTTCTCAACAGCGATGTAGAACTGCTTAATACCCTCAAGGGTGAGTTCCTGCTTCTTGACAAGGATACGGACGGGGTCGCGCATGAACTTGGTGGTGACCTCAAGGACATCCTGGGGCATGGTGGCGGAGAGCAGGGTGACCTGGGTGGACTGGGGAAGGAGCTGGAAGATGTCGTAGATCTGCTCAGTGAAACCACGCTGTAGAGAGAAAAAAAGTTAGACCTGGTCGAAAACACGCGATTTTCACGGTATATCACTTACGGACAGCATCTCATCAGCCTCGTCGAGGATGAAGAGCTTCATGGAGGTGGTGGACAGAACACGGCGCTGGATCATGTCCTGGACACGGCCGGGGGTACCGACAACGACCTGGGGACCGGCGCGGAGGGCAGTCATATCCTCACGGACATTGGTACCACCGATACAGGCGTGGCAGTCGAGGGACATGAAGTCACCGATGGCGACAACGACCTTCTGGATCTGCTGAGCAAGCTCACGGGTGGGGGCGAGGATAAGAGCCTGGCAAGCCTTGACCTCGGGGTCGATCTTCTGGAGGGCGGAGATCGAGAAGGTAGCGGTCTTACCGGTACCGGACTGGGCCTGGGCGATGACATCGTTGCCTGACTTCGTTAGGCGCAAATTCCATTACTTTGGGAATACAAGGTAACTCACCCTTGATGATGGGCATGATGGCACGCTGCTGGATAGCGGAGGGACGCTCGAAACCGTAGGCGTAGACACCTGATCGGCCGGTCAGTATTTTTTACAACCCCACCAGATAAGACTTTAGGGTCACATACCGCGGAGCAGCTCGGGCTTCAGGTCCATAGCGTCGAAGGAGTCGGTAACCTCATCGTAGTTAGACTCGATCTGTCCTGTTGGCAGCGAAAAAAGCGATGTTAGCCTCCATCATCTCCCCGTCGTCACTCTGTCTCTTGCCCACGCCACCAAAAATCTGCCAACCAGTACCCCTGGCTGCACACAAGAAAAGTGAAATAAAAGGCAATACCGAGACTAGAGCGCTGCGAAAGGAATGTAGCACATACCCTCGGGAAGATCCTCAAGACCCTTGTCAGCCATGATTGCGGTTGTAGGAGGGGATCACAGATATCGCTGTGATCTGTGGTGGGGGATTTTTTTTTAAGCGAACTGTGGGGTGTTCGCTGAGTAGAAGGCTAGTACTACAGACTTCTTTTTCCAAGAAGTCTTTAAATACTAGGGAAAATGGAAGATTGATGTTATGTGAAAAACTCACAAGAATGGTGGGAGGAGAGAAGAGAGGGAAAGGAAAAAAATCGGATACCAACGTGCCGCCTCATTTGCTGCAACGCTTTTTTTTTTTACGGGTCACGGGGGCCTCACCGCCTTCCTGTCACGGGGAAGCGAGGAAGATTCGATTGTTGTATTGTTCTCTGGAGGCGCATGTGCTCTCTTTGATCCAGGCCTTTTTTTCTTTCTTGATCTGTAGTCCCATTGGGTTGGTGACTGTTTTTTGTCAGGGACCGTGGAATTCTTGAAAGCCCTAAGTGTGCTTTTTCAGATGCCTGACATCACATCTTTGCCGAGCCATCCACCGCAGGATGCAGAGGCTATACGTGAGGCCATTCCCTCCCATCCATTAGGAGTGAAGCCCAGTGGAAATGCCCTGCTGGCTACATGGAGCCTACGGGATGCCATTGGCACATTTCAACTTCTGCCGGACGAACTAATCTTGTCTCTGTTGGAGACACTCGACGGAGCAAGTCTGTTGAGTATCGGACGGACTTGCAAGGCTTTGTATGCGTTTACCCGGGCAGAGGAACTGTGGAAGGCGTTGTTTGTTCGGTAAGCCAAATCTTGTCCCCTGTTCCGTTTGAAATATATAGATCAACGCCGGATGTCGGTGTTGTCCGACCTGAATAAATTCAATGTATATCTTGTTCCAGATCCTTGTACTAAGTCTTGTGTCAGGGACCCCAAGGATAATTTCATTTGGCGAGGAACATGGCGGTCAACATACTTGAACCTGCCACCCACGAAAGTGCCAATGATCGACTGCTCGCAGTTATTCTCTGATGCCCTTTACCGGCCCTTCAACTGTGCACACATTTCATTAGACCCGTATGTGGCTAGGATTCCAGCGCGCAACCAGATTGCCCGCATGGCAGATCTGTCGCCAGAGGAGTTCCATGCAAAATGGACAGACCGACCCTTCATCCTCACCGAGCCTGTCAAAGCTTGGCCAGCCTACAAGAACTGGACAGTAGGGTCTCTTCTCTCCCAACATGGCCAGAAAAAGTTCCGCGCCGAAGCCGTGGACTGGGCTATGCGTACCTACGGCGACTATATGGCAGATAACGCTGATGAGAGCCCGCTATACCTTTTCGATCGATCATTTGTTTCCAAGATGGACCTTTCGGTTGGACAGCCAGAAACAACACCTGACGCAGCATACTGGCCGCCATCTTGTTTCGTTGAAGATTTGTTCTGCGTGCTCGGTGATGACCGTCCAGATCACCAATGGTTGATTATTGGACCCGAACGTTCCGGTAGCAAGTTCCACAAAGACCCAAATGCCACGAGTGCTTGGAATGCCGTACTACGTGGTCCCAAGTACTGGATCATGTTCCCCTCTGGTACAAAGGCCGCCCCACCCCCAGGTGTGTTTGTGTCGGATGACCAGAGCGAGGTCACTTCTCCGTTGAGCATTGCCGAGTGGCTGTTGGGTTTCCACGCCGAGGCACGCCGGACACCGGGGTGTGTAGAAGGCATTTGTGGCGAAGGTGAGATCTTGCACGTTCCATCTGGGTGGTGGCATCTAGTGGTGAACCTGGAGCCATCAATCGCTATTACACAGAACTTTATTCCTCGTGGTCATCTCGATGCTGCGTTGGATTTCTTGTCGAACAAGCCTGATCAGATTTCTGGTTTCCGGAAGAATGTGGCTAACCCGTACGAACGGTTTGTCGCTGGCATGCGCGAGTCGTATCCTGACTTACTGGAGCAGTCTTTGGAGGAGCTGCAGAAGAAGGCTGATGGAAAGAAGCGTAAGTGGGAGGATATCGTTCATGGAAAGACAGAGGATACACCCAATGGAGATGACAGTGGGGGAGGCTTCAGCTTTGGGTTTGGAGATGATGGGAGTGATGTCGAAGTGCCATGAGCCATCGCTACAATTCAGCTCTACAAGCCAACGCCATTTCCAACAGAAGGCATTCAAAATCAACAAGTGCAATGTGATACCCAGATTAAAGATTCATTCAGATCTCTTCTCCTTCGCTACTATTCTGCAAATCTGCAAGTCTATCAACACCGAAAAGCTTAATGACACGCAATAGTCTTGGAAGCCGGAGTTCCCTCTGAGAATGCCAGGTATCCAACGAACGCGCCCACTGCGACAGCGATCATGACCGGCCCGTTGTACGTCATGAACAGAAGCCTAAAGCGCCAAGTCAGCAATCCAAAAGCGAGGACGATTATTTGCCGACACCTACATGATGAAGAAGCTATAGAACACCTGAATGGCATACAAGGCAGCCAGGGTAACCTTTCCGCGACGCGCCAGCGCTGCTTTGTTGTCCCTTCCTACAAGCAGAGGTGAGCCTTCGTTGTGGGTGTGATGGATCGCGTCCACCAGGCCGTTGGCAATGATAGGGTCGGCGATCACATCGTCTGCAGAGAAGCAAGGCATCAATGAGAGGCTTGCTCAACCAGAGTCTACCACCTTCCCATCACTTCTCGAACAGCCAGCTCGAGCTCGAACACCCCAGGTAACACCCAGCTACCTGGGATGCACAATCCTCGACAAGTACCTTGACCACGGAAAGAGTAGAGAACTTACCACCTGTATTGGCGGACGTAGCCACAAATGCAGCCAGACGCTGCGCATGAGTAGCTTCGTATTTCCGAGTCACTGATCGGATTCCCTCGTAGCCAGCAGTGAGGATGACGATCGCGACGAGCGAGAAAAGGAACGAGAAGGGACCGGTGATGCGCCAGCTGCGGAAGATAATGCACAGGTTCTCAGAGGACCAGTTAAACAGCATCTAGTAATTGACACAGATTAGCTAGATCTACCACAGAAATCCAGGACTCCGAGTGATATCTCACGTTCATATTGCATTGCCCGCCCATATCCATATCCCCATGATCCATACCACCATGACCGTGATCCATATGCATCGAGTGGTCCATATCGAGAACTGGCAATAAAGCGATCAAATAAAGAAACCAAAGGCAGGGTAATCCCAAGCACCGAAAATCAATTGAAGGTCCAAAGACTCACCAGGAACCGGGGAGTACGAAGAAGCGACAAGCAACGCTGACGACAAGAGAGGGGAATGCAAACGCATCAAACACGATAAGATCTCTCCATTTCCCAAACGCGGTCATAACGAACTCCCAGCTTCCGCAATTCACCCGCACCCACTTCGCATGCTACCTCCTTCTTCCACTCGTACAACTGCTATTTGATTGCGTTTCTACAAGTCACAATGGCAGACACAGCTCCAGCTCCAGCGGCCACGCCCGCGACAACCGGAGCTCAAGCAACTACAGCCGGCGCAGCAGCCAGCGCACCGAATGCGCCCGCCGACGCAAACGCAACCAGTCGCGGACTCCCCTACTACGAGAAACTGCGCCGAGAATTGCGGGACACATTGCAGAAGAAGCGGTTGATGGACAAGAGCATGGTGAGTGGTGACGACTCCGTCGCGCGTCTCCAGGTTGGGATGGGGTTCGTTCTGCGCGAACAACATCACCTCGTGCACGAGCTTCTTCCCCTCGCTGCGAATCCTTCACTGTTGACAGGATATCACAAGTTGTCTTTCATTGGAATATACTCTGCTAACACACCCTCTTCCCAGGCCCAACTCGAAGACCAAATCTACCGCTTTGAACAATCCTACCTGGAAGAAACAACTGCCGGAAACATCATCAGAGGCTTCGACAATTACATCAAGGGCTCAGCGAGCGGATCAAGTCTCGGCGCGTCGGGTCTCGGTCTCGGTGGTGGCGTAGCCGGCTCACGGCGTAAAGCCCAAGTCACAGACTCGGATCGAGTTTTCTCGCGCAGTTCAGCGAGTTACATGATGGTACGTGGAAGACAGTGGCGCGAAAACGCCGAAAGCCCACAGCACGCTGGAAGTGCGGGGTTCCCTGTTCCTGGTATTGTGTCTCTGGCTTGAAAGGTTTGACTAACGAGGGCAACTTACAGGACTCGCCCGGCCCGTCATCCGCTCAAACAACACCCTCTCATGCTGCAACACCGACATCTACGACTGGGTCATTCGGTCGGAATAACGAGGCACTTGCAATGTCTGCCTCTGCCGGTGGCATGAAGGTCTCCAATGGTGCGTCGAAGAATAAGAAGAAGGTGACGGGTGGATCGAAGAATACCAAGGGCAAGGCTCAGGATGAGTACTCTGATGAGGATAAACCTTCTGTGAAAAGGTTAAAGATCAGCTATGGACGGGACTGAGGAAGTCATTGGGACTTGGTTGTGGGCTCTGTCACTATCATGCATTCTGCTCGGGGGTTTCTCGAGCGTGGAGTTTGGTTGGTTTATTCTATCATGAATCTTTCATTCATGTTCACGGCTTCTTGGAGGAGTCGTTTATACGGCGCTGTGGAAAATGGGGCTATTGCTATTTCCTTGATGCGATATTATGTACATCACGAACTTAACTTACACAGATTTCAGCGGCTGAAGGTTACAGCATTTGTTTGATTCTCTCGAGGGTTCAATGCGGGCTAGATATACTGTTAAGAACAAACATAGTTCTATCTCAACTTTGACTGGCTTTGCTTTATCATCCAAGGAGATCGGCCCTATTCCGGTCCTGTCTGTTGAAAGACACATCCATATGAATCACAGCTCAAAGCTGCAATCTAAACGTAGCAACCTCGAAAGCCCTCAACTCAATATCAACAGCACCAGTTCGATCCTGAGTCCTCTTCGGCTCCAAAAGCTCCTCGTCATCCTCGAGAACATTGCATTTCCAAACCTTCTTAACAGGCAAAGTCGTAACAATTGATCCTCTCGCCTTACCACCAAGCGACTCATAAACCCTGAGAATAACACTCTTCCCAGGACGCGTGGGAACACCGTCCGACGCAACATCCTCATCATCCTCACCACGCTTAACAACATCCAAAATCAAAGATGGCGCACCTTCGATAGAAACAGCCTTGAAGATCTCCGCGGCTGCTGATGCCCTGGGCCCGGCTTGCTCAACAACGAGTGGGTTATTGAAATTGAAGCCTGCGCGGACGGTACGATCGTCTAGCGGACCAGCGTGTGGGAGGATTGCGTAGCGGATGTTGTGGCGGCCCATGTCGGCGTGTGCGTCTGGTGCTTTGGGGGCTCTAAGTAGGGACAGGCGCATTAGGTTACCGCAGGTTGCGAAGCCATACTTTGAGTCGTTTAGAATGGAGACTCCGTAGCCATTTTCGGAGAGATCTGCCCATTTGTGGCAGCAGACTTCGAATTTGGCCATGTCCCAGCTATCGTGTATCGGGTTAGTTTGCTGTGGCTGGCTGAGTGTGGTGTGAGTGGTACGTACCTTGTGTTGTAATGAGTTGGGCGTTTGATGATTCCGTATTGAGTCTCGTAGGATGCCTCCGTGTTGGTGATATCTACGGGGAACTCGACCTTGAGGAATTTCATGGTCTCTTGCCATTCTACCTCGCTTTCCATCTCCACGTAGGATGGTGCGTCTGTCGACGATCGCGAAAGACTGATGGTTGTCTTGATCCAGCTCTTGTCGCTGATCTTCGTCTCCGTCATAACACTGACCCGGTGCGGGCTATTTTCAACAATGGCGGTCTTTCCAGAGGGTAGTTCCTTGCGGGACTCGAGGTGGAATACCTCAACATCCCAGGCTTGCCAGTAGAGAGGCTTGTCGTCAAAGATTACTAGTTGGCCAGCATTGCCGCCCTTCGCGACGACTTCCCTGTCGGCCTCAATATCGTAGAGGGAGGTGATGACACCATCCTTGACATCGACTTTGAGGTTGTCGTTCTGCAGGCGGAAGACACCAGGCTGGATTTCCTTCACAGTAACCGTCATGCCCGATAAGTTGTCCTGGTTGAAACCAATGGGTCCAGTAGACCCGGAAGCTACGGCGTACTCAGGCTCAGTTGTCGTTGACAGCGCGGAAGGGATCTTGACAACTTCCGTTCGAGGCCATGGCAAAGTGTTCAGAGCCACCAGATCTCGTCCGTTAGACTTCCCAATAACACCCAGTGCCTCAAGAGCATCCTTTCGCAGCTTTGTGCCAATCTCAAAGATCTTAGCATACAATTCATCAGAATCATCATAGCACATCTCGATCGAGCTGCCAGGCAAGCAGTCATGGAACTGGCAAAGAAGGGTTCCTTCCCACATCTCGTCAATCTCCTTTTTGGGATATTTGTACCCATTACCAGAATCATGGACAGTGGCCAAAGTTGCAAGAAGCTCGATTTCGCGCAGAAGGAACTCCGATTTCCGGTTATTGCGCTTGTTGTTCGCCTGGGTTGTATATGTACCACGGTGCAACTCGAAGTAAAGCTCTCCATACCATGTAGCAAAGTCCGTTCCATTGGCAGCCTTGGTCTCGAGCCCGGCGAAGAAATCATCAACAGACTCGCCCATCTTCACTCGTGGGAGTGAGCCAACTTTGTCGCTGAGACCACGGCAGCGACGCAGCTTCTCGAGGTGTCCGAAAGTCGGACCGCCACCTCCATCACCCTTTCCGAAAACAAGTAAAGATGTCTTATCCGTGTCCATTGACTTGTGCTGAGTGACACTGCGCTTCACATCACCGAAATGGGCCTCAGCCGTATAGGTCTCTGCCGGGGCCATGTGGCACAACACCTGGCTACCATCTAAGGCAACCCATTGGAAAGTCGTGTGGGGAAAGTTATTGATGTTGTTCCAGCTGAGCTTTTGAGTAAAGAAGCGGCTCATGCCAGCCAGACGGCAGATCTGAGGGATTTGAGTAGAGTAACCGAAGGTGTCCGGTAGCCAGAATGTTGTGGCTCGCTTGCCAAAGTTGGCTTCAAAGAATCTCTGTCCGTACAGGAACTGCCGAACCAGCGATTCGCCGCTTGGCATGTTGGTATCGTGCTCAACCCAGCTGCCACCAATTGGCTGGAAGTTACCCTTCTTCACCCACTTCTTCACGCGCTCAAAAACCGTTGGGTAATACTGCTTTAGCCATTTGAACTGTTGCGCTTGAGAGCAGGCAAACCTATGTTCCGGATACCTTTCCATCAGATCACATTGGTTTGACCATGAGCGTGCGACCTTACGCTTGGTCTCTGCCCAGGGCCACAGCCAGCAGGTATCGATATGGCAATGGCCGATTGCATAAACGATCGGCTGAGTGTCCGTTTTATAGACCTCAGACGAATCAACCTTGTCACCAAGATATTTCTGAGCAATCTTCCTTCCTTTCTCAATAGCCTCGTTGCTTCCATCGCCAGCGATGAAAGCATCGATAATAGAATTGGCCACCACGTTTGCCTCATGCGACTCCCAAGAGTCACCGGGAAATTCCCGCGCGGCATCCCCAATGATCCAGAAATCATAGTATAAGGCTCGAGCAGCCAGATTCACCGCTGTGATACGAGCCGTGCTGAGTGTAAAATACTTGTCAGGGTTCGGCGGCTGAATCGAATCGCCACCTGGAGCATTGCCAAACATGCCATTGCAAGCCATCTCAATGTAAAACGTGTGAGTCTTTCCATCGCACCACTCCTTGGGAAGAATAAACTCAGTCCGCTCTCCATTGCCCGTCAAACCCTGCAGCGGGTGGCCATCCTCTGTCCAGATCAGACCCTCATTATGAGCATCCCAGTGGAACTCCAAATGCTCCCGATCAAGCATATCCTGTGGGACAGTAAGGTGAATGCGGAACCAATGTGTAGACCAGCTCGGGCCGAAGGAAGCGCCAATGTGGGTTGGCCTGAACTCTTGGGAAGTTGCGTCCTCGAAGGTCGGTCGCTGGAGGTCTGGGACCGAGTAAACAGAGAGCTTGACATGGTGTTCGTCGGAATTTGTGGCTTCCCAGTACTTTGATATGAGGTTTTGGCCTTCATACTGGCCGTTTGAAGTGAATTGTTTCAGCCGATCGGTGTAGATGCTGTGGATGCGCTGACCGACCGGGCGCTCAGCTAGCCGGGGTAGAGCTGGGGCAGCGGGGCGAAAGGGAACTTCCCCACCCATGCTTGTTGTTAGTGTTTAGTGGAAACGAGAAGATATGAATTGTATTTTGAAATTTGACAGAGTGCCAGTCACTATTGTCAAAAGAGTTATGTGCAGAGGTGAGAAAAGAGAGAGAGAGAAAGAGGAGAGGAGAGAGAAGTGAAGGGATTCCCAAATGCGGAGGCATGACGGAATGCGGAGATGGATCGGCGATGGACTTTCTATACACGCAAAGATCCCAGTGTTCAGTGTTTAGGTCTTCTACAGCAGTTGAGGTCCTCTTTCTATTCATCCAATATATTTCGCGTATTTAGCAAACTCCTTGTCTGCCCTCATACTCTCCCAATCTTCATCTCGCAAACAAATCGCAACCGGGATCTCACCAGCAGGCGATCTAGGCATCAAGTACCCCAAACCTTCAAAAGGGATAAAGCGAGGTCTTCGTACAGCCTCAGGCTTCCCCAATCCAAAACCAAAGTCTAGTTCATAGCAATTAATCCTAGACCAAGAACTGATCATGAAATCCGACACAACGTTCACAGTTGCAGTGAACGAAGCCTTAGTTCTATCAGGCGATCGACTGAGGAAAGTAGCCAAAGCACGCGTATTAAAGGGTAGATCATTGATTTTTGGGTCGAGCTGAGATCGAAGCTGGGCAGAGACAATCCCTAAAGGCTCTTCGGACACTGTCTGAATCTTGTCTTTGTTGTAGGTCATAGTTTGCAAGAGTCCTGGATAACTCGGATGCACGCCCAGATGTCGTCGGACATCCACTGCACGAGCAAGCATCGATTCAGATGACAATCCTAAGCGAGGAGCCCGCGCTCGGGCAACACACTGCCAGAGAAAGGCACTGACGGCATCATCTGTGGAGATGTAATTTGAGGTCGGGGGTAATGTCGCAGTAGCCAAGGACTTGAGCGCTGTGAGACTTGCTGCAGATATCTCGATATAGGCCCAGGTAGACTTGGGAGGCGCAGGGTGTTCCGAGGCAGCGTCACTGACACTCGGCGGGGGTTTCACGATCTGACGATCGAGCTCAGGACCCGGCTCGTACGAAGCATCGAGTAATGGGATGATACTACTCCGATCGGCATTTCCAATAGCAAGCTCTTCGCTCGTGAATAGCTCGTTTTGGCAAGCCTTGGATAACATGTCAATGATGAAATCCTGACCCGTCATGTCCATGGCATTATGCTGAGCAACGATTGTAAGCATCAGGCCGCCCTTGATGAAATTCGCCTGGACACAAAAGACCAATGCTGACTCGGTCGTGATTCCTGGCGGGATTCCAGGTACATTGATCGTTGTGCAAGGTGCAATGAGGTTCTCGTCCAGCATGGTGAACGGGTATTTGGCCTGGCGAAGGCCATCTATTGTTGGCGCAGAGGGGTCATCGCATAGATCTTTCACCACGAGCTGGATCTTGTCGAGGGGCGTGATTTTGAAGACGCCTGTGTTGCCATCTCCTGCACCGTCGTTGACAACCTGGCCAGTAAGCCATGGATACGCCTTTGCCAATCGGTCAAGTCCGTCAGTCAAGGTGGTGATAATCTCGTGCGAAGATATGTTGGGACCGGAGTAGATCAAGCATATTTGTGTGTATAGCTTGTATAGATCTGGTGTTTGCCCTAGCACGTCCAATACTGTGTCCATTCTGGAATGTGCACCGTTGGATTCTGCAGACACGATATCTCTTAAATTTCGCTCGACACTGCCCCGCTCATGCTTCATCATGAGTCAACTTTGCTCACAGCGCATCACTTCAGAACTCTGCTATTTTGAAGCTTTATTACATGGATGATACTGATACTTTCATGTCGGTACTTAAATATACATTTCATATTATCTGTGTTGTGACAAAATTCAAAGAATACTGAAACCTATACATATATAGGCTGAACTAGCCCAATGGTCAACGTATATCGAGGCTGAGCGATTCACCATTATAGATCGCTTTGACGAGTAAGCCTGATCTAGCAAGTAATACATCTGCCTTCCAAAAAGAAATTGAAGGTGTATGACGCAAGTACCAGCTGATTTGGACCATCTTCAGATCTAGGTGGGATTCAGACTAGTGGTAATCTACACGCGATGTGGGTATAGTCGCAGATTGATATGAGATTCTGTGAGGCATAGTAGCGGATCATGTTGAGTAATCTCCAGGGCGATAAGTTCAGATAATTGCTCCGAGGAGATGTCAAAAAAAAAAAGCAATCATAAGTCATGGCTAATAGGGTCAACACACAGTGCTTCACTAGGCAATTTCCCAAGCTCGCACCAAATTGACGACTATGTCTATTAGGATCAGCCTCGTCTTGACACTATGGAAATACATTTAGCCGCTCAGAACATCCCTGTCTGGCCAAGCAGCTTCGGAAATACCCAACGACATGAGATTAACACGCCACCCCTGCCAGCTTGTGCAAGGGTCATGCAAAAGATGCCAATGACAAGCTCAGCATACTAAGTAGCAGACGCATAGTCATACGACAATATACCGAAAGTACTAAAAGACATACACGCAATTACCGTAGACGAAAGAATCCAATTGGGTATAAAATCACGCATGCCGAAAGCGCAGCACTGTAAATCTAATCTAAACCCTCCAAGACCACAAAGCTCCTAAATGTAACCACGGCCACGGGAACTATTTCCTCCAACCATCTGATGAACACTAATACGTTCTTCGTCCTCCCCACAAGAAGCATCAAAAAGAAATGAGTCAATAGCAACTGACGAGGAAGCCCTACTAGACCCTGTCCCCTCATAGGGCACATCATAATCAACAGTGTGCACAGCTGCATGATCGCGCAAGATCTCCTGACTATCCGCACGCTCCACACCGGGATAGGCTCTCTGGGACTGGGATGCGGACGCGGAATGACGACCTTGGCTTGTGGAGTGGGTCGCCGACCCGGATCGCTGCCCAATACCACTGCCAGACTTGACTGCTGATCGATCCTTCGAATTTGAGTTCTGGCCCGAGACAGATTGCTCAAAGAAGTTCGAGACAGCGCCTGCCATCATGCCTGTTTGTAGATCAGCCAGCACGCGCTTTAGGGTTGGGATGCAGGTGCAGAGGATCGAGGAACTGAGAATTAATTGGAGCCAGATTGTTGGCATGAGGGCGTGCCAGGGTCTATCTGGGGGATTGGAGTGGAACAGCGGTTTGAGCGAGCGGAGGCCTGCTATTGTTAGAGCTAAGACTCTGGTTTGTGGGAATGTGTTAGATCTTGATTCTTGTGAGGAGATGTTATTGAAGCCTTGCTTACAGAACGCGCATGGCGAATAGGGCGGAGATGTGATGGCGTTTCCATTGGATTATTTGAACTTGATGGAGGAGAGTCACTGGGAGTCCGATGATACACACGTCCAAGAACATATGGCATGCGGCCACGCTGATGTATAGCGCATGTTGATTTAGGCATCTTTCAGGGCTAAAGCTCCACGGACGTGGTTGATCGCATTGTATCCCGAGCGCTACAAGCGCGGCCAATGTCCATATGCCAATCAGTCCCAAGGCGATCTTGCATGCCGCGGAGATCCTTTCGAATGGTTTCAAGGATAGAACAAGGAGGACAACGGCGGCTTTGGAGCATGTCAGAACGAGAACGGCGAATAGTTGACTGGCATAGAGAGCCTCCATGTTGTTAGAATGATTTCTTCATTGGTAGATGTTCAAACTTACCTTGCTATATGTTTCAAAAGAAGAATCACTCAAAGCATGTCGATGTTTGCCAATTCCATGGAAACTTGCTATGTTAATACACACTGTTTGAGGGATGAATAGAACCTAATGAATGGGTCAGATGAGCTTTAGTGTGTATGAAGAGTAAATTTACACAACTCAGAAACACAATCGAGTCACTCCAGGATACTTTGCGCAGGACACGGAAGCGGGATATCAAAGCGACTGTCGTCGCGAGAATAGTGATAATTAGTAGGATAGTGCTCACAGTGATAACCCAAGCACCATGATCATCAGGCGTAACAGGCAAGAAAGGCGGCAAAAGATCCTCATGGCTGGAAGCCATGGCAACTAAGAGACCTCAGTGAAGTGCAACATGCAACGACTATATTTCTAGTTACAGAAGGCGAAAGCGTAACGTGATATAACACAAACCCAACTCCTCCGCCTAAAAGGAAACACAAGATTAGATCATTAGTAAAAATGGATACACTACTTGCTTGCTGATCCCAGTTGATGTACTGTTCCACCAGCGTGCATACTTAGCCCCGAAACGAGACCGGGCTCGAGATGCAGCTACGTCGATCGCCTATCCCCTCAGCCATGAACATTCCACGGTCACACTTGGATCCTAATCCTGGTGGATCTTGTTTTAATGGCATTCAACTCACCTTTGCTTTTTCCTTTCCCTCCTCCTCGGGACTTTGGCTTTATGTGTCCAATATTTTGTCTTTCTCACTTCTCTTTTGGTTCTTTGCTACTATGGAGCATCATGAGATGCACTTCCTAAAAGGGAGGAATCTCAGTATTGACCAAGATGTGCCTGTCCGAGAGGTCAATGTCTCGAATGCCTATGAAACCCCCAGCAAGAATGGTTCCACAGAGTCTTCACCGAAGGTCATCATTTCTCGAGTCTATTGGGGCTACCAAGCTGATACTTGATACAGCGACTATTTAATTTCACGCAAATATTCTTCTTCTCGCTTACATATTTGTCCAGCTGGGAGACTCAGGCGTTGTAAGCTCCTCCATCTTGGTTTGCTTCCATACAGCATTGACAGTCCATCCACATAGAAACCTAAGCACAGTCCTGACCAATGGCGGCCCCCAAGCCCTCGCTTGGGGCATTGTTATTGTTGTCTCTGGTGCAATGGCACAATCCGCATCACTGGCAGAAATGGCCTCGATGCAGCCAATTGCAGGAGCCCAATATCACTGGACTCATTACCTGGCACCCGAACGCCAAAAGAAATTCATTACCTGGATGCAAGGCTAGTAGTATTCAGTGAAGCCGTATCTGGGGTACATCTAACAAATACATCAGGCTGGGTAACATGGTTCGCATGGATCTCAACCCTCGCCGGCGTGGCCAACACGACCGCCACAATGATCCAAGGGCTAGCGAGCGTCAACTACCCCGAATACGAGGCAAAGCAATGGCATTTGACGCTGATCATCATCGGAATGCTGGTTGTCGAGGCTTTAATGAACATGTACACCTTCTGGCTCATTCCCTGGATTGAAATGCTGGCTGGCATCCTACACATCTGCCTCCTGGTCGTCTTCCTGGTTGTCTTCACCGCACTGGCACCTCGACACACATCAAAATTTGTTTTCTTGCACACGCAGAGTTCCTCAGGGTGGGCAACGTTTCCGGCGTGGAATATCGGCCTACTAACGCCAGTCTGGGGATTCGTCGGTATGTGAACTAAAGTGGCAAGCAAAATCAGCAGCTAAGTATTCAGGCTTCGACGGCGCAGTACATATGAGCGAAGAAGTCCGCAGAGCAAAGCAAGCCGTGCCTCGCTCAATATTCTACACAGTCGTCACAAATGGCATCCTCGCCTACGCCATGGTCGTCTGCATGCTCTTCACAATGGGGTCTGTGGAGGAAGCCCAGAAGTCCAGTTTCCCAATTATCGAAATCTGCCAGCAGGCCACGGGCTCTGTGAAAGCCGCCACGGCAATGGTATGCGGGTTACTTGTCATCTCCTTATCCGTCAACTTGGCAAGTATTGCCTCTGTCTCACGACTGACATGGGCCTGGGCCCGCGATGGCGCCCTACCCCGTTGGTTCGCTCATGTAAGTATCAAAAGCCAAGACCGGGGTATCTATTCAGTGCCAGCCTCAGCACCCAAAGACTATCCCACAACCCCACTCAGCTAACAGACCCCCAGATTGACCGCCAACACAACGTCCCAATCCGTGCCGTCTGGCTGCCCGTCCTGGTGGTGATGATCCTGTCTTGTCTCAATATCGCGGACACAGCCGCATTCGGTGCTTTCGTAGCCCTAGGCTCAATCGGTCTATTCGTGTCATACTTCATCGCCATCAGTTGCATGGTCCACAACCGGTTCCAGGCCAATGCCGCGCCAATGGGGAATTGGAATATGGGTAGGCTGGGGCTGCCAGTTAATATCTTTGCGCTTGTTTATACCGCTTGGGTGACTGTTTGGTTGGCTTTTCCTTCGGCGTTGCCGGTTACGGGGCAGAATATGAACTATGCGGCTCCTATCTTTGGCGCTACGACTTTGTTTGCCTTGGGGTATTGGTTTGTTAAGGGAAAGATGAGATGGGAGGGGTTGAACAAGGATGTTGTTAGGTTGGTTGTAGAGGGTGGTGAGCTTCAGTTAAAGTGAGGTTCTTGCTTTGGTGGCTCGGGTGCAATTGAGAAGGCAATTTCTTGCGAATGTTTTAGCAACGCTCCTGGGGCATGGGACACCAAATGACGTGTGATAAATAGCTATATTGGAGTTGGTTCGAGTGCTTAGTGGCACCTTCTTTATCAAAGGCTTCTTTTTACTTTCCCAAATAGGAAGTTAGGACTCGAACTTCCCCAGTTGTTCATTTTCTTTTGCTTTATAAGCAATTACGCTGTCTTAAGGAGTTCTTTTCTAGATCAGGTACTAGCTGTTTGCAATTAATGTTAAATATATCAATGTGGCTCAACAGAATGGATCTTCCACAGCTGGTTCTTGTCATCGCAGGAGCCCTTGTTTTGTTGAATAAGCTCTTCTAACTTCTAAAGTCCCCCCAGAACCATTTCTTACATGAAGACTTACTATTCAAAAACTCAAGATTTATTCGTCTACCGCTAGTACTAGCAAGGTTCCAAAAGAAAAGTCAGGCTTTCTCTTGAAAGAAAGATGTCACCTTTGTTAAGTCCCTCATATAAGTACCAAAGCATCCCAAATATCCGTTTCTTTCATTCATTACCTCTCATACTTCAACTCGCCCCTTCCCCCTTCTCTATCTACTATGCTATCTTTAAAGAATGGTTTCTACCGAGTTCTACAATCGTCTCGCAAAAAACCAATTTTGAAAACCCTCCAAACCCACTTCCACATATCACCACCTCGAAATGGCCTCTTGAACGCTTTCCTATGCTATGACTACACAATGTTTGCAAAGGCATTCCTTTTCGCGGGAGGATTCTCTACTTCAATAATTTGTTCTGCGGTCACTCCACGCCAATATCTCGTGTGGATAGAGGAGTTTCTGCTGGGCTTATTTCTTTTGGTGGCATTCATGGTTAATTTTCTTGAGGGACTGCAGCCTCGAGCCATGGAATAAAGAAGCAGGCACTGGGCTTGTTCATTGATGTATTTGCTTGCGCTGGGTCTATTTCATTGAGCAGCAACGCTTATTGACGCGGCAAGATCAATCTCCCACTTAATGCGAACTATGTCAATATCTGATTGGGGAAATTGGTTTGAGAAGTAATGTAGAAAGTCGAGCAGGTATTGCCATATCATATTGTATTGTTATAAGTCTCTGATAACGATAAGCACCTAAGTTATAGAGTTCTTCAGTTGATATTTTGTGGTTTGAAAAAGAGTTTTGAGAGAAGACTTGAAAATTAAAATTGACCTTAAAACTGCCATACCCCCAGACTAGCCCAAGTTCGCCCTAACCTATGCAGTTAGTCGAACGACATCGTCTTCAAATAAGGTGAGTACTTCCATGTCTTCTACTCTTTGTAACACTACTAATCAAGCAAATGGCTAGATCAACACCTCAAATAATACTCACCTCTCACTATTGAATGCCGAACACAGACCAGTCCATGCAAACGCAATATTTTCCCCGTCCTATTTAATGTATGAACAAGAAACAAGGTAATTCTTCCACGTTGCATTGTTGCCAGCTCAATCGAATTTCCAATGTGACTGTAGTTAAAAGTTGGGTCTTCTTAACCGAGGGACGCCTTCGGTAGTGGTCGTGAGATATTCTTTCTTGTAAAATCATAGTAAAATAATGATTAATTATTGAGAAATTGGTAAAATAGACGAATGCATCTGGGCATTCGTTACGAGAACGTGCAGAATTGTCAGGCTTTGGCGACCCGAATAGTATCTAGAACTTAGGGTTACCCCTCACGGAGACCAACGGTCCCACTTAGTAGCTGCAATGGCATCGCGAGTGGCATCAGTGAGCCGAGGACGAAATTCAGATATTACACTCGAGCGTTCGAGACTCATAAGACTCGGGCCTTGGATCGTCTCTGTGACGTTATCAGTTACAAACCTAATGATATCAAGATACAATACGAAGAACAGGTAATGGTTAGAGAAAGGAATTGCAGATGTCATTCATCATGAAAAGGAGAATCCTAGACGAGACACAGTCCCATCAAAAGACCTCATTTTGTCGAGAGCAAGCTCTCGCTAACGTTATATACAAGGCGCGGCCTATGTAAAGTGAAAGAAGGGTAATCGAACAAAAGATGCAAAGATGCAATGCAATGCAAAACAAAACAAAAGACAAGACAAGTCTAGACAATCAGCCAAAGAAAAGATCGACTTTTGTTTGATCTATGCCTCGATACAGTACTGATATCCAAGCCAGAGGTTATCGCAGTTCTCATCGAGCTGCGCGTTCAAGCTGCGCAATTGCGAGAATGAGATACCGGCTGTTTCGCTGACGGCGTTGCAGATGTCACCGTTGAGGACTGTGTAGTACTTCTGGCATGAAGACGAGGCGTACGGGTAGATGGGCGCGTCAGAGGCCGAGGCGGCGGTGGTTGCCGCGGGGGCAGACTTGGTCGTCCAGGATGGGGTGGCAGTGGGGGTGACGCTCTGCACGTTGACCTGGGGCGTCCAGGCGGCGACGGGGGTGGTGCTTGGGGTGGCAGACTGAATTGGCTCGGGCGTCTCGGTGGACTGGGGCTGGGTAGTCTCCGCGGGCTGGGTAGTCTCTGCGGGCTGAGTAGTCTCTGCGGGCTGGGTTTCGGCAGGCTGGGTGGTCACTGCGGCAGCGGTAGTGGTAGTCGACGAAGTGGAGCTGCCAGCGTCGTCGGAGCCAGAGTCGGTAGAGTCCGAGGTGGAGGACTCGGTGCCGCTGGTCAATGTGCCAATTGTTCCCTCGATACACTCGGTGACATCACCAGCCCAGCCACGGACACGGTTGGCGATATCAGAGGCGTAGCAGTGAGTAGCGATACCCTGGCCAAGGTTGCCGGAGGCATCGATGGAGCCGGAGTTGTAGGTACGAGCGGCCTTGTAGTACTTGGTGACCTCGCTTCCACTTTGGGCCTGGTAGCACTGCTGGAGGCCATCGCCGGAGGCGGTTCCGGTGGTACCATCCTCGATCATCTGCTTGATCATGGAGGATGGGCAGGGGGTCACGCCGACGCAAGTTCCGGAGCCGTCGTGGCTTTGCATCAGGCCGGTGTTCTCGACGCCGTAGTTGGTGGACTGGACGCGGACGCAGCCCTTGCTCTCCTGCATGAGAATAGCCAGGATGAAGCGCTTGTCGACGCCGCTGGAGCTGGCGATCGATTGGATGTGTTCGTTGATTTGGTCCGTTTCCGTGTCGCTGTTGTCGCAAGCTGACGCAATGAGGATCTTGTTGAGTTCCCAGCTGAAAGGGTGTTTGTTAGTCGATGTTCTATACTGGACTTAGTGCCATTGGTTGACTTACAGAACATCATACTCCTTCCAATCGGCAAGAGAGGGCCATCCATCGGACACCTCGCCATTACCACCCATCAAAGCATAGGTGGCAGCGGACAAGGCGCCGCGACGGTGCAAGTTGTAGTGACCGCTCGAGCCATGGGGAACGGCTTGAATGAGAGTAGACAGGCTGCCAGCAGCCAGGATCTATATACAAATTGTTAGCCATGGTTCGAGTATGTGGAGGTGTGGTGGACCAGGGGTTCGCCCGGAGGTTCGCCCAGAGGTCTCGGCGAACTATACCAACGTACCAATGAAGGAAAGAACATTTTGAGAGGGAATGACGAGGCGACGAACAACGATCAACGGTCAACGGATAGTAGAAGCCCTGCTTGGAAGAAAAGAAAACTCGGGGAGCCATGGCCAAAGTATATGTACTCGGCACCAGTGTGTGTGCCCTTTGGCCGTACAATAGTCAATTGATCAGTCCAGGTCTCCGCAGCGGAGATGCCCCTCGAATTGGGATCGAGGTGGCTGTGAAAGTGGCCCAATAGCGGGCTGGGTTGGGGCCTTGCTGTAAGGGCTGAAACAGACAGAGGGGGTCCCAGGTGTCCGGGTGAGTCGCGATTGGTCTGTTTCATGTATTTGTTCGGCCCCTGTGAGCGAATTTTGGGGTGGCTGCGGAGCTGACGAGGGCGTTCATCACTCCGTTCAAGTGGTCGCGATTGGCTGAGGGACGCGATCATCGTGGACCAAAGTTTTTTTGTCTCTGTTCTTCGGGCTGTTCTGTACCTGAATTTGCCCCTGGTTCCTGAGAGGATTTACCCGTGCGTCCTCTGATGTGCAGATGTGCAGGTGTGCAACGGTGCAGTATACCGTGCAGAGGACAAAGCTGAATTCTCGTCACTTTACGGGCGCGTATTCATTTCCACTAAGCCCAGTGCCAAAGTGCATCAAAGTGGACAACAAAGACCCGAGCTAATCTGTAGCGTCGTATTGAGGACAAAGTCATGGCGCCTCAGGCACCACTTGACCTTCCAATGTCTAAAATGTCATGTGGTCGACGGCTGACTGGTCGTTTTCTTTGATATCAGATCCCTTCATTTACACCATCTCTGTTATTTCCTCGAACCACAGACCGTAGGACAGTTGACCTGTAGCAAAACTACGGTCGCTTGCAATGGCTACTTCCAGTCACAACGCACACATCGCAAAGGCCTCGATTAACCTATGTGGAGACACTGCTGGCCCCAAGAATCTGCACAGGACGGAGTACACCGGTGTTCATCACCGGTAAGACTAGTTTCTTTCAACCCAAATGACCCGTGCCTAACAGTATGAAAGGAAGTATAATGAAGAAATCTTCCGAGTCCTAGCCCCCAGGCCCGCAGTCCAATATCGCAACCACTTGCATCGCGCAGATTAATTGAACAAAGATGTCATCAACCCAGGATCGACAGCCGTGGTCGCGAATGCGGCTTCGGACTTCCGAGGCTGGATTGCATCTACGGAGAGCTGACTCTGCCCAATTTGGCAGTATTTCACTTTCATTTTCATTGCATTTTCAAGCGATGAATCCACCGACAGCGTAAGACCCGTCAAGCATGTCGGCACTACACACCGACTTGCATACTGTGCTGTGCTGTACTGGAAATCCAGGGCCAACAATCATGACATAGCCAATTCCAGCTCTGGGTCCACTCGCTTCCTAACGCTGTTCCTGAATGGCAAACTGGATCTATCCCTTTGGACCTCGTATCTGCGATTGCGATCATCAAGCATAACAGATCATCTCAGGGTGCAGATGTAGCATATGCCGAACTCGTATCTGTACTGTACTGTAGGGCATGCGATTCTTCGCAGACGCTGCAAGACCTACCTGATGTGCATGTCTTCAGAAAGCTACGTCAGTGGATGGAACAATTGGAATTACGACAACGCATCCTACTCGGCTATCGAGGATATACATGCTGAACAGGCATACAGATCTCCGAATCGTATGCCGTCGGCTAGACATTCATACTCCAATTCACCTTGGCTTCGTCTTCTGCAGTCCCTGTATACACTATGCTGGCAGCGCCAAGCCATGTCGAATCCAGCTAGCCCCGATGCATGTCGGACAAAATGTTTAAGAACGGACTGCGAATGCCCTGTCCACGTGTGCACTCGTCGTACGATCGATCCCAGTCTCTTTCGGTACAACTCCATCATCGGGGTTCAATAATGGCATCAGCTACGTAAGGGTTGGGGCGGGGGATGAGGCTGAGCAGAGTCCTCGGAGCTTTGTGGGTCGGTGAAGCTAAGTCAGGGAATTGGGATGCTGAGCTAGTAATGCTATAATAAAACACCTCGATCTTTGGGTTCCTGTTCATGGGGTTTGGGTTATATTTGGTATACTGTTACCGGGGGCCAAGTGGCGATAACTAAGACACGTCTTGGAATTGGACTCTCGGGGGGATCCGAGAAAGGGAAGGTGAAGTTGACTACTAGAAATCTCAAAATTTGGTAACCTCGAGTACAGTAGGTTCAATTTTCACCTAGCCCGAGAGCTTTCGTCCTTCATGATGTCAAGTGTGGCGGTCATGTTCTGCGATCAACAATAGTGATCAGCCTGAACAGCCTCCTTGACCAGCCCCTGAAAATCCTATATCCCTATTCTCCTGGATTGCGCTGTGGCTGGCTTGAAGAGTCACACTGATTCTCTGACGTTGCATTTGGTGTGCTCGTTGGTTTCATGGACTGTCTCAACTTGAAGCATGCTGAACGCTTCTACCAGGTGTAACCAATCGACCATTTAGCAGTTGCCCGAACCACGCTGTGCACTGTATTTAACTTCGCAGGTATACGAACGGTAAGATTATTCAGGACGGTCGCTCTAAGCTTTGAGCCCGTTTCATTTCATAAACAAAAGCTTGTCTAAAGTACTGAGCCGCTTTCTTGGTCGTAATCTCCGAGCCCTCCCACATTTCTATCTAAATCAAACCACATCCAATCCTTCAAATTCCCAAATCTCAAATATCTCATGTTCTCAAGGTGTTCAAAGTTCATATGCAAACAGTATCAAATCAGACATCTACTGGGAGTGCGCAACAACCTCGGCATCGCACAGTGTTAGCCCGTCCGTCGGAGTGGGCCTATCGCCAAAGCCGTCTGTCAACTTCAGGTCTCCAGGGTTGCTATATAACCGACTGACCAGTTTGATTCCTCGACATTCATAATGAACATGCTATCTATCAGCATCTCTAATTACACAGACTCCTTTGCGCATCAGCTATCTGCCCAAAACGGGAGCTTCGGTCGGCTCAAGATGTGACCAAAGTCCGCAAGCGAGCATCTATCCAGTCGACAACTTAAGGGCATATGATGCCCTGAAAGTGGCGATTGAGGACTCCTAAGCTTCCAGTTCTCCTTCGCTCATGGTAAACATAACTTCCCACAGAATATCGGTCACTATTGTGTCGGTGACGTTAAAGTCACCGAAGTTAGCGATGAGTCGATTCAAGGTATGAAATTATACCTGAATGCCAGAGTTGTCTGTAGGTAATCATCCAGTCCACTTCTTGATGACCGTTCATTCCCTTCAATCTGGGTTCATTGAATAAATTCGTTTGCGCCGAACAATAAATTGCTATCAAGCTTCTTCATCTTTCGGGCCACTCTTAAGCTCAAGACACCAGTTCTTTGGATCTATGACCTCCCACCAAATTCTACTTACGATTAGACCTGAAGCTCTTTATTCCGCACCAATATTCAAACCTTCCGCATATATTCGTATTCCAAAATAAAATCCAATCACACATTAGCCTTCGCAAGCTCAGCCTCCGTCCACTCCCACAAACGCTTCCCCATTTCCTCGCTAGTGACATATTTATTCTGACCTTTCAAATTTCCAACAGGAACATAGTATCCGCCATTGGATAAATCAGTCTTCTTAGCTCCAGCAGCAGCCCACAACTGATTACACGCACCCTGAGGAACAGACGAACCAAATAACCCAAGCGTCTTAGTCCCCACCGACGCAAAAGGCGAGCTCTCATTAATCGAGCTATACAAATCCGTCAGGATAATACCAGGATGCACAGAAACCGACGTAAGAGACGGGTATCGTCTCGCCAACTCAGCAGCAAACAGAATATTTGCCGCCTTGGACGCACCATACCGCGCATTCGTGTTAACCTTCTTCAGCTTCTCCTGGTCCAAAATAGTGTCGAAAGCAGGCGCCAGATTATGCCCAATAGATGAGAGTGAGACAACACGCACATCGGATCCGGGCTCCTCAGCCGTCTTGAGCAGCGTCGGCAAGAGCAGCATTGTCAAATGGAAGTGTCCGGTGTGGTTCGTTCCGAGCTGAATTTCATGGCCCATTTCCGTCTCGCCGGGCGGCAGGGCCATGACGCCCGCGTTCAGAACGAGGATGTCGAGTCTGGGAGACTCGGCGTTGACTTTTTCGGCCGCTTTCTTGATTGATGGGCCCGACATCAGGTCCAGTGGAAGCCAGCTGATCTCGACGTCATTTTTGACGGAGGTTTTCAGGGACTGGATGGCATCCTGTGCCTTGGACTCGGAGCGCGCGCCGAGGAAAATTTTCTTGGGGTTGTGCTTGATCAGTTGGAGGATTGTTTCTTTGCCTAGGCCGGCGTTTCCTGCGTTGCTTGTTAGTGGCTTGCGTTTCTTATGGTTTGTTCGGGTCAATTAGGGTTTGATGTACCGCCCGTCACTAGAATCACCTTCCCAGATAGATCTGGGATGTCGGTTTCTGGGGTGAAGCTTACTCCGCCCACGTAGTTGAGCGGGTTCATAAACGCAGTCACGAAGCCTGCCATTGTGGAATGTGGTTTTGGGTATGTTTAATAACCGGCAATGGTTGCATTTCAGGAGATTTATGGTTTGGGTCGGAGTAACTATCGCCCCGACTGACTTTCATATGAAAGAGTGGAGTCTGCATAAAGTTTATACAAGGTAGTTCCGACGTCGATGTTGTGAATGTCTGGATCCATGCTTGATCATGCCTATATCGTTAGGTAGGGAATGTGGGATGTGATCTGACATGTTTCTATTTGGAGTAATAGAAGAGTCTAGTCAGATGTATGTACAATGGCATTATATTATTATGGCTAGTGGTTATAGGAAAAGTGCTTCCTATTTTCGGAGTACATAGGTAGAATGGTCGAAATCCCTTGCCAATATCGGTGCCCATTTCAGAACAAGAGCGATGAACTTTTCAACTCCAGCTTCGCGAGAAGTCGCTTTAGCTTCCACAAGGATATCATTGCATCAACCGTCACCTCTTCATCAGGTCTGAAGAATAGCGCCGAGCGTTGAAATTGCGGGTGTGATTCACGCAGCGTAGCCATATGAGACTCCGAGAGAAGACTCGGTAGATCAAACACTGGAATCTTGGACCCAGTCTGTGGGAGAGTGATGGAGTCCGGACATGAGCCAATTGGTTCTGAAACAGTCCCGTCAGCTTTTGGTCCAAGCAGCAACAGACCACCACATCCCATTCTCTCGAAAGGCTTTAGACGCCCAAGCGCTTCCTCCAATGCAGAATCTGAGTATTCATGCAGATCAACAGCCCTCCACACCCCATTGGGTTTACCGAGACGCTTGAACTTGGTAGACGCAGCAGCCAGCTTCTTATAAACCTGTTTCCGCATGCTCTCAAGTACGATATCAGGGGCATTGGACATCCAGTTGAGTTTCCGCTCCTCACTCGCCTTAATTGGTCCTTGAGGATGTTTCCACCGAAATGGCAACAGTTTCAAAACAGCAGGTTTTTTACCAGATTTCTTTGCGAGTGGAACCGTTATCAATCGAAGAATAGGGAGAGATTCGACAATACGAAGAAGTAGTTGACGTCCCTGTTGGTTGTTCTGCTGGACCAATGGGTTTTGTGTGTTGACTGTTGAACTTTTGCTCTCGTCGGTCCCATCCGATGACAGCTCATGATTCTCAACATTCTCTGTATCGGGTATATCTGAGGGCATGGAATTTGGGGGTCTGGTGTTTTGCAGCGAATCTTGCATGTGACCCACGGGCATGAAATGTAGCTTGTCCGCTTCTGGTTGTTGCACCAAGCCCCATTCCCCAAGAAAGGCAGCTGGAAGTCTCACTCCTGTTACACCACACATACGAATTGGAGATGCGAGTGCAACAGCCCATGGGTTCTTGTTCAGTTCTGCTGATTCCTGTATTGTCGGGCGTCTTTTGCGGTTCTTTTCGGGTCCAGGGCGCGGATGTGCGATCAGTGGAGATTGTGGTAGGCGCTTGGAAGGTGGTAATTTCTTTGATATTTCGTTACTGTTGTCGGATTGTTCAGGTTTGGGTGCGTCTTCAGCGTTATTGGTTCGTAACCGTGGTGTCGAGGAAATGCTTCGACGAGTTCCGTGCCCTATCGCAGGGAAACGGGAGTTTCCGAGCAACTGTCGGAACACATGAAGGCGCCATTGCGCATATGGTATACGGGCGTTGAGGCATTCCATTATGGTCGATGCTGCGTGGAAAGGAGTGGGAAGACTGGCAGTTGGAAAAGATGGTCGCGGAGCTGTTGCAGCAACCAATCGGAGGCCCTCATTTGCGGAACAGTTCGTATGAAATGAGTAATGCAGAACGGCCTCTATAAGACCTCATACGGGTCAATTGACCGTATTAGACATCTTGGACATAATCAAATAAGCCCTATAGAGCCATATTCACTTCACGTCCGGCATCGCGACCTCGCAGTAGGACATGAGCTCCTTATCTTAGCGTCGATCGTTATCGCATCAGTTCACCGTCTTCCGACTCGGCATCTCCAACTTGCACACTGCACAACTTTAAAGATGCCTTCAAGAGTCTCTCTCCGGCAGCTAGGACGGGCTGTTCAGTCTCCGGTTTCTCTTACTAGACCCGCGACCCGCTTGTCGCGATGCTTCTCAAGCCAAGTTCCCTCCTTTGCGGGCCAGCCCCCGCGGAGCTGGACACCCACACCTTTCGTCACTGAGACAGTGGTATGTCTTCTCTCTGTGAGGTTCAACTCAATGCGCAAATACTAATGTCTTATACAGGGAGGAGGATGGCACACATGTATGTTGCACTGCCAGCTTCAACCATTGACAAGCATATCTGTCAAAAACAGACTGAGCTAACTTCTTGCGCATCACAGATGATATCTTTTCTCGATTAATGAAGGTATGAAATACAAATACACAAAATCATCTTATCTACCCTCATCTTGCTTACTATATTTGTCTCATAGGAGCGCATCATTTGTCTCAACGGCGAAGTCGACGAAACCCTCTCAGCATCAATCGTCGCCCAACTCCTCTTCCTCGAAGCCGACAACCCCTCAAAACCAATACACCTCTACATCAACTCGCCAGGCGGCTCTGTAACAGCAGGTACGATACTCTCAAGCCACCAAGCTCAACCCAGAAAAGCCAAACTAACAAACCCTAGGCCTAGCAATCTACGACACAATGACCTACATAGCCTCACCAGTGAGCACAATCTGCGTCGGACAAGCAGCATCAATGGGCTCCCTGCTCCTCTGTGGTGGCCACCCAGGAAAACGCTACTGCCTTCCCCACTCGTCAATTATGATCCACCAACCGTCCGGTGGCTATTTCGGTCAAGCAACCGACATCGCCATCCACGCCAAGGAGATCCTGCGTGTCCGCCACCAGCTCAATCAGATCTATCAAACTCATCTTACTGGCGCCAAGAAGATGTCTCTGGATGAGATTGAGAAGCTGATGGAGCGGGATTACTTTATGGGTGCTAAAGAGGCCCTGGAGTTGGGTATTGTTGATGAGATTCTTGATCGGAGGGTTCAGAAGGGAGGAAGCGGGGAGGGAGATAAACCTCCTACTGCTTAGATAGATGTTCTGTTCTAGGTGGTGATGGGATGGGTTTGATTTTTGATTCTTGATTCTTGACGCCTTGTCGGTGTCATGATTTGTTATGTAAGATACGTGTATCTTCCAAGGTTATCATGATAATTTCTATATTATGCTTTTTCTTGCTAACCCTAGGCTTTTGTTGGATCTTGTTGCAGGATTTAATCGCCGATGTTCACTGCCTAGCGTAGTATAAGGCAAGCGGCCTGTCAATGGACGGTGAAAGGGAAGTTGCCCTTGGAGGGAGCTATCATCCATGATCTCCATCTTGACTATAGATCGATAAACGTCTCTCGCCTAAGCCGAGTCCAAGGGCTAAGAACATGCATTGGTGCAAAGCTGTACATTAAACATCCTTTCCGTAATGATTATGGACTGGACGCTATAATGTATACGTCTATCTACACATGAAGTCCCGCTCCCAGAGCTAGAATACTAATCAAATGCATCAAATACATCTACCGGTTGACCCGTTCAATTCGACCGTCAGAACCAACCTGGAGACCAAACCGTTGACGCAAGAATGTCGCCGTCTCCGGGGACGGGACGAAACTCGTCGTTGGTCGACTTGGCATATTTGTATGGCGCCATTGATCCCGTATTGTTGTAAAGAAGCTCATTTCACAAATGACAGCCTCACCGGAGGCAAATTTATCCATAGGATGGCTACCTCGAGCACTGACTCCAGATGCTGTATCGCTGGGATCCGCGAGAAGATTGATTCGCTCTTCGTCGACTTCTTCGTCAATGCTACTGTGCACTTGTGAATCGGGACTATTGCGAGCTGATGTGGTCGTATCGTCTGTGTCATCTTGTAATACCCCACGCTCTTCGGCATCGTGGTCTTGTGTCTGGGTTTGGGTCTGATCATCCCCTGGTTCCGTTCCTGTGGCTGCATCTGTACTTGTATTTGTGTTGTTGGTTGCTGGGTGTGGAGCGCGAGATCCATTAGTTTTAACTCTTTCAATAATTAAAGCCAGCATGACGAAATCGAGTAGGAAGATCAGGAGATCGAATGATAAGAGGCGGTATACAGAGACGGGTTTCTGTCCGATGAAATCAATGAATATGCCTCCATGGAGGTAGCCGCGTGTTTCCTCGCCGGCTTCTGGTCGGATAAAGAACGCATGGAAGATCATGCAAATGAGGTTACTGGAAATGATGGCGCCGACATATGGCTGGTTGCGCGTTGGCTCGAAGGGGGCGACTTTTGGTGAAAAGCAGATCAATTCCACGATGGCGCGTATACCAAATAATATGATCGAGCAGCTGAGCACGAGGCGTAGATGTTAGAAGCTTGTCGCAGTAAGGTCACAGTAAAGAGGGGGTGGTCCATGCTAGACAGGCAAGGTTGGGGTACACTGGGGTACACTTACTCCATGTAATACAGCGCGGAGAGCTGACAATAAATTAATATGTCGATATCGCGTAGTAGCCGGTCAATGAAGGCGGTTTTAGCGGTCGACTGGACTTTCTTTACGCGGGCGTTCTGGCTGCTGAGCGTGCCTGTTGGCCTGGGCGGCTCCGCATCGTCATAGGTAATGCCGGACACGTCAGCGATGTATTCCGCATCCCGATAGGGGTCGACGTCTGTCATAGAGGGTCATGAGGGCTTGAACGGTATCCAACAAGCAGTGTGAAGGAGTCGAGGTAGGGACTCCCCGTTGGTGAGCTGGAGGGTTGGAGGTGTTGGAGATGACGGGTGTCAGGCGGAGTTTCCTCGGTCCGAACACGTGCTTTCGCGCGATCAAGGTCCCCTTTATTACTTCGCGTTCAATTGATCTTTAATTTGTATTTGATTGTTCCTGTTGGATTGTTATATTGTGTATTCAATGGGCTTGCTATATACTTGGAATAACGACGAGCTTAATCCACGAGGATGGTCTTCGACAACTCGGAGTAGTGCTTGAAGAATCCAGTGAAGAGACGAATGGCATGAGCGACATCATGGGTACCGCCAGTCTCACGAATGCTATGCATACTCAACTGAGGGTTGCCCAAGTCCAGGGTTCGTGCGCCCAGGGCGGCAGACAGCATAGGACCAATGGTGCTGCCACAGCTGGAGTCGTTGCGGACAACAAAGAGCTGCAGGGGAACGTGCTCGCCAGTCTCCTTGGCGGTCTTACGGGCAATCTCCTCCAAAAGGACAATGCCAGGGGAGTTGGTGGCATAGCGTGCGTTGGCATTGATCTTGATCACTGGACCCTTGTTGATCTCAGGCTTGTGGTCAGTCTCGTACTTGCCTGCGTAGTTAGGGTTGATGGCGTGGGCCATATCAGCAGATACAAGGAATGAGGTAGACAAAGTCTGCTCATAGGCAGTCGCCAAGTCAGTATCCTTGGATGAAGATGAAGGAAGGACAGACAGGCGACGGATAATGGATGGAAGAATGTTCGAGTCTGCACCCTGGGCTGTGCGGCTGCCAATCTCCTCGTGGTCGAAGAGAGCAATAAGACGGATGGCATCTTCGTTGTCGAGAGCAGACTTGTCGGCAACAGAGTCAATCAGACTGACAGTAGCACAGAAGGTGCTGTTCAAGTTATCCAGACGGGGAGAGAAGATGAACTCGTCCAGCATGCCACCAAGGCAAGACTTGTGAGTGTCGAATAGGATCATCTCGAAGTCCAGAATGTCAGCAGGCTTGACACCGGCCTCGGCGGCAATAAGCTCGACAAAGTAAGAGTGGTGACGCTCAGTCACGGCCTTCAAGGGTGAGAGATCACCATCCTTGTCGGATTCAGAAGCCTTGGTCTCACCAGTACGGTTGAGCTCAGCAGCAATCAAACCAGCAATGGGGAACAACTGGGTCTCCTTGTTGAAGGCAAATGTCTCTTGGCGATCCAGATGAATGGCCAGAGTCGGGATGCGAAGGACTATAATGTTAGCGAGAGTCACACTTCAATTGCATAGTGACATACTGGGCTTATCAATCTTGACCAGCTTCTGCACGATAGATCCATCGGCAGCGCGGGTCATCACTCGGCCAGCGACACCCAAGTCACGATCGAACCCTGAAGAGGATTAGCATAATCATTATTGAGGATTTAGCCAACATACAAGTGTGCCAAATGCCTCCGCCGTAGGTCTCAACGCCGACCTGGACGTAACCTTCCCCACTCTTCTTGCTCACGGGCTTGACCCGCAATACTGGAGAGTCGGTGTGAGCACCGATCATGGAGATGGAGCTACCCGGCTACATTCAAGATGAGCAACATAACCATTGATCTGAGGTGAGTGATGCATACCTGCCATTTCTTGCCGATCGCGAAAGCCACGAGGGTGGTAGTGTTGCGAGTCAAGAAGTACTTTCCTCCCGGTTGGCAAGTCGAGGCCCAAGAGTCTTTCTCCTATTGATGTATAAGACAAATATTCCACAGCCTTTTGTCAATATAAGCAAACCTTGATCTCTTGGAACCCAGCCTTGGTCAGAAGCGCCTTGGCTTCATGGACGGCGTGGAAGGCTAGGCAAATCAGTGGCAATTCCACGTCATAGGATAGCAAGTCTTACGAGTAGGGGCTGCATTAACAAAGGACAAGAAGTCCAGAGCAGGTTGTTTAGAAGCCATTGTTGTAGTGGAGTATCGCCGAGAAGAGCCTAACAGGTAAGACAAAGGCCGTCTGAAGACCATAGCAGTGAATATACACAGAAGGTGAAAGGTTTTCTTGGCGGTGACGGATAGCACCACAAACCCAACTATACACCAGAGCCAACCAGATTACAATATAAAACAGACTAAATTGTATCTAATCACATTCCAATCGTTGGCATTATCCCCACTGATGTCTGAACTAAATTCCAGGCGGAAATGATTGGTGATACTCATCTGGCCCAAGCTTATTCGCGTCGCGTTCTCGCCAGGGCGCGTATTCGTCAAGTTTCGCGTCCGTCAAAGCCCAAACAGATCCCTCACTTCCCCCACTTTGACTGCCCGTTAAACTGCGCGTTTCTGTGGGCGCGTTTCTGCCTTTGTGCAGTAAACAAAGTGCAGTCGTGATCTCAACAAAGAGCCACGATGAGGGAAAAACGGCTCGGTAACCAGCATGAAAGTGTTGAAAATAGAAATGTATCAAACCCCAGGATCCACTGATCCATGTAGATCCGTCCAAGAAATTGATGGAGTAAAGAGAAAGAGCCAAGGCGAGCCACAGAGAGCATCAAAGGCCAGTCCATATCGCATCCCAATCGGGTTAGCGCACCCGACGCGTGACCAGAGTCGCCCTGCGCAACTCCGTCACTCCCTTGAACACATGCCCTTGTTGATTGAGACAGGGTGCTTCACGTCTTTCATGCTGAGGCCAATATCTCAAATTGTTGTTCACTGGGTTACATCTGGGCTACAGCTGACGCCTCAGATCGATATCTGGATCATCACAACAACACAAGTCGAATCACCGCTCAAATAGCCGCAATCGACTCCCTCGTTTGATCGTCCAACCCGATTCACCTTTATCGCATGAAATCGTCATTGCCTTTCTGATTGGCAGTTTTTTTTTTCTTCTCTTTCTGGGTCTCGTGGAGACAGGCACTGAGATGGCAGACAGAGGTCAGGACGCAGGGAAGACCGGGAATGGCACGGTAGCCAAGGAAACAATGCGGTCGCACATCTCAAATATCGCATCACCACCTGGGTCGAAGACGCCACCAAGCATGCCAACGAAGCGCACGATGTATTTTCCAGATAATTCGGGGAATCGCCAACGGGCACAAGAAGGCGCAGAGCCAGTCGATTCTGGTGCTTTGGCGAGGGCGCTTAAGGAATATGAGAACGCTGGGAGTCGCCGTGAAAGGACACCAACAGCTAGTCCATGTCGGAAACGGCAGCGTGTTTATGGGGACCGGTATGTCCTGCTTGACTGCGTCTGAAAAGAATACCTGCAATGGGTTCTTAGTCAGGATGTGTGAAAACTGACATGGTTTTAGATTCATTCCAAACCGTGATGGTCAAGACTTGCAGGCCACGTACAGTCTGCTGCATGAAGATGGTTGTCCGTCCACTCCATCAAAGTCTAAGAGACGCGCCCCTCACTCAGAGCTACATTTCCAAAAGAGTGCGTTATCCATGGATTTTCGAGACAAGTGCTTTTGATTGACTTTGAGCCACAGCGGAGGAAGCGAACCGGACGTTTTCACGAGTCTTGCGCAGCGAGCTCTTTGGAAACACAGTCCCACAGCCCGATATGCATTCCGCATCCCCGGATCCATTGCTAGGCTTCAGCAATGGAATCAACGACAAGACCCGCTCTCATACACCCCCTCATAACGCCGCCAATTTACCTCCCGCTAGCATCACCCCCACCACTCCACATAAGAACCTCTTCAACTATGGACCCACTCGGCCCGGCTCAGGACAACCAACACCTTCAAAAACACCTCGAAGTATTCACGCGCCCAACCTGAATGTTCGCTCAGAGCTTTACAGCCTCTCTCCCATACGTTACGACAGCCAACGTATTCTTGAAACGCCTCGCAAACAGACCCGCTATGTCAACAAGGTTCCTTACAAGGTCTTAGATGCTCCCGATTTGCAAGACGACTTCTACTTGAACCTGGTAGACTGGGGAAGCAGTAACGTTCTTGGTGTTGGTTTGGCCAACTCTGTTTACATGTGGAACTCTCAATCCGGTCGAGTCACGCGGCTGTGCGAACTGAAAGATGATACCGTTACCAGCGTAAACTGGATTCAGAGAGTAAGGAAAGCCGCTAGAGTTGCTCATGGTATTTATAAATGCTAATCTTGAAACTTAGGGTACACATCTTGCAATTGGCACGGGTAAAGGTTTGGTACAAATCTGGGACGCTGAACACTGTCGTCGACTACGAACCATGATTGGACACACCAATCGCGTTGGTGCTTTAGCTTGGAATGATCACATTCTCACTTCAGGTTCCCGAGACCGCCTCATCTACCACCGTGATGTTCGTTCTCCTGATCAGTATCTCCGAAAGCTTGCAGGTCACAAGCAGGAGGTTTGTGGTTTGAAGTGGAACACCGAAGATGGCCAATTGGCATCCGGAGGCAATGACAACAAATTAATGGTCTGGGACAAATTGAACGAGACCCCTCTTTACCGTTTCTCCGATCACAATGCCGCAGTCAAGGCCATTGCGTGGTCTCCTCACCAACATCACCTTCTCGCTTCCGGTGGTGGTACAGCTGATCGCACGATCAAATTCTGGAACACGCAGACTGGTTCGATGATTAAAGAAGTTGATACTGGGAGCCAAGTCTGTAACCTTTCTTGGTCCAAAAATTCAGACGAGATCATCAGCACGCACGGCTACAGTCAGAACCAAATCGTGATCTGGAAATACCCGCGCATGGAACAAATAGTCTCACTGACAGGCCACACTTTCCGCGTTCTTTATCTGGCTATGAGCCCTGACGGTCAGACCGTCGTCACAGGAGCTGGTGACGAAACGCTCCGGTTCTGGAAAATCTTCGACAGACGTGCTACAAGAGACACTCGTCGCGAAGGCAGCAAACTAGCAGAATGGGGCACTATTCGCTAGCTCTACTAATCTCAATCTCTAATTTGTCTCTCACTCGCATTTGACAAGGAGTTTACGGTTCACGGATTTTGACTTGGTCCCAGGGGGACGTCATTGCATGGCATGGTCATGGGGGATTTGAATATTCATCTTTAACGCGTCAGCATCTATTACATCTTTCCATCGGTGTGGTTTGGGCATTTCGCAGGTTGAAGTCTGGCGCTAATCGAACGGACTACGCACATACATTTTGCGTTTTCTGCTTTTCTTTTGTTTTTTCTGGGTTTCGGTTGCTTTTCTTTCCTTTTTTTTTTGTTTCCTTTACTGTCTTCCTCCGGTTCGCCTGGTCTCTGGCTATTTACTCCTTCAGGGCATTGTGTTTTCCCCAACTGGCTGGCCGGCTGGCTTGGAGTTCGGGCGAACCTTTCTACACACCTATTTTACTCGTGGCTTTGAGCGGCGGCGCTTATGGTGTTTTCAATCTCAATCTGGTTGCTGGTCTGGCGTTGCGTGGCGCGGGGGTTCCTCATTGCAATGTGTTTTTTTGCTTTTGATGATGATATGACCCCTTCTTCCTTTACGGTGCGACTGTGTCTCGTGCCTTTTTTTCTATTTGATAGAAATATTTAGCCACATCATTCTGCTGTGCATCTTTGCCATGCTAGAAATGAAATGAAACTTGCAGTCGAGTCAGCCTTCTACGTAACTAGTTTAGACCTTGGATTTCGACATATATCTCTGTAGTTCCTGTCGCATATCTATGGAATCCAACAGAGCACACGGGAAGCTCAGGACAATCTTGTCGACAGGATATGTATCTGTGCGGATTTCAAGGCGGACTCCAGGCACAACTTCAACTTTTCGCATCTGGCTCCAAATGATGTGATGTATCCCTTGACATTGAAATAGCCCAGATTTTGTAGTCCAGATTGTGGAGGACTGTAGTTCCCTGCAAAATAAGCCTCGACACGTCGAAGGGAGTACAGGTGCAATATCAAATTTCGTTTGTCAAGCTACCTCCCAGTGTTGAGCTATGAGTGAATGATACAAAAGTTGTACTTGAAGATCTTTCTTTAAATGATGCATACGGCCAAGCAAAGTAAATCCAATCAGTTAATATCCGATTAACTATGCTACACTGAATACATTCATGGATGAGTCCTGGCCCGCTTTTGGGGACCCAGATGACGAATAACAAACGAAAAAGCTCGAAAAGGGGGGATTTAATAACAGACAAGATCTATAGAACCAGACGCGCAGGCTCAACCAAGAGAAGAGACTTGATGCGCTCCAAGAATGCCTTGGCGCGCACCTCCTCACCAGCCGGAACAGTCAGGCTAAAGACATTGGAAGCAGCCTCAGCCAAACGCTCGACGGGAGCCGAGGAGGTGGACTTCTTAACAGACTTGGCGCTGAGGAAGTCAATCAGATCCTCCTTGACAAACTTGGGCTGGGAGATGGTCTTTGGAGCCTCGAAGGCGTTCAGCTCAGGGATGTAGTCACCACGGGAGGTGTTGATGGGCTCGGCACCGAGGAGCTCATCGAAGAGCTCATCAGCGGAGCGGCTGGAGCCAGCACGGGGGAGGTCGTCATTGGCGAGGTCTGTGGCTGCGGCCAGGAAGCGGGACAGAGGGACTGTGACGCCCAGGCTGTCCTGGATCTTCTTCTGGGCGGAGAGCACGGCGGCCAGGGAGATGGAAATGGCGACTGAGGCCATGGGAGGAGGCGCGGCGACAACTTCCTTCTCTACTGGGGCTGGCGCGGCTGGTGCCGCAGCCGGCGCGATCTTGATGTTGCTCAGGTCGAGGTGGCCGAGCTTGGCCAGAATTGTGGCCTGGGTTGACGGATAGTCGGAGGCGATCTGTCCGAGGTAGGCAAGGACGTCACCCTTGAGGAGACGGCCCTTGGGTCCGGATGCCGGAATCTTGGAGACATCGTCCTTGGAGATGCCCTTTTCACGGAGGAGCTGGGCAACAGAGGGGTAGAGCGGATAGGCGGGGTTCTGGGTTGTGGGAGCGGTAGATTGGAAGCCTTGAAGGACGTGTTAGTTTAGATTGATCCTAGGTATTAGAGAAAACGCAGTCCGGCCGAGAAATCAAGCTGAATGGAAGGCGGCCTTCTTTTGCGGAAATGTGCATTGCTTCGGTGCATGGAAAACTCACGCTTGCTGATGCCGAACACCTTGGGCTGGCGACGAGCAAACATGGCCGGAACCTGGCCGACTGTAATCCGGGCAGCCATTGTGTATATGGTGAACCTGGAGGGGTTTGGAAGTTGGTGGAGGTAATGCGGATGGAGATCTTCAACCGGTGTCGCAACTCGCCGCGGAAGCTTTCGAAACGAGCAGGATCAACCAAGAGCCCACCACCACGGAGAGGCGCGCAAAGTCCGAAAGTTCAATTTGTTCGAGTTTGAGTGTTTGATCACGAAAGCGATTGCTGGCCGGAGGTGTTGAGGGCGTTGGGAGCTTCACCGGCGGCCGGGACGGGAACATTTTTCTGCCGCCGCGCTGTTTTCGACGTGTCGGGGCTTTCCGAGGAGAACAACGGTCAATTGATTCTTGTCCTGGTAAGTTGCTTGATTGTGTCTTCGACTTGGCGCACTACGCTTCATTCGACGCTCTGTTGCTGCCATGGCTTTCCTAACGTTTTGCATAGATTCAAGATAGTGATGTCGGTCAGACCACCAACCTTCCGCGTACTATGGCGCCAGTGCTTTGCACAACCAGCACGGCCGGGTCTTCACACAAACTCGAGCTCACCATGGCGTTACTTCAATTCGAGTGCGCCTCATTCGGCCAAAGGAGTTTCCCGGACCGTTGACTCGCCGTGGAACGCCGCACAAAGATCTGGGGGTAACAAAGACCCTCGCGCCCTAGCAAAACTGGAAGCAAAGGTTTTACACACAGGAGACATGGTCTTGTTCAAGGCCCCTTCTCACCGCACATATAAGCTGACCGCGTACGGGTTGGCCGGGTTCTGTTTCGCTTATTCGCTCTATAATTCGAACGAAGTCTTCCGAGATCCTCTGGTTCCACGTCCTTACTGGCAGAAGGCTTTGTTCGGTGGTATTTGTGTCGTGATGAGTGTCATGGGTACCGTCTTCATTGCCCGGACAGGCTCTTTGGTCAAAGGCATCAAAGCAATCAATGCCAATGGCCAGATGCGTGTGCGCTTCACCGTTTCGAGTATGGTACCTTTCAAAAAGCCCTATCAGCTTGAGGTGAAACCCGGTGAGATTTTCTTCAAGCGCCAGATCACTGTTTCCGCGGAAGCTGCTCAGCGGTTTGAGATGGAAAAGGTGAGACTTGGCCGTGGGATCCAAGAAGAAATCAAGTTCTTCAAGTCCCCCGCGAAGAAGCTAAGCTACATGGGCTGGCAGATCTTCCAGTCCCTGCGCCAGGTCTTCACAAACGAAGACTTTATTGTTGTGCAGGTTGCAGGTCGCAAGACTCAATACCGTATTGACTCCAACGGTTATATCTCGGATGAGCTTTTGAACTTTGGCCGCATCGTGAACATGAAGATGCCATTGCAACGGTGATTCTATTGTCGGATATTTGCCTTGACATGATACCAAGGGCCATACAGCTCTCGATTAAATTTTGTACACCATTAAGCCCGTTCTGTCGGGCAACAGCGCAGCATTTGTACTACTAGCAAATAAGATATCAAAACGAATCATCACAAGAGTCACTGAAGTCCTAGAAATACACACTGTACTCGTTGAGTTCTACTAGAAATGTCGCAAATAAAGTTGAGCCACGTGATGCACCGGCGCGTCGATGGACGCGGTCTCCCCGTTATCGCGCCCCTCTCAACCATCTTTGCCCACACGTCAATATCCCACTAATAGTCCCAGAGCTCTGTTCAAATTCCTCACTGTGTGGCTCCCTTAGGGAAGCAACCGGCAATATGGGAAAACTCATTCGCTTGGAGCTTTTCAGTACGTTGCACCGCATTGCACCGCGAGCATTCGCTAACTTCGTCAGACTTCAAGTCCTACAAAGGACACCATGTGCTCCTATTCGGAGACGCGTACTTTACGTCCATTATCGGACCAAACGGGTCTGGAAAGTCCAACTCGTGAGTGTTTTTTTTGGCCTTGCTTGAAGAAACATATGCTGACGTGCATTAGGATGGATGCTATTTCGTTTGTTCTAGGTATCAAGTCGTCCCATTTGAGATCGACCAACCTCCGTGATCTCGTCTACCGTGGACGTGTTCTGCGCACATCCAAAGTCGACGGAGAACCTGCAACCGAAGGCGAGGACGCTGAACAAGAGGAGGATGCAGACAACATGGATTCCACCCAGGATGCTGCAGTCAACGACCCCAAAACCGCTTGGGTTATGGCTGTTTATGAAGATGATGCGGGCGAGGAGCAGCAATGGCGCCGATCTATCACCAGTCAAGGTGTCAGCGAATACCGTATCAACACTCGAATCGTATCCGCGCAGCAATACAATGAGGCTCTCGAGGAGGAAAACATCTTGATCAAGGCGCGCAACTTCCTTGTGTTCCAGGGTGACGTCGAGGCAATTGCATCTCAGTCTCCTCGCGACCTTACCCGGTTGATTGAGCAGATCTCTGGCAGTCTGGAGCACAAGGCTGATTACGAGAAGTTCAAGGCCGAGGCGGAGGAAGCCGCAGAGCAGCAGACAGTCCAGCTCAACCGTCGCCGAGGCATCAATTCTGAGGTCAAACAATACCAGGAGCAGAAGCGCGAAGCTGAAAACTATGCCAAAAAGGCAGAGGAACGCGATCAGGCTATCATCACTCACATCCTATGGAAGCTATTTCATTTCCAGCGCCTGATTGATGATTCAAGCGCTGATATCCAGAAATATCAAGACGAACTCAAGGAATACCGCCGTGGTGTTGAGAAGTACGAAAAGAACGTCGAAGACGCCAAAAAGGACCACGCTCGAGTTGGTCGGGACGTTGGAAAGGCCGAGAAGAACATCATCAGAAAGGAGCGCGAGATTGAAGAGCTCAACAATTCACTCGTTCCGGTTGATGAGAAAATCGATATCACACAGAAGAAGGTCGAAAGATATTCTTCCAAGATTGAGGAAATTGGCAAAGAGCGCACATCCCAATCCAACAATGGCAAGCACCTCGAGAAGGATCTCAAACTTGTCGAAAAGGCCCAGGCTCAGTGGGAAGCCGAGTGGCAGAAGACAATGAACAAGAAGGGTGGCCAACTGAGCGAAGCTGATCAACAAGAATATCACAAACTCCGAGAAGAGGTCAACCGACGTTCATCTGCGGATTCTTTGAACCTCGACAACCTTCGCCGCCAACGAAAGACGGAAGCCGAAGCTGTCAACAGTTTGAAGGGCAAGTTTGAAAACACCGAGTGGCAGCTTAAGTCTTTTGAATCCGAGGCGCAGACCATGGGCGAGCGCAAGAGTTCCCTCAACGAAACCATCAAATCTACCTCGAAAGATATTGACCGCAAGAAGAAGGAGCTGAATGCATTGACATCCGAACGGTTAAAGGTTTCACAAATGCGCACCGAGCTGGAGGAAAAGCTGCAAGTCGTACTGAGGAAATTGCTTGAAGCTGACGATGGCAAGAAGCAGACGGAGCGCGAGGTCCGTGCAAAGGAATTGATTTCGACACTGAAACGCATCTTCCCAGGCGTCAAGGGTCGTGTGAGCGATCTTTGCCGACCAAAGCAGAAGAAGTACTCCGATGCTGTCAGCACTGTTTTAGGTCGACACTTCGACGCAATCGTTGTTGACAACGAAAAGACCGCAAAAGAGTGTATCCAGCACCTGCGTGACCAACGCGCAGGACAGGCTACTTTCATCCCACTCGAGACTATTCAAGTCAAGGCATTCAACTCCAACTTGAAGGGCATGCACCGGGGCATGCGTCCTGCCATTGAGACTATTGACTACGACGAATCCGTTTCCCGGGCGATTGTTTATGCCTGTGGAAACTCCATTGTCTGCGATGACCTGGCGACAGCCAAGTATCTCTGCTACGAAAAGAATGTCGACGCTAAAGCGGTCACACTGGACGGCACTGTGATTCACAAGGGTGGTCTCATGACTGGTGGACGGGGCCCTCAGCAAAATTCCAAGCGCTGGGAGGATTCCGAAGTCGAGAACCTTTACAAACTCAAGGAAAAGTTGATGAATGACCTGAGAAGCCTCCCTAAGAGTCATCGCCGAGGATCCGAGGAAGAAACCCTGCAGGGGGAGCTTGTGGGCCTCGAGCAACGTCTTTCTTATTCCCGCGAGGAGCTGAAGAGCCTCGAGAGGAACATCGAGAGCAAGCGTAGCCAGCTTGAATTCACAAAGAGCCAAATGGAGGACTTGCGCCCCAAGTACACAGAACGCAAGGAGAACCTTGACGAGCTGGATGAAAGCCTTGAGACGGCTCAGGCTTCTGTCAGCACGGTGGAGGATGAGATCTACCGCAAGTTCTGCAAGCGTCTAGGATACGATGATATTCGAGAATACGAGGCTCAACAGGGGTCCCTACAAGAAGAAGCTGCGCAGAAGAAGCTAGAATTCACTACGCAAAAAAGTCGTATTGAAAACCAGCTCAGCTTCGAGAAGCAGCGTATCCAGGCAACCGAGGACCGAATCAACGGCCTTAAGGCCCAGTACGAGCGCGATCAGAGTCTCATTGAAGAGCTGCAAAGCCAGCAAGAGGAAATCCGCACTCAGCTTGATGAGTTCAATGCCGAACTTGAGCTCCTTCGTGAGGCTCTCGAGGAGCAGAAGAATCTCTATGCACAATCTGCCGAGAAATTGAACGAGCAGAGGCGAGAGCTTCAGAAGCGCAGCAAGCACGTCGAGGCAGCGCTGAAGAACGTCAATTCACTCGAAGCGGAGATCCAGAAAAACTCATCTAGTCGTTATACTCTTCTGCGTCGCTGCAAACTTGAAGATATTGATATTCCTTTGACCAAATCTTCAAATGTTCTTGACAAGCTTCCTATTGATGATCTTGTGCAAGCCGCAGATCCCGATGCCATGGATGTGGACGAGGGTGAAGGACTGGAAGATGCTCCTATAGTGCACGACTATGGCATTGAGGTTGACTTCGAGTCTCTCGGAGAAAGTCTCAAAGAGGTAGGCGAAATTTACACCATGATAAATTCTCATGCTAATTATTTTATAGGAGGCCGATGACAAACTCGAGAATGAACTGCTCGAGAAGGTTCGTATTCTCAACAGTGACCTTGACAAGATGGCACCCAATGCGCGTGCCATGGAACGTCTCGAGAGTGTCGAGAACAAGCTTCGAAGTACTGAAAAAGACTTCGAAGATGCCCGAAAGTCTGCACGCAAGGCCAAGGATGAGTTCGAATCCGTAATGAAAAAGCGCTCCGATCTCTTCAACAAGGCCTTTGCACACATTTCCGAGCAGATCGGCCCGATCTACCGTGAACTCACCCGCAGTGCCAACTACCCACTAGGTGGACAAGCGTAAGTTCCTGCCTGCCTGTTAGCTGTGTAACTCTACTGACAATGCCCAGTTACCTGGATATTGAGGACTCCGACGAGCCCTACCTCGACGGCATCAAGTACCACGCCATGCCTCCCCTCAAGCGTTTCCGAGACATGGAGCACCTTTCCGGTGGCGAAAAGACCATGGCCGCGCTTGCTCTGCTATTCGCCATCCACTCATACCAGCCTTCACCATTCTTCGTGCTAGACGAGGTTGACGCAGCGCTCGACAACACCAACGTTGCCCGCATCGCCAACTACATCCATGACCACGCTGCACCTGGCATGCAGTTTATCGTGATTAGTTTAAAGACAGGCCTTTTCCAGAACAGTGAGGCCCTCGTCGGTATCTACAGAGACCAAGTCGAGAACAGCAGCAAATCGTTGACACTTGATGTGAGTTTACTGCCTTGCATGTATCCCTCAATCATGCCGACTAACATTTTTCCACAGCTTCGGAAGTACACCTGAGTCTCCTAGGTGCGATTTATGCGGATTATGTGATAACCCTTTGCTTTGCTTCTTTCTATCCTCTTCATCTGTAGATTATTAAGTCTAGCTGGAGTGTTTCCTTGTTTCTACCGGAGTCGATTGCTGAAAATCTAGAAATGCTACCTGGACATTTCTTATTATCGACTAGGCAGTCAATTGATACCACTTCTGTATTGTTCTTTACTTACATTATCTTTTCCTTGCTCAAAATCTATGTTCGTGTTGAATTGGCCACTTTGCACCAACCCTCCCCCTGATGATATCGGTAGACCCAAGAATGACCCCTAGAACCTCGCCGCCTGTCACATTGATATCAAGGCATTACGGCTACGTGGATGGAAATTTACATGGTCTAGATTCTACATTGAGATAAATCAAGATGCCGTGGACTGCATTGAACTATGAAAAATCACACTCGAGTACCCCTAACTCCAAAGCAAAGAATAGCAACCGCCTGAACAAATCATGTTCGAGGCCTCCTTCCTTCCTCCCTTATGTTCCCCAGCACGCGAGCCGGAATCCAGAGCCCGACCTTGTGTTTTTTTTTTTTTGTTATTTTCTTGTCGCAAAGTTACACGCGCAAAAAAAAAGAAAGAAAAAGAGGAAATGTCCACGGCATATTCAATGTATGAGCATAGCAAAAGATTCATGACGGTTGTCTGAACCGGATTCTTAGATCAGACTGGGAGCTGGAGCCGCGGGAGCTTTAGTCTTGCTTTCAGCACCAAGGCTCAAGTTTGCAAGGTTCATGAGATCAGCATCAGGGGATTTGGTAGCAGCTGCATCGACCTTGGGCTGGGTGTTGAGCCCCATAGCGGGATTGACAGCGGGACTGACAGCAGGCTTGACGGCGGGCTTGGGAGCAGGCTGGAACTTGGGCGGAGTGCTTTTCTTCGCGGCGGGAGGAGTAGCCTTAGACGAGCGGTTCTTGAGAGAACCATAGGCGCCAGGCTGGAACGGAGGAGGACCAAGTTTGAGGGTCAATTTGGTGGCTGGCTTGTTGATGGGACTGGCTGGAGGCTCGAAGGCGGGAGCGCCAGGCTTGAGAGTAGACTGTGCAGTATCTTTGAAGGCTGAATAGTTGCCAGGCTGAACTGGAGTGGGACCGAGTTTCAGGGTCAATTTAGTAACTGGCTTGCTGGTGGGAGTGGTTGCAGGCTCGAAGGCGGGAGCACCAGGCTTAAGAGTAGATTGCGCAGTATCCTTGAAAGCTGAAAAGTCTCCGGGCTGGATGGGAGGAGGACCGAGCTTTAGAGTCAACTTGGTGGCTGGCTTGCTGATAGGACTGGTTGTAGGCTTGAAGGCGGGAGCGCCAGGCTTGAGAGCAGATTGCGAAGTAGCTTTGAAGGCTGAATAGTCGCCAGGCTTCTGGACGCGAGTACCGGGCTTGATAGCAGGGTTGGTAGCAGACTTGATCGAAGAATAGGCGCCAGGGTTGAAGGCAGGTCCAGCAGCTGGCTTGATGGCAGGGCTTGGGGCAGCCCGCAATACAAGATTGATGGGAGGACTGGCGGCAGGGCTTGGAGCAAGTGTGGTGGCAGAGCTTGGAGCAGGTCTAAATGGAAGGCTGACAAGACCGTCGATAGTAGGCTTATCAGCAGACTGATCAATAGGCTCAGCAATAGGCTGGGTAGTGTCGACCTCGGGCATGATCTGTGGATCAGTGTTGGTCTTCACAGCTGGAGTCAAGAACTCGGGGTCAGCAGAAGCACTAGCCACAGACTGGTCCTCGACTGAGACCTTCTCAGACTCAGACTGAACTTCAGGAGTGTTGTCACGAATGAGATCATCCAAGACAGCTTTTAGTGCCTTGGCCTTAGCCTGAAGCTTCAGGAAAGTAGCACTGAGAGGTCGGGGATGCTCCTCGGGGATGTAGTAGAGAACACTGTTCAATGCCTCGCAGTCGTCACGAATGTGCAGGGTATCAGTCTTCTTTCCGTTGATCTTGAAGTCACAGCCGAAAAGTCGATATCCCTTGGGTTGGTCGCGGTGGTACTCGAAGAGCTTCATGGTCATTCCCTGGAAGAGAAAAGCCCAGCATCGGTCATCAGTAATAGGAGCAGATGCAAGAAAGGGAAGAGCGAGGTCCCAATCGTTGGGGATAGGTCTATCGTTGGCCACAATCTTGACGATAGCGTGGAGGCTCTTCCCATCCTCATCCACTTCCATAACGGTCATGTATGATCCATTGCCCTTACGGTCAGACTTGAAGTTCATGCGCCACTTCCTATGATCGTCGAAAGCGTAATAGAACAAGGAGGCTATCATGTCCTTCATTCTCGACCGGTGGGGAGTCTCTTCAAACTCAGAGACGAGTTTCGCAATGTGGAAGCTCGAGAGATATGTTTGTACCATTTTGGTTTTGATGCTGATGGAAAATGTCAGATTTTGATGCCGTATGACGCAGACGAGAGGAGGAGAAGGAGAAGAAGGATAATGAGAAGAAATATGATGGATGGATCGAAGAGGGGGATAAAGGATTAAGTAAAAGTAGGGAAAGTGAGAAGAAGTGAAAGAAGCTCAGAGGGTCTTGGGATTTGGAAGGTACGGAGTGAATGGGCTAAAGAACAGGAGAAGACAGAGCTTACCACGATACGAGGCTCGAGGTGCTGTGTGATCGAGTTGTTAGCAGATTGAAGTGTGGTGAAGAAGAGAAATGAAGCTTGAGATGGCAAATAGTTGACAAAGATTGCAAACGCAGTTGCTTTGGATGAGTAGAGTGACCAGAGCAAGTCAACTGAGCCATGATGAAATGCTGGAGCTGTATCTCTTTGATCATGACTGGCTGAGGATCGTTCGAGAACCCTGGAGGATATCACCTGGTATTCCCGTGAGCTCAGTAGCCCTAATATCACCAGAGCGATGTAGACAGACGAATAGGATAGAGCCTTCAAGAACAACGCTAGCGAAGTATCCTGAGTGTATTTGAGCATAATTTATGCACTACCCTAATCTGAACACTACTTTAAAAGTAAATTTATGTTTTTGTAAGAATGGAAGATAGAGACTGTGTACTCCAGTTCAACAATGTTCAACTGGAGTGTTCTGGCCCGTCTTACCTTGTGGGCCTAATCATATAAGCTTCCAAGTTCCACACTATCATATTGACAAGGAATTTGACTATATGTGATCATAATATCCATAATTATGTTCAATTGCCGACCCTGGCGCTGCGGGTGCAACGATCGGCTCTCCACAGCTTCAGATGCAACCCCCGCACTGAGAATCCGGAGAAAGTCTCATATAAACGTGACTTAGGCAGTTTTTACTCCAATCGCCAGTCTTCAAGGCGGGCTGTCCCGCTGCGAAGCATTATGCCTGTCGCCAAGCGGCAATTGAAGAGTCAAATTCAATAACCTTCCTAGCGGTAGAAGTGATATATATATCACTCACAATACTACTCTGCTCTTAGTTTCGAGGAATTCCAAGAGCAAACAAATTGCAGCATCACCGAGAAGTTCATATAATCAGCGTCTTGTATAGACTACAGTACCATGCTTATCCCTTTGCTCCTAGGAGCCACTATTGTGGCGGCAGTACCAGCAGTGGTTGAGCGAGAAGCCTCAGCTGTCATTGCTGTTAGTGGACATGTCCCTCAATCGGCAGGAGCTGCCATCTTGAACCCGTTTGTAGCCTTCTCGATTGAGTTTTCCTCTTTCCCCGACTTCGCGGGCAACTCTTCCCAACCGAATAAGTTCTCACAGAACTTACTCGATAACCTTGGTAAGCTCCAAGGTGGGAAGCCACATATTCGCGTTGGCGGAAACACCCAGTATGTTACCTTGGACAAAGGAAGAACAACCACTGACAGTATTAAAGGGACCTTGCATTGTACGACCCAGACCTGAAAACAGGAATCCAAGGAACATATGTTCCAGCTGTATCTGAAGACTACCCATCCATTGTCTCATATGGGCCCTCATACTTCGAGTCATACTCGACTTGGCCGGGCGTCAAGTTCAGCCATGGCTTCAACATGGGCAAGAATGGCACTGTGGGCATGGATAATCTCATTGCCACCGTGCCACTGGCATGTAAAGCCCTCAAGGACGGGAAACTGGCTTACTGGGAGATCGGTAACGAGCCAGATCTTTTCAAGACAACCACGCCGAATAGTGTACGGCCTACGAGTTGGTCGGAGAGCGACTATGTGACCGAATGGCTGGCCAAGGCACAAGTTGTCAAGCGTCAGCTCAAGAAGAGTTGCCCTGAGATGGCAGACGAGGCCAAGTACAAGTACCTTGCGCCGTCGTTTGCAGGTCTCACGAACAGTTTGGATCCGCTCAAGACATGGAAAAGTGGATTGGATACAGTCCACAATATTGGATTGAACTCCATGCACAAGTATGAGCCCTTCCCTCTTCACATGGAATATGATGTCCAGTTAAATGGGATCTAACAGTCATCCAGCTACATCGGCGGCGCCGATCAACCAGGCGTTACCCTCCGCCACACCCTCATGAACCACACCGCAACCACCCATAGCGTCGATCAACATGCCAAACTTTCCCAAGAGCTCAGCTCCCAGGGTCTGACCAAGAACATCCCCTACATTCTTGGCGAGACCAATTCACTCTACCATCAAGGAAAACCAGGATTATCCAACTCGTTCGGCGCAGCACTCTGGGGAGTGGATTTCAACCTCTATTGCGCATCACAAAGCATCCAACGAACACACATGCACCAGGGTACAGACTACCGCTACGCATCGTGGCAGCCTGTCCCGACCAACAAGACCACAATTGGAACCAAGGCACCATACTACGGCAATGCAATGGTCGCAGCAATGCTGAAAAGCAACCAAGATAGCGACCATGTCCAGGTTGTGAGTCTCCCCCTGACAGAAGAGACAGAGGCAGCTTACGCGGCGTACGTGAACGGCATTCTGGCCAGGATTGCAGTGGTCAATCTGCAAGAATACAACTACACAAGTACGGACTCAGACTCGGATTCGCTGTCGCATTCGTCTTCAGAATCGACGCAGCGCCCTGTGGCAAAGTACTCTTTCCAGATCCCGGCGACATCGGCAAAATTGCTCTCCGTCCAAAGGCTTATGGCAAATGGCAGCGATTCCATTACCGGGATCACATGGGACGGTTGGTCCTATAACTATGAGCTCCAGGGCGGGGAGCCGGTGCGACAAGCCAATGTTACGATTGGCGAAAGGCTATCCGTGAGCAAGAAAGGGGCCATCGAGATCGAGGTTCCTTATTCCAGTGCTGTCATGGTCAATCTTTAGGCCCGATCAAGGGATCTGTTCAATATCCATGGCGGAGATAATCGATAACCCCCAAGCGAGTCAGAGTAGCTCCATACATGCCTAGACTTGGCTCCGCCGTCTTACATATGTCCATAGTTCGGAAATAAGATTGAGTTTCTAAATTTAGGGTCTGGGTCCTTATCTTGAAGCATAACGTTCGAGATCGGGCTCGGGATCTGAGATGAAGGAATCTCTCCTTGACAGTGGCGATATCTGAGCGCTTCACGAAGAGAGCAAGTATGGCCGAGGCAAGCGAGAACGAGGGCTGTGGAAGGCTCCAATCGGTGAAAACAAGAAAAGAAAAAAAAAACCCAGTTCCTACAGTACTCCTATTCAGACTCACAGCTTTAGATTCATTCTCCATTACTACCCTGGCCCTTGTAGGTTCAAATCCCGACGTTGTAGTTACGGTGAGAAGAACAACAGTTCCCATGTGCATTTCATGCCTCGATCTAGGATGGTCTGTCTCTACAGTAGTCACCGCTACCAGGGCAGCAACCAGACGTAATCAGAATCCCAAACTCCAATTCCCAAGCCTGAAGCCTAAACACCAAATGCCACTGCCACTCCCAACCCCAACCCCAACCCCCAGCGTTCCATGCACGCCTGCACAGCTATCGTGGTGCCAGGCTTCCACCACATCTGTGTGCAGTGGGAATGGAATGTCAGAAACCCGGGGTCCGGAATGCCGTTTCCGCGGCCAAGCACATACTGCAGTGCCTAATTGACGGAGACCCCGGGCGTGGAAGATCCTAGTTGTGCAACCTCCAGATCTGGTCATCGAAGACCCCCCTGATTTGTTGTCTCCGAGGTCTTGGGTGTCTAGGGGGGGACGCCTTTTGCTGGTGCCCAAGTGTTGTGCTCTGCCCCCGCACTCCAACGCAAGGGACGGCCTTTTGTGCGCACGTACTTCGGGGGCGTTTCTTGTTCCTTGATTTTGCCCGCTTCTTTGGCGTGAGATTTGAGGCCAATGCGGGTCAATATGACTATTGTTCTTTGTACATGGTGCTTTACCTTCTACTGCAATATCGGTCATGTTATTGACTGGAAGGGTTGCATGTATTTTGTTTTTACTCCGTATAATGGTTTGGATCGGGGTTTCTTTTACGTTGATTCTACTCCTACTGTACTGTAGGCTGTCTGCTTTTTTTTTCCTTTCTTTTGCCAAGAACGAGGCTGCCTGGTGAGAATAGTCAATACGAACTGCCCAATAGTTCCCAAATGTCAGAAGACTCACGCATTCCGCCGGTAAAAAGTATAAACGCCCAATCTGTTTCCCCCTAATGCAGGAAGCTAGAGTGGGGAGTCTCATCCTTAATTTCTGTGACTGTTCTCAGCTCTTGACACTCTAAAGCGAGACAACCATATGTATATCGTGCGGCACCGTGCATCCGGCAAGGTCAAATCATAAGAAGCGGGTTAAGTTTTCCGAGTTTGCTCGGGCTCGGTCCCGATGGCAATAGTGGCTGCGTGATAGGAGACAAAGAAGCAAAAACCACAGTATGAAATCCAGGACCAGGACACGCAATAGCGAAATTGGGTCATGGCTACAGATGGTGGCGCTGGCCACCATAGACCGACATGTGGCGCTTCAAACTGTCACCGCATTGTACATGTATGTTGGGTAGACAGCATACCGAGTATACCGAGCATACAGTCCTCGACCACAGGCACAATCCGAAACCACGACGTTTGTTTCTGGAGCAAACCGACGATCGGGTCTAAGTTTGAGATCCGCAATGCCCCAGGACTGTTACACTGTCGATCCGGGAGCGAGGAACTCATCCTAATGGTGGACACAAACTAACTTTGGATATCCCTTTATCGATTCAACCCACTTCAGTATTCAGGTCAATGGGTTGACTCTAGCTCCGGCTTGCCACGTCCGCACCTGCACGATGCCGCAGAGCATTAAGGATTTGGAATATTGGCCGAGTTCTCCTGGGGAAACCCATGCTACAACAGGGAAAAAGAAAAAAAAAGAAAGAAGAAAGTCGAGGGAACTACCGAAGGAATCTACTGTACTGTCGAAAGCAGGGGGAACAAAAAAAGAAAGGCCTATTCCAATCCACAGATTTAGAACCCGCATACCGGGAGTCAAGTAATTGAGTTCCGCGTGTGTTGGAAATAAGCTCAAGATTCAATGGTCAATAGTCCCGGCGACGACCTTATCACGGAAGTTCAAGCCGTCCAATACGCACATTGGGGAACAGGACAGAGATCAGAAAACCAAAAATAAAAAAAAACCACATTTACTCTTCAGGCCCGTTTCAGATTAGGTTGGAAGCGACCGCACAGACAATCGTATTGGTTTTGGAGATACTCTTGGGGGATCATGTTTACCGTAGGAACACACACTGACTATAGTTGACCGGATCAAGGGCCATGGACTTGAAAAGACAACAAATGGGCTTGGGGCTGCATGAAGCCGGACAAATGCTCAGAGTGGGCTTACGCCGAGGGCACGTAAATACTGTACAGTAGAGAGACCTAGAGAGAGTCCACACGATTCGGCTAGGCCTGCGTTAGTCAGTGATCAGTCTCTCGCCCCAGGCTGGGGCCCTCTGGGTACTTCTCCCCTGGCTTGCATGCGATGATCTCAGAGGCGTCGGGGGCGCCCGCTGAACTCTTAATCACCTGTTGTGGCTGCTGCGAGCCAAGAGATCGGCGATCCTGCGGTCAAACTGAAGCTATCCCTGTTGACTCGGACTGATTGGTCCATCGCTCGATCAGGCACACCTCACCCCATCTCTCCTGTCAGGTCTGGGAGACTGTAGAAACGATGGATACACTCTAGTTGCTAACCTAGCCGATCGTATTAGCCCTAGCCCGGAGACTAAGCTGATGAGTGGAGATCTCGGGACGATCTATAGAAAAACTTAGCATTTCTAAAAGTTGAGACGTCAAAAGAGTGTTCTCGGATCCCCTCCAAATCCGACCAACGCGAATCAAATGGAAGATTCAACCATGGATCACAGCCCTAAAGAATGTCAATGCGCAGAACGCACTCGGCCCTTTGTAAGTGACACGGAAGCTTTCTTATCGCCACTCGCAGCTTTGCAGTTATTTCCTTTTTTCCTTGCTTCAGCCTCGGAAAGCCGATTCGTACTCCCAGGAGACACCGATGTCATGTGGGGACTGGAAGGTTTGCGGAAGTCGAGCAGATCAATCTATGGTCTATATATCTAGATCGCCTGGACCCTTACCCCCCTGAACGTTATCGGATACAATATCCATTGGAACATCCCTGCCCCTGTCGAAATAGAGTGGGGTTCTATATTTTCTATTAAGTACAGATTGTGGTGGTTCCCCGACCTAGTCTTGGATTTTCTCTCGCAACCTCCTTGCTGAGTCGAAGTATATGTGGGGGTTGACCCATACAATATTGAATCAGAGCATCTATACAACAATCGCATCCCTTCCACGATGGATACAACTCGTGGCTATCCGTTCCCGGGGGAACTTGAACGAAGACATTCTGATACCTGTGTTCCACACCAACCCATGAACATGGTAATAGACAATGGATGCTATGTACCAGCTTCATAGCTAACGATTGACTAGTCGATCACTCCCAAGCAGCCTCTGAACCTGGAATTTCCTCACCCACACTTTGCTATGATCTATATCGACCACAATGGGGAATACCAACTACAAACGTCTGCCTCAATGGCCGGATGTGGAGGCGCAATCTTCACACCGGAAGTCACAGATCGATTCCTTGAAATGACCTGTCCAGGAACCCAAGCCGGTCCAAGCTTTATTCGAGGTGAGTCAGAGAGACTTCAGATCACATTTCGTAGAGAATTCCAAGCTGATGAGAATGGTTCAGAGCAAGCCAGCCAAGCATCCTACGGCGCCTGGGACGTGCAGTCATCTCCCAACTGGGTCCAAACCGGCCAGACGAAACCAATGGAGAAGATCCCATTTGAATGGCAGACGCCAAACAGCCGAAATAAAAAGCGTAGACCGAACCCGGCTGGAATTGTCAAGTCTCGTTCCAAGTCTCTCTCTCCGCCGCCAATGACATCCCCCCACCCGCACGAACTGTTCTTCGAGTAGGAAACCGCGCCCTGTTACGACGGTACTATGAGAAGGCATTTGAAGACTTCCAGCAACTCAACTGCCGTGCCATTGCAAAGTCTTATATCAAACTGGTTGAACCGAGGAAGCAGGTTCATTTCCCGTACAATGGTCGCAGGGTCATTGCCGGTGTCTCGCAGCGTGTTGACCCGGAGTATACGAAGCCGGGGTGGTGGCCAGCAGGTGTCTTGCACAAGGAACCGGATCATCTACTCAAGAATGGTAGGTTTGCAGCGGAGGCGTGCGTGTGAATTGGATATCTAACTCGATGATAGATCGCCTGCGACTCCTTGTCCACATCCTTTGCGAGCTGAAGGATAGCCATGGGGTCACTGCTGAGAAATTGCGTGACGCCGGTCAGGATGTCAGACGCCAGATCACACCCGCCAACAAACTCCAGGTCCTTGATGAGATCTACTTTGTCCGAAAAATGGAAGAGCAGTTCCTGGACGGAGAAATCGGTATGTATCAGCCTATCACGTCCCGACCAACCTTCACAATGGCTGATCATATTCTGTTTCTCTTATAGATGCCAGCACTTTGATTCAGATTACGCACACACATCTCCCTGAAGCAATCTATCACGATACAGACGAGACTCTATCACGCACAAAACCCGCCCCGGTATCATCATCAGCAATGAATCAAGACCTCGACATGAATGACGTCCACGAGGAGGGTATCCCCACAATGGAGGAGGACGACTGCAAACCCCAGTCTCACCCGCATATCCTGCCCTTGTCACCAACAGCCAGTGAGTCAAGTGGCCCACACAGCCCATCATCTGGCGGCTTTGGTTCGTACCCATTGGGTATGCCTCCCCCAACGGTGCATGTTATTCCCCCCGAGTCACCGACGATTCCGAAGCCCATGCATGACCCTTCTTACATGTCTGGCTATTACGCGCAGCCTTTCATGCCTGACAAGGGCCAGGGATTCTGGCCACATGCCAGTCCCGTGTCGCAGTATGGATATTAAGATTGCTTGACTATTTCTTTTCTCTTGTTATTCTTTTATTTTCTTCTCTTTCCTTCTGGGGTTTCTTTTCTTTTGAATCAGTTCAAGCATGGAACTTTTGAGCATTGGGATCAGGACCGGGGTTCTATTGATTATAATTCTTTTTCTACGGGATGGGATCTATATGGTGAACTGACTTTTATATACGAGAAGTCTGGGAACCTGGAAAATGTGCCATGATTATGATAGAATGGAAGTGTACAAATATACGTTTTCCGAGCTTGATTGGACTACTTAGTGGACTTGAGTATGTTAACTAAACTGTAACTATAGAAAGAGAGATGCCTCAGGCCACCAGACCACCTGCCGTCACTCTGCTCTCTTATTGGGCCCAAGTCACGATCCCCCAGCGCAGCTCTCCCAACCAACCACCAGCCACATTACAAGCACACGTCAATTCCTCCTATTCTCGCTGGCTCAACTCTTCCCTTATTCATGTCCCTTTGGCACAGTTTGACTCTCTGCAGCTTCTCACTATAGCCGTTTTCGTGTCATGCGCCCAGGGATTTGCATTTGTTTATCCTCTGGATCACCAACCACAGCTTCCCATCTTTGCCTCGTGAATCCGCCCCAGGGCCGTGATCGCCGATAAGGTAGAGTTGCCATCAACCTCTTGCCCCTCATGTCTAAATAAGGCCGGTGTCTGCTGAGCGCTTGCGCCGGTCCTTCTCACATCTACGTGCTCTCGTGTTTACAATGGGGATGCTAACACTCAACCGGTTCCTCAGTCGACCATACCCCAATCACAGGGACGGTCCGACAATATTTTTCTTCCAACAGCAGTTCTTGATGGAAACTAGCGCTCGACGAAAGTCCGATCCAGCCATGCCCGAGTCACTTGCGTCTACCCCGGGACTCGAGGAGATCGATGTGCCCTTCCCTGCCGACGATTTCGCTGATAACGATGACTTCTACTCGCCTCCTGCATCGCCGAGCAGTAGGCTATCGCGCAACGGATCATTTTCCAACAGCAGCTCATACCAGGAGGACTGGGAGACTTTCCCGCCGCTGGACAAGTTGACCGTCTTCGATCTATTAGACAACTTCCAGCTCTCGCAGCGTCTGGAGAAGTGGCAGCACACTATCGCCATGCAGAAAGAGAAGGTGCGCAGGCAGCGCGAGAAGCTCAAGTCGTCTTCGCTGAACGCCAAGGAGCGTGTTGTGGGGGAGTGGAAACGCCGAGCCCCGACCGCCGATGAGAAGTTGGAGAAATACCGTGCCAGGATGAAGCAAGGCGTCGAACGCTTGGGTAAACAGTGGAGCAAGACAGCCACTGTGACCCTTCGCGAGAAAGCGTCTTTCATTGCCGGTGTCCTCAATATCTTCATCAGTGGTTATCTGATCGGTGCTTGCCCGGAGTACTTCCACGTCTGGTTCAGCGCTCAGCTACTATACTTCATGCCTATTCGATACTTCACCTACCAGGCCAAAGGCTATCACTACTTCCTGGCTGATCTCTGTTACTTTGTCAACTTGCTCTGCATGTTGAGCATTTGGGTCTTCCCCAACTCGAAACGGCTGTTCATCAGCACTTTTTGTTTGACTTTTGGAAATAACGCTGCTGCTATTGCTATGTGGCGTAACTCGATGGTCTTCCATAGTATGGACAAGGTTGTCAGGTATGTTGGCCCGACAAAGCTTGAGACGGAGATGGTAGCTGACTCAATATTAGTTTGTTCATTCACATTATGCCTCCGGTGACCCTGCATTGTATAGTGCATTTGACCCCGGTTGAAAGACTCAAGGAGCGCTTCCCTGCAGTCTACAGCATCAAGTACAGTCAGGCTGGGGACCCCGAGCATTATGGTCTTGGCGCCATGATTCTCTGGGCCACAGTTCCATATCTGGTGTGGCAGCTGCTTTACCATTTCCTGATCACCGTCCGTCGTCGTGACCAAATCGCAGCAGGTCGCCCAACCAGCTTTACCTGGCTCCGCAAGTCATATTCCAAGGCCTGGATCGGCAAGTTCGTGCTAAGCCTACCCGAGGCGTTGCAGGAGCCTTGCTTTATGTTCATCCAGTATGGATTTGCCCTCTCAACGATGATTCCCTGCCCGATCTGGTTCTGGTATAAGTGGGCAAGCGGAGCCTACATGGCCGCTTTGTTTGTCTGGAGCATCCACAACGGAGCAACCTACTACATCGACGTGTTCGGCAAGCGCTTCCAGAAGGAACTTGAGGAACTCAAGAAAGACGTTGCACGTTGGCAATCTTCTCCCGACGGAGTCACCAGCCCGCTCCTTGCCGCCGAGCCTAGTCCTCTTAGTGAAGCTGTCAATACTTTCGGTGGGGATAAGCGCTCCAGTGTTGACCGCATTCCGTTGCTTGACTCTGCCGATGCCTCATCGAGTGCCCTCCAAGCTAGTCTGAACCCTGATTCTGCGATCCGGAGAAGTTAAGCATTGGGCACAATCCTTTCTTTAATCTACGATACCCTGTCTATGGTTTCATTGCGATCTGTTTATACCAGCGTTTGACGATCTTTATACCCTCCTCGTTGGTTTTACGATTTTGCTCGATATTTTGTTCATATTGATTTAGAGCGATACTTTGCATAGAACCAGATTGATAACAGTATTATTTTTTTTTTGCCTCCTGCACTGCCCCTAAACAAGCCTTACCAGATCTAGACCAATTATTTTTATCCCCGATCTCCGAGTCACGTGTGGAATGATCGCAGACAACTCATCGCTTCCGGTCCATTCCAACTTTCCGTAACCATCGAATTATTTCTATTTACTTATTTGTTCATCCTGTGGACATTTTAATTGATCGTCTACTTCACTGTTGTCGCTCCTACGCCTTGTCCGCTCGTTGTCTCGAGCCCTTCTTTTTCCCCCCCCAACAATTCCGCAAATGTCCGCTACGATGAGATCCACCGGTTTGGTTCGCGGAACCCCTGCTTTTCGGGCAGCGCTTGCTGGTGAGCATTTAATTCAGACATATAGGCATTGGTAAAGATGGGGTTACTGATTTTGACTTGAATAGGTCGTCACCGTTCCAGCGCGCTGAGCCCGGCCTCTGTAGCAGCCCGAACTCTTCTTCAAAATGGCCGCGCTCTCCCATCCCAAGTATCGGCCCTTGCCATTTTGATGCCGCAGCGAGGATATGCGACCGAGCAGTCTACATCAAACTCTTCCCAATCCTATCCTCCCCCCGGATTCAATGCCGAGCAAGCAAAGAAGCCAATCCCTCTGGACCAGACCACGCAGCCCGAGTCTGCCGTTGCGAAGCCCCAATCGGAGACCTCGGCTGTTGAGAAGACACAGTCTGGGACTGTGGCTAAGTCAACTACAGAGGAACAGAAGGTGGCCGACAAGAAGAACAGCAAGAAATTGACCCTTGGCCAGAAGGTCAAGAAGGAGCTTCAGCACTACTGGGATGGAACCAAGCTGCTGGCTACAGAAGTCAAGATCAGTTCGCGATTGGCATTGAAGATGGCCGGTGGATATGAACTGAGTCGACGAGAGCACCGCCAGCTTCAACGTACCACTAAAGATCTGGGTCGTCTGGTTCCTTTCTCCATGTTCCTCATCGTCCCCTTCGCCGAGCTGCTCCTCCCCGTCGCTCTGAAGATCTTCCCCAACCTTCTGCCCAGCACTTACGAAGGCCAAACGGCTCGTGATACCAAGGCCAAGAACCTCAGCTCCACCCGTAAGGAGGTTTCTGGCTTCCTGCGCAACACCCTGCGCGAAACCGGTCTCCCCCTGACCATGGCCACCGTCAAGAACGACGAGTTTGCCGACTTCTTCCGCAAGATTCGCACCACCGGCGAGTCACCCTCCACCGAGGATGTCATCAAGGTCTGCAAGATCTTCAAGGATGACCTGACGCTCGACAACCTGTCTCGCCCCCAGCTCGTCGGCATCTGCCGTTACATGAACCTCAACTCGTTTGGCACAGACGCCATGCTCCGATACACGATTCGCCACCGCATGCGCCAAATCAAGCGTGACGACCGCGCCATCTTCTACGAGGGCGTGGACTCGCTCTCCGTCCCAGAACTGCAAATGGCCAGCGCCTCGCGTGGTATCCGCACCCACGGCGTCTCCCCCGCCCGCCTGCGCGAGGACCTCGGCATGTGGCTGGAACTCCGTCTGAAGCAGGGCGTTCCCTCTACCCTGCTCGTCCTCAGCAACGCATACCTGTACACTCAGGGCGGCAAGGAGTCCGAGATGGCATCGCAGATCGACGCCCTGAAGTCCGTTCTCTCCAGCATTCCCGAGGAGCTCTTCCACGAGATCGAGCTCGAGGTCCACAACGCCGAGGGCGCTGCTACCAACAAGCAGCGTCTGGAGGTCATCCGGGAGCAAGAGGAGCTGATCGAAGAGGAGAACGAGCAGAACAGCGAGAACGAGGGCAAGGGCGTTGCTGCGCCTAAGGATATCGAGGATATCGATGAGAAGGAGGAAGCCAAGGTCGACGCTACTGATGCCGCTGCGAAGCAGACATCCGAGGCTAACGAGGCTATGGCGGAAGGCGAGCGCGCTGAGAAGACCCCCGAGTCCAAGGATGCCAAGAAGAGCGAGAGCTCCTAGGCTCCTGTGGATGTTATGATTATGCTGGGTTGACCCGGCTATGTGTTTTTATTTCCCCACTTTCATTTTGGGTTTGTTTTGGTTTGGTTTGCGCACTTGTCATATAGATGGTTGCTTTGAATTTCCCCCTTCTGTTCTTGTCCTGTCTTATTTCTCTCCACTATGTTGATAGACCATTTACTCCCCCTCTCCCCCACTTTTGTGTTTCTCTTGATTGATCTTGGCCGGGCTGTTGCCCGTACATTCTTTTGATTCTGTTGGCTTCAAGATGGACTTGGGCTGCATATGGATGGCTTGGCTAAGTTAAGTGAACAGTCAATCTGAATATTGAATCTACATTCATCAATTATATTCAATCGATCATTCATCCAATTACCTTTAGACTCAGCACTCGATGTACCGTATGCTATAAGATAAAACTCGACCGAGAAGCAATACTCAAGCACTATCTTCTAGAATAGTCCAGTCCTTTGAATAATGAAATCCTTTGCTACTTGCAGAACCCATACACGTGGACCCTGGAAGACCATGTAAGAAGCAATCGACGGCAAAATATAGGGCACAGGCCTTTTGAGCCGATGGCAGTCGTAGACTGCCGTAGATCTGGAAACGTCGTGTTTGATATTGGGGATCTTGTCGTTATCAACCAAAATGGTCCTCGAAAGGGATTCGTCTCCCCCGTGAAGTAAAGTAAAATATGGTGTTGATGGAGAGCCACTTCGCCAGCTGAGGGAGAGATCTTGGAAAATGCCCGCTGCCATGGCGGATTATGTTATGTGTTGTACTCTCGGTCGTCCGATAGACTCATTCCAATCGATGCAGGTTTTGGATTTGAGATTGGACTACGCTCGAATATCCATCTATCAAGACGCTTGGTGGCTATTACAGTTGATTTGGATGGTTCTATATTGGAGATATTGCGGAATGAGAAGGACTCTCGAGCTAGCAATTTCATATTTGCACTGTCACTTGATCCTTTTAGCATTCAGCATGCAAATGGAAAGGGAAAGTCATAGAGTCGTCGAGGAAGTCAAGTCCATCCCCAACATAGGGCTATTACATCATTAGTCAGATCTTACCTCGGCCCGTAGACGGAACCCCATCTTCCCCATAACCAAGAACTTACTTATATGACACATCCTCTATGCAATGAGAAGACTCCTCTTCAGCAGAACCAAGCCCCGGGCTTTCAGCTTCAACTTTAGCACGCGACAAAAGCCAGGCCTAACCCTGACCCCAACCCCAGCATCAACATCAAACGCAACACCAACGCCAATACCAGGACCAGGACCAGTATCCACAGCCACACTCAGCTCCAACACCAGCAAGACTAATTTAGACACCATTTTTCAATCCACACACCCCAACTTTGAACTAAAAAGAATGGCGCCCCTTAACGCCGCCTCTGAGGTAAGTGGATTATGGAAACAGAACTAGTGTGCAAGTACCCGAACAGTCCGCAGCCCGCAGTCCGCGTGTCCACCTGTCCAAATTCAGACCCAGATTCAGATACTGTCGCGCCCATTTGCCATGGATGCATATCTGCCCTACCCTGCCCTGCTCTTGATACAGTACTTTCCTTGCTTTTTCCCGGATTCCCCTTTTCCGAACAGATACTGTACATGGACCATTTGAGTTTCGGCTTCGGGTCTCACAGTATAGTCCCAAAAGAAAACAAAAGAAAAGAATCCTTGAAAGGGGCCAGAGAAGAAAGGGATGACGATATGGAACATTCCATTAACTTATCTCAATCTATTCTGAGACTCTGAAAGGTCACGCCCAAAGTCAAGGTTTCGTATCTGGAACCATCCATCCCATCCTTCTCCCGAATACAGTACCTGCCTGATACCTGTCCACCCTGATCCTGACCAATTCTCCTATTATCTCCTATTCTGATCCTATCCCATGCCCCTTCTTGGACATCCTTTGACTCAATTCCATATCCATGCCGTGGATGTCCACCCCGAGCAATAGCATTGAGACACCCCCGGATCCAAACCCAAAATCTAATATCGAAACACCATGGAACATGAACTACCGTCTAGTCCACTGATCATGATATCTATATAATATAGGCGGCTATAGCCAGACTCCGAAGCTATGTCCCCCCGCCAACAGCGTACAGCTCCGTGCCACTAAGCCGGCGTGCAGCCGTGCTGATACTGCTCTACGCCGACGCCAAGGGGGACCTTAAGGTGGTGGTTACGATCCGGGCCAAGACACTCCGTTCGTGTATGTTTGATTATTTTTTATTTTTCTATTTTATTCGTTTTATTCTTTTGGGTTTGACTCTCGGCCTGGGTGTCGGAGTTCGCATGGTCGCATGGCAAATTGTCACGCTAACTGGAAGTAGATGCAGGAGAAGCAGCTTTGCCTGGAGGTAAGTTTGGCTTTTTTTAAAAAACATTCTTTTTGCATTTTTCCTATTTTCTGCATTATCTATTTTGAGAAAGAAGGGGGGAGATTACGACAGGGGGGGAAGAAAAGCCCAAGAAATACAATATACACTCGAAAGGGAAAACGGGGAAACAAACAAGGAAAAAGAAGATGAAAGAAAAAGAAAGGAAATTCAAAAACAAGCAAAAAAAAAAGAAAGAAAGAAAAAAGACAACAGATAGCACACACCACATATCACACATATGAGCTGTCCCATACTAACACTCACCCAAGGCCGCGCCGATAGCCTCCAAGAAACGCCCTTCCAAACCGCCCGCCGCGAAGCAAGCGAGGAGATCGGCCTCCCCGAGAACACCCTCCTCCCTCCATTCCGCGTGGAGCATCTCTGCGAGTTACCGGCCAATCTTGCCAAAACCGAAGTGGTCGTGCGTCCCTGCGTCGCGCTGCTGCATGGCTACGATGCTGTAACGGGGCTGGAGGCTGATCCGGAAGTATCGCTGATCCCCACGCTCGATGCGCGCGAGGTGGCCGCTGTGTTTACCGCGGGGTTTAGGGATTTCCTGTCGATTGCGCCTGGGGGGGATGAGGAGTGGTATCGGGGGAGTTGGAGTCTTTGGCATGACTCTCAATGGAGGAGTAAGTTCTATTTCTTCTATTTCGTGATATTTGATCCCCCAGACCAAGCCCTATTTCGAGTCTACTATACTATACAGTCTACGGTACTGTACAGTATGATTGCGATTTGCTGTCTCATTTCCATGTGTTTTCTTTGTCCCCTGACAGGATTCCCACCCTAGTGCATCAGTTCTTTGTCCCCAAGCAAACGATCCACCGATCGACCGCATCAACGGTCAAAGTAGAAGGAGACCTAGACTTAGACTCTGCCGAATCTCGCTATCGCGTCTTCGGCATGACAGCCCGCATGCTCGTTGACGCGGCGCGAGTGGCCTATGTGCAGGAACCCGAGTTCGAGCATAACAGCCACTTTGGCGATGAGGCGATGATCGCCAAGTTGCGCCGGTTCGGCCGATTGAGTGCAGTTCGCAAGGCCTCGGATGGATTGACCCGTGAAACCATGGAAAAGGCGTCCAAACTTAGCTAGAGTAGCTCAATGCAGTGATGTGTGTGTATGTTCTCCCTGTCAAGTGTTGGCGGCCAATCATCGCGACTGTAAGGGAGCCTAAGTTGCGTGGCGTCGGTTCGTTTGGCGATGGGCTCCTTGCATAGGAAGTCTGTGCCTCTGTTACTTTTATTGGACTGGGGCCCGGGGTAATTCTCTTTGTCTAAGTTACTTTCTTCAGGTTATTTTTATGCTGTGTTGGTTGTTGGGTGCGGTTCACTTAAAGAGCTCACCATGTTATCTTCGTACCGCATGGCTCCCCCAGTTCGACCGTCGCGTTCCCTGGAGGGCCTCGAACAAGTGATTCCTCCTCTTTCTCCTCTTTCTCCTGCTTCTTCTCATTCGCCGCTGTCGCCCAATACGCCGTTTTCTCACCTCTTCCTCAACAAACCCCTCCCCGCCAAACCCCTCTTTGATGAACCAGAGTGTTCTGCCATGTGGAGTGACTCCGACAGTGAGACGGAGAGTTGTCCGTCCGAACCTCACGACTCGGTCGAGTATCCCATTTTCGTGGACGATTTCGAGGTTGATCGCGATCCACTCCCCGTTCCCCCACTCCGCACGGACATTGAGATAGATGAGCTGGATGAGCTGGATGAGCTGGATGAGCTGGATGAGCTGGACGAGTTGGACGAACTGGACGAACTGGACCAAGAAGATCTAGAAAACATAGTCGCCGAACCACCAGTCTCAGCCTCAGTCTCCTCCTCCTGGTCAGACACTCAATACGGCCGACCAGTCCATTGGCAGGGCCAGAACCGACCCGGAACGAACCACTATTTCCGTGAAAAGAAGTGGGACTATTTCCCCGAATTGGCGCCATCAACACTAGCCGGCCCGAGTCCGCCCAATTCAAAGCGCAAGAAGAACCTCTCCGCCCTGGATTTCACCAAAGCCAAATACCGCTGGCACTCGCTCGATCGCACGGGGCTAGGCGGCGTCCGCGAGTCCATCAAGACGTATGTGCATCGCACGCTATCGCGCGATAGCACAGAGTCTAAGCCCAAAGAAGTGACACGTCCGTCCACTGCTCCGATGGATAGATACATCGACGATGCAGCCAGTACTAGCATTCTAGGCACAAGTCTAGGCAGCAAAGTCTACGTACCACAGCCCTGCTCGTCAGACACAGACGCAGATGCTCCATTCCGCGCGACATCAGTCTCAACAGCATCGACATCAGCATACAGCACCAGCGCCAACACAAGCGCCAATGCGAGAGTCGCCAGTCTGAGTGCGAGCGACTACGACAACCCCAATCACCAGATGTACTACCCGCTCCACGCGCCCCTCTCCCCAGTCTCCCCAACCACCCCGAACATCCCGCAGAAACAGCTCGCCGTGCCACTGTCCCCGTATCAGAAATACGGATCTTCGGCCTGGGAAACCCCCAAGAAAGCAAAGAAACGCGGTGTTCAATTCCCGAAATATGCCAAGTCGCTCGGGTCTCCGACTCTCGAGCCTGAGACTGGTCCATACGGCTCAGCTTGTGGTTCTGCTCCGACTCCTTCCCAGATCTTATTTGCGAATCCGACGCCGCCTCTCTCTCCTCCGCTCAAGTCGCAGCTTTTGCTGAACACACGTGGTGCGGTGAAGGTCTTGCAGGGGCGGAAACATGAGTCGAAAGACGAGAAGAGGAGGGAGTTGTTGAAGGCTCAGATTAGACTTGTTGGGCCGGTCAATCCTCATACTTATGGGAAGGATCCTTGGGTTTGAGATATGTACCATTTGGCTTCTTTTTTTTTTTTTTTTGTCTCCGTTTCTTGTCTTTGGCGTTTGCACTCTTCTCACGACGTTTCATGACTATATACCACATACCCCCTCCCTTTCTTTCTGGTTCTGCTGTGGTTTGCTCCGGGTTCTGGGTTTCTTCCTCGTGCGAGTTCATCCATCTATACCTCCATTCCTTGGTTTATTTCCATTGATCGGTTCTTTGCGCTCGGCACGTTGACCGTGGTTTGTCCACCGTGCTATCTCATCTCACTCCTTGATCTTGACCTTCATTTTGACTATATATCTCATTTAATAGCCACATGTTCATCGTCACTAGCCACTCCCTTCTTTTCCATCGGATCAACCCATTCTTATTATCATCATGACCACTATCAGTCCTAGCATACTGTACTGTACTGTAGACTCACGGCGCACCTGACAAGGTACATGTTTCACATGGGTTCAGCCACCGACTCTATTAAATCTGAGTCAGCGGCTTTTGTCCCGTTCTTTCTTTGTGGGTGGTTAACTTATTCCCCGAGTGGTTGAAGTTACTGTACTGGGTCTGCAATCGACGGATTAACTTGAACGCATCTCTGCTACTGTATACTGTACTGTACTGTACCCTGTAGATCTATCCCTGTCTCTATCCGTCTCTATCCCTACTGAAACCTACTGTACCTTGCAAATCTAGCAGTAAGGTTAGTGCAGTGCTGATCACCACGCTGATCTTGATTCACGGTGAGTGCTGCCCTGTATGCGTAAACAGTAACGCGGGATAGTATACCTATCACATCTTGCCTAACGGTGATGTCATGTTCTAGCTTTGGCGAACCTTACCCGACATAATGGATCGGCGGACTGTCTGGAGAAGCGATGAACTGGCTGCTTTCTACTGTACTGTATAATCCCCAGCCATTGCCATTCTCTGGTGCTTGCCGCCACGCTATTCTATTAATGCCATCGACGACATCTACAGTATCCTTACTTTCCTTGCTTGTAACGGGTGTCCACAAAGTCAATTAGTAATGTTCCGAAGACTCACCCATGGACAGACTGTAGATACCCAGATCTAGGTTTTTATATCTTCCGCGAGGATCCTCATAAGACGTGATCATAAACACGATTTCAATTTGTACAGCAGAATATAATTACTGTGCTTCCCATCATACCCGATGACTCTGAGCTTCCCTCTCTTCCTCCTCCCTTTGTAGTATTCTAGATAGAATGCAATATTTTTCATTAAATATTTGGCTCGTGTCACAAGCTTCTACCGCCGAGTAAAAAGTTATTAAGATCAATAAATGGCAATTGTGAGTAAGTAAGTATAATAAAAAGCGATAAACAAGCTAATTGCATTGCGATATGGTAATATAGAACCATGTCTTCGAATTATTTCGAATTGAGTTTGATATTTCACTCTATAGACTTTATTTCTAGAAAAAAAAAACATTACAGGTGGGACATCTGATTGGATACTATATTTTGGCTATAATCTTAGCCTTCTTTTTATGGTAGTCTATTTATCTTACAATACGTCTTTGGGACCACTTGGCAAGGACCCTTTACAGGTAACGCATTTCTATCGCGAATTTCTATCGCGACTGACAAAACTAGAGCTACCGCGAAAAGGACTCCTAGTGAGAAATTGATGTCTTCCTTCAATGGTGTATCCAGGTGGTCGGTGCCAAAGAAGAGATTGCCAGAAGCCATTTTCGACACGTAAGTCAAAAGTTCAAGTTCGTGTTAGGAAGAGTTAAGAAGCCATGCTGTAGATGCGGAGGGTTGGAACGAGGTCCAAGACTTTTTTGATTGAGGGCCTCGTGAAACGGGATGGCTGAACCCACCCTGAGACCTTCGATGCTGCCTTTGATTTGTTCTCCGATCTCCGGAAACTGGGTCTCAAGCGTATGAAAGGCGAAGAGAGAGAGATTTTTGACAAACAGACCAGCTGGGCGAGAGATCAATGCTGAAACTCTGTGCCTACAGTCGCAGGCTGGTTCCTGTCTTATGGAACGGCTTCAAAGCGACACATTTGCATTGCAGCATTGACATATACAGCATGTCAATATCAAGCTAACCTCGATGGCTCCTTCCTCTGCAATACATAGTACCGTCTGCGCCTGCCGTGTGTGCATGCATAGGTAACGTATATGCATATGTACAACCCCCTCATTTGCCCCTTGTCATGACATAGTACTGTACAGTCGCGTGTTGTACATACTGTATAGCTCCTAGCCAAGTTTTAGACCAAGCTGCATACTCAGTCTAATTTTCTATGCATATTGGCTTCGTAGCGAGAACGGAGACTGTAATGTTTTAGGGGTGAGATTGGTGGGAGATTGTGGGGCTCAGGCTAACAGTACTGTACAGTATGTCTAAATTTTGGATTCTAGACTCTTACAAACTTGCGCTAGACATGCAGCAGATTTAGATGCATGTAAATGTGAAAAAAAAAGAGTAGATAAGCGAACAAGTTCCTATATACCGTATACCGTATACCGTTATAGGATCTTGTACTATAGCAAAGTCTGATCAGCGCAAGAATGCAGACAATCTAGATCACCCGAATGACATACGCATACTGTACAGACGAACAGAGTTTTCAACAATATACACATCGGTGAGTTATTTGCCACTTACGCTAGGTCATAAGTTGCAAGTGTGCTGTACTGTAGCGAGTCCCTCGTGTGCCTGTTTACCGCTAATTCAAATAGTGTAATGTCCAAGGCTAGACCTACTCAATTATACACACAGACCTACTGTATATGCAGTATACTAGGTGGTATGCTGGGGTCATATCTCACATCTCATATCCCAACCCCGCATTGGGACAGCTGTCACCGACTTTTCAAAGGCTGGATTTGACTCGGTGCATATCTGTGTGGATATGCGTCTACGTTTGCGTCTACTGTAGGTCTATGCGTTTGGAGGAGCAAATGCAGTTGCAGTTGCACGACATGCTTGGGGGGGGATACAGGGATTGTGAGTTTGTGATCTATCAACTTGGGTCTTTTTTCGTCAGTTCTGAGATGCATGCAAGTAATTCCACGACGTCTTTACAACTGGCAGATTGAAGAAGCTCCACTACAGGATGTTCAAGCCTGCTAGCAGGCTGCTTATGTATCTATTCTCAGGGTCTTTCGTAAAGATGCACACTGAATATTCGTTCGATGTTTCATTGTTTATTATCAGAGTTTGTGTGGATTCTAGATAGCCGAATGAACGAGCTTAAAATTCGAAGCACATTTCACCTAGTTATCGGAATCCAATAGACATCTCTGGACTTGACAGTAGCTTGATGAGCGTGCGTGATTATTATTCACGTTTCTTTGTGAATTTGAATTTTTAAATCATCAAGACAGTCTCTCCAGCTCAAAAGCGTTGCTCTGCTCCCACGGATGAATTTTGTTCCACCGAGCGAATGAGAGCCTCATGAGCTGTACTTCGAGGCTCAATATGAAGATCCCAGGGTTCTGGATGACTGATGACCCCCGGCTTGAATTCTGGCTGAACTCCCTTTCCTTTTTGACCTTCTCTCGATTCAATATTGAACACAGCGAGGGATTGAGCAGCACTCAGATAAACAGTAGTATCAGCCAAAAACCTTGCAGGACAGATGCGACGCCCAAACCCAAAGACAAGATCGTGCGGATCCATCTCTGGCCCTCTACCATCAATACCGAGGAAGCGCTCAGGCTTAAATACCATGGGATCGTGATAGACTGCAGAATTATGCGTCATTGCCCTTGAAACCAGTGAATAAAGTATCCAGCATTCAAACGAGTCCCATACAATAGACATACCAGATATTTGGCATCAGCAATGAGCCCTTGGGGATGAAATATCCATCCCAGGTATCATCCTCGCTTGATGCATGGGGAATCCCCATCGGCGCAACCGGATGCCAGCGCAGAACCTCCTTCACCACAGCATTCACATAAGGCAATCGAGCTCGATCTTTCACTTGAGGAAGCTGATTCGATCCCAGCACGCGGTCGATCTCCTCTTGGGCTTTGCGTTGGACGTCAGGGAAGAGCGTCATTGCCAGGAAGAAACATTCAACAGCACACACAGTCTAGTTAAATAAGTAACCACACAGCATGGATTTTGGAATCTGCTTCTCACCGTGTCAGCGCCTCCAGTATAAAGTGAAGCAGCGCTCCACTTTGCAATTACCTCGTCTTCTGACCCAGGTAAGGGAAATCCATCCTTCTTGAACAGATTGGAGAGATATGATGGCTTGTACCGACCACTTTCCATCTGCAGCTTGACAAAGGCATAAGGTTGATCAGCGACAGTCTCAAGATTCTTCTTCCATGCTTTTGCGGTTCGCTTAAACCCAGCACCAGGAATCCACGAAGGAACATATTTCACTACATGTGGTCAACAGTCCGGTTGTAAAAAAGTCAGAAAAGATATATGAGACTTACACGCTGGGATCATATCCACCAACCAAGCCCCCGGCGTTCCAGCAGCCGAGAAATGATCCAAAGCCAGATTCGAAATATGCACCAAGGGATCACGAACATGGGCCTCGATTGTATACCCGTATGCAATTTGAAGAATAATAGCTCCAGCCTCACTATAACCACTCATCAGAACTCAAACTCGACATAATCGTCCAATCTAGACCCACGTTTGGATGTGCTCCGCGAGCTTTGTTTGATCTCCAAGCACGCGCAGGAGAAACCGATGAGCTTCGATCTCCTGGAGTGAGTTGAATTGAGAAACGGCGGACTCGGAGCCAAGGTAGGGCTGTAAGGCCTTCCGATAGGTGCGGAATCGAGCTGAATATGGCTGCATGGCTAGGATGTGCTCCCAGCCGACCCTATGGGTATTAGCTAACTTGTATAACATGATGTTGATCAAAGTGTCCTGGTCGTACATCTCTGATGCGAATACTAGATTTGGACGCGATGAATAGATCGCTGAACGTTTGCTTAACAGTTCTAATGCTACGTTTGCATCGTTTAGGATGACGATTGTTTGGCCCATTACAGTGATCGAGCTAATCGGGCCTGTTTTTTGATAAGTATAGGGTGGGTAAATATCGATATTCAACTGTCGCGTTGAAACAATGGCCTCACTTACCATACAAGTCCTTATGTTTGAGCCAGTGCATCCAGTCCTGTGTCCCTGGAGGTGGCAGATCGGCGATATTGCCGACTATAGGCTTAGGTCGTGGTCCTGGCGGGAGTGGACCTGGCGGCCTTTTGCGGGTTAAGAAGATCTTGGTAACGTAGAGACCTATTATACCCAATATGAAGCCGATATAAACATTGTGGGACATCGTGGAGTCTTGGCACTTGAGATGAGATTGTTGAAGGAAGGTGAAAGAGGCAAGTTGAATATATTGAGAGTCAAGACCAATTCCGTAGATGTCATATCATATTTGCTTTATATGCCCTTTGATTGGGCTCTGTAACTAGCTAGAGCTCTGGGGACACGGCTCATCTCGGTAAACGTAGTGTATACAGTACACGTGGCCCAGGTTCCCCGCTGGCGTTTCATTCGCTATTCTGTCTCTTAGTAATTTATCCGAATGGAAAAAGTGTCCTATCATTGTTGCGAAGAGTGCGTATCGGGGGCCACCCTACTGGACGCTGGGTCTGACCGCAATGTTGGCCCCCTTATTGAAAGAAGAGCCTCATGTGGCGAATTTAGCTTCCTTGTATATTTCTGAATAATTTTATAGTCTTCTAGTTTTTCTACACTTGTATTTCGAGGCTATTTACTTGGGATTAACAAGGAATGGTGACAGAAAGGGCGCGAATGTTCCAACCCGTTGAACTGTAGAAAGTTGGACGTCAACAATCATGCATTGGTGGATTAAAGCTGATTTATTATCTAAAGATAAGAGCTTGGTAGACTTTTTGGTAGCTTCTGTCAAGTCAATACATCGAATGCTTATTGCAGCAGAGAGAGGAATGCTTCCAGACAAGAAGAGCTAGCTGCCCACCCCGAGAATTGGGCTGATTGTCCTTCCAAACAAGAAAGAGTAATGGTTGTGTTGGAAACATTGGGTGACAAGCCGAGTCTTTTCACTATTGTCTTTGGTGGACCGGTTGCTGCTTTTGTTGAAAGGAGGATACTTTTACCACCAATCTTTTTTGGCTTGGAAAGCCGCAGTAGACTTCTTTTTTCAGCGAACTTTTCAAGAACCATTTTGCGAATTCTGTCTTGGCGCGTCTTATGGATCGACTGGATTAACTCGCGGGCGGCGGCAAGGTCTGGCGACCTGTGCACCGTATCAACTTGAGGCTGTAAGGCTTGTAAAAGGCTCACTAGAAGGTCCCGAACAACAGGAACTGTGGCGTTTACGGCCAGTTGTATCGCAGACTTTCGACTTGCCGAGCATTTCGGAACTGATCATAACTGTTCGGTGATAATCGACGCACCACGTTCACTGGGAACTTGGATGTGATCTAGACCACTGTTAGTCACTAAGATTAATCAATATATATAGAGAAGTGCTAAAAAGCTACAGCCCCCCTTTCTCATAATTAAATCTGACTTTAGCGCTTTTAGGGCATTGGAATTTACATCAAATTTTATCTCAAATTTTACCTCAAACATGGCATCAATTGACATTTCAATGAATCGAATTTGCAAGTCTAAGATCTCAGAAAATGAAGAGGCCCGGCGACGTCCTCGGGCTGAAGAATTGATATCGCTGCACTATCGGTTCAAATATGTTGACGCAGGCCAAGCAAGCAGCTAAAGATAATTTCACTACCTAGAACCTATCGCAAGGTTAATGATTGATTTGAGATGTTCAGATAGTCTAAGATTTGAGTTATGTTGGTGATCTATCAGACGATAGAGATGTAGGTTACGTGGTGTTGTACATCCCCATCAATGGGCAGTAAATGAGTCGTTGTTAGCTGTTGGTAATTAAGAAAAGTTTAAATGGGAATATTTGGAGCCGTTCGTTATTTCGTAGTAATTGACCCTACTGGAACCATGTACATAAACATCACGAATAAGAATGCAACATAATGGAGTTTCTGTGCATCGGCTTTAACCTGCCATTTAGATCCCACAGTTATGTAGATACAGATATGGAGATTACAATCAGTGTTCGACGCACGTTCTGGCCATTTCACCGTACATCCTACATATGAAGATAGATGCTTTCAGATGTGGCAAACCCTCGCGACCCCATCCAACAGCAAACTATATCAGCAACGAACAGCTCAGCAGTGTGACCTATCTGAAGAATCACAACCATGGATACCCCGACCTGACATGTGGAGCGAGCGACATCATCCCAGCAGCTCAACCCCGTAAATAGCAGCGATCGCAACAAATATCGATGACGCGCTCACTCGTGACAACCCAAACAGCCGGGGAAACAATCTTAGTCAAAGGCCATTGTAAGCCAATACAATGATAAAGCTACTCGCAAGATGACGACAGTCCCAATATTCCCGCTGCGCGCTATAAGAACATCAGTCCGTCCAACGCGGCGTCTATACCAGAAACCTTTTCTGCGTTAGCACGCACCAGAAGTCAAAATTCATTTCCCAACTGCCGCTGACAAAAACATGCCCGAGGGTACGGAGTACCGTCTACCGTATAACTTCATGTGATGCAGGCTGATATCCATCTCTCAGAGCCCCCCAAACACCGTCGGTCAAGCCTCGGCGGCCTTATGGATCGGATGCTCCATCGGGATCATCATGACAATAAGGACCAGGCCCAGCAAGCTAAGGATGACCTTGTGCAGGAGCCTGGTCAGGCGGAGCACGAAGATATGCCCAGCCAGCCTAAGAAGGAGGACGAGGTGGATAAGTTCAAGGACTATATGAAGAAGGATGAGCAGATGGAGGCGGAGGGTCGGACTTATGGGGATTTGATGTGATTTTGTTATGACCAAATTGGAATGAATAGCTCTCTACAGGCAAATTAATTTGTTAATCTCTATTTATATCATTCATCTAGGCTGGAACTACGAAGAGGAGAGAGAGACGCTGTAGAGACTCGACTGCGGACCGAACCCCACATTTACCCCGGATTCTGAGGATTCGCTCATAGACTGTTTCTTGGATGGATCGAGGGCATGATGGAACTGGCTGTAGTCATGTTGAACAGCGTGGGCTCTACCGGGGGTATATTATTTGAGGAGTGACCAGTATTTTGAGAGATATGACGCAACTAAGCCCGGTGTCCGGTAAGAACGTCGGACTTGATGCCATGCTTAAAGCTCCGCTCGACAATCTGACCGAGCAAAGGATATGCAAGATGTTCTTTCTCTGCATCTGCAATCGAGAACTGAGATTCACCGCATAGCGAAGAATACAGCGTACCCCTGGTCTTGGCTGACGCCCCAAGAATGGGGATGAGGACATTCACAGGGGTGAGATAAACCGCAATAGCCTGCGCAATGCAGTTCTTAGTGGCTAATAGCATAATCAAGACATATATAGTAGCCTCAGGGGTATGACAGTAACTCTCAATGCTGCAATCGGTTGGCGTTATCATCTTCAGAGTCCTGACAGATATCATCAACCTGTTCTTTTTTTATGACAATTAAGCTATGTTCTGGTTTCTGTCAGAGACTCCCACAGTTTTGGGAGTGCACGCTCTGTATATTATTGCAGCAGGAGGCACAGAACTAATGCATTGTTCTCTGACGTGCATGCATTTAACACTCTGCAGAGTTATTCAGTCCAGCCGCAGCTACTGCTCTGGAAGACCTGCCATACGAAGCTCCCGACTATCCGGTCTGTCCGAAATGTTCTATACAACGGGGGTGTCCACCAGAGACAAATCACTTCCATTTCATGAAAACAGAGCGTGAAGCACGAGTCAATACACCGAGTGCTAATGGCGCCCATGCAATGGGGTTGAAAGTATTTATCTGTGATGCTAGACTGTCCGATGCCAATTCATATATCGGAGCTATTTCCCATCGCACTCAATCTCTGATGGTTGGACTGGCCATGTAAGAAGAATAAAGAGTGGCAGAGGATATAGTTGAGAAATGACGATGCCAAGAAACCACCGGCCCCGCGATTCACCGGCGATTCGCTTCGGGTCGTACGGAGGCATTTCGACGTCTAACTTATTTGACTTGTCTTGTCTTCTGTCTTCAGCATTCAGCATTTTGTCTTCTACATCTCGCAACATGGAATTGTCTGCTCACACCCCCCGCTATCTGACCGGCGATAAGGCCGGTTTGAACGAGTTCCTGGCCAAGTTCGATGTAAGCCCCGCAAATGAATGCGCTGAATCGCTGAGTTCAATTGCTGATCACATGTCTCCTAGGTGTTTCTTTTTGACTGCGATGGTCAGTCTCCCAAGTTTCGCGAATCTCGGCTTTCACTCCGACCCTCCGCGAGTCCCGCATTGCAACAACAGCTGAGAAGACAATGATATAGGAGTGCTATGGTCCGGTGACCACCTGTTCCCGGGGACAGTAGAGACCCTGGAGCTTCTCCGGAAGAATGGTATGCAGCGTCAAGAGCCCGGAGAGACAGAAGCTTATTCTCCGCGCAGGAAAGCAAGTTGTCTTCGTGACAAACAACAGCACCAAGTCGCGCGCCGACTACCGCAAGAAATTGGAGGGTCTTGGTATCCCCAGCACAGTGGTCAGTGAATGCCAACCGCGAGCAGTTGGTCCCAGAGACTAACCCCCCAAACAGGAAGAAATCTTCTCCTCATCATACAGCTCCTCCATATACATCTCACGCATCCTCAAACTTCCCGAAAACAAGCGCAAAGTCTACGTGATCGGCGAAACAGGTATCGAACAAGAACTGCAATCAGAGAACGTCCCCTTCATCGGCGGCACGGACCCCGCCTACCGTCGCGACGTCACACCGGAAGATTACAAGAAGATCGCTGCAGGCGATGAATCAATCATCGACCCGGAAGTCGGAGTCGTCCTCGTCGGCCTGGACTTCCACATGAACTACCTCAAGATCGCCCTGGCATACCACTACATCAAGCGCGGTGCCGTCTTCCTCGCAACCAACATCGACTCGACACTGCCCAACTCCGGGACTCTGTTCCCCGGTGCTGGATCTATGAGTGCGCCGCTTATTATGATGTTGAACAAGGAGCCTGTTGCGCTGGGGAAGCCCAGTCAAGCCATGATGGATGCTATTGAGGGCAAGTTCCAGTTTGATCGCAGCCGTGCTTGCATGGTTGGTGATCGCGCTAATACTGATATTCGCTTTGGGCTTGAGGGCAAGCTTGGCGGTACACTTGGTGTGTTGACTGGTGTTTCTTCCAAGGAGGACTTTGTTTCTGGGGATGTTAGGCCTCATGCTTATTTGGATAAGCTTTCGGATCTTCTTGGGTCTGAGTAAGCGGTCGGAGTAGATCTGATTTGATTGATAGATGGCGGCTTTAGATATACAATAGTTACGTGATTCAATGCATTAGCCAACCATACTTGTGTTGCTCTCGATGGACCTATTCGATGCATAATCCTAGCTATGTGCTAGCTAGGTGGTTTTATATATGCTGCAGATTTCCTAGTCTATGCTCGGTACATAGAGTCTATTCCTAGAACAGAAACGGCAGTAAGAAGCTAAATATAACATCACTCAAGATGTTCTGCGCGATGATGCCAGCGGCTGAAACAGGGTCCAATAACCGAACAAGTATAAAACCACTCCAAATGAATGCCAATTACAAGTCAGGATCCCCTGCGCACTGCCAAGATGCCAACAGTCAGCTTTGGGGGCGGCTTTTAAAGTTAGTCTCCTCGACCCCTCTCCTGGTTGTAGACTTGCAGACTTTAGTATAGACTTCCTTTATAATATCAAAAATCCGTTCGAAAAAACATACCAAATCAAGAGTAAAATGCCCGGGGTCCCTTCAAGTCGAGGATGCGAGGGTTGTCGCAAACAAAAGAAAAAGGTAAACAGCACCCAAACCACATATCAAAGCAACTAACGAACCCCCCAAAAGTGCGACCAAGTAAAGCCCACATGCTCAAGATGCACACGTCTAAGAATACCATGCATCGGCAACGGAGTCCAGCGATACAAATTCCAAGAACCAAGCGTCACCACACTAGTCCAGCACCAAACCCCAGAGAAGACCATAATAGCAACGTCACTGATAGACGCCAGCCAAACGAGCCTCTCCAAGCAAGAGCGCACATACCTCAACTTCTTCCGCCAAAACACCTCCAAGCAAGTCGCCAGCTACTTCAGCCGCGCATTCTGGGACCAAATGGTGCACCAAGTGGGCGAGGCACAGCCCGCCGTCCGACACGCAGCAATCGGCGTCGGCGCCATGCACTGGAACTATGATATCCGAGAACTCGGGCGCGAGAATCAGTCATTGCCGCTGCAGCAGTGCGGCAAAGCTTATGGTCATTTACAAGAAGCGCTTTCGAGTGGGTTGTCTAGCAGCACGCAGATAGAGACGGTGCTGTGCTCGTGTTTGGTTCTCGGGGCGTTGTCTATGATACAAGGCGATGCCCGGGCTACGGGCTACCACCTCGGGTCTGGATGGAGGCTTCTGGATCAGTGGCAGAGTGTGGGGTTGAGGAATAGTGCTCTGGGGGCTCGACTGCTGCAGACGTTTACGCAGAATAAGTTGCGGTGGTTTTCGTTGCAGGATGGTGATATGTATTCGGATTTGACGCTTCCTGATCTGATAGCTTCGAGGCTTCCGATTGTGGAGTCTTTGGCGGAGACGGAGGAGACGGTGGGGTTTGTTGTTGGTATTGGGTGGTTGGCTTTGCAGGTTAGATCGAGACCTGATGCTGGGGATGGTGCGAAGCGGGTGGGTGTGGCTGTGACGCTGTTGAAGAAGCTTCAGGCTTGGAAGGACTTTCTTCTGGAGTCAAGTCAGACACATGGAGAGGTGGCTCGGGCAGAGAAAATGATCTCGTTGCTGGATGTCTGGTGTCAAGTTCTTTTTATCCGGGTTTCGACGGATGGGAAGCTTGAGGACGGCGAGACGAGATATGATCGGTGTCTTCCGCTATTTCAACATACTATTCAGCTGGCCGGAAAGTTGTTATCAGAGCCGCGTCCAGATCTCTGGATGGGCATTGTCACGCCGCTTGTCTTTTGTGCATTGAAATGTCGGGACTGGGAGACAAGGCATGAGGCACTGAAGATTCTGAATATCGTTCCTTATTCGAAGGGGAAGTGGTCTATGGCTAACACAGGCTTGGTTATTGCAAGAGTCATTCAGGTTGAATCTGAGGGCTTCGCCCAAGAAGATATCATTCCTGAAGCCTCACGCATAGATTCTATGCGCGTGGAGTTCTTGCTCAAGGGTCCCCAGGTCTGCATTTATTATTGTCGGTCTCGTTTGAAGAGTGAAAAGGAACGTAGAGAGAAACAGGACTGGGAAAGTGTGGTCATGCCGTATTGAGAATCAATGACTTGAATGAATGAGATCAAAGGCAGAGCTGATGAAGTATCAATGCATCTCATGGTTGATATCAGGATCTCTTAAATTCGTGGCCAGACGTAGGAGAAACTGCCCTTCAATTGAGGCATTGGAATCATCTTTCCTTTTTTCCCTTACTGACACAATCTTCCTGTTCTGCTTTCTCTTACTTAGCCATACTTCTATTCTCACTTCTATCCTCACTTCTCTCTTAGTTCTATTCTATATCTTCTATACTCACTTCTATCCTCACTTCTACCCTCTCCTATATCCTCTCCTATATCCTCTCTTATTTTCTCTCTTATTTTCTCTCTTATTTTCTCTCTTATTTTCTCTCTTATTTTCTCTCTTATTTTCTCTCTTATTTTCTCTCTTATTTTCTCTCTTATATTCTCTCTTCCATCTCATACTTCTATCTTTTCTTTATTCTCTCTTCCACCACTATTCCTTCTTATCCAGTTCAAGCCCACACTCTTTAGGGTCAACAACCACGGGGAATGCAAGGTCCAGAAGGATATATGCACCTTTCCCCCGGGCCCATCCCCATTCCTACTTCAAGTTCCGCTTATAGTCTCCTCTTCAAATCCATCTGCCAGCCGTGACTTCGAGAATGACGAGCGCAAGCTTGGTCGCGCCAGGGTCCGACGTGGGCCGCTGTGCTACTTATCCTTTGACAACCACAATGCTGATGATTCTCACGGTTCTTCGTGCTCGCCTCAGATAGAACACGAAGCTTTGACAACATCTATCAATTACGGCACTGGAGATGGCGAGGATATTCTAGGGATTCAACCCTGCTGGTGACGAGGCTACTGAAAGATACGTGTATATAATAAAATATGAACCAAGACTGTGTAATTGGAAGGGTATCATGGTCATTCCATTTTGACAAGAAACTTAATGCTAGAAACTTCATATGCAACGCCTCAAAACTGGGAACCATCCCGATTCCGAACGCCATCTATGTATCCAGTACAGATCCGTGAGTCCCAGGATCGTACAGTGTGGTGGGGTTGAGTCCACGGACCTGGACTGGCTCTTGTAGAGAAACTGGCCCCGGTCAATTTCCACTTAGGATGCCGGAAATTCGCAGTGCCAGGTCCAACATGGACAAATGCTCGTCAGAGCCGTCGACCAAGCGCTTATCCATCTCAGAGAAAAGCATGACGATCTTGTTCTTTTGGATATCGGGGATTGCCTCGCTGAAGACAACACGTCGGTAGAGCTAAGCATGTTAGTTGACATCATTCATCCGGGGAAGAGGAACACAAACCTGACCAAGAATCTGAGTAGCACTCCATCCATCAGCAACAAGATCCGTGACAACACTCGAAACAGCCTCATAAGATGAAACGCCCTTCTTAGGCTGCATAGCCTGAACAAGGGAATCAAGAATACTCTCCGGCACAACGCCGGCAATCTCCTCAATACTCCGCACAGTAATAATCCTCCCCTCGCTCCCAGCATCAGTCATCTCAGCATCATCATCGCCACCCTTAGCCGCAGCAACAGCTTTATTAGTAGCCCCAACCAACCTCGCCGCACTCTGCAAATAAGTAATCGCCCTCCGCAAATCACCCTCACCACACCGAATAAGCGTATCAACAACTCCATCCTCAAGAGTCAACCCCTCCGCCTCGGCAATACCAGCAACCCGCAAACCAGCAGCACTATTATCCAGCATCTTGAAGCGGAATTTACTGCACCGACTAGCAAGCGGCTCAATAATACGCGTGACATAGTTGCAGACCAGACAGAAACGCGTAATACGACTGTACTGCTCCATCGTGCGACGCAGCGCCGACTGCGCATCTTGCGTCATGCTGTCGGCCTCGTCCAGGATGATGATTTTGAAGGGTGGGCATGGGTACTGTGCGCGGTAGGCGGCGTCTAGACCCGTTGGTTGGGAGAGCTGGGCTCGGGCAAAGTTCTTGACTTTGACGCGGACAATGTTGATGCCGCGTTCGTCGGAGGCGTTCAGTTCTAGGATGCGGGAGCGGTAGAGGGCGGGCCCGAAGAGGGATTTGGCTAGGGCGAGAATGGTGGATGTCTTTCCTGTTCCTGGGGGTCCATAGAAGAGCATGTGGGGGAGCTTGAGGGTGTTAGTTTAGGGATTCGTGGGGTTGGGGGGTGGTGTTGGAGACGGACGTTGGATGCTTGCAGTGTGCGCTGGAGGACTCTTGTTGTGTGGTCTTGTGCGGCGACATCGTCGAGGGTCTTGGGACGGCTGATTTATGTGAGTGTGCTGATTTGGAAAGCTTTGTATGGAGCATTGGCGTACTATTTCTCAACCCATGGCTGGAGACGAGTTGAGTCTTCCTTGTTGTCGCCAGCTTTGGCTTTGGAGCTGCTGGATGCCGCGACGGCGGCGGCATGGGCTTTATTGTTGAAGAATGAGGAAGCCATTATCACTTGAATTCGGACTTGAGGGCGAGAGTGGTTCCGAAGCTGTTGTGTTAAAGATCTCGACGCCCACAACCAAGACGCGTCTCCACGTGACACGCGCAGCACTTAAACGCATTGGCCAATTAGAGCGGCGGACTATACTTCAGCTCTCCAACTGGCCATTTCTTTATCACAGAGTGAAGCACACCATAGGAATTCAAGCCAAGTGATAGCATAGTACATCGTAATTGTATTTAATATGATCTATAGCTCATCTCGCACCGGTTCATCCTCATACATCCGCTTTTTCGTATTCCGTGGAAGTGCATCTTGTCTTTCTCTCTCCTCGGGCGTTATATCATCAATACCAGCACTTTCTTCTTTGCCTTCTTCAACCATACGACCAATTTTATCAATCACGCTATCAGTATCAGTTGGTACTGACGCTTCTTCCCATGCAGCGGACGGTGTCACAGTGCCTCCCGCAATAGCCGTAGCTGTCTCGTGAATGACAGATGATATATCGCCAGAAAGCGAGCCGGCAGATGACTGCATAGCGGCGCTGGAGGCTCCAGCCACGCCTAAAGCTGCAAACACACCGCGAGCAATGAGCTTCAAGGGGAGCCATAGGAGCCACCAAAGAGGACCATATAGAACACGCCGGAAGACAAGCCATGTGATTGTTCCAATAAGAACGTAAAAGGCAGTTTCAAGGTACCAAGTATCGGATTTTTGTGAGCGGAGAAGAGAATTAGCAAGGCTGCGGGATGATGAAAGAAGTGTATCGAGACCGCTGTAGGACTCGGACAGGGAGTTGATAGCAACTGTAGATTGCTCTGTTCAAACAAGTCAGCAGCCAATCGAGCTAAGATAGCTGGAGGATCTTACCAAGTGTTTCCTGAGCAAATGCGCTGCGAGAAAGTTCTGCCTGCATGAGTTGATGCGTCCTGCGCAGAGCGGATGTCACATCATTCGAAGCATTCAAAACAAGATCATCTTGGGTGAATCGATCAGAAGGTTGCTTTTTCTCCGAAGTCGTTGATCGCGATAGCAGCAACTCTCTCTCCTTCCGCTTGGCGATCTCTGCATTCCGCTTCGCTTGCAATTGCGCGTTTCGGAAGTCACCTCGTGTCCTAAACAAAAGTTAGCACGTTATATCTCAAAAGCAGCAGTGCTACGGCAGAGACTGATCCTTGACATGCGCAAGCTGTTTCAGACCAGATCAGTGTAACCCACTTCTTGAGCTCCTCGGCCAACCGCCCCGCCATGGAAGCAACCCGCTCCCTTTCAGCCTCTTTCTCGCCATGAACGGCCGACACTTTTCGTCTGGTATCTGTGGCCGTTTCCAGTGCCTCAAGATCAACCCGTAATAACTCCAAATCCTGCTCGGCATCCTTCAACCGAGAGTGTATCTCGCTCCCGAGCTCTAGGCGCGCCTCATCTCCCTGTCCAATAGAAGCAGTAAAATCGCGGAGTCGATTAACGAGAGGTTGTATCTGACCCAAGGCCATAGACAGCTCTTTCAGACGGCCCTGGAGACCTTTTGTGGAGGACATGTTGCACTGAGAGTCGTGAGGGTGCCCGTCCGTTTAATGCGCTCGACCGTCGCTGTCTCTGGTGTCGCGAAGCGTACCCGAATAATATGTCCAGCGCAGAAATATCACACCAAGTATTGAAAAGGAACCAGTTCCTTAATATGTGTCAAGTTGCATGTCGAAGTTGCCATGTTGACGGGCGTCATTCAGATGGTGTTTGCATCCGGAGCAAACAAGCCCCATTTCTCAACAGCAATCCGCATCGGAGACACTTCGTTGATGTGAACTTGCAATTGATCGCGCGCCTTTCCAGTCAGATCCTTCCCAGACTGATCCAGTCTTACTCCGATATCCTCATTCCAAAATCCAAACCCGATACCTCCTCTCCAACCGTCACGGGCGTCACTCAAGAAAAGAAACCCACCTTTAAAAAACTTCCCGAGTCAATCCCGACTCCATCCATCCAGGTACGTTAACCCAACCTAACCAACCCAGACCGTGGAGTGGAGGGCTCCGTCAATGACCAAACAACTAATACACATACTAGAACTCCCCTCTCCCACCAATCAATCCCAAAACCCAATCGCCAAAATGACCATCCCAATCAGCACAATAGCCACCTTCCGCACAGCGTACAACCCCTTCATGCGCGCCTCAAGGCCCTGTCGCCTTTTCCTGGGCATGCTGCGCACACCGGAAACAATCCCAGCAAGCAGCCCGACCCATATCGATATCCAGGTCAAGCAATTGCCGCGCGAGTCGACCGCCAGCCCAACTATGACTATTGGCTTCAAGGGTGGGAAGGAGCTTACTCTTGATGTTGGAGAGCGTGGACTTAAGATTGGGGATATCGTTGAGGAGGTTGCTAGGGTTGGGCGTGCTTTGCAGCGTGAGGCTAGTCTTAAGGGCTGATTGTTCGCAGTTTGTTTGATGTCACTGTGTTGGTTCTTTGAGCTATGCATTTTATTGTATTGTATTATATTATGTTATATCAATTTTCATTCCTGGTACGGTTTTTTCGGTGGTAGATTACATTATAGCTGCGATTCTCGTATGGAGGTGTTTGTATAGGGTGACTAGGGTTATATCTACTTGTATGGATTGGCTCTTGGTTGACTGCTGTCAACATGTTGACATGCCTGAAACTGAGAATTTTCATTCAATATAGGCCCCGCCTAGGCGGTTACGCTAATATTCTGATTTTGGTATTCGCAAAAAGACATTTACACAGCAGCACCGGAGATGAAGAACCACTTGTCAATGCTGCCATCAATGGGAGCAGGGGCGAGGTTCTCACCGCGGGGGATGGCAGCGAGAGCGGACTGGTCAACGCGGTCGGCGGAGCCCTCAACCTGAGAGTTGGCGCTGTGATAAGTTAGTATAAGATAGTCAATGAAGCATTGGTGTTGAGAACTTACAGGTTAATATCACCACGAGGGGCCTTGCCGGAGATAAGCTTCTCCCAGGCATCGGAGCACTCGCGGATGACATCCTCGGCGTACTTCTTGTTCTTGCACTCGCCGGAGAAGGCGAACTGGTTCTCGGGCTTTCCGTCGGGGATCTTGTAGATGCGGAACCACTCGTTGGTGGCGCGCAGAAGACCGGGAAGGTGACGCTCAACATCCTCAATGTCGTTGAGCTTGGGGGCGAGAGGGTCGTTGACGTCGATGACAATGATCTTCCAGTCGGTCTCCTCCTCGTCAATCAGGGCCATGACACCGAGGACCTTGACCTGCTTGACCTGACCGGAGTAGCCAACAAGCTCACCGATCTCGCAAACATCGAGAGGGTCGTTGTCACCCTTGGCCTTGGTCTCGGGGTGGATAGAGTTGGGGTCCTCCCAGGTCTGATTCGAAACATGTCAGTTACCCCTCCTCCTGTGTGGATAGTCACGAGGGCACACTTACGCGGGGGAAGGCACCGTAGTTCCAGAGGTAACCCTTGTGGGGGAAGCAGTTACGGACGAAACGGAGCTTGCCCTTCTTGGTGTCCTGCTTGATGGGGTTGAGGAAGTCATCCTTGGAGATCTATACGGTTCGAGAGAGGTAATCAGCACGGAGGAGGTTCAATTGAGATCACAGGACAGGCCTCCTACCTCCTGCTTGGCGTTGGTCCAGCGGGGGATCTCGACGACCATGTTCAGGATGGTCTGTTGCTCATTGGCGTAGAGGGGAATGTCGTGGAAGGGCGAGACGGGGACGCCATCCTTCTCAACGAACACACGGTGCTCGAGAGTGTAGGGCTGGGCGACCTTGCGGACGGTGTAAGACATATTGGCAGGTGACGAAAAGTGTCTAGATACTTGGGCCACACGGGAAATGGGAGAATAAAAGGAAGAAAAGGAGGGAGGGGCAGTGGAAGTGGGGGGAGCCACCGTTGCTGATGGCCAAACACGGCGGGAGGCGGTGGAGGTATGAAATCCCAGTCGGGCCAAGGGACGAGTCATTGGCTGCAGAAGATAGTCCAATGTATTACGTGGTACACGACAATCTGGACCTGGAAGACCTGAGAGACCTGGACAAGACCTTGGAAGATGGGAGTGTGGTTAACCCCTGTCGGAGGTTTGATATTTTGTGTGGTTCCGAGATTCGGCAATGGTTTTTGTCTCCGAGATTGGCATCCCGACTACCCTGTGTACTGTATAGTTGTATAGGCATTGTCGAGCACACTTGCTATGTCTACAAGTTACAGATCAAGGACATGATATGATCTGCTTGACAGTATGTACTCTGCAAGTACCCGATACCCCATACTGTGAGGGTGCCGATACCGGCATGAGTGCGCGGCCTACATAGAAGACCAACGACTCTGAACTGTCGCCATGGCTTCGTATACTACCTCCGTACTTTAAATAACCCTAAGTTGGCTATGACGAAACCCTACAATCGCTCGATGTCGTGATCCTTGGCAGGGAATCTTGTCATCTGATTGGCGCCATCCACAAGAAAAAAGACCGGACCAGCGCAACCTGTAACAATACTGGGAATCCATACCCACGTGATGCCACTGCCACGTGATGTCCACGTGAACCAGTCTCGCCCCTATCACCACGTGATATCAATCATTCGGGGAACTCCTAAGAGAAAAAAAAGACTCAGCTTCAACCCCGCAGTATGCTATGATCAGACTCCTTCGCACAATGACCAACGCAATTTCCCCGGCCACAGTGGCCCGTGTGCCAATCCCCGTCAATGGCGTCGACTACCGCAACAAGATCGTTCTAGCACCAATGGTGCGCTCCGGCGAACTCCCCTCGCGCCTCCTAGCATTGAAGTACGGCGCAGACCTAGTCTGGGGCCCTGAAACAATCGATCGATCCCTCATCGGTGCAGAGCGACGCATCAACCCGCGCAACGGCACAGTCGAATTCACACGTATGCCCTCAAACGGCGGCCGCCCCGACAAACCAGCCAAAGCTTCAATCATCTATCGCATCGACCGAAGCCGCGAAGCAGGCCGTCTCATTTTCCAAATGGGAACCGCAAACCCAGAACTAGCTGTGAAAGCCGCTACCATGGTGGCAGCCGATGTAGACGGGATCGATGTGAACTCTGGCTGTCCCAAACCATTCAGCACCTCCGGCGGCATGGGCGCTGCCCTCCTCCGCACACCCGACCTCCTCGTCTCGATCCTCGAAGCCCTCGTCAAAGAAGTAGGCGAGCCTTTCAAAATCGGCATCTCGGTCAAGATCCGCATCCTCGCCGAACAGGAGGAAACTCGCGCTCTTGTCTCCCGTCTCGTTAGAACGGGTATCACAGGCCTGACTGTCCATTGCCGCACAACGCCAATGCGTCCCCGTGAGCGCGCAATCCGTGATCAACTCCGCATGGTGGCGGAGATCTGTCACGAAGCTGGTGTGGCTTGTGTCATGAACGGCGATGTCACGTCGCGTGATCAGGGACTCGCGCTCATGAGCGAGTACGGCGTTGACGGAGCAATGATTGCTACCTCTGCCGAGACGAATTCGTCCTGTTTCCGTGCTGAGAAGGACGGTGGTGTTGCGGATTGGAGAGAGGTTGTCTATGAATATCTGAAGCTCTGCCTGGAGGTTGAGAACCGACTGGGCAACACGAAGTATCTGATGAATATGTTGATCCCTGGAAAGAACAAGGAATTCAAGGAGGCCAAGCAATGCAAGACTTATCTTGATATCTGTCGCAGTCTGGGCTTCGATGATTTGGTTCCCACAGCTATGCGTGTTGATGAGATCTTGGACCTCTCACAGAAGTGGGAGTCTGTTCCTGCTTCTGCCCCTGCTTCTGCGCATTTAGCTGAGACCTCTGAGGGCAAGTCCAAGGCTGTGCAGCATGCTATGGAGTCCGAGGCTGCTCGTGCCGCTGGTGGTGGCCCTGCGAGGTCTAAGGCTACTCCTGCTGTGCAAAATGGCTGTGGTCCCATCCGCAGGACTTCTCAGCCTGAGCAAAAGGCCAAGGTTGATGAGCAGCCCGCAGTTGATGCCGCTGTTCCTCCTCCCGTGGATACTCAGCCTCAGACTCAGACTCAGCCTCAGGTGGCCGCTTAATCGTGCTTTTCTTTCCCCTTCTTTACTCTAATCATCAGCACGGTCTCGGTCAACATGCATAGCTACTGGTTTTTTTTCTTTTATGTTCTTTCTTTTGGTGCATCCATGGTGTTTTTCCCCATCATTTTCTGTCATATTCATATAGATTCCCCACTTGACACAATACGAACATGACAAAATACGAACATGCACCGTTATACATGCTTGTCATTGATGAGTTAACTTACAAGCTCTCCAAAACACCACATAACTTATCACAATACCCACTATCTACCAGTAATACTGTTATGTTAGAATCCACTGAATACCACGGCAGAGTCTACAAATGAACAAGATAATAGCCAAATGCAGTAAATTTCTAAGTGTAATGCACAGCAGTATAAGAATATGCACCGAATCGCCCACAGCTCACAATCAAAGTCAAAAGCCACCATTCACACAGAAAACCACCCAAAAACACCATGTACTAACTAATGTAATGCCATACTGCCAGTATATCGAGAATTCACCATGCAAACAAACATAAGCACATCATGCCGTGTCCTCGCCACAGCCATAACAAAGCCAATAGCCATAGCAATGGCCAATGGCCATTAACCTCAATTCAATATCGCCATCAACCACATGTCGATTCCTATAACCAATTCGACAGGAAGACTCAAATCACAAGCAGAAGTCAAGCCAAGCATTCTCACTCAAACTCAGACTCTGTTTCGTTCGCAATCTCCAACTCCCATCCCCTTACTCAACCTCCACCACCTGATCCTTAGACCCATTACCATTCTGCAATTCAGCCATCATCATCCCCTCAACAACCTTCATACCAGCCTCCTCACCCTTCTTAGCACCAGCCTCGTCCTCGCCCGCAACAGCCTGATCAAGCGCAAGCTTAGTCTGACCGAGGGCGTAGATCTGCTCTTCGATCGTACCACGAGTAACAAGGCGATAAATCTCCACCTCGCGAGTCTGACCAACACGATGAGCCCGATTCTCCGCTTGGACGTCCTCCTGCGGGTTGAATGACGAGTCGAAGATGATGACGCGGTTCGCGCAGGCCAGGTTGATACCCGCGCCACCGGCCTTCGTGGAGAGGAGGAAGACGGGGATCTCCTCACGCTCGTGGAAGGCGTCTAGGATCGATTGGCGGTCTTCGACGTTGGTGCGGCCGTCTAGACGGACGAATTCGATTTTGAGGGTTTCCAGGACGTGTTCGAGGATATCCATTACCATGGTGAATTGGGAGAAGATGAGGGTTCTGTCTCCGTTGGCGATGAAGCGGGTGAGGAGCTCGCGGAGGTGTTCTACCTTTCCGGAGTCCATCCATTCGTCGTTCTTGAGTTTGAATTTGCCCAGGGAGTTGGGGTTCTCCACGCACATGTGGTGGCATTCGAAATCGTTGTAGGGGAGGAGTTCTTCGAGGATGATTTTTGGGTCAGAGAGGGACCATTTGTCTTCCTTGAGACAGGCTTTGGACATCTTTTGGAGGATCTCGTCTGTGTAGTGGCGGCGAGCGAGGAGCGGGTGGATGGCTGCTTGGCGGAGCTTCATGAGGATGTTGGCAGACTTGGAGCCGGTCTTCTTGCCGGCTGCGCGGTCTGCGAGAAGTTGGCGAACTTGGTCTTTTTCGTGCTCGTAAATATCGATTTGGGAGGATTTCATCTCACACCAGCCGACGTGGGAATGCTTGGCGGGGAGATCAATGACCTGGTGCTTCTTGCGTCGAAGAACGAATGGCTTGAGCATGGACTTGGCGCGCTCGATACGTTGAGCCGAGAGCAAGGTTGCGTGGGACTCGTCGCTGGTCTTTGCTTTGGTTGCAAAGACGGCCTGGAGATCTTCCTTGTGCTCACGGAACACAGACGGTAGAATGAAACCGAGAAGAGAAGCAAGCTCCTGCAGGTTGTTCTGAAGAGGCGTACCAGTCAAAAGGAGTCGGAAGCGGGCAGGAATGCGAATGAGCTTTTCATAGAGCTGAGATTGATGGTTCTTCAACATATGACCCTCGTCGTAAACGCAAACAGTAAAATCAACATCGCGAAGGAACTTAGCATCGACCTTCGCCTTTGCAATTGTATAAGTGGTAATGACAACATTGATGTTATCGCGGTTGTCCTCGATCTGCTCTCGAATCTCGGCACGCTGGTTGATACCGGCGTAATAAGGCATAACTGAGAGGGCCGGGCAGAACTTCTGGAATTCACGGAGCCAGTTCTCAATGGTAGAAGATGGCACCACAATCAGATGAGGTCCTTTGATGCCTTTCTCAAAGAGATGGGCCAAGAACGCAATGACCTGGCAAGTCTTGCCCAGACCCATGTCATCAGCTAGGATACAGCTCAATTCCTGCTCAAAGAGAAGTGAAAGCCAATTGATTCCGACCACTTGGTAATCCTTCATTTCAAGGTCATCTGCCATGATAGCAGGCTGACCGATGAACCGGGACTTGCGCATCGGGACCAGCGAATCTTCGTCGTCCTCGTCAGCTGATTGGTGATCAGACGAGGGAGTTGCGATGCCTGAATCGTGTGACTTGGGGTTGGGGATCTTAGTGAGCTCGAGCTCGCCTTCCTTCTTGCCAAACATGTCGACACCCCATTTCTTCATTTCCGCAGTGATGGGTGCACCAATCGTCTCTACTTCAGCAACCAGCGCATCGATAGCCATATAGCCAGTCCACATGTCGACACACTTGTCAACAATCTTCTCGCCAATGGGCTTAGGGGCTTTACCGCCCCGCTTACCCTTGGGCTTGGTGGTCTCTGGAACAGGAGCAGAAACAACGCGAACATCATCAAGAGTCTGGAAGGGACGGCTCTTGATGATGATTTGGGCCTGTTCCTCAGGAATCGCCGCAATATCAGCCAAATCACGAACGGCGCAAGTGTTGAAGAATTTCAAGACCTTGGAATCCAGTCCGCCAGCGGTAGGTTCCTGAATCCGAACATCTGAATCATCTGAATCACTCATCATGGCTTCGGGGGATTCCGAGCGAGGGGAGGCCATTCTGCGGCCCTTTTGCAGACGGTTAAGAGTCTTCTTTGGTGGACTATCATCGGAATCAATTATCACGGGCCGAGCCGGTGAGGCAGTGCGAGAGGATTTGGGACCACGAACAAGACGGCGCCGGGGCTTGTTTTCCTCATCGGAGTCCTGCGTCTTGGTGGGTAAATTCATAGCAGCCCACTTGTCGTGGATAGTCCCACGGGCCTTGATCTTCTGCTTGGCCACAGGGATGGGACCTGTTGTAGCTGGCGAAGCCAATTCATCTTCAGACGATTCAATCTCAACGGTCTGGACACCATTCGTCGGGGCACTGTCGGCCAAAAGGTTGAGGGCGTCGTCGTAATTACCTTTGGCCTGTACAACAGCATCAATAATCATCTGTACGGGAATATGAGGCATAATCTTGAGAATGCGCTCGACCTTGATGCGCAATCGGTAATCTTGGATGAAGGTAATATCGGGGGTCGATGCAAAGGCAACGGGCTGTGCGCGGGAGGGCATATCCTGTCGAACTCTCTTCATAGCGACGCCCTTCATGTTCGAGTCACCCATCTCGTCTGCAGAGCGCTTCATGGAAGCAGACTTGGGATCGTACATTGCCGAGGCAGTAATTTCGCGAAACCGATCCATTGGACCGGCGTCGGGGCGGACAGGGGACTCCATGACTTTTTCTTTTTCGGGGCTGCGAACGGTTTTTTCAAACATGGCCGGTTTGATATCTGTGCTGCGCCAGTGTTGCTCGTCCTCAGACGAACCGCCGCGATAGGTTGGACCGTCGTCAAGATCGAATACCGGCTTTCTTTTGGCAGGGCCGGCGGAGGGAGGGCGGAACTGGGTTCCTGAGGGGGCAATCAAAGATGAGAGTAAGCCTCCTTGCGGTTGAGGCTTTCGAGGAGGGGAAGAAGCAGGACCGGTAGGCGAAGAAGCGGCGACTTGGATAACAGTATTCCGCGAGTAGGGATTGTCGACGAGTTGAGTCGGCTGTGTAAAACGCTGGGAAGGAGTAGCGATCGGGAGAGTTGCTATAGTTTCGTACTCGGGTTCAGGTGAGGGAGTTTTATGGGGAATGTCAGAAACAGGGTCCATAGCGATCTGTGAACAGCATCGAGGCTCTATCTGATGGGCTCCTCAGGAACTGTTTTTTCTGCCAGGGCGGAAACGCGAATACTGGACGCGCCCAATCACGTGTAGCGATTGATTAAACAGACAATAAGCGATATAATGAGGATTGTAAGTGAATAGAAAATGACAATATAAAATAGTCTCAATAACAATTTGTCTGATCACTATGTATTTACTCTCTCTATTATATACTCCCAACCAATCAAAGGCTGGCATGTGACTGCGGGAACTAGTCTCCGCCCTTCACTTTGTTCCACTCGTCGCTTCGTCTTATACTTCTACACTCTACCCTTTCTCGACCTTTTGGACCATCAGATCAATGTCTGCCCGTCGTCCCCATGGTCAGTCCTACGCGGACGTGGCCAAAGCTCCAGCTCAAGGCAACTCCGATGTGACCCCTGCCGTCCCTGCGTAAGGTTCCTGAAAGTCAACTATGAGACCAACTCTCATACATATCTGATATAGGGATGTGATCTACAAGCTCCTTGGCTTTACAGCAGCCATGGTGGCCGCACCCATTGGAATGTACTTTCTGACGGTAAACACCATCTTCAGCGGTATGTCCCTTTTACTTCCATGACAAGCTTGTCTTCTGACCAGATATGTCATACAGGCAGCTCCACACTTGCTGGAATCACTGCTGCCGTCACTGCCAATGTGGTCCTGTTTGCATACATTTATGTGGCCTGGAAAGAAGACCAAGAGGACAGGCAAGCAGGCAAGCCCAAGTCAGATTCAAAGAAAGCTCAGTAAGCTCCGCGTTGAGTCAGGTGCTCCTGCTTTGGCGTTGCGGTATCAATTCGGGTTCCACGGGTCATTTGTACACTACAACACATTCAAACTATCTGCAATGGAAAAAAAGTAAGATTGACCAAGTCATTCGTGTTGTTGGATATCATAAGAACAACCACGCCCCAGACAAATCCGAGGCACATAAAGCCCCAACACATCCATCCATCCTAGTCAACCCATATTCAAGTAAGATATTCGCAGTCCATGTTGAAGGAACCACTTATAGAGAAAAGACTATACCCACGAGATAGACAGAATACGCCGATATGCTGTGCCGAAAGGAAACCACATCCCAAATCACACACTATTTTAGTAACTCATATTTTAGGTAGGTCTGCGCTTGACAAACTCCTCTAGATCCGCCTTGGTAGCAACACCAAGCACAAATTTGCGCGCCACATCCGTAACAACAGCAAACTGCTGCTTCTCGCGCTTATCGCCATTAGGCCCAGTCTCGCTTTCAAAGAAACGTTCCAGCTCTTCCAGAGGTGTTTCCATCGTGATCACGTGGTAGATGCCGCGCTTGCGGTTGAAACGCTGCATGGCCTCGGAGACGGGGTCGGAGTCCTTCACCGCGCCGGATGCGAGGAGCTCCTTTAACCGGGGGATACTGAGGTAGCCGAGCAGGGAGCGCTTGGTTGAGGAGATGACTGTCAGGTGGGTGTAGTCGCGTTCGTAGGCGGCCATGAGGGCATTGGCGATTGGGTCGTGGGAGGAAATGGAGAGCGCAGGTGGGGGGTCGAGGTCTTCAATGGTTGCCTGTCTCGAGGTTAGCTGGGGTTTGATTTTTCATGGACGGGGAAGCGGACCCCGCGGTACTTGTCTGCCCAGGCAGCTTGAGGGCCTGCATCTGAGGTTTCTGTGGGGAGCTTCTCGCGAGTGAAGGCCTCGCTGCCGGTGAGGTAAGATGCCATTTTGGTGTGGTCGGAGGAGGGGTAGTAGGTGGAGGGTTGTTGTAAAGTTCTAAATTAGGTGGATATTGGAAGAATTGACCAGGGAGAGATGTGAGGTATCCCCGAGCAATGAGTCGAGAGAGTCAAGAGAGAAAAGGACTGATTTGATCAAATTCGGCACCTTTTCTGTTTCTCCACCGCCAAGACTCCCGGGCCCATACGTCACCTTGGAGGGGCATGTTACCATCTATACTCTACACTTGACAATCTATTACGGATATTGAATGAGATAGAAAGACTCGAGTCGCTCTATTCAGGAATGTCAATATCTAGGATCCCCCCACTATCCCACTATCGGTGGAGATCCGATTCTGCTTTCGGCTGTTTAGACGTGACTCCACTTGATACCCACAGTCCCTTCGATAGATCTTCGATTGATATCAGAGAGTTGACCGTCAAGACCAGCTGATTATCTCTATAACAGCCGTCGTGGAGCAAGCTTCGTGATCCCCTGAGCTACAACAGCACGATATACGTCAACAAGACGCAATGTGGGCCACAATCTACAGATATCACGCATGTATATTGAGATAGCAGAAGTGTACCTAGGTATACTCGAACACACGTTCGGGTGCTCAGTACTACCTATGCAACGTGGTGCAAGGCTTTCCGAATAAGACTTCATCTCAAAGCCAGATACACGCAGCCAAGAAGGGCCAGGTACATTAGTACTCTAACGCGGACGGGCCCAAAGCCCAAATCATGTCATGTAGTCTTAAATTGGCCCCAAGGCCCAGGGTAAGGATGCAGCCTTGAACCTTTGATAAAGACCCGGGGCCCAGATGATGTAATGCGCCATTTCCCCGAAGGTCTCTCTCTTCTCTATCTTCCCCCACAGAGTACAAGCGCAGACCCGGTAAACAACCAATGTTGCCACAGTCAATCATCAAGATGCTGGCTGCTGGACACCCTCTGGGTCCTTCAGCTACTCAGTCTGAGTCCAAGCCAGCTCCCAAAAGACCCACACCGTTCGCCGCGTGGAGCGCCATAGATGACGCCAAAAACAAAGCCGACGCAATCGCTCACGAAGCAGGTCGCGAATACAACCTGGCGAGCAAGAAGGCTCAAGAAAAGGCTGGCAAAATCGAACCTGGTTCACTCAAGTACTACGCAACATGCAGCTTTGGTGGTTTGCTCGCCTGTGTAAGCAGCTTTGCCATTCCTCTACGTTCTCGTAACAGACATTCATCAGCATGTTTTGACTAGGGTCTGACCCACACGGCCGTGACACCTCTTGATCTGATCAAATGCCGTCGCCAAGTAGATCCCAAGCTCTATCAGAGCAATATCCAGGCTTACCGGACCATCCGTGCTGCTGAGGGGATCCGGGGTGTGTTTACTGGCTGGAGTCCTACTTTCTTCGGATACAGTGTGAGTTTACCCACCCAGCACAGTCATCACCTACTAATCAAATAATTAGGCCCAAGGTGCCTTCAAGTACGGCGGCTACGAGTTCTTCAAGTCTTTCTACAGTGACCTCGTTGGCCATGAGAATGCCAAGAAGTGGAAGACCTCCCTCTACCTAACGGCCAGTGCTTCGGCCGAGGTCATCGCTGATTTAGCTCTTTGTCCCTTTGAGTCTGTCAAAGTGCGCACGCAGACTACCATTCCTCCTGATATTCGGGGCACATTCAGTGGTATTTCCGATGTTGTTTCTAAGGAGGGTGTGGCCGGGTAAGTATCATTTAAATTCCCATTTCGTGCCAATTTACCGTGTTGAGATGCATACTGACTATACCAGGCTTTACAAAGGCCTCTACCCTCTCTGGGGCCGTCAGGTCCCATACACCATGATGAAGTTTGCCTCTTTCGAAACCATCGTCGAGATGATCTATCACCAACTGCCCGGCCAAAAGTCCGACTACAACAAGGGAGCTCAGACTGCCGTTGCCTTCAGCGCTGGATACCTGGCTGGTATCCTCTGTGCTGTGGTGTCGCACCCAGCCGATGTGATGGTCAGCAAGTTGAACGCGAATCGCCAGTCTGGTGAGGCTTTCGGAGCTGCTATGAGCCGTATCTACGGAGATATCGGATTCCGTGGATTGTGGAATGGCTTGCCCGTTCGAATTGTAATGATTGGCACTTTGGTGAGTTCCATTGCAGAGTGATATATATGATCTTTTGAGTTGTGCTAACGTGATGTCATAGACTGGTCTGCAATGGATGATGTATGTTCTCTATTTCTCCCTTCTTTCACTCCTTTCAGTATATACTGACATTCATTTGCAGCTATGACTCCTTCAAGATCTTCATGGGTCTCCCTACCACCGGCGGCTTGAGCGAGGACAAGAAGGGTAAGTAAGCCAAATAACACAAGCGATGAATTGATAGTATGTCCCATGTATGCCCATGGCCATGATGTATGTTATCCAGAATGCAAGTGTCGAAATCAATCTCAATCTCTCTCATCCGTAATATCCTCCGAGTCGAAGCATATGCCAAGCTCGCTATCAGGACGAACCACTTAGTCACACTCCCACCAATCGGCGCCTGTTATCTTATCAAGAACGTCACTACAAACAGCCCAAGTTAATAGAAAATCGATAGAAAATAAGTCGCAACAATCCAGTGCTGGTGACTCTTATATAGCCAGTCCCGGTCGTATTTCATCTAGATCCTCCACTTCACCTCCACTTCGGATCTGTTCCAGATCTAACACCAAACATCTGACATCCTAGATCTACAAGCCCAAGCTCAGTAAGTGGATATCCTTTTTATATCTAGATCTAGTTCTGTACCTGCATACGGAAGTCCCTCTTCCCTGCCTTATCGTCTTGTGATCTATCATGATAAGGATCGCATCGCCCCCCTCACCCCTCCTCCTCACACCCTCACTCTAACACCTCACAGACAAAATGGGTGAACACGATGCACCAATGGTCTCGCACGGCCGAGGAGGTATATCACCCCTTTCCCCATTCTATTCCATCCCACTGCTATGATACTGATATGTATACATCGCAGGCCAGGGCAATATCGGCCATGATGACACTGAGTACGAATCCCCGCACTTGCACCACCCACCACACCACATCCTACAACATCACTTCAAACCCAACATGATATAATCCAATACACAGGACCACAAGAGGTATACTTAAAAATGGTTCTAACGAGAATAGATACGTGGACGGCGAGATCGTCCGCGAAGGCGTCTACGGCGACCAGGGCGATGGTGCTTACTCTGCTGGCGTATGTACCTACAACCACTGTCCCTCGCATCAACTTCAAGATGCAGTGCACATACCTCGAGCGATCATAACTAACACACATCCAACAGCGTGGCGGCGCAGGAAACATTGGCTCCCCAATGGTCCGCCCAACCTCCAAGGTCCCTCATGACAGCGAGATGATCCCCGAGTTGGCAGTCAGGGATTCCACTGATGAGAATTATCATATTGGGGTGAGTGGCTGGTTTCTGTACTTTTTATATCTATGTCCATATCCAGATCCCACATTCTTGGCTGGATGAAGTACTGGATTGGACTTTGTTGAGATCGATTGCTAACTGGGATTTGGATAGCGCGGCGGCCAAGGAAATATCCACCTCGACGACGCTAGCCTGAAGGAGAAGAAGGAGAAGGAGGAGAAGAAGAAGTCCCTTCACCATGATGGGTTGGCGGATAAGTTGAAGAACAAGTTGCTTGGGAGGAAGTAACTTTGATTATCATCGACTTATCATTATCATTATCATGTGATACCGTTGTGATGGGGTGGAGAGGTAGATGAGGTAGTCAGGTTCTTCTTGATGTTTTTGTTGTTTTGTGATTCCCATTTACTGTTGGTAGACGTTGAGTTTGAGTTAATGGATTGGATGCGTTTTTGATATTCTTTCTTTATCTTGTGTACGATTGCCATTTTGAAATACGTCTGGATCGCTCGCTGTACACTGCTCTTTTATCTCTAATCGGTACTATACTGACTTGTGGATATATGTTTGTTTTGAGGAACTTGAGATCCATTCAATAGGCAAATCTCATATAGATACAGCATTGTTAACCAGTCGAGTTACATATTTCCTGAGACTCCATTTTTTCAATTCTTGTCCTAATATACGCACAGAGGATTTCAGACAACACATTATGTTCAATTCCCATTTATTTATTCTATTAGTTTTGAACCATTAGTTTTGAACCATTAATTCTGATATTAGCATCAATATCAAACCCAACCTCCCATTTTAACCAGCCTGAGTATAAACCGTAGTATTACTAACCGCCTCAGCAGGCAACCACTGCCCAGCAACAGTATTATTATAAGTAAGCTGAGCGAGCGTAAAAGTATGCAGCTCAGAGACCAAGACAGTAGCATCCAACGGCAAGACGCGATGCACCATAGCATTCTGCGTAAGCATGGAAACATATTCCTCGCCCGAAACCGACGTAACAGCCGCATCGAAAGTGACACGGATCAGCGCATCCGGCGAATTAGCACTAAGCAGCGACGTCGACAACAGCCACAAGGCCGGGCCGCCGGCCACGCTCGACGCATCGGCCAGATGCAGCAGGCCGGCATTGGTGCCGAGCAGTGGATGCTGCAGCTGGAAGAACTCCATCTCGCCAGAGGAGCCGATGTGGCCGAAGGTGCCTGTGCCGCCGGTGGCGTTGCCGGCGAGCGTGAACCACACGCCGCTCAGCGGGCCCGAGGCGCTGATCATGCCGACGGCGTTGTTGCCGACGCTGGGCGGGATCGGGAGCTGCGCTGTCTCGCTGCTGGTGACGTTGATGCGCATGATGGAGGAGTCGGTGTCTTGCGTGACGTAGATAAGGCCTGTTGTCGGCTCTTCCTTGATGAATACTGGGCTGTTGAGACATGGGTAGAGGGTCTGGTCGGTGCTGTTGGATATCGAGGCTGAGAATACGTAGTACTGGCCTGTTTGCTCGGATGCGACCTTCAGTCCGGCCCAGACGCGGTCTCCGATCTCGAAGACGCAGTGCGGGCCGTTGCCTGGCGCTGGGATGGGGATCGTCTTGATGATGGATGGCGCGGTTGAGAGGTTCTGGCCCGGGTCGACGAGTAGGAGTTCGTTGTCGCCTTGTAGTGAGAGCCACATCATGCCGGGGTGGACGGTTGATGGCCACACGCCGTGTAGTTCGGATGTACTGTTCTTTCCTATGTGGAATGAGTGAAATGCAATCGGCTCTTCGGTGGTTGGGTCGAGCTCGATCTTGATGAGCTGGCTGTCGGACATTTGCGTCAGCAGCACGAAGTTCGAGTCCGGCACGCGTGCAAACTCGTGTGTCTCGGCGGCGGCTGGCATCAGATACTCGGTGAGGCGACGGCTCACGAGCGCTGAAGCAGCATCCTGTGCTAATGCGGTGCTGGCGCCGAGCGTGAGCGCAAGCAGGAGCGACTTGAGATGATACCGCATTTTGAGGTTTTCTGCTTGGTATTTTTGAGCTTGATGTTGTTGCTCGTGGGCGAAATGCCCCCTTTTATGTTGACTGTCTGCCCGATCCTTTCTTCAAGCCACATCTTGTACTAGTAATCTGCTATACCAGATCGAATTGTATACAGTGTGGAACGCTTCACAATATTAGTGTTTACTAGTAAAAGCTTTTCGGCAAGACTTGTATGTTACAAAACAGCTAAGGCCCTGAACAGTTAGAATAAGAGAATAGATCGGATGTTCAACCAATCATGTCGAGCCGAGCGGAACTCGAGTGGGGCGGGCATGATTTGAATCGGTAAAGGATCGACACAGGGTGTTCACACTAGACCCGAAACGGAATGTCTAGAGCTACCTTATCAGCTGGTCGAACTTTTATGTTCCACTTCGACCTTGGGAAGTTCATATGCTGACAATTGAAGCGACTAGGTACTATTGGTAGAAACTAGACGTATGAGTACAGAGCTATGGCATATATACCTACAGTAGTTAGTTATGTGTATTTCTGGTTTAACAAAACTACAAAGTAAGAAATGAAATACCCGAATGATATTTGATATTTGCAGATGGAGATGGAGATGAAGATGAAGATAGATCAAGTACAGAAGAACGCCATGGGGATACAATGTACAACGCCACAGAACAGAGAATCAAAAGTCCGAGTCAAAAAGGTAAGATAGCATAAATAAGTGAATCCAGTTTCCAGTCCATCGCATGTCCCATGGTCCCATGTATCATAACCTCATTACAGCATGCGATATGAAAACAACGAGTACAGAAATCAAGAAAGAAGAAAAGAGGGAAATGAGAAACGCCAGACCCCAGACAGAACAGATAGGAGAAAACACAACAAAAAGATAAAATGGATGCACGCATCGATAGCAGAAGTAGAGCCCGGGTATACAGATCACTGTGCCCAGATCAACACAGCACAATCACACTACACATCACCCTGCAGCAAAGACCGAATATCACATTCAATCCTTGCTAAAGCGGCGCTTGAACCAGCTCTTCCGCTTATCCCCACCAGACTGACTTCCCTTCTTCTGAAGCACGCCAGCTCCACCCCCACTAGCAACAGGAGACTGGGTATGAGCCGGAGGCGCAGGAGCAGGTCTTCCACCAACAGGTCCACCCCAGTTTGGATCTCCAACCGGCTGCACCTGCTGGCCGTTCTTGGGGTTACCGCCAAATCCACTGAAGCCATACTCGGTCTGCGCACGCTCGTCCATGCGCTGCTGGTATAGGGCTTGCTGCTGGAGCTGGTCGTTTGAGCTATTCAGAGAACTGGGGTCTGTGGTCTGGTACGGGTCTGTGTTTCCTGATCCGCAGCCTGAGGCTGTGACGTTGTCGTAGGATCGTTGGTAGCCGTGGCCGGATTGCGGGTATCCGTATTGGTTGTTGTTGTTGTGCATTGTGTTTGTGATGTTGCCGTATTGTGGGTCTTGGTAATTTGGAGAGGTAGGCGCTGTGGAGGTTGAGGCGCCGCGCGGGTATTGGGGTCGTCGGGAAGAGCGGTTGTTGCCGTTGTTGTATGGGTATGGGTTTTCGGGGCCTTGTGGGGTGTTTTGATAGGCGTTTATAACGCTGTCTGGGCGGGATTGAGAGCCGTAGGGGTTTTGTTGGTCGTATCGGTGATTGTTTTGGCCTAGTGGTTTCATGTTAAATGGTGGACTGAGATAGATTGGTGGTCATCTTACCTCCGTGGTAGCTTGTTCGTCTGCTGAAATCACCCATTTGTGATCCTGCATCTTCTGCCCAGTGTTAGACTCCATTCTTCCTCCCATGGCCGGGGGTCGCTGAACCACGTACCTGTTCTGGCATATGCCGCACGACTGCTGCCATAAATGGCCGCCTCAAACGATCGGATGGTATCTAACGGTCGCTCGAAACGTGGACGGGTGGGGTTTGACAGGTCGGGATCGGCTACGCAAGGGATTAGCAAGAATTCCACGGACGGTGGAGAATAAAGCTTACTGATAACATTCCCGTATTGATCTTTGTGTTCCATTTCGCGGAGGGAGCCCAGATTGGACTTCTCCAGCGCCATCATACCTGTTGACCGTCAGAATTGGACAAATGCGACCGGTGAAGGTGGAAAAATCAGCGGTGGACACCTACTGGGTTGGAGTTCGTTCATGGCGACCAGCGGATCGGCTTTGGTGTGTAAACTGTGACGAGCTTTGTCTTGGGAAGATTCCGAGGGGCCACGTTTATGGCTGGATGTGCCTGATTCTTTTGACTGAGACTTGTCAGATTTGACGCTGAAGCCACGGCTTCGTTGAGGTTGGGGGGCGGCCATTTTAGTAGGTCCACCGAACTTGGTGCTAGCGTCCGAGATCAAGGCAAGGTCTGAAACGGCTGTGATCTGCTGTGGAGTGGGTGGAGGTGCCAAGCGTAGACAGCGAGGATGAACTGTGAAAGGGTCTAGTGGACTGGGTTTGGACTGTGTTGTGTGTTGTGTCTCTGTCTCTGTCTGTGTCTATGTCTGTGTCCGCAAGTTGTCTATGTGAGACACGTTTTGGGGGAAGGCAAACTGAGGGGTCCGTTCAAGATGGTGGAGACGGTAGTACAATGAAGTTAGACAATGAGAATCAAATGGCTGTTCAAGTTTCAATTCGAAAAGAATGAAGAGGGAGGAAAAGAGAGAAACCAGAGGAGATGACAAGGCAAAGATGGGAGATGGCAGATGGCAGATGGTTTTGAGCCACGAGCCACGCAACACGGCTTGTCACCAGCCCCGAACTGCAGACAAGAATAACCACTGATTCGAGTTCGGATTAATTCAGTTTAGGTTAATTCAAGTCAATTCCATTCAGACCTGAAAAATACACCCCATTGGTAATGTCTCTCCGCTCCCAAGGAACCAAGTGGCAACCTCGAGATTTAAGCGACTCATTTCCGGTCTCTAGGCCCCGTGCAACAGTACCTGCGCCTGAAGGGAAAAAGGATACAGGGAATGCCATGTTTGCTCCATTTCCTTATACTCTCTTGAATAATCCTTCAACCTTCCAACCCTCGAACCCTCCAAATTGACCTTTCTCCTACAATGCAAATCTCCCCATTCTCCAACTCCAGAAAGCCGGGACAGTCCGTTCACACCCGCTGATTCCGGCGACATCCAATTGGCCATCACACCAGATTTTATTCCAGGTCCAGTATTCGATTTCCATATGCATATGGGCTGTGCACTGTGCACTGTACTGTACACTGTGCACATGTGATAGTACTAGTAGTGGTTTGTGAGAACGCATACATGAACGCCAATCACGTAACGTCATGCGAACTAAAGCAGATACCCTGTCGCGTATCTGCACAAGTCCCCTGCCACCCGTTCGAGTGGCTGGGGGTCGAGATACAGTACGATATTCGAATAAAACAGAGTGCAGAATCTGCTGATGCATGAATTGTGACAATACACACACACAGCTACAAAATCATGGCTGAAGTTAGGGCTTGGATGTACGGTATTGCGCGTCTCTGTGAGTGGGGCGAACGGCGAACGTTTTTCGTCTAAAAATAGCTGGGTTTAGGCTGCATTTATTCACCTTTGCAGTTGCTCGGGCTGAACTTGTAGATCATTCATTGGTTTGACTTTTTCTGAATTTGGGGCGCGGACTAATGTGAGACACGGCACTTGGGCTACAGTATATCTGATATTGCGATCGATATCAACGACAGTGTACTTGTACAGTATCTTTAAGTTATTTAACGTTCAGATCGGAATGTGGACCCTCGAGACTGAAAATCTCCGCCACATTCTAGCCCTACCTCGGTATCAATTACTGCGCTTGTACTGGACGAACAAGCGTGCCGGTAAATATCAGATCCATTCCAGGCTCGAAACCACGTGGATTGATTGCGCGTGACCTGAGCCTCGTCTAGTTTGGGAGCTATACTTACCTATTTGGTCGATCGGTGCTGTATTTGGACTGTACTAGCGCTTGAGGCGCTGTTCCGCCGGGCTTCTAGAAGTTCTTCGTATACAGTCCAACGCCGTATTCCTCGGCAGTATTTGACGGCGTATGGATTGGCACGGGTTTTTGAATTGGATAACTTGGTAAGGTTATGTGTTTCTGGTTCGTACTAGTGTTTGGCGCGTATTTGTTCTATAGGCTTCTAGAAAATCAATTCGTGCGGTGGGCTGTTGCGCTGTGACGCCGAGTTTTCCGAGATTCTTGCCCCGGCTATTACGTGTGGCTCATATCCTCCGGCACCTTGAGGTTGACACCTTGGATAATCCATCTTGTCTAGAGCAGAAGTCTTGAATTACGCAATTGATGGAAAAAATAGCTGTTGAAAGTTTATACATTTTTAACAATGGCTCGGCGTTGAGTATGAGCGCGGGGGGGTATATATCTAATAAAACAAAAAAGCAAACACAAGGCATCCTCAAGAACTAAATCCGAGAACGATGCAATATAAAGCAACGCACCAACTAGCATTAAGCATTAAGCATTAAGCTCCGAGCTGGAATCAAAGGCTCAATCAAGCCGAAGAATCATCAGCCGTCTTCGTAGTCTCAGTCTGCTCCTCAACAGGAACCTGCACCTCATGGCTATGCTCCAATTCATTGAGCACAATCCAAGTAGGAACAAATGCCAACAGGGTAATACCAAAGTTAAGCCCAATGCTGACAAAATGGTTGGCATTACCCTGGGACTGCATAGCCCACGCAACAGTCTGACCAAGCGCCTCGAATCCACGCAGAATACCACAGTGGTAAGAAAGCGAGGACAGATCCGTACTGTATTGGCCAATGAGCCAGTAGAGGAATTGCTGGAATGCCTGACCACCAAATGTCCAGAAGAAGACCAGCGCATAGGATTTTCCGAATCCGCCAGTGAACCAGTCAAACAGGGGTGGTTCGGGCATATCGTAGAACTGCTTCTGGAGGATTGTCGCCCAGATCCAGGTTCCTGTCAGGATGATCACGATGGAAGAGAAAGCGATCTTGGCGCGGGTCTTGATGAAGATGGATTGGCGGTCTAGGAGGCCTGCTAGGATGAAGGAGGAGGCAATTCCGGCGAAGTTGGTGAAGAATGAGGAGAAGGCTCGCGAGCGCACGGTGAAGTAGTCTGTCAGCCAGGTGGAGAGGAAGCCGTTGTAGAAGTAGCTGATGAAGAAGGCGGGCAGGAGGAGGAGGACGCGGCGCGTTGCGATCAACTTGAAGGCGGCTTTGAACTCCTTTGCCCAGCTTTCCTGCTTGTGCACGATGACTGCGGATCTGTCTTTGCGTTGGACTTTCTCGGCAGGGCTGAGGAAGAGTGCGATGGGCAGGCCAAGGCACATGATCACGATGAAGACGATGTAGGTTGCAGCGCTGACTGTTCCTTTGCCGGAAGTCGAGGCGTTGAGGCCGAGACTGATGGCACCGCCAACGATTGGGCCGGCTGCCTTGGCTGTTTGCCAGATAGCTGTGTGATGTTAGCTCAAGAGATCCGATGTAAAGAGTGGAGTCCGAGGACAAGGACAGAACATACCGAGGTAGAAAGCGCGCTCGCTAGGACTGGGATAACCAATAATGATAGCAGCCTCCGCAGCCCAGAAGAAGCCAGCAGAGATACCACACAGCGCACTACCAAAGAGCATGAACCAAGTGGTAGGGGAGTAGTTGTTGGTGTAGAGACCAGCGCCATAGATAGGGTATCCGATGGCACCAATGACAAGACCATAACGAAGACCAATGCGATTGTTGATCGCACCAGCAGCAACACACACAACGGCGAAAAGACCATAGACAAGCGCGTTGGCCGCGGACACGGCGTAGGGCTCAGCGGCACCACCAGCACCAACGTTGTTCAGCGCATCCCACATACCAGGTGCGGTGAAGGACACACCACTCGCGACTGCGATCTGGAAGGGGATCGACCTGAAGAACGACCAGCGCGAACGGCGCATCTGGGTCTGAGGCAACTCATGCTCGATCTCGCCTGCGGGAACGGTCTCGGTGGACATGATGAGCGCGAGACTCGTAGACTCCGATCTGAGTCCTTGTGATATTAAACAATAAGGGAATGGCAAAGAAAGAGAAAAGAAAAGAAGGACAATAGAGATTGATAAAAAAAACGTGCATTGTGGGTCCTGCAGATGTCGTGCTCAATGCCAAGGGGAGAGCCGCAAAGTTTGACACATCGGAACCAGATTCTTTAATTCGCCTTCGACACAAATTCGGCAATTCATCGTGTGTTGAGGCGAAAGGGACGGGGTGTAGTGTCAATAGAGGGCAGTTGGAAGCTGATATGCATATCAAACCCACTTAACCCAAATCTGGACTCGCGCACGCCGGATCTGTGAGAAGCATCGACCAGCGACCAGTGACCAGCCACTAGTCACCAGGATAGCACGATGGTGTGATAAATAGATTAATGCCAAAGCCCATCGGAATCTGCTGCAGTAGCGTGCTGCTGGCGTGATGACTCAACAAATTCAAGCCTAGCCCAGCATAGCCAATTCCGTGGCGTCTATATTTGCCGACAGCGCAGTCATGGTTAGCCACAGTAACAACGCACACACGAGATGGGCTAAATCTGCAGGTTATATATCAACCGAGAATAATACTGTTTATACAAATCGGTAGTATCGTCAGTACATCAGTAACCCACCATTCTGTAAAAAAAAATGGAAAGGCTCAAAAACGAGAGGTATCGAGGAAAAAAAAAACTTGTTCAAACCCCGACCCAAACCGGTCGCGCGAACACCTCGGATAACAAGAACTGGTCCCCCGGCGCATCCCTCCAAGCCGGCAATGATATACATCAACCAGCCAGCCCGTCCCCGCCTCTAAGACGAAGGGAGAGGGGAAATCTAATCCACTGTGATCGCATTGAACCTGGAAAAGTAAGACAAGGGTTCCCAGTGATTCAGAAATTGCGGGGGCGATCAGCATCATAGCCCGCACCTAAGGAGCGGGAAGCCGGATATCATAGGCAGCGCCGTTAAACAGGGTAAAACGACAAAGATTAATTTGAGACATCGTAGATCTGTATCGGAAGGACATTGGCTTGTGGTGAGTACGCGGACTGGGGGTTAATGTCGTTGTGTGGTGCTGATATTGCTCGGCGGTCTCATTGGCTGGTGTATAGTACTTGGGTTTCAGCTAACGCTTTGAAGGTGAAAGGCTTGAGTCAGACTAATGATGGATAATGCATTGTTTTGATGACAGCATGACTATTGAATGGTACAGTAATTGATTCTGTCCTGCATGGTGCTTGTGGTAATTATGGTGCCATTGCTGTCTGTAACGTGGACTGCGGGGGGAGGTTACGCTGTCATCGCCGGAAACAGTCATGGTATTTTTGACGATGCAAAGCGTGGTGATTCTCTATAGGAAATGTAACTATTTAACCGGTTTTTATCTGGTAACTTTTTTCTTTGCTTGAGGCGATTCCAGTACAAGGGGAACTCAGTAAATACAGTGATGAAGAAATGGAATTATCAATTCATGTAAACGCTCATGTCCAAAAGCACAATGCTCATAATAATTTACTTTACAAACCCAGAACTAAGTCCGGATGTCGATCTTGTACTCTGGCACCGAGAAAGTGACAAATTCATCAGAGTAGAAGGCCTCGGTTCCGAAAGCCAAACTGCCCAGGAAGTCATCCTTGCTGGGGGGTTCGATGTCGTTCAAGTCGGCAGACTTCATCGAGTAAAGATCGGTGATGAGAGGGTAGATGTCACCCGTGAACTTCTCGGTGAAACCGCCGTTGACAGCGTCTTTGGAAACCCAAGACATGACATTCTGTCCTTCGCCGTTCTGGCCTGCGTAGAGCTCGCTGGAATCTGTTAGTATGTGCATCCGGTTAACCTCGGCATTCAACTTACAATGTCGTTCCATTCAAGTTTCTGGTGGCCTTGGATTTGTTCTTGAGTCCGATGGGCTGGGTGGCAGCGCCAATTTGCGCAAACCACACCATGACTTCGTACTTGGCATTAGTGCCGTTCTCTGCTTTAGCCTTGTCACTGTCCAAGAACATATCGATGGCCACGTTGGTGTTGAGATTGGCAGCTGTCAGATCATCACTGGATGTAGTCTCGACCGAAGCGTTACCACTTCCATATGTCCAGTGTAGGTCGAGATATAGCTGTTGCATGGAGTCCAAAGCCAATGGCAAGACATCATCGACCCGAATGTTGGAGTAGGCGTGCACAGGCTGAGTCTCTGGTCCAGCATCGAACTTCCAGTTGACGCTGAATTCTGGCGCAGTCTTTGTGGGATAGGTCTCGTTCTTGAAGGTGGTCACCTGTGACAGATTGTTAGTAACCGGTTGATCAAGTCGAAGCTGGAGAAACGTACATTCATACACAGCTTTCCAACAGTAGTATCAGTCACACCCCATTGGTTAGGGTTCACTGGGGTTGTCAGTCATTGTTCGCATCATTCGCATCATTCGGGTCGATTCACTCACGGGTGTATTGCTCGGTCTTGGACGGTGGTGTAATTCCCCATGAGAGATCACAGTACTCTGTCATTTGTGTGCCATGGACCGGAGTGGTACTGTTGTGATTGCCGCCGTCGCCTGTACTTCCACTTCCACCTCCACCTCCACCCCCTGGTGTAGTGCTATCATCTGTGTTTCCGCCAGTGAATAGTGGCTTCTGTCCGGTTGCTGCGCGGTGGGCATCGATGCCCATCAAAGCTCCAACGCTGCCCCCGACCGGGATGGCCACTAGGACCGCGTTGACGATCAATCCGACTCCAAATACCATCTTTCTAGCAAACAAAGAGCAATAACAAATAGCACAGAGCAAGCAACCAGCAAAAGCAAGGTGAAGAAGGAAATTTGAGAGGCAATCGACGGTGGAGGTGTGGACGATCGAGACTAAGACAGAATCCACCTGAGCCACCTGATAAGAAACCACTTTTTTTTGTGTACAATTTACTGTACAATGAAAAAGGTGGAACAGGAACAATACAGGCCAGGCACCGTAACGGCACATGCAACGCTGTTACCCGATGCACAATTTCCATATATTGATCGACATACTAGTCTCTGATTGGTCCATTCAAGGTTCCAGTCTGAAATTAAAAAGCAAGACCCTGGTTGATTACAATACCCATTACAGAAAATAACCAGAAAATGACCGAGCAAGGTACCCGCAAACGGTAACCGCCGTGGTTAACCCGAGAAAATTACGCGTTCCCAGCGGAATACCCCCAGAATACAGCCAAAACCATGGTAATCTATTTTTGTAGGCGTATCACATCTCTCGCCGCATGCGGTTCCACTTCCACTCTGAGCCCACAGTGTACCTGTGCTTGGCTGCGCTAGTCTCAGGGCTTAGAAGTCTTACCTCGATTTACTTAGATAAGAGGATTTCTTCCTTCTTCACATTCCTCTCCAGCTGGACCACGTTCGTTACATACCTCGGATCTACCCTTGGGAACATTCCTCTTTACTTTATCCTGCTCTTCAAGTACAAGGCTACTGCCTTGTCTCGTCACCATGGAAGGACGCTATGGCCATGACGATCAGGAAAAGGTTGAGATGGATGTCTATCGAGGCTATGGCAACAACAGCAGCTTCGAACATCCCCAGCCATATACTCCCTACTCTCCAGGAGCAAGAGCATTAACTCCGGTCCGACCGGGCCATTTCCCTACAGATGAGTATGGCCAGCAAGCGTGGCTCCAGCCCGCCACGCGCACCTCTGGAAATTCGGATTCCCTGCCAAACACACCCTGGGACTCGCGAACACCATACGAGTCACGGTCGGCCTCTCCCACGCTGGTATGCATCCCAATCTTGACCTTCCCACCTGATCATCATCTAATCGATCAATGAACAGTACCAGCAGAATGGAGTCGGAGAATCCCACATGAGTCTGGCTCCCCTCGTGACCGAGCCCGCTTCCCCCGGATTCGCCAAGGATTGGGTGAAATCAGGCTCTATTGCTCGTCTGTACGATCGAGACGATGCGGAAACTTGGAAAGGATGGAAACGTTGGGTCTTCGCTCTGGTCCCATTCCTCACGTTCGCCAACACGGGTATCTACTTGTTCTACCTCGGTTTGCGCATTGCATGCATCATCATGGCACAAAACATAGCCCAGGTCTCGTACGCCGGAGCTTGGGTTTTCGTGGCCATTGAAATCACCGTTGCTATTCCCTCGCTTATGCACAACTGCTGGACCATGTTGGCCTTGAAGAAGCGTGGCCGCCCAAAGCTGCGCTTGACCGGCAAGGACTGCCCTACTGTTGACGTCTTCATTACCTGCTGCGGAGAGGAAGACGAAGTCGTTCTTGATACTGTCCGTGGTGCCTGCGACCAGGACTACCCGCGCGATCAATTCCGCATCATTATCTTGGATGACGCCAGGTCCAAGACTCTGGAAGAGTCCTGCAGCCAACTCGCTGCCACCCACCCGAACGTCTATTATATGGCCCGTGAAAAAATCCCCGGCAAGCCCCACCACTTCAAGGCCGGTAACCTCAACTATGGTCTGGAACAGACTACTCTCCTACCCGGCGGTGCAGGCCAGTTCATGGCTGCGCTGGATGCCGACATGGTAATTACCAATTTCCCGCCCGTATTCAAATTGACATTCTGACGATTCGCAGATTCCCGAACAAGACTGGCTTCGTGCGATTCTACCCCACTTGTTGGTGGATCCCAAGATGGCCCTTGCATGCCCGCCTCAGCTCTTCTATAATACCCCTGCGTCCGATCCCCTGGCGCAGAGTCTGGACTTCTTCGTGCATGTTATTGAGCCGATCAAGGACGCGCTCGGTGTGGCTTGGTGTACTGGTTCCGGTTATATCGTTCGACGCGAGGCTCTCGAAGAGATCGGCAACTTCCCGCTTGGTTCTTTGGCTGAGGATGTCGCAACTTCGACTTTGATGCTTGGCAAAGGATGGAAGACCGCTTATGTGCACGAACCGCTTCAGTTTGGTACCGTCCCCGAGGACTTTGGTGGACATCTCAAGCAGCGTACGCGATGGGCTATTGGTACTGTGGACACGGCTGCCAAGCTCAAGTTCTGTCTGTTCGGTGATGCCGTTCGCCAGATGACTGTCGCTCAGCGATTCTCCGGATTCCTCTACGCCACCCTCAGTGTGTATACTCTGCTCCTGACCGCTTCGCTTTTCGCTATTCCTATCATTCTCCTCTGGGGTAAGCGCCTGGTCGCGTTTGCAACCGAAGAGCAGCTCCGCTGGTTGATTTGGTCCTGTTTCGCCGCAACTATCTCCAACCGTCTATGCGAGTTTGCTCTCTTCATCCCCGCCGGCTACCACACTGGTCAGCGAGGCTCCCGGTATCAATTGTGGATGTCGCCTTACATTGCCCTCTGTATCGTTCGATCCTTCCTCCTGCCCACCTGGCTCGGTGGTCAAACACAAGCTTTCAAGCCCACCGGCTCCCTCGGCTCCACTCTCAATGAGCGCGATGCCAAAAAGTCCAAGAATATGTTTGTCCGCCTCCGCGTCATCCTTCTCAATTACATGGCCAGTTTCCATCTGGCATTTGTGTACGTCACTCTCGTGGCAGTGGTGATCTCCTCCTACCGCTGCTGGGCCCAAAACTCCGGCTTCAGAGATATCATCTTGTGTCTGATTACGCACGCCTTCTGGCCCCCTCTCACTTTCCTCTTCATCTGTACATCCCTCTGGACACCGGTCTCCTACGCCATCGACCCGCCAACCATGCCAGAGCGTGAGGACCTCCTCACCCGCGATCCCAAGACCGGTGTCGCCCACCCAACAAAGAAGAGCAAGAAGATCGCCTTCGGCGGCCAAGCCGCATGGTTCGAACTCGAGTACACAGTTGCAACCATCGCAACCATTTTGGTCTTTGTCTACTCCTTCTTCTTCTAAACCTAGCTACCTGGATTTTCTACCAGTTCCAGACCCAGGTACACCTTTGCAATCTATCTGTATAGCTAACGTGTCACATGGTCCAATCTTATGCGGTGTTTTTTTTTTCTCCTTCTATCTCATTTCCATCCCAGAGTGTTCAGTTCTCTGTTACCCCCCAGACGTGCTTGGGTTTGATGTTTTCTTCTCCTTATGTGTATCTAGAACAATCCGGGATCTGGTTCGGTGGCGTTAAGCTTTTGGCTCTGCATCTGATGTTGATCTGCCCACCCCTCCCAATGCAATTGGTACCGGGTAAATCAAATCACTTTTTTTATATAAATAACTTTACCTTACATGATATCATCCGAGAGATCGGCCAAATGGATACATCTGTTGTTTACTTTTTGCGATACTGAGATTGTTTATGTAGACTTTGTTGACCTTGCATGGCTAATGCCCACTCTCCCGCCAATCGCGTGCTGATCGGCGGTTATTGTAGGGGCGCAGCGCGTTACGTTGCCTGGGTATCCATGCCATCTGACCTGTCTCTGATAAGCACGATTATGCGGTGTTGCTGTTCATCTTTAGGTTAATTCTTATTCGTACGGTGCATCGGTACTCCGTACTGTATTTCCAGTTAGTTTTTTGCACATTCTGGTATTTTATATCTCTAGTGTTTTATTCCCTGCTAGGGGTGACCCTTGACCTTATCAGAGTAGGCCCCGGGTACTAGCGCTGCTTAGTCGCTGGTGTTAGTCGCGTGTTTATTTTATATCACTTAGACCCTAGGAAGTCAGGACTTATTTTCCAAGCTCTACTATCACATCACCCTCCGCTAGACTAAGCCATACGTACGTAGGCTTCAATATAAGGGGACTTTCAGTTCGTTCTGATTTTTCGCTAACCAAGCTCCCCCGTGGTGAAAGCACACGGCGAGATTGGTGTTTGATTCTCTTTAATATAATCGCCATATATCCAAAAGAGTAATACTAGGTCGTCGAAATGCTTTCAAGTCCATTTTCTAGAGCGCGTGGTAGCTACGGCCTTTTTCACCGCCACGAAGGGCATGGGAAGAACCAAGCACGATGTTTCTGCCCTTCATAAATCCCAGACTCCGACGCCATATTGAATCAACTTGTGTATCTAGAATTGAATATTTGGCAGGTGCCAGCAGGTCTGTACCGTTGGATTGGCTGGTGTTGGAATGATTATTACATATGAAGTCCGATGAAGAGGGGAATTTATTACAGTAGAGAACTAAACAGCGGTGATCAATGCTTGATAATGATAGAAAGAAAGAGTTAACTTAAGGATACAATAAGAACAGGGAAGGTGTCCCGCTGGTCACGTGTCTCATCCTATGCCTGAAGCTGGCAGACCGTATTAGGTATATACTGTACAGTATGCATGCATATGTCCAACCTCAAGCTTTAAGTTACTGCACACTGCACACTGCACACACGGCAAGAAATACCCATCACCATGCTTCCCTGCATATGTATGCGTAGATCTCTCTGAACTTGCAGCAAAGTAAAATATATCCTGACCGCACATCCAGTATGGCAGGGAAAATACATATCCAGCCGCGTCATCATCTACACCTATCTTTGGAACGGGACGGGACACAATATTAGCAAATACTGTACAGAGGAAAGCCATTCCAGCGTAGGTGCATCGCATGTGCATCGCATGGATTTATTTAATTTAGTGGATCGCTGTTATCGTCACTGTCAACGTAACCGTGGACGTATTTGAGACGTAGACGTGCTGTAAGTTAACGTTGGGTTCAGTATCAATACAAGTAAAGTGCCGTTACAGCGTATAAACGAAATCGTGGTTCTCGCGGTCTGTAAGATCCATCCACCTTGGGAAGAGAGGTTGGTTAGTGAATACAACAATACGATAAAGTTAGATGGAGGAGAGGAGGTGTAGGGCTTACTCGCGACCCTCGACTCGCACATAATCAGCGCGAGAAATGATAGCGGCCTTGCGCCGATTCTCCTTGTTATACCACCACCAAATATAAAGCAGGATCATTAATGACACGCCCCAGCAGCAGATGATGATTATCTCGGCGGGGATGTAGCGCGGTGCATCCTGAGGGCGGAATGTTAATGGACCTGTATAGCACAATCCATCCATCAGCATACACATCCATATCCCATATCCATCATCTCTCAACACCCCTACGTTGATGTGAGTACTTACCGATGATATTCCCAACACAATACCCAATAAGATACAACGCAGCAACAGTCGTCTTCTTGGTATACCCTGCCACATTCGACGAAATCAAGGACAGCAGCGCAACAAATGAAGTCGGGAATGCCTGCGTCATGTAATACCCGATCAAGCGACCGATATTGTTCTCGAGTGGCAGTGCCACAATCAGCACAACGCCAATAGTTGCTGCCAAGAGTCCACCAAGACTACACAGGATTCGCTGGCCAGTTCGGTCGCCCATGAAACCGTTTGCTAATAGCGCGACTACTTCGACTGCGCCTGCCGGCGTGCCGTAAAGGAGGCTCTGTTCAGGCGTATAGCCGAAACTCGTGATCTAGCACGAGAACCAGAGAGGGACCGTCAGCTTAGCTCGTCCATAGAGACAGATACTTCCATGGAAAGAGAGAACAACAGAAAGAAGCCTCGGAAATAGGAAATAGGATATAGAAAGAACCCACCAACTGACTGAAAAAGTTCGTAATTCCCCCATTCGGAATGTTAGCAATAAGAGCAAAGAAAAAAAATGCCCAAGTCATAGGATCTAGCAGCGCCTCGCGCGCCTGGTACCACTTGAAATGCTTATTTCCAATTCCCTGCTGGTTGACGCGCACGCGGGCGATGGCCAGGATGCGATCTTCTTTCTTCAGCCAGCGCGCGTTCAGTTGGCTGTCTGGTACGATCCAGAGGAAAATACAGCCCAGCGCGATTGTTAGCAGGCCCGTGAAGAGGAAGACGATTTTCCAGGGCGCTATCAATGACCCGTGCTTTCGCGACCCTTCTGCTATTCCGTAGGCTACCAGTCCGCCTATTATTTGGCCCCAGCCGTTGAAGCTGTACCAGATGTTGACTCTTTTTCCTTGTTCTGTGCGGGTGTACCACTTTCGAGGTGTTAGTGTTAGTTTGGTGGGAGAATAGATGGAGGGCTGGGGAGGGGATTGTAATGATTACCTGGGATGTGAGGAGTGCGAAGCCTGGTGTGACGGCTGCTTCGAATACACCTAGGAAGAAGCGGATGGCGATTGCGCCTGGGTAGTTCTTTGCTGCGGCGAAGCAGCTCAGGATTAAACCCCAGATTATTATGCATGCTGCGGAGTATTTTCCTAAGGGGAGTCGTTGTAGGAGGCGGTTTGTTGGATATTCCCAGGCAAGATAGCCTGGGTTATATATATATATCAATGTCGGATTCTCATGCTTGTGGAGCTGAATATCTCACCGAAATAGAACACGCTACCAAGCCATTGGTATTGATCATCGATCAGATGGAGATCCTCTTTGAGGCCCATGATACTGGCGTAAGACAATGTGGTTTCTGGGACATAGTTGTAAGAAAGTGGGCTGGTGATAGTGCATCACATACTATCGAGAAAGTTCATCGCATAGACGAAACACATAATGGGCATGATATGCCAATCAATCGTACGCACAAGGCGGCGGTTTGTCGCTTCGTCTAATTCAATGGATTCACCTTGCATCTCCTCCAATGCCTTCATAGCCTCATCTGCATCGGGCGCATGTTTCACCAATTTAGGATTCTCGTTCGTCATGGTCATTTCCAAGTCTACGGCGGTGGAAACACCCCGCGCATCGTCCGTGTCGTTTTGTGCCATAATGTGGCACGAAATGATATACGACGCAGAATGATTCAAAGGTAATGAAGGTAATTGAGAAGGAGATTGGGGGCCAAATCAGGAATATGAACTATGTAACTCTGAATGATATCATGGATACAGTGGGTCGGGGTGGCCGCATTATATAGCTTTCGAAACAAGTACCCTGGACAATTGGAGACGGTTTAACTGAGAGAATACGTTGTTGGCTTTCTATCGTTTGACCAAGAACTGCGAATGAGATTATCTGGGGCCCCGCGGATTGGCGTCGAATCCTTAATGGGAGTAAAGATCGGCGGGGGCGGGTGCTTCCCCCATACCCATGGATGAAGGCTTGGGGAAGCTTTATTTGATTTGAGTTTCCGATGAGAGCATGTATCTTTTGGAGTACGTGGGATATTGGTTTCCGCTCTGTTCTACGATGCTATATGGTCTGGTCCCCGAGGTATCCGTTCCGTTTGATCCGGTTTGTTCCATGGTATATTGTTTCTAATACCCCAGCCCTACCAGGAGGGAGTATATGACGGTTGGTTGGTTCAATCGTTCGATTCATATCACTTCATCTCAAATTCTGGTTCCTCTTGTATCTCCTGAGAAAGCTGTCAACCAGATAACCAAACTACGGTGTGTTCTCCATTGACCGGCGTCCCCAAATGACCCCCTAATACGTCTGATCCGATTGGAGCCATATGCCGACCCAGACCAGCTCCAAGTTGAACGGAGATCTATAAGAATTCACCCCGCCTGCCAAGTGACGAACCGTGCCCCCGCCCCGAAGCTTGGCGTCTTCCTCCCCTTTCCCCATGTTTTCCCCAAACTACTGCAATACGAGCTAACTTCCCTCGATGCTTCTAGTTTGCCGCGGGAAATAAATGAGCCTCCTGACCTTCATATGTCCTCGATTCTACAGTGTATAGTGGAGCACTCTCTCCCCCCTCCGATCCACATGCAACACCAACGTGTTAGTGCCCCCACGCAGTCCACTTAGTGTACTGTAGCCGAGTGTGTCCATGCTCGTTGGCAAGCCTGAAATGGCCTAGCTAATACGCATGGTATTTTTTTTAATTCTAGAGGCATTCTGGAGTATCCAGACTGGGGAGAGAAGTGCCCTGAAATCTTTGAACAGCATAGAAGAATTCACGAGGGTCTTGACAGCCACAAAGCCATATCAGCAACACTGTGCTTCACCCGATCAGCATCTAAACTAACCGTGTTAGGCCCAGTCCCTCAAGCAGATCGCAACTTGCGGAATGTCTCGGAGTTCCAAACGCCCCCCGGAGTTCAATCGGAATTCGAACCTTATCGCCCACTATGAACGCTGTCATTTCGGAATTCAACAGCTATAGTTATTCCCAGTCTGATAACAAAAGACCAAGCTCCATATTCATGGCCTTTTTCTCTCGAATGCTTTCTTTTTTGTCCTCTTCACTCAACCCGCTATCACAATGCTAGACCATACATCTCCAACATCTCCCCTCCCAGAAAGCAGATGGACCAACCATCTCCCAAGTCCGACTCAATATAAACCCCAAACAGCGCGAACACAAGTCTCCAAACCAAGACAACGCCAGACCCCAAGCACACGACCCTCTCCAATTTCAACGTCAACCTCAACTTCAAATTCACATTCAAACCCTACCCCCCACCATTCCGCAACGTCTCAGCCTGCAATCGCTGCCGCCTCCGTAAACACCGCTGCGACCAGCGCCTTCCACGCTGCGAATCCTGCGAAAAAGCAGGCGCCCGCTGTGTCGGCTACGACCCCCTCACCAAGCGCGAACTCCCGCGCAGCTATGTCTCCTTCCTTGAAAGCCGCGTCGGATATCTCAAGCAAGTCTTAATAGACCACAACATCGACTTCAAGCCCGCGACTGCATATGATGAGGAAGAAACACTTCGTCTAGAGGCGGATATCAAGCGCGGAGGCTCGCCCGAGGCCTCGTATTCCAAGGAGGGGATTGTGGCGCGGAACTCGAGTTCTACGTTGGAACAGCAGCGCGATGGTTCGAGGCGGAAGAGGAAGATCAGTGCTGTTGAAGGGGATGAGGATGAGGAGTATTTGCCTCCGAGGCAGATGAAGAGACTTTGTCAGTTGAGTTTGTTGTTGAAGGAGTTTTTCAATGATGGGTGTACGCGGAGGCATTATGGAGGTCGTGGCCGTGACTGTGACCGTGACCGGGACGATGGCCATGATAATGATAATGATCGTGATCATGATCAGCAGGATATAGCTGAGATAGCCACACATCAGGATCGGGTCCAAGATGGACCGCGGCAGTCGCAGCCCTGGTCGCCGCAGAGTTACGAGTCCATGGAACACAGTGACAACCATACGATCTCTGGCTCGGAATCGCCTGAATACCCACCTAGGCAATATCACGATTTGAACTCTGGGAATGAGATCTCGGCATTTGATGGGATGTTTGGTTCAACTCGTGGTCCTAGGGGGTATGGAGGAGATCCGCAGCCGAAGATCAATCTTGGGTCTGATTTGGTGGATTTTGAACTTGATATGCCGGGGCCTAAGACATCTTTTGTTGGGAGGAGTAGGAGTGCGAAAGCGAATGCTATTAGGCGTCGTGAGTCTTCGGATGAAGAGCAGGCCGAGGCGGATGCCAAGTTTGATATTGGGGCTGAGCTTTTGAGACAGAGGACTGAGAAGGCGAATTATGATTTGTTGGATGAGTTTCTTGTTGGGTGGAGGGATGTGGATTGAGTCGGGGAGAGCCGCTGTATGGTATGCATATGTTCCTTGACTCTGACTTTGATGATGCGATGTATATTCTACTTTATAATGAATTCTTTTACTATTATGTCCTTGTTGAAATGTGTGAATGGTGCTGGCGTATATTGAAAGTGAATACAAAGCTGTGTCTGTACAGAAATAGTTAAAACAAACATAAATTACCACTCAAACCGAACCCTCAAGTATGGAATGTCTTAACTAGGTGCTTTTAGGGCTTTTCGTACAGTCTATCATTAAGAAATATTACCGAGCATTGAGCATGAAACAACCACTGTTCCGGTTTACTTTACACCGTGAGAAATAATCTTACGTGCTAATTCACAGATATCATAGATGAAACACGATCGAGGTGCATTATAGTCCATCACTGGCCTCACGCTAAACGCCGCTACGGCAACCCAAAAAGAGCTAATGCATGACACACCTCTCTTATGCACTGCAAAGCTGCAATCACTTCTTCAGGGTTCGATAGCTTCAACATTAATAATTGCCTAATTCCTCCACCGCTTAGACGACATAAAGATGAGTGTTCATTAATCCTGCATAAAAGCTACTGATACATCACGCCTCAGTCCCCCGTCGTCTGCGCAAATCCAGATATTTCGCCGCATAATCATTAGCCAAGACAGGGTCACCCGTCAGATGCATAACAGTAGCCTTTTTAGAAATCATCTCCGTCTGGCCCTTGATATCTTCAATCTCCTCGTAGTGATCATACGCCGAATCGATATACCCCAGAGCCCGGTTAACATACTCCTTCCTTGAAGATGTCGAGTCCCGCCCCTGAAGTCTCCACAACTCACCCGCTATGCCCATATTCGCATCGACCAGGAGCGAATACGCCTGCGCTATGAGGGCGTAATCATCTGTCTCTAGGATTTGGGGCATGATGCTCTCAACCAGCTCGCCTGTGGCTTCAAACTCATGTAGACTTAGTAGCACGGTGGCTAATGTGCAGATCGCGGCCCAGAGGTCGCATAGGATCTTTGAGCGATGGGCGATGTTTGCTGCGCGCATTGCTAGCGAGAACCCGCGCTGTGGCTGTCCGGATTTTCCGAGGATCTGGGCTTTTAGACAAAGGAGCTTGATTTGGGAGTGGACGTCGAAGTTTTCGGGCTGCATGGCGTGTGCGGCTTGTTCGACCATTCTTAGAGCGCGGCCGTAGTCGCCTTGGCGGATGGTGAATTCGATGGAGTGGAGTGCTAGGAGGAGGCGCATGTCGAAGTCGAGGAGTTGGACTGCTTGGAGCTGTGAGAGGATGTGTTCCACTGCTACTTTGTCGTCACTGTCGTGTGTTAGATTGTGTGTGGTGCAATTGGCGTGGAGTACTTACCGGCAAATTTGTCGTTGTAGTTGTAACAGTCCGGAGTAGTAGGTCCAGGCATTGTTGTATTTGAACGCTCGTAGCTTCTCTGGCTCGATTTTGTTCATTCGTGCAAAGGCTTCCTTGTAGTTGCCCTTTTGTGCCAACTGTAGGAAGTAATTAGCCCGGTCTTGTAAATGACTAATAGCACAGCACGTTCACATACTATTTGGCAGTTTCGGAATGTGGTTTTGACAAAGTCGTCATGGGGCTGGCCCTCTAAGTAGCATTCGCGGAACACCTCGGTATTCAGCCAAGACAGGTGAGTAGCTCCTATTTCTGCGGTCAGCATATTGACTGCCAAATTGGCTGTGGATCTTCATACCTATCCGGGCATACATGGAACCTTGTAGTAGCATATATGAACCCGTAGGTGTTGTAAGGGCTTTTGTCACGTTGACATGAGATGCTCGCACAAAAGTTTCCACAATCGATGCGAGACTCTCTCCCTGGTAAAGATTAGCATCCTCAATCAATCTTCAAGGTAACAAGAGATCCATACCTGTTGCATCTCCAACTTCGCCTCACTGAGCAATGTGGTACTCATCAAAGACCACATATCAGTCTCCTTGGACTTGGCTTTGAGGAACGCAAGACCTTCCTTCTCATTGCCCAGCATCCCGCTATTTTGCACTTCGCGCATCTGCTCGGGGAAAGCCTTGCCAAAGTGATAGAGCCAGCTCATACAGAAATTCAAGCAGTTCATGTCATGCGACTCGCGAGCAATTGCGACCGCCTCTTGCACGGCTGAAATGGCTTCATTGAAGCACTCGAAATCTGCTTGAATGATTGCCAAGTTCAGAAGGGCAAATTGATACGCACTGCGATCAAGATTTGTGTGCATGGTGTAGTCAAAGTACCGGTGCAGATTATCAAAGGCTGATGTGTAGTCTCCGGCCCTCCATGCATCGAGATATCTAGATGTTGTCAGCCACGATCTATGCGCCTTGTCCTACGGGCACGTACTCTAGATAGTACATCAACGTCGGTGTTGTTGACTCCGAGGTTATGATGTGCTTCAATTGAGCTCTCATTTCGTCCGGGACTCTGCCTCCCATCCCTGGATCTATTAGCGCGTGTTCGAGACACACCAGAGAAGCACATACTTTGCAATTCGCCGACCTGGAACTCGACTAGCCTTTCTGCATCTTTGACGCTGACTACGCCCTCAGCCTCTTCATCATCTTCGATATTGCCATACACCACCTGTGACAAGTAGCTTGTAGAATCCAGTCCCAAGGCACGAAGATTGGCATCAATCAGTTTTCCCTCAGCCCGACGATGCCTCCGTGACCAATAGCTGTATGTCGGAAGACGGTACTTGACAAAGCCAGTCCAGAGCTTGACAGAGTCATGAAACTGTAACCGCGTGTATTCAAGGTATGATCTGCGCACGAACGCGCCCAACGGCGAACTCCTCGACAAGCGCATGCGATCTTCGGGTTCCGGAGCAAGCCCGTTATCCCTATCTTGGATTTGTTCATCGCGCGATTTGGCCAACAGAGACGGAATCACATCGCTGAAGAAAGTCTCCAGCGCATCCATGGAGTCGAGAGCCCACAGGTTCTTCAGGAACAGGTCCCAGAGCGAGCGCCCGGGAACAGAGGACTCATGACCCGCGAGACAGGCCTCAAGCTCTACAATGCTCGGCAAGTAGTGCTCCTGCCATTGCTTATCGGCAGGGTCGAGCGGAAATAGGCCCGCGGTCAAGAACGAGAGGACGTGGATGGCAGACGAGTTAGGAACAACGCCATCCGTGTAGAGAGTGACCAGACACAGCAGCGAGACTCTCCAGGGAGTCAGATAACGCGTCATTTTGAGTTCGCTACTGCTGTGCCATGCCGCAGTTCCTGTGTATCAACAATGAGCTTTCTCAAGGGCGCGTTGCGATATAGATGGTCGCCTGAGGCAGCGAGGCACCGAGGCCGCAATCGAGGCCGCAATCGGGACCCCGCCAAAACTCGGGAAAAAAGTGACGATGACGCAGAACTTCAGCACTTCAGCACAATTCGCCATGTCTCAAGCTCTGACTACCACTGACCTGCAGGGTGCCCTCCCCCTCATTGCCCGAGGCAAGGTCCGCGACCTCTACGAGATCGACGACAAGACCCTCCTCTTCGTTGCGAGCGATCGCATCTCCGCCTACGATGTGATCATGGAGAATGTACAACCCCCACCAGAGTCCAATTGCAATTGAGATGCTCTCCCCAGACAACTTGGTTGAACTAGTCGCTAACGCAGTCACCAGGGTATCCCTAACAAGGGTGTCCTCCTCACTCTCTGCACACGAACATGGTTCAACGCCCTGAAAGAGGCGCACCCTTCCCTGCGCACTCACTTCCTTACCCTCGACCTCCCTCCCCAGATCCCGGAGTCCTTGCGCCCCGTTTTGCAGAACCGCAGCATGCAGGTGCGCAAGCTGAAGATTCTCCCCATCGAGGCCATTGTCCGCGGATACATCACCGGCTCGGCTTGGAGCGAGTACAAGAAGGCCGGTACTGTGCACGGCATCAAGGTTCCTGCCGGCTTGCAGGAGAGCCAAGCTTTCCCTGACGGCCCCATCTACACCCCCAGCACAAAGGCTGAGCAGGGCGAGCACGATGAGAACATTCATCCTGACCAGGGTATGTATACAAACAGCTTGGACGAATCCGCGAAGGCGGCCTTTGGTCTACTGTCGAGTATTGGTGGGTGTTTGTAGATTCAAGGAACTGACATTTGCTTTTTTATTGCAGCTGCCGCTATCCTCGGTGAACATGCCGAGACTGTTGCCTCGCTGGCTATTCAGCTCTACAAGACTGCCCACGCTTACGCTCTCGAGCGCGGCGTGATCATCGCCGATACCAAGTTCGAATTTGGTGTTGACGAGGAGACTAACGAGGTCGTTCTCGCCGATGAGGTTTTGACCCCTGACTCATCGCGTTTCTGGCCCAAGGATTCCTACGCCATTGGCCGGGGCCAGTCCAGCTTCGACAAGCAGTTTTTGCGCGACTGGCTGGTCCAGGAGGGTCTGAAGGGCAAGGAGGGTGTCCGCATGCCCGAGGACATTGCTATCAAGACCGCCGAGAAGTACAAGGAGGCCTGGGAGAAGATCACTGGTGGTAACTAGAACTAAACTAGATGATATTCATCGAGTATATTCCTCGAATCTACGCCTTATGTATTTCTTGAATGAGTGAGAATGAAATGAAAGTACAATTCATATCCAAATTGTTATGCTGTGGCTCTAAATGAGAGTAACAAGGCCAAGATCCCGCCGGGGGTTAATGTACAGATGTAGCAGACATTGTTGAGATCACTCATCCCACTCCCCCTTCAACCCCTTAAGCCCCTTGTCCTTAGGGCTCTGTTGTGGTTGCTCCTTCTCGAGCTTTGGCGCAGGCTCTACAACCCAGCCTGTTCGAACACCCTCATCGATAGGCAAGGCATCCGCACCACAAATCTGCAGCTCCTCCGCATGTTCAGCCTCGCTCATCCCATTAGTTGCCCAAATCTTGTGAATGCGCAAATCAAACGGTCCCTCAACCCGATCCGTCAAGCCAATACCAATACTCTTAATGCGCTGGCGCATGAGCGATGTCTGTGGTTCGATCACGTAACCAAAGTTTGTGCGCACAAAAGAGTTAAACGGCAATAGAACAGTCTCCCATCCCGTTCCCCCAGATGTCGTCGTACTAGTCGATGACGACAGGATTGTGGATTGGGGCGGTACGTCAGATAAGGCGGCCGGCACAGCCCCTTCGGGGTAGAGCTCGTCTACTGCCTCAGGGTCGTCATTATGAGCTACAGTGTCGCGCACGCGGTGGTGTTTCGTGTATAGCCTGTGCTGGTGGATATCCGTGTCGACAATGGAGTCACTCTGAACGTTAACGGTGTATCGTCGACCATCGGATTTGATTCGTAAGGCCAAATACGCGTATGGATCGACATCCCAAAATAGGCGACCGAAAAGCCAAAGGCCTCTGTCTTGATTGCGGAAGGCGGCGTAGCCTGTGCAAGTGCCGGTATTTAGCATCTGTAACGCTCTGTGACCGCCTTCGGCCCAGGGTTGCGAACTTACCAGTCCTTTCGACTCGCCAGCTGTCGGGGAGTTTAGTTGAGATGGTGCCATGGAACCGCGCGTGCGCCGGTGTGTTGGTTGAAGGGTCTGCTGACTCGAAGTCTAAGCTGGCGGTGCTGAACCCTCCTACGGCACGGTCGGCCATGGTCTTGCAGCTTGTGACTGTGCTTTCATCTTCAAAGTTTAGAATCGAGAACGGCTTCGTGGGTGTGGAGAGGGCTTCTGTGTTCCAAGCTGGTTCCCTGTTAGTTTTGCGCGATTTGTGATTGAATGTGATTTACCAATTTTAGATAGGCGACCAATTTCGTCAGCACTACGTCTGAAAAAGCCCCCTTGGGCCAGGCGTTTTGTTGGGAGCATTTTGCGGAGTTGGAAACGGAGAGTTCAGTTCAAGCGTTCGGGGAGCTGAAATGCCGTCGGCCGGCAAATGGCGTGAACTGATCCGATAAGATAAGCCTGACATCACTACCTCTCTTCCCTTTCCTCCTATAAATACTTCCATCTCCCCTCTACTCCTCGGAATTGAGTCTCTTGCTCGTTTCCTCTGGAGTTGTCGTGCTCAATCATTCTTGGTCGCTCGGCGACCCCATAATCTTATTGTATTTCCTTGGTACTATCGTGGGTTTACCGCACTCAGTAATCCTGAGGTTCATTTCATGCTGTATATAGAAGATCTTGAATATGAATCAGAGATAGCAGATGCCGAGAATGAATGCAGTATACTTTCAGAGAGTGGCAAACAAGCTTCCTCGTAGAACTAACCTAATTAACGACCATCTAGATGCCGTCTACTGACGACATTCTGATCCGTACCTCTCACCTGATACATGGCTTGGGGCCGACATCCAGCACAGTCTGAACATTCAACTAAGAGCCAATCAAAGGGCTGTTTTTTTATATTCCTCGGGTGGACCTGAACTCTATGAGAGTTCTGAAGGTCACAATGCCCTCTCGGGCCCTAGCCGATCCTTCTATACATGGCTTTGTGATTTCCAACAAAACCTTGTATAGTTCGATTGAAAGCATCAGAGGAGTCATAGTGGGGATCTATGGTTGACTGGTCCATGAAGGGCCCTCCTTTTGATAGAGGGTTCTCAGTGCCTCCCTTCTCATTTCTCTATATTCTCTTTCTCACGGTCTGTTCATACACCATCAGTTTCATCTATCCCACGCCTTTGTTTCCCGATTATTTCGTTGGTTCTTTCGTTACTGGCGCTTTAGCAACACTCTCGTTTAGCGGTACAAGAAGAAGAAGAAAAGCTTCCGCCAGAGGATATATTATATATCAAACGCGGCCATGGGAGACGTCGCCATTGATGCCATGACTCCCGAGTCCGGCAACAGTGATTCTGAGCCAGGTATCTCTGAAAATGGACCTGATCTTCAGAAGAATGGCATTGTCGAAGAGTTCCATGGTGACCCTAGCCCTCCTGATCATTTTACTCCTGATCATAGTTCCGCCGGACATAAAACCCCGGAATCACATACCAAGTCGCATGAAAACTCCTACCAGCCGAGATATCCTCGACGAGTCGATCGCTTCAAGCAAGTCATTACAGCCAAGAATTGCCAGGGCTATTTTGACCACACGTGTACTATTTTCGCTGGAAAGTGAGTGTCCCTTGCTCGCCATCGTTCAGGAAGTATACTAAGACCACTTGAGTATCTCGACCAAGCTTGATATTCCCACGGCAGAGGAAGGCCTCACTGAGACATTCTCTCAATTTGGTCGGTGCTGGGTCAAGGTCAGGGAGGGCAAACTGAAGCCGATCCCGGGAGCATTTGTGATTTTTGATGTAAGTGAACCCTAGTGTAGTAAGAGAGCAGCCAAATGACAAGGATCGAATGATCAGAACCCCGAGTCCGCAACAAAGGCCATCGAACACCCTGGACTCACACTGCACGAGCGCCCACTGCGGGTTGAACCTGCGTACTGCAAGCGTGAGTTCCTTCCTTCATCTCCCACTTCATCTTCTCTGACTTCAACTAGGCTCTGCCATCATTGGCCATCATTCCGGAGAGTCCATGACTGAGTCTGATATTGCTTTTGCTCTCAACTGCAACAACTGGGGCACGATTGAGAAGTTCAACTTAGTGGAGTCGGTTGACGCAGGCCAGCTTCTGGTGGAAGCCTGCGTCACTTTTGCCTATCTCTTCGATTTCGAGGAAGCCATCAGGGTATGTTCATTGCTCTCTCTCTCTCTCTCACTAGTCTGGTTGCTCACGGTAGTAGGATTATACCGACGATCTATTCTACCTGCGTCCCATCATGGAGGGTAATCAGGGCAGGCGAGCTGGTAGCCAAATGCCACCCCGTAATAATGGGCAGCGATACAACAACCACAACCACAACCACAACGGCAACCACAATCACAACGGCAACCACAATCACAACGGCAACCACAATCACAACGGCAACCACAATCACAACGGCAACGGCAACGGCAACGGCAACAACAACAACGGTTACAACAGTCGTCAGAGAGGTGGTCGTCAGTTTTCTCGTGGAGGCAATACCCGCAATAACCATGGAGGTAACCGATATCCCATCGGTCACGAAAACCATCAGAACTTCAACGGCCCTGCACCCTCAAACGGTTACAATGGTCATGGCTTCATGAACAATAACCCTCCCACCGGCTTCCCGGTCAACAACTTCCCGGCCAATGCCTTCCCTGGCAATGGCTATGCCAACGGCGGCAGTTTCCAACCAAACTCGCCAATGAACTTCCAGGGCCCTCCAAACATGGGCTTCCCAGCTCCAGGCCCTTTCGCTGTTCCTCAGCCTATGATGTTCAGCCCTCAGATGCAATTCCAAGAAGGCCCGCCTGCACCATATCTCACCAACGAGCCTTTCCAACCTGTTTACCCATTCATTGTACCCCATCAGCCCGGCTTCCCTCCCCAGCCTCTGCCACAGCATATGCCTCAGCACATTCAAATGACTAACACGGGTCCTGTTTCTGCACCCCTCTTGTCTGGTCCTCTCATCGTGTCCAGTCAACCAATGCACGACATCCATCCCCCTCATCATTCACCACCATACTACCCAAATTCATACATGACTGTCAATGGATACAATGGTATGCAGAATGACTGGCACAACCCCTCGTCTGGCCATGGGGCTCAGCATGAGTACACCCAAAGTCAACCTATTCGCAATTTGCCTGACTTGCACAGACTGGCTACTGACACTCGCCGATCCAGCAGTGATAGCACTGCTCACAGCACCCCTAAAGAAACTGGATGCGAGCGAGCCAAGCGTCAGGGTCCAATCATTGACTCCGAGGCTCCTCGTCTGATTCCTGTGCACCCTGGTGGTGATGGAAGTTCCGATATCCCTCCAAGTCAGTCTGGTCGTACTGAGAGTGAAATCATTACTGTCAAGCCTCTCCATACCGAGACAGAAGATGACCTGCGGACCGCTGTGAGCGAGCCTATCCAGACCTCGTACACCACCGTTGTTGAAGCTTCGGCTCCGAATAAAGAAGAAACCCCAGAGGAGACAAAGCTTACAGCGGAAACCAAGCAGCGACCGGCCGCCGCGTCTGATGCTGAGCAGGTTGTTGATCGGAAGAAAAAAGGAGTGCGCGGTTCCATTACTCCTGTCAGACATGAGCCGAAGTTGATACCCAGTATTCCCCTGCATGCAAACAGAGCTGCATATGGAGCAAAAAAGGCTAGTCTGAAGACTTCAGCTAATACTAACCCTATGGACTCAAACGCAACCAAGGATCAAGCACAGTCTGAGGCCTCTGCCTCGACTGCCACCAACATTCCAACCGAAACAATCAGGGCCGAAGTTTCTTCGTCGGCTACTACCAGTGCTTCAACCAGTATTTCCCCGGCCAAGGCTGAGTCCTCTACATTGGCAGCTCTTAAGACACCGGCGCAAACCGAGCCGAAGGAAGCAACTGCCCTCGAGATACCCATCGCAGCCGAGCCTCTCGGATCATATCCCAAGTACTCTGCTACAGCATCCTCGTGGAGATCAGCCGTTCCAACTTCCGTTGACTCGCACAAACACAAGTCAGTTCTTCCCCCAAAGCCACCCAGTGCTACTACCAACATCGAGTCCCAGGATCATTCACCCCGAGGGCTTTCCACTACCGCTGAGCTCGGGCAAGAGCCCTCCTCCGCTCTGCTAGATGCCTCATATGTCCCCAAATTAGCCAGGGACAATACAAAGGGGAAGGAACGGGAGCAGGAGGATTTCAAAGGGAAGGGAAAAGCTCGAGAGACAGAGCAGGTGGAGGAAAAAGCAGAAGAAAAAGAGGAAGATGCTAGGGCCAATGATGAGGCTTCAGTGACTAAACAAGACAATGTCGAAAGAAAGGGCAAAGCTCCAGAGATAAAGCAAGAGGACGAGCCGGCGGAAGAAACAAAGGAGCCAGAGGATGACAGAGATGGGCCAGAGGTGGAGAAATATGAGGACTCTGAGGAGACCAAGGACCAGGAAGAGGAGGCAATGTCAGAAGTGGCAAAGGAAGCATCTGAACCAATTCCCAACCACGAAGAAGAGGTTCACGTCACAACAGAACAAAATCGTGAAGAGGAACTCCTAGATGAGGAAACTATCCGCAAGCGTTTTGCAAACCGCACACCTCTGCCACAAGAAATGATGCCCAAGGAATACAGTATGGAGGAGATCGTTATGAAAATGGCAACTGAGAGAGAAATCAATACAAATTTGCCGTGGTTATTGGAATTCATCATGGAGATGGAGGATGAACAAAGAAAAAAACATGCCAATCCAGATGACGCCAATGAAGAGACCTCCAACCAGAAGACTCCTACTGAACACGCTCCTACCGAACATACTCCTGACGAGACTGCCACTCAAGATGTTCTCACTCAAGATGCTATCACTCAAGATACCACCAACAATGAACACTCTCCTCCTGCTACCTCTGCTCTCACAAATGACTCGTCTGCTTCATCCCGAGATGAGAAAGAGCCGATCGATGTCTGGACCGGAGAATGGAATGATCACTAAACCAACATTGAACCCAAATGGAGACCTGAATAAGACAGAGAATATGTGCTTTGCTTGATCATATTGACCTCTCTATTGTTATTTCTTTCATGTTATAAGTTAGGTCCCAATCTGCTTGTACTGTTGTTGATTTTTCTATGTTCTTTCTGTTTTTCTTTTCTTTTCTTTTCTTTTCTCATTCCTATTTTTATTTTCTTATTCTGTCGTTGCGATTCTCCCCCCACAGTCTATTTGTTAATTGTTATGATTAGCGTGAGCGACTATGGAAAAGATCAAACCTCCAAAAAAAATGGACTGGGGTTGATAACGGGATTTGGAATGCAATTGTTCTTGTTTTTAAGATCCTCGCTTTTACTCTGTAGTTGTCGAAGTAAATTAGATTATGTGTAATAATGCAGCCTAACAACCAGAGGACTTCCTTCCCCTTCGGATCGTCGCAGACTAACTTGTCCATACCCCTGATAATCTAATCTGTAGTCGTCTTCGAAGCTGGAGTCTGTTCAATGTGCCCCAGGTAATTATTGAGGTTGACCAGTGCTATGCTACTGAGAATGCTGTTGCAGAGGAATATAGGAGATATTAACCTAACTTAATGCGAGAAAGTAGGGTTAAGTTTGCTGGAAGTGGGGGGCGGACGGATACTCCCGTGCTAACGGGCTGCAACTCTCCACATCTGCTGGTCTGTCTGCCCTGAACGAGGAATACGAGGATATGGTGTTATCAAGGACAAGAAGAAGAAAAAAAGAGGAAGAAGAAATAGTAGAATACGAATATGACAAATGGCAGCTAAAGCAGAGAATAGTATCTGGATGGATGCAAGTAATATTGATATATTGATATTGATATTGAAGTCCAACAAAGATAAAAGAACCGGTTGAGTCCGGAGTCCTTTCCCTCCATGATTGGAACCAATGTAGAACGCCGAAAGAGAAGCCCGGGGATATATGTACAAAATGCTTCTTGATGCAATGTTGCATGTTGCATGCTGCATGCCATGTCATAGATACGAATGCCATTGTCGTTGAAAGCAGAAGATGATGGACGCCGATGAGATATGAGAAGCCCCGAACCAAACTAGGAGATGGAAGAAACGATGCCGAAAAAGGGGGAAGACGGGAGAAAATGGGAATGTGGAAGAGATAGACAAATTGTCTTATGCAAACGCTCATGGTTGTGGTGGGTTGGGTGTGGTGATGTTGGAGACGGGGGAGAAGGGGAGGAGAGGGAGGGAGGAAGGCGGGTGGGGAGAGTCGAGGTAACGAGGCGAGATGGAGAAGAAAATTGGAGAGAATATGGAGGAAACCCGGAATCAAGCCCTCACTCGCCTAGCATCGAAGTAGGCCAAGTGGATGGCCGTGTCATTGGGGTTCACGAACGGCGCCGCATCCTCAAGTACCTCCCAGGGGATCACGGGACAAGAACCCACGACTGTGCCGCGATATTGAAGACGCAACCGGCTCGCAATGCAATTCGTATCTTCGGCATACGCACTAGACGCCGACAGGGTAGACTGCTGCGCAACAGATGCAGCAACAGCAGGCAGAGGCGCAGGCGTAGAGGTAGGCGTCGATGTGGATGCCGCCGGTGATGGAGCCGAAACTTGTTGTGAATTGGCCGAGGTCTGATCTGGCGTTGGGCCGAGGAGATACAGGAAACGAGAATCATTTTGGAATGGCACGAATGAGGGACATTTCTCTTTCAGGAAGCGGGCGCACCGGAAGCGGACCTCATCGGGGAAGATGTCAATGAGAGAGGCTGCGACGTCGAGAGCGTGAGTCTGGAGGAGGATTCCTGGGCAGGGCCGATATTCTTCTGGCAAGGGTGTTGGGTGGGGGAAGTAATCCGCCGCTGGGAATAGGCGGAGGACATTTCCAGGGAGGCGAGAAAGGGCGATGCAGAATATAGAGATTAGGAGGCGCAGCTGATTGTGGGGAGGATTAGGCTTGAGTGTTTGAGGTTGGTGGATGAAGGCAGAACGGTGGATTACAACCATGCGAAGCAGCGCAGAGAACCAAAATGCGAGACCGCGTTCGAATTTTGTGCGGATTTGGTTGGCTTTGCCCTGGGCGTTGGAAAGGGTACTGTGCGTTGTGATGATCTTGTGCAGGAGTGCGTCCATCTTTTCCACCAGGACTGAGCCGATAGATGAGGTTCCGGATTCCGGAACGCTGCCTGCGAGTTCTTCGATGATGGTGAGATAGAGTTTGGCTGTTTCTAGAGGACCCGGCGTGTTGGGCTGGTCCGATGTATCATCGTCCAAGTCTTCCAATAGTGGAACAGAGAAGAAGTGCTTTTCCGCGCGCTCGCGAATCTGTCGAACTGCATCGGGGCTCATCAGTGCAACGAGATCAACCCAATGAACCCTGCGGGCGCGGCAATCTGCCACAGCCGTCTTGAACATGGCATCGACAATACTGTTGCGATCTTCAGTACCCGAATCAGCGTGGAACAGGACTTGCAGCTTCAGTTGGCAAAATGGAAGCGAAAAGTCGTCAGTCATACTCGCCAACTTTTCTATCTCGGCAAAACCAGATTTCTGATCTGAGTTTGAATCAAGACTCAAAAGGAGACCGAGGGATTTCTGAACAATGGTCAAAGCGGCTGGGTACTGCTCAGCAAGCTTTTGCATGCACTTCTGCGAAACGCACTCGGGCTTTCTCACAAGAAGATCACGCAGTAGCATGACCATCGATTGCTCCAAATCATGGTACTTGGCCGCAGCATCGACTGTATCGGCTGAAGCCGCCACATCGCAAACAATTTTGAGTGCTTCTTCAGTATGTTTGTTGAGGAATTCCTGTTGTGCGAGCTGGAACCGATAAGAGACCAGATCAAACAGTCTGCTCTCTTCGGGGGAAGGCAGGAGAAGCTGCAAAAGATCTGCTGGTAGGCGAGCTGTATTGGGGATTGTTGTAGGCGTAGATAGTGTGAGCCTCTTCGCAAGAGCTAGGAATGCTCGAATAGTAACGCATCCGACACCAATGAGCGGCGGCAGAATCCGCAGCAAAGTTGTACGGTCAGGTGATCGCAAATGTCCACAGACCCAGCGGGCGAGAATGACATCGAAGTGCTTTGGATGGAAAGACCTCAGCTGTGCCAGGTAACGGCATGTGTCATTGGCTGATAGGTTTGAATGACCCTCCTCGCTCTCCAGATGTTTTGTCAATGCGCTGAATATCGTGTCCAACGTGGGCTCATCCATGACACTTCCTGTCAATAGAATTTGATCCAACTTCTCTCGAAGCAGGGGATCAGTACCACCAAGATTGACGGGGATGTGGTCGGAAACGGGAGAGTACGCAGTCACGATCGACTTGTTTTCCATGCGGGAGAGATCCTGCCGAAGGATGGCAACAGTATTTAGCTCGCTCGGGATGCGCAAGCCAAGTTCGATCAAAGAGAATATCAAATCAAGGCTTGGCATGCCAAACTTCTTGATGCCCGCGTAGGCATCAATCAGTCGCCGGAATAGATCTGTAGTAGCACCAATCACGCAAAGCGAGTCGAAATGGCAATTCGTGGTATCTGCTACCGATGCAAGAACGGTGCCATCCGTGCAACTCGATGCAAAGTTCAATACATCGGCTAGCATTGAAATATCTCCAAATGATTCTAAAATGTCGCGGACGGTATAGAACTCGGATGGAGTCAGCGCAGATACCATCGGAAGGATACCAACAGCAAACGCTCCAGTGGTCGATCTATTCAAAGGTTAACGAAGGGAAAACTTGGTTGAAACAATATACTCACTCTGGTATTTTGCGATTGTGCTGAGCAATGGCACGGCGTAGCCACTGACCAATTTCCGCCTTGACAGCCCATGTCAGGCTTGGCGGCAATGAATCAAGGCTCATTGTCGTATGTGCAATGTCCCCAAAAATTCCCGGCAGACGCTGGCTGATGATGTCTTTCACGTTGTCAATTACAGCAGGCTCTGCAGAAACAGATAGCCCGGTGCGTGTTAGCAAAGTGTTTCGCAAATTTGCAACATGCTCCGGCAGACGACCAACAGGAAGTTGTGCTATCAGTCCAATGTCGATTGGTAAATCCTTCATCTGCAGTCTGTCAGTAACGAAGAGCTTCATCTCTCTTACACGAAACACTCACATCATGATCTTCTGTTGAAGGGCTATTAATTACACCTTTCGCCATAAGCCATTGAAGATAGCGACCAACTGAGAATGTCTGTGACCTGACAAGCTCGGAGATAACATGGTATATCTGGTCCATATTCAGCTTTTGATTGTTCTCTCGACGGGAGAGAAAGGAGAGTATGTGACTATCTATGTCCACGCCGTTTAATTTCCATCTCCGAAGGAGACGAGCACCGACGTAAACGCGGCATAAGCCGTGACGGAAGGGTGTGGACAGCCATTCAAGCAGCTTGGAGACTAAGACAGCCTTGTCTTCAAACGTATCGAAGTTTGAGGAGATCGAGGAGATGTCGTGAGCAGAGTGAATGGAATCGAAGAGTCGAATGATGTGTTGATGCGGGGAGCGGTTGTTGGTTTGCTTGGAATTATTTGGCCGCTGCACACGCGCATTGCGTTCAGCGAGGTTTTGAAACAGGGCCTTTTGACAGGTATTGTCCAGGTCAAGCACTGACGCCACAAGGTGTTTGTACGTCTCCCAAGTGTTTGGGAGGATCATTGAGGACGTATGATCACGGACGAGACGTTGAATGAAGTGACCAAGTCGATCGATGAGAGGTTGAAGTGGAGCAAGTTTTGCTTCAGTTGCCTGACGCAGCTTTTCGAGCAATAGTTCGGCCAAGCGTCGCCCTCTCCGTCGATATCGCAATATACTCTTCCAATAAACACCAAGCATCAGCAGCCAGACGGGAATTTTACTGAGTGAGGCGGTTTCAAATGAAGTCAAAAACCACTCAAGGAAGTGATCGTGATCAAGCAGATTTTCGAAGAACAAACGAGCCGTAAATCCGACAGCGTAAGTCATCTTAGCCTTCCAGTCCGAGGACTTCGGAGCGTTGAATATACCCTCGACAAACTGCTGAACATTTGTCGTCCACTCGCGTACCCATTTCGCCTCCAAGCCGACCGCCAGTGCACCGGTCATACCTTTGCGCTTGATGGCGCGAATCTCATTCACTCCGACACATTTTGCGAGCCACACAGCGCGTGCAACAGGAATCCATTTAGCGATACAATGGTCTAGAAGAAGCCTACCGCGAATACCGTAGGGAACACTTCGGCTTAGCCTTCGTAAAGGAACGGTAGGGTTGGCGAGTTCGCGAAGCCAGACTTCGCGCTTGCCATCTGTGAGGGTGACTCGGGGAGGCGGTTTATAACGCGATTCTTTGCTGGAGGTGTTGTATTTCTGCCGTTTCTCCAATGCCGCGGCAAAGACCGACGAGAGCATCTGCAAACCCGTCCGGTGTTTTAACTGCGCGTATAGAGCCGGTCTAGCGGTATTCGATTCATTCTGGGAAACTTGTGTCCGGTCGTAATATCCTTGTTTCGCGGTTTGTTCATTGAGAATGTCCTCGGGATGGTCCCCGGTCCATGGGGTGAAATCGGCGGGTTCTGCAGTGTTTAGTCCAAGAAAGGCACCATCAAATATGATCATCACTCACTTTCGTTGTGGTATAGCGGAGCAGCAGATGGAGTTTCAATGCAATATGGGGTCGTCTGTACAGCGCCGACGGGGGAGCTTTCCCTCGACTTCACGACGTTGGTAGCCGGGGGCTCGATAGCGGGGGTCCTCCAAGGCTGAGCCGGTAACGGCGGCGGCGACAAAGGCTTCGAGCCAGCTCCATCACCTCGGTTCTCGCTGTTCGGAATTTCCGACACGACCGCTTGAAAGGACCAGAGCGGCCGGCCGCGCCAGGACACTGTCGGTCGCGACGTTGCGCTCGCCGGAGTACTCCTTGCCTCTGGATTGACGGTCCCCCCGGTATTCGTCGCGGTTGCTCCCCCGGGCACCTCCAATCTCGGTCGTTTGGGGGGTGGTTCTCGATCTTGCGACTCTGGACCGCCTGCGGTCAGGTCGACGGTTGGGCGGACCGGTTGCTGCATAGCTCTGTCCAGATGTTCATAGCCCATCGCATTATCTCCCCGCCCATGGCCATTGACTGTTCGCAGCGAAGGGCCCCATGGTTGACCGGAAGAATGGGGGATCATCTTAGGCTCATGATGCGATCTGGGAGACTAATCGGGTCATTCGGGGCGATATGGAAACAGTGAGAGGCAGGGCGGAGGAAACGGATCGTAGACACGCGCGAGAGGAAATATGATTAACAAGGGTAAAAAGGCCAAGGAGGTAAGAGAGAGAAGTTAAGATGTGGAAGGGCTGAAGATCGGGGACTCGGATATAGAGTGGATATTGGGGGGGGGGGACGAAACAAGCAAGTCCAAGAAGCCCAAGTACAGTACAGAATGTGTTATTTTTTTCCCGTTGACTGTACAGTATTTACTGATCTTTACTAGAAGTAGATTTACTGGACTAAATTTGTGATCTTTTATCATATGATGAACAACTGCAGAATGGGGCCACGTTCGCTTTTGCCCCCTATCCCGAGTGCCGAGATGATATTCCATTTCCTATCATGCCAGCCAAGTCCGCCGGCTCCCGATGTGAGGCGACTTCACCTTCGGGATGATAAAGCGGTTACACTGCTGTGTCTCTGGCCAATGCCCCGATGGCTGTAGGTCTGTGAGATCTAGTCTTTCCCCAAGTTTCTCAAGTCTTTCACATCTTTCCTATCCTCTCTTTCACCTCATTGTCCTAGACGTCTACTTATACACTCATGTCCACGGTCCACTTTACCGTGTATTCACCGTCCACATTCCGTAGTCGGCCCACCCTCCGTAGCACATAGCTAGCTGATCGACATGAGAGCTGTCACAATTTGGCTCTTGGGCATGTTTGACTTGGTTATGCTTTCAGATGCCGTGCAAGGTGCTCTGGCAATCAGACTGCAAGGGGGGCTGAAAGGTGACCAATGCACAGGCATCACACCGACATGCAGTTTGGACCCGATCATGACAAGTCCTCGGTGGATATGCCAATGATCTGGGTTAACTGGGCAAAACAAAAAAAAAGAAAAGATTCACCCGCAGGCTGAAGGTACGGTGGAGGTCAAAGATAAACGTAAAAGCCGGAGATATTCAATCCGGGGGTTTCGGAGAGAGGTCTTGGCACATACGGGATCAGCTCGATCCTTCTTCCAACCATCCCAACTGCAACCATGTCGTCAAAGAAAGATCTGCGGAGGGCTGACCTCGGTGAGTGTCCATCCCCGTGTTTGCTGTTAATCTAACAATCCCAGCCATTCCCTACGTTGATCCTCCCAAGAGCAGCAGCGATGCCGACATCTCCAGTACGACACGTCTCCAAATAATCCATCCCCCCGTCCCCCAATCAGGACTGATGTTTTGCAGGCACAATGTCGAGCACCATGCCCATGGCTGCTGTAAGTGTCTCCTTGGATTGAGGTCGCGATACCGGAGTGCTAACACGTCGTCCCCTAGATGTTCACTCGCAACCGGTAAGCGTTACGTGCAGTTATCACAGGCCAAGAACCTGCAGAATTACTGACGACTCGCGGGATACAGCATGATCGGATGGTAAGTTTGAAATAAGCATTGGGGTATCGGCCAGATCTGACTTGCATACAGGGTGGCATTCGTCTTTTCGCTCCAGACCTGGCTCGGCGAATCCCCAGACCAGAAGAAGAATGCCGCGACACCGGCTTATATGTCGGTCTTCATGTCCTGTTCGTGTTTCCCGATTCTAACCCCCCTCCCCGTCCCCCTTGCCAATTGACATTGAACTAACATCGTGTTGTAGTGATGGCCCTAGTTGTTGTATGTACTCATCTTCGATTTCCATGGCCATTGGCCACTTTCTAACCCCGTTTTAGACCTACTTCCCGCTCTTCATGCCTCCCCAGGCTCCTGGTGGCCGCGCCGCTGCCGCACCGACTCCTCTGCCTTTGGCTTGAGCACACTTCGATACCTATTATATATAATACTTTTTTCGCAATCCTACCGTGTTTCACTAAATAACAGTTGGTAAAAATATGTGTTCGATATGAAGGCTTGGAGGGTGATCCACCATATGGTCACAACATACCAATGTCGATGACCTTTGCTCAGACCTCAAACTTGCCACAACGAAAGCCATACCCCTAGTTGTTTCCTAGTGTAGTATAGAAGTATCCAGCACTTCATACAATCAAGACTTCGTCTCATTTTGCCACTTCGTTGTAGATGTGTACCTGGGTCACACCGCCTGCTTCTCACCGCCTTCCCCACAACGTGACTCTTTCCTCAAAAGGCTCTGTTCTTCTCTCTGATTCTTCCACCATTTCAGCCTCAAATCTCCTTCTACCCACACCTCGTCTTTCAAAGAGATATTGAATCTCGTCTCTCGCTTTCTCTACCCAACCCCGCTTTTAGAGCCGTTTATCACGCAAAGGCCGAGTTTATGTCCATCGAAAACCTCAAGACCTTCGGTGAGTTCGCCACTTTCTCCCCCTCCCCAGCGCGTGCCGGGCATAACCCCCACATGCATACATTTCCACGCTTGGATGCACTCTTGAGACTATCGGAAGATATATCTGCTCCCGGGCTGAGGGTCAAGTCGTGGATTCTACGCTTCCCCCGCCTCGTTTCACTGAGTCTCACTGCGGCGGGGTAATAATTTGATACTGGACCAAGGCTGACCCTACATCTTCATAGACCCCTTCGCCGAAGCCGACGAAGACACCGGCGAGACCAAACAGTCTCAGAACTATATCCACATACGGATTCAGCGTACGTCTCTCTTCCTGTCCTTCCCGTCGGTCGCTGCCGTCGCGACTCGCCGGCGCCAAAAGGGGTACCATGCTAACCGTCTTGTTCTGCAGAGCGCAATGGTCGTAAGACTCTGACCACTGTTCAGGGCCTGCCCAAGAAGTTCGACCAGAAGAAGATTCTCAAGGTCATCAAGAAGAAGTTCGGTGTGTCTTATACCTTGCTACCCATCCTCTTACCCGCTCACGCTAACCCATTGTTTTTTCTCCTCCAGCTTGCAATGGCACCATCGTCGCTGACACCGAGATGGGCGAGGTGATTCAGTTGCAAGGAGATCAGCGAAAGGATGTCCAGGAGTTCCTGACTGACAAGGACGGCCTGGAGCTTGATGTCAAGACCATCAAGGTATGTCGCCCTGCTTCCTTCTCTATACTATCGCCATCTAACTCACGGCTCTCTAGGTCCACGGATTCTAATCCCAACAACATGCCTTGTTCCGATCCCCCCTTCCCAGTTTGTTGCCCTGTGAGCGGTGGAATAGGAAGCTTGCCCATGCATCTCGAACCCGCTGGCCTCTCTTTGGACTGGCCCTCAAACCGATCAAGAGTCTTGCTTTCTCCCCCCACCACTCTGTGCCTGGCGTAGACTTGGGCCTTGTCGAAACGACCCGCTACACCTGTGTGCGCCGATTCCTGTATGGTCGGCAGGCGAGCGGGGGCTCGACCGCTTATCATTAGGACGGGATTATGACGGAACGACGCGTTGGTAGATACCCATTACCTGCTTAGCCAGACAATTTTTTTATCTTATTTTTTTTTCTTTCTTGTGACTGTGCTTGCAATCATTTCCTACTCGATCCGCTTGAATGCTCATTGCCTTGGGTCAATCTGTCAATCTGGCTTCTCATGGAGATCCAGGTGAAACTGGGGTGTGTGGTGCAGTCTCTACTTTATCCTCTTCTCCGTATTGTCTTTTTACCCATCCGTTTTATGATTCAGTGCTTATGCTTGGAAACAAGGAATCTGAATTGTTTATTCGCTCCATTCCAGATGGCTTTTGACGTAATCTTGGATCCCATAGACTCCACCTAGGAACTATCATCTATACACTTAAGAATACAGTATATCCAGTCTCTATGCCAGCTGGTCAATTGAATAGAACTGGCACTTCCATCTACAAAAATGCCCTGTGATGCACGAAAATCCCTAAAGAATTGACTTGCATAGAAAAGAGACTCCCGGCCAGGGCAATCAAAAATCAACAAAGAAAGTCCGAACAAAAAGTCCCGATCAAAAGTAAGAAAGACCATAACAGTCCACCCGCCCGAAAATTATACAGAAAAACCAGCAGCAGCAAACGCTGAAGATCGAATCGACATAATATCGATTTCGTATGTTGCAAGCAACTGACTCTGTTGGATATCCAGAAAAGAAGAAGAAAAGAAGAAGAACAATAACAAGAAAGAAGTCAATCCATGACCCGAAACCCCCCTCTCCCTCCTTTTCCCCTTTCCTAAAGTGAACAAGTTATATCGCAGGAACGGAAGGGACAGGCCTACAACTCCCCGACCATGACTCTCTCGTCTGCGATGCGCATGCGTAGGAAGATTGCAACGGCCCAGTCCCAGAGTTTGCGCGTGATGACGAAGACAGGGACCTCGGGTTCGTTTTCGCGCGTTAGATGGAGTTGCATGAGGAGGGAGGACATGCTTAGGAAACTTGCTACTGAGACGACGAGGAGGGACGCTGCTGTTTCGCGCTTTATTGTGGCGTGGTTTTGGGTTGCGTGGTAGACGAATGTGAGGGACTGTTTTGGCATTGTCAGTATGTGCTGTGTATGGATTGGAGTCTGGCGGTTGGTGACGTACGGTTGTGATGGATATCCAGGCTGGTAAGAGTAATCGGGGGTCTGAGGATGCGCCGGATAAATAGAGGACCCAGGATGTTGTATATGCTATCAAGCCGTTTGTTGTCAAGAGGCGGATTACAACTGCTGGCGGGGTGTAGTTTAGAAGCCTGGATTCGGAGGTCAGTATGAAGATCCCAGGAAGCTTTTGGGATGGAAGTAAAACTGACCATCGAGACATCATGCAGTCGGCGAAGAAGTATGACAGATATGCGGATGCGCAGCACTGGTCATTCTGTTAGTATCGGGACGGATAGCATTTCGATGTCAATCGGGTTGAGATGGGCTGGGAATATAACATACCCACATAATAGCCAAGGCCACCTCCGTCACACGGAACCTCCTCTCGACATCCCATTCCTGGCCAACACTACCGACAATCGCCGCCGCCCACCCTTCCCGTCCCATCCCCGGTCGAATGTGCAACAGCTCAGCCAAAAAGGTGAAAGCACATCGCAAACCCCACCAAGCAGCAGGCAGCGTGCTTAGCGCGCGACAGACAAGTAGAGGAATGTACCATCTGCGGTCGACACCCAAGATGACAGCCACCCGAGGGTGGAGTGCTGATGGAGCAGTCTGGCCGGCATCACTGCTGAGTGGGGTGTGGGAAGTCGAGGGCTTCGGGGAGGGTGGGACGACGGGAGAAGATATGGAAGCCACCTCTTTGGTCAATTGCCCTTGCGGCAATAATGTCTGAGGGTCGAGATAGCTGGGTGGAAGAGTTGATCGGAGGTTCAAGTCGGCACGAGATAAGTGTTCGTGGGGTGTGTATGGCGGAGGAGAGGCATTACGTCGAGGAGGAGCCAGTCTTTATTCTGGCTCGCGGCATATGCGGCCGCCACGCAATGATTGAAAGGGGGGTATTGAAAGTGACCGTTGCGATCGAACTTTTAAAAAGAATGGGTGTTGTCAAGCTGTTTGTGGCTCCCCTAATTGGGCAGAGATGGGACCCAGTCGATAGCGGGCGGTGTCTTTTCTTCGGGGAGGCAGTTTGATGATCGAGTGATAGGCGTTGAATAAGGACACCAGAAAAACGCCAGTGGGTAGAGTGGAGAGTGTTAGTCGTCTAAGGACCTTGTGAAGGGTCGAGCTTTATCTGAGGTGTTGGACAGGGACTTTGCGGAGTGGTCCACGTGACTATCAGCTTCCGCGGATTTTGTGCTTCCTGAACTTACAGGAACCGTTCCCTTTCGCAACACATCCATTCGCCATGGCGTCCACCCTACGATTGCCTGCAGGCACCTCCGTGCGCATTGTGCCATCTGGGTCCTTCATCGCCCAATCCTGTACGGCTGGATCATACCAATGTCGGCCCTTCTCGCAGACATCTCAAAACTTGGCTGGTCGGCCCATGAACTTCCGCCAGCCCACCCAATCCCAGCCCTCATTCAAGAGTCGTACCAAGGGCATGCCTTTGTCTCAATTGCCAAGCGACCTTGGTCTATTACCCGGAACCTTTGTCAAGCCGCTTTGGAGAGATATGCCTTCTATCTTCCGAAGCCCGCGCGAGAGATTGCACATGGAGTGGACATGGCTCAAGACACTGTTCACCAACTACGGCAGGTCAGTCTTTTCCCAACTTGATATCGGTGCAGCATACTTCAATTGTTCAATGGCTGTCACAACACCCCGAGGCTTCATGTCCCAATACATTGGCAAACACGGTATCTAACTATCATGTAGTCTGTTGCAATATTGCAAGAAGGAGAACGACATGCCATTCCACTTCAAGCAGCGACGTCATTTGGCCTCTGAACTGATGGAGAGGATGTATACTTCATTTGCGCAGTAAGCCTACCTGTCCCATCCACCCCTCTATCTCAAAACTAACACCCAACCCTTAGAGGCAACATCCCAGAGATCCGCCGATTCTGCGCCGACGGACTTGCCACCAACTTAACTCGCCAGATCGAAAACAGAGATTCCTCTGAGAAGTTGGAATGGACGCTGATCAAATACCTGCGCCAGCCCAGCACCAACTTCCTCGGCCTCCGCGTCATGTCAGACCGCGCAACATCTTTGCCCGAAATCCCCAACTCCGGTATCCGCCAAATCGTCGTGCGCGTTACAAGCCGTCAGTCCACAACTACAACCAAGCTTCAAAGAGTCACGAGGGGCGCCGCTCCCGCCGAAACTCCCGTCTCCACCAAGGAACTGGACTGCGTCGAGTACATCGTTGTTCAGAACCTGCGCTGGAACGGTAAAGATAAGGGCTGGACCCTTTGGGGTCACACTTCCCCGACTACCCTTCACACCGCCATGACGAACCCCTACTTCGCACCGGGCTTGTCGGCCATGGAGCGCATTGAGCAAATGAAGGAAAAGATGATGAACGACGCCCCTCCCAAGAAATAAATCCGGACTCCTCAGTCTGAATCGTGATTCCTTGACTTGTTTCTGTTCTTGGTATATTGCGTATTCAATCGCAGGACCGAAACACCGAGATAACTGATACTCTTTGCATTCATCCATCTCTGGCCTTCATGTTGGTTTGGTCACTGCTCAGTTTTGGCTCATCGGCACTTCATCTTCTATTTCTTCGCTTGTGTTATCGTTTGTAACAACTACCTTTTCCTTGTTCTGTCATCAAGAACAATTTGGATACTGAAACCTTTTCTGGTTCTGCCTTTTTCCCCCTTCATCCACGAGGGAAACTCTATATAGAAAGCATTACACTCATGTACCATAGCCACTGTTTATTATTTGGATTACCTGGATTAAACTTCAATGGTTTCCTAGACCCGACACTTCCCATAGATGATATTCATATTTGATTCTGAATCGAGGATTCTGTGTTATGACGACGCTTCTGACAATCATGACCAGAGCCGTTGTTATCGGATCCGAATTAAAGTTATGCAGATACAAAGAGATAACAATTTACGCTGTACCAGCACCATGAAACTAGAAGGCCTGACCTGGGTACTGACAATGTAGAGCAGAACTGGAAAAGAGTACCAAGAAAAAAAACAAACCAAGACCAGTACCGAGACCAAGATAAGGTAGCATAGCGTAAGAGAAAGAGAAGAATGTGTATATGTACAGGAAACGCTCAATGGGCACATTATTAATGTGTAGCATAGCAAAGGTATCACTGAAACACAGGAATAGGATGCGCACGGCGGATGAAGAGGGAGACGAGTTGATCAGAAGACAGATATGACGCGCAAACAGGATAAAGAGGATGTACTCTGTAGGAGGGGGGCATTAGAAGCACCGGAATGGGATGCAACAAGGGAAGGACATAAGGACGTGAGTCTGTGGACTGACGTTGGTGTGTACCGCATCAGATGGAGTGATGATACTCTGTACTCTATGGTATAAAGTAGGTTAATGGGGCGATACGTCTAATCATCGTCGAAGATCTGGAATGTGTTGTTGAGGATCGTTTCGATGACTCGGACTTGCCACCCTGCGTCGGCGATGTTGCCGCCGGAGTTGGCGCCCATGAGGGTTGGTCTGGGTACAAGTTAGTATTCGGGTTGGTTGGAGGGTGGGAGGGAATGTAATAGCATACCCGAAGCAAATCGCTAGGTTGCCTGCGTTCATGCGGTTCTGGGTGTAGTGTTCTTGGATTTTGTTCAGATGCTATGGCGCAGGGGGTTAGTATTTCTGCTCGATCGTATCTTGGTTGAAAACTGAATGACGTACCAGTATGATGGCCCTCAGAGTGGCATAGTGAGCATCGGGCAAGCTGTTAATGAGAGCGTGCATCGAATCCCGACGTTGGATATCGTCGTCGATACCTGTGATTCAATGATAAGCTTTCTGTTTCTTTGCGACTTGATGCCATGTTACTTACGAGCTGCGTCAACAAATTGAGAGTAATACTGGGAAGTAAACAGAGGGTCAGGAAGGTCTCGGAAGAATTGCTTCGCGAGTCCTGCAACGCTGTTGACATCGTGGTAGAAAGTCTCCGGGTTGGTAAAGTCGACTTGCGAAGAATCTTATTTTGGTCAGATTTGATCATACTGCAACGGTTTTCTTCAGACTCACCATTATCAAATACAGCCTTCATATGGCTAATGTGGTTAGCACTTCCCGAAAGTCGATAGATGCCCTCCATGTCCAGACCAAACAGCTCAACAGCCTGGAAGCACTGGTACACAAGGAACGGAACTGCAGTTCCATCACGGGCGTACAGGTCATTCAGTGAGACACCAAACACCGGCTTCAAAGGAGGGAGATTCGACTGGAAGCTCTTGTCCATTGGGGGAGGTCCTGCCATTGGCGCTTGGACCTTGGGGGCAGGCTCAGGCGGTCCCGAGATCGGGTAAGGAGGTTGTGTTCCTGCTGGGGGTGGGGTGAATGTATCTGGCTGGGATGGGTAAGGAAGTTGTTGAGGTAATCTATCAGCGCTCTGTGGTTGCTGAGGTGCGGGCGAGGAGACATTGGCCTGGGAGGAGAACGCCTGCGGCAACATCGACATGCGCTTGTTCTGGGAGTTTGGTTGCGAAGGTGCCGCAGGAGCAGGGGTTGGGGCAGCAACACCACCTCCACCAAGGGTCTGATAAAAGCATTAATAAAGAAATCAATTAGGGCGTTGAGGAAACTCACGGGATGGCGCTCGTATTTGACCTGTTCTGAAGCCACAGCCCCAGGATTGCCCTCGTGGCTCAGGATGAACTCATGGAGATCCTTCTGGTTGTCAACCTGGCGCACAACCTCAGAAAGACTCTTGGGGCCAAATGACCCAGTGTCACTCTTAAGAGGGCTAACACAGAGACCCTGACCGAGAAGCAATTTCTCACTGAAAGAAGCTGCAAACCATGAGTATTTGACGTGGATCTTTTGCAACAGAATGAAACGTACCGAACTTTTGCTGCTGCAGAGTCAAGCCAGAGTCACACTCTCTAATCAACTTCTGGAGGTTCTCAACGGCCTCAGGCCGGTGCTTAGAAACAAGCTCCTGGCGTGCGGCCTGAGCAGCTTGAACCTTGGCCGCATAGTCACTATCAGCATTCTGAACTTTGCGCGACAACTCCTCCTCATGCTGAGCAGCAGACTTGTGGCCCTTCAGACCAAACTTTCCGCCCTGCTTATCGCCTGTGCGAACACGGTCGTACTGCTCGGCCAAAGACTCGTATTTAGCTTTTGCCTTCTCAGCCAAAGATTCCGCATCGACAACTCGCTTCTCTGCAGCTAAACCGGTCTGCTTCCATTGCTTGCGGCCGCGCTCAATGTTACCTGCTTGTTCGTGCAGGTCATCAGCCATTTGGTGAAGAGAGACAGCAAACTGAAGGCCATGGTCGACCATCCGCTCTTGCAATCGGTGGATATCTTTGTAGCTGGAGCTGTACGTTCCCTGTCGGTTCTCGGTACGGCTCGCCGCATCATTGATCACTCGAGAGAGCTTCCTCAGCCCCTGAGCATGCTCCTCCTCGAGGGATCCGCGCTTCTTCAAAAATGTTGAAAAGTCCTGCGATGAATATAGTCAGAAACTGCAATTGGTACTTGAGGATTGTTGGCGTTCCACGAACTTTGGCGGAGGCTACGCTTTGCTTGAGCCGAGTTAGGAGAGTGGTGATACCGATCTGCATGCGACACGATTGCAGTCAGTAAAGTTGCTTCATTTGGCAGCTATTTCAGAGCGGGCTTGTGCGACTGCTCACATCGGAGTAGATGACTTTGTCCAGGCGGGCTTTCAGCTCGTCGGAGATGGCCTCGTGGGGCTGCTCGCCTCCGGTGTGGCCGGGAGACGAGCGACCAGCGCTGGATGGAGGCGCATCGGAGAGGTGAGGTAGCGCAGGTTCGTGTAGAGCTGTATCCGACATGGGCGCTGGTGTCTCAAGTGGTCTGGGGGAGTGTCAGGAGGGGAGATGGGGGGAGTAACACGGGCCACTATGACACCGGGAACTTGAAATGCTTGGCGGTGGGTTAGGGGCGATGAGGTCAGGTACAAGAATGTTGGAGCCTGCGAGTTTCACCTTGGGCTGAAACAATGCAGTGGCGCGAACGGTTGAACCCAAGTTGCTGGTAGACGTAACTTAATGCGCAGCCACATTTGAAGTGGATTCGATCCTTACCTCGTTGGGCTTGACTACGTCTACTGTATTCCGCGTTTTTAGATGCACAGCCACGAGATATAAATGGAATCACTTTTGTTTGGTATCGTCGCTAGGAATCAGATTACAACTATACAGACCATTGATAATAGGAGGAAAAAGACGCATCGATCTATAGCACTGGCGGTGCGACAAAAGAGTCGGGGATGCCATCAAAAACCCAATTGAGGGAATCGAATACCTCTGAGAATCCGGCTTCGCTGAAGAACGCGCCGCCTTCATCAAACTGAGCAGGCATTATCAAAGAGGAATCCATAAGAGAGCTGTCTTGCTGTCGAGTCATGGATCCGGTGGTAGTAGAAATATCTTGGTTTGCTGCCATGGCAGCCGCTGTCAGAAAAATTGAAGTCAGATATCAAGAACAGGATAAAAATAAAAAAAAAGTAGAAACCAACAAAGCTTACCTTGCATCTCCTCAAGACTTTTAACAGGCCGGAACCTCTGTCGCCAACGCCAAACCGTATCATAGACATGGCTCATACTCATACGGCAGCGAACTTTAAGCTGTAAAGCATCCTCTTCAGCAGGCTCTAAACTAGTCGCATTCCACATCTGGGCGAGAATATCGGCAAGACGAATAGGACGATCATGGTCCATGACACTAATCCGACGAATAGCTGAAATGGCACCATTGAACAACAGCTTGCCATGGTTGAAGTCGATGTGGCGGCTGAAGCTACTCTTCAGTAATTTCATGAGCGCAAATGCAGCCGATACAATCATCTGAAGAATGTAATTGGTGGAGTGACCTATCAAATCACCCGGTGATGTTTCGAGATCCAGAACACGATTGAGGAAAGAAGTTGTTGCAAGGTACAGCTTGGTTAGGTCGTCGATCCGGGCATTGGATCCCAAGAACATAAAATATCTAAAATGCAGTTCGGCGGCACGAAGATGAATGAGGTTAATTGCTGGAAGATGTCAGAATGGCCAGATCATGACATGTATGGGGGTCAAATGCATACCTGAGATGTCCCGGCCGAATTCAACTTCCAGTTCTCTGAGTTCACTCTCTAGGATCTGTACAACCACAAGCTTGTCGGCGCTTACGAATTCCGCGGGTTCTGGCTTGCTGCTATACAGAGCTTTGGTCACTCTGTCACAGAATTTCTCAATCCGCAGGCGGATAGCCAGGTCATGGGGAAGACGATAGTCGGCATCCCGCAAAGATGCAGGCTCAAGAGCCCAGTCGTATATTGTGCTTGGAGGTTGTCCATAACCAGTTGCAACACTATTTCACTCAGTATTTTGTTGACCAGATACATCGGGATACCACTCACTTTTGTGCCACGATGTTGCAAATGATCCATGTATGTAATCTATCTTTCAAAGCCTCGCCTTGGACTTCCATGCGGAATGTTGTAAACTCCTCAGCCTGTACGGGGCGGTGCAGACCAAGTTGCATAGCAATTTGCATCATCAAGCCACTGAGCATGAAGGTTGCATCGGTGCGTTGACTCGTTGTTGGAAGAGGCCAAGTACATAGAACGCAAAGTGCTTTGACGACCCGATAATCCTGCGGCACACTGGTGATGGTTGACCAGAGCAGCCTGCTGAATGGCCCTGACAGTGCACTGAGGAGACCAGGCTCATATGGAGACCTCCTACTTGCAACACAGATGATCGTCCAAGCCAGAAGAGGACATCGATGCAAATACACTTCCGGTGGCTTTGGCGGGTTTAATAGAGGGAGAAATGGGTGATAATATGTGAAATACCTGGTTCCTTGTTAGCTGTGAAACGGGTCTGCTGAGAAACCAATCCATACTGGTCGTAGAGTCGGGCAATTCGAGCTTTGGATATAGATATATCCTCCAGTCTCCAATGGCCTTCGTCCTGGGATATGATGGAGCCGTCTCTCTTCATAGTCAACGGAGTTGCTACGGATGGGTGGGTTTCAATTGGCACTGAGACGGGTCGTGAGTGGTCAACTGCTGCAGATTCCCGGCGAGCAAAGACATCCTCGGAGCACCGTGACAGGTCGTCTCCTCCATGGGATTCATGGGGCTCTTCCCCTGTAGGTTCATGGTCAGAACCATTTCCAAGACGTCGTCGGAGATCGGCAATCTCCTTTTCCATTTCAGCATTGTGCCTGTAGATCGAATCAATCAGGAGGTCCTAAGATAGGAAAAACGAAGACCACATGTATCAATACCTTCTCTTCGAAATACGCTTGAAAGATTGTTCAATTTTACAATCTATACCCAGCCTGCGACAGCGCGAGCAAGACGCCGCTGGTGTTTGAACAATATCACATCGTAACTATCCGGTATTAGCGGGGTGGAACAGACACTGGCGGAAACTGGGGAAAGCATTGAATAGTAATTGGGGCAATGCATGTGGCTCACCTTCTGCTGCTTACATTCATTACAGGCTTTCCGACTGCCACCTCGGCGCTTGCCCGTGACAGGCGGGGTCTTCTCCATCTCGCAAGATTCCGACCTTCTCTGCAAAGGCCGGGGTAGGGTGGACCGAAAGTCCGGAGAGTAGTTTGGCCCCGGTGCCAGAATGTTCCGATACCCCAAGTCCATCAGGAGCCTGTAGTCCAGTATAAAACCGCCAAACGTGAGAGGTCGTGAGTCCGGAAATCGGAGAAATCGCGACTGCTGAAGGGGAAAATGGGGCTGATGGGGATTCAGGGCCTGTGATTGGTGGTCCGACGCGAATCTCGGCGGTAGCTGATTCAGCCGGTGCCTGAGGCGGGCAAGCTGTCTATCATTTTGGGCTCCACCATCCCCCAAACACTACTGTACTTGCTGTTGAGTAGACACGGCGGCTCAAGCACCCATTTTATTGGCCTTGAACAAATACCTTGGCCGAAAGAAGGAGGAGAGTGGATGTTCTTCTTCGCAGGGGACATCTATACGAGTTGGCGAGGCAAGAGGGTTGAGATGTCTTTTGGAACCCCTCTGACGGCCTGGACCAGTTTTCCGAGTCCGTCAGGCCTCAGGAAGTTGTAACAGAAAAGGGATTCAGTATCGTATTGAGAAATTGGACAGCTACCTTGCCAGCAGATTTCACAATCACTGTTTATACGTGATATCCCTGCTTCTCATTATCACTCCTATTAATTGTCATTTTGTAAGCGCTGAGAAGCAGGCTGGAAAGTCAGTTTCTACAGGATCAACGGGGAGATCTACTGTATACTACTTGTGCATCATTTTGCTTCAAAATCCGCAATCACAGAATGGCTGGCTTTGCCCTCGCATTGGGGGAAAGACAATAGCAGCAAAGAGTGCCCAATCGAATTTCAGAAATACGGCTCTGCCAATCAATCGTACCCCACGGCCAAACACGAATCGAGGGCAATCAGTATAACATCCGTGGCACAGCTGCACGTCTAGACCCACTTGCCATGGCCCGAGGTCAATGTGGATTATATGATCCGCATTCTACCTGGACATATTTAAGTCCTGCCCTAAGAGTTCCTGATATTCATCTCACTCTGTCCTATCTTCATATACAACGGTCAGTCGCCATAGCCTTGTTGTAGTCTAACTCACATTCCCATGTTGATCCTCTCTTCATACTCCAGATCCTCGTTCATATTTCACCATGTCGGAAATCAACGTCACCGCAGTGATCACCCCCAAGCCTGAGCATTTCGCAGAGGTCAGCTCAGCCCCGTCCTCTTGATATCTTGGCGGACCAAACATCTGACGGTGTCTATACCCCAGGTGGCGGCACTCGTATCCGCAGTCACCAAACAGGTGGAAGAGCACGAACCAGATACCCTGCTCTACTACGCATTCCAGATTGCAAAGACGAACGAGATTGTGATCGTTGAGAGGTGAGCCAATCGACCCCGAACCCCCTCTCCCCGAGACCCCGGAGGCCCCAGAGAGGGTAACCGTGCCTCGGCATTTTCCTACGATTTATACCCAGGAGTTGTCCGTTTCCTCTTTTGTTTGCCACTTAATCCTGATCGACTCTAGGTACAAGCACCAAGCGGCGGTCCAGGCCCACACTAAGGCTCCTTATTTCCGCGAATTCGCGGCCAAATTGCCCGCTTTGTTGGCCAAGCCGACGGAGCTGAAGGCGGGTGGATTCTTAGGTGGTTGGAGGGGAGTGTCGCGACTGTAGATCCAAACACACCCACACACATATTACATCTCACCATAGGTCCCAATAGCCTATATCAGCTGACAGAACGGAGATATAAATAGAGACATGCAGATGATTTAGGCGCCTTTGTTCGGACTTTATTGGGTTGAGAATTTCGATTTCGATCCTATCACAATTAAATATAGTTAGACACAGTGGGGGACGGTCTTTTAGAGGGGGCTAGTGATCCGCCTTCAATGTTTCCCTTTTTTTCCCTTCCTCTCTCTCTATTTTGTTTCCATAATTTCTTTCCCAGCCTTGGATAATCCTTAGGTGAGCATCTCCAACTTCCCTTCCATATCTTCTTTCTTACGTGGTCTCCACACTTTCCCCCCTCCCCTCTTTTCCCGAGCTCCGACCTCCTAGCTTGCTTCATTCCCCTGAAGCTAATACCCTCCAGATACCCCTACTCTTATCGCTGGAAAATTTGTTCTTTCAACTCGCGCACATGGCGACGGGTCCGGCTACTCAATCATTGAAGGTGGGTACATCGCGCCCACGGCTAGGGATGCGCTAATTGAGATGCAGTGCGTGGTGACTGGTGACGGAGCAGTTGGCAAGGTAAGTCGACACCCTCGCTGTCCAGACAAGCACGCTAACGGGCCGTAGACATGTCTTCTCATCTCGTATACAACAAATGCCTTCCCGGGAGAGTACATCCCTACTGTGTACGTGCCCTCCCCCCCGTCTATACCCCTCATCCTCAACCCATGATGGAACCGGACATTGATCATGCCAGAACAGCTTCGACAACTACACGGCTAGTGTCATGGTAGACGGCAGGCCGATCAGCCTAGGACTGTGGGATACCGCCGGACAAGAAGACTACGATCGCCTCAGACCGTTATCCTACCCGCAAACCGATGTCTTCCTCATTTGTTTCTCTATCGTCAGCCCTCCATCATTCGATAACGTCAAAGCCAAGGTACGCTACTGGCCCTGCATTCTACATATTCTCCATCTCCATACCGATACCGACGGAGATCCCCTGCACCTGCACCTGCACCTGCGCCCACGGGACTCTGTTGACATATCCCCCAATTCGGACATGTAACTCACTCACCTTGACTTGAACTAGTGGTTCCCCGAGATCGAACATCACGCCCCCAATGTCCCTATCATCCTCGTCGGCACCAAGCTCGATCTGAGAGATGACCCCAACACCGTCCAAGCCCTCCGCGCGCGCAAGATGGAGACCGTTTCGTACGAACAAGCCCTGGCCGTAGCCAAGGAGATTCGCGCACATAAGTACCTCGAGTGTTCGGCGCTGACACAGCGCAACCTGAAGAGCGTGTTCGATGAAGCCATCCGGTATGTGTTCTACTTTCTCGCTTCACGGCGCAGCAAACACCAAGATCTTGTTCCGTGCTAATGTCTCTCCAGGGCCGTTCTCAACCCCCGTCCCGCTACGAAATCCGGGAGGAAGGGAGTCAACAAATGCATGATCTTGTAGAGCATTTGGCTTGACTCGTCTCTCCTATCTTCTTCGTATGCTATAATGAATAATTATATAGTTAATACGGCGTCTGGGTAGTTAGAGGCTGTTTCGGCCTCTGTTTTGATGAAATCCATTACCCGTTTATCTTCTCTGGGAATCATCCGGCTGCTTTACTTCTTTTCGCTCTTTCGTTTTGGTTATAGTTGATTTGAATTTATGCATGTGTTTTTTTGGTTACATTCCACAGAATTTGGCAAGAGGAATGGGCTAGACGGCTCGAAAAAGCCCATGTCCGGAGTCTATTGTGACGTTACAATATACCCTCAGGTTGACTGATTTGTTTGTCGCAAATCAAGAATACAAGCACTGATATTGGTATCTTCTATCCACACAACGGAGAATCATAAAGGTACTTTTGTGAACAAAAGAAATAAAACATCGGATTGAAGAAAATACAAAAATGCATCCCAAGGCGTCCAAAACATTCAGTCTGCGACGGACACTCCACTGTACAGCGATCTCTCAGCGAGAAAATCGTCCAAGTATCCAAAAGCAAATTTAAGCCAGATACTACAAGCCTCGCCAGGAAAGAGATACGCTCAGAGACGGCCTCTGCGGCTAGGGTGGATTCCAGCCCACTTATCATCAGCAGCGGGAATCTCAACAGCGTTGGCATCATCGGCAGCAGGCTTGCTCTCGTACTTCTTCTTGTCCTTCTTGATCTCCTTGGCCTGACGTGAGCGCTCGTCGTTCAGCTTCTCGTTCTTGGCCTGGATCTTAGCCTTGCGGTGCTCGGAGTTGGCGCCACCACCGCCGGCACTAGGGTTGTGGGTTAGTATGTATTTGGGTTGGATGTGAATGGGGGACTCACGTCAGCTCGACGTTCATGCGGCGAGGAGGGTACTTTCCGTCGTCGAAGTTGGAGTGGTGGTACAGCTTGAGGCAGGTCTTCATGCGGTCGTAGTTGTCAAACTCGATGAAGGCAAAGCCGCGGCACTTCTTGGGGTCTTCTTTTCTTGTTGCGACGCGGATTGTGGCTGGGGGGTTCTTTTCGAAGTGCTTGGTCAATGACTCGTGGTTGGCGGAGTAGGGGAGGTTGCCTGCGTGTTGTTTGTTAGAACGGATCTTGATGTCGGGTGTTTGACCTGATTTGACGAACCGACGAAGCAGATGAAGCGAGAGGCCTTCTGGGACTGTTCGGTCTCTTCGGTTGCTTCTTCGGCCTGAGCTTCTTCAGCTGCGGGCTCCTCTGTGGACTTTTCCTCGGTCTTTTCCTTCTTCTCTTTCTTTTCCTTCTTCTCCTTCTTCTCCTTCTTCTCCTTCTTCTCCTTCTTCTCCTTCTTCTCCTTCTTGTCCTTCTTTTCCTTCTTCTCTTCCTTGGCGGGAGCCTCATCAACGTCCATAGCGTCTTCGGAAGTAGCAGCAGGCTCTTCGGCGCTGGTCTTGTCTTTCTTCTCTTTCTTTTCCTTCTTCTCCTTCTTTTCCTTCTTCTCCTTCTTGTCCTTCTTGTCCTTCTTCTCCTTCTTCTCCTTCTTATCGCTCTTCACTTCGTCCTGTGCCGGGGCCTCGACAGTGACATCCTCAGACTCGTCGCGGGACTTGCTCTTTTCCTTCTTTTCCTTCTTCTCCTTCTTGTCCTTCTTCTCCTTCTTCATCTTCTTGCCCTCAGGCTCCACAACCTCATCTTGAACGAGCTTGCGCTTGTCACCCATTGTGTCTGTAGTGTGGGGGGACTTGAGGTAATATGCTTCAATGGTGGGGTAAAAGAAAAGTTCAAATAAGTCTGAACCAGGAACTTCTCGAAAAGCAAACAAGAGGTGAAGATACTGTGCAGTGCAATGAAACTCGAGCTCCAAAAAATCGGGCGGAGAGAAAAGTGAAATTAAATTTTTGCCGCGTGCCTGGGAGGGCGGTGAAGACTAGCCTTTCCCCAATAAGGTCATCAACTTTCATAGATCGCATTTGGTTTCTACGCAGCACGCTGGGGGAACAGTACACATGCATATATTCATTTTTTTAGGTATAAGAATCTCATGCAAACAGTACAGGTCATGATTGGCTGCTAGATTAGAACACTAAGATCTTAACACTCTTCTTGGACGCACCATAGCGCTTGCTCACTGCCGGTTGGGTAAGCAGCTTCAGCAGTGGCATATGCGTGTCTTTCATGTCGAAGATACCCCGTTGCTTTTGGTCAATGTGTGATCCGTCAATGACAATGCGCTCTAGTTCATCCAACTTGAGAGTTCCTATAGAATAGCAGTCAGTCATATGCGTGTGATAGCTGAGAGCAATTGCTCGTGGAAAATATGGAAACTAACCAGACTCGATCAAATCGGCTATTCTGGTAGGTGTTCCAGCACAGATACCGCTGCGGGCACGCTGCAGGAACTGTTTCGCTTCCTCAAGCTTGATGTGCTTTGCGAACAGCTTTCCTACAATGCTCTCCTTGGTTTGGAAGGAGCGAAGGGCACTATAAATTTTTTGTCAGTATCTGATGCAACAATAATTGTCCGACTCTCGGTTCCCTTACCGGACAACATTGGCGGCCCGCAGAGCAGCGCCCGAAATAACCAGTGTGTGTGGTGTGCCGTTCTGCTCGGAGGATTTTGACAGATCGGCGTTCTTAGGACTGAATGCCTTGAGGAAATCGGGGAGTTGGTCCAAGTCTCTGGTAGCAGTAAAGGAAGAGGTATCGAGGAACGCGGAATCTGAATATAGATTAGTTCTCTAGTCTTGAGAATCCTTGGCCATGGCCATGTAGAAGAACAATGTGTATACGCACCAGGAACGGAAAGATCGCTGAGTTCGACAGCAGACAGCTGCTTATCGAGTCTCTTGGCCTTTTGCGCAAAGTGATCGCCTAGCAAACGACCGTCCATCTTGCCAATGGACTCGTCAATGCCCTCTTTGTCGTCCTGCTTGTTTGATGACTCTCCATCTTGGTCTGTCTTCTTCTTGTTCTTCTTGTTCTTCTTCTGCTTTTTCTTGTTTGAGCCTTCGGCGTTGGTAGCACCCTCGGCCTGCTCTGGCTTGGAAGAATCGTCGGCCTGTCTTTTGCGCTTGTTTTGGAGCTTATCAGAAAGCCCAGTGGGGGCAGCAGCGTCGGGCATTTTTGCGATATTCACTGAGTATTCAAAGTATAATAATAATCTCAATGTTCAATTGGGAAGATCGAAGCTCAATTCCATGCGCAAAAAAAAGCCGGCTGATTCAGCCAGTCGTATCGATAAGGACCCACCGCCCAGGCCCGCATTTGTTGTTGACGCGACAAACCTCAGTCTTGTTATTCATTGCTCGGTGTTCATGCTGTAACCACGTTAGGGATACTTTACGCAGTCTGATGATCTTCGCATGAAACAGCCTTGCAGTGTGGTGAGATATCAGACACAATGGCTACGACCGCTACCCCAAACGCGCGTCGGCGCATCTCGCCGGGGATGAGTACACCATCGGGAGATACAACACTAACAGGAGTGAGTTATGCGCTTTGGTGTCAAATAATTAGAGCACAACTAATGGTCTCAATACAGCTTCAACGACTACCCAGTCATACCCGCTATCCCCTGACACCAAGTCGACTTGTCACCGCAGTCACTCCATCTGCTCAACGGTCAGCCTCTCGATTCACACCGCGTGCTCGAGGCGTAGGTGCGCCTGCAACACCATATGGACTTCGTGCTAGACAGCAGCGCGCCGCCAATACTCCTGGCCGTGATCGACGAAAAAGCGGCAGAATGCAACGAGAGACTACTTTTGATATTCTCCGCAACTTAGGAAGAGGTATGAAATAGTTATGGTGTCACTTGACGTGCGAAGGTTTGTGCTGATTTAGTGTGCCCACATCAGCTCTCGCTCCTACTTCTAGAGTCATCAAGTCCTCGCCCCAGGAGAAGCCGGAGCCGATTGAAGAGCGGAGAGACGAATTTGACGAGCTAGACAACGAACCAGAGATTGAACGCCCGAGATTGTCACTGCCTATCCAGGGGAGCGAGGAAGAAGACGACGATGCAAGTCCTGAAATGCGCCCGCCACGGATGTCCCTTGCTCTCGGAGAAGAGGACATGGATATTACATATCGGTCTGTTGAGTATCCTCGGGACGTGGGCATTAGAGATCGGGATCGCCTATCAATGATGAGCCGAGCCACTGGCAGGATCAGTGAAGATTTCGGAGAGACAAGATATGATAGTGATGATGATGCAGACGAAACCGGCATCATTGGCGAGGAGGATCGAGAAGATACGATGATGAGCGGGGGAGACTTTGATAGAGGGTAGGTATACACGAGTTGGATTGTCTATGTTACAGATGCTAATATCACAAATAGGGGAGAAACGGAAGACCTGGGCCGATTCCACTTTGATCTCAACTTTCCATCTCCTGTGGCTGCTCCGCTTGAGGATCCAATTGATGATAACGTCAACGACTTTGATGATTTCCAGCTGTCCGCCGCAGATGTCCAGCCACTTGACACAGTTGAGGCGCCATCAGACGACGATGATGATGTCGGTGGTGGTTTCGGTTTCGGGCTTGACCTTGCGCCCCCAGTATCTCCTAGTGCAAGCCCTGGAATTGTCGGGGGAGGATTGCGAGATGAAACTGTCCCCAACAAAACCAAGGAAAAGAAGCTCTCACGACATGGAATTCCTGTACCAAACTTGCCTGCGGGCGTGGTCAAAAAATTGGCCACTCGCTTTGCGCACTCGAAGGGAGGGTCGAAGACGAAAATTAACAAAGATGCACTGGCCGCAATCGAGCAAGCATCCGCATGGTACTTTGAGCAAGCAAGCCAAGATTTGACTGCCTATTCGAAGCATGCAGGGCGGAAAACCATTGACGAGAGTGATGTCATGGCGTTATTCAGGAGGTCAGTCTTGCCCTTGAGGTAATGTTTCCAGAGACAATTGCTGACGTTTCCAGACAACGCCATATCAACAGTTCAACGACCCTGTTTTCTCTCGCTCAGAAACATCTTCCCAAGGAGCTCCAGCAAGACATGAGATTGGCCATGCCGCCATGAATGTCCAGAGCCAAGGCCCCATTTAAAAAAGAAAAAACGCCCCCAACACCACTGGAATATGCACTAATGGATATGATACTCAAAACACCGATTACCAGTTTCGGTTCTGGCGCACACGACGCATGGCCTCGTTGGGCTTCTTCCGAATAAGCATCCACATCATGACAGATGTAGCGAAAGAGAGACCGAACCTGCAAAGCATGAGCAACATATTACCGAATTCGACAAGGACTCGACATACCATGTGAAGATGTACTGTGAATGGTTATTTCTCAGGTTGACCTCTGCAGCGCGGCCAATTGGAATGCCCTTGGCTTCGCGATCATACGATTCGACGAGGTCAGGCACTGGAAGAAGCCGTCAGTCACAAATTGCATAGATGATCAATCATGCGTCTTACCCATAGTCTGCTCAATCCAAACAGGCTGGCTGCCACTCAATTCCGCCATTTGCCCAATATCAGGGAAGTAGAACTTTCCATCTTCCGGCTTGTTATCCGGCGTAAACATGTTCTTCTTCCAAGGCTCTCGTAGTAGGCCCTCAACCACAACCTCCCCTTCTGGTAGTCCCTGAGGTCTGTCTTTCTGGTTTTGCAATTTCCGCGAAATCCAACCCCGGTTCACAAGCACGGTGCTCTGTCCCTCACGCTCAAGCGGTGTAACAACCACAAAACCATCTTCGCCATCGCGCATGCGAGGTCCAACCAGCATTTCCTTGTCGTGACGGAGATGACCCGTAGCGTAGACACGGCGGTAATCAAATTCTGAGATCGCGTCCGGGTCAATTCGCGGCGGTAGTGGGAGAGGTGGTCTGACAAGACGGTCCTCGAATTTGGCGATCAGCTTCGTTTTCCAGTCCAGACGCTGAATCTGCCATGCACCCAGGCCAAACGAGATGATAGGGATCAAAGCTACAATTTGTGAATATCAGCAATGTATTTCTCAGGCGCGGACTTTGTCCTAGGATGCGGATCGCATTGAACATACCCAGAATGATCAGGCCAGGCCCATGCTTCTTATTGACACGGACGAGTCTGGCAGGGTGGTCCACAATATTCAGACTCTCGGCTAACTGACGCGACTGCGAGATTTGGCGGAATTGCTGCCCACGGCATTTGGCGCAGATAGAGTCGAGCTTCGAGCGTAGCTGAGTACTCCGGGCAGTCCGAGTCGGGGATGTCCAGGCCCCCATGGCCGACTTCCGTAGAACAGAGAAAATTGGCCGCATGTTGACGGCTAGGTGATAATGGGCCGAGCAAATTGAGGGTTGAGTATCAAGAACACAAAAGACGAGTCTGGCCGGCAGTTGGGATTTCGGGATCGGAGGTCGCTAGGCGGTGGGCTTCCCCAATCTTATACTTGGACTCTCCGCACTCCTCCTCACAGTTATTACTTCTACTACAGCAATGCGATCATGACACTGTTTTATCCAGGATCACTTCAGGAGGGCATTGCTCTCGCCGTCAAGGATGCTAAAGGGGTGATCTGTTTTGTCCGAGGTCCGTTGGTCTCTCCCCGCATTATGTGACATCTTGCTGATCTTCATGGATGCAGACGACTCGGAATTGAGTACTACATGGGAGGATAGTCACTTCACGGACGGGGATGTATGGTTTTCTGCTGTACTGATGGCTTCACTTTTTTGACCCCTATACAGATTGCGGAAGCACTCAACACTAAAGCCGTTGTGTTGCGCTTGACAGCAGGCTCGCAGGAAGCTGGATTCTTAACTTCTTTCTGTCCGGTCTTGAAGTTTCCAACAGTTGTACTAATCAAGTACGTGCTATTTGATCTCAATTTGTGACTGATTCCCGTGGCCTGAACTAATTCGCCTCAGGAACGGCACGCTGAAGGAGTATATGGGACCAGAAGTCTCAAAGGAAGACTTCCGCAGTAGATTACTTGCGGCTTTGGGAGATGAAAGTGCGCCCAGCCCTGTGCCACAAGCGCAGGTGAATGCTGCTCCTACTGCTTCGGCTAGTGCTTCGTCCTCGCCCGTGACCCCTGTGCCCCAGGCTCAAGTCCCACCCACTGCTAGCCCTACGCGGTCTACACCGAAACAGAGCAGTGAGGCTGCCATAAAGAAGCGAATCATGAGCACCACGCTTTCCAAGAAACATGCAACACCGGCAAATTCTGAGAGCAACAAGGTGATCAAGGACACCAAAGATCAAGCCAACTCCCCGGAGAAGAAAGATAAAGGCAAAGCACCGGCATCTCAGAAACCTACCAGCAAGAGTGTTGGGGAGAACGCATCTACTGGCGAGCCACCCGAACCTAAACCCGCAGTTCCTCGGGGACCCCCAACCCAATATCGGCTACAAGTACGTCTTTTTGATGGAAGCTCCGTGCGGTCTAGCTTCAAACCAACCCAGAGCATTCGAAACGATGTGCGACCCTGGCTTGACCAACAGATGGAAGGAGACAGCCGACCATACAACCTCAAGCACATTCTCAACCCCCTTCCCAGTGAAACACTCTCCGTCACACAGGAGTCGCAGACTCTTCAGAACTTAGGTATTGGTTCTACGGCAAATTTAGTCATGGTTCCAGTGTCGACATACACAGAGGCATACTCGGCAGCTGGAAGCTTGCCAGTCCGCGGCATCTCTGCCGTCTACAATCTTGCCTCTTCTGCTGCAAGCACTGCAACAGGTCTTGTCGGCTCATTCCTTGGATATGGCGCAGCCGCACCAGCCAACGACACAGCCCCCTCTACATCGTCCTCTCCGGCTCCTGGTAGCAACCCCCGCACCAGGAATACAGGGCTTAACATTCGGACCTTGAGAGATCAGCAGAATGAGCAGGGGAATAGCCAGTTGTACAACGGGAACCAGGTTTGTGATATCTAGCGGAGTTGTCGTTTATTGTAGGTTTGCTAATGCTTTCCTTTAGTTGAACTTCCAGCCGCGGAATGACCAGGATGGAAAGGATAAGTGAGAATCAGGTACATATTGTGTTGTTTCAAGGTTTCTTGCATTAGTGTTCCATGGTGTTGGTGGATTGGGTTTGCTGTAAGGCACTGTACTAGGATATCTACATATTTGACATTGGCTTTAAGTTAACTTGAAACTGTAAAGGGAGAAGCTTTGAGACAGAAGCTTGTCTATGCCGTTGGAGTTCTCTGCAATATTACCTGGCATAACCTAGGTTTCAGCAAATGGTCTTTAGGGCTTTACTGTCAAAGACAAAGGGAAATTGATGTTTCAAGTGTCATGCATTCAATTTTGATCGTAAATTACAATCAAATGTTTATTTCCTTGTCGAGGAGAGAGGTATAGAGTACAAAGATGCGATATGAAGATCGCTATGCAAAAGATAGGTTGTCTACGAACGATCAAGTTCGAGTATTCCCATCACTTATTACTAGAGAGAACTGTATCTGTCTTTCCAATCAAGCACGCCGAGAGTCAAGAGATATCTCAACCCTTAGTAAGGCTTGGCGGCAGCCTGGCAAGCTTTCTGTAGGCGAGTTAGCATGCGAAACAACATAAGAACCAAAAAGCCGAGGTTAAGGGTACACATACCAATTGGTCAAGGTACCAACCACAGATACCGATGTTACCGTTGTTCTCATCCATGCAGTTGCGGAAGTTGCGGACATCAACCTCACAAGCGGGGTTCTCGAATGAAGACTGGTTGGCGTTGCTCTGGTAGAGACCGCTGTCCATGGCCTGGGACTGAGCGGGAGCAGCCTGCTGGGCCTCAGCGGGGGCGCTGGAGCCGCCACCGAACATGCCACCGATGGCGTGGCCGATAGAGGAACCGACAGCAACACCACTATATTAAGAAGAATGCATGTTAGCAATTTGCCGAAGCGTTGAGCCTGACCCCGGTTTTTCTCGGGTGGGGATCCGAGGGCCGGGTATGGCACTTACGCAGCGGTGGAGGCCATGTTGGCAAAGAGACCGGGGCCGGCGCTCTGCTGCTGCATGGGAGGAGCCTGCTGGGCCTGAGGAGGGTGAGCAGCGGTCGAGTGAGGCTGCGACTGCTGCTGGGTGGGAGCGGCCGCGCGAGCAGGAGCGGCGGTAGGGCGAGTGGGAGCGCTACGCGCAGGGGTAGGGGCGGCACCGCGGCGTTGACGAGGCATTTTGATAGATGTGTGTGAATTGATGGGAATGGTAGAGAGGTGAATTTGTTATAGATATAAGTTTGGTGGAGAAAGAACAAGCTAGAAGATGAGTAAGTTCGGCGAGTGAGGCAAACTCCGATGCAAATTCTGTGGATGCTGATTGGTTGATTTGCTTAGGTAATGATCGTGAAGCATCACGTGGGATCGGATATAGGGGATATCGCTGCGACTACCGGAGTATAACGGAGATCCCGCGGTGTTTTCGAGGTGATGTTCACTTCTCTGTGCGTCATATCATTTTCGAACAAGTGGGACGTAGTAGAGGCAGAGTATGAGTAGTACTATTACGCCAAAAGACATTACATCAAAATCGTTAGAGCATAATGCGGTTTCCATTGCGGAAGGGTATCTAGAATCATGGAGACATGCGAGTCTCATAGTACATTGACCATTCATGGTGGTCTGAAAACACTCATTAAGCCTTTCGAGCTTTCCGGGCCTCCTCCTTCTTCTGTCTGCGTTCCTTTTTCTCTTCAGATCGGTCTGTTTTGCTACCCTTCCGTTCCGACTTGCCCTTGCTGTTCTTCTTTCCCTTGTGAGCCTTCTGCTGGAGATTTGATGCTGCGTCATCGGACTTGTCCTTGGTCTCATCATTATCGGCTTGACCATTGGATTGCGCGGCGGCGGCGGCGCTCTTCCGGGCAAGCTGAGCAGCCTTAAATTCGGCCTGGGCTCTCTCCTTTGCTTGCTTCTCTGCCCGTTCCAAGTCAAACTTGTCATTTCCAGACTATAGATCCTGTTAGCGATGCCATGGTCTTCCGGGCCATATTTATAGGTACTCACCAGGCCGTGCTTAATGAACCTGCCAGCAGCTTCCTTGTCGAGTGTCATAGAGCGCTGTTCAGGTGGGGTCTCAATGTCCTTAATCTTTGCGAAGTATTGCCTGACGCGAGTGAGTTCGCGGAACACAGGGTGTTGCTTGGCGTCAACTCCATGGAGCCTTAGATAAGCTATTCGAATGATTAGTCTCGGAAATTCCCAACAATATTCTATTCGACATACAGAATATTAAGGACTCAAGTGTGTAAGTGACCAGCACGTGAAGTTTTGCCTTGTCCATGACGGGTAGTTTGTTTGAACTTTTAGCCAGGGAACTGGCCAGAAGCGGTTGCAGAATTTCTTCCAGATCATCTACATGATCATCTAGCTGCTCAAGCAGCGGTAACAGGTTTGCGGGCTCCATGGTGATAGGATGTGATGTTGATGAGAAATTACTTGATGCCAGAAAAAATAGGTCGGGATCAACTCGGGCGGTAGGATCGGCGGTGAGAATTTCGGGACCACTGCGCATCTGAGATCTCCGAATGGACGCGGAGACTAAATTATTTTGTTAAACAAACATTTGATAGACTCCTCACCGGATCTACTTGCGCCTTCCTCATAGCCTCGGGGCTCATCAATTATACCTACCGAACCATCTCTCCTCCACTCTCGAATACTTGAGCTCCAATACATCCTCGGGGATATTTCCCCCAACCCATTTCAGATGCAACACATCCTTCGATGCCGCTCGCTGTGGCGAGCTTCCACTCTGGATACAAATCTTGGATATCGACCCCAAGTCTACGGAGGATCAATAGTACGATTCGCCTCAACATGGGCACAAGACGCGGAAGAAGCAAATCGGGAATCAAACGGACCTCCGTTATCCGGACGAGTACACATCCTCGGAATTGGAAACGTCGGGTCATTCATCGCCCACTCCCTAGCTGCCCGCAACTCCCCACCGCCCATCACCTTATGTATGCATAACAAATTACTCTACAGTGCCTACCGTTCCCACAAGGAAAGCATTGCCGTGAGCATTCATGGCATGGACAATATACAGAAGGGATTCGACGTTGAAGTAGTAGACGAAAATGGAGCTTGGTATCCAGCACCTTCGAAGCATGACCGTGGGCCAGGCGGCAAAGTGTCGCCGTTTTTCGAACCGGAAGAAGCTGGTCCCATCGAAAACCTGATTGTATGCACCAAGGCTCACCACACAGTGCTTGCTATGCAAGACATAGCTCACCGTTTGACGCCCGAATCGACTGTTTGTTTTATTCACAATGGTATGGGTGTCATCGATATCCTCAACCAAAAGGTCTTCCCGAATCCTGAGACAAGACCCAATTACATTCAGGGCGTCTTCAGCCATGGCTTGACCCGGAAACAACAGTTCAGCATTGCCCATATGGGAGTTGGTACTACAATTCTCAGTCCCGTGGGACACCGCGTTGCTCATCTCACAGGAGCTGATGCCGAAAAATCGTGGGCGCCAACGACGAAATATCTGATGCAGCTCTTGACATTAACCCCGGCTTTGGTTGCTACCGCTGAAACACCGGCAGGACTGATTCAGTACCAACTTGAGAAGTTGGCAGTCAATTGCTGCATTAACCCTATTACTGCACTAGGCGAGTGTAACAACGGCGAGCTCCTTTACTCGTTCAGCTACACCCGCGTCATGCGATTGTTGCTATTCGAGATCTCGGCTGTGATCTGTGCTCTTCCTGAACTGCAAGGTGTCCCAGGTATCGAAGATCGCTTCTCTGCAGAACGCTTGCGTCGCTTTGTTGTGAGTATCGCTCGTATGACTGCTCGGAATGAAAGCTCTATGTTGCAGGACATCAACAACTGCAGGACAACTGAGATCGAATACTTCAATGGCTATATTGTGCGTCGTGGTGAAGAATTGGGTATCAAATGCGCACTCAACTACATGATGAAGCATCTCATCACTGGCAAAGCAACTGCCCTCGCACAGAGAGACCGCGCCGAGGTGCCTTTCAGTCACGAGACCATCATGTTCGATGGCGAGGAACCTTAAAGATCTGCGCTACTGTTCAAATCATTCAATTGAATCTTCCTATCATCATATCCCCACACGAGGTCGTATCAGAAGATTGAACAGTGATCTATGTCCCCCACAAACGAGCTCTATGTTGAGACGGTTTTGGCAGCAGTCTCGCAGAGAGTTTTTATCTGCTCCCACCGTCTCAACAACGTCTCCGCTTTTTGGCGATGTGCCTGCACCGCGGGATCATTCTCGATCGCCGTTTGCAGTGCAATGATGGTGGCCTGTGCCTCAGTGGCATATGCCAAAATCCACCTCTTGAGCGTGGCCTCAGACCTTTCTTCATCCAGGCCCTGGGTCACGCCTTCGAGTACATGGTTCCGCCAGTCCTCCTCCTTCATATAACTGAGGCACGCAGCTACCTCAGTGCGGTAGCACGGTCCGTGCTGTGTGACTTGATAATTGCTGGCATTGTGTTAATGGTGAACTAGTGTATATGTCGCATAGGCATTTCTTGTAATATATCATCTCGAATCAAATCAACTTACCCATAATACTGGTTTAACCATAAATCTTCCTGTTGCTCAGGTGTATGAATGTCTCGGAAGACGATATCGTCGAGATAAACTGAGTCCGCCTCGTTCACATCGAGTAAGAACCCATCTGGAAATAGTGTTAGTATGCTGTAGAGGTCATCGATTCCCTCGGATTCTCACATTCTGCCAGTAAGGTATCATTCGGGTGACTGCCGTAATTCATGTACACCTCGTCACCCTCCTCATAGTCTTTCGTGGCGCAGAAGACATATTCATTTTCATCGAATTTCACGTCTCGCTATGTAAAAAATGTCAGTCCAAAAAACATACGTACACAGTCCCAAAAGAGACACCTACAGCAACATCAGCATGATTAAAGTAATCAGCAAAGGGCACCATTCCCATGGCATCATTTGGATCCTCGGGAGTCTCCTGTCCCAGTCCAATCCAATAAAAGCTTCTCGTGTTCACAATAAGCCAGTGATAAGAGAATTTTTCCCATTCAGTCTCTGGATAAACGGAAATAACATCAAACCAGGCCTTGCTCAAGATTTCAACCTGTTTTGGAAGGATATTCTGGTGATCCAGCTCATACTTCCGTGTCTTCGGTCCGGGCTTTAAGCTATTCCAACGACCTGAGATTGAGGGGGGACAGAACCCGGGGTTGTCCAAGTCGATAGAATTTTTGTTCTTGTCGCTACTTGGGGGCCATTGCGGTCCTCCTAATACAGTTGGCCATAGGATCGGCATGCTGTCTGCGAAATCCTGTCGACTAGGCCATGAATTGCGCCAAGTCTCATGTTTTGACAGACCTTCTGCATCTCCGTGGGTGAGATACGCTGCCAGAAGAGCTTGAACGGCCATGTCCTCTGGGAATTGCTCGGTGAATGCGGCAGGAATGCCGTCCGCGATGATCATGAGCTTTGTTGGAACTCGGAGGACTGCGTCTCCTTTCTAAATTGGCCGATTGTGAGCATGGGTCCACGTACATCCAAAGTGACATCGCTTTGGACTCATACATTGATTTTTTGAGTAGCCATCATTCCCAATCCTCGGCCTGGGAACCGAGCTGGGGTGACATTGTTTGTTTCAACCCCATTTGAGAAGGCCCACTCGGTGAAAGCCGCGTGCTCTTCACCTGGCCACCATTCTGGCTTCATATTGAAAGAATGAGAGTGCTTCTCGGAGAATCTGGGCTACTGCATGTGATTAGCTTGTGCCGAGAGGCTGATATAAGGTTTCAGATCTGAACCTGGGGTTTAATATGAGATACCTGCCAGGAATGAATCTCTCTGATTCCAAGGAACTTCAAAACAGGCTGATCTTAAATGTGCAATACAATACGAACCGAAGAGGGAAATCGTAGATGTGGAGATTGTTTATCGATAATGCTATCGACTACGGTAGCCATCAACGCCCACCCACGCAGTTCGTTCCTGATCTGATAATCGTACGATCTCCAATTCAGCTTCCGAGAATCAATCCCATACTTCACATACTCCGATCCTCATAATGTCGGTCCTCGGGAGGCGTGGAGCAAACGAGCTTCGGTTATTGACTACCAAGCCGACTCTATCCCATACTCTACGACCCTTCTCCGTTTTAAACCGCCCACCACCGAACTACCCTGGCCATGTCCCACTGACCAGGATTGAGCGCGGAGCTCTGGCCGTAGGCTCAGCCTTGGGATCATTAATTAACCCCAGAAGAGCGGGTACTTGAATCAATATAGCCGAAACCAGCTTCAGTTCAGAGTCTAACGAGACAAATAGATCTCATCGCAGCCCTAGGCGAAGCAACCGCAACACCATACTTCATATACCGACTCCGCGATGCCATGCTCTCAAACCCAACAGGCCGACGCATTCTCCGTGACCGGCCACGTATAACCTCCGAATCCCTCAAAATGTCCCATCTCCGCACACTCCCCAAGAACTCCGTCGGCCGCACCTACGCTACATGGCTCGACCGCGAAGGTGTATCCCCCGACACGCGTGATAACGTACAGTACATCGACAATGAAGAATGTGCCTATGTCATGCAGCGATACCGCGAGTGCCACGACTTCTACCACGCCGTGACTGGCCTGCCGATTTTCGTCGAGGGCGAGCTGGCACTCAAGGCGCTAGAGTTCTTGAATACGCTGCTGCCCATGACGGGACTGAGTCTTTTTGCCTTTGTGCGTATGAAGCCGGCGGAGAAGGAGAGGTTCCTTTCGTTACACTTGCCGTGGGCTATTCGGAGTGGGTTGAGGAGTAATGAGCTGATTAATGTTTATTGGGAGGAGGTGCTTGAGAAGGACGTCGATGAGCTCAGGGCTGAACTTAATATCGAGCGGCCGCCAGATTTGAGGGATATTCGGAAAATGATTCGGCAGCAGCAGAAGAGGGAGAAGGAGAAGTTGCAAGCTTCCGGGTGAGGTGCTTCTTGCTTTGTTGGAGAGGTAGTCCTCGACAGAGAGGTATGTATGATTAAAAGGATGTAAAAATTATTATCAATGCGCAAATGCGAGGCAGGGCGCCTTCAATTCAATGCAGCTGCAAAGTAGTGTTAAATATGGGACCATAACGCCCAAGGGGGATTTCCCAAGTGGCCCACGAGGACGGTTACGCAGAAAAAAGGTATCCAATGCAATAAGTTCAACGGTTTGTAGATCACAGCACTTTTGCTTGACCCTTAAAGGTCCAGCAGGTCATCATCATCATCGTCCCAGCCGCCCTTGCGACGAGAAATGACAATCTTCTGCTCTTCCTCCTCTTTGCGCTGGTTCTCTGCAACAGCACCCAAGAGCTCCTTGAGCTGCTCCTCTGTCACTTTTTGTCGTAGCTGACCCGACTGAGCGAGCATAAGGAGACGGTTCTCGATGTCTACTGCGCGCGATTCCTTGACTAGGCGAATGCGGCCTAGGCGATCGGCGGCGGCGGGGTCAAGGATCTGGGTCATGATTGAGGCACGGCGTTCGGCTGGAATAGAAAGATTGCGTCAGCTATATAGAAAAACAATCACGATGTCGGGGGGCCTATCCACTGCGGTTTCGCATGGACTAGGACTCGAGGTCGTGCGACCTACCCTCGGCTTGTCTGGTTGCGACAATTAGTATGTGTATGTTCCATTGTGCGCTCCATCAAATACTCACTGTCTCTGCTGTGCCTGATCGCCACCATCTTGACCAGCGGGGCCACCACGTGCTCCCTGTTGCTGTTGAAGCTGCGCAAGGCGAGCTCGTCGGATCTGGTTCATTGATTAGCATGATTGATCGCGGTGCTTGGGGACTCTTTGAGATATGCAGTACCTCTTCTAGCTCAGCGTCCGCCATGTTGTTGAGTCAAGTGATGCGAAGGTCGAGATTGAAGATTTGATGGAACCCCACTTCCGCCTGAGGCCGCCCCGCGGGGAATGCACGTGGAACATGTAAGTATAACGAGGTGAATGACTTGAATTATAGACAGCGCACTGAAATAGCTCTATGGAATAGCTCTCTGCAATAGAAGCATGGAACAACTAGAGTCACAATGGTCTCTCGAGTACCCTTTCATTGGCATCGAGTGTAAATTACGTGTGTGCCTTAGGATCGAACTCCTTATCCATTGGTCTCATAGATATCATATCACATCATATAAGTTATCTACATAATATACGGCTAGTCGATAATCAATTGCAAATTCCAGGCAATTCAGGTCAGTAATTGTTGCCCAGGGATGAAACAGACTGGAGTAAACGTGGAGTCGCCTCATATCCCCTATATCCACGTCTAATGCTGCGCCTCCCGAGGACTGCGAGGGGCAAATCACGGTCATTTGATCGAAAATAGCCGAGTCGTAAATGCGAGAGATCTCGGGTGATAACATTGAGTTTAGCTCGAAACCATCCCTGCTCTCAGGTATCTCTATCACCGGAGGTCTCGGTCCCCGGTGGCGGAAATGGAGCATTTCTCCGTTTTGGGGGGATTCTGGTTTATTACTCTGCCTATTTCCCCCTCTTTCTGGTGGGATTCATATTAAAGTCTTCACGATATTGCGCTTGGAGTAGCGCAGCCGATCCTTTCAATAGTTCAGGGGTGACTAAGCCTTGCCTCATCGTGCCCCAGGACGTACGCGCTGCAACCCTTCCAACTCTTCCAGTGCCATCATCGGGGTGATAATACCCATCGGACCTGCGTGTGGTCGTTCAATCCTTTTCCCTTACCCCGACGCTATCCTTTCTGTCGACCTATTGACCTTTCCGTCTCTACTCCTCCCGATCCGGACTTAAGATCCCGATCCAGCACCGACACGACTCGCCAAACGCACGCGCGGCCTGAGTCTCAACCATACGCTCCGGGGTGTGAATGGCTTCGACAGCGATCTATCTACAACAGCGTTTCTGAGTGTGATATTAATTAAGTGATCAGCGGGGACATTTCTCACCTGCTTCACATTCCTTGAACGCCGTCTACGTCACTCACCATGGCCGAGTAAGTCCTCGAGATTCAGATGTCATTCGGTATAGGAATCAATTGTTGACGCTCAGTGGGGGGCAGTTTAATTGCCTTTCAAACTTCTCACCATAGTTTTTTTCCACATCCAATATGATCCCACGACACGCCCATAAGAGGTCGGTCTCTTCCGAGCACCGCTCCTTATCCCCCGACAGAACCGTTACCAAAGCCAAGTCTACCACGAACCTCTCTGACGCTGCCTCTACCGGGTCAAAACGATCATCTCGGTTCGACGATGCCAGTTTCAGCACCTTGCGGGATCCGCGATTGGCGGTCGGGGCGGAGGTTTCACATTCAACGTCATCGTCTCACCACCCCGACCTGAGCAACGAGGTTGCAGCATTGTCCGTGAAACTGATCCAAGCTATCAACAACCAAACAAACTTGGACGACAGCTTGGTTGCTACGCGGCAAGAGTTAGAGCTTGCACAGGGCAAGATCCAAGCTCTCGAATTTCAAAACGATAAATATCGCCGTGACATCGACACCCAAGTTTACACAAAGAAGGCCGAATCCGATCGCGTAATCCTACAGTTACGAAATGAACTCGCGGAGGAGCAGACCCAGCGTGCTGCTGTTGAAAAGGGCAAGAAAACCATTGAGCAGGAGTTGGAAACCCTGACTGCGGCTCTCTTCGAAGAAGCCAATAGGGTTTGTTGTACTTTGCCTACTGTGTATATTCATACTGACATTCTTTTTAGATGGTAGCTGCGGCTAAGATTGAGCGCGAAGCGGTGGAGAAGAAGAACGAACAGTTGCGTTCACAGATCAAAGACACAGAGTTGCTCCTAGCGTCACACCAAGACCAACTCGCTGAGCTCAAGTCCGTGATGCAAGGGATGCACATCTCCAAGGACGACCTCGATACTCGAACTACCACCGCTCCACCGTCCCCTGCTGGGCCCACGCGAGCGCAGGGCTCTGCAAAGCAAGAGTCTGAGCTCGAACCGGTTCCGTCATCGATCTACAACATTGAAGAATTTACCCCGGGTCCTTCTTGCAACTTTCCGGATATGCTCCGCATGGTATGCCGGACCGATCTGCAGGCCTATGAGGATTTCCGTGATCTTTTGGTCCTCTCTCGGAGCTCCAAACCCCCCAGCCGTGCGGCTAGTGGCTCATATGGTGGGCTGAACGTTATGGGGATGGGCTTGGCAAGCTTCGCAAGTGGGGGTGCTTCATCTACGACTTCTTCTCCAACCAAAGGATTCGCCCATTCACCTAATGGGAGTATGTCTTCCACTACCGGTTCCCACATTCCTTTAAAGGAGACACGCTTCTATAAACGAGTCCTTCTGGAAGACATTGAGCCTACCCTGCGGCTAGACTTGGCCCCAGGAATCTCTTGGTTAACCCGACGCACCGTTCTCAGCGGCATCTGCGAGGGAAGTCTTGTCGTGGAGCCAATGCCTTCGGCTTCCAAGAAGTTTGAGTTCCCTTGCTCCGTCTGCGGTGAACGCAGAACCGGCACAGACAATGAAAGAACCCACCGTTTCCGCACATCTGACAGCGAGAACGCTCAGAGATATTCACTCTGCCTTCTCTGCTTGGAGCGAGTACGCTCTTGCTGTGAATTTACTGGTTACCTGCGTCTTATTCTAGACGGACACCTTCGCGCTGGCGATACCGACGAAGAAAAAGAAATCTGGGACGAAACCATCCGCCTACGGGAGAGGATGTTCTGGTCTCGCATTGGAGCAGGTATCATTCCTTTGTTCAAACGGCAAGATGAAGTTGGAATCGAAGCCGAACCTACGAATTTCGACAATGGCACCAACGAGGACGATGATGAGCAATACATGGAGCCCGTGGACGTCACCTTTCTTCAGTCACGAGCAACTGAGGTTTCGCTCAACAGTCCCGATCACGAAAACCATACAGTCCAATCCGATGCCCCTCGACCGCAAAGCTCCATCTATGACGGCGACGATTTGGCCATGAGCGAAAGGGACTTGAAGCGGATCTCTGCTGACTCCGACGTAAGCGTTTACGAAGAAGCCATCGCGGATGTGACCATCGACGTCAAGGAACATGTTTCCGAGGCTCCCACCTCCGCCCCTGCTCAGAACAAGGATACAGAGGCAGAAGCAGAAGCAGAAGCAGAAGCAGAAGCAGAAGCTCCCCATCCAAATGCCGTTTCCTCTTGACTCTCGTCTGATTGATTCTATATGAGCACTAACCACAAGTGAGATGACTGCACGCCTCCCTAGCATTTTATGATTCACCCACCTAACGTCTTCTTGTCTTTTCTGTTCTGTTTTGGCATTGCATTTCCCAAGTCACTCAATTCTTCTTGTGCCATTGATACAGATCTACCTGTTTGGGGTTTCTCGCTGCTGCTTATACCTTTTTCCTTAATTATCGGCGCTAGCTCAGCTGTTTCGTCGACTTGGTGATGATGGTGATTTCTTTCCTCGTGATCTTATTTTCTTCGGTGTCTTTCTTTCTTTTTGCATTTCTGCTCCGGGCATATCACCGTGTATTACTATTACCCCCTTTCTTTTGAATTATGTATACATAATGTGTTTTGTTTGCCTTTTCTTTCCCTTTTCACTTTTGGTTTTCGTCTGTCTTTCCGGGCAATGGGTCCCAGGTGTTATAGCACCAATCGTTGTGTTTCGTCTTGTCCTAATTTTGTTCTCTTTTCCTTATGGTCTATTTTCAATTTCGACTTGCCGCAATGATGGCATGTCTGGCTACTATTGGCGGTGGAGCTTTTTGGTCAATGATAGATGAATTGAGTCAGATCGAATGCATACATGGTTTTACCCAGAGTAACTTTTATATATGCACCAAAGCACGGAATAGACTGGATGTTTCGTAGATTTATGCAGAGTCAAAGGGGGCTATGGTACAAAGAAAGAATAGCACATCGTCCAAATCATCCCTCCCAAACTCCGAGTTGTAGTAACAGTTACGTGAAGTTGCAAAATAAAAGAAACCCCTTAGACCCTCACTCGATATCACAAAATCCTGCGAAACAACTCATCCAAGTCTAGAACGTGGGGATATCATTTCTTGGCAAGTTGATGGATGTGCCGCAACTGATCCTCGATATTCATATTCTGAGGATTATTGGGGTTAGACGTACCAGCCGGCCCAACAGTCGGACCCTGCTGACCAGTCGAGCCGTCCATGGCCATGCGCTTACGGCGAGCTTCCTCCTCCGGGTCGGCGGGCGAGGGATCGAAGACGTCGCTGCGTTGACTGGCCAGACGCTTAAGGTTGTTGACGACGTCGACGGTGGAGAGGTTGGTTGTTGAGCTGCGGGAGTCGGCCTTGGCGCGCTGTTCCTTCCAGCGTGGATCGAGGAGCTCAATACGGATATGGTCGTCCAGTTCGGCTGAGGGGACCTTCTGGTTACAGTATGGGCAGATGGCCATGGCACCGGCTTGTTGGCGGCGGGCTTGGGCGCGCGGCACGTAGTCGGAGCGGATGCGCATTGGTTGCTGGCCGGGGATTGCTGTGGCGGCTGCTTGGGCGGCTGCGGCTCGGTCTCGTTCTTGCATGCGCTCGCGAATGCGCTGGTCCTCTTCTGGGGTTGTGTACTGGTTTGGTGGTGGGAAGGGACTGCCTGGGTAGGGCGATGTGGAGGGTTGGGGGGCGATGACTGGTTCGGGCTGGGCTGGGTAGGCGTTGTAGTATGTTGGGTTGTCGAGGTCTGTGGGCATTGCTTCCTCGATTCGTCGTGTGTTGAGAGAGAGGGCTGCTTTTTGCTCGAGGGAGGCGGATTGGAGGTCGTTGAGGGAGGTGGGTGGTGGAAGTCCGGCGTTGTCGTCGGCCTCGGTGAACTCGACAGTCTCGACCACCACGAAGTCGTGCCAGTCAATCTGGGCGTACTCAATCTGCTCCTGTTCTTTGAGGTCTTCCTTCTCTTGCTTCTGTTGCTTTTGGAACTTCACCCACTCGGCGCGCTGCTTGGCGCGCTCCATAATGCGGAATTTGTTATGCGCATTCTGTTCCAGCTCGGCCAGTCTCTTCGCAGATGAGGTGGCTTCATCGATTCCCTCCGCGCGGAGCAAGATAGTGTACTGGTCAACCAATCGCGTGAAGAATTGGTAGAGACTGTGTTGGGGTCGTAGGAAGTCGAACTGGAAGTTTCGGGCCTCACGCTGAGACAGCGCGGTCATGAAGGATTTTCCGCGCTTTGCAACAAATAAGGCGGTATGCTTGACCACCTCCAGATCCTGTGCACTGATGTTGGGCATGCGCGCCGAGAAGTGGAAAGCGGCTGGTTCAGGTGGCCCCTTGGGCTTTTCGGGTTCGGCGGCAGCTCCAGTCTCTCCAGTCCGACCTGCTGACACTGCTGTTCCACGGCCTTCCATAATCTCCGCCAGGCGCCATTGGTAGTAGGGCGCGTAGGCATCACCGGCGTGCAGGAAGGAGAATTTGGTGTTTGCCTTTTCCTTCTCCCGAACACGGTCTAGACTCAGAAATCAGCTCCTGTCGCGCGACCTGCTGCATCATGGGGAAAAACATACCTTCGAAGACAGCGCCATTGCGAGCGGTATAGCCTGCGGTCTTCTCGACAATTGCTAAATCGCAATGTTAGCCACCTGGTCCTGGCAGAGCTTTCCTCCAACCTACCTCGAATATCCTTGGGGGGTAGCACCAAGCCCTCTGGAGGCTTGCTGGTCTCCTCCATCATAGGGGTATTTCCATTCGGCTCCATGGCGGGTGGTGAGGATCTGAAGATATGGTCTTTTCCAGGGTTCCAGATTGATAGACGTTGCTGACTACGCCAGTCACCTGTGGCGGTGAGGCGGGGCAGTACCCGTACGCGGCCATGTTTCTCTCCTTTGTCTACTCCGCCTCCGGAATGGGCTCTGTTTACTTGGATTTCACAGTCTCAGAGATAATTTTCGAGTCCAGTAATTGCTAGATTGTAGTCACAATATGCCATTTCAGCATGAATTTCACATGTAAAACACACGTAACCGTACCCGGGGGGCTGAAAAGTTAAGGGGCTCGTCCACAGCCGCCGTCGATCTGGCCTTAAGGCGGAACTGAACGCTTTCGTCCATCGCTGTTCTCGCCTCTTGACTGTTTCCTATTTCCTTCTTACTCTCCCTCCTCGGCCTCTTTTCTTTTCCTTTATTTCTTCCCTGTCATGGGGCCTTTTTTCTCATCGTTACACGATCATTAATCGGTGGTGAGCTTGTTTGGGGCTCGAGGCCAAAAAAGTTGCACTCGACAACATCCTGTTATCCATTATCTACAAGCCTCTCTTTAGTGATCATATCACACTTCACTTACGACCTATCTCATTTTTTTCTTCTTTCGAAAATCCGACCCCTTGTGCCGATCTCCTGAACCGCTGACGTCGTCTCGCATCCGCATCGGACAATTGAAAACACCATGGGGCAGAAATCGAAAGACACATTGGCAGTGCGGCCTCAGAGCCGCTCTGGCCGCTCGCCCAGTCGCTCGCCGAAGCCGAAGAACCGCAAGCCTATGGCGGCTCCGGCACCCAAGAGCTATGCCTCGGATGGCGTGAAGAACAACGATATCTTCAAGCTTCCCGGCTCGGACTACAAGCTAGTTGTGCTGGTCACTATGATTGCCGCAGCTGTTCGTCTGTTCAGAATCTACCAACCTACCAGCGTGGTTTTCGATGAAGTCCAGTATGTCCCCCCGCCAAACCTGTATGTCAGTTAGAAAGAAAGTGGGGTGCTAATCCAGTGTTCTTGAACAGCTTCGGTGGCTTTGCGTCCAAGTATATCAAAGGGAAATTCTTCATGGACGTCCATCCTCCTCTCGCTAAACTGCTGATTACTCTGGCTGGCTGGCTAGCCGGTTTTGACGGAAACTTCGATTTCAAGGACATTGGCAAGGATTATCTGGAGCCCGGTGTTCCATATGTGGCAATGCGCTTGCTCCCTGCTATTCTCGGTATTCTGACCGTGCCTTTGATGTTCTTCACTCTCAAGGTCACTGGATGTCGGACCTCCACCGCCGTGATGGGTGCCGGTGTTGTAATCTTTGGTATGCTCGATCTATGGATCTCCTGGTGCATATTTGAATCATAACTAATAACTTTGCAGACAACGCTTTGGTTACTCAATCTCGTCTTATTCTTCTCGACTCTCCCTTGATCTTCTTTACTGCTTTGACTGCACTGTCATTCAGCTGCTTTACCAACCAGCAGGAGCTAGGACCCTCTCATGCCTTTGGTGTATCGTGGTGGTTCTGGCTGGTGTCTACCGGTCTCTCTCTCGGTGCTACTCTTAGCGTCAAGTGGGTTGGTCTTTTCACTATGGCGTGGGTTGGATCCCTTACAGCTCTCCAGTTGTGGGTGCTGCTGGGTGATTCCAAGACTGTTACACCGGTATGAAATTGTGATCCGAAATTACTTAGTGTTCAGAGCTAACTCTCGATGCAGCGCTTGTGGTTCAAGCACTTCTTCTCCCGAGTCTTCTGTCTCATTGTCATCCCGCTTGGATTCTACCTTGCCATGTTTGCTGTTCACTTCATGTGTCTGGTCAACCCTGGAGAAGGTGACGGTTTCATGTCTTCTGAGTTCCAGGCAACCTTGAACTCCAAGTCTATGCAGGACGTTCCTGCGGATGTCTCCTTCGGTTCCCGGGTCAGCATTCGTCACCTGAACACCCAGGGTGGATATCTGCACTCTCACCCTCACATGTACCCCACTGGTAGCAAGCAGCAGCAAATCACTCTTTACCCCCACAAGGACGAGAACAACCTGTTCCTTTTGGAGAACCAGACTCAGCCTCTGGGTCCCTATGGAGAGGTTGAGGGTCCCTTTGCCTGGGATAACTTGACTGCTCCTGGATTCATCGAGGATGGAGCCGTCGTCAAGCTTTACCATTCAATCACCCACCGCAGGATTCACTCTCACGATGAGCGCCCTCCTGTAACTGAGGCCGACTGGCAGTACGAGGTGTCTGCTTATGGATACGAGGGTTTCCCTGGCGATGCCAATGATCTGTTCAAGATTGAGATTGTTCCGTCCATGTCTGAGACTCCGGAATCGAAGAAGCGTCTGCGAACCATTCAGACCAAGTTCAAGCTGGTGCATGTTATGACCGGGTGTGTTCTGTTCTCTCACAAGGTCAAGCTTCCGGATTGGGGTTGGGAGCAGCAGGAAGTGACCTGTGCCCGAGGTGGTACCCTTCCTAACAGTGTCTGGTATATTGAGGACAATCAGCACCCCGCCATTGCGCCAGACGCCGAGAGAGTCAACTACCGTAACCCTGGATTCCTAGGCAAGTTCTGGGAGCTGCAGAAGGTTATGTGGACTACCAACGCTGGCTTGGTTGAGTCGCACGCCTGGGACTCTCGTCCTCCCTCTTGGCCCACTCTCCTCCGCGGTATCAACTTCTGGGGCAAGGACAACCGCCAAATCTACCTGCTTGGAAACCCGCTGATCTGGTGGTCTACCACCCTGGCAATTGGTATCTACTTCGTTTTCAAGGCCATTTCCGTTATCCGCTGGCAGCGCAGCTGTGGTGACTACCAACACGTCGCCTTCAAGCGCTTTGACTATGAGATTGGTACTAGTGTCCTTGGATGGTTCTTCCACTACTTCCCATTCTACCTCATGGCTCGCCAGCTCTTCCTCCACCACTACCTCCCTGCCCTGTACTTCGCCATCATGGTTCTCTGCCAAGAGTTCGACTTCCTTACCAACCGTATTCAGAGCCTGGGACTTGCTTCCAAGCCCGTGATCGGAAAGGCTTTGATGACAGCATTCCTTGGTCTCAGTATCCTGGTTTTCACCATCTACGCTCCCTTGGTATATGGAAACCCCTGGACTCGTGACGCATGCAACCAGGTGAAGCTCCTCGGATCCTGGGATTTCGACTGCAACACCTTCCACACCGACGTAAGTGTTCCGGAATGGCAACCTCCCCGCCGAGGTTACTGAATCAACGTAACCATGAACTGACATGGAATTTTCCCCACAAAATAGTTGAGTCAATACATCACTCAATATGTGCCCAACCCTCCCCAGGCCATCCCAACAACCGCAGCTCAAGCTCCTCCCGCCCAGCCCCCAGTTGAGGCCCAAGAGCCCGCTGTCCCCGCTGGTGAGCCTGCCGAGAGCTCCGGAGAAGCAGCCGTCACCTCGCACAAGATCCAAGGCTCCGTGGCTCGAGTTGAATACCGCGACCAAAACGGCAAAGTTCTTCCCGAGGATCTGGTCGCTTCTCTCCGCGCCGAAGGTAAAGTGAAGTTCGAGACTCGCTATGAGCCTGGTCCTCGTATGGAGAATGCCCACGAGGTCCCCATTGTTGACGGCCAGCTCGCGCCCCCGCACCCGGATGTGGAGGGACAGAACCCTGAGACCGCTAGCGGCCCCGAGGACTCCGTGGCTCCTGAAAGCCCGGCCTCTGTGGTTGAGGGCAATGAAAGTTCTGTCGAGCAGTCTACCTCCCTGGAGGCTAAGCCTGCTAGTGAAGGCAACGAGGCTACTAAGCAGTGAATTTGTGGAATATAGTGTATGAGAGGAGGGTTTTTTGGCCCATGTATAATGAGACTCCATAGAGTAGTTGTTATTTCTTCGTTGTTAGCTCCTTCGCTAGTGTTTTCATAATCAACACTGATATCCACGAAAAATTTCAATCTTATAGAAGTGCGGTAGTGTCATGGGTCAGTTCTATCCTTTTCAAGGCTTGTCCATGAGCGGTGGGCTTAGGTATGTTCGTAGCAGAACAACATATACTTCTCGGTTGGTGGATAAAATAATAGCGCAAAAAAGAGATCGATTCCCAATTGACTCTTATCTGAACACGAATACTATGCACAAAAACCCTTGCAATCCAAATGGGATAACCTACGCGGCAACCCCTTCTCTCCGCAGTCTTAGCAGTCTTAGTATACAGCAGCCGGCCGCAGGATACGGCGGTTCGCTTCATTCAACTTCTTAAGGTACTTCTGACGGCTATTGAATAACCGTTTAGTAGTCCCACTCCTCCTTGCCGTACTTGTTGAACCGCTCGTGGAGGTCCTAAAGCGTGTCAGCATTCCATCTAATCCCCAAAGCCAGCTTCGGTGCTCTATATAGAGCTGTCGGGCATGACATATCGGTTTGAGGGACCAATGAAACTTACCTCGGGCAGGGTGACATTGGGAACAATGACAGTGTTCATGGCGCTGGGGGCAGCGCGGAGGGGCAGGCTCTTGTCACCGTGGGGGTGGTACTGGTACTTGTAGACCTTGCCATCCTCGGAGGCGCTCTGCCAGGGCATAGCACTCTCGCCAATGCGAACGTTGCTCTCAGAGTTGACGGAGGTGGGCTTGCGGCCGAAGTACCTAAGGATCGCGAAATCACGAATTAGCCTATGCTCAAGCTTGCACAATGCTTTCAAAATGCGCCATTAGAGGATGTGAGTCGGTCGGGGTGCTCAATTGAGAGCATTGGTACATCACAATGGCGCAAATGGGGCGAGATATTTGGATGTCGGGAGATGTAGGGGAATATTGGGGAGGGATGCTCACCAGCCGGCAATCATCAAAGCACCGGACATGACACCGAGCAGGACCTGAAGACATAGCAGTTAGTCCGATAGCTCTGTGGAGGTTTAGTGACTTGAGGTATCCGTACGTAGAGCTCGGGGTCACGCTTGCCGGCCTTGTCGAGACCGGCCGACTCCTCGACCTTGGAGGAGTTGAAGCGGCGCGGGGGAGCGCGGAAGAGGGCCTGGCGGGTGAAAGCCCGGCGACCAGCCAAAGCAGCGATTGTGGACATATTTGCAGCGAGTCGAGCGTGCGTTGGGTTGGTAATTTGTGGGTGAACTGGTAACGGGAGTGGGAGAGAATCGAATGATGTTGCCGGCCACAAACGGACCTTATGTAAGCTGGCCAATCAACACTCACAGAATTTGCATCGCATGTTCCGATTCACTTCACGGCAATTTGCGACGTTTGTTGGAGCTTAATTGTGGCTATAAAGATGCAAATTGATTTAAGGTATATGCCATGTATATTCCATTTGCCGACTCCCGATCAAAATACTCATTACATGTCACAATTGAGCTCCTGGATTTATCCGATATCACGGTGTATCTTTCCAAATGCGACCAACGCCTCGGGTGAAATCATTATGATAAAGGACACCGCGGAACCCATCATGGATATTAGACTGAAGGCCAAAATTATTCTGTTGGGGCGCTTTTGTGCTGCTTGCCAATCGCTTTCGAAGCGCATAACTATGCCGTTGATTGCTGATCAGAAAGTTGACGTCGAAGTCTCTTCAATTTTGATTAACTTATAACATGCCGATATCAAGTAGTAATTGCTGCGACGCTGGCCACCGCCTTACTTATATGTTGCCCAAGTTGTAGAGTCATACCAAGTATAGCTTCAATTAAGGTGTATCTCGTAGTGCTAGCTAATGCATAGCTGTGCTCACACGAGGGCAGGAACATTGAGACAACAACATTCGAATCCCTTGATCTGGAGGTTTGCTATCTAATCAATTCAATTGGAACAAGAAAATGATAAAGATATGATCATAACCAACAGGTCTTCAAGCGGCTGCCGTAGTGGTAAGCAATCTCACGTCCTAATATCTGGCTTCAAGATTGGGAGGCATTCTTCTCCATGCAGTTTTATAAACTGGTATGTATAGGTACATACTTTGTTAGTCAGATAGAGGTGTCTGCTGGAAACTAGCCAATTGAGCTTGTCAAGGCTATGGTATAGATTGTATATCCAGGCGCTCGATCCTGATACAAACAATCTCTGCTACCTTGTCTTGTATTATGCAACACCTTACCAGATCTGAATCAGTAGCTCAGTGATTGGAAACAGACTTCTATTTGTTAGAAACAAACCTCTAGTCCATTGTGTCTGAAGAGTATCCAGAGGTCAAGTTATAGTTCCAAACTGTCCAATCATGAGGCTGAAAGCCACGTGATATAAAAAGGATGCCTGAGATATATGGCGGATGACCCACCTGCAGCCCTGGGCCCGATCTCGATTACATAACAATTCAATCCCATTGCCCCCTTCGTTGCTTGGATCGATTTTCCTGGTTCTCTAATTCGAGTCGCTGACGACTAATAATTCCAGGGTCATTTCCTGTGATGTAATTGGCTTTCACGCTTTGGCCGGGCTTGTTTATCGCTGTTCTAAGGTACGTGACTCCGATTTTCTCCATCAGGGGCTCTGCAATTTGGGCCCGGCTTTTCGAGGGAATAGAGCACAGAGACTCAGGACTAATAACCCTATAGAACCCCGAACGACCTGCTTGATCCTTCTTTTGATCTCGTCCCGATACCATTGTCACTCCTTTCTGTGGTTTCACCGGTCACTGCCCAACAGCTGCCTACGCGCTCACCGCGATTTACTCTCGTCATTCCACCATAATTTACTCGAATCGCAATATGATAGGGCGCATTTCGATCTAGTTAATTATTAATATCCACCGTCTTCCATCACAATGGCAAACCACGCGGATCGTCCAATCACCGGCGACACGAATCCGGCCCCAACACAGCAACATGTGCTAGGTATTCCTCGTCCTCCCTCAGTGGGAGGAATCTCTTCCAGAGTGACAGATGACGATGGGGAGCGGACAGTGTCTTTCACGTCACCTCCTCCGTCCCTCCAGCATGGACCCTCGACCTCCAGACGTGGTCCGCCTCCGACGCGAAACTCAATTACCGCGGCCAGTCAGGTCACCAGCAGACCTGGCAGCTCTGCTAGCCGACTGAGTAGATCTCATATTCCGTCTTTAACGGCTCAGGCATTCTTCCGGCCAATGAGTTCACAACGATTGCAAGCACATCGAGGAACTCGCCCTAGAACCAAGGGAACTTTTTCGTCCGACGACTGGACAGAGCAAGGAAGTCAGAACCGAAGAAGCATAGTTTCCAACAGCACAGTCCCCCAAGGGTCTATTCCTCAAACAGATATAGAAGCCCCGCCGTCTCGGGGCACAGAGTACACGGATCCCATCATGCCAGACCGCAACACCTCTAACGCTAGCCCTACCGGCAACACGACCATCCGAAGTTTGGGCGACAGCGTCAGGCTTTTGCGAGACAGAGATCAGAGACAGATTCCCCAGCCTGGCCGTCTCAATCTGGGTGCGAACTATTCAGGACAGGCTCCCCAGGATTTACCTCCAAGATCACCACTTTCATTCCTCTCATTCCAACAAAATAGAGGAACAACACACGGTCATGACTCTCGGGGCCACGAACATCTTTCCTCCGCTGGTTCTTCTCCGGGACCTCTCGATGTGAAGAACCCTCCTCTGCCAAAATCTAATCTCGGGAAAAACTGGGAATATTTCACTGGCAATACTCTCTTTTGTGGAGGAGGGCGATTCCAGAATGCGAGAGACAAGCCTGTCAACATTGCAACAGGGCTTCTAGTTGTCGTACCTTCAGCTCTGTTTCTCGCCTTCTCGGCCCCTTGGCTATGGCATAATGTCTCACCTGCCATTCCCATCTTGTTCGCCTATATCTTCTACATTTGCATCTCATCCTTCATTCATGCGTCTACCGTCGATCCCGGGGTGAGTGACTCAGCTTTGATGAAACCTGACGATTGCTAATATTATATCTCCAGATTATGCCCCGGAATGTTGATCCTTTGCCTCAGTCGAACCCTTCAGGCGATCCGTTGGCGCTTGGCCCCCCCTACAAATGACTGGGTGATGGTTAAGCTCGCTACTTCGGAGGTGGCTGCCATGGACGTGCCCGTTAAATACTGCAAGACATGCAGCATTTGGCGACCTCCCCGCTGCTATCACTGTCGTGTCTGCGACAACTGTGTCGAGACCCTCGATCACCACTGCGTATGGCTCAACAATTGTGTTGGTCGTCGCAACTATCGCTATTTTTTTACCTTTGTCAGCTCTTGCACCATTCTATCCTTCTTTTTAATTGGTGCTAGCCTCGCACATATCTTGCTCTATAGGTCACAGGAGCACATCTCTTTTGGGGCCGCAATCTCCAAATGGAGAGTGCCCTGGGCTATGGTGATCTATGGTGTCGTTGCAGTACCGTACCCTACCTCCCTTTGGATATACCATTTGTTCTTGACTGGCCGTGGCGAAACAACAAGGGAGTATCTCAACTCGCACAAATTTGCCAAGGCCGACCGCCATCGACCCTTTACTCAAGGAAATGTTCTCAAGAACTGGATTGCTGTCCTTGGACGACCTCGACCTCCCACCTACATGCAATTCAAGAAACGTTATGAGGATGGTGATCAACGATTGGGAACACAGAAGCGCAAGTATCGTGTCCCCGATGTTGAGTCCCAGGGAGACATTGAGATGCAACAAGTTGGATCCCAGCAGGGCTAACCAATGCTTTCGTCCTGTGCTCGCCGACTCCAATCTCCTATCACGACCCTTGACCATGATATTCATGATATTTGCCTTCTATATCTCATTCTCCCAAAAATCCTTCACACCTACTGTTTTCTAATCACCACATTCCTCATACCCTTCTTCTCACAAATTTTGTCTACTTTGCTGTACTCAGCAGAGACATAATCCTGTCTTCCCACCGATCCTTGAACATTTTCTTATTCTGTTATTACCCTTCTGTCGCTTGCGTGACTTTCTGGAGATAAGACATCCTACCAGAGCAGTCTACCTCGACATCCACATCATGTTTTTGGAACATAATCATTCAATGTTATTTGCTCTGTGCTTAGCACAAAGAGATTCTCATTCTGCATAAACCTTTCTAGTACGCGTAGAATCCCTCATGCGGGGTGAAACTATGAGGGATTTCGGCATTCCAGGAAACCTGACTTCGCAATATTTTCCCTTCACCAGGACCTTTTCTCCCCTTCTTCCCTGTTCAATCTTTTCTCGCTCTATCGTATTGCAATTTTCGGGAGTATTTCCGCATTTTTGAGGCTGGGGTCGTGTTGGTGTTGCACGCGTCAGACATCGCATCGCCCTAAATTGATAAGAAGCGCGCGGAAGCTGATCCTCCGCCTCTCTCTCCCCCTTATATTTCCCCCATACCAGACCACACGCGCCAGTTCTATCTCGAGAAAGGCTGTTCCTCGTGGAATTGTCCCGCTCATTCACGCAGTGTTTAAAACATGGCGCCCCGAACGTCCCGATTACTCGCGTCCGCGTCCGCGGCTGCCGACAAGGCACACGAGCCCGAAGACAACATTAGCCTCGACGATGCAGAGCAACTTTTGACACCCGAGAACAGCCGCTCTGAGACATCGAGCAACAACGAAAACGCGTTGACAGACGAAAACACCGCGGGACGGCGGAGGTCAACACGAGTCGCACGCGCATCGCTGGCCGGTCAGCCGCTGGATGATACACCTGAGAAGAATGAATCCACCGCTTGCTCCAGCGAGGCCTACGTCGCTAGCCTCGCCAACGCAAAAAGATCACATTCTTCTCTGCGGCACAGTATCGCCGTGATGGAAAATTCCTTGCGGAGCGGTACGCCAGACGATGCTGCTGCGGCAGATGACCACCCAATGGCCCCCGATACCCCAGTCTCGGAGTCTTCCCAAGAGTTACAATCCGAGGACATAAATATGTCGCTTCAACAACGGGCCTTACGGAAGAGCGCGGAGAAGATATTGGAGGAAGATGAGGGAACACCCAAAGCGAAGCCAACCCCAACTCGCACCGCTTCCCGCAAGTCTTTACGGCGGTCAGGTCGCATAGGTATTTTGGATAAGGCCTCTGATCTCGTGAGCCGGGCCAACAGTATTCTGGGAAAGCGTACGAGAAGTACAGCAGATAAGGAACTCGGTCGTCGTGCTAGTCTCCGGCCGCGTATTCTGGCCCCGACAAAGGAGGAGAATGAGCATGCAACGAAGAAGCGCCGAGTCTCGGAGAGTGATCTGTCGAAGCTTAAAACTCAGGAATCGCCTGCCCCCGAAGAATCGCCCGAACCATCCTCGCCTCGACCTAAACGCAAGCTGTGGCTGTCTCACGGTCTCTATACTGGCCAGGAACCTTCGGACTCACCTCCTAAACAGCGCCGGAGTAAGAATTCCAAGAAGACTGGAACTGGTCCCATGCACCGTACTATTCTTCCTATGCCTATGTTCAAGGGCGCTCGGCTGTTGAAGAATGGCAGAGATTATCAGCTGCCATATGATGTCTTCTCACCTCTCCCGCTTGGTCAACCCAAGCCCGATGAGTGGCGCAAGACCAACAAGAGTGAGTATTGTATCGGAGTCTCACAGTCCAAAGTAAGAACTAACATATAGTTCAGATGTTTTTGTTGGTGATGCCGGAAGCTTTTGGAAAGCGAACAAGAACCTTGAGCTGTCAACTTGCATGTGTGAGGAAGAAACTGGCTGCGATGAGAATTGCCAGAATCGTTACATGTTCTACGAGTGTGACAATGGTAACTGCAGGCTAGGTCCAGAATGTGGGAATCGAAACTTTGAGGGACTCAAGCACCGAACCAAGGCCGGAGGCAAGTACAATATTGGAGTGGAGGTCATCAAGACCCAAGATCGTGGCTATGGCGTCCGCAGCAACCGCTCCTTTGATCCTAACCAGATTATTGTGGAGTATACCGGAGAGATTCTCACACAGTCTGAGTGCGAGAAGCGGATGAGAACAGTGTACAAGAACAACGACGTATGTGCTCCTGTTTCCCTTACTTACTGCTCGTTACTGATATGATGAATAGTGCTACTATCTCATGTACTTTGATCAAAACATGATCATTGATGCGACTCGTGGCTCCATTGCTCGCTTTGTCAATCACGCATGTGAGCCCAACTGTCGTATGGAAAAATGGACAGTCGCTGGAAAGCCTCGCATGGCCCTTTTCGCGGGAGATCGTGGAATCTCCACCGGAGAGGAATTGAGTTACGATTATAATTTCGAGTGAGTACTGTTGGTGCCGAGGCAGAAAACCTGTGTTCTAATATCCATACCAGTCCATACTCGAACAAGAACGTGCAACAATGCCGCTGTGGATCAGAAAACTGTCGAGGGTTCCTTGGCCCGCGACTGAAGGATAAGCAACAGCGCGCCAAAGAACTTGAACAGAAGCGAAAGGCTGATAGCCTGAAGAAAGGCAAGAAAGTCATCGGAAAAAAGCGCAAAGCCGCAGCAGAGTCTTCGTCTGAGTCCGAATCTGATTCCGAGTCTGATTCTGAGTCTGAATCGGAGTCTGAGTCCGAGGAAGACGAGCCTCCAAAGAGCAAGCGTCGCAAGCTGATGTCAACGAAATCAATCCGAGCTGGTGTTAAGAAGGCCGTGGCAACTGTCCGCGGAAAGAAGACCACGAAGACCACGAAGACAACAGCAAAGACCAAGGTCACCGCGAAGGCGAAGAACGTCAAGTTGCCTAAAGTCAAGGCTACAGGGCGAATGAAGGCTGCTGTACGTGGCACCAAAACCACCAAGGCCACCAAAGCTACTAAAGGCATCAAAGCGACTAAAGCTACTAAAACGGCACCAGCTTCACCTGCTAATAAATCAACAACAAAGCTCAAGCGTCCATCTGCTGAGACCAAGAGAAAGATCCTCGCTACTGCTTCCAAGGGCTCCGTAGGTCGTCCTCGCAAAAATGCTGCGCAAAAGGCTCCTACCAAGAGTCCTGTCAAGGCCAAGGTCTCGACCACCATTTCCAAAAGCCCTGCAAAGAAAGGCCTAGGCAGAAATGTCAAGAGCGTTGCTCGCCGTGTTGTGCGATCTGTCAGGGGAACAAAGAAAGCTTGAACGCCCTGACTAGCCTTTGACTGCTTGTTGACATTACTGTGCTTGGAGACCGAGACTTGCAGTCAAAATAGCTTGTCTTTTTTCATGAACTGCAGACCATCAGCCAACAGCTGGGAAGTGAACTTGTGAAGTTCCTTCGGCTTTTACTCTCTCATTTTCTTTTCACTCTGATACTTGACGCAGCCGGTGCTTCGAGTCTCACCTCTGACATGACTCTTCACCAGCCAGTTTTGTTCTCTTTTCCTAACCCATAATTTCCGACTTTGATTCTTTCTTGACGTGCTTATCCCTCTTGCTCGACTATTGAAATTCATGTTCATTAGCTAATTCCCCCCTGTACGAAATCCTTGTTTGTTGTTGCTTTCCTCCTAACCCAGAAGGCGTTTATGGTCTCCTTGTTCTATGTCACCTTTATCTTCTCCATCTTCTGTTTTTTAACTCATCATTCTTCCCTTTTGGCTTCAATTTCTTTTCTGATTGAGTTCTTATTCAATTTATGCGTCATGGTCATGAAAGTGAGAGAATGTCCTGGGCCGCTGTTGTGTTTCATTCAAATTGGTGCGTGACCTTGATATCTTCGATATAGCTAGGGTAGATGTTTCCAAATTCAACATGGCTCACCCTTAGCTCGGATGAAAGTCCCCACCGAAAATCGGTTCTCTGCAGATCAAGCATGGTTGTCCACGTATTTGACGTTGGTCTTCTAACTAGTAGTCATTTCCCTGGTCTTTCGTTAAGTTACGCCATGTTACGCCGTGTCCGACTACTTTTCCACTACATAAGCTCATTTCATATCCTACGGAAGAATCTACGTGAGCACCGAAATATCGAACAAGAAACAATATTTGAAATTCAATAGCAAACGAAAGTTGAATCGCCTCGCAAGTCCAACGGGTATATACGCACACACGCATCAAATGGAGCTCTAGGCCCTAATCAATCCCCAAAGTAACCTATCCGTCAATTGAAACAATATCCCAGTAACAGGGGCTTCCCCCATTCCGTGGAGCCCCTGAGCATATCGCACTTTCATAGCAAGGAGTTCCCAGAAGATCCTCTGAAAAGCCTTTGTCCTCGCTGTATTCCAGTCCAGGAATCTCACTTTGGCCTGTCAGAGCTTGTAGATCTAAAATGTCCATTACATCACACTCTGGGTATGGCCTGTCATGTATATAGTCTGTGTATGATGGAGCAGGCTGAAGGTCCGTGAAATGTTCTTTGTATAGTGCAGAAGAAGAGGAGAAATCCTTTGACAAAGAACAAAAGGAGATTGGGAAGAAGGCAGCAATCTGACCGGGAAAAGAGGCTATTAGCATTTGTTCCTTGTGCATCTCTCTCGGATTGCAGTGAGCACACATACCTCCGAGTACGCTCCATTGGGATTGAGAAGCTTGAGGCACACTTTGAGACGGTGTGATATTTTGATGGCTGACGTGCTGCAACTCGGCATGCAGGGTTCGAGGAGACTCGAAGACAGAATGGTACGGGATAAGGTACTCCATTGCTCGCCATCTACTTCCTCGGTCGAAGTCATGTCCTCTAGGGAATTCTCAAACTCGAAGAATTCATCGAGTATCGTTTTTTCTCGGGTTTGGCGGGTAGGTCTTGGTCCTCTAGCCCTGGATACAGCATGGGATTCCACAAGCTGCACCTTCATTGAGGCGGGACGAACGCCCTTCTTGAGTGGTATGTATCGGAAGTCGATCTTGATAGGGGCTTCAAGTTGGTACGCTCGACCTGGGATACTGATTCGATATGCGATCTTTTCGGCCCATGTCCTTTCAATGCTCTGTTCGTCATGTCAGTTATGTCTGTCGGTCAAAATTTTAGCTTCGGAATATACCTCGGGTTCGAGAAATGATAGAGGCTCCGGAGCTTTCGATACACTCATGTCTTTTGATCTTGTGATCATTCCCCATGGACAGTTGATCCCGGCTGTCAACTCATATCGAATGTAGCAGTCGTCTAGTCCTGCAACACTCTCTGGGAGGCTGTTTTGCAGAGTGATTGAAAATGGAAACTCGTAGTTGCCGGGCTGTAAAGTCGTTTGTTTTTTGTTCGACTCTGGAAGGAAGCTCCAGATCTGGTGATAGAATGTTGCTTCGCGCCATATTTCTTTCTTGTGTTGGCCATCTAGTGTTGTCGAGTCCCAACTGATAGAAGTATAAGCTTGATATTCGAAGTAATTTAGGCATTGGAAATTGAGAGGGCTTACTTGACATATTGGATTCCTCGCGTGTGGAGCTTGATCTCTTTGACGGGAAGTGGCCTGTTCAAACATAGAACAACAGTGCCGTTAAGGCGGCCGTAGCTAGTATCCTCCTCAATACGGGGAAGTGTAAGGGTGTTGTTTTCGAGTCTTCATCAGCAATTCACCAGTCAGTGAGTTGAACCCAGAATCGAATGTGGCATAGTCTGACCTGATGTCAAAATAGGTTGGTACATTCGCAGCCTGACAACCGCCAAACAACCAAGATACCATGGTGTGCATAAGATCAAAGAGAGGCTCAGAATGAGTAGACTATTATGTATAGAATTGTGGGTAGAGAATTCGAAAAGATTGCCACGAGGGGTTTCCCTACTTATACTAAGTTGCTACTGAGTCTGGCCTGACTCGGCAAGCCGATTGAGATTTCGAAACGTTCGGATAATTTGCAGCTTGAGATTTAGCCTATGAGATACTTCTAATCTACTAGTATAACGTGGGTCCTGCTGCAGAATAGTGACATGATGCCTTGAAAGACAGCCGAATGACCTGATCGGTCGGGTAGTTTCCTAATGTGGAAGTCTTGCCGCTAACCAAGCCCTAACGCTTCAACATTTGGCTTCAAAAGGCTTGACAAAATCGGTGAGAGGGTGAGGAAAAAAAAAGATTTAGGGCTCTATGCGTTTTCTCAAAGTAATAAGATATATAGATGACGCATTTACGATTGATCTCACCCTAGGCCATCCAGATTGTGCTACGCAATGCAATGGTCTCAGCTTCGAGGGGTGGACTATATTTAAATCAGCTTGGTTGATGTGCAAAATATTTGTTGAAGCACAATTTGGAAATAAAATTAAGACAATTGGCGTCACTTCAATGCTTAAACGACATGTGTGGAGTGCGAGTACTAAGTCTAGAAATGTGTATTTACTAGTGGATCGTCTACAATATATAGTGTCCCAAGTCTATCATAAATTCTTGAATTCTGGGTCATATTAAGTAGTTTAAACACTGTTTGACTCGGTATTCATTAACCATTCATAAAAAAATGGGACAAGATATAGAAAAACAGCATTGGGTGGTAGTAATGAAAGTCGATATATCAACATGGCGCATCATCCCCCTGTGGCCCCTCAACGTTACCATCAAATGTAATAGAAGCCGTCGTCACGGTGAGAAAGTTACAAGTCAAATTTCAATAGTAGACAAACAATATGATTCTACAAGAATGTAACAGTGAGAATTTCAACGACCAACGAACGATCCAGGAACCAAGACTCCAGCCTACAAACACAAATCGATAAACAGCGCCATAAAAGTAATCAATAGGACAAAGAATATATTCATCGTACACCGTGACAGTTGATAGTTGCAACAAACAACCCGAAGAATCAGCCTATGAAGACTCAGCGGGAGCACTCTCGGGAACCGATTCCGACGACTGATCAACACCCGTGACTTCTCCAGGTTGATCATCTCTCTGATCGGGTTCTGCTGCAGCTGTCTCAGCTGATGTATTTGGCTCCGCTGCTGGCTGATCGGTTTGGTCTGTTGTATCTTCGGTCTCATCCTCAGCAGCAGGTGTTGGAATTTTCGCTGGGGCTACATCCGCCGTGGTAGAATCTGTTTCAAGTGAAGGAGGCTGAGAGCCCTCGGCTGGTGGTTCTGAAAGGGGCGATTCGGGCTTTGTAGGGGACTGGGTTCCTTCAGGTATGGGGGTTTGCTCATGTGCTGCTGGAGCTTCGCTCATTTCCACGTCCTTTGCTTCAGCTGGACCTGGGCTGGAATGGGGGATATCAGATTGCTTGCTTTGATCATCTTCAGCGGCCGCTGAGGGGGTTTCGGTGTCGAGTTGTGAGATTGCCTCATTGGATGTGGCTTGAGGTTCTTCAATTTCGACTGGAGCTTCAGTTGAAAGGGAGGGTTGCACGGGTTCAGAGATTTTATCAAGGCCATCAGATTGTGCAGCAGTTGTAATATCTGGTTGACTTGTGACTTCAGACTCCTCTCGCTTTGGTGTAATGTCAGCCGTCTTTTCTGTGGCCTCGGATTTGCTGGGCTCTGAGGTTTCAGTCTCAGCTGCTGCATTTGAGGCTGCAGCAGTCTCAGTAGAGGAAATAGTGGCAGGTTCATGGTCCGGTACAGCAGGATTCAGATCCAACTCAGTGATCTCAGTCTTTGGAGGTACACTGGAATCCAAAACCTTCTTGTCTGTTTCGGGTGCTTTTTCAGACTGAGAAGCATCGGTGGTCTGCTGCTGCGAAGGTGTCTCAGCCCCAAGAGATGCGGATGGTTCGAAGGCGGATTGTTGGTTGTCGAGACCAGCGTCTGCCATGTCAACATCAACTGACTGCTCAGCTGGAGTCTCAGTCGAAGGCCGATCAACAGACTCGGCACCAGATGGAGGCTGGGGTGTCTCGGGAGTCTTCGCATCTAGCATAGACTCATCCCCCTCATCCCCGTCATCGCTCTCATCGCCATCCTCATCGTCATCATCTTGACCATTCGGATCCATCGCCATTCCTGAACCATCTTGACTTGCTCCTCGGCCATCACCGGCACCTTCACCCATACCATGTACTGTGGCGGCATCAGCTCCTTCTCCTGGCGCGAACATGACCTTCTTCTTGCGACCCTTTCCAATACCCCTACCCTTGCGCTTAGGGGGAGGAGGGCGTCGCTTTGGAGGCGTCATAACAGCGGCTGAGCCAGCTTCCGCGACAACAACGCCCTCCGCATTAACAATCCCGACACCTTCAACGACTGTTCCAGGCGCAGGCGCCTCGGGCTTCACAGGCACTTCGCTCTGTGCAGCAATCGCCTGCACATCGCCGGTAATCTCCCCCTCAATACGATGGCCCTCAGGTACCCAGGCCTCATATATCGAGATATTACCGGTCTCAGGGTCTGTCTTCTTGAATTTGGTCCTGCGCATCGGCGCGCCAGCATCACCAGCAGCACCATACAACGAAGGAAGACCAGGACGTCTCTTTGCCAAAAACTCCACCTCCGCAGGCTCCAGGTGCTTAGGAAGCGTCAACCATTTGCGAGTTGTAAAGTTTCGATCGGCGACGTGGGCACTGGCTGAATTCGGGTCCTCCGCATCTGCCGCACTCTTCTCTTCCACATCAGCTGCGCGAGTATTCTGACGAATATGGACACACCCAGCGCGGGCTGCGCGAAGAAGTGCGCGACTGATTGGAGGCAGGAGCTGGCTGTCTCTTGGCATTGGGAGCTCTGGTAATGTTGGTCCCCCACCGGGGCCTTGGACACTGAAATCGGAGTCCTCGAGCTTGGGGGCTTGGGAGAAGGTATGTGGCTGTTTCGACCAGCGGCGAACTGGCAGTCCTTCAAAGACATCGTGATCGATTTGGCCATTTCGGGTGCGATTGGGGCCATCGAGATGCCGTCCTGAGCGCGAAGCTCGGAACTATAAGGTATGAGTCAGTTAATCCTCCAATGTGAATATTGTTTTCGTCCGAAGTGCTCATTATTTCTAGTTGGACTAGCCTGAGCTAGACAGGATAGATGGTGGTCGCGGGCGCAACATGCAACGTACGGTAGAAGGCATTATGTTTCAATGCCGTGACGGTCGGCTTGCCCTAGACAAATTAGACCAATGGAGGGTATTTTGACCACAAATGCGTCGATCGATTAGTTAGTGGAGCTGTTGCGTGGAATAGTATGGGGAGTAGGTGATAGACAGTGCCTCTCCGTTGCGCGACGGCGGCGTAAGGAGTGACCACGTGACCGTGATCCATTGAGCAACAAAGATACTCTACAATAGTTACTTTGAATTCTGTACTTGATCAGATATAGCCATAATTGTATTTTGTCTTGTATACAGAGGTCTATTCCAGTGATTCATGAGTACAAATGCCTCCCTCAGACTGCTATGGAAGTATATGGAAGTACTATAAGATATAGTTCCTTAAACGTTATATGGGAAAGTACTACACAAGAACGATAAACTAGTCATAAATTCCTGCGAGTCAAGGATATAAAATATGTGCATGAGAATTTAAGAAATTGATTTTGAGTATAGATCATTAAACAGGAGTTGAACATGGTCCAGAGTAGAGTGGTGATAAATTTCTCGTGCTCGGTGGGAATTGATTGCACAGCAGCGCTGGGTGTATAAATACAAAAAAGGATCAGGTATCCAATGATTCACTGTTGATACTTCAAAAAAAGAGATGGGATAGTTACAGGACTCCTTCCAACGAATGGCGAAATGTTTAGTTCCAGCTGGTACGGGTTAGTCGATGTGAGGTGGATATAATTGAAGCAAAAGGAACTTACCCAGTGTCCTTCTGGCGCACAATGCCTCCATGATCCCCTGTTTCCTTGCCCTGTGGAAATTGTGAGACCGATTGCTCCTGCGATGGCTCAACATCGAGGTCAACTTACGGTGTTCTGGCCCTCTACCACCAGCTTGTCCAACTGATAGAATTGACTGATGATCGTTTGGCGCTGTAGTTTTGTCAGCTCCACGAACAAATAACCTGAATTTGAGATTGTATATGGCAGTGTAGCAAGGCGCGACCATTTGACCCTCGGTGCGGGGAATCGAAACCCATCCGTCTGCCATTGATCGAGTCTCGCTTTCATAGTCCATTTATATCCACTAACCTTGAGCAAGCGCAGGCTCTGAAGACCTTCTTGCATCAGCTCCTGTACCTGACGCTCCTCTGTCACGTTTTGGTGCTCGCGGAACGAATCTCTCGTCTTGCGACGAGCAAATTCACGGAAGTTATAGTTGGAAAATTGGCCGGATTGACGCAAAAGGGAGCGGAACTAAGCAAAGACAGGGCGATTAGCCGCTGATTATCCAACATAGGTGCACTCGTCGTCGGGGTGCAGATATCAGAATCAAGGACATACCAAAGACCGAACCTGGAAGCCGGCATCACGGTGCAGCGATGCGACAGACATGATGATGAAGCGCACTGGAAGTATTGAGAGAGTGGAGAGGAAGAGAGAAGGCCGTTGAATGTGATGACCTGAACGATGCGCGGATCTTGCTGGAATTTGACCCCAGATTCTCACTGTAGTCGGGTTCTTTCGATTGATGGGGCGATGAAATAGCAGCAGAGATACCGCAGAGCTTCGGTAGGAGATGAAGATACGTGCAACGCTTGTCGAGAAAGACCGAGGGGTTGGGCGCAATTATCAGGGATCGGAGGTGGCGGTTGGGATTTGCAGGAGCGCGAAAATCCGGGGAACTGATATCGCCACACAGCAAGGTTGTCAGAATCGATATATTGCAACACAGTCTCTTTGAATTACAAAAGATCTGTGGTCTGAAGTGAGTCCAAGAGTTGGTTGAAGGGCGGGAAATTCTTTTGCGGGAGAGAATGACGGAGTTACCGGGGCCGAGCTCCTTTTGATCCACGTTTCCCGTATCTCGGACTTTGCTCTGGTCAACACATCGCTTGACCAGGACTTGATCTAGCTGTCTAGCCCAGTCTGCATTGTCGTCGCAATGGATCAAATTCCCACACCACCGGCTTCACGACCTGGCTCAGAGGCTCCTGAAGCAAAAGCGAAGCCCGCAGCCTCAGAATTGGTTCAATCGTTGGATACTCTTCTTGAGCAATATTTGAACCTACTTGATAGGCAGCAGAAACTGCAAACCGGCCTGGCAAAACAGTTGTCCTCGGTATGAATCCCGGTCATGGCTTATGTTACCCTTAACTGATATAAAGTAGGGATTCTTTTCTCTCGCCCAGGCCAATTTCTCGTGTCCTCCTGGTCGCCGCTATGGGCCCGACTTCTACGACGAGCGCATGAAAGCAACAAGGAAGATGTAATGCTACAAATTCCATTATCTATTGTCAGTTATTGATTTGTTGAAACCGGCAGCTCGATCAACCACGAAGAAAACACCGCCGACAAAAGCGCCGACGAAAGTGCCAACGACTCGGAGAATGAAAGTGCCGCTTCGCTACCCTTTGGCTGCAAATTCACCATTGAGTCTGCGCCTAGCACTCAATTAGAAGCAGATACAGATGAGAAGAGCGAAGACGAGGAGAAGTCTGTCTCGGCCCAGGATGTGCAATCCGTAACCAAAGATACCACGGCGGATAACAAAACCACACCAGTACCGCTTGAATCTTCACAGGACGGCAATACAACTACCGAGATGGAGAAGCCCAAGCTCCGTCGCAGAAAGTTCCATTCCGATGATCCAATCCACTGGTATGGAATTCTGGTGCCCCAGTCCCTGCGGAGAGCACAGCACTCTTTCGCCAACGCCGTCGATACCGCTGTCCCCGAATTGGCTAGTACGGTAGTTGAGATGCGGACCCTGGAAGAAAAAATCGGAAAACTGCGGGCCCAACTGGTCCCTGAACTTCTGGAGGAACCTCACGATCTTGTCCAACGTGATACCAAATAATCAGCTGAAGCATAGCTTGGACGCTAACCGTCACACAGGCCTGGTTCTCCGGACTGGGGCTATCATTGAACCTGACTAGATGGGACCCAATACATACTGTACAGTAGTAAGAACAAACAAATACTAGACAGCCAGATGTGCTCCACCCACAGATCAGTATGTGATCCACGAACGGTGGGTGCCCTCGGAGTAAACTGCAGGATATAGATGTCCCAATGCAGTCGTCCGGGGCGAATAAGAGGCCCAGCATATTTATAGGCGTCACTATAGTACATGTTCCTGATCTAACGACACACTAACGTTAGGACATGCCCAGCTCAGTCAGTAATCCCGTGCCGCCAAGCCCAGGCCGTCGCTTGCCCCAACAAAGAACAAAATGCCCGAGCCGCGGGAGCCGACGACATCTTTCCTTTTCATCTTCACCGTTGGACGAGGTTGACTTATACTCTCCCAATGTCAATGTGGCAGTCATCAGACAGACATGCTTGAACCATATATCACATTCTGATTGTTTGTTCAAGTTTCAGATTGCCCGCTTTGGCCCAAGGGGAACCCACTCTTAAGATGAGACGTAGCGTCCGGGACTAACTCCTGGAACAGACCCCACTGGCGCAACAGCCTCGAGATCAGACAAGGCGATTCGTGCAATTGGCTCCAGAATTGTCGGCTGATTCGTCTAGGGTCTCATGTTGAGGTCTCCGTTTTCTTGAAAATACGGTCCATCCACTGCCGGATGCTTGCGTCGCTGCCAAAAAATGGACTGATCTTAGGCGCCAACCAGTGGGCTCGCAGCGTGTTCATGCAGAATGACACCCTCTCATGGGTATCAATGTGGCTGTTATATTACACGGAGCATGTCTCTAAAGATTAATTGCGCCAGCCTCCACCTCGGTTGCAAAAAAACCCGTTTAATCTATTCTGGCCCGGGGTTTTAGATAGTGTCGGAGTGTGTCAGGGCCCCCGTCAGGAGATGCCCCCTCGTTTCTTTTCTTTGAAGGCTTGTTTCTTTCTGGATGTCTTTTCTCCTCGGGATAATGCGACTCCAGTTTGCCTTTTGAACGCGGTTTGATACTAGCGATTCAGTTCTCTCGTTTTTATTGGTATGTGGTGGTAGGCCTGGAACCATGCTGCGAATATCTGATCTGACTCTATCCAACAGAGACATTGAATGTCCTTTCCTTTCTTTAGCGATTCTAGCTTGATCCTGTGGTTCTCAAGTCTTTGGTCGATCATCATATCTGCATTCTGGACACTTGCTTCAAGCTGTCAGGCACCGTTCCTCTCGTTTCGCTATTCAAAGCCTCTTTTTCTCGTTCTTCACTCGATCCAGGGTATCGAGCCAGCTATCATTCCTTTTCCGTTCTTGTTCAGGGAATGAAAACATTTTCCCCTATTGAGTCGCCGTTTGATGTTACTTGATGTTCCGCAAGCCCTAACCTCTTGTCAACAACAACATACCACATTCTGCTCAACACTCGACCCCAAATCTTAACCTATCAAAACAGCCACCAAATGAGCGCACCAAATTCTGGACCAGGTCCCCGTCCGTCCGGGGATCTCGACAGGAAAGGGTCAGTCAAGCATGCCAGACAGCTGCTCGAGGCTGGTGTGCGTCCAGAGCGAACATCGCCATCCAACCAGATGAGACAACAACCTTTGCCTAGAGACATTTCTCACCGGACACAATGGCCTTTGCCTGACTCAGGCTTACCGCCAAATCCAATCAACCATCACCCAAGGTATTTGCTCCCACAGGGACCTCCTCCACAAAGACCGCCACGCCCAAGTGAGATCCCTTCGCGTCAGAGTCAAATTCCTTCACCGTCAATCTATTCCGAACGGGATGGTCAGGAGTCGGAAACAAGCTCAAATAATGCACCACGGCCTCCCCGATCATTTTCACAGCTGCAGCCGCCCCCGCCGTTGCAACCTCGGCGGCCTGTTAAGGCTGAACCTCCTGTCAGTCCCACTAGTACAGTTGACATGACTCCTCGTATCTCAATTGCCACCGATGATCTGTTCAGGCAATCGACCGCCTCCTCGACGGCTTCAATCCCAGATATGCCACCATTCCCGCCTCCAGTTCCAGCGCTCGAACCCAATGGTTCCCAAGATACTTTCCAGCGGACAGCAGGTCTGGTCGCACCTCCCAATGCACGACGACCCCCTCGAGCACCGTCAGCTGTGGCTCCTATTCCAGAGGATCTTCCTGATCCCCGTTTCACCAAGGGCTCGTTTGCATCCAGCCGAGCCATCCCGTCTAGTTGGGGCTCTGGTCCCCCGGAATCAGAGATTCTGGGAGCCTATTTCGATGTGGAATCTGACGAGGACGCCGACGAGGATCACACAAGTCTCAAAGAGGAAAACGCAACTCTCGTCCGAAGCGCCAGTCTTGGAAAGCGTGGAAAGCCAACAATGCGCACAATCACCAAGTCCAACCCGGTTTCTGTAGTTTCTCTTACAGACGTACCATCCACCCCCAAGGAGAACTCAAACAAAGCTGCAGTCGTAGGCGCAGGCGCAGCCGCGGGAATGGCAACAGGAGCTGCTGCCAACAAAATGCTCCGCCCACCAAGCAACTTACGCAAGGCGTCTACTTCTACTGCATCGAGTGACTCTTTGAAGGGCATTGACCCAGAGAAGCCACCTTTCCTTCTGCGTGATCAACATAATTCGACATACAGTGTTGGTCTGGAGAAGGAGATCGAGGTCTTCGGCGGAGATCTACCTAGAGCTGCACCTACTATGAGTGATAAGAGACCTGGAGGTCGCAAGCCTCCTGCTCTGAATATGGGTGCCCTGCGAGATGCAGAGGCTCGTGGAAGTCTTTCCAGCTTGTCTGATTTGATCCGTCGTGCTACCAAGCTTGCGTCAAACCTAGACCACGGCCGAACTGCCAGCCGCAATGATTTGGCTGCAGGTAATGAAGCAGGGTTCAAGGCTGCCATGGGTGAGTTTTCCTTCCGGGATCCGGACGTGGAGATGACATTCGAAAAAACTAACGTTTCATTTAGGAAATGGTGAGAGGCGCCGTCGCAACTCAGGCTCTCTTTCCGACATCCTCGCTTCCTTCCCTCCTCCAGGTCTGCAGACCCCCGAAGGCCGTGGATCCTGGCCCGTCTTCTTCGGCCGCTCAAACCTGCGCAACGTCGAGCAGCTCCACTCCAACGACGACGACCCGAACGCCCCCAAGCGCAAAAAAACCTGCTGCGGAATTCCTCGCAAGATTTTCGTGATCATCTGCATTGTCATTTTCATCATTGTCATCCTTGCAATTCTCCTTCCCGTCTTCCTTGTCGCCGTCCCTCGCGAAAAGGCAAACAAAGACGCAGCCTGCGCAAGCATCAACCCCTGCAAGAACGGTGGTATCAGTGTCTCGAGTGTCAGTGAATGCTCATGCGTCTGCTCAAATGGTTATACCGGCTCGCAATGCACGGTCGAGAACGACGGTAGCTGTACCACTCACGCCATCCAGAGCGGTACCTCGACCAAAAACGCAACCATGGGCAGCTCGCTCGCAGATTTGTTCGATGAGTCTAAGAAGAAGTATGATATCACTCTCGATGCCTACACTATCATGGCTCTCTTCAGCATGAACAATGTCTCGTGCAAGACGGAGAACGCGCTTGTTGCTTTCAGCGATGTCAAGACCACCAACAGCACCGGCAGCAACACCCGTCGCTCTCTCGACCTGTTCGCAGACTCCGAAAAGCTCCGCGCTTCTCCTTCTCTCGTGAACTCCAGCCCAACACCTGTCCTTGCAGCCCGCGCCGAAGCCACTACCAATGGTATCTTGTACTTGCCCGAGGCAACCACCACTGGGACGGCCACTGGGACGGCCTCTGGCACAGCCGCTGGTACAGCTACCAAGATCAGTTTCCAGCCCTCTTCCACCGCCGAGACATCTACTGCCCCCTCTACTGCGACTGCAACGGCTGTTCCTGCCAACGTGCTGGAATTCTCTCAGGTTGCTGTCTTGTACATTCTGCAGAAGACTGGCTCTCTCAATACAGCTATGGCCTCTGGCGATCACATTGAAGAGTATCTGACTGATTCCTACACGAATGCTACCCATCCTACTATGAAGGAGGGGGCGTTTACTATCGATTTTGAGAATTTGACCATCACACTCCCTAACAGTACTGTGGCGGCACAGTGAGCACAGAGGGAAAGTTTGTACATAGGTAGTGATAATTGATGTAATATAGGCGCATTGTCTGCGATCATCGACGTCCAGTACTATAGATGAAGCTGTGTCCGGAGTAGAGATTGCGGCATTTAGGGTTTGAGATAAAAATGCCAAGCCGATCCTTACCGCATTGGGTGCAATGTCGTGATTGCCCGTGGAGGTTGCGTGCTGCTGCACGTGACCGTGCAGAATGGAAGACATTTCGAGTGTCTTCGATGCATTGGGAGAGATCATGATCTCGACTGGGATGCAATTGATGCCGTTTCAACGGATCGATAGAGTAGAATCAATCTCCGGGTCAGGAATATGCCGCCCCCTGAAAATCTAGCTGATCCCCGCCATTTACGAGTACGTACGCCATTCCGCCTCGGAGACATCGGAGATATGGAACGTGTAGTATATAGACTGTCTGATAGCTTGGAGCAAAGAAGCAAGTAAACTCAAACGGGAGAGAGACACACGTTCAAGTCGAACAAGTCGAACAAGTAAAACCCCTCTCAAATCAAGGAACTGTCCCCCAAAAAAAATGGGCAACCAGAGGCAGTGTTGATAGACCCCTGGTTACTTGTTCTGGATGGCGGAATCGGCCAAGCCAAGGCTCCATTCCCCACTGTTGACGACTGATGCCATGTCGTGGCCCCTCCATGAGAATTTCATAAAGTCAGCTTTCCCCTTCATTCTCTTCCACTCCCTTCTGTATATTATCTTCCTTTACACGGGAGACCTTTTAAAAGTTCTTTTTTTCATCTTTTCTTTACACAATGGCCAACGCCCCCCACGGTGGTGTCCTTAAGGACCTTCTCGCCCGCGATGCTCCCCGCCACGCCGAGCTCGCCGCTGAGGCCGAGACCTTGCCCGCTGTTGTGCTTTCCGAGCGCCAGCTGTGTGATCTGGAGCTGATCATGAACGGAGGTTTCTCTCCTCTTGAGGGTAAGTTGAATTGCCGAGCACCTTGAACCCGCAAGGTGTGGTGAGGTGGCGAGATGGGATCTATCTTTTTTTTGGGGGGGAGGGGCAATGGCTAATGTCGATCTGCATGCAGGTTTCATGAACCAGGCCGATTACAACGGGTATGTATCAATGAGTCCTTGGAAGAAGACCACTCTTTCCGGATGAAAAAGTACATTACGCTGACATTGTGCACATAGTGTCTGTGAGAACAACCGCCTTGTCGATGGCAACGTCTTCTCCATGCCCATTACCCTCGACGCCAGCCAGAAGGTTATCAGCGAGAACAAGCTCCAGGCTGGTTCCCGTATCACCCTGCGTGACTTCCGTGACGACCGCAACTTGGCCATCCTGACCATTGACGACATCTACCGCCCCGACAAGTGAGTTTTGGACATTTTTTTCTTTTCTTTTCGAGTTTCGGGACTGCATTGTCGATCTTGGCGTGCGTGCCTAGAACGCCCCGGATACTTTTGCTCCTTTCATATCGAGAAATCAAAGCATTGGTGGCGTTTTGGGTGGTCGCAAACCTCGAGCGTTACGCAATGTATAAGCCCATTGAGGCTCGTGCTTTTAGTGGGGCTCGCTGACGTGGAACTTCCCCTGATTAGGGCCACAGAGGCTAAGCTCGTCTTCGGCGGTGACCCGGAGCACCCTGCCATCAAGTACCTGAACGAGACCGTTGAGGAGTTCTACATTGGTGGAAAGATCGAGGCTGTCAACAAGCTCAACCACTACGACTATGTCGCTCTCCGCTGTAAGTTGGATCTCCCGAGTGTGGCTCGGGCTGGAACTAATATAACATCTCAGACACTCCCGCTGAGCTGCGCGTCCACTTCGACAAGCTGGGCTGGTCCCGTGTCGTCGCTTTCCAGACCCGTAACCCCATGCACCGCGCTCACCGTGAGCTTACCGTCCGCGCGGCCCGCTCTCGCCAGGCTAATGTCCTGATCCACCCCGTCGTCGGTCTCACCAAGCCCGGTGACATTGACCACTTCACCCGTGTCCGCGCCTACCAGGCTCTCCTTCCCCGTTACCCCAACGGCATGGCCGTTCTCGGTCTGCTCGGTCTGGCTATGCGTATGGGTGGTCCCCGTGAGGCCATCTGGCACGCCATTATCCGTAAGAACCATGGTGCCACCCACTTCATTGTCGGCCGTGACCACGCTGGTCCTGGTTCCAACTCCAAGGGTGAAGACTTCTACGGTCCTTACGACGCCCAGCACGCCGTCGAGAAGTACAAGGACGAGCTCGGCATCGAGGTCGTTGAGTTCCAGATGGTTACTTACCTCCCCGACACCGACGAGTACCGTCCCGTTGACCAGGTCCCCGCTGGCGTCAAGACCCTCAACATCTCCGGTACCGAGCTTCGTCGCCGTCTGCGCTCCGGCGCTCACATCCCCGAGTGGTTCTCCTACCCCGAGGTTGTCAAAATCCTGCGCGAGTCCAACCCCCCTCGTGGCACCCAGGGTTTCACCATCTTCCTTACTGGTCTGTTGAACTCCGGCAAGGACGCCATTGCCCGTGCTCTCCAGGTTACCCTGAACCAGCAGGGTGGCCGCTCCGTCTCCCTGCTGCTGGGTGACACGGTCCGCCACGAGCTCTCCTCTGAGCTCGGCTTCACCCGCGAGGACCGCCACACCAACATCCAGCGCATTGCTTTCGTTGCCACCGAGCTCACTCGCGCCGGTGCTGCCGTCATCGCTGCCCCCATCGCTCCCCACGAGGTCTCCCGCAAGTACGCCCGTGACGCCGTCTCCCAGGCTGGTTCCTTCTTCCTGGTTCACGTTGCCACTCCCCTCGAGCACTGCGAGAAGACCGACAAGCGCGGCATCTACGCCGCCGCTCGCCGTGGCGAGATCAAGGGCTTCACTGGTGTCGATGACCCCTATGAGACTCCCGAGAAGGCTGACCTCGTTGTCGACTTCTCCAAGCAGAGCGTCCGTAGCATCGTCCACGAGATCATTCTCATTCTCGAGAGCCAGGGCTTCCTGGAGCGTCAGTAAATTCTTTTCTGATTGGATGACATTGTTGCTGGAGTAGTTTTGGTCTCTTGTGCATAGAAACGTGTACTGGTTTTTGATGGTGGGCTTTATTTGGATTCCCCTGGCTTAGATACTTTGCCAATAGATGTTTGCTTTTCTGTTTATCGAAGACTTCTTTGTTCACACTTTTTTTTCCATCGTAGACACTGATCATATTAAAATATTTAGAATTTATCATTGAATTCTTGCTTGTCGCTTTTGAAGGTGGGCATGTAGAGGTCACGTGTCAGACAAACAAGACAAACACCAATATCGGTCCCCAAGTGCGTCAAGGCTTCATCACGGTTCGTTTTCAACAATCCAACAATGCTGCCCCCACGTAGCGCCATTGGGCGAATACAGAGCCATATTCGACCGGCACTACTGCCTCGGACCCCTGGCCCAAATGTACATCTCCGACCGTTCACCCAACGCACACGCCTTCAACTTATTTATCCGGGGCAAGGCCGACCTCAACTACCTTTCCTATCACCACTCGCGCCAGCCCGACCACTCCCACCTCTATCAATCCATCTCCGCCAGCACTTCGGCCGTCTAATTTCGACAGAAAGCCGCGAGCATTACAAGCGCCGGTTATCGCGCGGTATCAAGTTCGGCTTGTCGTTCTACGCCATCCTCGTCCTTTTCTCCGTTGTCAAGCTCGGCGTTTACCAAGAAGATATTGAACATTCATGGCCTACACCCCCAGAATGGTCTTGGAAAAGTCGCTGGTGTTTGCGCTCTGCAGAGGCACAGCAGAATCCCGAAGAGATTGGCCAGCTCATGACGAATTGGCCCATGGTTGCTGGATACTTGCGCGAGCTGCTGGAGCGTCTGGAGGACCCCGAGGTTGAGGGCAAGGGCATCGTTGAGCAGGATGAGGGTGGATTCTTGGTTGAAGGCGTTGGCCGGACTGGACTGGACGTTTCGGCGAAGAGTGAGCCTTGGCGTCGTGGATATTTCCAGGCGCTTATGGGTGCCGCTAAGGCTGCTGAGAACCTTGATGGTTGGTTGACTGATCGTAAGCAGCGTATCTCTGCTCCTGCGGAGTATGTTGTTGGGCCGTCCAACCCGAGGCCTAAGCCTATGCCTGTTGGTCAGAAGAAGATCCCGCAGGAGGAGAACTGTGAGCAGGCTTCTCCTTCTCCGGAGAGCTTTTATATGAAGGTTTTGACGACTCGGGGCTTTGACACAGGACAGAAGCTCGACGCTGCTCTGGCATATGCCGATTGGCTTGATTTCAAGGGTCTCGGCCAGACAGCTGGTGATATGTACACCTGGGCTTTGGATATTGCTACCGGTGGACTGGAGGGAGATGTGAGCAAGATTGTGGACATGAAGAACGGAGTTCTGAAGAACAGCACGGGCGCAGATCTACCATCAGAGAACCTCCTCCGCGTCTCTACGGCTCTTGCTGTCCACAATGCCCGCCAAGGCAATCTCCCAACAGCTCTCTCCCTCTTCACATCAGTCCTCCAAGCCCGTCGCAACCTTCCCCTATCAGAAGACTTCACCATGCCCTCCTTCCCATCCCCCCACAAAAACACGAACGACATATTCACCTCTCTCTTCAAATCAATCAAAAACGTCCTCGTCCCCGTGACCTACCCCGACCCTCCCCCCTCGGGCGATCAGCCTCCGCAGCGCACATCCGCATCTGCATGCGAAGAAGCAGGTCTCATGACTTATATTGGCGAGATCCTCTACGCCTCTTCCAGCAAGGAACTAGGTCTTGCCTGGACTCGGGATGCAGTCGACATGGCCGAGTCCACGATGCTCGACCTTGAAAACTCCGAGAACCATGATGCCCGCACTCGCTGTGCGCAGTGCGTCAAGGTTGGTCTGGAGAACTGGAAAACCATGGTCTCTGCCCTAGTTGCTCGTTCGTTGAAAGAAGAACAGGAGAGCAGAGAGCAGGCCAAGAAGGCTTGGTTTGGTGGTGAGCGTCGTGCTCAGGCTAAGACACATGATCGCAGACGTTGGGAGGCCGAGGAGGCTATTCTTGAAGATCGCATTCGCAGACTCTTCCCGCTGTTGGAGGGTGAGTCTGGGTTGGATACTCTTGCTCCCAATAGCTCTTTGTTCGTTTAAGTATTGGGGAACGGGATCTCTATACCTGGACTTGGTTTCGTGGGGGTTGGTGCTTTCTTTTTCCAAGGCGCTTGCAAAGTTATCTGTAAATATCTTCTACTTGGGCAGTCCTCCACTTGTACAACAGAATGGCATTCATTGCCCAATATAACTCTTCATCTATACTTTCATATCCTGAAAAATGACTATTCAACACCTCGTCCCAGCGTGTCTCCACGTCTTGATAAACGCCATTACATACATGATTCAAATATTCATATCTCGACATTAAATGTTAGTCCGAATGCCTCTATGAGACCGATGATCAAGTCTCAGTCTTGGCATGTCCCAGCTAGAAGCTAAGCTAAGTTACAGTTTAGCCCTACATGCACTGTGAGCCCATCAGAAAGGCCAGAATGACCTGGAAATCTTACCCACTGCATACTACATTTCTTGGCACACTCCACAATCGATCTTCGATGCCGATGGCTTGGAATTCTTCGTTCTTTAGGAATGGTGGATATACGTCAGCGTGGAATGTTCGAAGCTTGATTAGGATTGACCTTGTTTCAAGGAAATGAGTGCTGCATATATGTCTGCAATGCCAAGCTGATAGATTTCGTAGTTTTGAAGATATTTGGGAGCTATTCAGTTCAGACTTCATCTAGTGGATCGTTGATATTGCTGGATCTAGATTTCGAGATCGAAGCGCTTGTGTGAAGATCTGCGCTATTGTGAATCTGAGATCCCAAGATCGGGCTGATCATTAATTTGGTTTGATCTGACCGTGTATCATCTGGAACTACCGTGAGTATAAACCAAATATGCTAGACTGCACCCCATATTCACATCACTCAGCCATATACCCAAATACCACTACACCCACCATGGACGACACACTACCTCTATCCAATACCCGTACACCCCGCAGATCCCGACTGCGCGACTATCTCATGGAAGATATCCGCGAGGATCTCCTTCTCGAATGCGAACTCCTCCTCCTCTCCTTCGCAACCGGCATCCAAGATGCAGCCGCCTGGCCCGACTACAGCTGCTTCGCCTCCAACCAAACCGGAAACACCCTCTTCCTTGCAATAGGCGTAGCAGGCCTCACCAACAATGCATACAGTTTCCCCAACATCGGGATCTCGCTGAGTCTCTTCGTGGCCGGGGGGTTCGTCATGGGCCAGCTAGGGAATTACATCGGCGTCCGACGACGACTCTGGCTGCTCATCAGCAACTTTATCCAGACTGCTCTTGTCTTTGTGGCTGTGGCTGTTCAGTATTCTTTCCCTATTCGGCGGGACGGGCCTGCTGCGATGGCTGTGATTGCCTGCTTGGCGTTTTCGTCTGGCGCGCAGGTTGCTATGAGTCGGTCATTGAAGATTACGGAGATCACGACTGCTATGGCGACGGCGGCGTTTATTGATGTTGTTGTTGATCCTTGTTTGGGCAAGTTGAAGAATCGGTTGAGGAATCGGAGGGTTATGTTTTTGATTATGTTGACTGCGGGCTGTTTTGTTGGTGCTTTTGCGCAGCGGGAGGTGAGTTCGACTTTTCCTATTCTGCTTTGTGCTATTGGGAAAGCGCTGGTTAGTTTGGCCTTTTTGTTTAATCGGCCCTTGGCTGGGAGAGAGTTGGAGAGACTGAAGGAGTAGTGCTATATACCCTGTTTGGACTGTTTTCTTTTCTAGCTGTATAGATCTTGAATATTGGATGTTAGAATTAACTTTCCCCACTATGACTCATTGGTGCACTTCATCATAGTAGCGTGTTCCATGACGTGAAGGGATTCAAGAAAACAGGATATAGAACCTCAGGCAGCCGCCAAGGATCGGCGGCTGTGGGGGCTTTCCGCTCCAGGGCTCAATCCACACTTCTGTTGACCGTTATACTTGCCCTCTTCGCCTTTTCTTTCACGTTCGCTTGGATTCTCTTGCCTGATGAGCCCTATTTTTGCGGTATTGAAATTCGCGACTGTTCTCTTCTTGCCTGGCTTTGTCTTAGCCGGCTCCAACTCTATCGTTAAGTCGTGAAGTCCGCGCTTTTGACCTTCATCATGCCGCAAAAAGACTTCTTGAGAGATTTGCAGGCTGCTTCTGTTCCTGGTTCGTTTTCCAGCATAACCAGTGTCAAGACTGGGGAATATGAAGGATCGATGTCCTTTATGTTCAAATCGCCAGGGACAACCCTGGAGCTGGAGTTCCAAGTCGTATTATCGGGTGAGTGATGTTATGTGTATTTGATTCAGAACCATTGTACTGACTCATGGATAGACTCTCATGATTACCCAAAGGATCACAGCTACTTGATCTTTTCGACGTCTGATGATTGTCCCAAGGCAGTCACCTCAGCCGTCGAGAACTGTGTCTCTTTATTCACAGGCTCAACGATCCACGATATGCTGAGCAGCATTGAAAATGTCATTACAGAAACTATCATGGAGCCCAACAAAAAGACCGACCTGCTCGATGATGAGATGGACTCTAGCAACGACGACCTGACATCTGAACTTGGTGGCTCGGACTGGGACACCGGAGAAGCCGAGGATTTGATTCTGGTAGGCATCAATAGTGAGAGCCTGATTCGAGAGAAGATTCGCCGAGACTTGATTGCTGCCAAGCATGCGGGTTTCAAGGTGGGATACCTGGGTTCACCTCATGGCAGTATCATCGTTTGTGTCTCGAGGCGTATTGCGAAACTGGAAATTTCCGAAGAAGCAATGGATGCATGGAATGTACGACCCTCCGAATACCTGGTATTGCTAATGCGCTATCGACCAACCTACCTTGACCTCGAAACAATCACCCAGGCCGCGAGCGAGTCAAAAGCTACCTTGGTTCAGATGTACGTGGGACTCTGTGATTCATACAAACCGTCACTGGAATATGCTCTGGAAGCCATTGAGAGCACACACGGTAATACGAACAAGCACGCGGATACCGATTCACGCAACAAATTGGCAGGTCACCCCATGAGACCGCTATTTATTGGAAAATCAATCAACTCGCTTCTCAAAGAACGGCTACTCAAGATAATCGGACTTCGTATACAACATGGACTTTCCTGGACAGGTGCCGAACAATTCTTTCAAGTCAATCAGGGCAAAATCATCGTTGACTATGACTCCATTTCAGACGAATATCGCCAGCCGGACAGCTGGGCTACTTCAACGCCACGATTCTTATCAGCCGATCATATGGTTGAGATGAAACAAGACCTGAGTGCACTATCCTTACCTCTTCTTGCCATGCAATTTACTTTGCGTCATTTTGTCAAATGTACGGAGTTTTGCCTTGTCTGCCACTGCAAGACCAATGATACTTTCGAGGCACTCAAGCCATATGTTTGCTCAAACGGTCTATGCTTATATCAATACATGGCAATGGACATGGGAACCAGTCTGGAGTACGAAATTCGCTCGCAGCCCTTTGTCGTCGATTTGCTGGTCAGTCTAGCATACGCCCGCGCTACATCGTTCCTTCTTGAAGATTTTCCAACTGGTCTCCAGCTTCGAATTCCCGCGGAAATAATTCCCAACAAAGATCTCAAAACTGGCCCCTATCTTACCGGGCGATTGATTGCATCAAAGCTGGATCTTCGCACAGACGTCCCACCTAAGGTAAAAGCAGGTGATTGGATTGTTATCGTCCGCCCCGATGCCTCCGTGAATATTGAGCTATGGAAAGAATACTGGCATTGTCGCGTTGAGAGGGTTGGTGAACATTCAAATCATCTCCAAATTTCGCGACCAGTTATCCTCGGTCGTCAAGTGCGGGTAACAGAACTGAAAGATCAGCCGAAAGAGGTGAACTTCGTGATCTATAACACAAATTTTGATGATCTGCAAACAATGCAAAAGCAAAACATGGTCTCTACATTGTTGTGCTCGCTTCCTGAAGTCAAGGACATGCAGACGTATATTGGCAAGCATGGAAGTGAAAGACTTCTCTCTTCGTGGAAAGATGTGATCTCCCCAGCCGCATTGGACCTTTTACGATGGATTGTTGCATCAAATCGATCGTTCATTAGAATGGACGACCCAAACACTTCTCACCAAGTACATGGCATGAACCAACATGTTCAGTTTCGACTTGTACAGGGAGCCGCCGACAAAGAGCAGCGATTTTTAGACGCAGTCACTTCTGTATCCATGAAAACCCGTCCCGAGCACCCAACGCTATTTGCTTGGCATGGAAGCCCTGTGCATAACTGGCACAGCATTTTACGCGAGGGTCTTCATTTCAAGCAAGTGATAAACGGCCGTTCTAGTGGCCATGGAGTCTACATGTCCAAGATGTTCGAGACTTCGATAGGGTATACCCGTCGTACTAGTGCTAACTTTTGGCCCCGGAGCCGGATGAATATCATGACAGTGATTTCTTTGAACGAGGTTGTCAATTCACCGGCGGATTTCGTGTCTCAAAGTCCCCATTATGTCGTGCAAAACTTGGACTGGATTCAGCCAAGATATCTGTTCGTCCAGCTTAACAGTCCCTTTGAGAATTCGAATTCAGCACTGAAGCCCTCGAATTTCACTCGAAACATGGGCTTGATTTACAGACAGGATCCGAAGCTCTGTATCGATGGCCCAGGTGGAAATCCCATCAATATACCATTATCGGCACTGGGTGGCCAACGTGGTAGGTCTCTTCGCGTTGCATCCGAAAACCCAAATACACCAGTCGACCGTGATCATCCTAAACCACCCAAAAGACGCAAATTCTTGTTTGGCAACTCCAAAAGTCAACCCACTGACCTGGATGCCATGAATAACAATACTAATGAGAACAATGACACCAACGAAAGCTACAATAATGACCCTAATGATAACAATAACGATAACGACAGCATCGAAACAGACATAGAAGATATTTCAATTCTTTTGTCAGACGATGAAAAGACAGATACCCAACCAGGAAGCCCACAAAGCTCCAAGACTAACTTCCAACCCGGAACCCTGAAAGAGGAGTCTTTGCCTCTCCTCAGCCCACCACAATATGCCACTACACCCGCGACAAAGATGCTCCAGAAGCATCTCAACGCAACCCTCAAAGTCCAGGAAAAAGTCCCACTCGGCGAACTGGGCTGGTACGTCGACCCCAACCTCATCACAACAGTCTACCAATGGATCATCGAACTGCACACATTCGACCCACACCTCCCTCTCGCAAAGGATCTCAAAGCAGCCAACCTGCAGAGCATCGTTCTCGAGCTCCGATTCCCCGCCCAATTCCCAATAGACCCGCCATTCGTGCGAGTCATTCGCCCTCGCTTCCTGGAGTTTGCTTCTGGAGGTGGCGGACACGTCACAGCTGGCGGCGCCATGTGCATGGAGCTTCTTACCCATTCTGGGTGGTTGCCATCTGCTTCGATAGAGAGTGTCCTGCTGCAGGTTCGCATGGCTCTTACTGCTACTGACCCACATCCTGCTCGTTTGTCACCACAACGTGCCAATCCTGATTACTCGGTTAGGGAAGCAGTGGCTGCTTACACTAGGGCTTGCCGCATGCATGGGTGGAGTTTTCCCAGTGACCTGGAGCGTATTGCTTGGTGATGGGTCCAGGCTTTGGGTTTTGGGCAGAGGTCTTGTTTTCTTTTTTTTTCCTATTGCTTTTTTTTGTCTTTCCTGAAGGTATGGAGGCTCGCGTGCAGAGTGGAGACTAATGGGATAGAGTGATATTTGCTTGGTTATTCACCCTCAAATGTGGTACGTGTTGCAGATACTCAAATGAATTTGTTTGGTTTAGATTCTGTTCCGCTGGTAAGCCCATTGCTTGGTACATTGGAGATATAAGGCTGCCCGTATAGTAAACTCTTTTGTACCCTGAACAAACCAATATCAAATACATTTCATAGCATTTGATCTTCATTTATCAAGCAAGCTTCGAAAAACCGAAGCCACTCGTCCAGTCAGCCAGCCATATGACTTAGAGTATCAATTATCTTCTGATAAATTTAACCCGCGGGAAGTTAAAGACCCATTATCTACTTGCAGGGCTAGATTACATCCGACAGCCCAAGTAGATATTGAATTGCGGATGGACCGACGAGGAAGGCTTGCAAGAGCGGACAAAAGAAATAAGTAGCAGCACGAGTGAATGTTAAGAAATACGAAGCGTCGCTTCATTCTGTCAACTGGATCCTCATCTCCCCGAGTATCTGACTGTATTGCACCCCTAGAATGACAGTGAGATAGATATACACATGATATGCACCCAAAACGACAGCCCTCGCACGCAAAAGAGGGTCTGACAAAGAGACTTTGAGGCGGTTCTTGATCTTCAATGGCTCAATTTAGGTGGCCTTGTCCTTGTTGTGGTAGTTGACATCGGAGTTCCAGCTAGAGACAGGTCAGTTAGCGGTGCAATTTGGGGACTGTGGCGAGTAAGATGAAGCAGAAAGGAACAGGGGCATGGTCGGCGTGCACTTTGTTAGTGCGGAGCCTGCTGTTCTGCAAGTTTGCAGGAAGACTGGTCATGTTGGCGGGGTGGTTGAAACTCACAAGAAGGTCTGTCGCACATAGATTAGCTTCGATACTTAATTTGCAGAGTCTGGGGGAAACATACCTTGTCACCGTCACCGAAGGGGAAGTTCTTCACGCGAATGTTCTGGTAAGGGTACTCGGTGCGCTCCTCGAGAGGAGGCATGTGCTCCCAGTGCTCCCAGTGCTCGTTCCAGAGGTTGTAGGCGTTGAGACCACCTCCAATCAGGCAGGGAATGATAGCGCTGCGAGGCAATCAGTTTCTATTCTGGTAATGCGGGCACAAAAGCCATTGGAGACGTACTAGATGGACAGCTTGCGCCAGAGGTCTAAACAATCATCGGGTTAGCGATCGGTAATTTCTGCCGGCAATTGCTCGGCGAGGGACCAATTGAGTGGGGTACGCACCACTGGTAGCAGCAGCGTGGTGCTTGACAGCAGCTCTCTCGCGGTTGAACTCGTTGTCGACGATCCAAGAGGGCTTGGACTCGGCGCTGTTGAAACGGCGCTGGACAGTCGAGCGGACCGGAGCGGAACGCATCTGCTGCGAAGCACGCTGGGACAGGCGGGCAATGTTGCGCTGAGAGAACATGGTGGGTGGTGCTAAGGGGTTCTTTTGCAGGTGGTGGACCTGAGGTGGTGCGTTGAAGCAAAAGCCGCCTTTAGCGTATCCCCGTGATCTCCCGGCTTATGTAAGTTGACATCACCCCATCTGTATCACGTGATAGCAATGTCACGGGATATGTATGCTCCCCGATTCGACAGAGCTATCGATGCTTCGACTTAGCGCAACTTTCTGTTGTGTTGATATTCGCTCGATACTGGACATGCTGCTGCGCCTGTCGGATTAGTAATCTACAGCATGGGATTCCGCATCACCACGTGGAATGGTGAGCTCCATCTGATTTGTTGACACGAAGCCGATGAAATGTTGCTAATAACATATTGTTAGTCAATGGTATCCGGTATGCTAAGCAATCGTGGATGTCGAAAAGTAGACTGGCTTAACATGTGTGAAGGAACCCATTCTCCTATGAACCATGGAGAGGGACGCGCACGTTCGAGGTAATCGCCTATCCCTTTCCTTTTATAGGCCGACGAGCTAATCAAGTCCACCAAGTCCATGTTTAACATCCTGGAATCGGACATTGTCGTTCTTCAGGAGACCAAGATTCAGCGCAAGGATCTCCGCGATGACATGGTCTTGGTGCCAGGCTGGGACTGCTATTTTAGTCTACCGCGATTCAAGAAAGGCAAGCTGCTTCTGCTGTGAATACTATGCCAGTTACTGACATTTCAAAGGATATTCCGGCGTGGTGATTTATACGCGCAATGCCACATGTGCTCCCATCCGGGCCGAAGAAGGCATCACTGGAGTTCTCTGCCCGCCAAACTCGGCGATATCATTCTGTGAACTTCCAGAAGAGCAGCAGATTGGTGGGTATCCCACGGCTGAGCAGCTTTCCCGTCATGAAGCGGTCTCTGAGGAGCTTGATTCTGAAAAGGAGCAAGATGATCCCAACCCGAGGCCTGAAGCCAGAATCGATGCAGCTACTCTTGACTCCGAAGGCCGGTGTGTGATTCTGGAATTTCCTGCCTTTGTTCTCATTGGTGTCTATTGTCCAGCATATCGGGACGAAAGTCGAGATACCTTCCGCATGGACTTTCTCAATGCCCTGGATTCCCGGGTCCGCAACCTGACAGCGATGGGCAAACGAGTGATCGTGACTGGAGATATCAACATTGCAAAACAAGGACTTGATGCCGCACATGGCATGGAAGCTATCAGGAAAGGCACGACTTCGGAGGACGAGTTCATATCTGGCCCTTCTCGGCGTCTCTTTAATCAACTGCTTTCCGATGGTGTCGTTATCGGTGAACGTGACAACGGCAGAGAAGAGCCGGTTCTCTTTGATACCTGCAGGTCGTTCCATCCAGATCGTGCTGGAATGTATACATGTTGGGATCAGAAACTCAATACCCGTCCAGGGAACTATGGGTCAAGAATCGACTATGTACTTTGCAGCTTGAACATGCAAGACTGGCTCTCGGGATCCAATATCCAGGAAGGTTTGATGGTAAGATTCGGTTCCACGACGGGATATGACTGATGACTGATAATGAATCTCTACTTAGGGATCAGATCACTGCCCTGTTTTTGCCGACTTTAAAGACTCTGTACCACAGCCGGAGGGCGTGGTGGACATCAGGGATATTTTGAACCCACCGGGAATGTTCAAGAATGGCGAGCGTCAACAAGAATACTCGACCAAATTTGCATTACCTGCGTCAGGGCGTTTACTTCCAGAATTTGACGTCAATAAACGCCGAAGTATCAAAGACATGTTTGCTCGCAAACCTGTCAGTTCCCCATCAAACCCAGTGGAACCAGCCGTGGCAATGGTCACAGAATCTGAGGCTCAGGCTTCAGAAGTACCAACCTCCGCTACATCATCTCAACCTTGCGAACCCCTCCAAGAGTCTTCTGCGCCCATCAAATCCGAACCCCAATTGGCTCACACTGCTTCTCGCAAGCGCTCGCAGCCTCCCCCAGTCTCCCTAGCGAAACGCAGCAAGTCCTCGGCGGCGGCGTCCCCAGGGAGCAACAAAGCAGGTCAAAAATCATTGATGGGGTTTTTCAAACCTAAATTAGTGAACAGCGACGAATCCACTCGGTCCTCAACACCAGTTCCACTCTCGGGGACCTCATTCAACACCACCCAAACACCATCCTCATCGCAGGGCCAACAGACAGCTACAGAACTCGAGTTGCAACCACGAGAAACACACCCGTACAGCTCCTCGGCCTACTCACCCAAGTCCAATAAGCTCATAGACAACGATACAATCATTGACCCAATTGTCAGCAAAGAAGACTGGTCAAAGTTGTTCACCAAGAAGCCCGTTCCACCATGCGATGGACACCAGGAACCTTGTATCAGCTTGACAACCAAAAAACCAGGAATGAATCGTGGACGCTCGTTCTGGATTTGTCCTCGGCCACTGGGTCCTAGTGGAGAGAAGGAGAAAGGTACACAGTGGCGGTGTCCTACATTCATCTGGGCTAGTGATTGGAACCCATCTGCGACGACGTTGGAGCAATAATATTGATTTATGGGACAGATTTAGTGGTTCCTTCTGTAAGCAATATTAATTTCAATGAAGACAAATATTTTCGATCGTATTTATGCCTGTGTCATACGGGCTTTTTGTTTATCTTTCTTATAAACAGCATTCATTGCTTCTTCAACGCAAATTTATCACTGCTGTCTACTCCAGACAGTCCACAGTGTTAATTGGAGCTAAATATTACAAAGCCAAAGACGGCTTTGGGACGCTTTGAGCAGTTGTCCTATATGGCGATGGTTTCTAGCTACCTGAGGCTCTGTGGGTGCCTTTGCTGAGCACTTGACCAGTTCTAAATCTTCATTCTTCATGGGTGAATTGGAAGATTGCTGTCTATTGTCACTATTGAGAGCTTTATTCATAAATCTTTTTTCTTTTCAATTGTCTATTGTCACTATTGAGGGCTTTATTCATAAAACTTCTTTCTTTTCAATTGTGGTAATTGGTCGCCCAGAGGTTTGTTTGCTTCCCAGCCACCTCATTGATTTTATTTTCTGATTTTTTGATTGGCTGTTGCAGCCTATTGTCTGCAAGGCGTTGACACATCTCACCTCCCTGAAATCAGAGGTACCTCTTAGGGAAGTACCTCGACAACATTCTCAAAATAATTTGGATTGGCAATTGTGGGCGCCATACAGGTGAATGGTAACGGCGCAACTTATTTCAAGACATACAACTCTTGACTAGTGAAGGACCGGTAGCCTACCTTGAGATTGTTCAGCTTGGACCACATTTCATTTTAAGCTTAAATATGGGTGGATGTGCCAAGCCCTCGATCTGCAGCGCCACGTGGAGTACATCCAGGATTTTCTCCCGGCTTATATCCGCAGTACCACAAATTAATACGTTGTTATGTACAAATTGACATCGAGGTGTTTGGATTAAATAAATAGGCTTTTTCGATACTTGATAGCCAGTATGCTGCAGCTGGGCGTCGATATGAAGATCAGAAGCGTAGATGGAAACATATGTGCACGCGGATTTAATGGGGGAGGGGTGCTCGAGTTTGTTGTTCAGCAGGTACTTTATGCTCAAGTCACTTTGAATCAGGCTGTCCTCGTGGGAATAGGTTTTTTCCAATTAATTTCCTTTATTGACAAACAAAGAAATCTCAATTGGGTTGAGACACTTTGATTGGTGCTGCCGCCTAAACAAAGAAATGCGCATTACCTCGTCCACTTTGTACATTTCTCTGAGCCCTTCTCACTTCTTCTTCTTTTTCTTCTTCTTCTTCTTCTCAACTCTCACCTTTCTGCGTCTCTCCTTCCTCCCTATCCCACCTTCTCATTGATTTCAATCTCGCGCTTTCCTTTGCCAACCTTGGTATCTTCAACCTGATCTTCAAGATGGCAACTCTCAATACTCCTCCTACTCAACCGAGCCAGGTCACTCCTGCTCAAGCTGTCGAGGTCCTTTGGTCGGACGCCGTCACTCACATCAAGTCTACTGATGGCGAAGTTTTTGTGCCTTTCAACGTTGTCGAGACTGTGATCGGCCAGGACGGCCTGATGGCTATTTCCAAGCGCCTAGCGTAAGCCCTCCTAGCTCCTTTATCTTGCGACAACGTGGGTAAGATACTGACTTTTATTACCAGGTCACTTCTGAACAAGCAGGTTCAGATCCTAGCTGACACCAGCATTGAGTGCTACCGAGTTTACCCTCACGAGTTCACCAAGGACATGATTCCTGATCAGCTCAAGGTTGGCGGCAAGGCTCTGAGTCTTGCAGATCACCGGTGCATCTCCAAGGCTGTTCATAAAGCAGCTAGTCGGAATGGCGTCCGCATTCCTGCTCGTTCCGCCAAGGTTCCACGTCCTCCCAACTCTTTCATCCTCTATCGTCAGGCCAATCACCACGCTGTGAAGGCGGCTAACCCCGACATTACCAACAACGAGATCTGTGAGTGTTTCATGATAGAATAAGTTTGTCCCTCCGCTAATAATTTCATCAGCCCGCATTCTTGGTGCTCGCTGGAAGAACGAGTCCGATGAAATTCGTCAGCGCTACATGATTCTTGCCGATGACTTGAAGAAGCGCCACTCTCTCGCCCACCCTGATTACCAGTATACTCCACGCCGCCCCTCTGAGCGCAAGCGCCGTGCCTCCCGTGCCATGCCTACTCGTGACAACTTTGCCCAGAATGAAGATGAAGACGAGAATAATGATGAGGGTGACGTTATGTTGCATTCTAGAACTCATTGTACTGTTGTGGATGAAGACTTCCTGGACGTGTTGGGAAACAATGGACTTCTCTACGGTCCCAACGGAGTTGAGCCTCTTCCTGCCGGCTACAACGACTATGAGCGTCAGCAGATTGCCAACGATCAGATTTCGGGTGCCACCCTCTGCGAAATGGAATACGACCCAATTCCTTGGTACGAGATGCTCACACTTGACAAGGAATATCAGCAGATGCTGTACCACGAGGATAGCTAGGTCTTGTCGTGTCATCATTCCACTTCTGGCTTGACAGGATCCACGATGCAGCCCATCCAACACCAAGACAGATCTTTCTACAGCATCCACCTTGTCAGCCAGCCAACCATACACAGAGTCTCGCCTGAACAAACAGTTCCAACACACGCCTTCACTGTGATTTCCAGCCAACTCCCCAATTCAATTTGATCATCGAGCATGCACCATTCCCTATTTCTTTTTTCAGGTCATTCTAATGCGCCATGCTGCGCCAGAGGCCAGTCCCTGATCAAGGTTCCTCGAGGAGGATTCCCTTCATGCTGCCCATCGTCGTTTCGTTTCCAATTCCCCTGTACGACTACCCCTGCTTTGCGAACGCTTTCGCGTCTTTTCGTTTTTCAGCCTTCGCCTTTTAGTCTTTGTTTTCGGTCTTTGTTTTTCTCAATCATGTCATGTCCCTATCGAAAGATTGTATCTAGTTTGCTTGCACGCTCTCTTCAAGACAGGATGGTCATCAGTCCGTATTCCCGCTGGTCTGGGTCTACCGTGCGATCTCTTATTCTTCCTGTGTGAGCAATTCAGGTGCGATCTTTTGTTTTCTGCGATCTCTTGTGTTTTCCGAGATCTTTGCTGGGGACTAGGTAGTCAATATGATACCTACAATGCACACAACAATGCTATCTCTTTCCTCTCGTAGAGCTGTAGACTGTATATCTAAACCTTCCAATCCCATGCCTCGAAGCGAGGACCAATGCAGCAACGCGGTGGCACACTCTCTTTGTTCGGGGAGATGAAGTGACGTCTCGATTTTCTTTGACGCGGGCACAGACCCACGGACATGCCCGGGGTCCACAGTGGGGCTCTACGGGGTATCAAATGAAGGGAGTTGCTTGCATTCGCTATGGGATAATTATTTCAAACTAGGTCCAGATCAAAGAACACAAAACCGATACGGACGGAACTCCTCCGATTGGGAATGCGGAATGTACACAGATAGCCAGGGGAAAGAGGCGCGAAAGGAGCAGGGTGCTTAGTCCTCCTGGTAGGAGATCTTGCGCATCTCGCCAAGGCGCTGGCGAGCGCGAGCCAGACCGTTCTCCAGCTGGAGAATTTCGACCTGCGGAGAATATGTTAGTATGGGATTGGTAGCAGTATAAGGGGAGGATGGGGGAACTCGAGGATTCACATACCTGCTGCTCCATTTCGCGGACCTTGAACTCGTGGGAGCTCAGCTTTCCGTAATCCTCCGCGTCGTTGTCGTCGCGGTTCTTTTCCTTGATAATATCTTGCACTTGGCGAACGAGTGCGCGACAAGCGGCTCCGACGGCCTTGCTGGCGGTCTCCAGGCGGTCTTGGTTCTTGCTCATGAAGGTGGCCTTGACACGGCTGGCAGCCACAAGCTGGGCAGTGCTGGCAGCGACGTCGTTGGAAGCAACAATGAGCTGCTCGGGGGAGTTGCGACCAGAGATCACACCGTCGGCGGTCTCGATCAAGGTGTTGGTGGAGGAGGCCACGGCCTTCGCGGCGGAAATCAAACCTTCTGTCCAGCGGTTGTTCTTCTTGTAGAAGGCAGTGCGAGAGGAGCTACCACGACCTTCACGAACAATCTCCTGCTGGGTCTCGGTGGCAGCTTTGATCAATTCTGAAATGGCGTTGGTAACAGCGATGGCGGCAGCAAGGATCACGTCGTTGATGCGCAGCTCATAAGTCGAATAACCATCACGGGGCTTGTTCTTAAGCTTGGCCAAACGCTGAGCAGCAGCATCAATGGCATCAGCGGCCTTGAGCAATTCCTGGTCAACCAGGTCACCCAGATCGCCATTGGTGCTGATCTTGCTGTTCTTAGGAGCAAATGAGTCGACCAGCTTCGACAGGGACTGCAAGTCACGCTGAACCTCCAGGTTGTTGTTGATGACCACATCAGTCTTCTGCAATGGCTCGAGGCCCTCGAGACGGAACGACTGCAGACCGCGGAAGAACCGGACGGTAGCCTGGGCAGACTTGCGGGCAGCATTCATCAAGTGGTCGGAACTCTTGTCGTCATTTGCAAAGCGCATCAGACCCTTGGTGTTGCTCAACACATCCGAAACAGACCCGGAGAAGATAGAGACTGTGCGAATAATCTCGGCATGGGGACTGTTAGGGCCATCGGCGATAAAGTTGTTGAAGGCTGTTGAGAACTCAGTGGCAGAGGCTGAGGCCTTTTCAATCTGCGAAAGCACATATGGCGGGGAAGCGTTCTGGTTACCAGCCTGCATAGACGAATCAAGTTCATATAGGGCATCGTCGACACGCTGCACACCAGTCTGAAGCACGGAGTCAATGATGTCGTTGATCTTTGCCACTGTTCCGTGGAGCACAGTATCAATCTGGCTATCCAATGCATGGTCGACATCGCCTTGGTTCTACAATGTCACAAGGTTAATATGCGGATACTTTGTAGTATTGGGCCAACGCTTACCATTCGCAGCTCCTCCAGCTCCATGAGAGCTTGTTCCATGCCAGACTTGTACACCTCAATCTCCTCGTCCTTCTCGCGAAGCTCCAGATCGTGGTCGCCATCGCGGTCTGTGTTACGGCTGCCAATTTCCTCCAATGCTCGTGTTTTGTTCTAGACAGTCAGTATGGATCTTGCAGTTGAACGGAAACAATCGATACTCACTCTGAGAGATTCTTCCAAATCAGCCATCTCACGGTTGTACTTGGACAACATGGACGAGATCTCAGTGCCCTTTGAGCGCTCGGCATTCTCAGCACGATCGAGAGCCATACGAAGCTCGCGCTTGATCTTCTCCAGCTCATCCTTGTTGGTACCAGTCAAGCGGTCACGGTCATGCATAGCACGGTCACGTTCCCGAATCATATCAGCCAACTCCAGGTTTTTGGTCTTGAGCTCACGCTCCAGCTTCTCACGTCGCTCAATCGCTTCTTGTGCGGAAGCAGCCTTGAGCTTGAGGCTCTTTGTGGTCTGCAGGAGTTCAAGGTGCTCCTGTCGAAGCTGGGAGTACAGCTTGGCCAATGCTTCATACTTCGACCGCCAGGTGTTGACCTGTTCCTGCAGGGCTCGAATTTGCTCGTCCTTGGAGGCGCTCTGCAAGTTGAGGTTGGAGTTCAGATGGTTCATCTGTTCCTCAAGATCCTTGACACGGCGATCATATTGCTGCAACATCAACTGGTCACGCTCATACTGAGCACGAGCGTTGAGGTTCTCTTGCTCTAGCTCTGCCAGGCGGCCTTGTGTGTGTGTCTGGTATTGGTCACGAAGAAGCTGCTCTTGTGCCAACCGTTGCTGCTCTGCCTGGAGACGCTGCTGTTCCTCGAAATCATTCTGGGCTTGTTGTTGAGCAAGGACTTGCTGGCGCTGCTGCTCTTCCCACTGCTGTTGCAAACGTGCCTGCTCTGCCTCATACTCTTCTTGTTGGCGTCTGGCCTCGTTGGTCCAGAAGTCGTTGATAGGCTCTGGTTCTGCAGCCACCTTAGGTGGTGGTGAGGGCTGTGCTTCCACTTCTCTCGCGGGTCGTCTGGGAAGAGCCGGGCGATCGTCGTCTTCAGCAAGCAAGCTGGGAGGATCTTGCGGCAACTTCGGGATGGTAATGAGGCCGGTCAGGTAGCGCAGGTTAGAGCACTCATAGTAGAAACGAACGAGACGGTGGTGCTGCGCATCATACCGACCTCGGAGCGGCTCAAGAGCTTCGTCGTCGCCAGTGGCTGAGAAATGTTATTAGTTGCCATTGATTGCACATAAACGGTGAATGAGTACATACTTGTGTGCATAGCTCTAAGCATGCTGGTGATGAACTTATAAATACCATAGCTCTCTTGCACAAGGGGCACCAAAGCCGAGATTCTACACTCATTGTTCGTGCCTGACTGGAAGTTCGAAAAGATGAGCTTCTGGAATGAATCGATCTGATCTTGCAAAACCATCAGGTCGGTGATAGTCTCGTAACTGCAACTCGTTAGCACTTTTCCATCAGTATCAAAATAATTACGGGTGGACACGCACCCTTCGTTCGGATCATTGATCGACTTCAAGCTAATGTACTCCTCGTACTCAAACAGACCTACATCCATCAGACATCTGCAAGCGACACCGCCGCTCCAATGGAGATGACATACCGTTGAATTCAGGGTGGTTGCGATGGAACGTCAGCTTCGACTCAAGGAAGAAGACGTAATCCCGGATAAGTGGCGCATATCCTATCCAAAGCCGTCAATATCCTGCCATACACCGACATCGCAACACCTCCAGCCAAAGACTTCTGCGCAATCGCCCAGTGCGGATATCATACCTCGGACACCATCGCCACCAACACCTCGCATCAAACTATCAATCCAATTGGAATGCTGTTGCGCCTCGCGCACAACCGTGGGGTGACCCTCCTGGAGAACCTTGTGTATCGTGATCAGCGCCTTAAACGTCTGGACCTCGTCGGCGAGGACAGGCTGCCTATGAAAAACGTATGCGTGTCAGCTCACACTCGAACAATACCTCCCCTCACCCCTGCCTCTCATCCGGATATACCAGGAACATACACTTTCATGCCAGCCCAGAAAGCCGCCGACGACTTGTGGTCCCACGTGTAGACGATGCAACTCCGCACATGTTTCCCTATAGGCGCGGGGGTGGTCAGCGCGGCTTCGAACAGGCCAAAGCCCACGGCGATAACGATCGGGTCGAGGAATTATAATTGGAAGTGGTAAAGACATACGTTTAGGAGCGGTTTCCTCTGTGGACAATGAATTGGTTAGCTCGTCGAGTCCCTGTCACTTCGTCCTCGATCAACCACTTACCGATACTGGTGGCTTTGCGGATATTGATGGCCAAATCGGCCTCGGTCCTGCGCGATTCAATGTGAGACACTATCTTCGCGGATTCTGCAGGGGTTTCGCTTACCGACTCATCTTGATCGATGGGGTGCAATCGATGCGGGCTCAGGGGGGGCGGAAGAGTGGGAATGTTGGACAACTCTGTCGCGTTGGCGGATCCCGAACCCCAGAGCAGAGACGCTTGAGTGAGCTTGCGCCGGAAGAATTAAACTATCCAAAGCTCAATGTCAAGAGAAATTGGCGAAGCACCAAAAGACACACGTGGGAGTTCGAACAATGACGTTGATGGGGAACGGGAAAGTTGGCGCCTGTCGGGAGTCTTGGCGACGCCTAAGCCGATGCGGGTTGGGCGAGACACTATGAAGCATCCAACTTTGTAAGTTCTATCCCTTGCGAAGAGGCTGTGCTTTCTAGCATACGCGTCAGGCATATACTTCAGGTTAGGCAGCAGGAATTAGTCATTATTGTAGTAGACTATATTCTTTCAACTCTCACAAATGCTACAGTCTACTTTCAAGGGCTTCGATAGTCAACACTATATTGGATGTCTGGGTCGCCTAATGACACAAGAGAGCTAGCTATTTGACTGGCACTTGCACTACTCTATGCTAGTAAGTGGTTACATGCAGGGATAACAAGCTCAGCATGGACCCATTCCCATGAGATTTCCACAAGGCAGAAGAAAGTCCAGAAAATAGACTATCCTCCATTTTCCTGTGTTATCTGAACAAAAGCAACAACAACAACAACAACAACAACCATCATGATGCAGGCACTTCCAGTCTTTCAGATCGCAGGGCCTCGGTGCTGGCAAGAGTTGAAGGCGTCTGATCAACAGAGCCTGGGAATTCCGCATCAGGGGCGTCGTCAGAAGCCTCCTCTGTCTCGTGGTTGAATGAAGAATTTCCAGTCCTTGAGGAAGTCTCGCTGTCAACAGGAGTGGTTTTCTTTAGACTCAGATCCGAGTCCAAATCACCAGGGGCCGGGCTGTTGGGTTCAGAGTCTTGGATTGCCTCCACAACAAGCAGCTCATCGGTGCTTTCATTGGTATGCAGCCCAGGACGCATTGGCTTTCTGTGATGTAGGGGTGATGGTGGTGCTTGTGAGTCTCCCGTTTTTGGGCGCTCAAACTCCGAATTTGTCCCCACAGGTTTCCGCTTGGGCAAGTTGGTAGGGTTTCTCTTCAAGGCATACTTGTCGGGTCGAGGTAATGGAGACCCAGCTGGTGGGTGAGGATGTCCACGCCCAATGGGTTGGTCAAGTGTATTTGTAGAAGCCGGAGAGGATTCTTGGCCCATGTTCGGGTCGCCTTTGCCGAACACACTCCAACTCCATTTCTTTGCGGCAGCAGTGGCTGACCCAATTGTCATGGACCCATTAGGCTTGTCATCAGATGATGTGCGTGCAAAGGACTTGGTGATGGTTTCGATCGTGCTACGTCGGCGAGCCTTGTCGCTGGTGAGTGACGTAGTAGAGCTATCTCGGGAGCTTCTCATACTAGAGAAAGAGTTACTCTCCATTCGAGTGGCAGAAGGTCTTTGCAGGCCACTGTCATTTCGGAAGTTGAAGCTGTCAATAGACTCTGCGATCGATGACTCGCGGCTATGGACTGCACTTTCTGGCACTGTGATGCCCCCGGTAGGTGGGGAGCTTCCCGGGGTTCGGTTGGGTGATGTGGGCGGGGAGCGGCTTGATATCTCGATCATAGCGCTGGTTGCATGGCTCTTCTCATCTCCTTGATTCTCAGTGACGACTTTGTCAACTTTGGCATTGTCTGCTGTGACCACAGGGTCTGCAGCATTAGAGAAAGTCTGCGACCGGATTGCTCGGGGTAAGGGTGTGTTTTCTGATCTCTCAATGCTAGTGGAAATTGCACTTGAGCTGTTTGTCCGCAGGTCTGGCTGAGACGACTTGGGGCCATTGCGTGATTTTTTCTTGGTCTTTATGGACTCGGAAAGGACAGGCATACTCATTGTACGATCATCCTTGGACTTGAGGACCTCAATAGGATCGCTACCGACACTCTTGGGGGTGGCCGGGGATTCACCAGATTCATCGGGTATATCTACCTGGTCATTCGAGTCTGGATCATCCCGCTGCCAGAGACCACCACGGAAAGCTTGACCTAAAGTATCGTGGAAGGGTACATCATCCCAGAAAGGTAAGACAATACTCTCTGCCACCACCTCGCGGATCTTGCTTTCAATCGTGCGTAGAATGAGACTGTATGTGATTTGTTTGGAGCTGACAATAGGCTCAATGTCCATCTCCATCTTGGGCATGGTCTCGAATGACATCCAGATTCGATTACTGGGTGGAGGTTTGAAGCGTACCAACAAGTGGCCTTCTAGCTTCTTTAAAACGACTGCAAGAACAATGTCGACTTCCCTTGCCTTGAAACGAGGACCCAAGTCGATGCGCACGGTGGCTGAAATTTCGAGTCGGAAATTTCCAGTGTACTGGAGGTCTGCCTCTATGCAGCAGTTCCCATCAACAGTCAGATCTTTCAATCTTGGATTGGTGATGAACGGCGCCCCTTCCCCCATATCGATTCGCTGTAAGCCCACCTTGCTGATAAAGTTGGGTTTGTTAACACGGGAGATCTTCTTTACGATCTTGCTGCGCACAAACTCCTCCAATTGAGGCGTCCGGTATAGCGCAAGGAACAACCTGCCAAGGAATGCATTGATCCAGCGTGTCTGTAATTGCTCTTCGGAGGAATGCAGCCTTTGTACCAGTGTAACAATATGTTTGACATCGAACTCTTGGTGTTTCGGCGGGCGATCAGCGGAGTCCCATAGCCGGTTCTGGTTCCGCAACATGACGATATAAAAGTCCTCCTTCTCCGACAGATTCTCAGAGAAAAGATAAAATGGCGGGGTCGGCCCTCCCAGGTCACCAAGCGAATCCAGTCGCCGGGAGAGACAGATGGCATTTCTCTTGAGCCACAGCTCTCCTTCTGGGATATCCCCTTCTCCGCCATATATTGAGACGTCATGGTGAGCGAGAGAGATGACATAACGAACTTCAACCTGATTGGCATCATCATACAGCATCAAATGGCCATGTCTGGAAGACAGCATTGATCGTCAGCAACCGGCGCTTACACGGCAACTCGCACACAACCCAGCAACACATACCGCAGAACAATGTAAAAGACATTCCGTGCCCGCTTAGTGGTCTTTCCATTCGACTTCGCGGGCTCAATACTAGGTGTTTGTTTACGATCGAACAAACTCCGGTACATAGCCTGATAGACGCTGGGACTTTCAGTCGCAACGACCTCGCCCGCGGGCGTCGTCCTTTCCGGCGGTTTCCCATTCACGCCCCCAGGAACATATTCACGACAAACGGCAAAATACCCGGCAGCGACATCGGACTCATGCGTGCGGTGGAATTTCTCGGCGAGCTGGTCGGTGCCGGATTTGAGACTATAGTCGTCATCGGCAGGCTGGTGGACGGGATCGGTCGCTTTCGCGCATGATTGCTGCGCTTTCGAGACGGTTGGAAGTGTGAGATAGGCGTAGAGGAGGATTAAGGACAAAATGAGTGGAATGAAGGTGATTCCACCGAGGGCGTAAATAAAGAGAAAGCTACCAAGCGAACCCATCGGGAACCAGTCGATCAATGCGGGAGGATCGAAAGCTCCATAATTTGGGAGTGCTACCTCCAACAGCGAAGAGACAAGGAACAACTGCAGAGACCGGCTCCAAGGTAAACGAGTGAGATAGAGAGGCAGCGAGACAGCGAAGTAGCGTGAGAGATGAAGACAAAGAGAGATAAGTTGGAGCAAGTGGAGTCGCAGCTTGCACGGGATGACGGAGGTTCTGGGTACGGCATTACACGTATGGTCCTGGTATTTCATCTATGATACTAGATTTCATATGGGTAAAGTGCGTATTTATATCGTATTGACATTACATACAAGGCTCTTCTGTGGACGTTAGTACCCCGCGTGATCCGACCAGCTGTCAGGAACTTGAAACTGTCCATGCCTCAAGTCAGTTGGGGGCTTTCTAGGGCCAATTTTGGTAGAGAATCATTTCGATCAAGTCTTGGCCTTGGGTTATCCTCAAGGTTGTGAATTACGATGACCCTCAACCCCGGGGCACCGAGCCAGTAGTAAAGCCCTGATCAGTACGATATCAATGGGAACCATAAGATGTCAGGGAGAAGAACATGCATGCATTGGTAAAGATTCAAAAATTGTATGTATCCAACCATCTAATATATATAAGTGTACACAGGCATAAAAAAGACAATGACCTGAACAACCAACATGGGCAGAGCTGAGAACAGAAAAAGGACATATGTTTACATGGGACTGGTTCCCTCTACTTTCTCCGGTTCATGGTCTTCTCGCACATCTCAATCAGACCAGTTTTGGCATCGCTATCAGGGAAGTCACTGATGGCAGCAATAGCCTTGTCAGCGTATTCCTGGGCCAGAACACGAGTCTGCTCAACACCATCGCTGCGGTAGACGATCTCACGGGCCTAGTATGATAGTCAGTATTCTGTGTGGCGGAAAGACTGGACATGAATCACTTACACGTTGCACATCACCCTCCTGGCGGAACTTGCGTCCAACGAGAGGACCAAGTTCGGGGTTGCTCTTCCATGCGAACAAGAGCGGTGCAGTGGCCAGACCCAATTCCAAGTCCGCACCAACTGGCTTGCCCATCTCCGCCTCAGTAACAGTGTAATCCAGCATATCATCCACAAGCTGGAAAGCCAATCCCAAGTTGCGGCCGTAAGCGTACGAAGCCTCAATGACCTCGGGCGCACTGCGGCCTAAGACCGCAGCGGAGCGACATGACTTGCTGATAAGACTGGCAGTCTTCAGATAGGTCTTCTGAAGGTAGTAGGAAAGGGTCTCGTCGGTGTAAACGGGCTTTGATTCGTCTTGCGCTGTGTTCTTCAACTGCATGAACTCGCCCTCGACCAGATTAGCAATTACAGTAGCCATCAACTCTGTCACCTCGGGGTCACGGAGACGAGCGAGCGCCACCGAAGCACGCCCAAGCAGGAAATCACCCGCCAGCACGGCCATCTTGTTTCCGAACGCCAGGTTCGCGGAACTGTTGGCGCGGCGTGTCACCGCATTATCGATGACATCGTCGTGCAAGAGGGAGGCTGTGTGGATCAACTCTGTGATCTCGGCCAGGCGTCGCTGTGAAGGCAGGATGTTCTCGTCTCCCAAAAAGTCATATTTGCTCTCGGCGGATTTGGACACGAGCGGGTTCATCTCTGGGTTGGCATCATCGAGGATCGTCTGTGCGGTGAAGGAGTCATCGACGGTAGCGGGTTTATCGGAGTAGGTGTGGTGCTTGCGCGGGTCCAGGGCTGTAGCCTGGGACATGAGGAGGACCAGCAAAGGCCGCATGTGCTTGCCCTCGCTGTGAGTGTAGTATTTGGCGACCTTGTCAAGCGCCGGGTGGCCAGAGCCAAGCAATTGTCGGATATTCTTCGTGAGGAACTTGAGCTCTTTCCCAACAATTCTCAACGGATCGACCGAGACGCCTGCAGGCGCCTTCGGCATGCCCTTCAAGATGGTCTGGGCCGCCGACATGGCAGCACCGAACGGCGAGGCATCTCTCCGGCGGGTAGGGTGATACTTTCGTGACTGAAAAGCAATTTGCGTTAAACGAAGGTCATCGCGGAGGCATTTGGTGCAAACGGAGGTCGCGGTCGGTCGTGATGAGAGGATCAGCCCAGAGGCCGATACGGTACGAGCTCCCATGCTGGAAGGTCAATTATAAAAGAATGAAATATTTCAAATTAGAAACATGGGAGCCCAATCCCAGGAATCGAAGTTGATGCAAGGTGTTTGCGGAGTATGAAGACAGGAACAATCTTGGACGGGAAGATTTCGAGCTCTCGGGACGGCACGGACCCCGGTGCAGCTCAACGCCTACAGATATCCCCGATGTCAGGATATTTGTCCGCAAATAGGTCTACAGGGTCACTCGTTGCTTAGAATAAGATAGGATCCCGAAAATACACAGAATTCTAGCATTTCAGACTCTACATACTTGGCAAAAGCAGCATCCGAGGCACAAATCTTTCCGGAATAAGTGACACAGATTGCGCCGGCCATCTTAGTCCTGCACATCCACCCTCGTACACGTCCGAATAAAGTCCAAAGCAAAATCGCAGAATTAACACACATGTTGAAAGAGGCCACTACGAGGTGAGTACCCCGTGATGGGGCCAGTGTGGAAGGGAAAAAATGCTGTATCGATTATGGAAACATCCACACTCCCCTTTACATGGCATCGAAATCGCCACCGGCATCTTCATCGTCCATGTCACCCTCCTGGATCTCCTTGGCGAGTTCCCGCTCCCGCTCGCGGGCTTCTTGGGCACTCTTGAGTTCCAGACGGTGCTGGTTCATGGGGAAACGCATAGCCTGTAATCATACGGGTTGTTAGACAAGCCACAAAAACAACGTGGATAGAGACTCAAAAAAACATACCTTGACACTTTCATCATGAAGAGCGAGACAAGCACGGATACGCTCGTGGAACGCTTCACCAGGCTCTCTGGTGGCGTAGATATCACCAACCTCCTTGCTCTTCATGAAACCGTGCTCGTGATCAAGAGTGGCTTCAATCACACCGTCCCGGATAGCCTTGGCGACAATGTACTCGGCAGACTCTTCGCTGTCAAGTCCAAGACGAAGACAGATATCCCGCAAAGAGATACGGGAGTAAGACAACGACATCATACGAATACCGGTCTTGATGACATTCTGTCTGAGGCGCAAAATCAGGGTGTATGTGCCATCCTTGCGGAAAGTCTCACTGTGAGTGTTGACAATGGTCAAGAATCCATCTAGGTCACCTGCACCGACTGCTTGAGAAAGCAGAAGGTAAGGGTGCATGGCCTGCTCCAAAGCCGGTTGGCGGAAGACAGAACGATCTGGAATATCGCCCATCAACAGCTCAACGACTACCAACAGCTTGTGAGAGGCCTGATAGAAACCGCGGGCAACAGGGCTGGCAGGTGACTTGCGGGTAGCGCCAATCAGATGACTGTGGGCCTCTGTGTATTGCAATTGAATGGCACGAATGCGGCCGAGGTAAAACATATACCGAGCGATCTGGTTGCTGGAAGCGGCGACAGGGAATGGGTTGTGGGAAATCAGAAGATCTGCCTGTGAGATGTGAGACGTTGACAGATAGTTGCGAAGCAAAAGTGTCATCACAGTAGCCTGTGTGTCGACATCTTTCCGAAGCACAGCTGTACGCAAAGCAGCCAACAACGATTGACGGATAGTGGTAACAGCCGCTGCGGGAGAAGGAGGGAGCGGAGCAATTTGTTCGTAGAAGAGGGAGTAGTAGAAATACACGCGGGCAGCGAGGGAATCCAGCGTACGGCGGTTGAGTGCACGCAGGCGCTCAATCAAGTCTGTTGAGAATTGAGCTCCTTTCTGGATCTCCCGCTTGTCGAAGAGATAGATCTGAACCAAGATGGATAAGTAGGCGTCCACCTCGGCAAGAGTCTCCTTGGGGGCTGCCTTGGCCTTCTCCGAATCCACCTCCATCTGCGAGCTAGCCGGGGCATTCTCGAAAGCATCGGACTTGCCGAGAGCTTCCAACAAGAATAAGGCTGTCGAATTGGAAGAGGTGTAGGTGTCGACAATAACTTCGGCGAGGACCTCGGGGGTGATGTGTTTCCGCATCGACGATATGGACCGCAGGACACGAAGGGTAAATCTGGGGTCGAAATGGGCAACGGCTCGCTCGAGTAAAGTGAAGTTCGTCTTGATGTCTAGTTCAATGACAAAAATTCAAGGTTGTTCGTTAGCAATTGATTCTTTGTTTTCTGATCCAGAAGAGAAATTGACAAACCTTGAATGGCCTTGGTCGTTGGGTCGACCTCAGGCTCCTTCTCAGCATCATCCTCTGCTCCTTCCATCGCCACGTCTTCTTCTTTATCCTTGCCGGATTTGGAACCCTTGGTCGGGGGCACTACTACGGTCATCTTCTCGTCACCTTTGCGGTCCTTGTTGGCGTTGAATGCGGATGTAGGCGCACCTGCCGTACCCTCTCCCATCTCAACATCCTCAGAACCATTCACACCATTCTCGGTTGACTTCGATCCGTTCGTATGCGAGTCTTTCTCCCCCATATCGCTGTTTGATGCGCCCTTTGCGTCTTTCTTGGCTGGAGCTGACTTGGCCTTGTTAGCGGCTGCGCGGGTGGTAGGCGCGGCCTTGTCTTTCGCACTCGAGCTCTGGGAGTTTGAGCGAGCCTTTTCACCGTTAGCAGATGAAGAGGTGTCAGATTTATTGTTTGATCGCAAAGAACGCCTTTCGGCCGGCATCTTTCTCAAGCTGTCGAGCTCAGGTGAGCAGCCACCAAGCTATCGGAAGAAGTAGGGGGAAGGGCGAGCAAAGTATAAAGACAGGAAGCAGAAAGCAAACCCGAGAGATCCTAACTGCCAATAACACGAATGTGATGAGGAAAAGCCTGTGCGGACAGATAGATGAAGTGGATGGGTGATGTGATGTCAAGATGGGATGGACGGGCGCAAGAGACCAGACGAGCAGCTTAGTCAGGGGGAGCTTACTGGCCGTGTCGCCGCAGTGCACTCTCGTGACAGAAGCTGCGAGAACACAAGGATGAGATTATGAAAGAAACCTTCTGACAACACGCAGAGCTGAAATCCCTTTAGAAAACACTTTCCAGGCCTCAATTTCGGTGTTGCAGCTGATGAACAGGCGGATTCTGAATGTTCTGCCTGAGGCAACTTTGCAGCTCGGAGTAAACAACGGCGCAAGAAGAACATTCACTTCACGCAACTCTTCACAGTTTAGGGCTCAAATACCGCAACTATGTCCCTCCTTAGTTCCCACTTAGAGCAGATCACACTATCTTCCAATGCTATTGCCGATTTACCGTGAGTCCCTTTGTCCTCCTTCATGCTGCGTAGGCTAACGCAAACGTCTAGGTTCCCTCCCCCGCGGATTTTCACCACTGCGCTATTAGGGTCCCACGATATCACAGCCCTGATTCGAGATACAGAAGCCCATGAGCGAGCTCTCTTCCAGGTTGACCCAGCCTCCAAGGCTCCCGGGCATAAACGCGCCGCACGACGCGGGACCATGTTCCCCGCCGAGCCTGAAAACGAGTCCATGGCCAGCCGAATCTATTCAGCGCGAAACAACCGCAACCAATCTGCAGTAGCGAAAGTTCTTGGGCATGATATGATGGAAGAGATCAAGCGATCAGCAGGCACCTCAACCCGAGGACCCCGCGGGGAGGTCAACATTGAAGTTCTCCTTAGAGGCGCTGAGATCCTGTGCAATGTCTAGTGAGTATGGGGACTCCAACAGTGCAAATCATCCTAGTCTAACAAATTCAAAGCCCCGTTGCTGGAGCACAAGAAAAGATCTCCAACCTCCGCTATCGTCATGAGCTTGTTACCGAGTCTATAGCTCAGCTGGAAGACCGTGTCGCAGCTAACACAGCGGAGCTGGATCAAATGAGACATTCTTATGGGGATGATCAAGATGACTCTATGCTTGCGTCTGCTACACAGCCGGAAGTCCCACATGTCACGGACGAAGACATTGAGCGCGAGATGGCTGAAATCCGAGACTTGGAGCGGAGGAAACGAACGCTAGAGCAACGAGTTGCAGGCATGGATCAAGATTTGGGAGGTTTGCTCGGTTGAGCTTTACATGGTCTCTAGAGTCTCTTCCTCCTGGTGACATTGATCAAAGGACCTGCTTTCAACTGGCAGAGGCTACGTTCTTACCCATCAAACACCAGTCATGCATCGCCGGTACCAGCGCCTTTTGACTGGACTCCATGCTTCTGATCAGAGCCCTATTTGTGGCTCCTCGCATGTTTCTAGTGTTCCCCTTCAGCTCCAATGCCCCCTAGACTATGGTCCTATGTCCTATGGTACTAGGGATCTAGGGGGGGGGTCAAACGAAATCTATACCCGGCAGGCCAATCCCCAAATGCCATGATTCACAACAAATGCAGTGAATCTCCATGACAGCCAGAATATCTTGAGTCCTACTTGCTCATAATGACGACGCTCTGTTCGTCTGGAGATCAATTGGTCTCAGTCGATATCAGATAGTCATTGTATTACACGACAATGACGATTGTGTCCACAATGTGCCAATGTCCGGCACAAATACCCATGCCGTTTTATGTATTATGACAATTATCAAGATCTACATAGGTAACTGTCTCCATCCTACCTAGCAATCAAGCTACCTCGTCGTGATGTGCACAGGTCCTAAATTCATTTCAAGTACATCCCATAGATCTCTTTCAGAAAAATGTAGGGCCCCTTTAAATATTATGACGACGAACATGCAGCATAGTGAGGCAGCGCTAGAATTTATAGCAGCCCTCAATATGAAGAGCATAAACTTGTGGCATCAATAGACAGTGGTAGGATTTATAGCAGCCCTTTCTATATGATTACAATGAGCACGCGACATCTTTAGGCAGCAGTACAATCAATGGCAGTCTTTTAAACATCAAGGCAACGGCCATAAGGCATATGTAGGCAGTGATAATCGTGGGCGACATCGTCCAATTCCAATGAAACAGGATGCCAAGACCAATCCTGCCCGGCGGTCAACCTCACCTCCGCCTCAAAGTTGCATCCAGCCAACAAGCTTCAATCTTTTCGGCTCACTCGCTCCAACATCTCTTTTAACATTCCATAGCTTCCTTGCTCTCACTTTTTATTGCCGGCTGCAGATATCTCCGTTGGGCGTTTTTTTATCGGACCACACGTCATCGAGATCGTTGGGTTCCTCGTGCCCTTTCAGTCCTCCGGATCGAAGCCGGAACTTCATCGCGAACATGGACGGGTCTCAGGGGCAACCTGGACAGCCCATGGCGGCACCACAACAACCGCAACACTCAAACCTCATTCGAACCGATCAAGTGCAAAAGCTGCCACACCTGAATGACTCGCAGAAGGCGCAGCACACGGCGCTGGTGCGCAGTCTGTGGGACTTGCTTAATACGCGCGATCCGAACAGCCACGAGTATCAGCAGGCTCACACAAAGTTGTCGCAGTTGTCGCAGAACTTGATGAAGGGGATGCGAATGTTCCAGGCGAACCGACAGCAGGCCATGCAACAGCACCAGCAGGCTCAGGTGGCCGCGCAGCAGGGACAGCAGCCGCCGCAGCAAGCAAGTCAGGGACCTCAGGGGGCACAGGCGCAACCGGGGCAGCGTACCCAGCCTAATAACCCGCAGTCGCTTAATCAGTTGCTTCCCCAGATTCAGGCGCAGGTCAGCTCGCTGAACTTTTTCCTGCCCCCAAACGTGACACCGGAGCAGGTACAGACCTGGATTCCGGAGGCTCGGTTGCGATATGGTATTGCTTTGCAAAAGCAGCAGGTTGGGCGCGCGCGAATTGCTGAACTTCGATCATCGTATTCTCAGAGACAGGCGCAAGGAAATATGAACCAGGAGGAGATTCAAGAATTCAAAAACAGACAGCTGGCGGCCGAAAAGCTGTTCCGCGAGGGTAGTGAGTTCCTCAACAAGTTCAAGGAACAGCAGGAAAGCTTCAAGATTCAGGCACAGCAAAATCCCCAGAGTCAGACCATGAATCAGGCAGGACAACAGGCAGTATCACAGGCACCTCAGACGCAAGCCGCTGGAGCAGCTCCTCCAGTAGCGACTCAGGCTGTCCAAAATGCTCAAGGAGGTAACGCAGGAAACAATATGCAATCCGGTCAGGCTCCTACCCCAGCACCCCACACGATCAATTCTGCTGTGAATGCGGCACGTAGTCAGGCTGGACAAACCGCGATGTCTCCCTCGGCCATGCAACCCGGACAAACACCAGCACCCCAATCCGCAGGAAATACCCCCGTCCCAATTAGTGCGCCGCAACCTCAGGCCCAGCGTCCGCAACCCCCATCTCAGCAAGGAACTCCAGGAGCACAGGTAACTTTCAGCCAAACCCCCAATCCGGACGGCTCAACTCCAACGCCAACTGTGCCTCCCCAACAGGTGAACCAAGGCCCGCCACGTCCCCTGTCTCACCAAGCTGCGATCTCACAAGCCGCGCAGACCTACACCAACCCTACCCCTCAACAACAAAACACCTTGAACCAGCAAGCCCAGGCCCAGGCCAACCAGGCTCATCCCCAGGGATACCTCGCCAATCGCTCAACCGAAGCCACCTCTCGCAACATCAACATGGCAATTCCTAAGAATCTCAACGTCTCCACCCCCGAACCCGTCTCAATGCCCGCCTCACGTCCTTCCCTCTCAGGTGGCCCCAGCCACAGCACCATGGGTATGATGGGCCAGCCAGCAATCCAAAAGCACCCCGGTTACGTCCTCGAAGGCGAAGGCCAGCGCGTGCTGAGCAAGAAGATGCTCGATATCCTCGTACGCCAAGTCACCGGCGGCGGCGAAGGTGAAATGCTCACTCCTGACGCGGAAGAGGTACGTTACGCAACCAGTATCAAACATTAACCCCCAAATCCAAAGTATCGCGAAAAAAAAAATCGAAAGTGAAGTTTAAAACCAAAATGTCCCCCAAAACTGACTCACTCAAACGCTAGTTCATCCTCCAAATGGCCGACGACTTTGTCGACGACGTGATCACCCAAGCCTGCCGCCTGGCCAAACTCCGTCCCTCCTCCACCCTCGAACTACGTGACATCCAACTTGTCCTGGAGCGCAACTACAACATGCGTATCTCCGGCTTCTCAACTGATGACCTCCGCACCGTCAAGAAGCCCCAGCCTAGCCAGGCCTGGACGCAGAAGATGTCTGCCATTCAGGCGGCGAAGGTCACCCAGGGCAGATCGGAGTAAACGAATCCACTGCAGAAATGATCTAGATTCATATCTGGTCGCTTGCAATTTGCAATATTTCCTCATCTTTTGGTTTCTTTGCGCATTGCACTCAACTCTGCACAATATCAATGCCCATTTCTATCTTCGTCTTCCAATATCTGATTTCTGGTTTCGCAGTGGTTCAATTCGGGGGCAAGGCGTGTTACTCATCTTTCTTCGGATATTTTACATTTTATTTCTTTCTCGTTTCGTTCCTTTTTTTTTTTTCTCGAAATGCTTTTTGGTTCTCTGTTTGAACACGGCGTTGGTTATGGATGGGCAGGTCTTACATATATTTATTTGTTTCAGTTTATGCGTGGTGGAAAGGAAGGGAACTTTGCGATAGTTGCCATTTCTTATTCTTATTTCTATTCTTATCTTTCTGTTTCATTTATCTCTTAGTCTAGTTTCGTTTTCTTTGCAAGCAGTGCTTGCATAATGATAGTGCCTATCCTGGCTTCTCTATTTTTGCTTCTCATGTCTGTAGATGTAGAGCTGGCTGGTGGTGTAGTCTGATACTCATGGATAAAATTGACGAATAGACCAGTCTCTCAGGTTTAATCAAAGATACCTTTGTTTCCTGTCAAGTGAGACGCATTTTGATAGGGAAATATGAATATAGTTGTAGATATAGACGGTTTTGTTTCTTATGGAGAACTGCTTGTACTATCAACCTCATGATAATATCTCTCCCTCGTTATAATACGTCTCTCACGCTTTGTATACATCTTCCCTCACTATAGCAACGTCAAACCCGTTTCCGATGCCTGTTCATTTTGAACCAATGCTCGGTGACAATGACCCAAAGGCATATGAGTGTTCGAGAATTTGAGGAAGATGATACGACCCGATGAACAACCAATAGCCGCAGTGCTCGCAGACATGGCGAACAGCTCATGACTGGCGGGTCGATACTCAGGTGGTAGCCAAAGAATATTGACCCCATCATGGGCTATCCAGGACATATCATTATTCAATCCATACCCATGTTCCTTTGGTGATGGTTTGGCAAAGGCACTCGGCATTATGATACCGAGCAGTTGGTCAAGTTTGAATCCATATAGGCCAAGTACATCAAAAGATTCGTCTTGAGGCATTGAGATGCACTTTTCGGTCGTCAGATCCCAGATATTGACTATATCGCCAAAGCACGCTGATGCGAGTCGGTTTCCATCTTGTGACCAAGCGACTGAGACGGCCAATCCGCTATCAACCTCGAGCGTTGATATACACTGGCTGGTTTCCGGGTCCCAGATTTTGACCGTCTTGTTTGAGAATGCAGTTGCAAGTCGACTTCCTTCTGGCGACCAGCAAATCGAGTGGATTTTACGGCCTCTTTCTACCATTTGGGCGTGGAGATTGGTAGACGTATCCCAGATCCTGACGGTGTGATCTGAAGCCCCTGATGCAAGTCGACTTCCGTTTGGTGACCAGGCAAGTGACTCAATTGTTCCAGTATGTCCCTCGAAAGTTGACAATTCCTGGCCGCTGATTGTATCCCAAATTATGAGTTTTCCATATAGAGCTCCTGATGCGAGTCGGTTTCCGTCTGATGACCAGGAAACTGAGTTGACTATATCATTGTGCCCGTCGAGGGTGAATACATTTTGACCAGTGTTTGTATCCCAAATATTGATAGTCTTGTCCCGGGATGCTGACGCGAGTCTGCTCCCATCTTTTGACCAGGCTAATGAACGAACTGAATCGGTATGCTTTTGGAGCATTAAGTTGCATTGGCTGGTCGAGTTCCATATGGTGACTTTATGATCCATGGCTGCTGATGCGAGTCGACTGCCATCTGGTGACCAGACAAGTGAGCCAGGGTGCTTGTTATATCCCTCAAAGGTTGAAATGCAGTGATAAGTGTTTAGCTCCCAAACTTTCACAGTTCCGCCAGCTGAACCCGAAGCAAGTTGATTTTGTGATAGAGCTATCGAGATGACCGGAGCGGTGTGTCCTTCGAGGACTTGCACGCACTGTTCAGTGGTAGTATCCCAGATTCTCAGGGTCGCATCAGAAGACGCTGAAACGAGCTTGCATTCGTCTTGCAGCCATGCAATTGATGTGACATTGTAACGATGCCCATTGAGAAGTTTGCATTGGGCGGTACCAGTTTTCCAGATCTTAATTGTCTTGTCATCGGCTAACGCAAGCTGGCCCTGTGACCAGGCAATCGAGCTGGACATTCCATTGCTTCCCTGGAAGGTCAACGCACAATGACCAGTGACGGGGTTCCAGGTTCTGACAGTCTTGTCCCAGGACGCAGATGCAATTTGGCTTCCATCTGGTGACCAGACAACTGAGGTGACATCCCGAGTATGGCCCTCCAGGGTTTGGAGACAGGTACTCCAGCTCTTCTCTGCTTCTGGCGTGTTCAAAATCCAGCTTGGACTTTGCGCTTGATAGCAAGTTCTTGTCATGCTTTGCATTGGGCTGAAAATAAGAGGTGAACTGTAGACCTGAAGTGGACTGCTCTCGATGGCGACTTTGTTGTACTGAAAGAATCGAGCGGCATCTGAGACTCGGTGCAAAAGAACTTGTGGCTCGCCAATTTTCTATTCCGCCATTCTGGTCAGCATGACAAAGTTTTTCCTATGTATAACTTATGCATGGTCACTTACCTGAAGTAAGCTTTCAAGCTTGAGTATGGATGCTATGCCTTCGGTGATGCTTTCAAGAATGCTCAGGGCTTCTAGCCAATGAAGATAGTTCCGCTGTAGGAAACGATCGAGTGAGCCACCATCTTGAAGGTCTTTGTTCAAAATTTGGCTGGAATAGCATGCGTCCATATGTTCAACCCAGTGGACAACCCCATACCGGATTGCGGCCAAAGGGTCTGGATCTGGCCTCTTGATCCCCTGAATTGGATACCCGGGGTCATTTATACTGTAGATATCACGTCGCAGGTTCAATTCCATGGTCTGTAGAGATCTCGAGAAAATATTATAGTGCACATTATCAACGCCATCAGGGTATATCATATCAGACTCCATTTGCAGGAAAAAGTCTTTGGCTGACTGGTGAACTAACGAGATTGTGTGTCCTCGCAGAGACAAGAAAGAACCACAGTTTCCTATGATGTCTTCTAGATCATTTGCCTCATCTTCAGACAATTGAATGTAAGACGGTATCTCATCCAATGTGAGAGGGCGGTAAACGGCCGTGGCGACGCCGAGAAGAGTCTTACAGATCTCAGCATCCTCCGACTCAATGATTTGGTCCAACATTCGCTTGTAAAGGTCATTCAGGCCGGAAGGGTATTCTTCCAGCTTTGCCAGAACGTGTCTCTTTGCAATTTTCGCGAGTTGCTTGCAAACCAAGGCGACCCAAAGAAACGTGCCATTTGCATTAAGAACGAGGTGATCTTGAACCCTGTGTCGCAGTTCGGGGCTGTAACCGTTTCTTTTTGCTAGGGCATTGATCTTATGCTGAATGAAAGAATCAACAGCAGCTAATCGAATGCTCTCGTCTTCGAGAATCAATCGTGTTTGCTTTGCATCATGGAGGTCTTTCTCAATACTCGGCAAGTTGCGACTTGAGATTAGACACTTGACGTGCCAATTCGATGAGATTTCAACTAGAAACCTCAGAAGCTTATCCTGATCTCTTGTACACTCGTCAAGCGCGTCGATAACCAGGTAGGTCTCTTGCAACACCGGGTCTTTGAGAATATCGATAAGTACTTTCCGTAATGCAAACCAGGCGTTTTGTCCTTCAAAGGGCCCTTCGCCAACATGACTCTGAAGTGAGGGTTGCTGCTTCACAAGCATAGATATCAGTCCCCGTAAGACCGCGGTAGCATTGCTGATGTCCTGGTTACTTTCTTGAAAGAAAAAGAACGCGATGTTGGTGCCCTGCGTGGGTAATTCGTTGATGATTCCGCAAAGCAACATTGTCTTGCCTTTGCCAGGGTCTCCTTTGATCCAGAGAAGGCCACGGCTAGTATGCCTCCAGGTTTTGAACTGGTCATTCTCGAGTACCCAGCGGTATGAGTCTTCGAGAAGACCACCTTTGTCATCCTCAATTCGTTCTTTGTCGTCAATGGGATTCGTGGCCTTGAGATTTGCAAGGCATCGTCGATACTCGGCGTCAGACATATGTTTTTCAACTGCCTGGGCATGGTTGGATATAGTTTCCAAGGTCTTGCGTGATCTCCGACTTTCCTCTTGGATCTTTTCAAGTTGTCGTAGACTCGCACCACTCAATGCCTTCCCGGCATTCTGATGCAGAGAACTTTCTGTCTTCTTGATTGACTCCACTTGAGCGTCCCAGCTGTCATACTTGGTGACGTCCTTGATGTATCTCTTGCCCGAGCTGCTATAAAACCTCAGCACGCTTTGCACTTGGAAGTTGATCACCAGTTTGTATAAGTCTATCAAACTCTTCATGATTTCATCCTTCAAACTGTCCGTCATAGACTGAGAGAGGAAATACGGCTCCATCTCAGCATAGAAACGGATTTGCGAGCTGACATATCTGAGACCCTCCTGATTATCAGCATCGACGACGGCTGGATTTCTCAGAAAAACAAGCAATATTGAAATTCCTGCCATCGCAACCGGTGCAAAAGGAACATCCTTGAGCGCATCTCTGGCATAGGCTTGGATCCAATCTACACCGTGGGCGAAATTTCCCACCGTATCTTGCAGGCTCATCTCTTTTCCAAAGATTGTCGATTTGAGTCTCCCGTCTTCAATGTGGTTGAGGCCCAGCTCAGCTATATGTTTTAGTTTCTCTCGACGGGCTGTCACGTCATGCTGGGGAATCTGGTTTCTGACATCGCTACTATCTGCTTCACATTCTGAGTCCGATATCGAATTTTGCGGTGCTAGATAGCGTTATCAACATTATTGAAAAGCAAGCATGGCTATTGCCCAGTACATACCTTCGGTGAGTACTCGAGACAAAAGACCCTCGTAGGCGGCCCACGTATCAGGATGTTCTTGTCTCAAGGCGTCATATGCTTTGTCCCAGAGGGAACCAGGTTCGCTTTCAGTAACCGTATTGTCTTCTGTAGCCTGGGGAGTGAGGCTTTTCGTTCCTTTGGGGGATGTCTTATCAGAAGAAGCAAAGGTCTTGTCGATGGATGAAGTTGATTTCTGATTCCGGGAGCTCGTAGGCATCGACCGATTATTGTCTTCTGGGTTGTTCTCTTTGGACGAACTCCGCCTGAAGAGCCCTTTTAACCGGGGTCTGAATGATCGTTTGCCGCTCATCGTCTTGGGAGCTCGGTACAGATAGAGCAAGGCCCTTTTTAGTAATTCAAAAATCCATGGAATGTATTCCGAGTGGAAATCAACGCTTCATCATTATTCATATATACCTTTGAAGAGAAGCAAAACGTCCTTTTATACCTAAGCTCTTCTTGCTATCCGGCCATTTTGCGTCGGTGCCGCTAGCCCTGCATAGGCTGCTGAAAAGGACTTGGTGATATGGACATGCATTAACGCATTGGTCATGTTTGGTAATTTGACGAGTATGGCCAATCATTTGTCGCTACGATGCAGGCAGCCGAAGAGATGGGGGCAGTGTAGAACCGAGCTAATTGACGGCGTCAAGATCTGAAACGTTCTATGGCTTAACTATTTTGGGGCCGAAACCCCAGGGGGTTCCCTACGAGCGCCATGGCGCCTTTACCGCCGAACCCATGGAGCTCAAGGCATATCATTGATTTTGATGGTTGACTTGATCTATCTAAGCAGCCTGGATCTATGGTTATATACAAATGTGGCCGTAAAATGGCTACTAGTCGAGTACGAGACTGAGTAGCAATGCTACGATGGGATTACGGTCAGAATGTAGGTATAAATCAACATCAAGGGACCTGCCTGGATTGTGCTATTCGTAGAAAAGATAACGACCGCTACCACCTAGCACAGGATACGCAAGACTTCACGATGACTGAGTCCAAATTGTCGCCAACTGCAAGTAAACTCCAAAATTCATCTTTCACCGTTGAACCGCATAACCCAACCGAACCAACCCGCGGGGAAGTACCGTAGAAAAGTCGAAGTGTTCTGAAAGTACAATCCATCCTTACGAGAATTCTCAGAAAGGAACCTTGAGAAAGAAAGATGCCAGGAATGAAAATGTTGGTCGTAAGGATCGTTGGAGTATGACATTGGGTCCCAGAAACCCTCAAAAACTCAACACGAAACGGAAAACCCCCCAATTCGCGCAAACTCGTACGCAAAAGAAAAGCAAGCAAGCACGATCACGAAGAGACAGGCATTGGAATTTGAGGACATAGAAGTGGATTAAGTCATAGGGCAAGAAGAAAAACGTTTCTACGACCACGGGGACGCCAGACTTTCGCGGGTTCTGATTCTAACATGGTTGCGGGGCACAGGAACGGGGAAGTGGGAAAATGCAGAGCGACAGAGTTGGAAAAAGATCGAGAGGTATTGTGTGGTCGAGTGGGAGATCATAAGCGCCGAGGAGAAAGGTGGGAATGGAGGAGCGAAGAAAACATGATATTGATTGTCGTTTCAGATTCTCAAATAGCGTACTTGCGGGTCCATTCGCGGGCTGTTGCCTCGTAGCGACGGAGGTCGGTCTTGTAGACATGCGCAATTTCGGGAACAAGAGGATCATCCGGGTTGGGGTCTGTGAGCATCGAGCAGATGGAGAGCAACACTGCAGCATGTTAGATGAAAAACGCATATGTAGAGAGGCATAGTTGCTCACCCTTGGAAATGGTGAGTGCGGGGCTCCATTGGTCCCTCAAGATATCCAAACAGATGCTGCCGTTGGAGTTGATGTTGGGGTGGTAGATGCGGGTGGTGAAGTTGACTTTAGGAGGCTTGAAAGGATAGTCGGTAGGGAAGTGAATGGACAGGAAGAAGACACCGCCTGAGTATGGGGAGTCACCCTAAAGAGGACATTAGTACCGTGCGGCTGAGAATTGATCCCTCTGGATACGTTGGGAGGGGGGCAGTTGGCCTCCCCCCTCCCAGGGTCCCCAGAGAGCAAGAGAAGACAACTTACAGGACCCATGATCGTTGCTTGCCAGTGGAACTAGAGCCAAAAATCCTAGTCAGTTATCCATATTCATGTGAATCGATATTAGGCCACTGATCAGCCGGGCACACGTGCCCCGCCACAGCACCAACGCCAACAAGCACCAGAAGGGAATCTCATACCAGGTCCTCGCCGACGGGACCAGCGGAGCAGGATGAGGGGGGATCCCTAGACGCAGATAAAGTCAGTTCTGCATAGATCGCAAATCGTCATCTCTTGGGCAAGGCTTACCGTCCGAGGTCAGTGAGTTCCTTGTTAATGCGCTTGAGAGCCATGACGAGCAAAGAGAAAGTAAACTGAAAAAGAAGACTGGACGAAGATTAGAAGTGTAGAAAAAGAAGGAGAAGGGGGAGGACATACGATTACGTCTTTGTGTGGAAAAGAAAGAGAAAGAAGAGAAGATTGAGAGGGGGGAAAAGTGGGCGGGTGTGACTCCTTACAATACCAATACCGCCACCAGATGACACATCCTGAATCATCCGAATTGGGCTATGCAGCGTAGAAGTAGGCAGAAGAGTACGGAAATACGGACTTAATTCCTGATTCATGGATTGAGCCTCTGAAAATAGGGCAGAACTGGGGTCAGATTCAGGTGAGATTGAATTATTCATTAAAAACAATGTAAGCCAATGAATCTTCTACTGTATACATGGAGTAAGTTGGATGGTAATCCTGATACCGTACGGTATCTGCCCCTCGATGATGTCACGTGCGGGTGAGGCGCCAAAACCCGGCTTAGATCAGACCGTATAGTTTCTTTTGTATGGGATGTATGGGATGTGTCTAAACAAAGGCCTGCACACCGGTGATGGCACGGCCTAGAATCAATGCTGTATTTCTGCATTAGTCTCTGTCCAACACATCAGGCTTGCAGGACTTACCATGGATATCGCTCTGGCCCTCGTATGTCTGCACCACAAACAGATTAGCCACATGGCGGGCAATGTGGTATTCATCGCTGGCAGCATTTCCACCAAAGATCTCTTGTAGACTAATATAAAGGTCAGCAATGTTCTCAATCATCAAGGAGGCTGCCCAGGTGGGTCAAGAACAGGAACATACATTCTAGAGTTAGCCAAGGCTCGATCACAGTTCTGACGCTTGACCATAGAGATCATCTCGGGCGTAGCCTTGCCAGCATCTTTAAGGCGAGCGACCTGCACCGCAGCAAGAGTACCATAGGCAGCATCCGTAGCAGCATCAGTCAGCTTCTTCTGAACAAGCTGGTACTTGGCCAGCGGGTTGCCCTTGAACTGTTTGCGCTCAAGACTGTACTCGCGCGCACGGGCAAGGCAATCCTCCAAAGCGCCCATGGCGCCAAAGGCAATGCCCAATCGGGCACTGTTCAGACAAGTAAATGGACCCTTCAGGCCCTCCACCTCAGGGAACATATTCTCCACCGGCACGGGGCAATCGTCCATCTGGATCATACCAGTAATAGAAGCCCTGAGAGCGGTCTTATTCTTGATAGCAGGAGTCTCAAACGTACCCGGCGGGCAACGCGAGCGCTCAACGACGAATCCACGAATCTTACCTGTAGACTCGAGCTTAGCCCACACAAGGGCAAGGTCACAGATGGGCGAGTTGGTAATCCATGTCTTGCTACCGGAGAGCAAATACATGCCCTTCTGTGTGGGGTGTTCGCGCGCCACGGTCTCCATAGATCCAGGGTCGGAGCCGTGATTGGGCTCTGTCAGGCCGAAGCAGCCAGCCAGCTGGCCCTTGGCCAAGCCAGGGAGGAAGCGTTCCTTCTGCTCTTCTGTGCCGAACTCGTAGATGCCCGTCATGGCGAGCGAGCTCTGCACGGACATGCCTGATCGGTATCCTGAGTCCACGCGCTCCACCTCCTTGGTGATCAGGCCGGATGCTACGGTGCTGACACCGGCACAGCCGTATCCTTCAATTGATGCTCCGAGGAGACCTAGCTCACCCATTTCTTCCAGAATGCGTCGGTCATAGTCCTCGTTGCGGTAGGCCTCTGGAAAAACACTGACGTCAGATTACGATGTAGGAGCAGCGTGAAGGAAAGGTACATACCCAGCACTCGTGGCATGAGCTTATCTTGGCAGTATTGGCGCGCTGTGTCTTGGATGGCTAGTTCTTCCTCTGTGAACAGTTCTGCCGCCTGCAGAGGATCCTCCCAGTTGAAGACGGCGGACGAGGCATATCGACGGCCTGCCACGGAGGTAGGACCTGCCTGGATTGAGCGCGTTGCTGCGCGGAGAAGAGATCGGTTCATCATGATCCAATATTATATGAAGGCGTTTGTACAAGCAGAGTATAAACCCAGTAGACAATTGTTGCGGGGGAAGCTTCAAATATGCACTAACGGCGGAGAGACCTCGGCAATTTTACAAGTTTGGGGTAAAGAAAATCACCGAGGACGGGGACTGAATTACATATACAAAATAAAGATTGTTGCACTCGGCTGTTTAAATAATTATTGGACGAGTCTGATTCGACGGATGCTCCGAGTAATTTGGCTGTTTGCCGTGCGCCCAAACCGACTCGGACTTTTTCGGTTTTTTTGCTTCGGTATGCCAAACACCGAGGTGTACACTCAACTATAATTTCAATAAATGGCTGCTCTAAGTGTATATATATATCTAATAGCCGTGTTCACCTCCGCGTTAATTAGGCCGTCATTATTATTTACAGGTTGTAGAACATTCAAGGGACGTGGCAACAAGGAATGCCAAATCTAGGAGTATCACGCAGGCATCTGGCTCTGGAGGAAGTCGAATACCCCCGTGGGGAAGTAATCCTCATCGAATCCCCACAGATCCGCCATCATAGGGTCTGCCGAGCCTTCAGAGAGACCAAGCTCTTGCTTTTCGAGCCCTGGTGGCTCAAAGCCATTGCGACGCTCAGCGGACAGCGGCGCAACTCCGAGTAAGGGCGGTGGGTGGTTCAGAATTGTATCACGCTCGCCTAGAAGCTGGGCTCCTGGGATGATGACTGGCTTGAATAGTGATGGAGAGTCATGGTGGGAGACCATGGACTGTTGTGTCCCTGAGTTCCGTTTCTCCCATTCCTCAAGACCAGTGAGCATCTTCCGAAGACCCCTTGCAATGTGGTGACTGAGATGGCGCTGGCTTGCACG